CAAGTCAGGCCCTCCCGCAGTCGTACTATAGCCCCATCACTCATGAGATTCAGCCGGTGTCTATACGGCAACCCAGGGGCGATGGTACATTCAAGAGCATTTTTTGGAACTTCAATCGGGAAGGATGAGGCTCGCATACACAGATACTGTACAAAGCAAGTTGCAGAGCGAAATCGGATAAATATCATACCATCGCGCGGGACTTGAAGCACATATCCTACAGCCTTGCTACTGCAAGGGAGCGAAGGGACAGGAACGACGCCCATAGCAGAAGAAAGAGAGAGATAACGGCATAGTAGCGACAGCCAGCGGGACGCGAACGGAGTGCCTCGTTTCAAGCACCCAGTGCATAGTACGGCTCACTGAAGAGCCGACAATACGCAGGGAGCGCGTGTGCGGTAGACAGCCAGACCTGCGGATATGATAATCGCAGTTAGTCCGATTCATCACGGAAAACAATTGGAGAGACCGCACGCACGTTGTACCAGTAAAAGGCCACCTGATACTCATGTATCGTCTTCCCCTTGAGATAGAGCACACCCACATACACCGAAAGCGCGGTGACAGCCGCACCCGCCACGATGCTAAGGCCCCAGAACACGGAGAGCCCGACCGACCAGAGCACCAGCGGCACGATCACCGTCCAGCGCGCAGCGGCCCCGAAGACGATCGGGATCGTTTGCCGGCCGATGGCTCGGTCGCCGTCAACGTCCTTGAAGTCCTGCGTGTGGATCGTCGTCGCGAAGATGCCCGTGCTCGCGAGCACGGAGCACAGCGCAATTCCGTCCAGGTGCGTCGGGTCCGCCCCAGCCACGAGCGTCGCGCCGACCTCGAACGATGCGAACCCAAGCGCGTTCACGACGTTGCGGATCACCCAGTGCCGACGGTGCGCGGTGAGCTCGTTGTACAGGAGCGTGAGGAAGGCGAGGGCGATGCTCGCGTAGACCGTCTCCGGACTGTAGAGCGCAGAGAGACGTAGGCAGACGGGGACGATGGCCCAGCGGAGGAAGCGGGCTTGTTCGAGGGTGATGCGCTTGGCCGGAAGCGGACGGTCGCGCTTGTTCTGTGCGTCCTCCTCTGGGTCCATACACTGGTTCGAGAGGTCGAACTGCAGGACATGGAGCCAGACCCAGAAGACGACGTGTGGGACGCGGAGAAGGCCCGCTACGGGAGCAGACGCAAGTGCGAGGGAGGACTGTGGGACAGACGGCACGTCGGTGAGCAAACATGAGCCACAGTATGACGAGTAGCCATCACAGTCGCACTCACGACGGGACCGACGGTTGTCTTCAGGTCAGATTTGGTGAACAGGATGAGTGTGAATAGGAAGTAAGGGATGTTGCGTAGCGCATGCACCGCCGATCCAAGGGGGCTAAAGAAAGAGGAGGAAGGGGTCGATGTCGAGGCCATGAAGTGTGGCACTGGAGGTATGTCCGCTGAGATCTAGGTCGCCCCAGCCAGGAGGAGCGAGTACTTAACATCATGTTCAGGCCGATGCCATGACGCCCGCATCGATTCGCAAGACTGATACAGTCCGCATCGTGCATTTTCAAAGCATCATGGGGTTGATTCGCAGCACAGGGCGTGGCACATTTCCCATGTTTTTCTCCCAGCACAGCAGAGGAGCATCTGGAGATAGATATTTTGTCATCTAAGTTCTGGGGTATAGGGTCCTTGCTACGATGTCTTCAAGTGTACGTGCCTGGCAATGGTGGATCAAAGATACGCCGACCCAACGTTCTTGATAACGAGACCACCAGGGTCCATGCACGAGAGAGCCTGTGCAGATATACACAAGGGTCCCAGGAACCGACTCTTTCAAGCGGTTGTGCTCGGGCGCGATGATAAAGAGACCTGAAAACGTGGGACACCGATGAGCTCGACTGCGCCATCGTAGCTGAAATTGCAGAGCCTGACCATTATGTTACGGTTCAGATGGGCGGTCTTCGGGGAATAAATTCACTTGAAATGTAGACAGACATGTGGGTTTGTCTCCAACTTCGAAACGGATGCACTAGTGGCAGTTTGAGGCAACTTGACAGGACGTACGAGGAGGCGCGACTGGCCGGCTGTTGTTTGGCGCCCGTGTGGGCCATTCGCCGGCACCTGCCGGCACACGCTTTGCAGTCATCCCGCCTATCGACGTTTGCTAGTAGTCGGCCACGATACAAGTTCAACGCAGCACGATCGAATCAGTGCAAAAAAGTGGAGTTGAATATCAAGTACATATCCTCCATGTCACCCCCTGAGGATGCACCTCAACGTTGTGGCAGGTACAGTATACTATCCAAATTCTCGTCAGACAGACTCCCATGTTGACTCGGACAAGCTTCGTACGTATTCAAACAGGTCCCCTCGTCCTCGATCCAAAGTAGCCACCCTGGTGCTGCTCCACAGCATCATATGTTTCAGGAATCAGCAAGTATAATCAGAAAAAACCTGAGGTTCCGCATTGTGATTTGCAGGGATGACGCACCATAGTTCGACATCAACCTCAGGACCCTTAGATACGGGACCATCTTCTTCGTGTCGAAAAGCCTCATTGACTTCCGCAGTGTCGTCCCCCAATCCCACTATGCGCGCCCCGATGCTCGAGCGGAAGCCCAAGACTGGCCAATCGCTGTCGTGGTCCTAGAAACTGACGTATAGCTGACCGCTGCGTCTCCCCATATCCTATTCTTGCGTTTGCAGGTAACTCCTGGATATATGGATGAGACGTACGTCACACGTGGACCATACCTGCCAGCCCTCAAGCTGACCCGAGATTCCGCAGGTATTTCAACAACATTATGGTCAGCGTCGAATCACGCGAAGGTACCTCCTGGTCCAGCGACTCGCTGAGCATCTATGTTTCTCGATAGGCCTTTTAGCTATGTAGGGGATTTGGATGGAAACGCCTCAGTGGCGACGACGGCTCGCAGGTGGAAGGCAGTACGTGCATATCTTTCTCCGACTATCGCTGCAGCTCACTGGGCGTTGGTAGCGCAGCAAAAGCTAACGGTCTCTCACGCGTCTGCCGATGACAGCAACTTCCCGTACAGTATGCCGCAGACTCCGATTTCTATAGGCCCACCAAAACGCGCCGTCGGTCTGCCAAGCCCGAGTGGTACGGCAGGTACCAGACACACTTTTTCGAGGGCGCATTGCAACGTGATCGGGGTTAACGATATGGAAGGTCGAATGAGCGGTTGACGGGTAATTCGGGGAGAGCACACCGCGGATTGGAGATGGAAGGACGGGTTTACGTGGTTGAGTGTTTTTTGATTGATAGGGTAGTACTGCGACAGTACTGCGCCTTCTTTAAACTCAATCTATGCTGGTGAACATGTTCGAACGCTTTACAGAATCTACGTCGGTATTGGGTGTGTTGAAACCTGCGTCCTCTCGTAATGCGGAGTAAAGTGCACCCCTCCGGCTCCAACAAGCACTCAGCGGTTGGGAGGTCGTCCGCTACGTACGGATTCCCGAGCGGCGGTATACGATCAGCTTGCAGGTAGGACCTTCCGATCTTGAAGAGGGTTCGCGCTGTTTGTGTTCCGGTGGCGGATCTGTCACTCTTAACAGCACTCAAATGCCAGTGGTGTCAGACCTTCTGACAGTCACTTTGTTGATATGTAATTGCATCCGTGGGGGTACGGGCAACGCAGCCATACACAACGTCCAATACATTCATCCAATCAGAAAAGAATAACGGCAAGGCCCCGCACACTTGGAGCCACCCTGCCTCCTACTCTCTCACGCAACACTCGATAAGCTGGGCCGCAACATCCGATCGCGGCCGGATTTCGCACTCGAACGGCGCAGGCCGCCTGCCACACGCCCCACACGCCGTGTCAGTCCGACAGTCAACGATAGCGCAAAGCTTCCGAGAGAAGACGCACGAGATGGCCCCAGAAACGAACTCCACCTTGGGCTGCGGGCAGCCGGCGGGAATGGTGACGGTCATGACAGCCAAGAACTGCGCGACGGTGAGCCACGCTAAGTCCTCCGCGAAGAACTTGCCTGGACACACGCTGCAGCCACGGGTTGCGTCAGAACGTCAGAACCTCTGCAAGGAAGACAAGAAAGACAGAGAATTACGCACCGTCTGCCAAAGCCGAAGACGTATCGGCTCGGGTCGTTCGTGCTGCAGTCAAAGGTGCCGTCCGCGGCGATGTACCGCTCGGGCTTGAACGCAAGTGGGTCTGGGTACATTGCAGGGTCGTGCGTGATTCCCCACACATTGCCCATCACGATAGACCCCTTCGGGATCCGGTATCCCCGGTACACGTCGTCCTCTATCAGCAGGTGTGGTATCCCTGACGGAGCTTAATCAGCGTGCCAAGATGCGGGTGGGATTAGGGGGACGCACCGGTGGGCGCGGGCGGATGCCACCGCAGGATCTCCTTCATGATCGCGGTCACGTACGGCAGGCGGTCGCGGTCGACGAAGTCGGGCAGACGGTGCGTGCCCACAACGCGGTCGATTTCCTCTTGTGCGCGTGCCTGCACCTCCGGGTGCAGTGCGATAGCTAGCAGGAACACCTCACCGCTAATGACAGTCTGGTAAAACAAGCCAGAGCTTAGTTGTTACGGCACGCGCAAATGGTCATGGCGGGAACGCACGGTCTCAAAAGCACCTGTGTTACTATGCTCGTGATTCTTCGTTTGATGCTGTCTTGACTTTGGGGCTCACCTCCATAAGCTACGGCGGCTGTATCGCGAATCATGCTCTCTTCGACAGATCCGTCTTCGGGCGTCAGCTCCTGCAAGAGACTCGCGGTGTACGAGGGCTTCGCTAGGCCCTTACCCTAGGGCGCACGGCCGGTCACGTCAGTACGTGTTCTCAAGGCTGGGCAGATAGATGGGACGTACGAGTCGCTCTTTACAAGTATAGAACGCGACATTCCGCAAATCTTCGACATCCTGGCGCCAGCGCTGCAGCCGGAGCGACACCGCAGATCCCCCGAGCCATTTCGGAATGAACTGCACTGTAGCTATTTATGAGGCCGACGGATGCAATAATCAGAGCAGACGACAAGAACGTACTGATAGCTGACGGGTTCATGAGCCACATCGGCGGGCTGAGCGCGACGGAAGCCACGTCCATGACAGCCTCCGTCGTCTTCAGCAGCGGATCCTCCACGCTCTCAATCATGATCCCGTACGTGACGTCGATGATAAGCTGCCCCGAACGCAGCTTGAGGTGCTCCGAGAACCCCTCGGGGTCGCGCAAGACGTGCTGGAGGAAGCGGCCCATCGACGCGCGGTGCGAGTCGTAGAAAAGCTGCTGCGCGGCGGGCGACGAGTACTTGCTGCTGAAGAGGCGGCGCATGGCGCGCGATTGCTTTCCGTACGGCATGAAGGCGAAGTTCCAGTTGTTGTGGCCGACCCTTCGCGGCGATGAGCGGTGTTTCTTCGTGATAAGAGTGTGCGCGGACTTACAGGTTCATGAGCGGGAAGTCCGGGCGGTTTGAGTAGATACCGAAGCGGTTCTCGAGGAGGTCCGAGGTGGCTTCGGCAGAGTTGAGGAGGACGATGGATCGTCCGAGGACGCGTAGATGCACAACATCGCCTGGGGCGTGTTAGAGGAGACGTACATACTGTAAGAACTGCGAACATAACGCACCGAATTCCTTGGACCACGCCGAAAACGTTAGCCACGCGCTATGTCGCGGCATGTCAAAGAGATTTCCCAGCAGTGGGAGACCCCTAGGGCCTGGCGGAGGAGGCCTGTTTGAGGCCTTGCGAAGCCATATTCCGCGTAGGGCTATAACAACAGCAAGGGAAGCGACAAAGCACAGAGCGACGGTGTTCAGTTCAAACGCAAGCTCGCCGAGGAAGGGCGGCGCTGAAGGGGACATGGTGTGTATGTGGGAAATGGTCGTCAAGCCGGGGGCTGATATAGTCCGACGTTGGTTCCTTGGCTATAGCGCAGTAGAGCATCACGCTCAAAATCATCAACATCCTGATCACGTTCTCAGCCGCGGTCGAAGGTTTGGGGTGACATTGAGGGACACAGCGCGGATGTGCTAATGTTATTAATTGATGCCATTGGGACTTCTCAGGCGATAAGTGTTATACGGGACAGGTACATCTTCAATGAGATGTTCTGGGCCGTCACAGCTGATCAAGAGTCACTCCAATACGTAGATGGGTGGTCTTCCCTGAGAATGACATGGTGGGTAAGCGAAAGCGCCCCCGGAGGGAGAGCGGCGCATACATAGAGTATATTCATTCACTCACCTTAACTTGCGTTATGGCAGGGAAAGGAAACCACTGCATGCATAACGGAAACCTAGTCAAGATCAATAAAGACTGAGTCTCCCAGCAATAGGGTGAGCGACCGAAGACTATCGTGACGGTTCTGGTCAAGTTGTGCCAATAGGCGCTTATGCACTTCTCGCTGCTTCAATTTTAAGCGCGCCCTCTCTCTCTTTCGCACCACTACTTGAGTGAAGCTACAGTCCTGGATTCCTCTTCTCTCATAGATGTGGGTTTTACTGGAATTTAGCAAACGAAACAAAAGATTCGGATGACGCGTCAAGTGAGTCGTGGCATGTTCACGCCACCGACAACTGCCGACTCCGATGACTTTACGAGATGACTTTCACTTTGGTTCGAGTCTGTCCCAAACCCCCATTCAAAATCAACTGCCGCCTATTTCTATCTGAAGCGCATATATACCAGTATCTGATCATACAAAAAATGGACCAAGCAATGCGTACTCCTAATTGACCTTACGATTCCGAGTCGTACTCGCGGACACAGATATCATGCTTTCCTCCCGACGCAGAGACTCCCAACACGACGCTGCAACCTCTCAATAAAGAAGATAAAGTGCCGCATCTATTCATGTATATCATGGCATCTGTAAGTGCTTCTCCCGGATTGCATTCACCCTACAGCTCGAGGGCAACACTCTTGCGAGGCAGAGCCGCGTGCGATGCTTATGAGGTGAGTGCCATTGCCTCAGCTGTACTCCGGCTATCGGTGAAGGAGTTTCGTCTCCCAGTACAAGATGCGGCGGTCAAGAGATCTAGGTACTTGACATGAGTTTCGTGTGAAGTCGCGATAAATGTTGCTCAAATACAGGCGCGTTGACCCCATTTACTCTCTAGCTATTGCTATATTCCAGTTCAGGGCACGGGCAGCACTGCTCCAAAACGCCTCAAGCTTACTTGACTTTCGGAGATCGCGATCGCGCACCGAGCTGGATGCATCGGATGGAGTGCGCCAACGCCCCGTCTAATTTGCCCTTCTTCCGGGTCACAGAATCATGAGTTTATGACAGCTTGACTTCACGCAGTCCCCAATCTCGCAAGCCAACGTTTCAGAATTCCCTCCGCCTGGCTGTTGGGCATTCGGCACTCAATCTCCCCGCGGTTCCTTCTGTCTGTAACGATACCCTACCGTTACGTGGTGCTCAAGTTAAGATGTGTACAGGACGAATACCAATGCAGCAGTCATCAGGATACGCGAATTGAATACCCCTGCGGCGGCCGGAATGGAGAAAAGAGGCTCATGTCAACAGGTGGCGCATAGTAGAAATTCCATGAAGGTAGTGTCTGTGGCATGCGGCGTAGAAGGCCTAGGAGTTTCGCTTCGATCTTGGTTTCGAAGCAGCCCTTCTCCGTTTCGATCAGATTCCTTCGTCACTCTCGACAGGTACCAAACATGTATATAAGAAAGCGACGTCCCGCCGGCGAATGCACGAACTTCACTTTCCCCCTCCTCCTCGATCCTCTGATATTCGCGATTCCCCAAACCGTCTGGCCCACTTCAGCGCTCGACTCTCACATGCAGCTGGTGCTGTGAACGAATGCATATCATGACATACGCATTGTGAGAACACCCGGCGCATCGCACGCTGGGAAGCTGTATACGAATAAAGCGAGGTGGGCAGGATTCGAAGACGCAACCTGTGTACGTGGACGCCAAGAGGGATGGGCGATGCCGGAAGGAGCAGGGCCGCGGCAAGGCGAGCGCCCGACGGCGGCACAGGATGACATCGGCGTGGGCGGTGGCACAGCAAGGGCTCTTCACAGCGATCGCACTCAGCTTTCCGCAACAAGCCCCTGTGCGCAGTGTATATAAGGCACGTCATGCTCCTGATCACCCAACTCACCTCTTGCTCTCTCCCCTAACGCGCGCGGATACTCCAGCTCTAGAACCAGAATGTCTTACGGGGTCAGTTGCGCCACTTCTCTCCAGCGGGCGTACACCTGGGTGCACGATCGGTCTGGATCAGTTAGCTGACCACAAACACCAGCAGCAACAAGGATACGGTGGCGGCTATGGCGGCGCACCAGGCGGTGGCGGATACGGCGGTGGTGGAGGGTACGGTGGCCCTCCCGGGTACGGCGCGGGCGGAGGACCTGGCCCGGGAGGCTTTGCTCCGGTGAACTCTGGCCCGCCCCCTGGCGCGGATCCTCAGTGAGTGTCTTGTGTATGGATCGTATCCCGCGACGGGAAAGCTGATGTACCTCTCTTCGTCAGGCTGTGGAGCTGGTTTACGGCCGTCGATACGGACCGATCTGGCCACATCTCAGTACACGAGCTTCGTGAGTGCGCCATCTTGCAGAAGCACAATTCGTACGTTGGACGCTGACGGGTTGAGTGCAGAGAAGGCTCTCATAAACGGAGATTGGACTCGTGAGTAGAACCATGGCAAAAATACACGGCACGGTCTGAAGCATCACATTTTCCAGCATTTGACCTTGACACCGTCAAGCTCCTCATGACGATCTTCGTCAGTACTATGCTTCCCTCTGCTGTCTAACACTCACTTACGCGTACGTCAACATAGGACACGGATCGGAGCGGCACGATCGGCTTCAACGAGGTACGCTTCCCAAACGCTCTAATATTGTCACACGACATCGTACTAACATGCCCACCCTCTTGTTCCCAGTTCGCAGGCCTGTGGAAGTACATCAAGGACTGGCAGAACGTCTACCGGCACTTCGATCGCGACCGATCCGGCTCGATCGACACGAACGAGCTGCACGACGCGCTCCGCCAGTTCGGCTACAACCTCTCGCCGCAGCTCCTCCAGCTCGTTGAGCGCAAATACGGTGAGCCCCTCTTCCTTCTCAACTCCTACACCCCGATTTCCTCTTCTCTCCTATCCTCTCCCCGTCCTTTTCCTTCCCCTTTCCACCCTTTGTCAAGTATAATGGAATGCTGACGGATCTACCCGGATGGGGTAGACGTGCTCAAAGGGGGCGTGTCGATGCCCGGTGCCGCGCCAGCGGGGATCACGTTCGACCGCTTCGTGCGCGCGTGCGTGGTCATCAAGCAGGTCACGGAGAGCTTCCAACGCCTCGACACGGACCGCGACGGATGGGTGCAGATCAACTACGAGCAGTTCATGCAGACCGTGCTCAGCCTCCCGTGAGCGCACTCGGAGCGATGCTAGGGCATGGAGTGGCTGCGCGATGTAGGCGTATAATGTGTGGTGTGTACGATAATTGAAGCGTCCGCCAATGTATGAGATCCTATGACGACCGACCATACGCTTGAATTCGTGAGCAGGGGCCGACTATCTGAATGTCGAGCCATAGGTCAGACAACCCACTCAAGGTCTGTCTTAACCATTGGAGATGTACGCATACCAACATGTACCCTTACAAACATATTCATTCCTCTAGGACAGTACAACACCGAGTCCGCAATACACAATCCGCTTCAACATGACGCCCTTCTTCAATCCGCCTATCACACATACATCTACACAACACATCACGCCACCTTACTCTCTTCTTCTTGCGCTCAACCATGCGCGCGGTCGGGGAACTGCCTGTGCTCCGGGGCGACCTCCGCCTCCGCCGCGGCGTACACCGCGTCGATCTCCGCCTCGTACAGCTTCAGACACACGCCGCGGCGCGCGGTGCCCTTTGGGGTATGCTCGAGCGGCTTCTCCGCGGAGGTTACCACGATCATCTGCGTCCACCGATGAGCAACGGCATCCTTAGAAGAAAGGAAGAAGGGTAGGTAGAGAAGGGGAAGGGAGACGTACGTTCCGCTTGATGTGCGCGAACTCGGGGACCAGCGTGTTAGCCTTCTCGATCGCAGGCCTGTGATGTCGTCATGACAAGTCAGCTTCGAGCGAGAGAGTGCGGAACAGGAGGAGAAGGACGTACCAGATGAGGGTCTTGTATTCCTCGAGCTTCTGCGCGTCGCCAGGCGGGACGCTCGTGCCCGTGGCAGGCTCGACGAGCAGGCCCGGCTCGACGCGCGTGTTCCCGAACACGAGCACGGACGCGATGTGCGGGTCGTGCGCGACGGTGCTCTCTGCGTCATGTCAGTAGGACGTCTCGGAACTGATGCTCCAGGTGACGTACCATAGGGAACCGGGTTGATCTACCGAACAGATGCTGTGTCAGCTTGGAGAGGTATGGACGGAGTGTGTGGGATGAACGCACCTTTTGCCCGGTCGAGAGCGCGATCTGGTCGTCCACGCGCCCGAACACCTTCCACCGGTTCTTGTCGGTGGGGTGGGGCTCGAGCAGGTCGCCCACCGCGAACACGCGCTGGCCGTCGCGCTCCGCGTTCGTCACCTGCGGGAAGCACACGTCCGTCGGCTGTCCCAGACACGTCTTGTTAACTTTCTCTTCACTCGCTTGAACGCTAACGAAGAGCGACGTACGATCATGATAGGCTCGACGATCCCATCGAGCCCCTCCTGCGGCTCGAGCTTGAACGTGATATGGTGCGAGAACTTGAAGTACTCCCACTCGTCAACCGGTGGCGGGTCGCGCGGGATGAACATCGTCGCGGGCCCCACCTCCGTGCTGCACGCCGTCAGTCCGAGCGAAACAGGTCACGGGGTGCGCGACTGACCTTCCCCAGAAGGGGTGCAGGGTGACCCTCGCCTTCGCGAGATTGTCGCCGATAGCCTTGTTGATGGGCGCGCCGGAGAAGACCTGTCCGCAGAACCAGCAGTCAGTTTCTCACAGAGAAGAGAAGGGTGGGTGCGACGTACGATGCAGGTGAGCGCTTGCAGAGTGGGAAGGTTCGCGGGGTCGCGTGCCCATGCCTGTGTGCATCGCCTGGGTCAGCGACGCGAAGAAAGGAAACACGAGGGACGTGACGGACCTCGATGAACGCTGGGATACAAAACACGATGTCGGACTTACACGCGACCCATGCAGCGAGGAAGTCGGCGGGCGTCGGGATCCGGGGTGGGTACTCTGGGGGGTACAGCGCGAACGTGGATCCACTCGACAACTTGGAAACTGTGAGCGATACGCAAATCACGCACATGCCATTCGACACTCACCGGCCACTACAAATTTGCGAAAACCGGCACGACGTGAGTGAGAGAGCCTCGTGGGCGTTTTTGATGTCACGTACCATCATCGTCGCAAGGCCCATCGCATCTGCCAGTGTCAATGAATTTTTAGCATGATTTTGATATTCACAACATCGCAGAAGGCACGCACGACAGATGGGGTTAGTGTGCGCCGCGATGCGCTTCCCCGCCAAATCGACTTCGCCGAAACCTACAGGACTCGGACATTAGACTGCTGCACGCATGTCTGGCATGTGGAGAGAGTCGGCGCACATGGGATGTTCGACAGGTTGATCAGTCCTCGGCGGGTGATAGGAATTGGCTTCGGGAAGGCGGTGGTTCCTAATCGACGTCAGCTCAGCTCGTCTCAGTAGAGGCGGATAGTACGAACCAGACGAGTGCAGAATGACGGTCACGTCGGTGTCCGCGATATCCACTGGCGAAAACGGCTCTACTCCAGCAGGGAGCGACACCCACTCCTCGGGCTTGATCATAGGCAGCAGGTCCACGTGCAGCCCCTTCTCCTCCAGGAGCTTGGCGGCGGCCTTAGCGGAACCTTGCATCGCAGCATCTTCACTAGCATAGAGCTGCGAGACGCCCGTCTTCTCGAGCAGGTGCGCCGTAACCACAGGCAGGTTGCGCGGCGACAAGGGGAACGCAGTATAGCCCAGGCTCATGATGGCCATCTCTATGAAGATGTAGCTGAGCGCATCTACATGGCAACAAATGTTCAGCATTCCTTCAGGCACTCGTAGCTATAGCAAAGGCGTGCGTACCGGAAATGGCGAGGATGCCGATGACGGGGCGGCCGCCCTCGCTCTTCTTGGTTGAGGACTGCTGGTAGTTACGCTCGACGATGCGCGCGATGGCGCTGATCTTCTCCCAAGCCTCGGCGTACGAGACGTCGTGCGGTTCGTTCGTGGCGGGGTCCGCATAGGTGAAGACGGCGTGGCTGGGGCTGTGCTTGGCGTGGTACTCGTACAAGCCAGGCAGCGAGAGACCATGCTCAAAAGCGGCGGCCTTGAATGTGGGGTGGTTGACCCCCTGGGGCGTGGGACGCGCAGTCATCGTACTAGGCGTCTTGGTGGCGTAGTGTTGTGTGGGGGGTCAGATTGGAAGGTAGGGCTTGCCTGCGTCTGCTAGAGGAGCGTATTTCGAGAGTGCAGACGCGCCGGATGGGCACGTTATCGCGTCGAGTGCACTGGTACCGCCGCCAGAATCATGATGTGTGCTGACTATGCATCAGGCATTAGCGACCGAGAACCGCTCCAGTGTGGGTGGAATCATCAGCAGCATTCTCCCGCCATCTCTCTGCCCTGAGGCTTCGAAGGACAGGGTGAAAGGGGTTAAAGAACAAGACGAACGCTGAACGCCGATCAGATATCCGGGGCGTCTGTGGCTGACAGTGGATACTCGGAATGCAATGTTGGTGGGGCGCCTTCAACTGCGAATCGTTTGCCCTCAAGGCGTGCAAGTAATCCTGAAGTTGATAGATCGATATACCATTTTTATTAGCAAGTCTGTTCATGCAGTTCCACAAGAAAGACTCACAACCTAACCGTTTGCGCGATAGCTCGCCTTCCCCACCGCCGGCATCATCCACACTGGCACGGCTATATCCGCAATAGCGTCCGCCCCCGCCGATGATGAGCGCGTTCTCAGGGCTCAAGACTCGTGAGCGTGCCGCTCACGCCCATGGCAGCTGCCATTGCAAAGATCTTTCCGATGCCCGCCGTTCTGATCGTGGGTTTGCGACAAGACATCAGCTCCGCGCGCGTGAGGCCCATATCTGACAGGACGTTGCCCGAGTCCGCCCAGTGCAGTGCAATATCCCGCGCGAGGTGTGTAGCGATACGGGCGCCGCTTCGTGGCGCAAACGCTGCAAAGGGGCGGAATCAAAGTTGGGTGTCAGTGAGCTCGATTTGCGATCCGTGTTCTCGATATGGACCAGTCGGGGAAGCCTACATTTGATCCGGAAGACCCTTCGGGTACCCGACCAGTTCCGGATATGTAGCCGGAGATCATCCCAAGATCTGCGTGCACAGATTTGCCTGTAAGTATCACGGCACAGTGCGGCTGCGCATCTCGACGGACTTTGCATTGGAATACTGCAAGGGGAACTGTTGTCGTCTAATAAATTACCATGGGAATACATAGTCTAGTCTACAAGCAAAGAATCTCCGCCGCGCACTGCGATCTCTTGCGGCCCTCCGCAACAGCGGAAGACCGACGGATCCGCGCAACCCACCGCGGGCGCGGTGTTTGAGGGTGCCGCGCCCGTGCGCCATCTATATACAGAGTACGCTACTTCAACACTTACGCGAAAGTACAGTATACGTTAAAGGACATGACCAGAAACAGAACATCAGCGCTGCGCCGGGGGCCGTGGCGACGACAGCGAGCGGGACGCGGGCGCTCATAGCGTCGCGTTTCATGCCCCCAAAGCAAAGTACGGCTCACTGAAGAGCCGACAGTACGCCGGGAGGGCGTGTGCGGTGGACAACCAGAGCTATGGGCACGATCATCATCACAGTCAGCCCGATACATCACGGAATGGAAGTGGAGAGAGGGGACGCACGTTATACCAGTAGAAGGCCACCTGATACTCGTGAATCGTCTTCGCGTTGAGATAGAGCACGCCCACGTGCACCGCAAGAGCGGTTACCGCTGCGCCCGCCACGATGCCGAGCCCCCAGAACACGGAGAGCCCGACCGACCACAGCACGAGAGGCACAATCACCGTCCAGCGCGCGGCGGCCCCGAAGACGATCGGGATCGTTTGTCGGCCGATGGCCCGGTCACCATCGACGTCCTTGAAGTCCTGAGTGTGGATCGTCGTCGCGAAGATGCCCGTGCTCGCGAGCACCGAGCAGAGAGCGATCCCGTCCAGACGCGTCGGATCCGCGCCCGCGACAAGTGTCGCGCCGACCTCGAATGACGCAAATCCGAGCGCGTTTACGAGGTTACGGATCACCCAGTGCCGGCGGTGCGCGGTGAGCTCGTTGTAAAGGAGCGTGAGGAAGGCGAGGGCGATGCTCGCGTAGACCGTCTCAGCACTGTAGAGTGCGGACAGACGTAGGCAGACGGGGACGATGGCCCAACGGAGGAAACGAGCCTGCGCGAGGGTGATGCGCTTGGCGGGGAGGGGGCGGTCGCGCTTGTTCTGCGCGTCCTCCTCCGGGTCCATGCACTGGTTCGAGAGGTCGAACTGCAGCACATGGAGCCATACCCAGAAGACGACGTGTGGTAGGCGGAGGGGGCCCGCTATGGGAGCAGATGCGATGGCAAGGGAGGACTGTGAGAGAGAAGGCACGTCTACGTTTAGCGAGGATCCGGATATGGCGAGTGAGGACCGTAGCTGGACTCACGACGGGGCCCACAGTTGTCTTGAGATCAGACTTGGTGAAAAGGAGAAGCGTGTGCATGAAGTAGGGGACGCTGCGGAGCGTGCGCGCCATCGTCGAGAGGTGACCGGCGAGGGACGTCGCAGAAGTCGAAGTTGAGGCCATAGTGTGCGGCGGGTGCGATCGAGGAGACTCGAAGTGCGCAGGTCCGGAGGGAGAGTACTTAAATCTATAACCGCGGAAGATATGACGTTGATAATGGGTCCGCGGGCTGATCTGTTGGTACAGCCCGCCCTGCTGTGGCAGGCGATGAGGACAATAACATACGGTAAGTCTTCAGCAGGAGCGAATGGCGTGGCCTCCGCGTGGGATAACCGCCTAGACTCTGATGGCACCGCCGCGATCGCCCGTACGACCCTTGGTCTTGTTGAACCGCACGCGCGGACGGAGCATCCGGCCGGGTAGCCCAGAGCTGAGTTCGATACGCTGCTCGCCGAGATGCTGTCCACAGCATCGCGAATCGTCTACCAGATCGTAGAAACGGGGTCCCGGCAAGCCAGTAGACGGAGTAGCGTAAGGGGACGCGGGTACCCAAGGCGGCGCCCGCAGTAGGCCAAAACGTGTTGCCGCACAGTAGCATCTCCCAAAGACGACGAGAAGCATGAATTGGCGTGCATGACCGCTAAATCCGCTCGCAAACACCCACGCAGATGCACAGGCAACAAAAGGAGGACCTAGAAGCTGATGAGCGTGATTAACCCAAGCAAAGTTCTTCCGCACCTCACCGACATGAGCCATGCCTGCGTTTTGTCCTACATGCGGCATCGGGATAGAACACACGGTGGTCGACCCGCTCATGGCAGAAACCGCTGTTGCAAAATGATCAAACGTGTTTCGGATGGCGGTGTTGGGCCTTTCTGAGCTTTTTGAACATCAAAAACCTGATAGGATCGGGGAGGACGTCGTGAACTACGCATTACGCAGGCCTCGTGGCGCGTAGCTACCAAGCTCAGAATATACTTTGCCGAGCCGCCTCGGATCTCTTGACGACCTTGACTCTGTGAGCATGCTGATGAGGAGAGGGTCGGCGTTGGCGACAAGGAGGTTTCCGGCGAAATGCTGGCAGTCGTCGAGGCCGGCGGACCATCAAATATTGCACAGCCACTGCGACTGATTCGTCGGGTTTCGGCGTCTGGCGGTTTTCTTCGTCTCTCCCTCTCCGAATCCAGTGCCAGCAGGGCTGACTCCTGCAACGACATGCCTCGAAAACGCATTCTCAAAGGATCCGCACAGGTGGGTTTGTACCCCCGCTCGCTTCCCTGCAAGCCAAGGCAGGCACTGCGCACGCTGTTTCGGCGCAAAACGTTACTCCCCCCGTTCTCCTGTGCAATCCATCAAACCTACATGATATCATGTACGCATCTCTGCGAGGCAGCGCACGTGGAGACAGAATAGGTAAGTAGTTGCCCGAATGAAGATGCGGCAGGTCGCTCACACTCACGTTCGCACAGCAATGCTACTTTTATTGCAGGGAGAACCGTAGCCCGGTGATTCTCCCCATGACTACTCTCAGCCTGGCTGATAGCCATGCAATCATCCCTATCGCATTGCGTATGCAGGCGACACCGCGCCCCTGCGGCGCAGAGCGGCTTGGTCGCACGCCCTGCTGTACCGGTGACAGAACCTCTCGCACGGCTTGCGAAACCGGTGACAGCAGCGCTATGCTTCTACCGTTTCATGCCCAAGATGCACATGACATCACCTTCAGGATCAGTATTCTAGCCGCCTCGCAGCCGCCGCACACCAGGGAGTACTCTATCTCTCGTCGCGCTTGTCCTACTGAGTTACTGACTCAACTCGGCCCGATACGAATAGACGTTCTGCTTAACCTCAGGGCCAGGTCGACACGGATGTTCATGAGTCACATGTGCAGTGAGAAACTCCCCCGATGGGATCCCCGACCCCGAGAAGCAATGTCCATCTACGGGACATCTGCTGATGGAAGCTGTATCTCCGGAGAGGCGTCTGACCCTTCGCGCTGCGAGGCTCCACCGCGATCTCGCATCATGGCTTCGGGGGATCCTGATTGCGCGCTCGTCGTCGCCGGGCGAGAAGCATGGGAGGCGCGGCTAGGCTGATGATCACTGGATTCGCTCCCTCTGATTGACATCCGCCGCGGCGGTCCCATGGTCCTCCGGCCTGATAATCCGCGCTCCGCAGTGTGGGCAGACGAGTACCCCCGACTTCATAACTCGTGGTCGCCAATTTCCTGAGACCCGACGTCAAGCAGGCTACGCGCCAGGCCTCGCCACACACGCCCTCTTCGCCGTCCCGTCCTGCACATACTGTACAACCATGTCGGACGTCAAAGTGGACTTTATGCCGATGTGAGTACAACACTTTGGTGCACACAGACATATGGTCTAACTCGATGTCTCCAGGATCGCTCCTTTGGTGAGTCGTCTTATGTCGATGTATCTCAACCGTCCTCAAGCGGCCTGTCTGGCACCCAGTTCTTCGCCAACTCTTTGAATTGGTTGGCCCTCGGCTGTTTCTTCGTCCAGCTGTGTACGTACTTTCACAAGCGACCCCGCCGCGTAGCGAACATGAGGCCTCAACGTGCACACAGATTACTACAACCAGCACTTCCGTCAGGATCAGCTTAAGATCCGCTTCATTGGTACGTCTTCGCATGCCTTGCATTGTAGAGCAACGAGACGACGCCGCGGTGTACAGTTTATGCGCTTTTCGTCATGGAGCTGGTCCAGACGGCGACCACCACGCATCAGGCGTGGTACTACGGTGTCGAGCTCTGGGACAACCCTGCCGGACTCGCCGTCTTCCCTTGGTCTGCCCCTACCGTCCCGATCATGGCCGGAATCAGTGAGCGAAACCATTGAGTTTGCCTCGCTGTGATCGCTAACGACGCGCGCCTGTCCTCAGTCGCCGCTATCGCTCAGCTCTTCTACGCATGGCGTGTTTGGGCTTTGGCGCCGAACTGGGTCTTCAAGGGCATGGCGGTCCTCATTACTTTGGTACGTCGGAAGGCGGAACTGTCTCTAAATAAACATGCTCAGACTTGTCTACAACAGCTCGCGCTTCTACAGTGCTTCACTGCTGTGGTGGCCTCCGCTATCGTGCGTATCTTACATAGTATTCAACGCGAGCAAGTCCTCATGACCTCATCCAGTTCGCGGCATTCCTCACTCCTGAGAAGCTCGACGAGCTGCACCCAGAGTTTGAGCTCTGGGTCTCCGCAAGTTTCGTCACCGACGTGCTCATCGCCGCATGCATGCTCTGGATCGTGCGTCCTCATTTCTGATCACTCCGTTCATAACCCTCGTTCCTCACATGCCAATTCGCGTAGCTGTACACCGCAAAAAGCCAGACCATGTGGTCTCGGTCCAACAACATCTTCGGACGCCTGATCGGTATCACCGTCGGCACTGGCCTCGCCATCGCGCTCTGCGGTGCCCTGACTCTCGCGCTCTTCGCCACGACCGTTGGCGCCAGTTTCCAGTACCTCCCTGCGTAAGTGTGCCTTGCAACTACCCGCTGTCGTCCGCTCGCTTACCGAGCCCCTGTGCCTTTTACCCTCAAATCTCACAGCGCGTACATTTGGGGCAAATTGTACGTTACTCCGTCCCACGCCTCTCGCATACTCCCAGGGCAAACAAGACTGACCGCATGCTATCTTCCAGGTACTCGAACAGTGTCATGGTCAGCTTGAACTCGCGTCGGAGCTCTCCACGCGGTGGCACCAGCACGGGAGACGCGGACTCGTACCCGCTCAGCATCCACGTCTCGCACCAAGTCTTCCGCCAGGGCGACGAAGAGCGCAGCGCCTCGAACGCGGCCCCAAGCTGGACAGCAGTGCGTCTCTCCTCCCAACTGTCGTACCTGGACACGTAACTGAGGGTACCCGCAGCGCAAATCCACGGCGACGAGCGCAGTGTCGGACAACAAGGCGCTGCAGTTCGCCGGCGAGCCCGACGCCGATTTGTACGCGCCGACCAAGGAGGCAACGGCGATCTGAGCCGTCGCAGCCCGGATCGGTGTTGTTGGTTGCTGGATACCCCTTGGGCTCCCTTTCCTTTCCTTTCTCTCCCGCGAGCGCCGCTCAGGGACTCGAGGGGGAGGTGTACATCACAGTACATACTGTACGTTGCCCTGGCACCGTTTACACTGTCCCTGCGGTCAGCGCTAGGGTTACGGGTCGCACGGACATGGGAGAGCGCCAGGGGGCGGTGGAGATGCGTATTATTTGATATTTACTGGTCAGGTGTAAAAATGCTGGATGTGTGTTGTATTCGCTGGATATTCTGTACTCTAGGTCTCCGTATCAAGTGCTATCGAGAGGTTTTCGCATCGTTGTGGCCATGGGCGTCCGCTCGTTCGTTGTCAGAGTCTGATGTGCTATCCAGGTCCTTGCGATTTCTATTCTCTCGTGATGCTCGGCAACCCAAGGGGACTGGTAGCATGTGGGTGCAACGCGGCGAAAGCCTGGCGAGACGACATTGTACCTTACTCATCCCGCGACCAGCGCCTGCACATGCTCAGCTCGCGTACATTGCTTTCACCGTGCACCGCTGTGGCTCGAGCTTCACAAGCGACTGCATCTAGAACCGCCCGGTCTCGGGAATTTCCACGCGTACTAATCCACAGAAGGAAGCCATACGATACCGATCTCTCCGCGCGCAGCGCACCTGGCCTTCCAGCTGTGCTCCATCTCGTGCTTCCTCCCCTCAGAAGCCCTGAGGAAGCCCACATTCAGCCGCTCAGGTTAACTACGCGCACTTCTCGAAGCCCACTACATCATCAGCATCAGCATTTGCAGCTGGTGACAGGGGCTTCTCGGACATACAAAGGACCATGCTGGGACCGCCCTGACTTCTTTCCAGGAACTGGACTTCTCAGCATGCAGACACTGCGCGTTTGGTCGCGGCCGCCCGCGGCGTGAGACGGGTCTATTCAACGCCTCAGAATTTCCAGCTCAACGCTGACAGTGAGAACCTGTGTGTTTCTTAGAGTTTGCGTTGACATTGACAGAAGATGCGCCCTGGAAAGACGCACGCTGATTGCCAAAAGCTTCGCCCCGGGAGGAGAGCAACACATCCGTATTGGTCCCGGACATCGCACTCGTCCCAGGAGGTGTCTTTTGCAGATTATATTGACCGGATCTTCTTATCGTCGGGGCTGCCGGCCGGCGGCGTATTAGCAGCAGAACGATCCACAAACCATCGACTCGACGACAAGATGCGGCCTCGGTTCGTGACTCATCTCTCGTAAGGTAAGGTTCTAGCAGCTGGGATAACGTGATGATACAGGCCAGTGTTCGCGGGATGTCAAAAGAAGACTCTGATGCAGAACGTCAGAGTGGTCTTCTATACCGTGTTGCGTGTATCGGCCGACGTAGTGCAAAGTGCAGTAGCCCGACAAGACATCAACAGAAGAATGACTCGAAGACTTCTCTAGCATTACGGGGCAAGAGCACAATACAACTAATAATAGGATGGTAGGAACATACAGGATCCAGAGCGACAGACACTCTTCCAAAGTCTTACTCCCGCACGCAAGACTCAATAACCTGGGCCGCCGCGGCTGACCGCGGACGGATCTCGCACTTGAACGGCACCGGCCGCCTATTCACTCCCGTCAGTAATTGGAATTGAAATGCAGCATGAAGACAAGACGTACGAGATGGCCCCAGAGACGAACTCAACCTTGGGCGGTGCGCAGCCCGCAGGGATTGTCACAGACATAACGGCAAGGAATTGCGCCACAGTGAGCCACGTCGAGTCCTCCGCGAGGAACTTGCCCGGGCATACCCTGCAGACGCGAGTCACGTCAGTAACCCCGCACACACGGTCGCCCAATGGGGTAACGAAGGAGCTAGACGCACCGTCTGCCGAAGCCGAAGACATATCGGCTCGGGTCATTCGTGCTGCAGTCGAACGAGCCGTCGGCGGCGAGGTACCGCTCAGGCTTGAACGCAAAAGGGTCCGGGTACTTTGCTGGATCGTGCGTAATCCCCCAAACGTTGCCCATCACGATCGAGCCTTTCGGGATGTGGTACCCCCGGTACACGTCGTCCTCCTTCAGCAAGTGCGGGATGCCTGGCATGCCACACACCCGGTCAGAATCATGCCGGCATTGGAAAATCATGAGCGCTCGAAGGAGACGCACCGGTGGGCGCTGGCGGGTGCCACCGCAGGATCTCCTTCATGATCGCGGTCACATACGGCAGGCGATCGCGGTCGACGAAGTCGGGCAGGCGGTGTGTGCCAACAACTCGGTCGATCTCCTCCTGGGCGCGCGCCTGTACCTCCGGGTGCAGCGCGATGGCGAGCAGGAATACCTCCCCGCTGATGATAGTCTGAACAGCCAAGCCGGAGGTCAGCGGGTATACCACGCGCGAACGGTGATGACGGAACGCACGGTCTCGAAAGCGGCTGAAACATATTCGTGAGTGAATTTTCGATGCTCTCTTGTCGTCGAGACTCACCTCCGTATGCCAAGGCAGCGGTATCACGGATCATGCCCTCCTCTGGGGAGCCGTCCGCGGGCGCCAACTCTTGCAGCAGGCTCGCGCTGTACGAAGGTTTCGCAAGACCCTTGCTCTGTCGCGCACAAATTGCACGTTAGTATGTGGTTGCGCAAGCCAGGCAGCACAGTTTCAACGTACCAATCGCTCTTTGCACGTATCGAACGCGACGTTCCGCAGGTCCTCGAGGTCCTGCCGCCAGCGTTGCAGCTGCAGGGAGACCGCCGAACCCCCAAGCCATCTTGGAATGAACTGCACTATGAAAGGTTTTGTGTCAGTTGCGAAGGAGCGTAAGAGTTAGAAAGTGAACATACTGATTGCTGATGGGTTCATGAGCCACATCGGCGGGCTGAGCGCGACGGAGGTCACGTCCATGACAGCCTCCGCCGTCTTCAGCAGCGGGTCCTCGACGTTCTCAATCATGATCCCGTACGTGACGTCGATGATCAGTTGGCCCGATCGAAGCCTGAGGTGTTCCGAAAAGCTTTCGGGGTCGCGCATGAGGTTCTGCAGGAGGCGGCCCATGGTCGCCCGGTGCGAATCGTAGAAGATCTGCAGTGCGGCGGGAGACGCGTACTTGCTGCTGAACAAACGTCGCAGAGCGCGCCATTGCTTGCCATACGGCATGAAGCCAAAGTTCCACTTGTCATGGCCGACCCTTTGTGGATGTGAGTGCGCCGTGCGTTGTCGTAAAAGCGCGTTCGGACTTACAGGTTCATGAGGGGGAAGTCCGGGCGGTCTGAATAGATGCCGAAGCGGTTCTCTAGCAGGTCGGTGGTCGCTTCGGCAGAGTTGAGCAAGATGATGGGTCGTCCAAGGACGCGTAGGTGCACGACATCGCCTAGTGCGCGTTAGCGGAGACGTACTTGATCCAAGGCTTGCAAGACGCACCATATTCCCTAGACCAAGCAGCAAACGTCTTCCACGCGCTCTGTCGCGGTATATCGAACAGGTTCCCAAGCAGTGGCAGACCCCTCGGACCTGGGGGTAGAGGGCTCTTGGATGCTTTTCGCAGCCATAATCCGCGTAGTGCGAGGACGACAGCAACGGATGCAGCGAAGTACAGCACGACGGTGTTCAGCTCGAGCGGGAGCCCGCCGAAGGCAGGCGAGGAGGACATGGCGCAGTAGGAGTAGGGGTGCCTTCACTCACGATCCGGCCGCGGGCTAATGTATACACTCCCACTATTGTTACCCTGCAGTGCCCCGCGCGCGGGGTTCATCATGCATTGCAGGGAAGCAGAAGATGATTGGGCGTTCAAAATACGCTAGAGAGACGCAGTCCGGGCGCACTGGATCGGTGATCCCACGCACGCGGCGCAGGAATGTCGAAGAGATTGGCCCATCTTTTACCGGATGTTCGGATGTCCATGATGGAATGACATATGGCGCCGTCTTGTGTCGTGGCTGTTCTGATGCACACCGAAACCTGCAGGCTGTGGAAGATGCCGGCCGTTGCAAATCCGCATCACAGTGCGCACCTGCGGGGCATGATGTATGATCAGCGCACACCCAGGTTTTGATAAAACAGAGAGGCTGAGTGCGCACAGCGTTGTCGGTAAAACGGGTAAAACTTTCGTCATCGACGTTAGCATGGATTTCGGTGATGCACAGTATCGTCCGTACTACCTCCGTCGAGCCAAACCCCACATGGATGGAGGGTGTTCGTCCTATGGCAGCGGTTTGATTGTGCAGCTTACAGGCTTGAGAAGGGATATCCTTAACGTTGATAAATGGAGATAGTGGTCCAATTCTCCGAGATGCACCGCCGGCTGCCGGTGCTCAAAGCTCCCGTTTTTAATAGCCACGTGTCGAGATACCGGTCGTTGATGTTGCAGGAAAGCAGAGTTATTGCATACCCGTAGCACACACCACAGCAGTAGAAGAAGGCAGATATGTGTAGCTTAAGTCGATGAGAGCGGAAAGTCTGGTCCGTGACGGTTCAGTCTGAGAGGGTGGCCGCCTGTCGCCGCTGTGGTGAGCGCTGGGCGCTGATCAGAGCGCTTGATGCGCCTGCAGCGCGGCCCGCCCCTTCCAACGGCCATCGCGGTACATGCACTATGCAGCGATGATACTTAGAGTACAGTACACTCAAGTGCTTTCACTACAGCCCTCCTTCGGGACTATGCTCATCGTTCATCGCTGACAAGCTTTCCGCAGAAATTTGGGTTTGCTCCGAACTGCTCTAAGGAAGGTTACACCGCTTGTGGCTGAGTGCCGGGGTCGATGCGCTTCTCCCGAGGATATCGGGTTCGACCCAGGAGAATGTGTCACCTTCCTATAAGTTATTGAGAGGATAAAAGCTCAGTTTTGCCATGACGAGGACGTCTTGGGCGCCGGAGTCTCAGTCGGCAGGTGGACTCGGAGCCATAGGCGCGAATTGAGCCCATGAAGAGTGTAATGCTCAAGCGATGAGGAGTGTACGACGAAGAGGTCGCGTTGTACCTGTGGCATTGCGAGTCCTACATATTGAGTCGCATCCTCGCACGCAAGGACAGGCAGCAAAAGTGTCATGTGCAAAAAAAACCTTGACTTCAACAGTCGGCGCTGAATAACAGTACATCATGGATTCTTCAAGTTCGCCCAGGGTGGCTTTTTTTCCTAGAGCAGGTTTAGACGGGAGATATATCTCCAAGCCGAGCCTCCTCCTGCGGGAGCGAAGGCTAGTCAGAGGCAAGCACTTCCCCAAGTACAAGAGGACCGCTCACCTGTATCTCTCCACCATCTACCTTTTCGACCTCCCCTGTCTCGGACGCCTCCTCCACCGTCGACGCGGCGAGCGCAGGCGGCTTGTCCGGATTCTGGAACCCCGTCTTGAACGGGTCATCGCTGAACTCGACCTCCTCGTCGCGCCACTCCCACGCATACCTGCGCTCGAACGAGTCCGCCGACCCAGTAGGAGACACCTCGCTGTCCTCCGTTTGCTCCGGCATTGGGATCTCGATTTGTGTGCTGAAGGTAGTCGAACCGAGGTTGCCGATCATCGTAGACGTGAAACCCTCGAACTTTACGTCGGATAGGTGTAGCGTCGTGTCAACTTCGCGCCCGTCGCACCCCGTGTAATAGATCCCGCGCAGATCGAGCATGAAGCGCGAGAGGAAGATGACGGTGAAACTAATGGGGCAAGGCGCGTTAGTCTATGGAAGACTGCGCCGTGACAATGGGGGCGGGACGTACACTTGATCAAAGTAGGGCCACACAAGCCAGACTGTGACGTCCTGCAAGGGATATCAACGTCAATCCAGAGATCTCGGGGACGGCGCAATGATACGTACATGGCCTATCTGGTTTAAGAAATGTAAGCCCGTGCAAACAGATGAGTGTATATGGATGGATACGTACTCGGTTGGAAACGATAGTAATCATCTGGATTACCAGCAAGACCCTGCATCGAGTAGTGTTTAGTACCCAAGCAGAACGTTGTGGATAGGTGCACCCACATGAAGTATGCCGTTCCTATCATGACACTGTTCAGCATATAAGTCTGAGTATTATCAACAGCTGGGCTCACCATCACGCAAGAGCAATGTTGCCAACGGGGTGCGGAAGTTCATCTTCAACGACTCCTTGTTCAAGCCAAATGTCTTTATCCACGTTAGCACGATGAGTATTCCATCCGCTGCGATGGTGGTGGCCTTCGCCGTGATGGAGACTGGGGTTAAATCAGGTCAGCTCTCGAAGTTGCTGAAATTTGCACGCGTGTAGCGCTACGTACAGCTTGAACGATATCAGTCAGGTGTAAAGACGATGGGGAGACAGAAAGCTTACTTGGATAGGTCGGCGTCTGAAACGAAAGTCAATTCTACACAGCCAAAAGGCGGGCCTGCTTGAGTGGGGATGTACTTTGCGCTTTCGTACTGGAGGCGCGGCCAGTCAGATGTGCTTTGGGCCCTAGTTATGGCTTTTGACTCACCATAAGAAGAACTGGCCTTACTAGACTGAGAGGGAGGACGACCAACAAAGGTTTCCAATCTCTCCCCCACACACCGTATAGCCGCAGTGAGGTGAAGGCTGTATGGTGGGATACCATTAGTATTGTTATCGATACGCTGGGATTGAACGAAGCAGGCCCGAAAGTCACCTGTGAATGACAAGTAGTTGAGGATTGTCAACACGTCATCGGAGTGAGTGATGCCACCGCATCTATACACCAGACTCATGAGCATGGCTTAGAAAGTCACGGCATGAAGACGCACGTCTGAGGCGAGGTCAGTTACGCTGATCCTTATCGCATGCAGCCCAGAGCAGCTCACCCGATCACTTGAGTTCCACACGAGAACTTCGAGCACGAAGAATACCCTCTCAATGACCGCGACGTATCGCATCAAGAGGTATATGACCGTCGCTCCTGTGAATGGGCGTTTCCATATTCTGCGGTACTCGTCCGGAAGCGTCAACACGAAGTCGAACCACAACAGCGCTGTCACGGGATGGGTACATCGGCTTGAGCACGGCATCGCATAGAAAGATGTTTTCAAAGGCATACCGGACGACGCTATGATGCAGTAGTTCTCGACCAGCCTAAATGGAACAATATGTTAGTCTCCCCGTCCCCAATCCAACGTTGAAAGCCGATCATGTACGAACAACCGGGGATACTGATCGATGATCGCTTGAATCTCCGAGTCATCTGCTCCCGACATCCTTGCACGGTCGCCTTGTCGCACTTGTCGTCGACAGCTCCTAGCCGTGCCGCAGATGGGGGAAGAAAGCGTCGAGGTCGGACGCTGTCATGCGCCTCTTAGACACCATTATATACGGTCGACGACATCCGATCTACAAGGCTGCCGTGATTATGCAGAGCCGGGCGCACATCTGCCTGCGAAGTACGGATGCTATGCGCCCGGGGCGTTTACATGAGCGCGGATGGAAGCGGAGAACCTAGATGACGGTCTGGAAATCGGCGCTTCCTGTTCGCGCCCATCGGCGCAAAAAGTGCGGGGAAGCTGATCTGAGCGCCCTTGTCCCCACGCTGTGCCACACCGGTATCACGGAAATTCAGAGTCACTGTCAGACTGCTGGTCCACATCTTTGAGAAACTCACCAGCGCGCCCAAGTCCTCAGAGGAGTACAGCCAGAATGCGGTAGGCTCGTGAGTGAGTTAGCGGAGCATAGTTAGCGGAGCATAGAGTGGCGAGGCTGTACAGCCTGCAGGCACACCAAAACTGACGTGTGGAGGCATTGACGCGAATGGGGCCCGAGACTCCGACTGCGGCTCGGGGGATGGACATCCGAAGAACCTTCTCAACCACGCGGTCCGGTGTGAACGTCGTACTCACCTGCCGTTGCTGTGCTCCGGCGGTGCATCGTACACCTAGACACGGAATCGGGCTCCCACTAGGGCCGCGGGCGACGACTTTCTCGGTATGAAGTACCGGGCGCAGAACGCACGTTGCCCATCCACATCTGTCAATATCATTTTTGAGTTCGAGATGCAGCCACAAGTCAGATTGGAAGCGGGGACCGCGGGGTTGATGATATGCGACACCGTGGTATGCTATGGAGGCGGCGTTTGATTATCGCACACTCAACATAGCGAATTGGCAGTCCCGTCGCTTGGTTGGCTACTACGGGACCCTTCTCCGGCTGGACTTTCGACCTGCGAACCGCTGTGGTTGGATAAGCTGTCGAGGGGCCTGATAACTTCCGCAGACTGACCTTTGCCGTTCTTTCCTGCGCCACCCTCTCAACGACGTTGGGCATCCCCACTCTCAGGTTCATCAAGCCCGCGGAGAACGGGTCATCGCAGTACTCCGGCACCTCGTCGGCCCACCCTGACTCGAATTCGCGGTCAGATGCGTCCTGCCACATCGCGCCGGGCGACACCCCATGGACTGCGCCAAGGCCTGATCCTGGCGATAGATCGAGCGTTGCGCCCAAGTTGCCGACGATGCGGGAGGAGATGCCATGGAAGTTGATACCAGACCAGTGCGGCGTGAGCTCACTCTCCCCAGCGCCGCCATCGGCGAAATAGAGCCCGCGCAGGCTGAGCATGAAGCGCGAATGCGCAATTACTACAAAACTAGGAGGCAAGCGGTGTGAGCGTATCGTACAGCATGCGAAGACGAACAATACGTACACCTCGCCGAAGTAGAGCCACGCCGACGGCCAGTTGGCAATACCCTGATGAGGACGTCAGACATCTAGCGGCTGTGTGAGCGACGTGTGCACGCTACCGGCCCCAAGCCATGTCAGCCACTGCCAGATGAGTGATTGGATGGAGTAGACACGCACAACAGTCGGTAGCAATGGGGGCAATTGGAAGGCCAAAATGACCCTGGACGTCAACGATCAGTCCAAGAGCGGGCGAATGAGGCATGAATGGACGCACAAGATGTAAAGCGTGCCTATCCCGCCGACATGCTGCAGTATGAGAACGACATCTCAAAGCTGAGATGGGAGTGTACCTACCATCCTGCAGAAGTACAGTTGCCAATGGAGTACGGGAGCCCCCTCGAAATGAGTAGCTCACAATACTGAACGTCTTGACCCAGGTCAACACGATGAGAAAGGCGGCTGCGGCGACGGATGCGATGTTTGCTGCGGTCGCAACTAGACAACAACGTTACAGCTGATCCTATGGTATAGGAGCGCATGCACGTACCTCTGTTGGCATGGGAAAGTGTTGAGTAACGCCAATACACAGTCCAAAGGACGCTTGGGGTGTCAAGCGGGTGCTCACCTAGACATGGTGCTGTCGGAAAGCCTGTAAAAGTACACGCAGCCGAAGGGAGGGCCGTCTTGTATCGAGATGTACCGGGCGTTCTCATACTATGGGCGCGACAAGTTGTTAGTAATCGATGCGGACTCATTCCCAACGGAGACCTACCGTCACAAGAATCAAGTTAATCATACTGATGGGCGCAGCAAGCAAGAGAGGCCTGCAAAGCCTTCCCCAGACGCTATATACCCGCAACATTGCAAATGCTGGATCGTTTGTACCGAGTCGATAGAACGCAGCTGTGCATGGTGATATAAAAATGGTACTAACCTGCAATGGCGAGATAACTAATGAAAAGCAGGATATCGTCCGCATGCGTGATACCATTGCATCTATCATATTGATCAGTACGTTTTAAGAGGTGCGTGGTAGTGATCGTACGCCTGAGACACAAGCCGGTGTCAGTCAAAGCCTCAACGAACATCTATAAACACGATCACCTCGTCGTTTGCGCCCCATACGAGCACTTCTAGCACGAAAAATATCCGCTCGATGAATGCCGCATATCGCATGAGAAGGAATACGAGCGTAGCCCCCGTGAATTTCCGTCGCCATATGCGAGCGTATTCGCTCGGGAACGTCAACATGTGGTCGAACCATAGCAGTGCTGTGATATGACGCCTCAGTAGGCTTCTCACATACGATGGATTCCAGAGAGACGTACCGGACGAGGCTACAATGCAGTAGTACTCGATCATCCTAAACAACGCATCAACATCAACATCAACTGGTACAAATGTGGACAAACCACGAACACTGTGGGGGCGTCCTGGGAAAGATGTTCAACATAGTTCATGTCGTCTGACATACCCTAAGTACGCGGTGGCTACCGTCTGTTGGAGAGTGAGGGATTGTGTATAATGCAGCGTCGAGTTCGCCGCAGTCCGTGAAGTACTATTTACTCACCGGATGGCGTCGGGTTTCGTGCTGGCCCCTTTGCCGGACTTGATGCGTCGCAGCTGTCCTTACTAGAAATCTCTTAGCCATACAAGGGTGCCTTGGCCGGACTCCGCCGATGACGCATGCTTAGCAGGGCGCTAACGTAGCAGTCCGATGTAGCAGGCGCTCCAAGTTCGTCTCAGACGTCACTCTTCAAGTCTCTTGTCCGGTCGAGACGTTCCGAGGCGTCGCTTATTCGCATTTGCTCGCGGCCTTAGCTATCCCGACCAGTTCCTCAGCACAGGGATCACCGGACCCAAACCGGCGCCGCACCTTTTCGACAGCACGCCCAGACTTCCCCCAGGCAGGTCCGTTCTCCAGGTCCGAGAGAAAATTGGGCGCCGCTCCGAGATCACCATAACCGCGCGAAAAGCTGTGGTTGCACCAGCGCGGAGTGAAGATGTCGGTGACCCTAAACAGGTACAGCAGGCAGCGGGTACGAGCGGTGCCATGCCTGCGTGTCCGGAACAACACGTCAGCATGTAGATTCAACGGTCTGAGCGAGGAGATTGAAGTGTATCTCACGCGGTCTAGTGAAAACGCCGAAAGACGACATGCAGGCTTGCTCACAAAGTGCAGACACTGTCCGCGGGCCACAAAATCCAGCTTCTCGCAGCTGCACAGCAGTTCCCATGCATATACAGTTATTATCTACAAACAACACTGCATGGCGATCAGCGGTGATTTCGTGTGATGCAGGGATGACACTCACCAGTATGCACAACAGGGTCGCAGCATCAGATATCATCACACAGACATGCAAACGCCCTCGCCCACGCGCTCGCCGCTCACAGCCATAAGAAGCCTGTGGGCGCCGCGAGCTCAATTACCGCGACCTCCTTGAGGCCCTTGCCTCCATCGACGCGCTCGAACACCTTGACGCCGCCGCCGTGCACGCCGCCCGCGATGAGGTACTTCCCGTCCGGCCCGCCGAACTCCATGCCACGCAGGTGCTTCAGCCCCGAGCGGACTTCCGCGACGTGACCGATCTTCGCGGACTCACCGCTGACGGGCGAGTATATGGCGATGATATCACCTTCCGGCGAGGGGTCGTTACGGTTTGACACGTAGATGTAGGGGTTCGGGAAGGATGTGTTGGGAGGGGGAAGGAGGATCTCGGCCGCGAGCATGAATGCGGCATCGGGTGAAGGAGGCGGGTTGCGCATGGTCGGCACGGTGTCGAGAAGCGTGGGTTCGGCGGGGAGAGGGGGGAAGCGGTGTGCGGAGACCTCGCTCGTCAGCTCCAGGACGGTGTACAGGACGTCCTCTGTGAACGGCATTGAGTGAGCCTGGAGAAAGGCACATGCCCATTTACTCACCATAGAAGGCAACATGACGCGGCCCGGATCCAGCCTTGTAGGACACGACGCCCTTCTCGACCCATTTGCCATCTGCCCCACGGGCAAGCCGGCGCGTTTTGTCGGAGCCGAGGTCAGGAACCAAGACTTCATCCCGCGTGGGGTGGCGGATGACCTGGTGAGGATGCGGGGCTTCTTGTCTGTCCTTGTCGGGCCCCGTTCCGGCGAACTGGAGGATTTGAGGAGAGCTCCCGAGTATATGAGGAGGTTCGGCCGAGAACGGAACCGCGACGAACCGTCCGGATGAGTACTATTCAATGTCTATCATTAGCAAGGGTCCGAACCGCGCATAAGGTGATTACGACGTACATTCCCGATGATCAGCTCATTCTCTAATGCGAGAAGTGCGCAGGGGTCAGCGCCTTCGCTCGGAATCTCCCCTATCACCGTTCCGCGGCCCTCTGCGTCATACTTCAGAGCCACGATCTTTCCGTCCGATTGCTCGAGTCCGGTGTAGACAATGCTCTTGTCTTTGGGGTGCGGAGTGATCCATGACGGATGGTGTCCGACGGTGATAGTTGAGACGAGCTCCAGCGACGTCGCGTCCGGATCAAACACCAAGGTGTAGATCTCGTTCGTGTACGACGCGACTAGGATGCGATAGACCATGTTGGAGGTCGAGAGGACGTTATCGCAAAGCAGAAGAGTCTGAGAGCAGTCTTATACGGAGAGCGGGCCGCGCGGAGGCCGAAATATGTCCGCCACTGTTATCGATGTCGCCGGAGGAGACATGCACGGCTTGCGTGAGGCGACGACCGGACATCGACGCAGTAGAGTTCAGAGCAAGAGCAAGGAGGACTGTGGCTCTAGCGCAGAACTACGTGCACTTCCAAGTTGAGCGGAGCAAGGGCGAAGCCACAGAACGACGCAACGCGGCGTCCGACGATTCTCCTTACAGCTATTTTGGCCTCAGCTCCGCGCTGCAGACATGCAAATGCTTGTTGAAGTTACGAGGATGGGGAGGATAGGGCACCACAGTTTCGCCGAAGGGTGTACGCAGACAACTTTGGTAGGGTATGTGTGGCCGACATGGACGGCATCGACCGACTTTTCCCCGTCCAGAGTGAGCTTTCGTACCCGGTCGGTGCTAGTGCCAAAATGCCGCCTTACGTGTCGATAGGCAAGCACATGCCAGTTAGGCTCTTGCGAGTGCCGTGCCTGAGCGGTGCGGATGATGAAGACCTCCTCGCGAAATCGGCAGCAATGACAGGATTTCTAGCGCAGCTTCTATGCCGTTCTTCGAGCATCGCCTAACCGGAAGAAGCCTGCTTTCGACGCCTTCGAGCCGGGGGCTGAGACACAGCCGGGTACATGTCGAGCATGATTAGACAGACGGAGAAACGGATGAGCTCACTGTCTCCGGCAGAAGACCGCCTCCTCATCGTCCCACTTCTCGCCCTACTTCCTGTTTTGTCGGATATAAACATATCAGACGAACTATATGGATGGTGCAACACGCCATGCGGGATGTCAAGCTTCAGTAGCACGTATTGGTGGTGGTGAGAGGGAGGAGGAGCATCTAGGTTCTGCAAACTTTGGTGCAAACCAGCCTGTGACATCGGTGAAGAGAATGTGATAGACGCCCACGCTGTGCTCCGCGAATGGCGTGTCTGGTCGGCAGACGCGATAAGATTAGATCCTATCACTTGCACTGCCCACACCGTCGGAGTCGGCGGTGAGTTCCTGTCTGTTCCTGTATTCGCAGTCGCGGCGGCGCAGTCCGCAGAGCTGTCGTCGGTGCCGTATACTAACCATATAGTACCGCTCCTGGTGATCCCCAAGTCCAAAGTCTCTTCCACCAACCCCCTCTGCTATCTTCTACATTGGTATAAGATACCACCAGGTTCTTGCGTGGACTGCGTGCATTTCCCTAGTACCCAGTGAGCACCGGACTACCCTATTCTTCTATGGTTCTTTCTCTGAGATTCTCCCGAGAAATAGTCAAAGCTAACCTTCTCGCGAAGCCGATGATCATCGCCAAACAGCCACTGCCGGGGGATGAGGTCGACTTCCAGGATGCACCCCCTTCCTATGATGCACTGGACAACGTCCCTCCGCCATTGCCCCGAGACGAGAAAGCCGGGCCCTCGACAACGTACCCGCCTGCTGCCCCGCACCTCCCTTCGTCTACCGCTCTCAAATCACCTATCACCCCTCCTTCGAAGAGCGCTGGAAAGCGCCCCTCCTCCTCCTGGTTTAACTTTGGCCCAGCTGCACGAGCGAGCAAAGAGGTCCGGACGACGATCCAGGGCCTCATCCGGGACCTCGTCAAGCAAAATGACCCGCACGGTGCGCTCGGCGTGCTCGAGAGCTGCGCCGACGCATGCCGCTCCTTCGACCTCGCGATTTCCTCTCTCCTCCAGGAACGCACCATCGAGGGCCATACCCCGCTCTACTGGGCGATCATCAATCGCCCTGCCGAATCCGCCCCATCCGATGAACCTGACTTAGTCACCGCGCTTCTCTCGCACGCTGCCCCATTATCCGACGCAACAGTGGACGAGCTCCGTCTTGCATGTCTACATACGTCCGACCATGGGCTCTTCCAGCGACTCCGGCGCACGCCTGCCTTTTCACCACTCTCTGGGTCGGACGAGCTGATCCTGGGCGGGAACGTGCCGGTGGACGACGTCGACGTTGAGGACGTCCCCGGCGACGAGTCCGGGTTCGTCGCGCGTTTCCGGATGCCGATGTTCCAAAAGCGGATGCGGATCTCAGAAGAGATCAGTCTCGAGTTCATCGCTAAAGGTGTGCAGATCCCCACTTCCCCATCGCCACGTACTCACACATATGTGCGCGCTCTCTGCAGGGCGGCTGTGGGCGCTCAAGTTCATCGTCGCAAAGGACCACGAGACGCGCGCAGGCTACCAATTCATGCGCCCCGGAAGCTGGGTCGCCGTGCTCTCTCTCCTCCCGCACAGCCCTCCGACGTGGATAGACTCGCGGCTTGTCATCGAGGACCCCCGCGCGCGGACACATCCGCCTCCGCCCCCGGACCCCACGGGGCCTCCCACGTCCCTGCGCGAGGCGGTGGAGGGCATGATGCAGTTCGACGCGCAGCCAGGCTCTGCGAAACCGAAGCCGAAGATCGAGCTGCGCATGAAGCGTTCGGAACAGCTGACTGCGCCCCCCAACATGCGCTACCCGAACCACTCCGTTATCCCTGCGCCGTTCGAGGAGAACACGCTCGCGCACAGTCTGCAGTTCAAGTGCGTTCATCCTGCGCATGTATCGAAAGTGTGTCGCTGACTTCAATTGCAGGGGCTGTCCGTACATCGAGAGCGACGGATCGCTTGTAGCCAGACTGGAGGCGAGGCTTGTCCAGCCAAGTGGCCAGGACTGTATCATTTGTTGAGATGTCACTACGAGTCACCGGTGTATGTTATCCAGGATATGTATAGTAGTAGTACCTGGTTTCCGATAACCCTCTCCCCTTCCGGATGCACCCCTGCTCACCCTTTCATGCCTCTAAGTTACTATGTACTTATAGATACCCCCGGATTGTTTCGGTATAATGTATGATGTCGAGAGGATGTACACCATCGCCCTCTGACCACATCAGGACCCTTTCGGGTGAAACGAGTAAACAGCTGGAAAGTTAATGCGCGCCAGCGTGCTGATTATTGTTGTAGGGTTCATACAGATACATCACAGATCCGACATGCGCGTCCAGCTACCTCCGCCCTTCCTCCTTGGACTCCCGTCTATGAATCTGCACAACCGGCGGGAACGCGCACGCAGGCGACGACATCACGGAGGAGCCTTCCTCCGTCACTGTCTCTAGTCCAGCATCTCCCGGCGACTTCCGTCGCTCCAAGCCATCTCTTCTATGGTGTCAGAGCCAGAATCGAGCAAGCATCATTGAGTGACACTTACTTCGACAGAGCCTTGAGCTCGTACACTTCTGCAAACTGTCCGACACCAGCGCCGGACGTGTCGATCGCAATTTGCGGCGGGCTGCGGCTGCGCGACTTTCGTCCAGGCGAAAGACGTTGCACAAGCGTTGTGCCCGGCTGTGTTGACTCGCTGATTGGCAGTAGAATCTGACCTCAACATTCCCATCATCATGACTCAGAGAAATAGTTTGAACATACCCCTGGACCTCTCGCCACCACCCCAATATGAACTTGAGTGGGGTGAAGAAGATTTCGACATTGTCCTGGGCGAGCTGGTCGTACTCACGGCAAGCTGTGAGAACGCTGTTTTGAACGAATGATTCAGACCATCAGACTTCAACCGTTTGCACTGCGGAGTAGATGCGACACTCACCCGACGAGAACTAGAAGACGAGAAAATCAGCCACCGATCGAGACGTGGAGGAATGCGTCCAGACGTACAGCCTACGAACCCAATAGCCTATAAACAACCGAGAGTGTCGAGTTACCGCATCCAATCCTTCTCAATAAACAAGCAAGTACGTACCCGGCGGTAGTAGGCTGTAAGTTCCTAGCGTATCAGTACTGCATCGATGTCCTGTCGTAGCACTGTCACTCACGGTCCATATGTTGGAAAGCGAAGTACACGGTCTACCAAGGATGTGGATCGCACGATGAGCAAGCAGCTACGGATGCGCAGGGAACAAAGACTCACCGCGGCCACTACGGTGCAAAGCCAGTGAGCCGTAAGCGTCGACATCTCCATGACATTGTCGCTCACGGCGTGGCGCGGGCGCGATCGCTGTCGGATGGGCGTTGTCGTCTGAGGCGTATCCGAATCCGAGTCACGGGTGGGCGACGTGTTTGCTTTGCGTACGTTCAGTACCCCGAGCACCCCGAGCACGAAGATCAAGGTGGATGTGTATACCACTGCGAGTGTGGGACATGAGTGACACATTGAGGCTTCAGAGAGAAGGAGACTGAAGACACACGGACGGAGACGAAGGGAGTCTGCTTGTTCCCGATGTAAGCTATCTCTAGCTCTGACAGTTCTATAGTGCGTTCCGGTGAGTACTCCACCACAGTAGTCAGCGGGTAAACAGGGGCTGACGCACGGAGACCGATGACTCCTAGAAACGCGAGTAGGGAGGTGCTGGTGAGGGTGCTAACGAGCGCATGGTTCCACAGGGTATTCCTGCGGGAAATTAGTTGATATGTAGATTACACGTACCAGACTCGCAGTGATGCTGCACTTACACCCGTAGCAAGAGTATGCCAACGCCAGACATGAGTGAGAGACGTCGCAGACCCTAGTGTCAGCGCGTTCCGTGTCAGCTACCTTGGACGGACGATATATTGGTTGAACTGCTCACCAAAGCCGCATTTCCAAAGGGCTGCATAAGATGATCAGCTGTCATGCGATATACGCAAAAGACTCGCCCCGTCACTCACCACTGAGAACGCACGTGGATACGTGCACACGTAGAATATCTCGAGCAGAATGGAGATTATAGCGACATATTGGGAGAGTATGTATAGAATGAGCAGTGTCGTCGCGGGGCGCCGCTCCCGGAGGGTTCTATGGTCATGCAGGATCCGGAGGAAAGACAACCAGCTGAAAATCAAACACAACGTCAGTACGACCCCATGCAGTGAATGAGTTGATATAGACTTGCAGGAATCCACCTCCAAAGAGCTGAACTACAGTCAGCAAAACACCTGCACAGACAGTTATCAGAAGGGCTGCTTTGAGGTATATTGAAGGGGCGGAACTCACGATATTGGGGTGTTGTGATCTCGGATACACTGTGTACGCCATGACCGATGGAGTCAGTCATCATGAACAAAAATCAGAAACGAGTGGTGGCAAAATTAGAGGCTGTAGTAAACAAGGAGCGGAGGAGACTGATGGACGTCGAGCCCATTCGACTGCGGGGATGATGAGTGGGCGGAGGAAACGCACGAAGCTCGTGTACACCAGTCAGCTGGAAGCTTCGGAACGCTGCGCCCTGAAAGACCGCACCCGTGCGGTGCATCTTAGTGTCGCTTAACCCGAGAGCCTAGAGACAAAATTAACCTCTGCGCCTTGGCCCTTCAGATCAGCATTTGATGGACTTGACCCTGTGGGCCCCGAGGTATCACGTACTCACTACGCGACGCGCGCGTCGGGCGACGACTATCCCACAATAGGACATACAAATGGAGACTTGCGTACGGCTGAGATGGTATTTGTTCCATCTGAATGCTTCATCCTGAAGAGCACGGAGCGAATCTGCGCGTGCTGTCTCGCACTGCATGTCCTGTAGTGGGGTAGGATACCTGATAATCTAAATTGTTCCGGGAAAGCCCTTGTCGCCTCCCGAGCCATTATCATGAGAGACCCCAGCGCATTGCGCAGAAAGCTGCGCCCGTCGTGCGCGTAGTCAAATAGCCTGACACATTCCATTCGGGCGTCATCGCGTCGCTCACTTGGCCTTCCCGACTCTAATAATTAAGGAACGACCACTCACCCGAGCATGGCGTTTTACGTCGGTGGTGCGAAGCAGAGCATGGAGGTGGATGATACAGGTGGGGTCCTCGTGGTCCGGGTTAAAGAGGAACACGAAGTGCTACCGTAATTTGGCGGGGCCGAAGTACAGTTGCCTAATTTGGAAGAATTGTAAAGCGTTGCTAGTTGTTACTGATTTTTACTAACAGGGCTTAGTTTACTGTCAAAGGTGGCGTTGCTAGCTGTTACTGATCTTTACTAGCTTACTTTTGAAACCTGACGTCGGAGCGCTGAAATAACGTCAACGGAGCGATTTCTCTTCCGTCCTTCTTCCTTCATGGCACGAAAATACTGCCATCTATCCCTTGGCTCCCCGTAAGTATTTGCGACGCGTGGATGCACACACAGAGACCAGCTTTCCAGTACTATCTCGACTTTCGAATGCATACATGCAGGTTACGCCCACTCTGGCAGGACATCGAGCCCACACGGAACGGATGTGCAGCGAGCCCCATTCTCCGTCCCAAATTCACGCACGGTTGGTCAACAGATCGCCGTGTGTGACCTTGTGGTCAGAGCACTTGTCGAGAATCACTGATTAGCATTGCTTGAACAGATGGTGTCTTGAAGTAGCCGCAGCGAGCGTTCCGGATCTACGACTGCGGCCGGCGTATGTCGTGTGCAGGGACGGCATCGAATGTTAATCCGGGTGTCTCGGACTGTGGAAGCAGAGCGAGGTCGTAAAGGGTCGTAAGCCCCCGCCCCATCATACCTGTACTGCTTCCGCTCAGTGCTCACCACATGGTCTTCATAGATATTCCTGTCGCCGCATCGTGCAGCAGTACGAACCTTCAGTGCATCGCAACCCGGACCGTTTGACATTCGACGGACTCAATTGTATGGAGCAATCCTCGTCAGGGCTGCTGCCCTTGAACGGCTTCCCCGGGGCGGCCTCGCAACCGTTCGGCTACTCGCCTCCGCTCGATCCCGAGCATATCTCTGGCGGAGTTTTGAACTTGAACAAATCCGCGCATGCGCACCGTGAGTATTCACTCCCGCGGAGGCCCGCCTATGTTGTTCGGCTTACGAACGCCTCTTATTCTATGCAGCTTTAGCGAAGATCCCGCCGCGAGCTCTGTCCCCCGCGCATCCACACCCAACGCCGCTGTCTTATCCGGTTAGGTGAGCATCTGCAGTGCGCGCTCCATGCACCGGACCCGCGCCCCTTTCGGTCCGCCTGGAGAGGCCGCTTGTCAATGCAACGCGGGAGCATTATACCAGGCATCACCTGCCGGCATTCGCTTCCATTGCGGCGAGCATCCACTCCGGGTTGGTCGTCAAGCTCTCCGGCCCCTTCCCACAGACACCTCGCCATACCAGGGAGGCCTCGTATTTGACTCGGTCGTGTTCCAGCTGTCAGGCGGGTTGGCAGGCTGCAGGACGCGCAATGATGCATGATGTATGACATTGCACACAGCTCGGCTCGGCCCACTGCGGTGTGCCTTCCCCTATTCAACTTATTGACGTGCGGTGACTTCACACCTTTGCCACGCAGCGCGCGACGTTTAGCGGCACAAAATGCCCTGTGGGACTTTTACGCGGACAGTCTTCGTGATTCTCCAAGGGCGCGCAAGAAGCTCTGGACAGCCACATTCTGGGAGATGAGCCCTTGTCAGGGGAAGCAGCGAGGGACGGCTAGCTTATAGGAGACGCGGGCGCGAGGGACATGCAGTGGGAAGGGGAAGAGAGGGAAGAGGGTAATGAAGGCCGGCCTCCGACTAAAAGGGGAGCAGCTGCGGTGCGCTGAGGAGAAGAAGGGGAAAGTGCTTCTGTCAGGGCGAGCGCAAGGAGGCGAAGGCGGAGGCAGATGCCAGTGGGGACAGCGCTGCAGGCTGAGGCCGACGCTGAGTCGAGCCCCGCCGCGCGAGCGTGACTTTGTCTCATCGCCCAAACGCGGATGCAACCGAGTGCTAGCCGAGCCAGATCGGGTTACGTACGTGATGCGCACCTTAACCTCTCCCCAGCCCGAGCGCCCGTCCAGTCAGCCACAGTCCGACCGCGACGGTGAATGTTGGTGCGGAGGAAGGCAGCCAGCATGGTGTGGCGACGGCGAGGTGCGTTCGTCCTTGTCCGCGGACGTCGATGCGCTAGAACTGTGGGCGTTTCCGAGGCACATCCGAGGCACCCCGACGAAAAAGGAAAAGGCCCCGTTGGTAGACTCGTGCCCGCAGCGCCCGAGCGTGTTCGCTACGCGGCCACGTGCGGCTCGCGTCGTCCGGGTAGTTCGCGGAGCGCGAATGGCGGATCCGTTCCCGTCGTCTTCCGCCGCTCGCCCTGGTCGTTCCTGTCTCTACTCTCTCTCTGTGCTGATCGTCCGCCTGCCGCCGCGCGTTCTTGCTGGCGGCGTTCTTCTGGCGGCGCGTTCCCTCCAGATGGAAACGCAGAATGACCCCTTCCAAGCCGGGGGATCGATCACGTCCTCCAGTGAGTTCCCTGCACTCGTCCTGAGTCCGGTCCCTTCTGAACGCGGTGTGTGCCCCCGCCACAGAACAGACCCTCGGCATGATCGTTACGCATCTTATTACTGGATATGCATGGTGCGTAGCCCCTATTTTTGCCCTCGTGCCACCGCGGAGCGCCAACCGGACGCGCGCGCTCGCAGTATGGACTTTCTCTCTTCCTTCTCCTGGGACTGGTCGCTCCTCAAGGGCAAGATGGGCTGTAAGCCCGGTGCGTTCATCCTCTACTTCGGCTGTCGCTACCTGGGCATCCTCTCCGTGGTCGCCACCGTCGTCTTCCTCGATGCGTTCCCCGTGGTCTTCTTGAACGTAAGTCCCCCGCTGTTCATACGCTTGTGCGCGCGCGTGCTGACGTCGTGCAGCCCATGCGGTATACGTCCGCGGTAAGTTCATCTCCGCGTGCCCTCGCTTGCGTCCCCGGTATGTAATAAGACCCCCTTTAGATCGCCGCGGGGCTTTCGCTCGGGTTCGCGTATAGTATCGTTCTTCTCCGGATGTGAGTTGCCCGCGCACTTGATACATGTGTCCGCGTCGCTCACTCGGCCCGCAGCGCGTTCATGTTCAAGAGGACTTGGCTGTGTATCTGTATCGACGTGCTCAAGTTCACGTTCTGGGGCATCATGTTCAGAAGTACGCCCGTTTCGCTCATATCTACCTATTACACCTCATCAGATCTCGTATGTAGCGATGAGCCAGCTGCCCACCTTGTTGCGCGAAGGCCTGAGTGTTCAACTCGCCGAAGCTGCATACTGTGCGCCTGCTACAACTTCACGTCATATGACAGATATGCTTAACCGGTACGCAGGCCTCGCGGTCGCCTCGCTCGTGTTCGCGGCAAGCTTGTTCCAAGCGCTATACGTGTGCCGGAAGGAGCACCACTTTCGGATCCGCGAGCTCGCGCACGCCCTGGCTCGGGAGGACGTCGTAGAACTTGCTTTTCTTTGGGCAGCGAACGTGCTCACCTCGGTGCGTAACACGAAATGACGAGTCGGATTGATGTGTGTTGTATTGACAGACGGGTGAACCAGGTGGTGCAGTTTATTGACCGTGATCCTTCCGGTAAGTCTAGCACCGATCTGCAAGTGAGCGTTGATGCTAATTTGTGCACATCAGGTTCTTCCACCTTTGTGAGTACTTCACATTCGCACCCGTATTCCGATCGGCTTTACTGACAGCGGTGGTACAGATGACGTCCTATTTAGCTTGTAAGCACACCATAGTCTTCCGTTTCGGCATCCCATTCATTTATCACACCCTGACGCCCCAAATAACAGTCGTAGTAATGTACGTACCGGAAAAGCCCACATCTCTTGCGGAATGACGCTAATCCGGTTAACGCCATGTTGCAGTATCGTCGTGGCCTGTCGAGTGTATCGCAAGATGCTCGCGCGTTATGACACATGTCCCGCCACGTATTGTGCAACGCTCATCGCGTACGTTACTCACACCCATATCTCTCTACGGAATGCGCTGACGCCGATGTCGATGTGAATAGCATGCGCGTAGTCGGACGTTATGTTGCCGCGAAGTTCCGTAAGGATGGTCTCCCTACCGCGGATGCGTCGACGACCGTCAGCGAAAAGCGCTGTCCCGCCGCGGTCCACTTCTTTTTCTTCTGGCTACGCAAACCACAGTCTGAACGGGGGAGTACGGATGTGCCGCGGCGGGAATCTGATGATGTGGTTCCGCCAATAACAACGTACGCTGTTCATTCTCACACAATGACGACGACTTCGCGGCCTGAGCGCTCAGCTCGCTCACAACTTACCCTATGCACAGGTCACAGACAACAGCCTCGCGCGGCCCCAGCGCACTCCGCGGCAGCAAGCAGGCGTCCCACGCATTCTTCGCCAACTCGCGCTCGACGTACGCGCACACCTCGCTCTACCAGTCGCAAGACAGCTAGCGCGCCGTCCGTGCGTGCGCCCCGCGCCACCCGCCCGACACACCCTCCGGCAGGCCGGTACACAGCACATGTACATGCAACCGCAATCCCCACCACACGGGCCCGCGGCCGAGCAGAGCAGGGATGAGCTCGAGTGTGAGCGGTAGGACGCCCCGTCTCTCGCGTGTCCCGCCGCATCCAACGCGCTACCTCTTTTTCTCCCCGTTTTCATGCCTCGTTCTAGGCCTCGCACCCCGTGCCGTCGCAATCCTCCATCGCAAGTTTCCCTCTCCCGCTTCGTGTCCCGTCGGGGGCCCCGGCTGTCCTGCTCGCTCAACACGCCGCTCCGCATACGTGCCTGCAACCTGGAGCGCGCTCGGTCACCCTATATATGTCCCAGTATGCGCTATATACCAGGCTCCTACCCACCGTCACCTCGAGTTGAGGGGGGCGATTTCAGGTAAGAGGGGTCGAGGTTAATTCAAGGAGGAGGGATAGAGGGTAAATCCCAATAGCGTACACAGGCTTAGTCAAGGGAATATATCACGTGCTAAGTCCTAACCGAGAATGTCCCCCCCTCAACTCTCAGTAACGGCTGGCAGCAAACACAGGTAAATACTCGGAGCCCGGCCAGAAGACGCCCAGGACCCTCCCCATTTGGCAGCCCATCAACTCGGGCGCCTATATATTACTTCGGTTTTTTGAGCGGTCGGATGGGTGGCGGGGAGGCCGCGATCGCGCGCGGGGGTGCGCGCAGGGTGCGCGACGACTCGCGCTCGCAGCCTCAGGGCGGGTGAGCCCTAAAAATCATGTGAACCAGTGTATTCATGCATATATTAGCCTGTCAATACATTTCTGGCATGCTTGGCGGGCTTTGGACTGCTTCTGCAAGTAGTAAGTGTGCTCAGTACGTACTCAGCTGAGCCTAGCAGGTCCGCTGCCCGCGCCGCGCACACAGACTGAAGCGCAGTTTCCCAGAAATGATCTAGTACGTACCTGTTGACAACGCGCTGCCAAATTGGCCTGAATTTCTCGTCTATGGAACGAGCGCGCACTCGCGCAAGGTAATGATCACTGACATGGGGAGATTTGGGTGGTTCTGTCTATGCCTACGATAATAGGCGTGTGCCCATGATTATCAAAGTATTTCAGGTGCGCAAGGAGCTTGAAGGGGGCGGAGTGCCACAAGCAGCGTGCCCGACTCATCGCGCCGCGCGATCGCGGCCTCACATGCACCGTAGGCGTCTCATGCTTGAGGCCGCCTGCGAGGACTCAGACGTAGACGCTGTCGAGGACAAGCGCGACCGCCATAGTGGACATGCATTATTTTAAGAATCTTGTACACGCTCGTCTAGTACCCTGAGGCTGCGAGCGCGAGTCGTCGCGCACCCTGCGCGCACCCCCGCGCGCGATCGCGGCCTCCCCGCCACCCATCCGACCGCTCAAAAAACCGAAGTAATATATAGGCGCCCGAGTTGATGGGCTGCCAAATGGGGAGGGTCCTGGGCGTCTTCTGGCCGGGCTCCGAGTATTTACCTGTGTTTGCTGCCAGCCGTTACCGAGAGTTCCGATTCCACTTTAGGAATCGGGCTCTATCCTAGCATCCTCGCGCATGCTTACTAAGCAGTCCGTCTCACCGCTCTCGCTCCTGATTCGTTCGCGCAATTGCTTTCATGTCATTGGCTGGCTTCCCACTCGCTTCTGCCTTTGCAGACGCTGCTGTCGTATCCCTCCCTTTCGCGCCCTTCATCTGTTGCACTCCATTTAGTCCCTCCCATGACTATCACAATGTGTATTCTGTTGTACTGCGCTCTGTTTTTCCTCTTCGTCTTCAGCATCCTTCCCCTTCGCCGATCGGTTGAAGACCGCACCTCTCTTCATGAGCCTTGGGTTCAAGACCCCCGACCTCCTCTCCGCGGAGGAGCTGTCGTTCGCACCGCGTCTCTCCCTGTTGGAGATTTCGCCTCCTTCCCATTGATATCGTCTTCAGGCTCTGTCCCTGCAGACTCTGCCGCCACAGTCGTGGCATTCCTGCCGTCAGGTTCGGACACCCCACGTTGTAAGCCCGGCTCCGCCGTTCTCGTGTATGACGCCCCCTTACCGTTTTTGACGGAACGTCTGCCTTACCGCCTGCTTCGGGACCTCTGCCGTCTGCATCGCGTTCGCGTCGGCCGATCTCACGCGTCTCTTCCCGCCGTTGTCTCTCTTCTCGCAGCTCATGTTTGCGACATCAGCTGCGACGTCCTCACTGTCCTGCAGGTTATTCTGCCGCTAGAGGCTTCCCGTTCTCTCGTACCCGCTCAACTGCTCCGCCGCTCCCCCACCATTGTCGGCACCATTCCCCTCGCGGCCACTCACGCCGAATTCCTTCGTTCATTGCCTCTTTCTGAAGTAGAAGGTGTCGTCACTCCCGGTTCTCGGTATGTCGCGTGTATTCTACTCCTTAAGGATCTTCTCGTTAACCTGCGTTACGAAGAATTCATTGTGGTCCTTACCCATCATAACATTTCCGTCCCCGCTACTCGCCTTCGCCCTGACGAACTGGTCCGCTTGGTCCTTCAACATCACTGCTCAAGTGAGTCATGCCTGTCTTCCTTCTCCTTGCTCGCCTTCCCCGGGCACTGTACACCTTCATCTCCCCCTCCGACCTCCCTCCCCTCTTCGCAGTTCCCCCCTCCTGTCCATTCCGTTGCCAACATCGCCAACATTGTACGGTCCTGGTGCGATTCCTTCTCACCCTCTGCCATCGCCGAATCCCCCTGTCATGTTTGCGCCCGTCTCACCGTTCTTCGGGACTTGACCTCCGTCGCTCCCGGCACCCTGGACCTCTCTCCACTCATCCGTCCCGGTGCTCATGTCACGCGCGCCTCGCGTTCTTCTTCAGCGGCCCCTGTGGTCGAATTACCCGGTCCTGTACTCCTTCACACGCCTAACGTGCGTTCTTCGTCCCTGTCTGTGTGTAGTGAATGTATAGGAAGTCTCCGTAAGCACGCCCTCCCTCGGTTTGCGCTCGCTAACGGCCTGTGGCTGGGCGACGTTCCCCCTCCGTTGGCCAAACTTAACTTCGTTGAGAAACTGATGGTTGCGCTCGCGCGGCATAACGTGTGTGTCGTTCGTGTCACTACCGGCTTGGCCGGCTCCCAGCGCAAGATGTCCGCCAATGCAATCATTTTCCCTCAACCTGTGAAGCGTTTTTACCGTGCTCTTCCCCCTCCCCGCGAAGAGTTAGATCAGTGTCTATCCATTCTGTTTGTAGGCTCTTGCCTGCCAACTCCCAAAGACATGCGCCGCACCCCTCTCCTCGTGAGGCACAACGTCGTCCTTCAAGCGTTGCAATGGTTAGTGTGCAATCATTCAGAGTACAAAGACATCGATATATCTCTGGACAACCTAGCACAGTATCCGCAGGACGAGCCTCCCGTGCAGATTGTTCATCGGGACCTCCATCCATCTGAAAGTGGGGATACTCCCGCTGAGGCCCTACCCTCTCATCCTCCTCCTTTGGGCTCTACTGCACCTCATGTCGACGACGACGGTCCTTGTCCGTTCGCCGTTCATGGCCTGACTGGCACACAGTACGTCTCTCTGACTTATGATGAGAAGGTTGCCCTCGCTGTAAAACATTTCACGTCCGGCGAGTCCGTTCTCGCATACGGTCATTTTTCAGAACCTTCCTCAATCTATAACGACGCGAAACTGTTCCCTCGTCTTTTCCCCTGGCTCTATCCCTATGGTGTGGGTGGATTTGGGAACTCCGCCATCAAATCCTCGCTCTCCCGCGTCGCTCACATCCGCCACTGTCTGATGTATTACGACCGACGATTTCAAACTGACGATTACTTCCCCTTCATCGCTTTCAACCACGAGCAAATCCGCGCTAGTACCACCGGCGGATACCTCCTCACCACTAGACGGAACTTCCCAGCCGTAGCCGAGAACCTGCTCAACATTGACCAGTCCGCTCTCCAGCGTCTCATAGATCGCGGCCGCGCCGGTCTCGGTATCACTCCCGAGTCCCCGGAAGAGCAAGCTTGTATGTCTCTACTTACCGTCATCGATCATGTTGGCGGTCATGTTCCCGGTTCCAGTACACAGAAGCGTTACCAGCGCAGTGAGATCAAGTCTCTCATCATCGCGAATAACGTCCCTCTTTTTTTCATCACTTTTTCTCCCGTTGACTTCAAACATCCTTTGTGCCTGTATTACTGTGGCGAGTCTATTGATTTGTTTGATTCCTTTACAGAATTTCCCTCCGCCGCATCTCGTCTCTCTGCCATTGCGGATAACCCGGTAGCGTGCTCCCGCTTTTTCCACCATGTGGTGTCCACTTTCTTATCCACAGTCGTTAAAGCAGGAGAGGTCGGCGACGACCGCGGTCTTTTCGGACCCGTAAACAGCTACTATGGCACCGTGGAAGAACAAGGCAGGCTAACCCTACACCTACACCTGCTACTGTGGATCAGAGACTCGCCCAGTCCGCAAATAATTCGCGATCGGCTGTTGTCCGATGACACCTTCCGCGCATCACTCATCCTGTGGCTCGAAAGTTGCCAAAAAGGCGAATACTCCCTGTCTTCTGAATCAGATATTCGTGCGTCTTTGGCTCACCAACGCCGCGCACATCAGACCCACAGCAGTGAGGATCTGGACGACATTGAAGGAGACGGCGGTACGTTCCGCGACCCAGCGACGGTGCTGCCTACGCCACCGCCGCCTGACGCGGACGACCCCGCACTTCGCGAATGGTATTCATCTGTTTGCAGGGACACCGACGAAGTCGTCTATCTTTCTAACAGACATGATCGTAAGCACACAAAGGGTTGCCTTCGGGGCAAAATCCCCAACCAATACTGCCGCGCTCGCTTTCCCCGTGAGACTCGTCCCGAAACTTTAGTCGATCCCGAGAACGGCGCGTTGCGCTTCAAACAAAGCGACCCTTGGCTCAACATGTACAACATCGTATTATCGTTTCTTATCCGTTGTAATACTGACGTCTCCTCCCTTCTCTCAGGCACTCAAGTCCGTGCTGTTATCGCATATGTGACCGACTACATCACCAAAGCACAATTGAAAACCTATTCCGTTTTCGAGGCGGTGAAGTCTGTTCTAGACAAAAAGGATGCCATCTTAGAAGAAAATCCTTCGCGCTCTGACGCGGCACGCAAAATGCTAACGAAAGTTGTCAATGCCCTCACCGCTATGCGCGAAATCGGAGGTCCCGCTGCTTCTAGCTATCTTCTCGGCCTGCCCGATCATTACACCAATCACCGATTCAAAGTTTTCTTTTGGTACAACTACGTTCAACATATCACACAACAGCTGGAGCTTTCTGCCGCTACAGATTCCACGGAAGAAGAGAGGGTTTTGGTCGCCGTGCAGTCAAACACTGTAGTAGCTATGAACAAGGTGAACGACTACATCTACCGCCCGGTGTTTTTCGAGAAATGGTCTCTGTACGATTACCTTCGCGCTACAGATGTAAAGAAGGCGTCTGCCTCTCGAACGCGTGCTCAGTCTGCCGATGGCTCTCAGTCTGAGTCATCCGGGAGCGATCATTCCAATGACGAACTAGAACCCGATCCTGCACCAAAAGGTGTAGCCTACCGTTTCCTACGCGGTCACCCTTTGCATAGGACTCACGTTGTGCGTTTAGTGCCTGAAAAAGAGCGGTACGTTCTGAACTTTGTCGGCGGCACTCTGCCCAGAGTTGACAGAGGCGATCTTGTGACTTACCACAAAACAATGATGATTTTCTTCTCTCCCACAGGTTGGCGTTCCGCTCGCGATTTGCTGCCGTGTAACAGTACCTGGGCAGATGTATTTACTTCTTCTGTTTTCAGTGACGAAGCCACCGGCGTCATGAAGAACATGAACGTTCTGTACGAATGTCTTGACGCGAGAGACGATTACTCCGCCGCCCGCCGTGCTGGGCAGGGCGACGATGACGGTGCGGAGTTAGGCCGCTTTGGCCGACAATCTAAAGACGCCTCTGAGTTGGTGGAGGAGGGTGGATCGTCTGCTTACGTAGATACCGAGCGCGACCTCCTCGCTCTGCTGGACGACCCATCTTGCGTGGCCGATAGAGTTACCGTACGAAAGACTAAAGAGATGGATGCGATGCGTGATCTGTTGGCGAGGGTTTCGTATAGTGTTGTGAACCCGGGCTCCAAGCAATCGTGCCTTCCCGTATGGACTCTTCCCTCGCGAGATCCCGCTATCTGGAAGGACTGTGTCACTCGCGGAAAGCAGGCAGTGATTGCGAGCCGTTCTCTGAAGCCCACAACGCTCGAAAACGAGTCTGTTGTACCTGTGGACCGTATCCATCAGCCTCAGCGTACTAACATTGTTGCTGTTGTGACCGCTGACTCTCTCCGCAAACTTTGTCCTGGTTTCGTAGACACGCCGTTGCAAGACTCTGCCATTATAACTCTAGTGGACACCTTAGAGCATTTTACCCTCAACACCGAACAGCAACTGGCGTTCACCATTGTGGCACACACCATCCAGCAGCGCATTCCTGACAAACTTCGGATGTTTCTGTCCGGAATGGCTGGTACCGGTAAGTCCGAGGTGCTCAAAGCGCTCATGTACTTTATGGGAGCTCGCGGAGAGAGTCACCGGTTGTTGGTTCTAGCACCTACCGGATCTTCCGCTTCGAACGTTAATGGGAGCACGTACCATTCCGCTCTGTGTTTCGGACGTGATCATGAAGACCTCAGTAAAATGGACGATAACAAGCTGGCGAGGCTGCGGGGGAACCTTAAGGATTGTGACATACTTTTCATAGACGAAATATCAATGATATCTTGCCTCTCGTTCTATTTGATTTGCGCATATTTGTCTATTGCGTTCGGAGACCCTCTTGTTTCGTTTGGGGGTAAGCATGTAATAGTTGCCGGCGATTTTGGACAGCTGCCGCCACCTGGTGCTGGGCATTTAGCTTTATACAGTGACAGCGTCGGTGCGTGGTCTTCCTCCCTGTCTTTGAAAGGTCAAATGAACGTAATAGGACAGGCCCTTTGGCACCAGTTTACAACCGTAGTCATCTTGCGCCAGAACATGAGGCAGTCTGGGTTGAATGACGGTGACAAGCGCTACCGAAAGGCGCTCGAGAACGCTCGCATGAAGGATTGCGATTCCCACGACATCGCGCTCTTCCGCTCACGCATTGTTGGCGTATCCTCTAAGTCTCCTGCCCTACATCCCCCTGGAAGTGAACCTGTGTCGGTGATAACCGCGCTGAACTCGCATCGCGACGCCGTAAATGAAGTGGGCTCGCAATTACTGTCTCAATCACTAGGACTAGAACTCGAGGAATTCTACTCCCTGGATTCCTGGGCTCCTGACAAGACCGAATCCTCAGTCCGTGCCACGCAGCGTGCGCAAGATCGCTCCATAAATCCGGTACGTTCTACAAACAACGTTGGCGTTCACATGCAGGAGCTGCTCTGGTCGTTGTCTCCCTGTTTCACGGACCACCAGGCAGGTGTTCTGAGACTTTGCCGCGGACTTCCCGTCCTGCTGAAGAACAACGAGGCGACCGAGCTTTGCGCGACGAACGGTGCGGAGGCCGTAGTTGTAGGTTGGGACTTCCATGTCCGCACCGACGGACACAAAGTGCTTGACACATTATTTGTTAAGCTGCACAATCCGCCACAGCCAGTGCAACTGAGCGGCCTTCCCCCCAACGTGATTCCCTTGGCCCGTTTTAAGCAGCGCATTGAGTGCAAATTGCCTTTCGGTGACCGGCCCACTGCTTACATTCAACGGGAACAGGTCATGATTCTGCCGAACTTTGCGATGACCGACTTCGCATCCCAGGGACGCACTCGTGCATTCAACCCGGTCCATCTGTCGCACTGCCGTACTGCGCAATCGCTATACACCTGCCTGTCTCGCAGCTCTTCGTTAGCAGGTCTCGTGATTCTAGAGGGTTTCAATGCTCGTAAACTTACAGGTGGGTTACCCACTCCGCTCAAACGAGAGTTCCAATCCTTGGAAATTTTGGCTGACATCACGCGTGCAAAGGCTGACGGTTCTCTACCTACTTCCGTATCCACCGTAGATCGGGCTTCTGCAATAGCCACCTACCGTGCTTGGAAGGGCCTCGCCTATTCTCCTCCTAACATGCATCCTGCGCTTGTTTGGTCTGCCGACCCCACGTACTTCTCTGCTGCTGCAAACACCGCCCCCTGGCAGCTACTGACTAAGAAGAAGAGAGGCACCGGTAATACGCAGGAGAAGAAGCGAAAACGCGCTCAAGATGACGTTGGATTCGTACCGGCGAACACCGTGCGCCGTAAGGTTGCCCCTACGGTTATTCCTACCCCTGCAGCGCTGCAGCCTCGGGGGATTCCCTGGGATTCAGTCGACTACAGTTGCGCGTACGATTCCATTCTCACCGTATTCTTTAATCTGATTGTCTCTCGGCGCACAGCTAACCTTTCCGGCTTGTCTTCTGACGGTCTTGGTGAGTGGCTTCACGGCGCGCTGTGTACACCCCTTTTGCAGCCTGCCGCATTAGTAACCATTCGAAACGAGCTACGCGACAAGCTGTCTGCGTTAGATCCACGCATGTTCCCTCGGTATGGCGCACAGACTACAGCGGTATCTGACATCTTTGAGTACGTATGCCGCCGTCCGACCGCTTTTGCGACCGCTGCCGCTGTGTGCGTGTCCTGCCGGACCTCTGAAATCTCGTATTGGCAGGCACCAATATTTTGTTTATACGCAGGGCTGGTTAACGATGTCGGCAATCTACTTGGAAAAGACCCATCGGTTTCGGACTGCATAGAATTCGTCATGAAGGCCTCACGAGTAAGACAGCGCTGCTGTAATCTTTTTGATGTCACTGTCAGCACCTCTGTACACGCCGACGTGTTTTGCGTGGAGCTACAGCCAGGAACTGATATCATGTTTGAAACAGAAATTTCCCTTTCTGCCGACGAAGGAAACCCCGTAGTCTGGATCCTACGAGGAATTATATATTTAGGCTACAACCACTTCACCGCCAGATACATCTCCGATCTTCAGGAGGTGTGGTATCACGATGGTGCATCTACCGGATCTTATTGCACGTCAGAGGGCGCCTGGGAAAGTGTCGATCGCCGCGTGGCGTACGGACGTCCTGCCAGCCACCTTCTGTACTTCAAGGCAGAGGCATGATTTCCCCCCACACCGTTCGCCTTCACCGTCAACATGCCTCCCCATGCTCTGAAGCCCTTTCGACGGTCGTTCATGCAGTACGTCTCTTCCTTCCATTGCCAGTACCCTTCTGACTATTGTTCCTTAGATTAAACTCTGATATCTATCAACACATGATGCAGTTCATGCCGGCGTCGTCGCTGGTGGCGTTATCCGAGATCTCTCCGTCCTTCAAGCTGTGGGCGACGGTTCATCTCGACATCGCTTTCAACGATGCTCTCTCGGATTTCGTCGAGGACACCGCTGGGCTGAGGGCAACGTTGCGGCTTCTGGGGTCAGTGATCTCCGGCTCCTTTGCGCTTGCCTTCCTATCGCCTGGGTATCCACACCTCTCCGACATCAAGGACCTCGACATCTATGTTCCCAAGGACTACGCCCTACGGTTCATGATGTACCTGATCAACGCCGAAGGCTACGTCCATATGTCCACCTCGCGCATTCCCTATGGCCAGAACGTCGCACATGCTCTTGTGATCACCCTCCAGAGAGCAGGACAACGAATCGACATCATTCCGTCCATCAACGCCTCGCCTCTTTTTCCCATCTCGTTCTTCTGGGCGTCGCACCTCATGAATTACCTCACCGCGGATTCGTTCTGCGCTGCGTACCCCGAATACACCTTCGCGCAACGGGCAGTGCTCTCCCCTGTACAACTCATCGATCACCGGTACCCGTCACCCGAAATCGTCCGCGTCATCCGCAAGTACGAGGACCGAGGGTACCAGTTCAGGGTAAGGCCGTACGCGTGGAACGACTGCATTGGGAACGCTCTCTGCGCCCGGAACGCGGCTTGCCCACGCCTCCGCCGTTTCTTCGGAGACCGCTTCTGCCTCACAGGCAATCTCTCTCGCGACTACGGGGATGACGGTTTCGGGAGGTCGTTGCCTTCTGAAACGACGGTATGCTGGTGGAGGGGAGGGGATGTGTGTGGGGGAGAATGTGCGCGTTCAGATGTATTTCCTGAACGCGACTTCGCGGCGGCTGAGGTTATTGATGTTTACCCTCTCGCTCCCGGCTTGTAACGCAGGCAATCGTAATTTGTATTCACCTACAAATACCATACTACGTCTTCCGTCCCACACATGTGCCCACCATCGTTGCCGAGCGGCGCTAACAATGTGCCTCCCACGGTTCGGTAGCGCTGCGTTGCCACGTACAGCATCTTCATCTTCAACCCCTTCCACCATCGTCGCCCTCCCGCTGCTCTTCGTCGTCGCCGTCTGCATCCAGACCTAACACAGAAAGCTCAATGGGACGTCTTGCGACGGATGGACCGGCCGTTGGACTTGGCACCTTAGGGCGTTGAGCCTGATGAAGTGTCAGCATGGTTGCGCCTCCCCACCCGTTCCGCAACGTTAAACACTCACCTCCAAAGTATCGACAGACATGAGGCGAGACACCTCTCGCATGGACAGTCGAAGCTCCATCCTGCACTCCTTGTTGCGAAACGTCTTCACGACATCAATCGACGACGCGACGGCTACAAAATCTCCCTTGCGGATCGATGTCGCAGCCGCTCGTCCGACCCCTGCTATTCCAGTCTGAACCCTGTGCCCCACCACCCACTGCGTTCGGATGGCGTTCGCAAAGCCCTCTGGATCATCACCCAAACGTAACAAGCTCTTCGAGCCGTGCTTCGCCTAGCGACGGGTCAGTTCGCGCTCTTTACTCGTGATGTGAAACTCACCGGAGTAAATACAGGCCGTTGGAAGTGTATAGTGCCCGGGACGTGTGCCCCGTCGTAGATTGTCGCCCCGAAGATGACTGCGAGGTAATCTTTGATGCACTGGAGCGACTTCACCTGTGCGGCGAACGCTTCCGGCCAATCACCACCGGACAACGTTAGGTATTGGACTGCACGTGCGGCCGCACCCGGACGGCTGGGTGGACGTAAGCTGAGTCCTTTAAACAAATTGACAGAGACTCACCCTTTGTAGTTACCCAACGCCTTCAGGTTCACTGTCTCCACTACGCCATGAGCTACGACGGACACACGGACAGAGGTACTGTCCGGGGAGGGCGAGATGTCGCTGTTGTACAACAGCGTCGACTCCCCTGGCCTCCCTTCCTCCAAAGGCATGACGACCGCCCACTCGCACACGGCATCATACGAATCGGGCACGACCGCCCACGACGCGAGGTCATGCCTTTCCAGTGCGCAATCCATCTCTTGCGACAGCGGTTTCGGCCACATATCTCTCACAAGGATCTCGCCCTCTGTTGCGAACGTCAGCTTCGTTCGCGAGATCTCAGTGCGAAAGAGTACGCACTACAAAAGTAAGACATCGCGTGTGGGAGAGAAGGGGGACTTGCGGAGGAGGGGGGAATTCCCTTCACGTCGCGGACTTCCTTTCCTGCCTCCTGAGGGCGGAGTTGTGTGACGGCGGTCACACTTCCTAGATCGACCACATAAATCTCTACCCCGAACGCCGCTGCGATCGTACTCTCCCTGCAGTCCGCATATTATTACCCCTTCAGTTTTACCGGGAGCACAAAATTGCCATCCGCGGTGCCCAGACCGCTGACCGCATCCCTTGCTTTTCCACGTCAAAGGGACGGCCGCTATCTTCCGCCGTTCTTGACCAAACCCCCCCACCTCCCCCGCGAACGTCTCATGTCTGAACTGTACGTCTGCGACTTCCGCATACACCTTATACTGAACCTGACCGCTTCCAGTGAGCAAAACAGCAACAACAAGCGTAAGGCGGACACATCCGTGACTTCCGTGGCCGTGAAAGCCCCGCGGTACGCCCTGCGCAAGGACGCCAACGCTCAACGGCCCAAGGGGTCTGACCCGAACGCCGTGTATGTTCATTCCCCTGTGTACCATGACTCGGCACTCACATCGTCATCAGCAAAGAGCCCTCCGCCGGGAAGCCGTCGACGCCCACCGACAATGGACAACAGCGCGAAGCCTCAACGGTTGTAGTCACCGGTACCGAAGACCGCGGGCTCATTGACAAGTCCCCGCCTGCGGACGCGAACATACCCGCTACGACCACTGACACCACCCCGAACTCTGCCCCGACCGCGCCGACAACTCCGCGTCCCGCTGCCAAGAGCCTCTCCCTCCGCACCCCTCCTCCTACTCCGGCCGTTCACCCGCCGACGGGCAGTAGCGGATCCTCTCAGACTGAGGTGAGCGACCGCGAAGTAGCGCGTTCGGGCACACTGCCTGCTTCGGACGGTGTGCGTGAGAGAGCAGACGGCGTAGGCCCTCGCACTCCACCGCCAACGCCGTCGAACCGCACGCGCCTTCCGTCTCCGGACTGGATCTTGAGTCCTTCGCGTCAGCGCTACTCGCAAGCGCTCATAACGTGCGTCCGTCTTCCTACGTCCTCTCCCCATTCACTGACGTGTTCAAAGGCGTCTGCAAAACCTGCTGGACTTGTCGGACTCCGAGAACGGCCGCTACACCATCGGCCGTCTGCCTCACAACCTGAAGTGGGGACAGACCTACGAGCAAGACGACAACCTCTACTGCCTCGACGGCAAACCGCTCCTGCTGTTGTTGGTCGGCGAAATAGAGCAAACATTTTTCAAGGACCGCGACGGCAACCTCAAGAAGTCCGTCACCGTGTACATCCGTCCCATCCGTGCGACGGATGCCACCAACGCTGCCTCTCTGCTCGCCAGCCTCACCACTTACCGCGGTACGTATCGCACTCTGCGCGTTCCACGCTGGATCTCACCCGTCTTTCAGGCCCCATAGAGAACGAGAACAAGTACCTCGGATCGATCGGCGCGAGCCGCAGCCAAACGCGGCGCGGACCGAATGCGGCTGAAAGAATGGTATGCGCTCTCTCTCACACACTTCTTCATCTCGTTGACGTCGAGCAGGTCAAGAAGTTCACTCATGCGTACGACGCCTCTGGGGGCTACGGGTCGAAGAAGAAGATGGCTGCCTTGGATTGCGATACCCTCGGGTACAAAGACGTCGTGATCATGGAAACTAACATCGCGCGCTTCCGCTGTGACCCTGCTACGGGTAAGGCGGTCTACGGAGTACGCAACTGGACGACGTGGCGTGCTTCATTCAACCTGCTCAGCGTCTGCAGACTCTCCCAGGGTACGTTCGACGATGAGTCGGACGCAGGCAGCGATCACGCAGGCGACTCCATTCTGTAGACGTCGAGGCATCTATCCACGTGTAGCTCCAATGACCTCCCGTGAACCCTGTATCCCGATTCTCGCAATTAAACCTTATCCCGCAATGCTTGAAGCGGTCAGCCTCCACTGTTTGAGCGTGAACGCAGCGGAGTACTGGCTGATAACGCCCGCAGCGTAAACGGTACACGAAAGCCACCAAGGGCACCGCATTATTGCCAGAGAGCCAGGCACATGGCATGTCACTGAACAAATACGAACTCGGGCACCTCGCCTTCTGCTCCTCGGCCCCTGCTCTTCTCCACATACAACCACTGCACCGAAGATGGCGACTACCGTAAGTACGTTGGTTTATTGTGATACATTTTCTGAAGTTCTCGTAGACCAGGACTGTCACAGCGTATCGATTCCCGAAGTGGGGGTCTGCGCATGTGTATTCGATCGCCCTTCAGCACTTCGCTATCGACGAGGGATTCGACGTTCCGCTGTTCGATAATGTCTTCACAGTCATCACCGAAGTCTCCAGCGAGCGTGTCGACGTGCAAGGGAGTGTGTTCGACGTGTTCTACGTCACAAAGACGAGCACGGGTGGGCCGAACGAAGCCCTGCTTCGCACGCCGCAGGGTCCCGCCTGGAAAGGGGAGTTGATCGTCCTGCGCCGTGCCAAGATCCATAACGGGTACGTCAATTTGCGCCGAGGCGATCGCGCCGTTGCCGCAAAGGCTGTCTTCGGGTACGTCACACCGCTGCTCACTCTCTGCCTTCCCAACCTGACGCTCTCCCCATACACAGCGTAATCAGAGACCTCAAGCGCCGCAGCGGTGGCCGTTGGAACCGAGTCTAACACTGTCTGTGGTAGAATACCGGGGACTGTTGTAGCGAATCTCAACGCCGAGTTAACACCATTAACTCCGACCCGGGGTGAGCGGACTGCGCTGACAGCAGACGAACATGATCCGCACGGGTGAGCCGTTTTTCACAATGAAAATTGCCAGATCGACGGAACGATTCTAGGTTTACGCCGTTGAACGACTTCCTGCTCTAGCCCGACCGCTGTCACCGGCGTTGTAGTCTCCGGCGAACCCTGCCGGCGGCGCTATGCTCCAAACCGGAGACCGAGATCCCCAGACAGATGTGAGGGCGAGGGCGACGTCGCTGGACGGGCGGGTATGGGGGAAAGCCCTCTGTCCTCACCATCCTGCCATCTACCCATGGACTCGCCGCTCGCCGTCCTTGCGATTGAATACCGCGTTCCCGACAGGGTACGAGAGTATGTATCTTAAAGCATTCAACTATTCAACTGCTAACCGCGGGTCAGGTACGTTGTGAACGCGCTCCGAGAGCAGGTGACCCTCGCGTCCCTTCCAAGTACCGCAAGATGGCTGTTTGTGACAGCAGACCTCGCCATTCTGTGTGAGGATGACGAGCCCGTTGTCATCAACATCTATGGCGCGATACATCGTACGAGCCTTTGTGGGTTCCGCTTTGGGGAAGACCCGCCCACCGTGCAAGTGAAGTTGTGGTCAATAGCCGACGGCAAACATACCCCCTTCCTCCTACCGAAGTGCAACCCCAGTGAGCACTCCGGCCCCAAAACGTGATCCTCCTGCTGACATGACCGCAGACAATCCCTGTATTGAGGCGTCTGTCATGTATCCGCAACCGAAAGATCCAAGGGAGGAGGAAACCAAGGTACGCGCACCGTGCCCCCTCATAGACTGCTAAACACATCGTGAACTTCAGAACCGCGGTAAATGTTTCGCCGTCTACGACGGAACAAACCACACGATCAGACCTCCCCTCCCTCTCATTCACCCAGCCTGCGTACGCGAAGGAGACATAGTCAACGCACGTTGTCACATGGTGTTGCGAGCTACTACGTCCGACGTCCCTTGCTACAAACTACACCTTGATTCCGTTGTTGTATTAGCTTTGAGCCCGGGAGAGCTGCCTGCGCCTTCCGAGCCCTAGATGCAATACACTGTGCGTTGTTGCGATTCGGACTACCTACGACAGCCACATTCCGTCAGCCGCACCCTCACATCCGCCGTCACATTGAGCATACCATCTGTATCCTGCATTTCCCTCGCCCGACGATGCTGGACAGGTGAGCATTACGATGCTGCGTGAGGAAGTAACCAACGCCATTATCTTCAGACTTCCAGACAAGGCCATGGACGTCATAGTCCGTAAACTGAGCGTCGTTAGCCTCCTGGCTCTGCGGTGCACGAACAAACGGCTATACTCCTCAGTGACTGCTGAACTGCAACGCGCGAGGGACCTACTACTCGCGCCCTACGTCGACGACACCATCTCAATGTGGGGCTTGCTCGAAGAATACAACGCTGTCGTTGGCGGGATGGCGGCCCTCGCGTTCTTCCTCCGCGACGATGACCTTCTCCCAGCTACTCTGGATGTCTATGTCAGCGACAACTACGCTCCAGGGATTGATTGGGTTCACGGGCACCTTGAGGAACTCGACCTACACTGCGTGGAGGAAAGCGAGGTGTGGGAGGAGCTGCCAGCCGGCGTCGTGAAATCCTGCGTATACAGCACCACCAGCGAGCACCTGATCCGTTTCCTTTGGACGGAATGGATGGAGAGCGTTCTGCTCCCTGCAGCGAGTAGCCCGACCACCGCTCTCGCCAACTTCGTCGGGGCGCACGTCTTCGGGTGTGGATACCCTGAGCAAACCCTACGCCGACACGGGTACACGCGAGGACGCTCGGAGCTCAGCGCTTTTGACAAAGCATACACGGACTACCTGAAGACCACGGCGGCGTTCACGTACGACGCCTTCACAGACACGGAGATGGCCGATGCGGAAGAAGAAGGACGAACCACCTACCGCTGCGCTGCAGTTGCGAACAGCTGTCCAGCGCAAGGCCGCTATTTCGGGGACAAAGGGTCGATACTACAGCTCTTCGACCCACTGAACATTGTTGAAGACCTTCAGGCGCAACATCAAGTCCCCTATGGAGTGACCGCAGTGTGGCGGTTCTGCAACGAAGACGATAGTTGCGACGGCTCATGCGCTACATCAGACAGCATACTACCACAAGGCGTAACGGCGATCTCGACGGTGCTAGTGGGGCGGTTTACGTTCCGCGCAGCATTCATTGGCTGGAGGTCGGTATGAAGAAGGCTTATACGAAGGGTTGTCAGTAACATAACGACCGGAATGGCATCTGTACACACCTTGCCCTTCACAGTTTACTTGCAAATGTTGCCCGCGAGAGGGTTACGTGTACAGGGCCACGTTGCTGGAACTCTACAGTCCGCGCACGCGATGCCTTCGTGTAAAGGGACACAGTTCCGACTGTCGTGGGCACTGGAAACGAACGCGACCGTCCTTGAGATGAGAAATCCGTGAAGTTCTGCGAAACCAGTCAGCGTCTCAGTGAACGGCTTTCGATATAACATGCGTACCCCAGGCACAAGCCTCAACGCTTTCCTCGCCTCCTGAAGGTCTCCGACGTCAACGGTGGGGGCTGGAAGAGCCGTAGGCGACATCGTCAACTGTACGGGCGCGGTTTGTGAGGGATGAAGGTGGGAGCTCCAGGGAATGAAGATCGAAGATGAGGTCGCAGAGCGCGGAACAGCTTGAGGGACGATAACCGGACACGGCCGTACGGGTGGAAAATAACCGATCGCCAGTTGCAGAGAGAGGGGAAGGTAGAAAAAATGGTACATCTCTCGACGCTACCTCCATCCCCTGCACATGTCGTCCACCATCGAGTACCAGTCGCCTCCTCCTTCGCCCCTGCTTCAGCCGGTATCCGCGGAAGGGAACCCTTACTCGTTTGGGGAGGATGTGGTACGTGGGCCGCGCGTAAGGAGCCTCTTTCACAGCGTCCTGATGCCGCCAACAGATAGAGATTGTTATGACCACCAGAATATGTGTCAAGCAGTGGGCGTTGGCCACTGTCGACGTAGAGGCCTGGTGCAGGGACCCTTGGGCGTTGGGGAGGGGAAGACGAGCTTGGATGCTGCTCGCGGACTGCGCTGAGTACACCTGGAACCTCGATTTTGCGCAGCCGTTGCGCCGCGCACCTCGTCTGCATGCATTAAACTTCCGTAGCGGAACAGTGAGTGATTATACATTCACCTGCGGACTGCATCTTCATGACGAGCGGAATAGGTGTTGATGGAATTCACGGCCGCATTCTCGGAGGACCCGTTATCCGTCACAGGGAAACCTACCGCGGTTGTGTTTGGGGATGTCACAACGTGGATACGTGACCCTGTTCCTAGTTACTACGACGACTTGTGGAAGGGATACGCACGTTGGATAACGCCGAGGCTTGAACACTCCATGGCGGATAGGGTGGTGTCCTTGTGGAAGCAGTACAACGCCGACGAGGGGCGACAGTTTACGTAGCACCGAAATACTATGAGATTGACGCTTTTCACAAACTAATCATAAGACTGGAAACCAGCAGCGGTGCGAGAGAGAACAGCGCACAAAGCGTGCTGCACGACGAGGAACGGCCTGTGGATGCACGCAGGCTGAACACCGCGTGTGCCCGGCCCTCGAATGCGTGTTTGCGCATGTTGTCAGCCAAGCGCCCGCAGTGCTACCGCTGGACGCTACTATCCACTCCTACACACGCACCTACCACGGACGTTGCCCACGAACCCGCAATGGCCACTTTCAACATAATAGGGTACGCCCGCAGGACTATCACCTCAAAGCCTCACGCTAATCGTTCATGCAGATTGCCCGTGGAGCTCATCCGCGAGATCGTGGATAACTGCGACCTGAAGACCGTGGTCGACCTCCGCGCAACCAGTCGCTTTCTCGCCGGACACTCTGAGGCCATCCTGCGGCAGGACAGAAGAGATCTACTTCGTCCCGTTTGTCAGAACCCAGACGCGCTATGGCAACACCTGAGGAACGCGAAGGCAGTGGTCGGAGGATTGGCAGCGCTCAGTTTCATTCTACGAGATCCCAGTATCCGGACGACCACGGTGGACGTCTACGTCTGCAACACCGAAGGTGATGCTCTCGAGGACCTCATTGCGAAGGACGCCAGCCTCCAACTTACGCTGCAACAATCACATGACTGGAACGTTAACGACACGCACGTGGACAGCAACAACGTCCTCCGCACTACCACCTACGCCGCTGCGTCAGGGACGACGATGAAGATACACACATCCAGGACCCTATCACCTCTCACACCAATAGCCACTGCCTGCACGACGGCGCTCATGAACTGGGTGTCACGCGATGCGTTCGCGTGCGCGTACCCTGCGTTGACGGACAACCGGCGCGCACTGGGCAGTCTTCCTTACGGCCATCACCACACCACACAGCTGCTCTTCAACCGCCTTCTGCTACACGGCTTCAGCATGAAGACACACACAGCGCAATGGGAAGACTACGCCAACACCTTGCCACCGTCCGTAGAGCCCGATCGCTACCCCTGCGCGCGTGCGCTCTACCTTTGTGTCGACCAAGGCCGCTTCTTTGGAGATCAAGGGTGTATGGTGGCGGTGTTCGAGCTCTTCAGCAACAGCCGTCGCAAGTTGCAAGCTGACCAGCAGCCGCCGTATGGCATCGGCGCCGCGTGGCGACTGATCACGACTCACAGACCCTGCAACGGTCCTTGCGTTACGCGCGATCCTGTTCTTCCCAGGAGAAGAAAGGTCATGCTGGCTGTATGGATGGCTGCGAAATAGTACGATAGATTATTATGTGTAACGGATTAAATCGAAGTGCCCTAAGACACCTTGACTGCAGACTGCGTCTTCTAAGACAGGCAGGGGTTACAGCAGCCTTTGTCGAAGGACCCGGAACGCTAGTACTCTCACGTCAGCATAACACTCGGCGCTAAATTACGTTCCCAGTCTCCCTGTGAGAAGTCTCTGGCCAAGTAGTTAGCGTTCTTGCGCATCGACCGCAACACGCACAGATCCTGTGGAATCGGACCGGCGGGTACCGCCCACACCACAAGTTGAGGGGGGGACATTCTCGGTTAGGACTTAGCACGTGATATATTCCCTTGACTAAGCCTGTGTACGCTATTGGGATTTACCCTCTATCCCTCCTCCTTGAATTAACCTCGACCCCTCTTACCTGAAATCGCCCCCCTCAACTCGAGGTGACGGTGGGTAGGAGCCTGGCTATATACGACCCCGCGGCATCATGACATTGCCACGGGCACCCCGGACACCTGCCCGACCTACTGTACGTCACTCTCGCTATTGCATGTGTTTAATGCGCGTTGCTCACACCAACGTTCGACCATGTTTTGCAGCTACTATTTACAGCTACACCCCGCCCGACGCTGGCCTGCGCGCGCGGCCGATCTCTAATGTACGCTCCTATGCACCCCTGGACTTGTGTATATTTGCGGCCGTCCGTCGCCGGGCCCACGTACGTTCCCTGTCTCTCTGTCTCCGTCTCTGCCAGGGCACTCCCAGATAGAGGGCACCTCTCTCCACCCTCCCTTTTCTTGTAGCACACTCACGCATAATGTACCCCTCGCTCTCTTTGGCTTCTTGCCATCATCTTACATCCTCGCGCTAGGCGCTATTATACACATCGGGCCCGCCTTGTGGCCGGTTTCCTGCATAGACTTTGACGTGCGGACACTTGCGAAAACACACAACATCATCGGCAAGGTAAGCACGACGGATAAAGAGGAGGAAGTACTCCGTCAATACAGCACACGCGCTAAGTGAGACGATATGAAAGTGAGAGCAAGACGAGAACGAACTAACGAGCTAACGAGCGAGAGAGGGTATCGTGAGATGCATATATCCAAGAACACAGCAGCAAAACGAAAAGAAAACGAGAGTGATACCTACCACACCCACCAGGCCCGAGATGTCCGTCTACCCGCCACCTGTCTCAAACTATTTACTCTTCCCGCGGCGCAAGCGAGATGCGGAGCGGGAGCTGCACGCCCTTGTGCAGCTCGCCCTCGAGCGTGGGCACCATGACGATCGCCTGCGTCTTGCACACGCGCGCGGCGTCCGGCGTGAGCTCGAACTGGAAGTTCGACACGAGCTCGGTCAGGAACGCCTGCACCTCGTAGATCCTGCGCGTCCGAGATCGCCGTTAGTTAGCACAGCACGAGTTGCACGCCAAGCGGGAAAGTGTATGTGGATGCTCACGCAAAACGCCACCCGATGCAGGCCCGGACGCCTCCCGCGAATGTCAGTCTGTGGGCGCGGGCGGTGTATCAGCACATGGTTCAGGATTCGGGGGGAGCTAGCAGGGTGCCCGAGCGGACAGCCACGTACAGGTTCGAGAACACGCCCACATTCGTCCCGCGCTTCGTCTTGGACGACTCGAGCCACCGGTCCGGGTTGAACACATGCGCGTCTTCGCCCCATACGTCCTTCTCCCTGCAAACAGACCGCCACTTTAGACGGTGCGACACTATACTAGAGCTGAAAGACTGACCGGTTGTACGCGCACACAGACAGAATCAGACGCAGCCCCGCGCGAATCGAAACCTCGTGCACGACCTTGCCTGTGCGCGTCGTGATCGGCTTCGACAAGGGCAGGACATCGTCGTGCAGCGACTGGCGGTACGTGTGCGGCACCGCAGGGAAGAAGCGCAGGATCTCGCGCAGGACCGCCTGCAGGTACGGCATCGCCTCAAAGTCCGCGACCGTGAAATCCGCGTCGCCGCGCGCGCGGATCGTGCGCTCCATCGCGTGCACCTCTTCGCGTAAACGCGTCTGAATGTGCGGTTGCCGCGCGAGCTCCATGAGCGCCCAACTGAGCGTGTTCGACGTCGTCTCTTGTCCAGCGAGCAGAATTGTACTGTAAAGCCCGAAGTCAGGAGGAGAAGGCGTTTTCAGGCTAAGAGGGTGCTGACCGCATTTGCGATACGATCTCGTCATGACTGAGCCTATGCGCCTCGCTTTCCGCCGCATTTGCCTTCACTGTCTCGCTGACATCAGCCGCGCATTTCTATGAGGCCCGGTGAGGTTGAACTCACCGAGAATGCTCATGACGTCGCGGTTGCCCTTGCCCATCATGAGTGCTTCCGTCTTCATGTCGAGGAGCTGGTTCGCGACCTTGTGGGCTGCAACGCGGTTGAAGCGCGCTTTATCAAGACCTTTGCCCGGAAGGCGGTCGTACAGGAACTCTTGGATGCGCATCGGCACGTAGTGCGCGATATTTTGCATGAAGATCTTGGCATTAGACGGTGCGGAGAAGATGGTGGCGCTGCAAAGTACGAAGTGAGTCTGGGTTGGGGTGATACTGATGGAAAACGGTCTTACACTAGATTGCTGTAGGCCTTGCCCAGCTCACTCGCTTCGTCGTCAAGCACGCCAAGCTTGTAGTCGAATGCAGCTGGAGGTACCTGCATGAGCACGACAAACTGCGCGTGATGATGGATGCATACCTTCGCCGATAGCTTCTAACGTTGCGGGTGCAACGTCCTCATGCACGTTGACCGTGACCGAGCCTGCCGACTGGCCAGTCAACAAGTCCTTCCATTTCAAGGTGACCTGTTACCCAAGCAGGGCTATCAGTAGAAGTTCTTCTCCGTCGATCAATGATGAACCGTACCTGCTCGGCGTAGTGTCGGAAGACAGGCAGGAGAGCCTTCGACTCGGGCATCCCGAAGGCCGGGAGCATGACCTTCCGCTGACGCTTGTGCACGTCACCTAATCTCCAGCATATGAGAACCACTCGGTGCGCATGGCAGGAGACGCCAAAGTGCTCCGCAGGAAGCCACCCCATTCGCACCTTCTGCCCACGTTAGCCCCGTGTCGCCGATGAGGCGGGACAGGATGCGCCGCTCCGGCTGCTTCGGAAAGTTGTACCCCGACGTCTGATAGACGTACTGCAATGCCTTGGGGTCCGATATCCACAGCATGTCCTCCTGCACATCCCGACATCAGCACTCGCAGCAGTGACATACGCAGCGCACACACGCACGCCGAACGGCGCCTTCACGCGCACTATCCCGCCAAACTCGGCCTGCCATTTGAAGTCGGTCTCCCCGGCCTGTTCCTGGAATAGTTCAGGAAGGTGTCCTGCAACCTCTCGCTTGTCAGCCACCGCCTTCGCCGCAGACGCGCAGGAGCATCAAGCGTGCTTACCGAGCCAGAACGACGTCGACTCCGGGCCCGGGATGTGCGAGATTGACGGGCGGGTCAGGAAGCGATAAATAGAGTAAACGAGCGAGAGTCCACCGAGGATGGCCGTGAGCAGCAGAGTCCCCATGTTGGCGATCAGTTGCGGTGGTGTTGTCCGGGGAGTAAGCGTAAGTACAGGTCGATAAGAGCAGCGGCGGCGGGGTGAGAACGCATGCACTTCTTATATGTGTGGGAGCGGCGGCAGAACCATCTCGGCCCACCCGTGGGCCAGTCGTGACGCACCCTGGCAGGAACGCTAATCATGCATACCCGACTCTCCGTCGCGGTAATGGGCCCGCGTCGTGCAGTGGCGGGCGCGTTTTACCATAAGCGAAATGGGGGCGAGTCGAACGGCGAACAGCGCAGGCTGCGACACACAGCTGTGCCAAAGCAGAGTTTCGCTGCCCCCGCGTGCGCCCTAACGTCGTGCATTAGCGGCCGTGCGGCAGATCCCGATCATAACTCGTAATGAAGGCTTACGCCGTGTTTCTTGACGCGATTGGCCACCGCCCGAGGCGACCGCGCGCGGTTCTCATGTGCCCACGCAAAAGGCTGAACAAGCCGGGGTTCCCGTCGCGAAGCCCCGCAAAAGAAGGCGAACCCTGGGGAACCCGCGCCGGAGGCCCTCTCGCGGAGTTCCTGTGCCATCTCGTGGTGCGAGCGTTGCGCGCGCTGGGAAACAGGCCGGAGTTGCAAGCGCCACATGAACCTGAGGATGCCGTACGTTGGACTGACGAGAAGTCGCCGTGGTGGCGCGCAGCACTGGCAAATTGGTAATCGCGATATCACGGCACCGACTTCGTGCCTTCCCCGCGGCATCCATTTACTGATATTGAGGCACGCCACGGACCCGATTGTGGAGGGCCTGGAACGACGCCGCGACGCAGCAGTAAGAAGCCGCCAACATCGACACGTCGGTCTGTCTGCGTATGGCCTCCCAACGGAATTGAGGCTGCTGGGCAAGCCTGGAGGGCAATGTCGCGGGTTTAAGGCGTGTCTTAAAATGGCGAACTCCGAGGATATGCATCCTCATGTCGCGACGGGAGCGGATGACTGTGGCTTGATGAAGGGGCATTGGTGCGCCTTGCGAGATTTTCGGCCATCCTTAGCACTGCGCATGCGACGTGACGAGCGGTCTATTCGGAACTAATGTTACGCTCACTTTTGGGTTGGACTCTTGCTTGATATATATCATAGGACGATCGACGGTACCCTGTACAGGTCCGGCTTGAACTTACACCGTGCGTGACACTCTCGGCCGATAAGTCGAGACGGGAACAGGTGCGGCCGGGAAACAGTGGGTGATGGTTGGTGCACCTTGCGCGACTTCCCGGTGCCACTGACGATACTGCGCACTGAACGTAACATTCCTAGCGTCACCCTGGGGATGTGTTGCCAGGGAATCCTGTAGGTGTGCCATTGAGCGTTCGGTTTGAGGTTGAAATATTGCCAGACTCACCGGTTGGCTGAATGTCTGGTTGGTGTGTCCTGTAGGACGATCAAACCGATGTCCAAAGTTAGCACAAGAGCGTACGTGAGACCGCGTTCTACCAGAACGTGATGACGGGCGGCGACTTGCTGAACCACCTTGACATGGAAAATACGTGAACGAAAATATCTCGCGTCGAAGAGGGACACCAAAGCAAGTGGTATTGATACAACAAATGGAGAGCACGTTAGATAGCGCTGCAGGTGGGTGATGTACAGGGTATAGCGGGTGCGTGTCGGTGAAAGCAAGATTACACGGTGAGCCGTAGGATAGCATTTTGGGCGATAATTTCAGGGGATGTAAGTGGCCTGCCGGCGCGCACGTAGGCAAGGCGCAGTTCCTGCACGGAATGAAGGGGGCCGAATAAGGAGCTTTCGGCGCGAATCGAGGTAGAGGACGTACCTCGAAGCTGTGCTGGTCATAGGGAGGCATACTGTTGATGCTCTGTATGCTGTCTGGTGGGACTTGAGATAGTAAAGGCGCGGCTGGGAGCAGGGGCGCTGTGAACACGTCCATTAACATGAGCGCAAGAGTCATTTGAATACCCGCGTTACTCACGACGTTGAACTTGCGGTGGCGGCACAGGGGTATCCGCATACTTCTTGCCCGCCTTATAGGCCTCTGCTCGCAATTCCTAGCGGGTAGATCCGTCGGCAACCGCGCCCGAGAATGTATACGAAGCAGTGCGCACCTCAAATGACCATTTGGAATACTCCGTCTGCGTCACTATAGAGTGAAAGAACGTCTCGCTGCCATATTCCTCCACCCTCGTGGGCACGAATGCCTGCGCTATAAAGTTTGGCGGTGCAGTCAAGGGTGACGGAGATATAGGCGTCGCGGAGCTTGTCGACGGAGTGATGATTCCGTTCACCACTGCTTCTGCTTCAACCAATGGCTCAAATATCGGCGGGAGCCCGAGGGCAGCTCGCTGCTGGGGATCCGTCGGCACGAGCGGCGAAGGAACAGGCGGTTTTCCGGTCGCCTGGTACGCTTTGAGATAATCAAGGAACCGCCTTTCCTGGTCGGTGAGATAGAAAGGTGGAGGGGATGATGAACAAAAACTGGGAGGAGTTTACCTCGAAGCTCTCGTCTTTGTCGCCGCGAGTGGCGGGGACGTTCATGTACACCATAGGCCTCGTCGGTGCAGCCATGATTGCGAGTGAAGCTAGCCAGCCAGCAGGTTAGAGCAGTAGCGCAACAGACGAATATCTCTGATAGAGTGGGCTGGAGAAGTGGTCTAGGGTGAGCGGGTGCAACCAAGATGGCGGCGAAGGTCCAAGGGCAGAAGTTGTCCGAGCCGCTGCGCTCTGGCGACGAAGTCCAACGGCACACCTGCATTGACATCGATTTGTAGAGCAGTGATAGGCCTATTATTGGCCGACTAGCTCAGTTGGTTAGAGCGTGGTGCTAATAACGCCAAGGTCGTCGGTTCGATCCCGGCGTTGGCCACTTTTTTAAATCTGTTGCTTCCCACCACGCCAGAGCCTCGACATCGATGAGCGCTACACAACCACTGTTCTTGCATGGTAAACATACCCTCAGAAGAACGCGAAACTCTCAAGTATGGACGATTTTCCGTTCCCCAAAGTCCTGAATATGGGGAATATGTATCATTTTCTTCCAATGTTACTGGGCGTGCAAATACTGTCCAATAATGATACAAACAGCGATGGTATACACAAGTGGGTAACAATACAAGTGGTGATGTTGTACAGCGGCGTGCCCCGGGCATGCGTGGGGTATGTCTCGACCACAGCAGCGCAGGACAGCCTCTACCGCTTGGCTGCAGGCACGATGGCGGAGAGCCACGACCACGACCGTGCGATCTTCTCGACCCGCTCGATCTCGTCCCCCGACACCTCGCCCTTCCACACGCTCAACACGGTCTCCTCCTCGTCGATGCAGCGCAGGATCGCCTCCGTGCCCTGGTCCGCGACGAATGACAGGTAGCAGCCGACGAGCGCCATCGCGTCCGTGGGGCGTCCGTGCGGGGTGACGACGAGCACGCGGATCGCGCTCTGCTCGGGCATCGCCGCGATGCTCTGCGGCATGCACTCCGCGATGAAGTCGCGCGCGCCGCGGAGCTGCGCGTCGGTGAGCGCGAGTGCGGCCCTTCCCTTGGGTTTGCGCGTGGACTCGGGGAGGGTGAGGTGCAGGCGCTGCACGCTGCCGACCCAGCTGCGTTCGATGGTGGCGGTGGCGGCGTAGGCGATCTCGACGACGTGAGAGAACCCCTTCTCGTATGACCGGTCCTCCTGAGCGAAGGCGACCCAGAGCGCGGGGATTATCGCCTGGAGACGGGGCTCACCCGACTTGGGTGGGTCGAACGCGTACGCCGGGGTGTGGTAGGGGAGGGGCTGCGCGGTGGCAGGCTTGCGGGGCTCGGGCGCCGCGGCAGCGGGTTGCTTGTCGTGGAAGTTCGCGAAGCAGGTCTTCGGATTCCGGCGGCGCGGGAGGTGGTTGCGGTGAGGCTGCAGGTGGCCCTTCGGTGACCACGGCCCGGGAACCTTCGACGACTTGAAGGCGAGGGCGGGGTTATCGATGTGCAGCGTGAGGCTCACCCCACAGCGTTCCCGGAGGGGTTGGCGAATGACGGGCGCTGGTGGTGGGAACACCGTGAGCGGGCTGGAGGGGTACAACGCATCTGGGCGCGACTTGCTCGGAATGGCAAGAGGGGCGAGAGTGATAGCGGCGGCGGACATGGACTAGTTGAAGGGGTGTGGTGGATGGTGGTGGATAGTGGGTGGGTGGCGAGTAATGCTGGTGGTCGATAAGACAAGTCGATTGTCGATGTGGCGAAGTCGCAGACTTGGGCACGAATGCGGTTTGAGTTGAGTTGAGCTGAGATGCGATGAGATGATTGGGGAGCAAGGGTGAGGTGAGGCAGGGTTTAAGTAAGTTCAGACATGCGGAACAGTGGCTAAGAAGAAGCGGACGCCACGAGGCGGATGTTCGAGGGTGATAGGGAAGGCACTTCAAAGGGCGATTGTCGTGTCTGCGGATATGCTGTTCGCGAGGCAGTCCTATGCCCTCGGTTAGTAAGTTTGGGAAACTCGCGGTGGGGTTCCGTCACCACGAGGAGGCGGGTCGACGACTTGTGCAGCTATTGGCCGATATCCGCAAAGTCAACAGTGGCAGAGGAACCAGCAAGTTCCTTCCGTTTTACGAGAACATAGACATTACCGAGTAATGGTCGGTCCGAATTCGAAGAGCGGATGTGGGATGGGGTGGACGGATTTCGGATCGGTCGAGCGCTGTGAACGGTGAGCGGGAGTGGAAGACGGAGTTGCCATATCAGGAATGTCGGCACGGCTGGCACAGCCTTGGATGGCGCGGTCGTCGGTTCGACTACCGCTTTTGCCAGTCCTTTTGGGCCGATTCGCGTCGTTCATCGTTGCTGCTTAGTCGCGGCTGCACAAAGAGAAAGGTTATTGCAGTCTCCTGGCTGGGTCCAAGGTCCAAAAATCATCCAGAAAGCAAACATATATTACCAGAATCTATATACTCCCCTCATGCCAGTTCCTCAACCGTGCTAGAGAATGTGATCGAAGCGTTCAGCTTGCGCTCATACCGTCGCCGCGCCTCGTGCAATGTCGCGGATACACCAGCGAGCGCAAGAAGCGTGAACAGGTCCGCTAAGCCGAGCGCCTCCGTCTGGAACACGCTCTGGAGGAGCGGCGCGTAGATGAGCGCGAGCTGAACGAAGAACGACGTTGACACCGTCGTCACGAGCATCCGATTCTGCGTAAGGCCACATCCGAGCCCGCGGTTCTGCACCGCAGATACGAGATCGAGGAAGACGAAGCAGGTGAAGGTCTGTACGGCGAGGGGCGGTGTTAGGCGCTGAGTACGGTGGATGACGAGACGGGCTTACCATCGTCTGCTCTCGCCGCGACATACCCTGTTCGTCCGCGAGGGCGTAGACGTAGACAAACAGAGTGCCGATGACGATGATCGATGCGGAGAAGAGCACGCGGTAGATGAGGCGTTGACTGATGATCGGCGCATCCTTCTTTCTCGGAGGCCTGCGCATGACCTGCGGGTCGACGGGATCGACGCCTAGCGACTGACTTGGAGGGCCTAGGGACATGTCAGTAAACGCAGCCGGCGCCCCGCAGCAGCACAGTGTGAAACTGACCGTCCATAAGGATGTTGATGAAGAGGATCTGCATGGCGTTCAGGGGGTTACTCAGGCCGAAGAGGGTGGAGAGGGTGATCAGCGTCAGCGCCGCGCACGCCGTGCTGAGCTGGAAGGAGAGGAAGTTCTGGATGTTGTGGAAGATGGATTTGCCTTCACACGAATGATCAGCCCATCTCACAGGGATACTGAAAGACGAGACGCACCTTCCTCCACAGCTGGCAAGATAGTCGTAAAGTTGTCGTCGACGAGAATCATATCGGCCGCCTCCTTCGCCACATCCGTCCCGCTCTTGCCCATGGAGACACCGATATCTGCCATCTTTAGTGCAGGTGCATCGTTCACTACAGAGACATTGCGCAGTCAGCGGAGGCACCAACGGACATGGAACCAGGACCACTGACCTCCGTCTCCCGTCATAGCGACAACCGCACCCCGCGACTGGAACGCCTCTACAATCGCCATCTTGTGCTTCGGAGTCGTCCGCGCGAACACGCTTACGCCCCCTACCATCTCCCGTAGCTGCTGCTTGCTCATCCGGTCAATAGCCCGACCCGTCAAGCACCCGCTGTTCCCCGTGCCCACACGCAGGCCAAGTGCGCGCGCGATAGACAGCGCAGTCTCCTCCGCGTCACCCGTGATCATCACGACCTGCACCCCGCCGGTCTGCAGCAGGCTGATCGCGTCCGCAACACCCTTGCGGGGAGGGTCGAGCATCGCCTGAAACCCGACAAACACGAGATTCGACTTGTCGTTGGCACCGAGCATAGAGCTCGGGGTTCCTGCGCGGCTAGCAGCGAGGGACGGGGGTGCGCTGGAAGCCGGGGTCTCCACAGCGCCATAGCCGTATGCAACAGCGATTACACGCAGGCCGCGCGACGCGGTCGTTTGCGCCTTGGTAAGGACGACGCTGCGGGTGTTCGCGTCGAGTGCTGGGGTGGAGTCGTCCGAGACGTAGTAGAACTTGCAGCGATCGAGGATGGCGTCGATGGAACCCTTGATGTAGTACATCTCGCGGGCCGCACCGTTTACCGCCATGCCGTTCAAGGACGGGGAGGAGGCACCGTGCACGCCGCTGACCGCCATGTACTTCCGTTCGGAGCTGAAAGGCAGTTCCGATTGCCGCGTGAAGTCCTGCGGAGCTACTGTTAGTTACTTCCAGCGATGCAGTATGCGTTCGACGTGCCTGACGTTGGTCGGTCAAGCCAAAGAGCGGAAGGACGTTCAAGAGGGCGACGTCGGTCGATTGGCCAACATACTCCCCCTCCTCGTTCTTCACCGCATTGTTGCATAACGCTCCGATGGCGAGTGTTTTGTGTAAAGACGGGCTAACATGTACACTGGGCGCAACGGGCGAGTGGTGGTCAAGCGTGATGGTCTCGTCGACCGAGTAGACTTCTGTCACCGTCTGCTCGTTCTTCGTGAGCGTGCCTAGAAGGTGGGCGTTAGCTACCTGTAATGTCATCTAGGCACACCGACGTACCAGTCTTGTCCGAGCAAATGACCGACACCGAACCGAGCGCCTCGACCGAGTGCAGCTTCTTGACTATCGCCTTGCGTTTTGACATTCTCAGCACACCTAGCGCAAGAGTGACTGTGGTGACGATGGGCAACCCTTCTGGGATTGCTGCAACTGCCAGCGATACTGTACTTCACAATCATCAGGCTGTCCTAGCACATATGGGTCGGAATACGCCGACGTACCTCCGATGGTGAACATCTCCAGCCATGACCGCTTCTGGATGACGCCTATGAGACAGATTATGCCAATGATGCCAAATGACAGCAAGGACAAGTTCTTCGCAAGCTCGTCCATGCTCAGTTGCAGAGGTGTCCGCTTCTCCTCAACCTGTTTAAGGAGTTGATAACGCGCTCTTGAAGAACCACTAGTACTGCCTACCTCTTGCATCATGGAGAAGATCATACCAAACTCTGTTTGGGTCCCAGTTGCAATAACGACGCCGGCACCCCGACCTGGATGACGTATGAGAGTTGCATTACCCTCACAGACAGCTCTGGCTTACCATTGCGTACCAAGGTACCCATGTACGCAATGCATGAGCGTTCCGCCAATGCTACTGCTTCCGCGGGTGCTATATGCCCGTTGCTATGGCCATTCGCATAGCCGTTCGCGGAGCTGACCATAGCACACGTCTCCGTGTCTTTGCGACGCGTCGTAGTCTCGCCGGTCAAGCTGCTCTCGTCTATCTCTAGGTCCACGGCGGAGATCAGACGCACGTCCGCAGGTATACGGTCTCCGGTGGTGAAGGTCACGATGTCCCCCGGGACAAGCTCGTTAGCGAGCATATGAAGGGGTTTTCCATCACTGCTCGTAGCCGTGTGAGTGCGTGCACTTTGCAGGTTCATTGCATAACAGCGCACCGTATGAGATGGCAGTGATGTGGGACTAGTTTGTTCAGGGCTTCTAAACTCTTCTCTGAGCGTTGTTCTTGAACGAAGCCCACTAGTAGGTGTCAGCAAGCGTACCACAGTAGTGATGCGTTCCAACGTACCAGTCAACACGATGAGTACCGCGACAGTAATACTGACTGAATCGTCTATGTTTCCCATGACAGCGCTGACTATAGCGCTTCCGCACAGCAATAGTATGAGCGGGTTCTCATATATTGTCTTCGCGAACTTTATGAGGACAGGTTCTGGTGTTGACACCGTGAACTCGTTGTATCCGTGCTTGGCCAGCAGCTCTTGCACTCGCCGCGAGGACAGGCCGTCCGTGGCGGATGTTACAAAGTGCGCAAGGGTGTCCTTTGCATTGTCAGACAAGATTATACTCAATAATATGATGACGCACCTGTATTGAGCTGTGCGCGAAGGTCGCGGACGCGCTCTCCTTGTGTACCACACGTTCGTCTCTGTGCGTGGGCAGGCGTTCGTACTGGTCGCGCTCCGTGAACGCGGACACAACTCTCCCTCCTGTCCTGTCCCACAACCCCCTTGCGCCCTCTGTCTCGACCACATTACGGAGCTCACCCAGAGTATTGATACTCGTCCCAGGAGGTGGTGGTGGAAGTCCAAGTGGTCCCTCTAGCGTATGTCTCCTCAGTGTTGTACTGTACGCAAAGTGCGCGCCCGCGTCAGGCATAGTCGGTTGAGGCTCTTCATGGTGATCGCCAGAGAAGTGTGAGAAGTACGCGGAGGCAGGGGGAGACTCGCTTCTGTAGTTTGTGAATGCAGGGGAGCGGGGGTTCGCAGAGAACCGCGCGCGCGCCGAGGTGGACGCATTCGAAGGAGGCGGTTCATTGTGGTCCGGACGTGGTGAACGCTTCCTCTCCAGAGCCATGGCGTTGCGGTGGTCCTAGCTTGTGACCCGCAGGGGGTTCGGCGATGTCAAGTGTGGGCACACAGGCTCGCGCGCAGAGGTCGGACACAGTACGTAGCACCAGCCCAAGCGGTACGAGTGAGCCCAAGGTGTGTCGTGGAGGTCGTATCTGCTTGAATGTGATGACGAGACAGAGGCGGAAAGCAGATGATGATGGAGTGAACGAGAGCCGCGAGCGCGGAGCGGCCAGAAACGCTACGCGCAGTCGACGTGCATGAGGGGGCAAAAACTGTGGCCAACGCCGGGATCGAACCGACGACCTTGGCGTTATTAGCACCACGCTCTAACCAACTGAGCTAGTCGGCCAACATCCTGCGGTTAACACGCTGCATTACAATCGTAGTCAGATGTTACTTTGCAGCCCTACTCACACCCTATCCCTCCAGCCTCAAGCTGGCATTAACCACCATGCACAAATTCACGGTCGACGACATCCCCGTCCCTACAAGTACAAATTTGAAGGTGTGGAGGCAGTAGCGGCATTTGCCTGACTATCAAATGCAGGTATCAATGCGACGTGGCTCTTCTGCTTTTGACGGGAGTCGGAACTCATGACCGTGGACTCAGCGGCGCGCCGGTGTCCCGCCCTCTCCACGAGATAGCATACATAGGTGGGATGATAAAGATGCCCCTGTCCTCTAGCAATTGCTACCATGGGCAGCGGATCCTACGACAAAGTGAAGGTAGAGCTCGCGGGCTCACCGTATGAGGTAAGGGCGCAGCCCTCGCAGACAGACTTTACGACAATCAAGAACTGATGCTCTGCCTATAGATTGGTCTGCAACATGGCCAACTTCTCGCTTCGCAGGTCGTCGACCAGATATTCATCTATCGCGACCTCTTCCAAGAAGCGTGCAAGTTCAGCTGGGAGACCGTGCGCACCGTCGCCGCGCAGTTCGAAGAGAGCATCGGTCTCCTCGCACCCCACCTCCTCGAGGAGATGCGCGGAATCGCGGCAGGAGTGCAGTCTACCGGGCACCCCAAGGTCGATATCCTCGACATCGTCGCGCTGAACGCACGCAGCGAGATAGCACTCGGACAGTGGAATGACGGCTGCACCGCCCTTGGTTGGAGGATCCGCGGCCCAGGAGTGCACAAGCAGATCCTCGCGCAGAATTGGGATTGGCGCGAGGGCGTGGGCAAGAACCTAGCCCTGGCGTCCATCTCGGCCCCAGGGAAGCCCCAGATCTGGATGATCATAGAGGTATGTATGCCCGCTTGTCTCACCTTGGCAGGAAGGTACTGATCGTTCGCTCGCTCGAACAGCCAGGGATCGTCGGAAAAATCGGGTTCAACTCCGCGTCGGTGGGCGTGTGCTTGAACGCTATCCGCGCACGGCCGATCTCGACCTCCCTCTTGCCCATCCACGTCCTACTACGACTCGCGCTCGAGTGCGAGTCCGTAGATGACGCCATCGCATCTATCGAGAGTCTGGGCGGTGCAGCGTCGAGCCAGCACATCCTCATCGCTGACAAGGATGGCGCGCGCGGCCTCGAGCTCTCGCCACGCGGAGGCTTCTACCTCAAAGAAGACGAGCGCGGTGTCCTCGCGCATACCAACCACTTCCTCGAGAACAAGCTGGTGGACGAGCCGCCCTGGCTCTCCGGGTCCCCGGTTCGCCTCGAGCGTGCACAGACGATCTGCGGCGAGCTTACCGCGAAACTGGGGGACAGTCGTCTGGGAGAGATCGACGCGAAGCTGCTGCGCGCGCATCTCTTCTCCGATACGACAAACTCGCCTCAGGCTATATGCTGCTCACCGGACCCGGAGCGAGCAGCCAAGATCTCGACGCTGTTCAACATCGTCATGACGTTCGAACCCGGACGGGCGCCGTCGGCAGAAGTAGTGTTTGGGAAGCCAGGTAGCGGGGAGGAGAGCGAGGTCTACCATATGCCCTGGTGAGTGAGGTAAGCTGTTGTAGTGTATTATGTAGGCTATAGTACACATGTGTGCATACGGCTGCCAGTATAACACTCAGCAGACATGTTGTTTTCTGTTGCCGGCCCTTTCTCTCCTCATGTCATTCTGTACTAGTTTCCTCCGTTCTGCGCTTGAAGGTCGCCCAACTTGGAGTTCAGTACACCATCACCTGACTGGCTTCTTTCCGCTTCCATATTAAAATCGTGTGGTCAAAATGTGATTGCTCCTTCAAGAATATTGCGGCGGTTGTGCATATGTCAGTATGTTGATCAGCGCGATTCGGAGGAGCAAAAGTGTGGACGCACTGGGAATTGAACCCAGCACCCCCCGCATACTCACAAGCTGAAAAGCTGTGCTAAGCGGATGTGATAACCAACTACACCATGCGCCCGATAACTTAGTAGGTGTGTTATGGTATACTGAGAGCGTCACATGGCATTTTCCCGTCGACGCCTTATTCTTCCTTTTTCGGTTAAGGTTTGCACACCGTAGTACCTTGGAATAAGGTTTGTGCATCGCGGTACTTTTGTACTTCTATATATCATGATGGCGGTCCTGCAGCCTTTGTCAACACGAGCGAGAAATACTCCCATGAGGTCGAATTATACAGGTTGCGCAAACATAGCCGAAGTATTGTACATATGAAAGCTACTTACTCCGCCGCTTTTTGGCGATTAGGTTCAATACCTGTAATTCTGAACGAGCCGATAAATCATGAATAGCTGAACAAGCCCCATCCCACGCACGTTTGCGCACTTTATAAAAGCACTACGATATCCATCCTCTCCTCAACGCGAGGCGGTGAACTACATCGCCGAGTAGCATGGCCATCGGCAGATCCGGCTGTTTGACAGCGAAGATGAGTTAAACTCAACGCTACTGCGACCAGTGCGGAAGTGCCGCTGACTCCTAGGGGCCGCCTATTTTATCCGCTGGCGAGGGTTTGTGATCCTGGTTCTTATGCATCTTGCTGGGTTTCTCCAACCAAAATCTGTGTGCCTTAAGCACCAGCTCGGAGCCGGCGAGCCCATGCGCGCCACGAGGCACGCGGTAGGCGAGACAGGACGGCGTCTCTCTCTCTTCTTGTCCACCTTCTTCAGTTTCCCCAATTCAGTTTGACACTACCGACTCTCTCGCACATTGGTGCCCGATAGTAAGGCCGTTTTCACGTGTCTGGTCTTGTGCAGCTCTGATCTCCAATTTACGGCAGAAACACGTTGTCGACCGTCGCGGCGACACCTCGTCTCGTCCGTTCTATGACCACCGGAGTGTTTAAAAGGGATAACCCCTTCCCATAAAACACTGCAGCACCGTACCTCTACCCAGGATTCGGCGACTAGCTTCGGCGGAGCGAACCTGCCGTCTGTTTACCCGCCCGCACCAAGTTTTCGGGCACTGCCACTACTTGCCATAATACCCGCGATCCGCCCCCTCTTTCTGTTCTACCCGATACCGACCCCGGACGTCCCTCTCCCCGATGGATCCGTCTCGCTCGAACCCACCGCTGACGTTGCGACTCGTCGAGCAGTTTTCCGACGCGCTGCTAGACGAGTTGGCGTCTTCTGTCAAGGGACCCGTCCTGCGCCCGAACCATGCCGAGTACAGCTGATCTCCAGATTCAATTCATGACTGCTCGCTAACCGACCCTGCTAGTTATCCGGAGCGGTCCAAAACGTTCAACGGGAAGCTAAAGCCTTCCGCGCATGTCCTGGTCTCGCCCCTCGATGCCCATGACGTGAGCGCCGTCGTCAAGTTCTGCATCAAGCACGGTCTATCACCCTCCATCCGTGCGGGCGGATATGGCATCGCCGGCTGGTCTGTTGCCGGGGACGTGATTATCGACATGAGCATGATGACTGACATCGACGTCGAGCCGCCCAAACCTACCGCTGACAATGACAACGACGGCGACGACAGCACCACGCGCATCGACTGGACGCCCCTGAAGGATATGCTCCCTCCAGGCAGCAAGGGAAAGGGGCGCGGCGCGGTCCCCCAGACGCCTGCTTCGGGCGGAACTCCCGTCCTGAGGGCTGGTAAGCGCCGCCGTGAGGATCGCTCGCCGTCGGCAGCCCCGGACGAGATGGGTTCGTCGACCGGGCAGGGTGCCTTTGATGACGCGTCGCCCACCGTCGCATCGTTCCTCAGCGGCCCGCCGCTCCCTGCAGAGAGCGGCGAGACTCCCAGGCAGCCGCCGACGAACCGCCAGCGGTTGCATTCGCCCGAGCGCACTCCCGCCGCCACCGCCGCGCCACTGCCAGAGAGCGGCGAGCAGCCAACGGCGGGTCGTCTGGAGATGCCGGTGCTCAGCGAGAGCACGCGCCAGCTGTCGGGTGAATCAACCTCATCTGACAGTAGCTCTCGCCAGTCTGGGTTCGGGCGAGGTTCGCAGTACTCGCAGTCTTCGTTCGCCACCTCAGCCTCCTCCCCCGAGGGTTCGGGCAAGAGCGGATCCGCAGAGCCTCAGGAGCCCTTTGCGTACATGTCCTCGGGCTCTACCAATGTATCATCCCGCCCAGCGATGTACGGTAACACCAATCCACTGGGCCCAGAGAGCTCCTCCGCTGCGGCCACCCCTACGCCAGGGTTCGGGCTCCCTCCCGCGATGGCCAACTGGAGCGCGCCGCCTTCGACGCTCCAGGGGCCATCAACCGTTGTCAGCGCCTGGAACCCCGCGATGGGCCTCGGCGGCGGCGTAGGGTCCTTCTCGTTTCCCGCTCCCGGTGCGTCCATGCCGCCCTCGATTATGTCTATGATGTCCGGCGCGGGTCTCCCGCCTCTCTTGGGCTCGTTTGGTGCAACACCATCACTGTTGACGGCGTCCGACGCGCGGGCGGGGCAAATGGGCACCATCGAACATCACAGACCCGTGCACCCACACGCGTATGTCACGTTCGGCGCGGGCATGCGCCAAAAGGAAATCGACCTGTACACCTCGGAGAACCCGCTGGAGGGCACGAACGCTGTCACGGGAGAGCGCAAGGAGCTAGCCGTACCGTATCACGTACCCATGTCAGTCTTCCCGCATCTGCACCGCGAATCCGCCGCTGAACAGCTTGCAGGTCCGCGCATCCAGTCGGGTCCTCCATCATGCTGCTCGCGGGATTCGGGTTTATCAGTAGGATGTACGGGTTGAGCATCGACAACCTCGTCGAGGTTGAGATGGTCCTCGCCGATGGCCGTATCGTCGTCGTGAACGCACGAGAAGATCCAGGTGGGTACCTGCGCAAGTACTGCGTGTTCACAACCCACGCGACTGCGGACTGACATGGACGCAGAGCTGTGGTGGGCTGTCCGTGGCGCGGGACCAGCCTTCGGGATCGCCACGCGGTACAAAGCGCGCGCGTTCCCCGTTCCCGTCGTCTTTGCTGGTAACCTCATCTAGTGAGTGCATAGCCCTTTGTATCTCTTACGATGTGCTGACTTCTGCGCAGCCGATTCCACCGTGCAACGGCGCCCTCGCTGATTAAGCACTTCCGCGACTGCATTAAGAATGCTCCGCGCGAACTCTACGCCAACGTGCTCCTCACTGCTGGGCCTGCGAACAAGGACTCGCTCGTAGTAATCCAGATGTGTTACGCGGGCCCACGCGAGCGTGGTGTTGAGTACTTGCAGGCGATTTCGAGCTGGGACGGAGAACGGTGTCTGTTGAATGAAGTGAACGAGAAGAGCTTCCTGAAACAGCAGGACAGCGTCGCGCAGGTCCTCCGTGGAAAGGGTGCGTCAAAACTCTTCCGTCTTCACACTGCACTGACATCGAATGCTATTCCTCTTTGACGCACAGCCGGACGGCAGTGGTTCCTCCGCTCTGCTCTGATCACGACCCTGCCTGACGAGGTCATCAACCGCACAGTGATGGAGTTCGCAGACACGCCCATTGGCTGCAGTGAGTACCTTCTCCACATGCCGCCGGTGTCTTGGAGCTAAATGTAACATTGCGCAGCGTGGTTATTTGAGCTTGCAGGCGGTGCCATAGGCGACTTCGAGGACACCTGCCTCCCGAAGGAGCAGCGCGAGGCGACCTGGACCGTTGCCGCGCTCCACCAATGGGACATGGGCATCGATGACCCGCGCTGCATCACCACAGCAGAGCAGGTGAGCACTGCGGAGGGGGCTATTGGCCTACCGACGCTGACGCAGTGGACTGCACAGTGGATGGGCGGTACTATCAAGCAAGTTTCCGTGGGCGGACCATACCCGACGGTGAGGACATTCACTTCAATGCCACTGGCACGTCAGAGAGCAGGGTCGCTGACGGCGCAGCGCGGGCACGGCAGTTCCTGGGCAGACACGAGCCGCCTGCGCGCACGATGGCCTGCTACGGGAAGAACTGGGCGCGCCTCGCGGAGCTCAAGCGCAAATACGACCCGCAGTGTCTATTCAAGAACAACTTCTGGCCGCTGGATACACATGGCGACCCCATCGAGACTCTCACGAACGAGCCGCCCTCCCCATGAATTTCGAGCACCACGCCTGATCGGCGTTGCCTCATCTACGTTGTATGTAGTATATTCTCGCGAGCGTTGTGTATGTTCCCCCACGGGGTGGTCGTCATCTTGTAATTGATAGGAAGCCGGTTAGTTTGCGCGAGGCGGTCATGCGGGCGGCGACGGCGGAGCAGCAGTATCGTTAATGAGTCGTTTCAATTGCATGTCATATATCTACCTACATGTGCGGGACTAAGCATTGGACAGTAAGGGGGTAACTAAATGAGCAGGATATATGTCGGTACAACAACACGCACACATGAATAGCACGAGACTCCAGAGAATCCATCGCAGGCTCAACGTACACCTCCAGAAAGCAAGACACAGGAGCCTCCACGTATGGGGATATACAAGATGCACGGATATGTGAGATGCACGACGATACATGCGAGCAGGATGTGGGGAAGAATTCAAAAGATACCAAAACCTAAATGCGGCGGTCGAGAGTCCGGATCGTATGCAAGACTAGTCCACGGGTAGCAGGAAACTCGCGAGCACCCACCCAACGTTCCCGAACATGTCACGAGCAAAAAGCAGGCAGTCCTCGCCGTCGTCAACGTACAGCGGGAGGTCACGATGTGTTGACGGGTGGCCGGCTTCCTTGAGGATGTCGTACACGTCGTCCGCCCGGAGCGTGAAGAATGGCACGCCGCGATATGATACGCCCGGTGGCGGCTCGCACGGGTGGATCACGCGGCACTCGTACAGCACAGGCCGCTGCGCATAGGAGGTGTTCGACCGTTTCCGGCGGTGCACAGACGCTGACTCGGCGAAGGTGGCTTTGTTCGGCGATGGAATGGCGGTAGGGGTGGGGCCGTACACTTCCGAGGGAAGAGATGGCGAACGTCGATGGCGAGGCTCGGACGAGGCCTGAGCGGAGGCCCGGAAGCTGTCAGTGAGCCTCCGCCTGAAGCTCGGCTTCCGCGATGGCCGCCCGCGGGCGTCCTCCTGCAGCGAGCCCGCCACGCTGTGCAAGCTCGGGTTGCTGCTGCTGGGGCTGATATTGTCCGGGACATCGAGAAGCCTGCTGTGGGACTGCGACTTCTTCAAGGGGATGGATGACGACGCGAGCGGCATGCTCTTCGTGCGCGAGTACGACGGCTTCGACTCGGCATACGCAGGCGTGAGTGCGGAGAGCTGCGGGACTGAGTAGGCGTATTCCCCCTCTTCGATTTCGACGAGAGTGGCGCCACCCATACTGTGTCCGCGCGCCGAAGACGCCCGAGACTTCCCCGACTTCTTCGAGTGGAAGCTCTCGGTCGAGCGCCGGCTTGCCATTTGCTGGTTCTCGATATCCATAGAGTTGTCGCTGCGGGTCTTCGCGCTGATAGCACCAGGGGACTGAGTGAACATGGAAGTGGAGGCACTGGCGGGGATGTTGAGCGGATCGAGGGCGGAGAGAACGGAGGAGACGACCAGATTCTGCGTCGCATCGCCATCATGCATCGAGCTCTGCTTGCCACCCGACTTGCGGCGTGCCTTGTCCTGTGATCTCTTCTCGGGTGGGTGGGAGATGCTGAGGCTGTGGATAGCGACCTCGACCTCGCGGAAGCGGTCCCACCACACTCTGAGCGTCTCCACGGCCCCGGCGTTCGCCTCCTCGTCCACCTTCAAAGCGTCCCAGAGGTCGGCCCACCGACTGCGCAGGTTGGCGTAGAACTGCCCCTGCACACGCGCGAAGCGTATGATGTTCAATGCGAGGCCCTTGTCCAGAAGTTGCAGATACTGTGGGAGGTCGGCGAACAGCTGGGCGCGCAAGGCAACGTAAGACTGTGACGCCTCGAGGAGCTGTGGGGGTGGCCGGGACTTCGCGATGTTGAGGTTGAGGAGGCCGTAATGCAACGGCTCGAGCGTGTGCATCGCTTCCAGAAGGCGCAGAGGGGGCTTCGTCATTTGCGAGAACTGCGTGAGCTGTGGGAGTACCTCCTCATCGACGCCCTCCTTCGCCATGTCGCAAACGGGGATCAGCTCGTCGCTGATCAGGGTGAGGAAGGCCTCGAAGGCCTCTGAACGAACGTCGGATCCCATCCAGATGACTCGGCCGAAGCTTTGTGCCCATTCGTCCAGTGCGATTGTGAGAGCGCGAACGAACTCAGCCCACTTGACCGTCTCCTTGGCAAAGCGTTCCATGAACTCCTCGTGCCGCTTCAGGCTTTCGCCCATCTGCTTCACCGACTCCGCCTCTTGGTTGGCCTCCGCGCCCTCCTTTGCCTTATACGCCGCCGAGCTGAGGCTCTTCATCCGCCCTAGGCTGACAGAGGCCGCCACGCCGACGTTCAAACCCTTCTTCTTCGGCTTCACGTCCCCATTCTTCATGGGCGTACCCGGAGCGATACCTGTGAGGACTTCACGCACGACTTCGCGACGCCGCCGGCCCTCGTTGACGCCACGCGCCACCTCCTCCATCTTCTCGCGTGCGCGCCGCAGGTTCAGCTTGTCGCCATGCGAGTCCGGCGTTTCCTCAATGACCGTGGCAAGCAATAGTGGATATTTGAGGAGGCGCTGGACAGGCTTGATGAGCAGCGACGGCAGGTCCCATGCGTGTGACAGACTTGAGGCGAGAGTCCGCGTTTGCGCCAGGTAGGCCGTCAGCGCAGGCGTCTGCGGGAGGTTGCTCAGGTGCTCGAGCGCAGTGGGGTGCTTCGTGATGTACGTCCGGTACAGCGGTTCGAGCCTCGGAATCTGCATGCGGGGCGTCTGCTCAGCGCACAAGCCCCGAAATTAATGAAGGAAGGGGCACACACCATTTCCAGGAACAGCTTCCCCACCGTGTCCTCCCCGGAACCACCGTCCAGCACCTCTCCGAGGGCGTCTTCAAGTGCTTCTGTGAACACGTCTGCAAAGGAGGCCAGATCCTCCACGTTCATAAATATGATCTTCACGTCGTCGACGGTCATAGCCGGACCACACGCCGACGACGATGCGGCGGACGAATCTGATACGGTCGACAGCGTGCGTGATGATGAGCCGGACGAGCCAGGCGGGGTGGCGGGTGTCTGTGCGAACGGCGCAGGTTGGCCTAGAGACGCATTAATAGACGATCATACGACGCTGAGCCTGAACGCTATACTACGCACCCAACGCCAGGGGGATGTGGATGTCGCGGATGAGCGCGAGGTCGGATGCGTACGCCCGTTCAGAGGAGAGCAGCTCGAGGAGGGCGTGCGTGCGCTTCGAAGTCACTGCAGTGAGCGACGAGCGAGCGGATGCGGAAGGAACCAATGTTTCATCGTCCTCTTCCGGATCGAGGATGGACAAAGGCATCGAGTTAGAGGGTTGAGGGGTCAAGGGCAAAGGTTTGTCTGGAGTATGCGGTCGACGAGCCGTCGCAGAGGCCGGCTTGTCCAGTAAATCGGAGAGAGAGCCCATGCTACGCGAGGAGAGGAGCGGCATGTCGTCGGTTCCTAACTCGTCGGCAAGAGTAGCAATGAGAGGGAGAGTAGGCGGAGGGGACCCGGGTGCGGCTTTGGCCGTCGGCCGGAGAGGCGATCGCGGAGGGATGGGTGGGGACGTGGTGGATGGAGAAGGAGGGGAGAATAGAGAGCTGGAGGTGGACGCCGTGCTTGTGGTGGATAGCCGGAAGTCTTCAGGTGGGCCTGCGATGCCCACGCGGCGAGAACGAGGCTCGCTGGCGGTGGTGTTCTCGGATAAAGAGGTCATTTCCGTCGATCGCGACTCCTTCTGCAGCTCCGTTGCTTATCCGCGTCCGCCACGGCAACTCCTCGTCCGCCGCACTTGCCTTTTCCCAGCAACAGTCGTGAGGCTGTTGAACCAACACTTGTCGCTCCAGCGCATGGAAGGCAGAGCACGAATGGACGGAACTCACGTTAAGCTCCCGGTCTACACGTGCGGGTCGCCTGGGGTGGCCGGATCTGACGGCGTCTCCGTGGAAAATATCCCAACTTCGCGCAGGCGTTGCACAGGCTTTAGATGGTGTCTCGGAGAAAGCTTTAGTTGTCGTTTGCGAATAGTCGCGCGTTGAGGTTGTGAGGATCCAGGCAAGTGGTAGAGGGTTAAGATGTGGTCATAAAGAGGTGCCGGCTAAATGGATGATCAGGTGGCTGTATGCGCCAGGGCCGTCTAAACTTGGCAATCGTAGTGATTTGCTCCCGGGAGAGACTTACTCAACGAGAACAAGGGTACGATACGCTGGGGTCAAGTGGGGCAGGAACAAGTGATGGCGACGGGAGCAGGAAGAGGTGGTGATGGTGGTAGAGGTGCAAGACGCAACGGTTATGCGTGGACGGGCACTCTCACTAGGGAGTTCAATCATCTACTTTCACACACCCTCCTATATACTTATTATACTCAATAGAAGTGTACAAAGGGTAGGTCGGGCAACTACTATAGTATTATATCCATGCGTTATGAATGAGAATCTTTGACAGCCGACCACGATTCGTCGTCGATATGGACCCCTGTCTCTCATTTGTTTGACAAAAGTACTTCCCTTGAACGGAGTCGCAGGGTGCATATGGCCAACCCGGTGTACCTGTGTTTAACAGCCAAGGCCGCTGGCACGACAGAGTGCCGGAAACCCTCGCTGTGATAGACTTCATATTACTGTTTGGCCTGTACATGCCCATGCAACCAAGGTGCAATGAGACGTGTCCTCAGCCGTGAACGTTTAGTGGCGAATCCTTCCGGATCCCTGGCTAACGGCATATTACCTGCATAAGCGAGCGAAAAAAACTTTTCTCAAGTCCGATATCCACTAATTGCTGGAGAACGGGTTATGACGTTTTCCGACCTATTCATGGCGAAGTAGAGCCTTGTGGAGCCCACCTTCCCTCACCCAGTTGTAGGCCTGTATTCATGATCCAGCTCACCGAGCTTGATATGTCGGCTCGGGGTTCGGCCTGAATGTGGGGAACGCAGAACGATCGGAGACACCGAATCCGGGATCTCATTGATCGGGCCGCAGTCACATTTATACAGTCTCCGGGCCGGTCAATGATCGGGTGCGCTCACTGGATCCCGCGTTGGCTTCCTCCTCGCACGACCGCTACGCTGGGAGCTCGCGAGGTTCGAACATGTGAGACCTGATCATGAAGCTTGGTTCTCTTCTGTGCTGTACCAACTTTTTGGGTCGCTGCTTCACTCGGAGTCGCCGAACATACTAAGGTACACGCGGTGCTTGACTTCATGCCGAACGCAAAGCTTCGCAGGGAAATAGCCCGAGCATTGGGGGATCGCCGAAGGGGTAACAGTACGTATACGTGGGGACGGTCCAGAGGTAGGCTAAGCTATGAGTCTTATAACTACGGGACGAGGTACGTGTTACAAGGCTGATATGTCTCGAAAAGCGTATACTCACGAACCTGTATAATGCAGGTTCTACACTACCCACAGTACACCCTCTGGAACTCCACAGAATCTTCCTCTGGCCGGAATCAGAGTGCTCGAGGTGGGACAGGTCATAGCTGGGCCGTTTTGTGGGCAGCTACTAGGGTGCGTAACTAGGTTTATCTCCTTTCATCCAGTGCTGACGCGCCCCATACATTCAGCCATTACGGCGCAGAGGTGATCAAGGTTGAACCTCCCAATGTGGGCGACCCGCTGCGGGTATGGAGAGAGCGCGACATAGACGGCGTCAGCCCTTGGTGGAGGAGCATCGCTCGTAACAAGAAGAGCGTCACTATAGACATGCGCAAGGAAGAAGGTCGAAGGTAGGTAATCTCCAAAGACTGGAGTTCTGTGCTATATTGAAGTTGGACAGCTTGGTCAAGCAGCTCGCTGTCAAGAGCGATGTTATAGTCGAGAACTTCAAGCCTGGGAGTACGTCCAATACCCCCGCTTCTCAAACCAGATCTCACCATCTCCCCATGTATGCAGCATTAGAAAGATGGAACCTCGGTCCTTCCGACATCCACCCTCTGAACCCATCGCTCATATTCACGCGCGTAAGCGGGTACGGCCAAACAGGACCATGGTCATCTCGCCCTGGCTACGCCTCCGTTTGTGAAGCCGAGTCGGGCTTCCGCTACATCAACGGTACGCCCGACCCCGACACGGGTGCCTTGTTAGGTCCCCCTATCAGGCCCAACCTAAGCCTCGGCGACTCAGTTGCTGGTCTGCACGCAGCCTTCGGAACTGTCAGTGTTCTTATTTTTGTCTTGTCGCACGCCAGCGGTATTGAGACGCATTCCCAGGTCCTCGCACTCCTCGCCCGCAAAAATAGGGAGGCACAGGGACAGCCCGGCGGCCAGACGGTCGACGTTAGCATCTTCGAAAGGTACTTCCGTCTCGCCTGAGATTTGGCTACATGACCTCGCGCTAAACCATGCGGCAAAGTATGGTCAACCTCATGGAAGGCATCATCCCGGAGTACGACCGCAAGGGCAAGGTACCGCCACTCCCACGCTTGCGCCCTCCATAGACACTCGCTCACACGTCCGTAGATCAGAGGCCCCTCAGGATCGTCCCTCACCGGAATCGTCCCCACGAACGCGTACCCCTGCAAGCCCGCACCCGAGGCCCCAACCGTGCCCTCCTACCTCGTGATCGGCGCAAACTCTGATTCCATCTACAACCGCCTCATGACTGCGATCGGCCGCCCCGACCTCATCGGCGCCGAGTACGCGCAGAACCACCACCGCGTCGACCGCCAGGCCGAGATCGAGGGCGCGATCGCGGGGTGGACGCAGGAGCACACCGCGGAGGCGGCGGAGGAAATCCTGCGCGCGGTCAGCGTGCCCGCGGGGCGCGTGCTCAACGTGAAGGACATCGTCGAGAACGAGCACACGCAGGCGCGCGGGCTGGTCGAGGATGTGTGGGTGCCGAAAGCGGATTCTGCAGCTGGAGGGTGGAGCGTGAAGATGTCGAAGGCTGTTCCGGTGCTGGAGGGGTGTGACACGAAGACGCGCTGGGCGGGTCCAGAGCTTGGAGAGCACAATCGGGAGGTGCTGATCGGAGAGCTGGGGCTCGCGGAAGAGGAATTCGAACGGCTGCAGAAGGAAGGTATCATTGGAGAGTGACACGTTCGTCAAACTCTGCACAGATAGTCGTATGCGTACACAAAGTCTAGTCTCCACCGCGCAGTACAGCAGCACAACTTGCTCACTGGGGCGTGCGATACACATCGTTACACATCGTTTTCCTCGCCGTTGCCTGCACTTCAAAGTGACCAGCTGCAAGACTCTAATCCGCCTGCTTCGGGTCCGGCGAGTAGCATATAGCCTAGGCATGTATGGGAGATGGGCGGGTGCGCAGCAGCTTCTCGTCGATCTCTCGTGGAAGGGTGTCCCCCAATTTCGCGATAAGCTCGCCGCAGATCTGGCACCTGAGCGCATCCGAGGCGTACGGGAGGCTCAGAAAGCCATTGCAGGTCTTCAGAGTGTCTGAGAATAGATTTCATGGGCGAGGACGCAACATGTGTCTTCCATGGAGTAGAACCTCCGCGCGAGATCTGGAGGTCGCGCGTACCGTTGTTCCCGGCCGACGGAAACCATTATGTGCGGACGCGAAGCCTTCCCGCGAAATTTGGCCAAAGATGTAGACGAATTGTTATGTGTAGTGTAGAGATGAGTTGTGCGTAGATGGCGTTTAGGCCTATGCCTACTGACGCGGAGTTCAGCCCCGAGTCTCGACGAGATCGGGCTGTTTGATGGGCCTTTGCAGTGACAACGACCCGTCGGCTGATCCTAGATAGGCAAAGAGCTGGCCTTCGGCGCATAGACTGTTGAAAAATTCGATAAGTCGCATCGTGAAGAGCAGCTGCAGGCACTCTGCAGGCAGACATATATACGCTGTGCAGTAATGCGACACGTTGTGGTGCGGAAGCAAAATAAGCAGGTCCCAAAACGGTCAAGCTACTGAACGCCTCGGTAAACGCCGGGGAGCAGGCGCTTGTCCAGCGCTTTACTCCTACCACCATCACCTCTCGCCGCTCGGCGTCACCTGTATCTTCGTCGGTTCTCGATGCCACCCTCACCCCTTCTGGTAACTACAGAGTAGGTCATATAGGCCGTGTAGCTGGATACTAATACTGTGATGCATGCGTGCGTTGCGGGTCTACCAAGCAATCATACAAACGTGGCACAGGCTGTGCAGAATTTCTAAAGCTCATTATAGGGCTAAACACCGAAAAAGGGCCCTCCGCGCGGTGCGATAATCGTGCGCTTTTTTCTATCATTCTATCAGAGCATGATCCTGAAGTTGGACATCTGACGTTCCCTTGCAGGCAATTCATATCCTCACCCTACAGTTACTCGTCACCGGGGATGATGGTGCAACACAAAAAGTGCAAGCTATTGCCATGTTTTCTAGGTGCGCTACCGTGGTCTGCACCATCAACGCTGCCTGACACTGTACCGTACAGGGAAGCAGCACTCAACGGTCTTGCGAGGCCGGGAGCGACCTGTTTGGTGGATACTCTCCCAAATTCGCATCGTGACTGCTTCGAGAATCACAGTTGTCCCGAATTTTACGTGGTATATGCAGACTCTAACTCCACTGGATGCATACGGATATAAACTCGCCTCAAAGGTGTTGAACGCCCATAATCACGATGCACTGAAGCTCTTCTTGAGTCCCGTTTGCAAGGTTACTGAGCAGGCTTGTGATCTTCGGAGGTCTCGCAGCATGGGCCGGCCGTATAAAGATGTTTACAATCGGACGTTGTGCTATGCACCTCACCGCACGGCTCGGCCGCACCATCATGGCATCCCAGCCTACCCCGCAAGGGGTCGACCATCCCACCTTCGATCCCCCTCCGTACAACCACGGTCTCTCCGTGCCAGGTCTCTACGAATACCAAGCCAAGAACAGCCCCGACCATCCCGTCTTCAAGTACGCACACCCCTCAGACGAAGCGGCTCATCATGTCACGTTCTCCGAGGCATGGGACAAGATAGGTGCTGTCGTCGAGGTTGTTTTACGACGGGTCTCAAAACCTTGTGAGAAGGCGTCCGACGCCAAAAGGCTCATCGTCGGCATACTTGCTATATCTGGTACGCTCGTTATATCTCCGAGAAATGGACCCACATTCTCATGCGAGTAATCTGTCTATTGTACGTTCGCAGACACACTCAGTTACATCTACACGCTAGTCGCCATTATGAGCTTGGGTTACACTGCTTTCCCGATAGCGCACTCTCTCAGCGCGGACGCAGTCGCACACCTGCTCGAGGCAAAAGGTGTGATGCAGCTTTGGGTCAGTGGAGACGAGAAGGTGCAAGCACTCGCACACTGTACGATGGACATGCTGGGCAAGAAAGGGATCGCCCTTACGGTACTCCCAATGGTCACGCCTCAGGAGTACGCCCAGCGGGGCAAGACCTCTACGTCATGGGCCAGAGAAGTAGTGCGCATTGCGGACGATGAGGTGACCGTCATATATCATTCGAGCGGTCAGACAACCCTTTCTCTTGGTATCCCACCATCCCGCCTGATGTGTGCATACCAGGAAGCACTGGACTACCCAAACCTATCCCCATAACCGGGAGAGCCCTCGCCAATGCGTGCAACACCCCTTGTATGTATTTCGGCTGCACAACGGCGCTTCTTGTTTGCCCTGAACATCGCTTGTACAACTTTCGACAGGTTTTGGAGACCTCGATTTGGCTGGAAAGTGCATCGCCGCGCATACTAATCCTCCTTGTCGTGAGCATGTAGCCTCTTTTTCGTACACTGGCTGCTCCGCTCACGTAGCCAACAGATGGAACCGGTATCATGACAATGACGGTACGTTACATGCATACTACATAATACTTCTCGACCATACTGACATGATATATAGTGGCCAGCAAGTATCTCTAACCACGAGCAAGTCTATCTTAAGCTGATTTATAACAAACAGTTAGCAAGCGGCTTGATATGCGCACTCTATCCACCCGTCTCTCCATTGATAGTCCCTACTCCGGCGAATTTCCTCGTCGCTTGGCGGGCATGCAAGTGCGACATCGTGGTATGCATGCCTGTGTTCATCGAGGTGCGCACACTCTCCTCCGAGTCCTCGGGCACTGTTGAATTGTCGTGAGCAAGTATAACGCAGGCATTGGTGCGCAATCCTGCAAACCTCCCGGCTCTGAAAGCGCTAGACATGCTCGTATGTGCCTCGTTTTCGTCTGGTCCGTCCCATATATATCTCACGACTACTGTAAGGTGTACACCGGCGCGACATTGACCAAGAGCGTTGGAGACAAGCTCGTGCAAGACGGCGTACGGCTGCTGTCGAGCTGGGGAAGGTACGTGGAGGTGCTACCACGCGCTGCTCCACTCGCACCTCACGAAACTGCAGCACTGAGGTGGGTGCGGCTTCGAAGACATTTCCGTGTGAAATACCGGGCGAAGACTGGGAATACTTCGAATTCTCGCCGAGCATCCCTTTCGTCATGCGACCTCACGAGGGCGCGGAGCGAGTCTTTGAGCCCATTAGGCCTGTAAGTTCTGGCATGTCCTCGTCATAGAGGGCATCATCTGACTACACATACTTCTCGCAGGCCACTGAGACGTCCTACCCCAACGTCACAAACATGGAACTGGACGGCCGTCCGGCATGGGCGACGGGCGACCTCCTAGAGCAGCACCCGAAGAAACCGACACATTGGAAGGTACTAGGCCGCAAAGATGAGAAAATCATCTTTTCTACTGGGCAGTGTGTAAGCAAACCCTGTACCCCCTTCATACATACCCACCGAGGCTAAGTGAGCCACAACGACTCGCCTTCACTAGCTAAACCCTGTGCCAATCGGTGAGATGCTTAGCAAGGCCAAATATATCGTAGCGATATGCTTACTTACACGATCTTGCAGAGAACATCCTTGCGCAGGACTTAAACATTGGGACTGCAATCGTCTTTGGGCATGGCCGGATCCGACTTGGTCTCCTCGTCGAACCGACGCAGGGCGAAAGGGGCTCCGATGATGGCAGCGAGCAGTGGGTCGAGAACTACAAAGACCTGATCTGGTTAGTCAAGATCTGTTCAAACTTGGTCGAGACGAGAGCTTATGAGTGTACGTAGGCCTACCGTGGAAGAAGCAAACAAGCACATTCGAGGCCCGTACGCGATTACACGCAGGGTAATGCATATACCTGCTCGCAGAATCCCCCAGCAATGTTCTAAAAAGCTGATTCAACGACTAGATGATCCTCGTTGCCTCCGCAGAGAAGCCGCTCGAGCATACCCAGAAGTCGACAACCCGGCGCGGGTTATGTCTGAAGCTATACAAGACGGAGATCGACGACCTGTATGCCGTCCCCGAGTCTGATGAGTCCCCGGTGCATCGGGAGTTCCCAGGGCGCATGTAGAGCCTGAGCTTATTGCACTCCACGGCGTGTGTAGCTGTAAAAGCGCCATCGCACATATTTCTTGATGACAAAGGCACGATATCTAGCCTACTAGCTTGCTTTCCATCGGGCATTTCAATCTCTGCCTGTCGCACATTCATGACACCACCTGCCGAAGTGCAGTTGATGCACTTCGAGCTGTAACTCCCAGCGGTATGTTCGTATAGGCTGACACGCATAGAATCCGCTCGAACCAGGAGGTGCTGCCTAATCTTTGTTGTGACTACTTGCACGAGGGCACCGCCGGCCTGACGCGTGTACCGGGACCTTGAGTATCTTGACCTCGAACCCCAGAAGGTCCAGCGTTCAACACAGCGTGCATGGGCTGGTGGAATAGGATGTCTGCGAGTACTAAGATACTATGCCATGGTGAGCCGGGGACTCATAAGTTCATGACTAACCTATAGCGAATTGCTTGCGCGCGACGGCTCACGACCAACGGATCCGTCTTCGTGGTACAAGTAACGGCGTCAGCTGGCGATTCTAAACACCTGTATATTGTGCAACATATGTAGGAAGCAATGGCAATGGATGGGCTGTGTGCGACGGGAGTCCTGTGCTGCGTATACGCGTGCGTAGGTAGTACGAGGGAGAGAGATGCATGGCTAGAATCGAGGAACAAAACGTAAGGGACACGGGGAGGGTCTATAATCGATACGGGCGGGAGGCGAGGACTCGGGGGCACGGTATGTGGTGACAGTGACAACACCCAATCAACGATGATATGACATAGCAAGAAATGGTGGTATGGGGGTAATCGTAATTGGGATAGAGATATGAGACGATCATGGATGATTGACATTGGCAGGGGCGATGGACAGTTCCAATACATGGGAGACAGAGCAATGAGATACGTGGATATGTGGGAGATTAACGAGTTTTGGCGGGGGGCGATAGTATGTGCGGATGGAGGTGAATGGAGCGGGTAGGTGTGCGAGAGGCTTCAGAGCCAGGATGAATGGTATGAGAGCGTCCGTGAGCAACTAGATGGCAGCGTAATCTACGAAACACGAGCAGCGAACTGAAGGACCGACGGCGGCGAAAGCCAAAAGCACTACAAGATGATACAGTAAAGCGGTCGACAGCCCGTCCGCCGCACGCGCAGCGGTACGACGTCGTAGGGGACAGCGGGGGAGACAATGGGAGAGCTACCGGCACAGCCGACAGACCGATGAAGGGTGAGGTGCAGCGCTAGACAATAACGCAATAATGATAGTGATCCGCGGAAGGAGAGAAAATCAACGAATGAGCCGGCCGTAATCGAGCCGACTCTCCCGTCGAGCTTCGTGGTTCTCTTTCTTGGGGAAGGCGTTCCAGAAACGCAGCGTTTCGTCCCCTGCGCCGGTCACGATGGTCTCCCCATCCGGGCTCATCGCGAGATAGAGCACCCGGTGCGTGTGGCCCGTCAGAGAGGCAACCATGTCCAGTGACGGGTACTTCCAGATGCATATCTGGTTCTGCGCGGTGGTCGACGAGAAACCGTGTGTAGACACGATCTCATGCGAGGTGAGTGACCATGTGAGATTGCACACCTAGAATACGCCGGGTCAGCTTTTCACATATAAGCACACCACGCTCTTGATCCTTACCTGGCTGCCAGTGTCCAGTTCATGTAGCATCGACCCGGTCTGGACGTTCCAAAACCGTATGTGCTTGTCTGCAGTACCGCCGCCGGTAGCCAAGACGCCGGACACATGGGGGTCCCAAGCGAGCGCCTTGACCGCAGCGGTATGTTCGTGGAACTTCCAGAGCGGGATATCCCCGTCGTCCGCACCCGCGGCACTGGAGCCCCCGGGCACGTTCCCTACGCGTCCGGGCGTCCCGAGACCGCCAGGCCTCTTGGATCCTCGGAGGTCCCAGATACAGACCTTGTTATCATTGCCGCCGCTTGCCAACGTCGCAGATTGTGCCCCGCCGTCGCCACTCCATCGTAGTCCGCACACCTCTTGCTTGTGCCCCTGGCACTTCTTGAACGGGCGGGTGCTGGCCTCTCGTACATCACGGTGGTGGACCATCCGGTCGCGCGAGCCGGATGACAGAATGTGGGAGTTCCAAGAGAGGGCACCTATTCGTTGCGTGTGTGCGCGCTCGTATGTTCGCGTAATTTGGAGAGTGTTCGCGTCGTAGATGTGTAGGCGACCGGACAGTGTACCCACTGCAAGCGATGTACCCTGCGAATGAGGTCAGCGACCGTATAACGTAAATGAGGACATGGAGCAAGTTCTGAAGATCGTCGATAACCTGAGACTCCGATTTTGCGCGGAAAGATCTGAGTCGGGCGATGCCTGACGGCTATTGATCGCACTCGAACAATAGGCACGAATGGCCCGCGCCTTATGTGGCTAAAGGACAGGGACACTCGTAGATCACCCATATCCGTACCCAATGTTGCAGACACAGCTAGCTACCTTTCAGTAGCCAAGTGCCAATCCTCATGTTCGGTACTATTGCATGTAACATGCTGTGGCGATGGCTGGCGGTCGTGCTCGTTGCTTGTAGTGGCTTGAGGAACCATTGAGAGCCAGCATGTTACAGTCAAACAGCCCTTAGGATTGACATTTGGCAACCTGTCCATTGCTTTACGGACGAGTATGAAGCACATCCACAAATTCGACCAATCCGGGCTCGCAAAGTCCCGCAACATAGGGAGATAGGCCTACCTTCTGCACCCAGGACACCGAGCTGATGGTGTCGTGGACGTTACCGAGATCGCAGAGCTTGGATACTTGCGCCGTGTGAGCCGTCCATAGATATACGCACGCCCCAAGCCCAACCCCGAGTACGTTGGTACTCGACCAGTCCACAAGGTTGAGGTAGAAATCATCGGCAAGCTCCGGCGCGTCGAGAACACGATATGGTGTCTTGCACACACTGCGTAGTTGCCGCCTGGGGCTTTCCAGTAAGTGGCGGCTTTCCGCTCGCACGGGACTCATTGAATACGCTTCGTCGGTAGGTAAATCCAGGCGCCGCGAGGGAGTGGCAGGGTTCGAGCGGGAGGGTGAGTTGAAAGCGAAGAGCCGTCGACGAGTGGGCGTCGTTGGAAGCGTAGATGTTGAGGCGGCTGGTTGACGGACGGGCGATCCGGCGCGTTGAGGCGACGACGGGGTAACTTCGGTGTGCAATATGGAATTGAAGATCGCGTTGGCTTGTTCCTTGAGCGCGTCGGATTCGGTGGGGATGATGCGGTTCTTCGAGGGAGTGGAGGGAGTGGCTCCATCCATGAGGTGGTAGGTCGTGCGCATGTCCCCCGCGTCGCGCGTCGGGACGAACCGATCTCCATAGTCGCGATGCACGCGTTCTGGGCTCTCTGGGGTCGCGTCGTCGCTGGTTGTTGGGCGCGAGTCGAGCGAGGGGGTAGATCCAGCCGCAACACCGAACGCGGGCGTGAACCGCGGGCGATGCTTTCGCGGGGAGTCTTCATCGCCGCCTCGGAGGCGTTTCCCGAACGGGGAGTTCTTCAAACCAGACATGGCAATGCAAGCAGGTACAGGCTGTCGATAGAAGGTGAAAGCGTCGATGAATCAGGGAAAGCTAGCATGAGCGAGTGGTGGTCGAGGAGGAGGAACAGTGGCGACGGCTGACCGCGCTCGCGCGTCGCGTTTCAGGCGCAGCCACTCCGATTGCAACCCCGCATTGTTTCTTCAACATCCGCGACGTCAGGCGATTGGATAGACGGTGTCGGAGTTACAAAACACACCTTGTTCCGCAACTTCCACCGGCCCACCGCTCGCCACCGGATGGACCGACCATGAACGTACGTTCACGAGCCATCCAGCCTCAACATTGTTCGCTAACATAGCCGACATGCAGAACCTGCTCAGGACTCTCACCGCGAGCCAGGTCAAGTCCTCATTACCGGAATCCGAGCTCAAGTTACTTCTAAGCGCCGTCAAGGAGACCCGGGTGAGTGTTTAGCACGAGTCAACCCCGCATCTGTGCTCACGCGTCCATAGCGAGCGGCCAGCGATGCCGGAAAGCTCGCGGACGCGTTCTATGACTCTCTCGAAGGTCTCCTCGTCGACCTCCGGATGGTCACAATGGTGCGATTTCAGCCACCGGGGCGCCCGCACGCGCGCTGACTTGTGGGCAGGATAACCGCGACGCGGAGGCGTTCTTAAAGCCCGTGTCCAAGACGGAAGTGCCGGATTACTATGACAGTACGTCTATCCATTACGTTCAAAGGCCCGTTCTCGTCTCACGCGACGGTAGTTATCTCCACGCCCATGGACCTCCAGACGATGCTCAAGAAGGTGAAACAAAGGCAGTACAAGTCCAAGAAGGAGTTTAAGGACGACCTCGACCTCATATGGTCCAACTGCTTCACATATAACGCGACGGAGGTGAGTGCCGTGTCCGAGGATCCTACGGCCATAAATACGCCCACCTCCCGCGGCACGACCTCTCGGCCCAATCGTTGGAGTTCACAACGCGGCGCGGCAGAGGTTCACTCCTCGCCGCGCAGGCAAGGCCCGGACAGCCATGTATCACGGCAGCCGCATGGGTTGGCAGAGGCTGCGTCGCTGGTGCGTAATATCTTGCCGACGCTCACCGCTGGACTTCGGCGTGAACGCACCCCCATGAGACTGCACGGCACGGTCCATCTTTCTCTTCTTACCTCGCGCCGCGCGAATATTATGCATCCCCCAAGTTGCCATGTCGATCTGCTGGCTCACACCTGCTACCTTTCAGGACCATCCGCTTCGCCAGTGCGCGAGCAGGTTAAAAGTGAAGGCCGAAAGACTGCTCAAGAACATCACTGATCTCAAGGAACGTGCCGATCCGGTCATCCCTGGCGAAGTACGCGTGCGAGGTATCACTCCCCGGGTGAACGGCGTGACCGTCAACGGTCATGGCCGCCTCCCTCCTGGCTTGTCTTTTCGGTCCCCGAGTCCCACAAAGCAGTCGGCCCCTTTGCCTGGCCAGTCCCGGAAGATTCAACGAGACACAACATTCCCGGAATCCGCCGCTCTGGTCCGATCCCCGGCTATGATGGCGACGTTCGCGCAACTGGATAAGGATGTCGACACATTCCTGTCCCACCAGCTCTCACCAGGAGCACATGCGCCTCCGGAAGCGGGATTGAAGCAGCGCTTGCTTCGATACGCGGTCATCGACGACGACGTGGACGGAGCATCCTTGGTCACTGGAGGGTCGCTCAGCACTATTGATGGGGAGATAGGGATGAAGCGGAAGTTGTGCGTGTGTGCATGCATAGGGCACTACTGAAACTGACGTTGCTGCAGAAACGGCTTTTCAGACGACCGACCACGCAAACGCGCCCGTACGCAGACCCCCGTGGACAGGGATGTGGTCGAGCTCTGGTGGGATGTCATGCGCTCCGACGACATGCTCAGCAACGGATTGCCGACTCTCGTACATTCTTCTTCCGATATGCCTTCATCCGAACCGCCCTCTGTAATCACCGACCACGCGCGGCGAAGACGTACTAAGAAGAAACAAGTCAACTCGGAGAACACGATGTTGTTCCACATGAACAACAACATCCGTACGCTGCGGCGAGTGCGTACGACGCACGCGAAGTACTCCTCGCTTATCCAGAGCGCGGAGGATAACGGGGGTTTCGCAATGCCACCCGTTCAAGACATCGCGGAGGAGTCGGATGACATTGTCGACGATCGACCATGGAAGCCACCAAGTGCAACCGGGGGTCTCGAGCTTGGCGCTGAGAACGCAGACGACTGTTTGCATTGGATGGGTAGCAAGGTTCTTGAGCATACGGGCTTCCAAGGTCAGTCGATATCTCCGACTATATGCGCCCTCCAACTGAATTGGGTCGCAGGGGCATCTAAGCAGGCCTTAGACGTCCTTGCCAGTGTGACGTCTGAGTACTTGTTTAACGTGGGCCGGACAATCCGTTTCCTGTGTGACAGGTACGGGAACAAGATGACCCCGGAGGTATGTGATGACGACGCACATAGACTGTAGCATATGCTCATTTTTCGTCAGGAAATCATACTACATACCCTGTTCGAGAGCGGTATTACACGCGTTGGCGACCTTGAGCGGTATATCAAGGACGACGTCGTCCGATACGGCGGAAGGCTCGCAGATATCGAGAAGAAACTCGCGAATGTCTACCGGGAAGCGGTGAGTCGTGACCAAAGCTCAGTGTATGCGCTGTCCTCATTTCCGCGAAGACTACCGAAGAGGCCTGGGATGATGACGCCCTCTTCCGCATGGACAACGAGGAAGAGGACGGCGAGTTTGTCACGTACGTGCTCTCTCCAAGTTGGTGCTGCGCCGTGTACTGACATCCACACAGTGGCAACTTCGCAGAATCGTTTGGCGAAGACTTCCTCGGTCTCAAAGAGCTCGGTATCGCCGAGGAGTTTGGCCTCGCCAGCCTCTCTATACCCAAACGGCTGCTCAAGGGCAAGGTCAAGGGCATCAAAGAGGATCCTTTGGCGTATGTCCTCCTTATTACCAGTGATCACACATCCAAGTACTGATCCAACTGTATCATAGTGCGAAGCCTCACGAACCTCCGCCGCCCTTCCCGCCGCCGCCACCTTTTATACCCCTCGATTCCACTATGGTCGACAACCAGATCGGCCTCCTCAAACCCTTTTATCAGACACGCATATCCGAGATATCCGCGTCTGTTATCATGCCCCCTCCTCCACAACCCGCCGGCTTCCCTCCAAGTTTGGGCGGTCCTTTCGCTGCGGTACCTCCCCCTGCCCCAACCGCGTCGCCAACGGAAGTGCCGCTGGTTGTCCTACCAGACGACGCTCCGAGCCCTTCGCACGCGAAGATCGGGCCCCTCGGGACCGTCAACAAGGCCACCCCCGCCGCCAACGCCGCGAAGAAGAAGAGCAAGGCGAAACCCTCCGGCCCCGCGCCTGGGCCCGCGCCACCCCCTCCACCACAAGACTCGATGGACGCCGACGCGCAACCAGATTACCCTGGGGGCCTGCCCCCGCTCATGGCACGCTCGAGCAGCAGCAACGGGGACGGCGTAAAGAAGGGCAAGGGCGCGGGCTCACCGAGCAAGAAGAAGGCGAAGGTCGCCGCGGACGCGTTCCCGCCGGTGGTCATGGCGAGCGCGTAGTGGGCGGATGCGCGTTGGGGGCGTATGTTGTATATTATTTTGTGGGACATGCATATTTCCGGAACATCTGTAGCTGTATCATTATTCGTTCTCTGTTGCTATCGATTGTGTCCTCCGACGGCGCGACAGGGGATTGTCTTGTCTATGTCTTGTCTGTTTTGTTCTGTTCAGGTAGGCGCTAGCCTATGGCCCATGGGACGTGCACAGCATCAGATCCATATATGCAGACTCAGGCTCCAGTATCTCGTCGCGGGTGTACACGGGGCCATCATATATTTACCTGCCATGTTCTGCGCACTTGTGTGTAGTACCGGATATCCCTCTCGAGGTTTCGAGGGTGTTTGCAAGAACGGGGCTATTGTGCCGTAAAGGCACTTCATCATTGGGACGCGTCGTACGCGTCGTACGCGTGGCACGAAAGCGTGTTCCAGCGCTAGCCACAGCTTGTGCACGAACCATCACTGACCCTCACTCTATTCTCCTCATACACCTTCAACCGTCAGACTCTGCACACAACTACTCACGCGAAGGGTCTTCTGCATTAACCGGACACTCACAATGTTATTTCGGTCAAATCTACACGAGGATATCAGGTCTTCGCAGGACCTCATTATCCTCTGTCACGCGCAGGAACGCGTCCTAGTTCCTCTACCGAAGACTTACGAGGTAACTCGTCTCCTGGAAGTTTGTGTACACTGCTAATGACGCGTCGCAGGATGCACAACAGTGCGCCAAGGATGTGTTCAACATCGCAGGGGACGTCATTTTCGTGACAAAAGATCTCCCGGCCACGGGCTCAGTAGAAACGCCCGTTCGTATCCACAGTGCTGCCTGGGAAGGCATCAGCCCGGTCCTCTCCTCGATTGAGGTCTTCAGCGCCGACGTGCAGAGACAGGAGCCCGTCCACATTGAAGCGAGCGCGTCCGTGCGCCGCCTTTCCTCCCAGAAGCGCGTCGCAGGCCCTAGCGCCTATTCTAGCCGCACCCATAGCGTGGCCGCCAACTCCTCCGTCGTGGAGCGCCAGTCAACGGCCGCCAGGAAGACCCCGCTCGCTGCATCTAAGAGTCTTAGCGATGCCTCAGCTTCCGGGTCTGTGGGCGGCGCTAGCAAAGGCCCCAAGGCATCGACATCCAAGGGTGTTCTTTCGCCACCTGGGCCGACGGTGCTTACTCGTCCGCCTTTGCCCAAGGTGGCCGCCCCTGCTCCAATAAAAGCACCTTCTCCAGCCAAGCCGCCTGCGTATGTGCAAAATGCGCCCACGTGGACCGACGAGGACGACGAAGAGGAAGAGCTTCGCATCCTCTCGCCGACGAAGAAACGCGTCAATCGGCCACGCGTCCTGTCCGACTACGGTCTCGAAGAACCCGAGGAACATTCTGAGGAGGAGACGACCAAGCTAGAGGCACCCGAGGAAGAAGAGGAAGAGGAGTATGACGAGCTCGAGGATGCCGAATATATTAGCGCCGCGCCTCCCGCTGCGAAGACGCCGTCGTCCTCGCGGATGCCAGCAATCTCCGCCGCGAAGTCGGGCTCAGGCTCGTCGACCCGTGGCGGCGGGAGCAGGCCGCTCGTGCAGCTCGACGCGATGCCCTCGGCGAGCCGTACCCCTGAGCGCATGCCGTCGCCCAAAGTCAAGGTGGAGAAGGGGCTGGCCAAGCCCGCGCTGCCGTCTCAAGGTAGCTCGATTTTCGCTGAAGGACGCTCATGTTCAACTTGCTGATATCACCAAGTAGAGTCGGCTCCAAGCCAGCCACAGGGCAAGAGCGACGAGAGCTTCGTGATCATGATCGAGTACAACGACGACCCGGAGAGCCGGTCCCTGTTCAAGACGCGCGGGCGGCACATGGTGAGCAAGGTGCTCATGCAGGCCTGCCGGACGTTCGGGCTCGAGGACTACTATAGCAGGTACTGTTTAATATGCTTGCTTGCGGATGAGGTTCAGTTGCTGACACGAGCGGGCTTTGTCTCACAGCGCTAGGCTTGTCCTACTCGTCGAGGTGGAGGGAGACGGAGACGGAGAGCCGATGGTCTACCGCTCCGTGTGCGACCGCAACGACACGATGGCGCAGGCCGGCGCGGAGCCGGACGCGCGATTCGTCGTGGAGATTGTTGACGGGGAGGAGAACGCCTGTAAGGTTTCCTTGGGTTGACTGACCGTATGCGATACTGATGAGGACATTGCAGAGATCTACAGAGCTTTCTTGATAAAGGACGACAGTAGGACACGACCTCCCGCTCTGATGCAATACAAGTTTACGACCTCTCTTGACGAATCACAGTGACATGAGTTCTGTTTTCCATAGGTACCAATCGCAGGTCGATCGAGAGGGTCGCAACGGTTCATAGGCTAATGGTAAAGGCTCCGTTTATTGCTTTAGACGGCAGTACAGGTATACACACAGAGATGTGAGGTCTCAAGCCGCAACAGACCCAGCAGCTGCCATCGGCATCAGCAGGAAAGTGTGTGCGCACACAGCACCATTGCGGCGACGGTCGAGCATTGATGGATTGCGGGGCGGCTGGCAAGGCAATCCATACGAAAGACGGATCTTGTTGTAGTTGAGGCATCTGAGGTGCTCCGACTCGGATTACCGGAAAGGCGATGAATCAGCATGTCTTCGACGGCAGATCCTGACCCGGAACGCGTCTGAGCGGCACCAGTCCGAGCTTCTCAGAACGCCGCTCGGAATTCCGTCTTTGCCTGCTGGAGAGCGCATGCACCTATGCATGAGAACCATCAAGACTAGCTTTTACCTGTGCAAGAAGCCCGTCCTCGAGGCTTGTGGGCGTGGCGTATCGGCGCGCGTACGGGCGATGCAGCTTGAGAATACGCGGGCTGCACGTCCAAGGGCCGTTTCCCCGGTGGTGCTGGCCGTCCTCAGGCATCAGTGTGATATTGAGTAGTGGCAGATAAGCAACGAGGCGTAAGGATCTGCGTTGCCAAGATCGTGAGATGAGATCCAGGCGACAAAAGGGCCCAGCGTGGGCTGTTTGCAAACGTGACGCGGCGCCGTGTAGATGGGTGCGACCGCGGCGCGTGTTGGCACACGGGAAGTGCGGGGCGAAAGCGAGACGAGCATGCCGATCTTCGTCGGATGCGCCGTCTTCGGAGGGCACACGGGGTCGTCTGGCAATGATATCATTAGAGACGTACCGCACACGAATACTGTCCCATATTCGCAGCGAATATGTACACGTGGTCGGCCTAAGCGTTAGGCTACATGAAGCGTCCTACACCGCTCTGAAGCGAAGGTTTCGCGCGCACTTATTGCACCGGACGAGATGCACAAAGGCCTATGATAAATCAGTACGGTACACATGGCAATGCAGAGCTCGGGGTAGAGCGCACCAGATCTACCCTGTTCCTCACAATCTCTTCGGGTTAGTTTTCAGACGTCTCGATAACCAGAGCGTCGCCGGGTCAAAGTGATGATATACCCTAATATAAGTACTAGAATGCGTCAGTATGTTACAATGCTTCAGCGGGGAAGAGAGCACTCACCTATCCAATCAGGCACGTAAAAAAGCGATAATTTATCCATTAAACGCATGTGTAGCGGTACACAAAACCAAGATAGCATTGAGATAGCGAGGAGAATGGTCGGTGCAGCATGTCGAACACTGCGGGTACGATGAGTAACTCTCAGCATATAAAGAAGCGCGGGGCGCTCACCGAAGGTGCAGTTCACGGCTTGACCAGCTTCTTCAAGCGGTACATCCCCTCCCAAGCGACAGCGACAGTGTCGTTCACGACTCGGTCAAACGCGGGCTCGTTCTTTGGTCCAAGCCGCCAACGTAAGTCCGTATCGTTGAGGGTTGCCCGTATCTTCTGCCACTCCCGAGATACTTGTTCGGCGGTCGGTCGCTGCTCCGGCTGTCGTAGTGTCATGGGCCCTATCAGCGCCTCGAGGAACTCCATGCTGTTATATTTCTACGGCTGCGTCAGAGTAGTGGGTGGTACACATGCTGGCCATACATACCTGTGAGAACTCCTGGGCGTATGTATCACCCAAAGCGTATATGTCGACCTTGAAGGCATCGTACGGGACCGTGTCCGAGTGTTCGGGCACCTCCGCTCGCCCGACATCTCCGATGACGAGTGTCGATGATCCTGGGGTAAATCGCGAGGACAGCCCGAAGTCGATGTAGTGGTAGCGGACGTCGCGACCGGCCCGTGGTAGTGGAAAGACTGGGGTCCGCACGTCGGGGCTGGCCCCCAATCGTACTGGATGGTGGCCTATAGGGTAAAGCGACCTCGCGTCCATAAGGATATTCTCCACTGCGATGTCCCTGCGCCAACCTCGTATCAGGTCATACATTGTTTGCGAGATGATTTGGCTTACCGATGAGCGACGTTGAGCTTGTGCATGAAGACTAGGCCCTAATAGCAGTTGAGTTGACAGCACAATGCACAGGCTCGTGAACTTACTTCGATCGTCTGGTCTATGAAATCAACAATGTCCCCTACAGTCGCAAATTCGGGGTTATTGCAGGGCCTGAGGTAAGGCATCACCATTAACGCTCGCTGCGGGTCGTACGGGTCCGAGAGGATCTCATGAACAGGAACAGAGTGGTTTCGAGGATCATCGATGGAAGCGAGAAACTGGGCAATGTGTAGTTCCTGTCCTTGCTTCAGGAAACTTTTGATAGCGACTATTTCACGATTGGAAAGTCGGGTAGCGTCTATAATTTGGTAGTGCTGCAGTGAGTATGTGAAGCGCCCAGACACGTCAGTTCACTACGCGAATGCCTGTGGGTGACATTGGTTAAACTTACGAGCAGAACAATAGAGTCTTCGCAATAAAAGGAATCATAGTCGGTGTCTATCCAGGATGGTTTCCAACCAGGTGAGTATCGTGGCCTCAAGAGGTAGCCATGGTCCTTTAGGAAGCGATGACGGGCTTGCCAGCCTTGTTCTTTGGGTGAGAGATTGAAGGTACCCTCCCGTGTGAGTTTCTGGAGTCGTTCTACGGCATCTGTTGGCAGAGTAGGTGGTCGCGATTTCGGCCTCACCGGTATGGACATAGCTTTGGCGTGAGTATGGACGAAGGCAGGCGCACCTCACGCGCGTGGCCAAGTCGCCCAGAAGTCAGCGTGGGAATACATAATGTATCTCCCCGAAGTGGAGCTCTGGTTCGGATCCTGTGGTACGTTGGCACACTCACCTGCTCTCTGCTCGCACACGCCAACTCATACCGGAAGCACAAACATGAATCACACGACATGGATGCATTCCGACGGATCTCAGATATATCAAAGGCCTCGTGGATGGGCCAAACCTGTACCTCCGCCTTCTACTGTGGAATATGTGGGCAGCGTGCTGATTTCTTTTGGCTAGCATCCCCGCGGTTTTCGATCCCTTCCCCTCCCACGTTCCAGGTATATATGGGCATTGAGGTGAAATAGAAAAGCGAGGCTCGCCCTCTTCCCGCCGATATCCGCACCATCCGTAAGGTTCTTGTTGCTTGGAACCCCTTGACGCCACCAGTCCTCCCTATCCAACCACCACCAGTACTCCCTATCCAACCACCACCAACTCGCATGTCCGATCTTGCGTTCAACATCTGGGGTGTGATCGCCAGCGTCATCGGTACTATTCTGGCCCTGCTCCCTCTGTTCACCCTTTGGGTACGGCCTCGTTTGCCCTCGGCGACGATACTTGATCTGTGCGCCGTCTTGAAAGAGACGAAGGCGCTTTTCTCCGCTGCCCTCGATGAAGGCCTGATCACTGACGAGCACGAGATCCGCCAAATTCGCCTGAGTATGGAGATGTACGTCTATCGCCATTATTCCCTTCATCTTACTCACATGGCACTCATGGGCATGACCCGTTCCTCTCAACTCAGAGCCGCTGCATACCTTGACGGGTTGTGCGGCACGGTCTACGCCGCCACGTCGTACCCCCAAAGCTTGAGGAACTGGTGGAACGGAGTATCTTCGCGGATTGCGGAGCTGTACGCGGAACTCAACGTCGTTCGGGTGAAGCTTGCAGTGAGTCTGTCGTCCAGAGGCTGCTGCCGCCGCCACATCCGCTTACCCCGATTCTGTAGAAGAGAAATTCATTTGAGCGGAAGCTTCGGATCGCCCAGGAGTTCAACGTTGAGTTTCCATTCGACCCTGGTATGCCGCTTGTAAACCTTGGCTTCAGGAGACTTACACTCGTGTCACAGTGCAGCCCTCTTCCCCTCCTCCGCGATACACCCTTACGCCACAACCGGATCGCCCATCGTTACTCCAACCAGCGAAGGCTCAGAGCCTACCGCCCGATTCATCCACCTCGCCAGAGCATCAGTCCGCGTCCCATGCTCAGCGTGATGCTGAAAGCGACGTCAGAAAAGCGGACCTGGCCACTCCGGACTCGAGCATCCGCTGCCCGCCGGCGACGTTCTCGCTCGATGCTCATCCGACCCTGGCGGTTCGCCCTACCCACCACGTCGTATCCGATGCCGACCTCCAAAGGTTGCTCTCTCTTGCTGCCACGCATCCTCTTCTCCGGCCTGAGGAGCACGAGCGCCAGAGGGCGACACATCGTGATGAACTCCTGCTCCATCTCGGCAGACTTTGCGACGACATCGGTCGCGCGTCTACGCGCTCTGGCTACCCCTTAGGGTCCAGACGACATGCCAAACGGACTCGTTTCAAAACGTTCGCACGCTTTTTCCGACACGTCGCTGGGATACAGCATCCCGGTGTCGGTGGCGACGCCGACAACATCCATCGCGATCCGGAGTCTCTGCGGCCCCATCGCAGGGAGGACAAGGATGACGACGAGGAATGGTGTGATGAATAAAAGTATGGTATCAACTCGTCACAGCGGTCTCTTCTCCATTTGGTCCGCGTTGTCTGCCTATGGCCTTGCTACCCTCTCTTGTTTTCCAAAGGTTTCTCATTTCAGTACTGCCTTCGCTACTCGTTATGCTGTACCAATTTGCATATGCTCATGCTCTCCACCCTCGCCTACGCCCATACTCTCCTGCTCTCGCTCTATTCACAGACGCGTCTGGATACCGTCTTGTACATCTCGCTATCACGCCCCGGCGATCACCCTCCCGATGTTCTCGCCGTACGTTACCTACCAAACGTCTCCGACATGTAGCCGTAGTCAACATCGCGAAAAATGCGCCGTTCTTTACCACCTAGTCTGGGCGTCCCAACGGCTCCAGTCTGCAGGCTGCTTCTCGGAACGCCGCCCGGAATTCTTCCTTCGCCTCCTGGAGGGCGCGTGCACACCAGCATGAGAGCCATCAAGGCTTACACAGGAAGGTCACCCTCGAGGCTTGTGGGCGCGGGCGCCGCCTTGCGCACGGGCGGTGCAGCTTCAAGAGAACACGCGAGCAATTGACCTTTCACCGGCGGTACTCGCTCAGGCTGGTCACTCGCAACAAAGCCGATCACACGCGCGAACTTAATCTCTGGGTATGAATGACGAGCTGCATCGGCGCGCACGTTCATTCGGACGCGAACGACAACGCGCGTAGGGCATATGAAAGTGGAGCCCGTTATAGCTTGCGCTAACATTTTCTGGGTGCAGTGCGATGCGAAGCAGTGCGGTGCCGGTGGGTGCGACTTGGGCGCGATGTCAGGCCCCAGACATCGGGACTCGGTGGGGAGGAGGGGGCGCCCGGGGCCAAAGGCGCTTTCTCCGTAAGACGCGTTGATGGTTTGGGGTGTATACCGCCGACGAAGTAGCATCGTACATGCTTGCGGCCGGGAGAGCGACGGTGTCAACATTCGTACCTGAGGGTAGCGGTTTATCAAATAAGATAACGTCAAGGGTAGGGAAGGAGACGACGGGCGGGCATAATGGTTGGATGGCATTGGCGCGAGGCTTGAAACTTGAGCGTCGGGTAGGGATTTCTGCGGGGGTGTCGGGTTTAAGACTGAGAGAGATTCTTGAGGCGGTGTACTCCCTCCCTCGCGACGGGGACCGCGTCGTTGAGAACCCGATCGAGCGCGGGCTCATACTGGGGTACAAGCCGCTAGCGTAAATGGGTATCGTTGAGAGTCGCACGCGTCTTCGTCCACTGCTAGAGGATTTAATCTATTGTAGAGCGAAAATTCCGGTTGGCGCCAAGTCATACTAAGCTCGATGAGTGGACACAAGAACTCCATGCTTGTATATTTCTACACGATGATTAGCAAAGCGCAGCGGTTTTTAGTTTACGGGACGCACCTTCTCAAACTGCTTGTAGTAGAGATCTCTACGAGCGAAAATGTCGACCTTGAATGCGTCATACAGGACCTCATTGAATAGTTCTGGGATATACACTTGGCCGACGTCGCCGATAACGAGTGAGGAGGATCCCTTGGAGAACCGAGAGGATAGCCCGAAGTCTATGTAATAGTATCGAACGTTGCGCCCGGCTCGGGGCAGCGGCGATACGATCTTCTGCCCGTCAGGAGCAGCACTCAGTCTTACTGGACAATGTCCGGTCGGGCAGGGAGCATCCATCATGGTATTGTAGGCCGCAATGTCGCTATATGGAACGCTCGAAAGACAGTAAGTATACACGGACAGCACCAAAGGTGTAATCTTACCGATGTGCTACGTGATGCTGCCTGCCTGGTGTAGACATCCGCTTTGCGTGAGTATGGGAGGAGGCAAGAACGTTGGAATAAGGTGTTTGCCCTAAATTCGGGCAAGCCAGGTTCGGTTGTACGGGCGCCTACGCTATAGCACTGCGCTCGCTTCATCGCCTCTCGCCAAGTTCTCCTGATGTCTCTCTCGCACGATGTGGCGACACTGCCGCAAGGAATTTGTCGGATCTGCCACGATTCCGGTCTGCTGAACAGCCATGAGCTTTTGATCGCTTCGGTTATCTTTGCGCCTGTGGAATGCCTAAAAGCTGGTCTGCAATGCTCACTCTCATGATCGCCGCTCTCTGCATTCGCCCACCGTGATCAACGCTTTCGTCTTGCTTGACACCCTTGGCTATTGGTACGCGAACCTCCTGGATACCTGGAGATGTCTGATCTAGGATGGAACATCTGGGGTGTCGTGGGCGGCGTCATCGGAACTATCCTAGCGGTGGTTCCGCTCTTCCTCGTCTGGTTGCGCGTCCGATTGCCATCGAAGAAACTCCCTAGTCTACTCGCTGTTCTAGAGGACACGAAAGAGCTCTTTGCAAAAGCGGTCCGCGCAGGTGCTCTCGCGGACGTGCAGGAGATCCAGCAGATTGAGTTCAGCATAGCGACGTACGTCTGTTCTCGTGTCTTCTCTTCTCGTGTCATGAAACCCAAAGTTTCACAGCGCGTCCGTACACGTGGACGAATTTCGCGCGACGGTCTACGCGGCAACGTCGTACTGGCAAAATGTCAAAAATTGGTGGAACGGTCTCTCGTCCAGAATGGTGGACTTGTACGAAGCGCTGAACGTCGTCCGTGTCCGGCTGGTCGTGAGTAGATGTCCACCTAGATATCCGCCACATCTACTTACGCGCGTCTGTAGAAACTGAACTCCTGCGAACGAAAGATGCTGAAGGAGTTGGATGCTGGATATTCATCATGTCCAGATGTCCCCGGTACGTCGATTACGATACTCGATGACATGAGTCGTGAAACTGACATTCAAGTCGCAGACCATACCCTATTGCCCCCTCCGGAGTATACCTCTGAGCCGCCTGTTACGCATCTCTCGCCACCCCCCTCAACTGGGATTGAAGACCAGCCCCCTCTTCGTTCCACGTCTCCAGGGCCTTCGCTAGCGTCCCTTCTCCGCAACGCCGATATTCCTGGAGACGCCCTAGAGGAGACGCTCCCGTCCTGCTCTCGTCCTACATACCACGTCGTATCGGACCCGGATCTGCAGAGCTTGCTCTCCCTCGCTGCCGCCCAGCTTCTGCTACGCCACGAACAACGCAAGCGCCAACGAACGCAAGACCAGGACTCGCACCGTCCCAGTCGGCAGGCTCGCGGTCCTGGCTCCGCCTCGTTCCCAGGCCGACGCGCTAGGCGGACGCGTGGTGGGGCACTCGCGCGTCTTGTGCGACACGCATACGGCGTCCAGCACGTCGATGTCAACGGGGGCGCACAAAACGCCGACATCGACCCGGAGTCATTGGAGTTGTTACCCCAGGGCGAGGCAGACGACGGGGAGTGGCAGGATGAATGAAGCGCGACTTTTCCCAACTTCGTCGACGCAGTCTGTCTTGTTCGTTGTGTTCTGTGTTGGCCCTGAATCCACCCTTTCCTCCGGCCTTCATTCCTGGTCTTCGTTCAATTCGCATGGATCTGGATGCGTCCCGGCAGCCCCGAGCTAACGCTGACGATCGTCTCAAAATACTTGGGCAATACGATTTGCTTTGCCTCGACGGCTGCCCTGCGCCCTGCTCATCAAATGCCATAGCTTCGAGACCAAGACTGACTCCTCGGCATTCTTTGCCTGATGTCAATGGGACCTGTCACCCAACCCTTCAGGCACGATGGCCGATCGCAGAAGCAAAGAGCGATAGCAATCGGCGCCGCCATCCGAACCGCAAGCAACGTGGCCTGCGCAGCCTTCGCTCCCAGCTCGAGCTTAACACGTCGTCCGGGAGTCCGTCCTTACGTCGTGGTGAACTCAATCAGACCCGTGAAGCCCGCCTCCTTCCATCGCGAGTATGTTGGCCACAAGACTTGGGAACTTACGTCTCGCCGCGTGCGCGGGCGGTGCTTCTTGGGAATGCTCGTCCGCGCATTGGTGGGTCGTGACCCGGCTGCGAAGTGAGCTGCGCGGGGGCGCTGCTCGCCACTCGTGAATGAATAACGGGCGACGAGGTCCAGAAGCTGTATCGCTGTGCACACTGACAGAGGTTCTAGTACAGGGAGGATCCAGAAGTTCTGGCGTACGTCCGAGGACAAGTCTCGCAGCCACATCGATTAACGGCTCGCGGTGCGTAAGATTCAGGCGACGCGGTGCAGATGCATTTCCCCGAAAACTCTGCTTAGTATTGACATTTACTGCTCATCTGCGGATCGTGGCAAATCGTAAACCACACGAATGATGGACAATCCCCTACTTCATTCACCGCTTACTTACCCACTGACCGGTAGGTGCAAGTGCATTCTTCGAAGGGGACTATTTCCCGCGCCAGAACGTTAGCTCTGCTGTAGACGTGAAGCTTGAAGCTCACCATAATTTTGTTGCAACATTAGGGCAATACTGTTCAGCCTGGGCAGAGTGCGACAAACTGCGACCGCAGACTTCGAGAAAGCCGGCGTGGCCCACACGTGTTTTCATATGAACACTTTTGGTAAGTACGTTCGAATTCCTCGGCTGCGGCCCCCTTCTCTTCTCCCACTGCGCCCACAAAGCCTCTGCTGACTTTGTCATACGTTCTATAGTTACAGCAACTCCTGCGCTTCTGCCCTTCGAAGGCTGATACACGCGCACTTCACGTTCCACGTCCCGAATATCACCACGATGTCGAGTCAGGCTCGTGGGCCGCCACCGTCCGCTGTAGCTTTAATGGCGGGGGAGAAGACGGCGAGCTCGTCTCCATCCCCATTCACTCCTTCGCTAAGCATACCACAGAACGACGACCTACTCAGCTACCCGGGTCTGGAGCTCTCCCGCCCATGTCCGCACTCGGCTTCGATATCTGGGGCGTGGTCAATGGCGCCATCAGCATCGGTGCCGTTTTCATCGCCCTCGCCACCTGGATCTTCAGCTGGCGTCCCAGTGCGATGGTCCACACCCTCCACGACTGCCTGAAGCTGACGGAGGGTGAGTTCAACACCGCTGTCAGCGACGGGCTCCTTCGCGGAGGGAGCGGCGTATGGCTCCGCTTCAGGTTCTGGGCGTAAGTGACACTCTTGCTATGCCTTTTCCATGACATCATCTCCGGGCATGTATCGCACAGTCTCCAGATCCGAGCGGACGATGTTCGCAGTCAAGTCTACGATATCCGCACGTGGGGAGAAGAGCTCAGCTCCTGGTGGAAGGGAACCTCCCGCACCATGTCGATCATTTGTAACGATCTCACGAAGCTTCGCGCAGCACTGGCGGTAAATCTCGTCTCTCATACTCTTCTCTGTATCGCATCCTGAAGTTCCCTTTGTCTCTGAAGAAGCGCAACTCTCATGAACGAAGGGAACTCGCGTCTTCTAGTAACCCTAACAAACTTGCGAATTGGCTCGGTCTCAGAGGTTCGTATCCGCCGGCTCGCGCTTCTGCTGTTACTGAATTGTTTTGCAGACCGATTGTTCGTTACTTCTCCTGAATCCGCCGTCTCTCCCGCTCTCTTAGAGAAGGCGGATCTCCCGCTGCCTCACAGCCCTACGATCCTGGCTGGCATGAGTGCCTTGCTGGGAGTCGCGCCTATCCTCCCGATGGCAGGGGTCCACGGGATTCATGGTGGAGCCGATTCGCATGGTCATCCCTTCCTGGGGATACAGGCCAGCGCTCCCTCCACCGTCCTCTCTCCTGCCACACCGGTGCCCCGCTGCGCCGAGAAGGGTACCGAAGCCGGAGACGAGCGCCACTATCTCGTCTCCGACAAGGACCTCAGGGCACTCTTGTCGTACGTGGCTGCCCGTCCTTCCGAGGGCGGGCGGGACGGCGGCAAGCGACAGCGCGCGTCGCGCAAGGAGCTCCTGCTGCGCTATGGCAGGCAGCTCTTCGGGACAGGCGCGCCGGCCTCGGATTGGGGTTTCGAACCTTTTCCTGCGACTGCATCCGCATCTGCGAAACGACGTGCAGCACGCAGTCGCGTCGGGGCGATTCGGCGGTTGTTCCGGAGCACCCTCAAGGCGTGCATACAATCGGCCGCAGACGTTGACACCGCTGACCCCGAGTCATCGAGGCCCCAGTGCGCTGAGGCTGATGACTGCGATGAGGGGAGCGACCCATGCGACGCGTGAATTCCCAGGCTCTATTTTTCGTTCTCTGTCCTCCGTGGAGTGGGACCTTGAGGCCTCTTCGTACACCAAGCTTTTTTCTCCCGCTTCCACATTTCCCCACGATTAACGATTCTTCGCGCACGCGCGATCTGGATGCCCACGCTCGCAGGCTAGCACTGCCTGCGAGCAGTATACCTGGCACTCCACCATTTTTATGCCCGTTCACGCTTGCTCCACATGCCCTCATGATTTCCTCTATGCGATACCCTTATGCCCCCACCTTCCTTATTTCTCTCAGATATTCCACAACCCGCTGCTGTCGTTACGCGCAGAGTAGAAAGCACTACACGATACGAAGATAGTACTTATACGGCGTGTGCCGTGCGCCGCCACAATTGAAACAGACGTTGTAGTCGAACAGCGTGGATCTTTCTCCGTGCACGGACACTCGTTTGATTCGTCCGTTATCGACCAGAAGAGGCGCGACGATCGGCAGCCTTGCACAAGGACTCACGCACACAAGCATGCCAGCGCGTGTGAAGATGAGGCTGTCCTTGTCCTCGCCACAAGGGGAGCGAAAACAAGGCAGCAGGCTGAGGAGTAGCAAGGAAACACGATTTGCCTACACCTCGACCGCACCCCTTCCATGGCAATTCTCCATGCGCGCACGAAAAAGGGTCTGAATCGGCAAAAATCCCTCGGCTGTGCGTCCGGGACCAGGGCCAATAACGCAGCGATAGGGCTCGCACGAGGGCGGCAGCAGTAGAAAAGAACCACTGCAGCTGGAGGCTTCTCTTGATGATCGATGCGCCCACAGAGCAGACACGAGACAGCTCCAGCCTTGCTTGACGTATCGCCCAAAAGGCGCAAAATCTGGGGCCAGGGTTGACAGTAAGCGAAGGCCCGGGTGACGACGACGGCGTGGCTCGAGCTAGGGTCTGCGAATGCGGCGCAAATTCCCGCGTCGGGCAGGGAGTAACCTGGCGAGGGACGTCATACACGGACGACCGGTGACCGTGCAGGACACGGTAGAGGCGTATTGGTAGCAAAGCGGCTGGCCACCGTATAGTGCCATCCTCAATCACGAACGCGATGATGTCCATGGTCTTGCCGTCCGGGGCGCGCCTTGCGGGCCGCTAGGTCGTCCATTTCCGTATGACGGTAAAAGCCGATGTGCGCGACATGAGACAATGGCCTGCTACAGCACGGCGTGCAGCACGACTGCGACATGCGGCTGACGGTGTTCAACGTGCGGTCGTGGAAAGAACCATGCTACGCCTCTCTTGTACACAACTCATGGTGCTCGGCGTACTACGCAAGGTAAACGTCAATGCACGGTCTGCAGCGAAGGTAGCCGAGTACTCACGAAATCGAAGCGGACGCGATGTGTGCACGAGGACGAGTACAATATGAACAATATACATATTCGTCACAGCAAATAGGCACAACAATATAGAGAGGGTCGGCGACGAGCTGGATGATCAAGGCGATATAGCTGTTAGCAGCGTTGTGCTGATAGGGAGCAAACTATTGCATACCGGCAGCGACAAAGGGTGGCTACCCCACCAGCTTCCTGAGGCGGAAGACTCCCTCCCAAGCGACGGCGACCGTGTCCTTGAACATCCGTTCGATGGCCGGTTCGGACTTCGGTCCCAAGCGCCATCGGAAGAGCGACTCGTTAAGGTCGCCGCGGACCTTCTTCCACTCCCGAAGAACTTGCGCTGCTGTTGGACGCGTCTCCGGTTGATGCCGCTTCATTTGCTCGATCAAAGGCAGGAGGAACTCCATGCTGTTGTAAAGCTGACGCCCGCGAGTTAGTGAAGTGGACGACAGTGAAATGCGTACAATTCACCTGTGCAAAGTGCTTGAAGAACAAGTTGCCCAGGGCATAGATATCGACCGGGAAAGCGTCATAGGGGATGTCATGGGAGAGCTCCGGTACCTCCGCGTCCCGCCCAATGTCTCCGACGACGAGGGACGGCGAGCCTTCTGGAAACTTGACGGAGAAGCCAAAGTCGATGTAGTAGTAGGTTATCGAGCGACCCGTTCGTGGAAGGGGAGTGGCATCGTACAGTGCATCTGCACTGACCCCCAACCTGACTGGATGATAGCCGTCTGGATAGAGAGGCTTCGCGTCCATCATGATGTTAACGAGCGCAATGTCACTATACATATATTAGTTTTTGAAGCGAGATAGAAGTCATAGTAGGAAACCCGCTCACCGATGTGCTACCCTATGCCTGTGCAGAAAAACAAGACCCTATGAGGACGCATGAATTGGACATAATCGTGAATGACCACAGAGCCATGCCATACCTCGATCATTTGGTCGATAAACTCGATTACTTCGCCGATATTCCCGAACTCGGGGTCGTTGCAGGGACGTAGGTGAGGCATGACCATGAGAGAAAGCCGGTTGTCGTAAGGATCTGGCAGGACAGCCAATACTGGCACAGTGTGCTTCGATTCTTCCTTTACGGAAGTGAGAAACTGAGCGACGTGTAGCTCTTGGCTATCCTTTCGAAAACGCTTTATAGCAACCAGCTCGTTGTCTTTTCTACGCCTAGCGTCGATGACCTGGTGGTGCTGTGTGGTGGGAATATCGTGAGTATCACGTGTAGTTCGATTGTGTGGAGAAACACCCACCTTGAGCATGATCGCGTCCTCGCAGTACATCGGGTCCAAATTCGTCCCAGACCACGAGGGTTTCCAATTGGGTGCATAGCGTGGACGCAGAACGTATCCGGACTCCTCTAGGTACCGGTAACGCTCATTCCAGAAGATCTCAGAGGGTAGGAGACCATAACGGCCCAAACGGGTTGATGTTGCGTAGTACTCGACATTTTCCGGCTCTAGAACAGCATAGCGAGGCAGTCGTTTCTGTTTTTCCTGTGCAGACATCGGCTAGTGTGAACCGCGGAGGAAGTTGAAGTAGGGGACATCGAGGCGTGCACATGCGGCAGATGACAGATCTCAGCGTGGAAGAAACGTGTCCTCCAAAAGCGGCATGAGGGTGGTTCGGAGCGCTCGCCACCCCTTGGCGCCCAACTCTTTGCGTGCGACCATGATGGGGGCAACCCCGCAAAAGGATCCCATGGCCCAGCAGGCAACGCCAGAAGTTGACTGTACGTTTATTCCAGATTTCTGGGCTGCATCTGATATCACAGCTGCACGTACGGGACCACCGCCTCGTCCCCACGCCTCCACCTCATTCCAAGGACGTCCGGCCAACGACTCGGAGGGCACGCGCTGGGGAGCGCCAGATATTCCCATATATCATGGCACCCACAGGACACCCCTTTCATAGGCGTTCCTTGACCCAAGATTAGCCTATTCACCTAAATTCAACACGCTGCTGTTTCCTAGCTGGTGGCGCAGAGTCGCTATGTCGGACCTCAGCTACAATATCTTGGGCGTCGTGACTGGTATACTCGGGCTACTGGGGCTTATACCTGTTGCTTGGATTTATACCCAACTCCCGTCGCGAAAACTCCACGCACTAGAGCGTCTCGTGGAGGAGACCGACGCACTTTTTCGCAAGGGGCTCGAAGACGGTCTCCACACTGGTGAGGTCGACCTGTTTGAATATCACTCCGGCATGTTGGAGTACGTACTGGCAACCTGAGTCTGCTTATCGCAACATTCTGACCAACGTACTGTTGCGTATATCTAGTGCGAATATCTCACTTGACGACTTGCGAAACTCACTGGGCAGTCTCAAATCTTGGCGCGCCGACCTGAAGGCTTGGTGGCGCGGCCTATCGAGGGCGATTGCGCACATTCACAGAGATGTGAACGAGCTACGCCTTCAGCTCATCGTGCGTATCTCATAAAACAATTCCCATAGTGACAAATTTCTAATCTGGCCGCCATCGCATACAGGACATCAGCGCTAGAAGCCGCCGGAGACTGGCCGCAGAAGGATACGCAAACGCATTGGCTAGATACTCTGGTGCGCTTAGCGAAGGTCAGTCGTTATTGCGCCTTGGTGCTTCACCTGTTGACAATGAGCATTCTGCACGACAGAACGTCGGTCAAGCATCCTGTCTCTCGCCGCACGGAGCAGACTCTCCACGTCATCCGTGTGCGGCTACTCACAGGTTGGCGGGGTCCAGTCGGACTGCGCCGCATCATACGCCCCCCCTCGTCGCACGGACTCCCCTCTTCCAATGCCCGGTCACGATGCCTCGTTTCCACCTCCTCCAAGTACCAATATGCATACCAGAGATCCTGGACCTCTGCATGAGGACGCAGACCACGTCGCCACCTCAGACGCAGCTCTCCATCCTTTACCCTCAGCCACCCTGAACGCTGCTGAAAGGCGGGGCGAAGATTGGGACCCGACGCGTGGGGATCCTGCGTCCCCCTTCGTTTCTGACGCCGATCTGAAGCATCTTCTGGCGCTAGCTCTGACTTCCTCGTGCTGCCGTCGTGAGAAGGGGAACCGCCACCGTGCGATACGGCGCGACGTCCTACTACGCTGTGGCAAACATCTCTTCGGTTCCGTCAACTCCTTCGATGACCTCGATATCCCGTCGCATGCGCGACATTCTAAACGCGCTCGTCTCAAGATGGCGAGGGGCCGCATACGGGAAAGCCAGGGACTATCCTCGCGGGGGATGGGCGAGGCTGTCAGACCGGCCGATGCGGACGACGAGTCGCTCGTGGTGGGGATCGCGCAGGACGACGAGCGCGATGCTGCGGAATGGCAAGATGAATGAAGGTGCGACTATTCCCTCTATGATGTTCTCGGACGCGGGACCGCGGGGAGCCGTCCTCTTGCCTCTTCTTATCCTCTATGAACATGCTTCTTCGCAAGCCGTCGCCGTTTAAATTCTCCCTATGCACTCCATTTCGCTTCTCGTTGATATCTCGTATGTCATTCGCCGGATCCCCTCTTGTTTCCAAAAGTGTATCATACTCGCTGCATGCTTGATGCTCTGCGATTTCCCTCGACTTCTTCGGCCTCTAGTGTTGTTGGGAAGGCGTGATCGCTTGTATACATCCACACATTGAGTTGAAGACCTGCGTTTCGAAAAGTTGTTTCAACGGTGGCGGGAGGCGTGCGCATATCGGTGACAGATACCGCCGGAAACCGCTCGCCCTCGCAGTCCAGCGGGTACGATTTCGAGATCTGAGTTAATCATTTGCCATGTCCACTTCGCGCAATGTCACGGTGTTGCGTTTTCTAGTTAGCCACCCCACTTCCACTTCTGCCCTCATGGGCTGTACGAGGCGCTGCTTTGTAATGCTCCCGAGTCCGAGAACCTCACGCCGCAGCATTTGTTGTTCTCTCATTGGTGGCGCCCTTTCTTCGCGCACGGGCACTCATTTGATTCGTACGTTGTCAATGACAAGGGGTGCAACGATCGGCAACCCTGCACAATGACTCGCGCACACGGGCATGTCAGGATGTGGCTGTCCTTGTCCTCGCCGCGAGGGGGAGCGAAAACATGGCAGCAGGCTGGGGAGCAGCAAGCGAACACGATTCGTCCATACCTGACTGCGCTACTTCCATTGCGACTCTCCATGCGCGACGGACAAGGGTCTGGGTCAGAAAAAATCCCTCGGCTGTGCGTCCGGACCCCGGGCCAATAACGCGGCCGTATGGCTCGCACGAGGGCAGCAGCGGTAGAAAAGAACCACTGTAGCTGGAGGCTTCTCTTGATGATCGATGCGCCCACATAACAGACACGAGGCAGCTCCAGCCTTGCTCGACTTGTCACCAAGATTCTACGGAATGCGGGGCTCGGTATGGTGCAGGCGGAGACATGACTCGGACTGAGCTTCGAGACCGGGTCGAACAACTATGCCATGGAGACACTGGCTGTGCGGGAAACCTCATACTCGGATGGCCGGCGAGAGAGAACGGTAGAGGCATATTGACGAAGTGGCCAGCGACCGTATAGTGCCGACCTCGAATCACGGGCACGGTGATTTCCACAGTCTTGCCATGCGGGATACGCCCTGACATCCGCTACGTCACCCACTCTCCACATGACGTTCGAAGCCGACGGGCGCGCGCAGAGGATGACGGTCTTCCGTAGTGCGTCGCGCGGTGCGATGTCGGCCGCTGCGTTAACGAGCAGATGGGGGAGCAGTGACGCTCGTAGGCTCTTGCAAAGAGTCTGCACGCCGCTCGCAGCACATTCCGATGCTCTGTGTGCTGCACAAAGGTATACGTTAACGCACGTGGTGCAACGAGGATCGTAGAACACTCACGAAGTTCAAGCGAGCCGTCTGGATAGACTGGGACGAACAATGCGATATGAACAATATACATATTCGTCACAGCAAATGAGCACAGCAATATCGAAGTGGTCGCCGCAGAGCTAGAAGAACGAGTCAGGTGAGCAACCCCATGCCAACTAAGGAGCTGTTGCTCACATGCGACATGGCAAAAATCATCTATCCTACTAGTTGCCTGAGGCGGAACACCCCCTCCCATGCAGCCGCAACCGTGTCCTTGAACATCCGTTCTACGGCCGGTTCAGACTTGGGTCCTAGACGCCATCGGAAGAGCGAGTCGCTGAGATCCCCACGGATTCTCTGCCATTCGCGAAGGACCTGGGGTGCAGTCGGACGCGTCTCTGGCTGTAACCGCTTCATCTGCTCGATCAAGGGGAGAAGAAACTCCATGCTGTTGTACTCCTGTCGGCGTGTCAGTTCATTAAACAACAGGACGCCGTGGCTGGCTCACCTGTGCGAAGTGTTTGAATAACATGTTTCCTAGAGCGTAAATGTCGACCGGGAAAGCGTCGTATGGAACATCCGGGGAGAGCTCTGGTACCTCTGCATCCCGCCCGACATCTCCGACGACGAGTGAGGGTGCGCCTTCCGGAAACTTGACAGAGAGACCGAAGTCGATGTAGTAGTAGCGTATCGAGCGACCTGTTCGTGGAAGAGGGGTGACATCGTATAGTGCGTCTAGGCTGGCCTCAAGTCTGACCGGATGGTGGCCGTCTGGATAGAGAGGCTTTGCGTCCATCATGATGTTGGCGAGTGCTATGTCGCTATGTGAAGCACAAGGTGAGACAGTGAGACAGACGCTGTACCTGGAGCATCTCTCACCGGTGTGCTATCCTGTGTTTATGCATGAACACAAGGCCCTGCGGAAACGTATGAGCTCGATGTGGATCGTATGCCACAGCGCGGCTTTATCGTACCTCGACCAATTGGTTGATGAACTCAATCACCTCTCCAATATTTCCAAATTCGGGGTCGTTGCAGGGGCGCAGGTAAGGCATCACCATTAGCGATAGCTGGGGGTCGAAAGGATCCGGAAGGATTGCGAAGACTGGGACCGCGTGGTTCGTTTTGTCCTCGGCGTTGGAGAGAAATTGGGCGATATGGACTTCTTGACTATTTCTCGGAAACGTTTTGATAGCAACCAGTTCATTGTCTGTGCGACGCCTAGCATCAATAACTTGGTGGTCCTATGATATATGAACGTGTTTAACCTCGCTGTGACCGAAAAACGAGTTGCTCAGAAGCACCTACCAAGAGCATGATCGAGTCCTCACAGTATATGGGATCCAGATTTGTTCCAATCCACGACGGCTTCCATTTGGGTGCATATCGCGGCCGCAGGAGGTATCCCGAATCTTGCAGGTAGCGGTAACGCTGGCTCCAGAAGGTCTCAAACGGTAAGAGTCCGTAATGGCCTAAACGGGTAGATCTTGCGTAGATCTCGACCCCCGCGGGATTTAAAACAGCATGACGAGGCAGCCGTTTCTGCTTGTCCTGTGCAGACATCGGCTGGCGTGAACCGCGGAGGAAGTTGCGGTGTGGAGACCATTAACGCGTGTGTGCGGCAGATGAGAGATCTCAACGCGGAAGAAACGTGTCTCCCAAAAGCGGCATAGGTTTGGTTCGGAGCGCCCACCTTGCTTGGCGCCCAACTTTCTGCGTGCGACCATGATGAGGGCAACCCCGCAAATGGATCTCATGGCCCAGCAGGCCACTGTAGAAGTCCAGGGCACGTTTATTCCGTCTATTCGAGACTTCCGGGCTGTTTCTGATGATGCGTTCGCATGTGCAGGACCACCGCCTCATCTACCAGGTGCCAGCACACCCCGCCACAGTCAAAGGGCACTCAGGGCTGGCAACCGAGAGGGCACGCGGTGGCCGCCAGCTACCCACATATACCGCGCATCGTAGTGGGTTCAGAACCTCCTCCTCTCAGGCTCTCTTAGGCCTAGATTCACTCCACTTCAACTCGTTTCCAAGCCCTACTGTGCTGGTGGCGTAGATTCATCATGTCGGACAGCGGTTACAACATCTGGAGCGTCGTGAGCAGTGTACTAGGCCTACTAGGACTTATACGCCTTGCTTGGATCTACACGCAACTTCCCTCCAGAAAGTTCCGTGCTCTAGAGCGTCTCATGGCGGAAACAGAGGGGATGTTTCGTAAAGGGCTCGATGACGGACTTTACACGTGCGAGACGGACCTATGCAAACTCCATTCAAGCTTCCTAGCGTAAGTCATCTATGCCTATCCCTCGCGACGTTTCTTCTCACTTGATGTTGATTGTGTGTAGTAGGAATCTTTTCATCGACGACTTGCGTGACTCAGTGGGCACCCTCGACACATGGACTGCGGAAGTGGCGGGTTGGTGGGGTGGTCTCTCAGGCAAGATCGCTCGTGTTCACAAAGAGGTGGAGAAATTGCGCTCCAAAGTCGTCGTGAGAATCTCGTTTTACTTCCCTGTTAGCGTTTATCTGACACTGCCGTCGTTTGTAGGATAGTAGTTCCAGGAACCGACGACGACTCGCTGCGGAAGGGTATGCCCAGATCGTAGCTCGATACTCTAGTTCGCGTAGCCAAGGTTAGTTTCTTCTACGGCTTCATTCAGACTCTGGCTGATGATGTATTTACCGCACGGCAGAACGTCGCTCGAGCATACTCTCGTTCATTAGCCAAGACGACTGCTCCACCCCGTCCGAGTCGCCTAGCGACCCCGGCCAAGCCAGCGACGTGCCACCGGCTCTCGAGTGGTACCCGCCCCCTCGCCGCACCGATTCCCCACTTCCGATCCTAGAACAAGACACCCCGCTTCCGGCCCGATCGGATGCTCCGCCCCACACTTCTCTGCGTGAGGACCTCGGCCTCGCCACTGTTTCCGACGCAGATCCGCATCCACCCTCGGTCACTCCAAACGCTGATCAACGGCCGGACAACACTCCGAGTTGTAAACCAACCTGCGAAGACGCTAGGTCCCTCTCCGTCTCGGAAACGGATCTTAAGCATCTCCTCGCGCTGGCTCTGGGGTCCTCGAGCTTCCGCGACGAGAAGGGTAAACGCCACCGTGCGACACGGCGCGATGTCTTACTGCGCTTTGGCCAGCATCTGTTTGGCCCCGATACCTCCTTCGATGTTCCCGAAGCATCGTCGCATACGCGACATGCCAAACGCACCCGCCTAAAAGGAGCGACGTGCCGCATACGAGGTTACCGTGAACTCTCGCCGCAAGGCATATCCAGGGCTGCTGGTTCAGTCCATTCCTCCGACAAGGCACCACCCGTGCTCGAGCGCGTAAAAGACGACGAGTACGGCGCGGCTGATTGGCAAGACGAATGAAGGTGCGACCGTTCACTCTGCGATGCTCCCGGACTCAGGATCGACTCCGGCTTCGAAGCCGGAGGCATACTTTCTTCGCTTTCTATTCCCTATGACCGTCTATGCTCTCTCGCCGCCCGTCCTCCGTCATGCACCCCACTTCGCCTCTTGTTTATCCTCTGTACGGTATCTGCCGGTTGCCGTGACGGTTCTAATGTTTGTACCATACACGCTGTATGCCCGCTGCTCTACCATCTCTCTTGCTCTCCGCGCTCTGCATCTGACCAGTGACGCGAAACCAACCGTTATTGCTCTACGCGTTGATGAATGACTTTCGTGGTGATTACTGAGTGTGGCTGGAGACGTCACGACGGACCGGCGGAGGCCGTGAACACCGTACCGGCCGCGTCATTGATACCACTCGCAGTGCAGCGAGTCCTGGATTCGGACCGCCGGTGCTCACTTCGCCTATTGTCACAATGCTGGGTTCTCCAGGTACCCACCCCACTTTCGCTTCTGCTGATCGCGATCCATCATGGGCTGTACAAGGCCCTGTCATGTAATGCTCCCGAATCCGAGAACCCCATGCCGCAGTCCTTATTATTCTGTCGTATGCGGCGCTACTGGTTGTGGCGGCATCGGAATGGCTTCGCCAACCACCATACAAGCGGGATCGTTACTTCCGTACTTCAGGTCACTGATTGTTTCTTGTTTTCAGGACGCTTGTGCGGACAAGCGCAGTCCGCACTGGCCGAACGCGCCATACTACCCGCACTGGAGAGCGAGCCAACGAGAGAAATGACGCGGTGCGGAGGCCGCACTGATAGTGCAGCAAGGTACGCACGGCCCAGTTCTTAAGCTTCTATTGATCATCGATGCGCCCGTGGTATATGGGCGGCCCATGAGGCGTGCTTCTCCCTGCTTTCGACACAAGGCTCCTGATTCTGGTGTATCACGAGTCATTTCGGCTCCAGTACTTAGGACATGAGAGGCGGTGGCGGAGGGAGACACGCATCCTCCTTCACTCAACCATGCGCTATTTAAGCAGAGCTGGAATGGCCCTTCCGCCTTTTATGCATTGGTATGCCGCAGGGTCTTGCAGCTCGTGGGCAGGATCACCCGCCGATGTTGATGCCAAAGCCACGCCTGCGAAGGCCCCTTCTCCATGGTATGTTCTTCGTGTTCTGTGCCAGTGCAGCCACGGATGAGCTGCAGCCCGAAGCCCTTTCTTCCTCTCACACCCTTAGGCACGCCTCCACTTGCTATCTACAGTCTAATTCCTCTTCAACATCGTGGCCTGCAACGATAGCGCGTCGCTCCGGCATACCGCCGCAGGGCGACTTCGCTCGCTAAACATGAACCTTTCCCAGCTCATTTCCGATAGACGCGCCGCACCTAACCCCCCTTGTTCTCGCCATGCGCGTGTCCCAAAGGCGATAAAACATAGCCCTCACGGACAAGGAAACTCTTCACTAGGCCCCACATCTGCCCCCTCTCCGCTCCTCTGCCCGTCCATACTCTTGCAGCGCCGCCGTGTACCTCACTAGCAACCATGACCGAGCATTCCTCTCTGTGCCAGATCGCTCCCGCCGCGCTGCTGCTCTTCAGCTTCTTCGCATTCTTCTGCGTCGCCATATACCGCCTGGCCGGATGGACTTACGCGAAGTTCCACGCGCTCGATGAGGAGGCAAACAAGGTGGACACCCAACTCCACTCCCTCCAGGAAGAAGGCCGCGTGTACATCACGCCCGGTGCGGACTTGGGCGCTCGCATGGAGGAGTACGTGTCTCCCTGCCTCCTACGCTCCGCTTTAGCTTATCGCACACCAACAGCATCCGTGCTCGCATCGAGCGCATTCGACCTGCCTGTACGGTGAAGTTCCACCCTATATGGTTCTTTATCCCCGTGGGGAGGCCCCTTCACCGGGAGCTCGCTGCACTCTCTGCAGACATAGCCAAGCTGAAGGCAGACCTCGAGCCAGAGGTGAGTACGCGTCCAACGGCGTAGCTGCGGCGACTGATGGACTTCTTACAGACTCCGGATGTGTGCGAAAAGCACTCGTCGTAAACCCACAGATTTCTCTCTCCCCTCGCTTCCAGCCCTTGGATGGAGGTTTTCCTCACCTTCTCACACGCTCCCCGTTGTTACGTTATCTGCATGGGCGCAAGCGCATGCTCGCGGCATTGCGAGTACGATGCTTGTCCCCACTGTCCTCACGCTTGCTATGCCGTCTCCACATATCTATCCCAATTCTCCCCGTCCCCACATATGCTCTCCAGATTTACCTGTATTTAGTAGACCGCGCTACATGTAGGAGGTGTAGAAGATTTCGCGGAAACTGTACTATTACCTCGTTCAGCCGGACTCGGACTTCTCTGTTCGGGTCGTCCACTTAATTGTCATGTGTCTCCGCGCCACGCGCAGGAGCTTCATATTCAGCTTTCGATATCCGTTCGAATCGCATGCCTGAGCAGCGCTCAGGCAACGCGTCCGTCATGATGCAGGCCTGCGCTGACGAACCGTGCGCAGTGCGTGTGATGTATAGATAACCGCGGTCCGCAACATAAAAAGTCTGCTGGAGATCGCTCTGACCTGTGTCTGAGGCAGTGCGAGCGGCGTCGTAATCCATACTGGGCTTTTCACGCGTTGGTAGCACTGCTTCGTACGTTACGGCGCGAACGACTCGATGAGCATGCAACACGGGCAGCATGTTCTGCAACAGGCCACAATACACACCTTTGACGGAAATTTGGCGCCTGAGGTTGCATCACTAGCGTCTGACTCCTTGAGAGTCGATAATACATTTTGATTCGACCGCGAACGAGCACATAGGGAGAGCAGCGAACCTGTCGCCGAACGATAGCTGGAGCGTAGCAGGAAAGCATACAAGGTTGGAAAAGAGTACAGGGAAAGAGAGGGAGAGAGAGAGCGTTGGAGAGCGAGAGGGCGAGAGCGGGATGGATGCGCATAGTGAACAAACAAACAGATAAGAGTAGCATAATGTTGTATCGATCGAGAACAAGGTCATAATATCGGCCTTACCTTCCGGGTTTCGACGTCCTCCCAGTCGTCCGCGTCGTCGTCCGGTTGCAATGGCTCGATGGACGACAGCTCCGCCATCGAGATCAGAAGTACGTCGCTATCGTCGTCGGCATCGCAGGAAGACGCGCGACGGGGATGCCGCCGGTGATGGTGCGCCACCGGGCGAAGGAGTGTGCGGAAGCGCGACGGGAAAGATCTGGGATTCTTCCACCCGCGGAACGATGGCGTATGCCAGCCCCTGGAGGGTGCCGGCCCTGCCGCAGGGGAAGCGTGAGTGTCTCTAGCCCTACGCCGCGATGGCTGTTGCTCTGCTACATGATCCTCGGAGGAAGGAGAGTCCCCGGAGGACGAGGCCGGGAGTGAAGATAAGGTGGCGGGGACGGAGGGGGGTACGGCGTATACGTCGTCATTCTCGAGCGAAGGTAGGCTTACGTCGGGGTCTTCTCGAAGGGGGATGCAACCGTTGCTCTTCGTCGGAGGCTCCGAGCGCCAGGGGAAGATCAAGGACAAGAAGCGGCGCGGCGTCTCCTTCAAGAAACGCCACACTTTCGTGTAGAGCTTCGGTGTACAAGGATCTGAACCTTATGAAGCGACACGTTCAATAAACTGGAGGCGGTCGGTCACGATGAGCCCCACCTTCAAGTGCGCCACCGCCACCAGCGGCCAAAAGGCGCCTCGCTTCAGCTCGTGCTCTTTCTTCCCGTTGACGCGTGCTGGCCGTCTGCAAATACACTCAGTTCAAACAAACCGCCAGCGTGAAATGCATAAGCTCGTACCGAGATGGCGGCGCGCAACTTCATGGCTTCATACTCGATGCAACGAATCTGACTTGTCAGGCCTTTGATCAAGTTCTTGAAATTCTCGGTCAAGTCCGTCGCGGAATTCGCTCTGTCCCTGAGGTCTCTTGCGGCGGTCTGTAGTCTGTGCAAGGTCTGTCAAGAACAAAAAGAAATCGGTGCGTTGTATCGGTACCCACAATTTCAACTGCTCAGTGAATAATTTGATATGGTGGTCTTCTAGGAGCCCCTCTTCGATGGACTCGTGCAACTGGGCGTCGGCGGATGCCAGCGTCTCAAAGAGACCCGCCACCTTTCTGGTGGGCAGCTGTAGCGCCACAATGGTGAGGATAAGGGGGATGGCGGTAAGAACCCCCACAACGCTAACAAAGGTCTCCCATCGATTATAGGCAGAGCTCGACATGCTGTAAGGATGGGGGAGGATGCCTTGGAGGGCGTTACGGGGAGAGAGAGTGGCCGCCACTTCGCAAAGACAGAGGTAGAAGAGCCCAAATCTCATCCGTGCAGGCGTCCGGAGGGGCGGCTACGGTCCTGGGAGATCGGATCCCTCGTGTGCAGGGTGTGTATCAGTCTGCACCGCCTGGGTTCCATAAGAAATTCAGAACAAGGAGAGCTAGGAGAAGTTCGGGTTCTGTCGCTTAGCCAAACGGGGAGATCAGGTTCGCATGCAGTGGCACTAAGCACGGCATGGGTGCGCTCGCACCATCATCATGTTCGCCGCCCGGACGCGCCGGCCCTTGGTCGCGCGGCCGCATGCACCATTGGACATGCTTGAAACATCATCTTCGTCAGTCTCTTTCGTGCTCTGTTCACCGTGGCTCACCTTTCATTTGAGTAAATTCGACTGCTGGCCTGACGGTGGGTGCATACTAGCAGAAATTCGACCGTCAGCCTCGAGTGTGGGCGCTTGTAGCCTTTGCCACGTGTCGTAAATTGCCATTTGCGGAACAAGATCTCGAACACACCTCTTCGATCACGCTCTCAGCCTGAGCCAGATTGTGCAACACGCCCAATTGGGTAGACGGGAACTTGGCCATCCTCCAAGCTCGCATTCTCCGACCCTCATCCTACATGGCCGAAGGAAGGAAACTGCCGGGCTACGTCTACCTTCCCCCCGAAGCCGCTCGCCGCCAAGCTGAACGCACTCGCGATGGCACATACAAACTCATTTCCTCCGAAATTCCATGGAAGGATAGGTATCATTTTCTGAAGCAGAACGGTTATCAACTACGACCGCGGTATAATCCTTCGTGGGAGCCCTCTTGGAAGGGAACAAATCTGGATCCAGCGTTCTGTGAGGACTATGTAGTCTTGAGCGTTTGTCATTCGAGTTGTTCCTGTATGTCTTGGGCTTTACTCACAAGCGGGTTACAGACCTATAACGTGACTGACGCTACGCGTCTTTCCGACAACTGTCGCGTTGCGATAAAGGTGGTGAAACGGAGTGACCAAGAACTTCAAATCTCGCAATTCTTGACCTCTATACAACATCCTGCGAACCATTGCGTTTCAGTTTACGGCACCCTTGACGACCCACTCGATACGTCAACATTGCTGATGGTCATGCAGTACCTGACACCTTGGAATGAACCCGAGTTCTCCGTCTTAGGCGACGTTGTAGACTTCGTGACCCAAATGCTCGAGGCAAGTGGGTTTCGTTCTTAGTAATATCAATGACATGTTTACGCCAAGTTAGGGTCTGGAATTTCTCCATAACCAGCATGTGGCCCACCGGTAAACATCAGGCTTCTTCTTCCCCTACGACTTACCGCTTATCACCCGTGGTAGAGATGTAGCGTCTCTCAATATCATGATGAACGGAAGCGTCCTGTTTCCGCAAGGGCATCATCCAGTCTGGACGTATCGATCCCCGGACGCCGTATACGACCTCACACCGCTACAGCGCATGGACCATCCGGTCCGGTACTTCTACGTCGACTTCGGACTCTCAGTGCGCTTCCAACCTGGCGCGTCAACGATGGTCGTGGGCGACGTCGGCCGAGATGCGGAGGTTCCTGAGCTTTCGTGGGACGTGCCATACGATCCGTTTAAGGCGGACATATACGCCCTGGGGAACCTCTTCGACAAGGAGTTCCAGCAGGTATGCCCGCAGGCACGCGTCGCGAGCGTACCACTGACGCACTTGCGCAGCGGTATCACAGCCTTCAGTTTCTCCTGCCACTCATCGAATCCATGAAACACAAACAACCCGAGCAGCGACTGACCGCGAGCGAGCTCGTGCAAATATTCGCGAGCACCCGGAAGACGCTCAACCCAAACGGCTTCCGCTGGCGTCTTGGCCCGAAATCCGAGCCGGCGTATGAGAGACTGTTCAACGACGGTGTCGCAGTTGCGAAGGAGAGCATCAACCAGCTGCGGCGGCTGGTACGATCGTAGACCGATCAAATGTGAGTCGTGTTCATGCGGACCTGTGTATGTCTACACTGACGCACAAGACAGGTTGTATACCTAGTCATCATCTATATCACCTCGCTATCGCGCTTTGCATGCTACATCGACTTGAACCTCGCTGTGTGGTGCCACACCTGAAGTCTTCCATCAAGCAAAGGTTCAGGCTCTCCAGCGTCACTTCGCTATGAGCGGATCGATACTGTCATCGGCGGGCGCGATCACGCACAGCGAGTCGCGCGCCAAAGACATAATTATTTGCGTGAAGCAACAGCAAGCCGCCTCCCGTCCCCCAAAAAACCAAGCCCGTTCGAGCCAGTGCATCTCGGCTTCGCTGCAGGGCGGAGAGACCAGGCTCGCTGGCGCTGTAACGTAAGGACCGAGTACGACCTCGGGCGCACGATCAACAATATGCTTGCCGCTGCTCGAGGCGGAACAAATGGCTCGTTCAATGACTGGCTTTTACATCGTGAGTCCATTCCATACGTCGCATCACCTACGCCGCCCATCATCCATTGATATGTCCACATAGATTATGTGCCCAGAGATCGACAGCTGCACACTCATCCTATATCCCGCTCTATCGTCGACTATACCGCATGATCCATACAGATCCGACATCGACGACTTCGAACTATTATGAGGAGGCTGAGCAGGTATGGCAGACGAGCCGGCTCCATGAGCGCATCGCTAACGAGCGTGCACAGCGATACTATAGCCTCCGATTCTCCGGCCGACCGTCCACTCGCGAAGTAGTGGGAGCTGGAACTGCTGCCCACTGCAGGCGGGCTGGTTCAGATGTTCGCCAGAACCTGCGTGGGCGATTGAGTCGTCCCGCCTCTGCTTCTGTCTTTCTTTTCTTTCTTTGAATCCTCGTTTATTGCCCTCGAGGGCCGAGCCCTATGGTAGGCAATACAGCGCAAGTGTCTACGGGGAAGCACCGAGGGGTCAACCGACATATGTAGGGGGGTGGAAGGGAGCGGCGACCGGGGCCGCCGCGGGCACAGTAGTATGGTAGCATAAGTTTAGATGACCGGGAGCAATAGAGAAAGTTATCGACAGACAGTGAAGGGGGAGGGGAAGGGCCACATGCTGGTCGCACCGCGCCGGCCATTATACGGCAGGGCGCCGGGTTCTAAACCTGTCCGTGCTTTGCAACAGCGCTTGCGCTGCCGGGCTATAAGCCTCTTGCCACGGAAGGGGTACGGTAGGCGGGCAGACACCCGACACCGTCAGAACTCCCCCGGCCCCAGCGCGGAGATTACGCTCCCAGCATGCCCGTATACAAACAAAGTAGACGACACGAAACGAAGGCGGAGAAAGCGAACGAAGACAGGGAGGGGGAGAGCGAAAGAGCCGGGGATGGCGTGGTGTACAGGTCGTCATGCGTCGCCGCCTTCCTCGTCGCTGTCGGGGCTCTGCTTCTGTCTTGGGCCCAAAAGATCAGTCTGCGTACGAGAGATTGTGTCACGTCGGCGTCGTCGCCGCAGAAAGAGGGCTACCGATCGTTGACGTTACGTACGATAGTAGCCCACTGAGTCGCGCGTGTACGCGTCGACACGCAGTTCAAGATGTAGCTACTACCTTTTATACTACTTTGCGATCGTGTGTCGCTCGCTGTCAGTCGAGATGTTGAACGGCAGGATTCATTGGTATCGGGCGTGATAATGCAGATGTTTCGGGTATAAGCGTACAAAAAATGTAACAGAGACGAGCGACAGAAATGATAGACAGGCATGTGCGGTAACGTACTAGAGCGTAGAGTGCATGAGGTGACGAGGCGACGGGGGGTTCCATAGAGCGAGAAGAAATAACAGAGTCGACAGAGCGGGTGGCGAGAGGAGAGCATAAAACAAATCAAGACAGAGAGGAGCCTAAACTTCGACGTGCGTCTCAAGCTACCGTATGGCAGCATGAGGCCGGGATCCACCTCCGCGCGAGACAGATTTGGACCTACGCATACGACAAACGCGCTGCACGAGCAAGCGCCCGTGTGCGCGCAACAGCGTATCCTTGCTTCTTGCGTCGCAAGGAGTGCGTGGAGCTCGTCTTGGAAGACGAGACAGACTTGCGTCTTTCTCCCCATGGGGCGTTCCAATCAGCGCGCGGAGAGCGGGCGTCGTCGCGCCATCCGGTCAAGGGTAGCTCGGGGAGAGGCGGCGCTATCAGGCGAGCGTCGTCGGGAAGCACCCAAGAATCGGACGAAGCCGATGAATGAGATGAGGATGAGCTTGAAGCAGTCGACTGCGTTTCGGAGGTGGCGGACGTATCTAGTCGTATCTCCTGATGAGTATAGGCAACGCGCGAGGATCACAACCCAGGGCGTTACCTGCAACGGGAGTGGCACCCGCAGATGCCGCCGACATGCCTGCGTCGTTTTCCCGAGGGGATTGCAACGCGTATGCGGCGCTACTTATCTGTGACACGGTGAGCGAGCGTCGTTACGCAACGCATCGTAGAACCTGTACTCACCGAAATGTCCGCCTGGGTTCTCCTGATATCCACGCATATATCATCGAAACCATCCGACCAGGTACTCAGCATGTGTCGTAGATCTTCAACGAAGGTTGTCCCGCTAAGGACACGGATTCGCAGCTGATTTGTCCGAGCTTGCAGCCTGCGCGACCGTCAGCGCCACAAGATTCCAAAATGGTCGCAAAGGTGAATTACTTGTCTATGACTTCGCGGAATCCTGCGGCTTCATTGCCACTGCCGAGACGGCCTTCTTCCACGCATCGATCCAAGAGAGTTTCAGTCTCTGCGAGGGCGGCCTCGACAATGCGTAGTTTCGCACGCGGAAGTTTCTTTTGTAAAATCCAGTAGAGGAGCTGGCACAAGATGGCCAGAAACCCAATGATACTAAGGACGGTACTGAGCACGTCAAGGGCGCCGGGCATAGTAGAAGGATGGCTGGGGAAGGTGGGGAGGGAAGATGACAGGAAGCGGGCAGTCGAGAGGACTCAGCGGGTCGGTATTAATATTATGATCCAAAGAAGGGGGTGAAACGCTCAAATCATGACTGGGCCGCGTGTAATGCACGCATATCGATAACCATGGCTTCTTCTTGGAGGCTGTGTGCGCGACGTTCTGCAGAGATGTACACGAGTTTTGGATATCGGGAGCATTAAAATGGTGGGAGTGGCGGCGTGACGGTTGACCACCTGACGGTGAAGGGCGCGCGAGGCCCTGCATCATGGCTCATAAATGAGACGCACACCGTAGGCCATCCCCATTGATACCTTCATCCAGCTCGTTGATGCCGGCGGCCAGACGCAGGTATCAACACGCAAGACGGGTTGGCGGGGTGAGTGCCAGTGGTCGCGAGAGTAAGAGAAAGAAATACCCCGGCGCCTCCCGACGCACTGAGCGCTTGCGCTCAGCGCAGCGCTAACTGCCGGGAGTTGCCGTACGGTGGCTAGTAGATTAGAACAGCAGGCGCTTAATCCTCACTCAGATCCACGACCGCCTGGTCCCTGCTTCACTCTGCACAACTAGGCTCTGGCAACAGTCCCCCTGTGGGATGGCCATGACAAACCAACATAAACTGCCCCATCATGTCTACCTCTCCCCCGAAGTCGCCCGCCGATACGCAGAACAAACGCGGAATGGTCTTTACGAACTACTACCTTATGAGATCGCATGGAGAGACCGCTATGAGTTTCTCCAAAAGCAAGGATATCTGCTACGACCTCGCTATCATCCAAAATGGGAGCCTTCGTGGATGGGTACCAACCTCGCTCCGGATTTTTGCGAAGACTCCATCAGACCGAGCGTAATGTCCATTCCTAGGCTCCTTTGGCGCGACGGAAAGCTGACAGGTGTGACTTGTTACTGCAGAGGTTCCATGTCATAGACGCGACGCGAATAACAGACGACTCGCGTGTAGCCATAAAACGCGTCAAGAAGGCGGGACAAGAGCTCCATATATCGCAGCATGTCGCCTCCCTCGCTGGTCCCGATGATCACTGCATATCCGCGATAGAGGCCATCTCCGATCCGTTGGACGTTCAAATGGCCCTTCTTGTAATGCCGTACCTCAGACCATTTAACGATCCAGAGCTGCAAGTAGTCGGCGACGTAGTTGACTTTGTATCGCAGATGCTCAAAGTACGTGAAACCTAGTTATTACTCGTGGGGAAGCGACGTCCGTGCTAACCTGCTTATAACAGGGCATGGCCTTCCTACACAGGAATCGGATCGCACATAGGTAGGTAAAGCGGGTCCCTCAAAATCCACCGTTAATTCTCAATCAGGGATATAGCACGTTCGAACATCATGATGGACGCTCGGTCGATGTACCCTAACGGTCATCACCCGGTGCGAATGCACCGCGCGCCGGATCTCATCCACAATGCAAACGCGCTCCCTCGAATCGACCATCCCGTGACATATTACTACGTCGACTTCGGCTTGTCCGCGCACTTTCCTCTAGGAGCATCTCCCCTAGTACTCGGGAAGGTCGGGCATGACATGGAGATTCCGGAGATATCTAATGAGGTACCATTTGACGCGTACAAGGCCGACATCTACGCTCTAGGAAACCTCTTCGACAAGGACTTCTTGCAGGTACGTCGTGTCATGATAGTTCTGCACGTCGCTCACCCACAGTATGCGGCAGCGCTTCGACAACGTTCAATTCCTGCAGCATCTGGTGGAATGCATGAAGCAGAAGGAACCTGGCGTTCGGCCGCCCGCCGATGAGTTGATCAGGATGTTCCAACAACTGCGCGCGCTTGTCCCCGAATCGTCCGTCCGCTGGCGCCTCGTTCAGCGCTCAGAGCAGCCGTACGAGAAGTTGATCAACGACACCGTCGCCGTGGCGCGGGACGGTTTGAACAATCTTAAGCGCATGGTCGGGTAATCCGCTATGCAGTACGTTCCTCCTCCCTTTTCTAACGCGGGAGCTGATCAACATTGCTCGTCACAGCCACCTCTACACTTCTACACCCATTTTATCTCTGGTCTGCTCTGTTGCTCTGCTCGTTACGCTCTGCGGCCGAATCTTCTAGTTCGCGCCTTGTACTATCTGTATTGTTTGAAACATGGGTCCACCACGCGTCATCTTCACGTCGGATCGCAAGACCCATCGCCTCTCGCCGCCTTCTAGGCCAAGTCCCGCCTTAGAGTTAGACCGTCTGCGCAAGGTATGTGCTCGTTGCCTATCTTATGCTGTCTTTAATCACGCAATACCCCCCAGGAATATGCGACTGAGACTTGATCGGCGGTGCCATCGGCAGCATCGTTGGCCAAAACTCAGCGCACGGCGCGGTGTTGCATCAAAATGTGTACCATCGTCTTGCCCGCCGAGCCTGGCAGCCGCTACTCTGTTCATGTGCAAGAACGCCAAAGAGTATCCTGAATGTGGGAATAGATAGGGTCTCTTTCTCTCACTGGGCATCAATAATTTCAGAATGACGACGAACGTGGAGGAAACTACAACACCCGCCCTGGATCCCATGTGTAATTTCAAAGAGTTGACGACGCCTAGAAGGCTTCAGTGTCTCTGAGCGACCTCGTCAAGCTAGGTCTTCTTATCTTCTAGGATCGCAGGTACGTAGCGCACTGCTCTTCCGGCGGCTGCTGATGACGAGCTCCGCGTTCGCATAGAAGCCATACATCATCGACGCGAATCGCAGTTAGGAACATGTCGAATGCCAAAACGAAGGCCAGGGGACGGCAAATCGCTCTCCGAGCGCCTGTACGTACGTGGGCTAGGCACGGCTCCGACGATTCGCGGGGTAAGATGCTCCGCAGTGACGGTGTCCTACACTTCTCACCGGTCATCGCCCTTTCATGGCAGCATCCAGAAGCGTGTATACCTGCTCGTTGCGGCGCGATCATGGCCGCCATCCACCTGCAAATCGTGCGCGAACAGCATATCGTCCTTAGACGACATGAGATGCTCGCGCATTGCGTGCACGATGTTCGCGATGTCAGGGCCGTGAACGTGGGCGAGATGGTAGGAGGACCCAGAGTCCCGATATCAGCAGGACGGTCTTGATATTAGCGGAACAAGGAGAGGAGAAGGCGGAGGCGGCGTCAGCTCGAGCGCCCTTCGAGAATACCTACTTTTGAGAACCGCGAGAGACGCCGCTGAAAGTGTTCTCACCGATCCCTCGTGTTGAAGGGACTCATGGATCATCAAGAAGAAGTTGAATCTCCTTGGGAAAGAAAACACTATGTTTTCGCGAAAAGCATAGCCTACAGCGTGCTGATAGCCAGTCTGTGGGTACTCAATGTCATGTTATAGGTCGCCTCCGGCCGAGGACATGCGGTTGAGGACCTTCGTTCGCCGTCCCTCGGAGCGGCGAGAATGAGAGGAGGAAGCAAGGGAGCACAATTGCCATAAACGGGTCGCGCGCGTGTCTAGACGAATGAGAGAGAAGATCTCTCACTGGTGACGCTGGCAGCTGCTTTGATCTTAGCCACAACTGTAGTCGGTCGGTGCAAGTGTTGAGTTACCCCGCCAAGCCTTCTTTCCAAGCTGATTCCTACCAATCGAAGAATAGATGAGTCAACAAAGACAACTTCCGGGCTATGTCTACTTGACTCCGGAAGCGGCCGAACGACAAGCCGAACGCACACGACAAGGGCTATACAATCTCCTTCCCGACGAGATTCTGTGGCAGACACGCCAAAAGTACCTAGAGGACCATGGATACCTCCTACGTCCGCGCTATCGCTTGGGATGGAAACCATCATGGTCAGGAACAGATATTGCGCCGGATTTCTGCGAGGATTCTATCGTTTCAAGCGTAAGTTGAAATTTTGCTTTCCCCGCTCAATACTGACCATGGTCGACCCGGGTTATTAGCGACCACAAGTTATCGATGCCACCACACTTGGCGATAACGTGCTAGTCGCGATCAAGACCGTGCCAAACCACACGGAGGAACTGGCGATCACGCAGTTCCTCTCTTCGTTCAAAGGGCGAGATGAAAACCACTGCGTAGCAGTCCTAGAGATTCTCAGCGACCCTCTGGAAATACAAGGCTCTCTCATGGTATTACTATACCTCAGGCCGTACAATGACCCAGAGTTCACGACCGTCGGTGACGTTATGGACTTCATACACCAAACGCTGGAGGTTCGTACATACTCTCTTCATCGAGTGTAGTGCTCACTTCGTTTGCAGGGTCTCGTTTTCATGCACCATCACCGCGTCGCACACCGGTGAGAGCTAGAGCCGACAACGGCGCGGAACCTTGTGCTCATCTTCTAAACGTCAAGCGACATCGCACCGCCCAACATCATGATGGACGGGAAACCCCTCTTCCCCTCCGGCCATCATCCTGTCAGGACGAACTACTCCCCGGATGCTGTCTACCAGTTGACCCCACTCTCACGCGCCGAACACCCTGTGCGGTACTACTACGTCGACTTCGGCCTTTCGGTGCGTTTCCCGGCGGGGTCGCCTTCACTGGTAGTGGGCGATGTTGGTCGAGACGCAGAGGTCCCGGAACTCTCATCGACGGTGCCTTACGACGCATTTAAGGCCGATATATACGCACTAGGAAATCTGTATGACAAGGAGTTTGAACAGGTGCGCTAGTTTTCCGTGTGTCAAGCCGCCGCCGTCCTTAACACCCCTTGGTCAGCGATATCGAAGTCTAGAGACTCTGCGACCCCTTATCGACTCCATGAAGCAGCGTCAGCCCGAGCTGAGGCGTCCACCCAAAGAACTACTCTCTTTGTTCAAGCAGATCCGCGGCGCCCTGAGCAAAAACGCCCCGGGCTGGCGCCTGGCATCGAAATCAGAGTCGGCCCACGAGAGGCTTCTGAACGACACCGTTGCCGTTGCATTAGGGGGGATAAGCAACCTGAGGCGGTATGTGGGATAGTCTCGTGCGTTCCGTAATTGCTCTCTTTGCGTAAGTTGGTCGACGCGCATTCACGTCGTCTTCTCAGCATTCCTTTCATACCATTTCTCGCACTCCGTCGCTTCCTGCTGCTGTGACATATGGTCGAAATCAACGGAGTTCGCGCCAGTGCTATTACTCAAACGGCTGTCTGTTCTTTCGCAAACGTCGCCCTCTGGTACGTTATTTCTTCCTACCGCGGCATCACCGAGTGACATGCTATTACAGTCTGTGTCTAGTCACAAGTCCGTCCCACGACCACGATCTACCAAACCAGACTGCACTCAACGCACATCCCGAGGGTAATGTCGCGGAAGCCGGTCTTGGCTACCGTGCGCGAGCGGCATGCTCTGCTATGCGAGCTGCTCGCGCTTGGCGTGCATAACATACGCGATGAGGTTGCGTCGTAGATGCCGATGCATAGCAGCAACCGCGATCGCTCCTACAACACACTGCTGATCAGCTTTCATATCAGAACCGTGAGGACGCATCAGTGATTCGCCGTGCCCAATGCGGGGGAGGGGGTGTTGAATGTAGCGGGGCGGTGCCGTATAGTCGCGGCACCGGGGCGTCTCTTCATTACATGCATCGCATCAGCGTGTATCGACGAGGCATTAGGGCGACATTTACTGCCCTAAACGAGACATGAGAAAGGCATATGTATTGGGTGCGAGCTAGCAAGTGCAGAAGATCTCGCGAAAATCGTACTTTTACTCCGTTCAGCCGAATCCAAGCACGGCGTGGAACATCCTTCCCCATGGCATCGTCTATGACCATACGTTGTACGCCAGATACGATGTGCTGACTAGTTGCACAGGTCAAACAAAATCCGAGTCGCCGATGGCTCGCGTCTGCGGCGATTGATCTCTGTGCGACGTAAGATAGGCGTAGCAGAACATCGGCGGATCCGGATGACGGTATGTACTGTGACACATCGTCAGAGGGTCTCTAACGCGAATGTGCAACGCCCACCTTCCCGAACTCGAGCTCTAGATATCGTTGTAGCCTATGGGCAGGCGTAATATAGGTGCACGTGGCGTGTTTTCGGCATTTCCGACCCGGATAGCGCTGCTGTAGTCATGCTAAGGTCAGAATACGCGATAAGTACATGGACATTATCCTACTCGCATCTCAGCGGTGCGCTAGTATGGGTTGACAGAGCGCAACTCACTAAGATCTCCCCGAAACAGAATGCCTTCTCAATGATGTACATTAGTATGATGCGGGGGTATTTCACGGGTCCGAACAAAGGTTAAAATAGCACCGAAGGCACGGCAGCGTCGAAACACCCGCCCAGGGCGTTGCCAGGGACTGAGAGGACGTGAGCATGATTCAAGTAGAGCATGGGGAAAGTGAGCTCACGACAGCAAGCTGATCATCCGACGAACTTCTTCAGATGGTATATTCCTTCCCGGGCCACAGCTACGGTGTCGTTGAGCACGCGCTCGATTGCGGGCTCGGTCTTCGGCGCTAAGCGCCAGCGATACAGCGACGGTGCGATGTCAGCGCGGGTGCTCTCCCATTTCCGGAGAAGCTCGTCAGCGCTGGGTCGTGCCTCAGGGCGCTGTCGCCTCATCTCCTCTACCAGGGACACGAGAAAATGCATGTTGTTGTACTTCTGTTGAGCGGTATTTCAGTCAACGACGCCAGAGTAACGAACTGTGGAACCTACCTGTTCGAAGTCTTTATAGAAGAGGTTCCCGAGGGAGTAGATGTCGACTTTGAATGGGTCGTAGGGGACTGTAGAAGAGAGCTCTGGAGCCTCTTTGTCTCGCCCAACGCGCCCGACGACGAGCGGAGAAGCGCCTCGTGAGAACCAAGTCGAGAGCCCGAAGTCAATGTACATGTATTTCACCGAGCGGCCCGCCCGTGGTAACGGAACCACTTCGTGCAGTGCATCTGGGCTGTAGTTGCGTCGTACGGGATGGTGACCGTCGGGATATAAACATGCTGCGTCCATCATGATATTCTCGATAGCCACGTCGCTACACGCGCGTCAGCGAAATCGCGCGCAAAGACTGGAAGTGCCCTACCGATGCGCAATACGTTGGCGGTGAAGAAATGCAAGGCCCTAGTGCGACCCCGATATGCATTAAAATCAGTAGAAACGAGCAAACACGTGCCTTAGACATACCTCCAGCGTCTGTTCAACGAACGCTATGATGTCGCCAACGGTCGCAAAATCGGGATCATTACAGGGTCTGAGGTAGGGCATAACCATCAACGCGAGTTGCGGGTCGACTGGGTCGTGCAGAATTTCGAGTACGGATACGCAGTGATTCTGTGGGTCGTCGAGAGAGGAGAGATGTTTTGCGATGGAAGCCTCTTGTCCGTCCTTTCGGAACTTCTTGATAGCTACGAGCTTCTGGTCATTTCTTCGCCGCGCATCAATAACCTGGAGGTCCTACGCAGCCGAAGAAAGGGAGCGTGAGCCATAAAATTCATCAACTTTCAAATGACGTACAATGAGTACGATGGAGTCCTCGCAGAATGTCGGATTGAGATTGGTCCCTCTCCATGAAGGAGACCATTTGGGAGAGTATCGGGATCTAAGGGTATAGCCACGGCTCTCGAGGTATGTATAACGGTCCTTCCAGAATTCTTCAGAGGGGATAAGATTGTAGACGCCCTCGGACGTGAGCTGTTCGTATTGCCGCGCGGACTGATCATCGAGGACGGCGTAATGCGGCAACCGCTTCTCCTGCTCGTGTTTGTCCTTGTGCTGTCCAGGCATGAGCTGAGTTTAAGCGTGGAGGGAGGCTGAGAATCAAGTGCATCATGCTCTGAAAGGCGCGGGAAGGAGGCAGGCCGCGGGCGCAAGGATCATCAACGTGGACGCAACGTGTTTCCCATAAACGGTAGTCGCGTGCCCAAGGCGCCCGGCTTTCTCTCCTCCTACCATGATGCAAACGCACTGCCTAGCCTCGAGAAGCCAGGGGTCTCTCGCACGCTCACTATGATCTTCATCGGCGAGCATGACAAGACCAGTCGGCCTGCGAGCGCTCTGAGGTCCCGATTCATCGCGCTCGCCTCGCTGTGAGTGGTTCGGACCGCCGCCCATATCATTTGCAGAGCCATGCTCACACCACGTTTTGGCCCTTCTAGTTTCTCTGGGCAGTGCACCTCAATAGAACCCGGGACTGGGAGAGGTACTGGGTGTAACCCGCCACCCCTCACGCTCATCACCAGCCAACTGACGTCCACCACCCCATCGTTCGAACGGATCCCCCATCCCAGCTTTAAAGTGCCCTTCTTACCATGTCCCAGAGAGGTGTTGATATCTGGGGAGTCATCACCGGCGTCTTTGGGGCGCTCGCAATCATCTCTCCAATCCTATGGGGGTTGATTTATACCCAGCTGCCCTCCGTCAAGCTGCGTACGTTGGACGCCCTGCTTTTCGAGACGGATCAGCTCCTCCGCAAGAGTGTGGACGAGGGTCTCATTAGCGAAGATCAGTTCCGTCTGCTTATGTGGGCGTAAGTGTGTTGACCATCTTCAGTAGCGCCACTATGGGTCTCATGGCCGTGATTGCGCATCCTCTAGAACGCTCCGCCGTATCGACCGGGTGAGGATACAAGTGTATCCATCGGGGCCGTGGTCACACGAATATACGAACTGGAAGAAAGGAATATCTAGGGACATCACTGTCCTCATCGCTGAAGTGAACGAGATACGCGCGAAGATCGCCGTGAGTGATTCCTCCTTTTAGTTTCTACTACCTTCAAGCTGACGTACATCCCGTCAGAGGAGCAGCTCCAAAGAAAGGCAAAAGCTGGATGCATCTGGCAAGGCCGCCGATTTGATCCTGTCGGCGCGGAAGCTGGGTGGGGTTTCTTTGAATATGGGTGGAGATACGTTGTTCATCCATATTCCAGAGACTACGCTGTCTGCCATGCCTAGCGATAGTGGGTCGATGCGGCCGTCTGCCAGTTCATTGTTGCTCGCGCATCTGGACCCGCCTCTGGCGGACAGTGGTCGGTGTCCACATACGGTGCCGCTCCCTGCCGTGACCATTGCTCCTCCCGCCACCGATGCCACGCTCTATCCTTCGCCATTCGGGGACATCTACGCCACCTCTGACAACAAGCAAAACCTCACCCCCGCCTCTGACGAAGGGTCTACTCACGAGCACTCGTTGCCTTCCTCAGGCGCTCCGCCGCTTGTCTCGGGAGACTCCCGGACTCGCCGCGCGATGCGTCGCGCTCTTCTGGCACGCTTTGGCAAAGAGCTCCTCGCTTCTCACCCCCATACACTCCCATGCACACCCGTCGGCGAAACTCCCTCGCATAGGTCGATGTCGCTCGAAAGCGACTCCGCATTATCTGCGCGGTAGGCCTCATGTGGCACCACCGCACAACGGATCTACTGGCCTTCTCATGGTAGCGTTTGCGTCTCGGCCTTATTGCTGCGATCCATATGGACGTAGGGCGCTGTGAGGATGATGAAGGAGATGACAAGAGCGACTGGCGACTGTTTCGCCCCTTCACAGCCTGAACTCCCATTCCTGTCAACATGCTTCGTCGCTCCTGTAGCGACATGACATCGTTTCTCATGCTTTTACCATGTTTCTACTATTCTAGCTCGACCCCCCTACGTATGCACCTCCTCTCTGCTTTACCTATGCTTTCATTTACGTCTGTTTGCTTTGCTATCTCGCCGCGTCGTGATATGTTCCATCTCACTCGCAAACGTCATCCGAATTCTTACCCCTTGTAAAGTACACGGCTCATACGCTCCTCAGCACATCTTTGCATATCTGCTTTCGCTGGACGTGCGCAACCCCCTCTCGATTTGCGGTCGTCGACTTCGAGTTTGAATATAGTCTTACAGCCGCGTGTATTAGCACATATACGTCGCAGTATGGACGCGCCTGTAGCGGCTTGCGGTCTGCCACGCTATGCAATAGCAATCCGCAATTCCGTCACGCTCCCCTATCCGATACCTCCCCACTGCCGTCACACCTGGCATCGCAAACTTGCCAACATCACAATCAGGATGAGTGGAGCACGGAGGCATTGCTCATTTAATGGCCACATGGAGGATAGACACACGTAATGGCCGTCTGAGTCTGAAGCCGAACAGCTATCAGCAACAGTCTCTCAATGAGAAATAGGTGTAACACCTGCCTGGGAAAGCGGGGAGCGCAGCACTGATGAAGCATCTTCATTGCACACAGGGCGCTTTCCGCACGACATTAATGTCTATTAGCTTAGCTTGCAGGAAGTTGGAACGTCAGCGTGCAGCGCGTGCTGGAAATGAATCTAGTCACCTGGTGCGCTTGACTGAGCCAAAAGCGCCTCGCCGGAAGATAATGATACCGTGATATAGAGCCCGTGATAGCAACGGTACACGTACCAACCCGACATGCAAGAACTGAATATACCGACCTAGCAAATGAAGCTTTCCGTGAAGATCAACGCAACATCTAGAGAGGCAAAATCAACTCACATGTATAATGAAGCTACCCAACAAGCTTCCGCAGGCGATACACCCCCTCCCATGCCACAGCGACCGTATCGTTCACCATACGTTCGAACGCAGGCTCCGTCTTAGGCCCTAAGCGCCAGCGGTACAGAGAGGGCGCAAGGTCGGCGCGAATGGCCTCCCACTGGCGAAGGAGTTCCGCGGCAGTGGGTCGCGCCTCCGGGCGCTGTTGTCGCATCCTCTCGAGTAGGGGGACAAGGAATTGAGTGCTGTTATATTTCTGTATATTCGTGAGCGACGGGCGGAGGAGTGAGAACTTGGATGCGTACCTGCTCGAACTCGTGATAGTACATATTCCCGAGGGCATAGATGTCGACTTTGAAGGCGTCGTACGGGACGGTAGAGGAGAGCTCTGGAACCTCCTTATCCCGACCCGCGCGGCCAACCACGTACGGTGACGAGCCTTCTGGGATCAGCGACGATAACCCAAAGTCGATGTAGTAGTATTTGATTGAGCGCTCGGCCCTCGGTAGTGGCTTGACCTCGTAGAGGGCGTCTGGGGTGTACTCGGTTCGAACAGGGTGGTGTCCGCCGGGATAGAGAGGTGAGCCGTCCATCATGATGTTCTCGATGGCGACATCTCTGCTTGTATGTGAGGAGGAAGAGAGCCGAGGTTTAGAGCACGACGCCTACCGATGAGCTATTCGTTGTCTGTGCAAGAATACAAGGCCCTGAAAACGCGTCAGAGGAGTTCGACTCGGAGAGGGCTCCGCGTAAGCGGATCGATACCTCTAGTGTTTGACCAACAAATTCAATGATATCGCCAACCGTTACGAAGTCGGGGTCGTTGCAAGGTCGAAGGTATGGCATCACCATTAACGATGTCTGCGGTTGGTAGGGGTCCCGCAGCACCTCGTAAACCGGGATGCAACGGTTTTGAGAGTCGTTGATAGACGAAAGCAGGAGCGCTATGTGCGACTCTTGGCTATTGTTAGGAAACATCTTTACGGATACTAGCTTGCCGTCAGACTTTCGTCGAGCGTCGATGACCTGGTGGTTCTGTGAGCATCACCATATGAGCAAGATATCAACGGAAGTGCAAGCTGATGAACGGCCTACGAAAGGCATTATCGAGTCTTCGCAGAACATAGGATCTAGTGATGTTCCTTTCCATGATGGCTCCCAATTCGGCGCATACCGCGGTCGGAGGAGGTAGCCGTGCTGGTCGAGATACGGTTGACGATCCCTCCAAAAAAGCTCCGATGCGGTGAGGTTATAGACGCCCTGGTCGGTGAGGCGCGCGTAGCGCTGTACTCCGTCTTCGTCTAGAACCGCATAGCTGGGCAGCCGCTTCTGCTTGTCCTGTGCAGACATGTACCGAAGGTAAGCGTGGAAGGCACGGGAGAGAGTCCATCACGCATGCAAGTTGGTCTTTGGAAGCTTCTTCAACGTGCATGCAACGTGTTTCTCCCGTAAGCGGCAGGTATGTTCAGAGCGCTCGGAAAGCACAGCACCCATTCATCCTTCCCTCTCCCACCAGGAAAACACACGACTCCGGCCGCCGGAGTGCAGATGGGATACGTACGTCTGCCGGCTCCTTGCGTGATGGTCCTTCGGACTTCTCCTGTGCGCGTCGGAGTTCTGCTGTCGATGCGTGCTCCGCCCACGTTCTCAGGATCTTCAAGTCGCCGCCAATCCAACCCGCAATGCTTATAGCTTCGCATACCCCGCCTGGTTGCCCACATTTCTCCTCTCGTGAGTACCGGGCGACCTATCCCTTCGCCTTCATATAGCTTCCTTTGCCTTCCACTGCAACGTCTCGACCATGTCCGACTCGAATCAAGCATACAACATCTGGGGCGTTGTGGCGAGCGTCTTGGGCACGCTCGGCCTTCTGTCTATGGTCTGGGATCTGTTCAAGAGTCAAATGCCCACCCAAAAGCTACGACAGCTCGAGGATGACCTGAGGACCACGTACCAGTTGCTCAACGATAACGTCGAAGAGGGTCTGCTTGATCCTGAAAGGTTTCGTCCTCGCATGCGCATGTACGTGCTACAACGTCTTTGTGGAGTGTCGTCTGATTGGTGCTACACGAATCGCTCTCCTCAGCATCAAGCATCGCATCGATGACTTGCGTTCTCATGTTTTTACTGCAGTGACTTGGCAGGAGGAGTTGCGCAACTGGAGGCGCGGCCTCTCCGCCCAGCTCAATGTGCTCCTCCGTGAGGTATACAAGATTCGCGCTACCATCGCTGTAAGCTCCTATAGCATGATATTTGCACGTTAAGGCTCACCTCACATCTCTGTATCACAGAAAAGTAGCTCGGAGGAGCGGAGGAAACTGAGTCGCTCTGAAGGGGACGGCGAACTAGTGCTGCGTGATCAGGCGTTAGGTGAGCGTGAATATGTGGCGCATCATACCCGTTCCCCAAGGCCTGACATACTTCGTGAATAGGAGGCGCGGATATCGCCGTTCCTGCTGCTGAGCAGGCACCCCCAGAGTCTACGAGCACGACGTCGTTCACCGACGTCCAGCAGCAATCGCCTTCCCCAAGCCATGACGGTCGCGTTCCGCCTCTCCAGCAGTCTTGTTCAACCTTGACGACCAGCACCGCGCCTTCTTGTATCGACAACCTCTTCGATGATCCCCATACCCTCAAGACGCTCCCTCGCGACCATCCTGGAAACGACGCAGACGCAGAGGTTCGACCGCCCCGGGCGCTCGATCGCCCTCGCGACCAGAAGGCGTGGAAGAAACGTCCCCCATCACGACACGACGTGCTGCTACAATTCGGCCGGCAGCTGATGAAGCCCTCTTCCATACACTCGCGTACCGCCAACTTCGACGTTCTTTCATCCCCAATCCCTAAACCTGGACGTAAAAAGCACGTCCTTCGCGTGGACAGCTTTGGAGACGGAGCTCGTCCTAAGGCCAAGCGTTCGATGGTCGCGGTCATCGTACTGCCGGGGCCATATACGGAGCTCTGCGACGATTATGAAGGAGATGATGAGAGCGACTGAATTCTTTCGGCCGTCTCACAGCGTGGTATTTATTCTGTTCCTATACCTCGCCAGTCCTGCTACTATGGTAGCATCGCTCCACATGCCTCTCCAATTCTGCCTCGACCATCCTCCACATGCACTCCTCCTCTTCCGTTCCTACACGCTCATCTATGCCTGATTATTTCTGCTATGTCTCGCCACATTGTGCTGTGTTCCAGTTCGCCGACGACGCGGAGCGTCATCCGAAGTGTGGTCGCATGTAGAATGCACATCTTGTATTCAGTTCTCGTGATATACTTGCGTACAGTGCCTTTTCGATAAGAATGTCGTATGAAACCTGCTCGACTTGTGGTCGTCGGCTCCAAGTCCCCGCTGAAATCTGGGTCTGCGGCCGGGTCTCGGCCCGGGCCTGTTGGCACTCTGTTGGCTCGGAGGTACTAACCTTGAGAACGGTCCTTGCAAGGTTGTCTCCCGCCATGTCTACGCCTCGCTGCAAGTTTTCTATCGATAGTACGCGGAGCACGAGGTACGTATCGCCTTGTAATCCGGAAGCTTCTCACCTTGATGATCAATACGCCCTCAAGACACGAGGCTTGCTTCTAGGTTCTAACCCAGCATACTGATGTCCTCTGTACTTGTGAGCGCATCATGATATCGGCTCCAATACTCATGACCCTCAAGTGGTCGCCGCCGGCCGGCGTGACGGAGCGGAAAGTCCACCTTCACCAAGTTGACACGCGCAACCCGTACCCCGCCACCCTTCAAGTCTAGACTCTGCTGCGTAGTGTTGCTTGAGGATCCATCTTTAGCGACTCATTATGAGCGCAAAATCCCGTTACTCCTATTCCTGTGTACGCACGCCGGAAGAGCCCTTCTCAACGCGAGGCCACACTGTCGGCGGTGCGTTTCCTTGCTTGGTACCTCACAACCTTTTGCAGGATTAAATGTTCGATGCAAACACAGGACGAACTGTCTGTAGGTATGTTTGTATACCCAGGCCGTATAAACGGCAGCAGGCTGCGACCTCCCATGGCTGCCTTCGCTCGCGTGCGCGCACGCCGCTCCGTGGCCTCTAATTGAAGATGACTCTTTGGCGAGGCTGCAAATATCCTTCTTCGTATATATTCCAATTTTTTACGTCAGTCTGATATCGCTAATCTCCGAACAAGTAATTCTTGCAATGAACAAGGCGCTTGAACAAGTCATTTCGGAAAGGCGTTCAGACCGAACAATCACACCTGCCAAATGCGGCCAGGTGTGTTGCCTCGCGTGGGAGTGCAGACGCGCGCAAACGGCGAGGCCCGCGCACTCGGAGTGCCCTTGTACGGGTTGCTTACCACCACGCCCTAGTCCTTCTGATCGTGCCCGTGCAATATGAGCGCAATTACAAGGAGAAAACGCGCTGGGAAGCTTCGAACATGCAAGCACCGCCTCTGCAGGTGCGTGTCCACCGTCCAGCGCGGGTGGTTCCCGCGACATCCCACATGCCGTCGCCCGCGCGAGCCACTGACGAGTATCACGCGCCGCGAAGTGGGAGAGCCGCTTCAGATACAGTGGTTCTCGCACAGCCATAGCTCTTCTCCAGTGCATCCCTGCCATCGGATTATCCGCTATCGATACACGCGTAAACCACGAGGTACGAGAAGTACGCCCGTGGGGCCAACTCTCGAGCAGCGAAGCGTTGGCGTCGCGCTATATTAGACATGACTCACTGCGCCAGTTGGAGTCGCTAGGGTTCGGTGCATCGACATCTGCGCTCGACTTGCTTTACCCTCTTTCTAGGCCGACGCCTTCCGCACTCTTCATCTACGTCTGCGGTTCTGCTTTCGAACCATCTATACCAAGATCATGGGCGTTTTCTGCTGGATCATTCTTGGGCTGCTCCTCTTCGTCTATCTGAGGCAGCTTCCGTCTCACAAGTTGCACGTACTAAACCGTGATTTAGAAGAAGTGCGCTCGTATTTTACATGCGCGGTCGAGGAGGGCCTGTTAAGCGGGTCGTACGCGGACGACTACCGCTTTGAGCTACACAAGTACGTTCAACTCTCCTTCTCTGAAATTCCGACGCACTGACCGTATCGTCGTGTTTGCAGACTGCAGCGCGAGACAGAAAAACTGCGTCTCATCATGATGGACGTCTGGCCGTTTTCTCCCCGCGACTTCTTCCACATGCTCAGCGGCGTGACCAAGCAATGCTACAAACTCTGCGACGACATCGAAATCTTCCGCAACAAGCTCAGGGTATGTCTCCTTCATAATTGTGGCGCTTCCTGCCATAACTCACCCGGAGGCGCACAGGGTGCAACCTCGTACGAAAGATTTCATCGCGACATATACAGGATAACGACGCCCCCACCGTCGACGCCAACCTGTGGCGAGTCATAATCTAGTTTCAGTACACTTCACGCTCTCTGACAGACCCACCAGACTCCACTACGGACGATATCGTGGCCATGTCTACGCCTACTCCGTCCGCTCCGGCGCCCCCCAGCGCCAGCGCCCCGCTCACCCCCACCTACTCCATGCCTGCCTTCGCCACTTCGCCCACCCCCACCGCCTCTTGGCCAGATAAGTCCACGCTTACACCCATCACTGATACCCTCGGACATCATTGCCCTCCTGGACCGCACCTCATACCCGCTATCCATACCACTTACTCTCTCTGATCCGCTGTAGTAGCAACGCTACAGATCCCCATAGACTGCCCGCCGCCGAGGATGCGACGGGTATGAAACCGCTCTGATCTCTACTGACCCGATCTCCAGTCGTCGCTTGTCGTGTTTTCGCTTTATCCATCTCCGCTCGATCCTGTATATGTCAGTTACTTCATGCCCAATCGTCATGCAATATGACTTCCTGCTTCTTACATCATGATATCGATATTGTCTCCGTACCCGTTTGCTATTCTCCTGCAGACTCGCACCCAATACATGGCTTTTCTCTTACTCCAAAGGTTGCACATCATCCAACCCTATGCACTTGCCCGATCGGCGCGCATGACCCGGGGGTATAGACGATATGTGTCGTCGCCCACTGCAGACGATGCGCTTGAGGCTGCTCAGGCTATCCCGCGCTATGGCGACGGAGGTGTTGATGAACCTTTCGTACGGCTGCTCGGAGCGTTGGACAAGATGCCTACAGACGGACGATCCGGGGACAAGCGCGTGCAACTGCTGAAACATTTTGAGAAGCTCGTCGGCGGCCGGTCGCAGGCCAGGTTCCTTCCGCTTCATGCATGCGACCAGGTGCTGTAGGACTTGGACGTTGTCGAACCGCTGTCGCACACCATAGGTCAGCCGCTTTCAAGTGCGAGGCTATCTCCGGGCGACTCACCTGCAAAAACTCTTTGTCAAACATGTTCCCTAAAGCAAGGATATCGGCCTTGTAAGCGTCGTAGGGCATTGTCAGATATCTCCGGGATCTCCATGTCATGGGCGACCTTCCCAATAACCCTGGGAAGCGCTCCTGGTGCGAAGTGTACGGACAAGCCGAAGTCGACGTAATAGTATGGTCGATCCGAGGGAGAACGTTTGCGTGGTGGGCGACGTCTAGGGCGCGGTATATTCGCACCGGATGATGCCCGTCAGGGTACATAGAACGAGCGTCCATCATGATGTTGGGCGATGCAATGTCCCTGATCGATTGTCAATATTGAATCTTATATCTTTTACTTAACTCACCTATGCGCTATGCGGTTCCGGTGAAGAACGTCTAGGCCCTGTAGTATAGAGGGTGGGTGGCGCTCCCGCTAAGTGATACTACCGTTGACTTACCTTGAGCATTTGTAGTACAAAGTCAAGTACCTCGCCGACGACTCGTAGTTCTGGATCATCGTACCGCCGGAGGAAGGGCATTACAAGCAATTCCATGTGATCATCTAATGAATCGGCCAGGGTTTCTATCGCGGACACGCAGTGGTCATCGGGACCCGCGATGGAGGCGATATATTGCGAGATACTGCGCTCTCTTCAAGCCTTCTCGATGTGTTTTATTGCCACGCGGGTATTGTCCGATAATCGTGTCGCATCTATAACATGAAATCTTCTCAGAGCAGCGAGACGGCACAAGTCAGTGGGCGGTGGCGTCAAAGGACTAAGGAAAGTGACGTTACTCTTGGCCTAATCGAGTCCTCGCAAAGATCGGGGACGAGATTCGTCCCCATCCACGAAGGCTCGCACTTCGCATGATAGCGAGGCCTCAGCACATATCCCCGCTTTTCGAGAAATTCGTAGCGGTCCCTCCACGCGATTTCATAAGGTAGGAGTTCATAGAGGCCGTCTCGTGTGAGTGTTGCGTATCGGCGCGCCGCCTCTGGAGACAGGTAAGCCCAGTGAGGCCGTTTCTTCTGAGCGGTTGCCGTGGTCATCTGAGTGAGTGGTGTTTATACGGAACGTAGCTGCAAAGGAAAGCAGTCGCCGTGGTCGACGCGGAATGGACGTTCGGAGACAGTTGCTTCAGCGCCTACTGACACATCCTACTCACCGTACATCGTACGGCAACTGCCGGGGATGTCGCGAAGAACGGTTCACCTGTAGGCTCTATATACACTTTTCCTGCGTGAACCGTGGTCGAGACCCCCGGTGCTAAGGAAAGAATCAAGATACTTCAAGCGGTCATGGTCGAGATCGAACTTGAAGTAGCTACTGGCGTAAGCCCATCGACTATATGACGGGCCCGCCCGCACTGGTTGAGGAGGTTGTGCACATTTGCTTCATGCACTCACTAAATATACCGCCTCATCACGCTCTGGTCGATCGCTAACCATGATTTGATAGATGTGAGCTTGATGCCGTTGGAACCTGGAGATGATATACATAAGAGTGACCTGTATCGTCAAACCAAGTAGCCTTACGCCGCAGTCTCGCACCGAATACGCCTGTTTTGCAACGTTGTCACGAAATGCCCTTCTTCAACACAGTCCTGTAGCGGGGCGTCGCTTCAAACCGCGGTACAGCCGCACAAACCATCCCAAGTCGGAGTTGTGCTTTCGCTGTCATGGACGTGATGATGTCGCTGGCCTAGCCGGCGCGGATTGGTCTGTGCTGCTGTATCCTGCCTCCCGCCTCCAGCTTCCTGGCTTCGGTACGAGTCGAAGCAGACGTCTTGTCATGGCTGCCTAAGCTCAGCATGCACCGCAGTGCATGCGCCGTGATCTGTGACACAGTCGAGGATCCGCCGCATGCGTCCCCGAAGTCCTGACCCTGTTCACGTGGAAGGGCAGGGACGAGCATACCCTGAGAGCAAGTAATGGGTCGGGATGTGCGTGCAAAAACACTGGCCCCCTGCTGCATAAAGTGAGCTCATGAGATGGCTTGATCTGCAGGGAGATACGAATATGCTTACCCAATAGCGCCGTCTGTGCGCCCAGCACGCCTACTCGCAGGCTTTCTCGAGGATTCTTGCAAGTCTTGCTTTGACAGCCAGTTGGCCCGCGTCGCGTCTCACGCGCGATTTGAAGACGCAAGGACTGATGGTCCACGTAGATTGAGACGTAGTCGATACAGCGTACATAGGATGGTTCCTAAGCGATGCCGGGGATGCGATAGCGAGAGAGCGGGAGTGATGCGTGGGCGACGATTTTGGGTATGCGATGTACAACAGGCTAGTCCGTCTGAAGGATGAGACGGTATGGAAAACGCGGAGCTGATAATGGACTCACGATGAGAAGGCCGTTCAGCCAACGAACCGCTTGAGGTTGCTGAGCCCGTCTCGAGCTGCAGCAATCGTGTCGTTGATCATGCGTTCGGGACCGGACTCGGCCCTTGGGCTGAGGCGCCAGCGAGTCTTAGACGGGTTCTCGAGCCTGCACAGTTGTTGGAACATGCTGACAAGCTCGCCCGCAGAAGGCCGGAGCTCGGGTTGGCGTTGCTTCATACAATCCACAAGTGGTGCCAAGAAGTCCATGTCGTGATACTTCTGTAGTTCTAACGATTGAGTTGCATGCGCATATGGGAATACGTAGCAGGATCTTGGCGCTCACCTGTTGGAACTCTTTCTGGAAGACCGTGCCGAGCGCGTGCACGTCCGCCTTGTATGCATCGTATGGAGTCGTCCAGGAGAGTTCGGGAACTGATGCATCGCGACCTAACTTGCCTACGACTTGTGAGGAGCCTCCTGGTGGAAACTTGACGGAGAGGCCGAAGTCGACGTAAAAGTACTTGATCTGAACGTCTATCCTCCGCAGAGGTTTCAGTTCGTCTATGGCATCGATGGAACTATCCATGCGGACCGGGTGGTGTCCTTGAGGGTAAAGTAGTCGGCCGTCCATCATGACGTTCGGCACCGCTATATCCCTAGATCACGAGTGAGCAAACAAGTGAAACCAATGTGTAAAAAAGGTATACCTGTGAGCTACGGAGTGTGAATGGAGAAACGCGAGGCCCTAGGGCGCATGAAGAACACAGTATGGCGTGATTGGTCAATATGGAACGCACCTCTAACATTTGACGAACGAACTCGATGACCTCTCCGACCAATTCAAACTCGGGGTTGTCGAAAGGCCTCAAGAAAGGCATGACCATGAACGTGTATGTTGGATCGAGCGTGTCCGGAAAGACGTCTACGATGGGTACGCAGTGGTTGTGTGGATGCTTGATAGAGGTGAAGAATTGCGCAATCTCTATCTCCTGGCCTGTGTTTTGCAAGCGCTTGATGGCGACGAGATTCCCGTCCGAAGCTCTGGCGTCAATAATATTGAGAGTCTGTTACGGCTCATGTTGTTCGCTCTTAGCCTTTTTTATTAAACAACACGCGCACGGCTTACCATGGACATTATTGAGTCCTCGCAATAAAACGGGTCAATGTTGGTACCGATCCATGAGGGTCGCCAGTCCTGCGCATATCGCGGCCGGAGGACGTATCCATGCTCTAAAAGCTGCGGTCTTCGGCTCATCCACATTTTCTCGAACGGTGAGAGACCGTATGTGCCTTGCTCGGTCACGTCCGCCAGCCTCTGTGTCGCCTCGGGGGACAAGAAAGCGTAACTAGGAAGTCTCCCTCGGTTATGCATCTGCAAATTGAGAGCATAGTCAGATTCTGACGTGTGATTCTTACGTATCATAACATAGGACTTACCTTTGAAGCTTCAGGTGAAGCAGATGTCTGTCGGATGGTGGTCCAAGTTCAAGGGAGTGCTGAGTTCGCGCTGCGATCTTGGATGCGACTTGCCATAATGAGACGCGTAATCACGTAAGCACTACTTCAGCGCCTCCAGTTTCAACGGCGGGTCGAGCCCTGCGCTTGGCATACTCTGTATCCTACCACCATTTCGACTCGCATACTTTTTCTCTCTACTACACAGGGAGCTTGCCTTCAGGCAGCTTGCTTATGGTAGCACCATCTTCTCACGCGACATTTGTCACAAAAGACGAGCCAGCCATCATCATCAATCTATCCAGTAATTCCAGTGTACTCCGCCAGTCAATCAGCAGCGGCCGAAGGACATGTCGAGCATGCCTTCAGTTCGCTACGAATTCTTGGTACGCTTGAAAAATATGTGGATAGACGGAAACTGAGCATGTGGACAGATCTTGACGGCTCATCTCCCCGAAAACACTGCCTTCACGCAATATTATAAGGCGGCGTCGGCAAGCGACTTTCCCACCACGAGGACGCTCAGAGGTTCGGTGCCAATAACCCTCGGCGCGATCGATATGCACGTCCTCCACGAGGCGCAGTCCGTGCATTCTACCCCTGGCACATTCCGGAACTCAAATAGCGCGAACTCCAGCATGATGATGCCCCCAGGTTCTTTTGTCCCGTCCGTCTGACCCGCCACGGCCGTGTCGCTGAGTATCCATACGCCCGTTGCTTCCCCACTTTTCGAATTCTTGCTATGGTTGACTTCTTTAATGTCTGGGATATCGTGATAGGCGTACTGAGCCTCAGCGCCCCCTTCATTGTGGCGTACATCTACCACCAACTCCCATCGAAGAAGGTGAAAGTCTTGTCGGCCCTTCTCCAGGAGACGAATGCTCTCCTCGTGTCTTGCGTCGAACAAGGACTGTAGACTGAGGCCAACATCTCTGACTTCAAGGCGCAACTGTCTCTGTGAGTGGCACCGCTTTCGGTGTGCCGGTGGCGTCAACACTGACCGCTGCCTCCAGGTTGCACGCGCGAACCATTGAGGTGCAGCTGAAAGTCACCAGCACGCCATCCTGCTCCGAAGACATCGCCAATATGTTCAAAGGTCTCACTCGCCAGATCAACTCCGTGTGCATAGACGTGAAGATAGTTAGCGTAGCCATATCTGTACGTTCCAACCCGTCCATATCGTATCGCGTATCGTACCTGGCTAAAATCGCTATAGACGACCAGTCTTGATGAACGTCAACGGCTGGAACGAATGGCGGAAAACATCGGGGCTGAAACCGTCCATGGTTAGCGCCTGACTTCCATCCTAAGCAGCGCGTACACCACTCTGACAGTGCCTTGAAGCTACCGCAGACTGCCCTACATCGGAGCCACCAGGCCGTACGCCCTCTTGCGATACGACTGCAGGGGACCGGCCTGATGTGGCGTCGGACTCGGCTAGTGTGGCGCCAGACACGCCCCCCTCCGCTTCTTCCTCGTCCAGCGCATACGGCTCGGAGGAAACCTCAGAATCGCCTTGCTCAGTCTCGCGTCAGCTGTACGTCGGCTTGCAGGTACACACGGGGTTTTTGCAGCCGGCCTCATCTCCCTCCTTGCCGGCGTGTGCCACGCCTCCCCCTACACCGCCACATCGCGACGGCACTCAAGACTCCTGCAGCAGCGAGTCATCCACCGATGCCTCAAGCATTCTGCCTACCCCGCGCCGGAAGCGCAGCATTCCCACCCACCGCACCCGCGCTTGGGCTCATTTCGTGCGTCAACCCCGCGGCAGACGGTCGCTGCAGTCGCAAAAATCCGACACCACCAAGCTGCTTGGCAGATCGTCTACCGTCGAGCTCGTTGATGAACCAGAGGAAGGCGGCCAGTGGGAAGACGACCCCGATCATCCGCTGGAAGTCTATCACGCCTAGTCCCTACCAGTAACCCCTACCTCTTGTTTCGTTTCCTTCGCTATGCTGCCTCCTCACGCGTCGTTCTACGTCCGCTGCGTCGTCTCCTTCCCCATGCATGTCTTTCTAGTTGTCTGCACACTCTCGTACCCGCTATGTTACTCTCCTCGCTCGTTCGCTTCCGTAAGCTGTATATTGGCTGTCAACTCGGACTCCCTGTATGAAATATCGCCACTCCGTACACACAACACGAGTACCGTTGCTCACAGTTTGTCTCTCCGCGCGGCGGGGGTGTGGTTGTTGATTTGAAATCCAGCCTTCGAAGATCGGAATGAGAGTCACTGCCTCACGTGCAGGCTCCATACCATTGCACATCTTCCACGACCCTCTGGCATCGCGCAGACCGTGCATATGACGCGTCGCGAGCATCTGGTGCTGCAGGTATGGCGTTCGCGTGGAACGCCAGCGCATAGTCACCATCGCGCCGCCGCAGTAGGGCGCGTCTGGGATGCCACTGTGCGAGGACGGTGACTCGTGAGTAGACTGGGCCGTCGCCGAGATTGTGAAGCGGCTCACTTTGAAGTCGGCGAACTCGTCTGAGCGACGCCTGGCCCATTGAATCACGAGCAGTTGAAGGGTCCGAGAACTTGCCACGACTGCCTGACGGGCACTGACGATCTTCGTAGATTGAGACGTAGTGGATAAAGCGAAGCAGAGAGCACGATAGCAAGACAGCGGAGTGGATAGATAGGCGCGAGGTAGACGAGAGATGATGCATGCTGGTACGGCTCTATTATGTGGTTATCTACGTAAGCCGTCAAGAAATGAGACGGTCGACGAAAGGAAGTGACGTACAGTGGGGCATACTCTCACCCAACGAATCGTTTGAGGTTGCTCAACCCGTCTCGCGCAGCGGCGATCGTGTCGTTGATCATGCGTTCGGGAGCTGACTCGGACCTCGGGCTCAGGCGCCAGCGACCCTTGGAGGGGTTTTCGAGCTTGCGGAGTTGCCGGAACATGTTGATGAGCTCGAACGCAGGGGGCCTGAGTTCTGGCTGCTTTTGCTTCATGCAATCCACTAGGGGTTTTAGGAAGTCCGTGTGATGGTATTTCTGCGAGTCGTTAGGTTTAGCCACAAACATGATCGGCGTCCATACGAGGGAGCTCACCAGCTGAAACTCCTTGTAAAATAGATTCCCCAGCGCGTAGACGTCAGCCTTGTAAGCGTCGTATGGAACGGTCCACGATAGCTCTGGCACTTCGGCGTCGCGACCCACATTCCCCAGGACCTGCGAAGACGCCCCTGGCGGGAATCTTACCGAGAGGCCGAAGTCGACATAAAAATATTTGACGTCGTGGTCGATACGACGAAGTGGTGTAAGCTTCTCGAGAAGGTCTGGCGAGCGGTTCCTTCGAACAGGATGGTGACCCTGGGGGTATAATGGTTTGCCGTCCATCATAGTATTCACCGCGGCTATGTCCCTGGTTTCGAATGTGAGCCACAGGTACGTATAGGACAAGGCCAGTCAACATTACCGATGAGCTACAGAGTTTGAATGAAGAAAGGCGAGGCCCTGAAGCGTATGAGCTATCCAGCTCGACGGGGGACACGGTTATCGCACGCACGCACCTCTAGCATTTGACTAACAAATTCAACAACTTCGCCGACCAGTTCGAACTCGGGATCATTGAATGGTCTCAAATAGGGCATGATCATGAGAGACCAAGAAGGATCAATAGGGTCCGGGAATACTTCCAGGATGGACACGCAGTGATTTTCTGGATGTTCGATAGAGGACAGGAACTGGGCGATTTGCGCTTCCTGGCTTTTATTCTGGACGATCTTGATTGCAACGGGGGTTTCATCCGAGGACTTTGCGTCCATGACATACAGTTTCTATGCAAGCGTGAGGTGTATGTGCAATCACGTTGAGAGGGCAACTCGTCTCTTACCCGCGACACGATGGAGTCTTCGCAGTAGTATGGCTGGATGTTTGTACCAACCCATGACGGTTTCCAGTCCTTTGAATAGCGTGGACGTAGCAAGTATCCGCGCTGAAGAAGATGAGCCTGCCGAGCCTGCCACAGAGTCTCGAAGGGTGTAAGATTGTAGGTACCCTTCCGGGTTAACTCTTCCTCTTTCTCGGCGACCTCTGGGGTCATGAAAGCACCACTTGGTAATTGGCCGCTCTGACCCAGCATCTGTACAGAGGGCGTAGAGAGCTTGGGATAAGGCAGAATATTTGAACGAAAGCACAACGAACCTACCTGTGCGGTTGTAGCAAAGTTGCATGGTCGCTAATTCCAGTGCTCGAACGATCTGTCACCGTTGCGATTTCAGGCTCGCCAGTGGGAACGCTTACCGTTTAAGCGCCGCAGCAGTGCGTACGCACTGCGCACGTGCTACTCCGATCATGCAGACGGCGAGCAGCTCTATCGTTACGAGCTTCTGCGCCTCCAAAATGCACATCAGTCACGATGTTCCCTCGTGTACCATGCTGAGCACCAGCTGAGTGCGCCGCAGAGAGCACACAGGCAAGTTCGCACAAGGGTGCATCGCATGTAGAAACGTATAGCGGGAATCCTCCTAGATTGAGAGACGGATGATACAGCGTAGTATGAATAATGTTTCCGGGAAGAGTGTGGGTACCAGAGCAAGATAGCGGGGACGATAGATGGTTGGCGACGGTATATGGATGCGTGGAATATAGAAACCTATCTCCAACGCGATGATAAGACGCCAAAACAATGAAGTGTAAAGACACGCGGTGAATTACAATCAGCCAACAAACCGCCTAAGGTTGCTCAACCCATCTCGTGCGGCGGCGATTGTGTCGTTGACCATACGTTCGGGAGCGGACTCGGTCCTCGGGCTGAGACGCCAGCGCGACTTGGAGGGGTTCTCGAGCTTGCATAGTTGTTGGAACATGGTCACGAGTTCGCTTGCCGGCGGCCTGAGATCGGGCTGTCGTTGTTTCATGCAGTAGACGAGGGGCTTGAGAAAGTCTGTGTCGTGGTATTTCTGCATTCATATCCAGTTAGGCACACGCGGAGCGGCGAACGAGCAGATTAGGAGTGATACTGACCAACTGGAACTCTTTAAAGAAGAGGTTTCCGAGAGCGTGTATGTCGGCCTTGTACGCATCGTATGGTACATCCCAGGACAGCTCCGGGACCTCGGCGTCGCGACCTACATCTCCCAATACCAATGAAGAGGCACCTGGAGGAAATCGTGCCGACAGGCCGAAGTCGATGTAGAAATACTTGATCGGGTGATCTATACGTCGTAGAGGTTTCAGCTGGTCGATGGCGTCTACGGAGCTATCCGTGCGGACTGGATGGTGTCCTTGGGGATAGAGTGGCCGGCCATCCATCATGACGTTCAGTGCGCCTATGTCTCTATGTCCGGATCAGCGGCGCGTTTGATTTTGACTTATGGGAAGAAGTACCTATGAGCAATACGGTGGGAATGGAGGAATTCGAGACCCTGTCATGTTTGAGAGTACTGTTTAGCACAGGTAGTCGTAAAACGCACCTCCAGCATCTGGCGGGCGAACTCGATGACTTCGCCGATCAGCTCGAACTCTGGATCATCAAATTTCCTCAGGTATGGCATGACCATGAACGTCCAACTCGGTTCACTAGCGTCTGGGAAGACATCCTCAACGGGTACGCAGTGTTTATGCGGGTGCTCGAGCGAAGTCAGGAATTGCGCGATTTCGATCTCTTGGCCTTTATCCTGGAGGCGCTTGATTGCTATGAGCCTCCCATCAGAGGTTTTCGCATCGATAACGTTCAACTTCTGTTCATACTTTGTTCGTCAGCCCACTTCTTATCAAGAACAAGAGGTAAGCTTACCATCGACCTAATCGAGTCTTCGCAATAGAACGGATCGATGTTCGTGCCTGTCCACGAGGGTTGCCAATCAGGCGAGTACCGCGGCCGAAGCGAGTACCCTCTTTGAACGAGGTACGGCTGTTTTAACTTCCAGATTTTTTCGACAGGTGAGATAGCGTAAGTGCCTTGTCGGGTCATCTCAACCTGTCTCTGCGTTGCCTCGGGCGACAAAAAAGCATCGCTGGGAAGTTTGTGCCGATTGTTCACTGGCATCTACGAAGATTATCAGTTGGTGGACTACCACAGGGATCAGCAATACGAAGTGCTACCTAGTGTTGCCGTAGCCTATTCTGTCTTGTTGACTGGTCGAAGTGAGGTGAGAGTCTTGGATGCGCGATCTTGGAAATACTTTCCAAAAAGAACCGTGGAATTACGGCAGCAAACGCCATTGGCTCTGCTAGCGCCGGCACGCCGTGCCCGTCAGCTTCAGCCGTGACCTCCTTCAAGTTTGACTTACTCTAAGGCTTCCACTGCTCCGCCCGAGTCTCGCCATACACTCGAGTCTGACTCCGTCCTCTGCCACTATATACCACCTCTCGGAAGCAAGAACTGAACTAGAAAGGCACGGCACCCACAGGCAAGTTCTCAAAGCAAGTTCCCAGGGTCACTGTTATCGCAGCGGCGCACCACTGGCAGCACCTTCAACATCTTCAAAAAAAGTAAATTTCCTCCAAGTCCGAGCCGCAACAACGTACCTGCCGACCCCGCAAAACCCTAGCTCACTCGACATCTATTCGCAGTGAGGACAACCCGAATGTCTAGAATTGGAACACGTACTCTTCCGCGTTGATTTTCGTATGACAGCGCGTGAAATGTCCGTCTCTCGGTCGGCGCAAGCGTTCTTCCCGGCCCGAGGCTCCTGGAGAGCTTCGGTACGCCGTCGCAAGGCGACAAGGAAGGGGCGCACAGCGTATGTAGCCACCTTAGCCTAGCTAGAGGGCCAGTAACGTGAATTGACACTCGCGACGCCGTGGACAACGCTCGAGGCCGCGAGAGCTCGAGGTCGGTTTCGAAAGCAGGACAGTTTTGAGAAGTTCATCGACGGATAGGCGAAAACCAGGCTCATGTCGCTTCATGCATTCAACTAGATGCTGTATCAAATGAGTGATGCTGAGCGTATACTAGAGACCGCGCGTTAGCTACGCATCAGGATCGCGGAGGAAGACGTACCTGCAGGACCTGTGCGTCGGACATATCTTACGGGAGTTTGATGGGAAGCTCTGAGATATCCACGTCTCTCTCGATCCTGTCAATCACGGTGGTAGCTGCTCCGGGAGAGGGGCACGTAGGCAGGCTGAATTCGATGCAGTAATATTTCCCCAGCTAGTCGATTCGAGGAAGTGACACAGCAACAACGTCGTAGACGCCGGCTGGGGAGCGATGCATCCGCACGGCTCCGCACGGGTGGTAATCGTCGGGGAGTATCAACCAGACGCCCTTCATGATGTTGGGCAGCGCTATAGCCCTAGATGCGTATCAGTCATCGCTTCGAAGGGGTAACGGCGTTTCTTACCTGTGCGCGATGTTGTGCCGGTAGATGAAGTCTCTTTGGGACAAGACGCCTACACCGTGATCGCCTACGGTCTGCGACTCGGGCTCGTTGTATGGCTTGATGCTTGGAGGAACAAGCATAGCGTATTCAACATCCGGGGGTCGAGAAGGGACTAGGTAATTGCTGGTATATGTTGATCGTCGGGGCCGCAGTCGGAGGCGATGAAGAGCTCGGAGGTGGAATTTTATTGGCACGTCTTCCTCACGTACTTGGTCGACGCATGCCCCATCCTATTCAAGATGCGTCCTTTGTACTGAGTGCCCGCTGAAGATATAGCGTCAGTTCGTTGACGTGCGGGACAAATGAATCCATGTGCCTTACAGGCGACTAGCCAGAACCTTCACAAAAATCGGACCGGATGGATGTTCAGAGCCACGATGCTCCTACTACGGATGATGGAAATCTCGTGTTTGCTCGGCGTACAGTTGCTCAAAATTCGGCGGCAGGTAGACGTAGTCAAGGCGTTTTGAATGGTTTGCCACAGTCAACTCGAAGCAGGGACGCTGCTATCGGCATTGACCAGTGATCTTAGCAGGGAGTGCGACCGTATCCGACGCCTATATGGGCCCGCGCTTGAGCGAGTAACGCTGGCTCAGCCTGAGCCTCAGATGACGTTGTGCTTGAGATGTCGGGGATGAAGCGAGTCAACTGTCCCAATTCTTCAAGCGGGAGAACTAGCATGCAAAGCGCGATAGCGAGGTGACATAGACGATGACTAGGTATACAATCTATCTCATGCATCAGTGTAGACGTTTACACAAGCGCATGAATAATGCTCACATGAGATCGCTCTACGACCGTACGTATCGGCGAAGCTGACTGAGACTCTCCTTCGCGACCGCGACGCCATCGTTGAAAAGTCTCTCATAGGCTGGCTCGGATTTCGGGCCCAGACGCCAGCGGAAGCCGTTCGGATTGAGCGTCTTTCGTGTCCCCGCGAACATCTGTACGAGTTCGCTCGCTGACAACCGCAGCTCTGGTCGCCTCTGCTTCATAGAGTCGATGAGAGGCCGGAGAAACTCGAGACTGTGGTACCGCTACACATATGCGTCAGCGATGCGTTCACACAGCGCACTTGCGCGTCGTACCTGCTCAAACTCCTTGTCGAAGAGGTTCCCTAGGGCGAATATATCCGCCTTGAATGGATCGTAGGGGACAGTTGATGATAATTCCGGAACCTCTGCATCCCGACCGACGTCGCCCACGACCAGCGTTGGCGATCCAGGCGGAAAGCGTACTGAGAGCCCGAAGTCGACATAGAAATATCTGACGGGATGGTCAATGCGCTGTAGAGGCGTAAGGGCCTCTATGGTATCGAGGGAACGGTTCTTCCTGATCGGATGGTGTCCCCGAGGGTATAACGCTCTTCCGTCCATCATAATGTTGAGCGATGCGACGTCACTACACCAGACGATGAGTATCCTCTCATAGATAGGCAAACATTACGCCTAGCGTTTACCGATGCGCAACTCGGTTATTATGGAGGAATTCCAAGCCCTAAGATTGTGAAAACGACCAATGGACATCGAGAAAAGATGTCCTCACCTCGAGCAATTGCGTCACGAAGTCTGTAACATCGCCGAGCACAGAGAATTCGGGATTGTTCCACGGTCGAAGGTACTGCATGACCATCAGTGACATGCTTGGGTCCAAAGGGTCCTCGAGGGCGTCGTAGACCGGCACGCAATGATTTGCTGGATGTTGTAAGGTCGACAGAAACTGTGAGATCGGGAACTCGTGGGACGTGCGCCTTATAGTCTTGATAGCAACGCAAGATCCGTCAGAGATGCGTGTCGCGTCAATTACGTCGGGATTCTAAGTGCGCTCGTTAGTAAGCCACGTTATGCACCAATGCCAACAACCCACAATAAGGACAACGAAATCTTCGCAGAACTCTGGGTCTAGGTTGGTTCCCATCCACGAAGGCTCCCATCCAGGGCGATATCTCTGTCTTAACTGATAGCCATGGCCCTGCAAAAAAAGGTACCGGTCCCTCCATCGAACTTCAGAGGAGATGAGCTTGTGTGTGCCGTTGCGGATGTTCTCGGCTTGGCGACGAGCAGCCTCCGGAGGTAGATAGACGTAGCTGGGCAGTTTTTTTTGTTCGGCCATGCAGCAGGAGGTCGAGCGAGAATATGCAAAGGAGGCAGCAAGTTGTATGGCTCAGTTCTAGTCTACCCAATTGGGCGTGGTGCACAAAGCCGGAACTGAGATTCTGATCGAGAGGAGGAACGAGATCCCACTCCGCATAAGGCAATAGCCACGTGGTAGCTGTATATATAGGCGCCCCAGGGGTCCGCCGACGTGCGTCTCGCTCACTCTGGCTTTCTCGCCACGCCTCATATAGTTGCAGCGACATACCTCGAGCTCCTTCGATATCATCCTGTGCCAAAGGACGTACGGGATGGGGGTACACGTAGAGACCCAACTCTCACTCTCACGTAGTACGGCAGTGTTTTCTCAGGCGTACGCGTGTGCGCAAACACGCCGTATGCGCCCATGATCTCACCGACTAGGCTAAGCGACAGAACCCGGAGCTTTTATTTGGGCACGCCTCTTTTCGCGGGAAAGCTGGCGGTGCATCGATGGGCATGCGGCACACGAGGACTGCACGATTCGGACAAGTAGGACGCCACCCGCAAGACGACGAACGCCGTTCCCACTTATCTCCCCGCCCTCCCTATACGACGCGGGCACGAATCCCTCCGCATCTCTGGAGCAGCCGCCGCCACATACATCATGTCCAGTGCCGCATACACCCGATGGGAGACTTTTGCTGGTGTCGTGGGGGTTATAACCTCCATCCCTATCGCAGTCACTTTGGTGATGATACACCTGCCATCGAGAAAGATTGACAGTCTCTTCCTCACATTAGCGTCCGTCCAAGCCTCGCTAGAGGAGACGGTTGAGGAGGGGCTCCTACGCGAGCATCATATTCGGTCGTTTAGACAGCAGCTCATCGGGTGAGTAGTACTGGGACGCACTAATATATTACAATTTCGCTCATCGGTGATCCCTATAGTCTTCGCAACCGTGCTAGGGATGTTCGTGCACGAGCGCACTCGGCGAGAGACTGCACTGGAGACTTGACAAACATGCTCAAAGGCTTGACCACCACCATCACAAATATTGAGGACGACGCTATGGAATTGCGCGCCACCATCGCGGTATGTTGCTCGAGTTCCGTGCTTCAAACATCCCAGTAAACTAATCTTTCCACAGACGACCAGCACACGTGAACGGGAAGAACGAGAGAGAGCCGAAGTGGCACGTCGTATCGCTGCCGGAGGGGGTAACGCTGCGGCCCAAGGTGATACTCGTTCTACACGACGTGTTCTGCTGGTACTCATACGTAATCGTGATCCTAGGCGAAGATCCTCGCTCTGCCAGGCTGTACACCAAAGTATGGCGACTTGTACTGTCGACGCTACACCTCATGGTTTCGCTACTTTGGCGCCGAAGCTCAATGCGGGGAGGCAATGACTCGGAGTGCACATCCCTTCACGGCGAGTGTGCGCCACCACTTCCCGATACCGGGGCCTACTCTTCGACTCCGTCACTCGCGCCTCCGGCCCCGTCTTTCCCCATGCTCCAGTCAGTCCTGCACGACGAGGCGGTGCAATCCGCCGAGATCGCGCCCGAGGAGACCGCTCAGGAGGCCCCTCCTCCTTCGCGGACCCAATCTTCCCTCGTCCCGTCGTCTCGTTCGAGGAAGAGCCGGAGCAGCCCGTGCTCCCGCACCCGTGCATTTGCGCAATTTGTACGCCACTACCGCCGGAAGTACGCCACACCTCGCCACGACGATGTCTCCTTCATCACGATGTCGGAGTGGTCGTCCATCGAGCCATTGCAAGATGACGATGACGCGGCAGACTGGGAGGATATCGGGTCTCGAAAGGTACGAGTGATGTTATAGCCCGGCTCCATTTTGATACACTGCTATGCTGCTCTTTCTCCGCTCGTCGCTATGCCTGTCCCCGCTGCCTTCGCTATCTGTCTATCCGTCTCAATCGTATGCTACTCGTATTCTTCCCTCTCGCCCTCATGCTTTACTTTACGCGCCCGTCGTCGTACGGCATCAGTCTCGCCTGTATCGCTATGTATGTACCTATCGCTCATCGATGTACCACTAAAGTGCGCTACCGACGATATTCATCACCAAAACTCACCTCCCGCCTTTGTCCTGCACCGGATGAGTGTTTTGCAGGTTATCATAGAGCGCACTGCGCCATTGCCACGGTCTCCTCGCCTGGCGGCGACGCTTCGCGGCCACATGTGGTGGATCCGCGCCGACCACACTGTACCCACAGCACCGCATCTACGTACGCGATAACGTCGGCAGCGCTCGGGAAGCCTGAAGCGAGTCAATGCGTGTGTACCCGCTCGGATGGTAGCAAGTACAACGCCCCAGCTGGGTGGCATTTCCTGAGTGTGTCAATTTGGCACCTTCGCACTCGTGAGCGAGACCGATGAATATCATAATAATATTCCTAGGCGCGCGTACGCCGTCGCGGGGCGACAGGTGCGCTCAGACCAGGTCGATAACCTAAACATAACCGGAACGCACAGCGTACGTAATTTCATAGCTAGAGAGATGGTACATGGTGTGGCAGCCGCGGAGACACGGTCTGCGCACGGCGCCGCGCGAGAGCGAGTAAGATTCGAAAGCGGGACGGATGGAGAAGGGGAGTGCATAGCGGAGACGAAAGCGTCACAACGGGGGCAAGAGCGAGAAAAACCGGAACTGGAACATAGCGAAAGCGTGAATGATGGCGAAAATGTATCAGCAAAGCGGAATGGAGGGCATGGGAGCAGGAGAAAGCTCGCACGCAGCTCTAGCCAGAGCGCTAGAGCTGTGGCGGCGAGCGTCGTGAATGGTATCAGCGGCGTGTGTCCTCACACGTCGGACCATTCGCTGCTGTCCGAGTCAGACGCGCAATCCAGCGTACGTGTCTGGGCCTCTATATCGACGTCCTCCGAAGAATAGGTTGTGCCTGTACGGCCGTGCGAGTATGCCCCAGCAGAGTGGCGCATCGCACCTGCGATCGCCTCTGTACGGGAGCTCACGAGTTTCTCTGTCGGTACGATGACCTCTGTGCGGCGGCCGGATGGAGTGTGAGGACCGAGCAACTTCCTGCCGAACTGCAGGAGGACCGTCCGACGACTCGCGCACTGACGCCGGCCGCCACTCCGGGATTGAGGAGAGATCAGGCGGACGGAAAGCAATGACTTGAAATCGGCGTCGGAGATGATATAGTGCGTAGGCGACAAAGCGGGGTTTCCGACGAGTGTATCGTTGTGGCGCGTCGAGTCGACGGGCTGGAAAGGAGAGCCGGTGGGACGACTAGGTGGGGCGATGGCAGCAGGGTCAGCCAGTGCTGGTACAAAGGGGGGGCCGAAACAAGGTGTGGCAGTCGGAGTAGAGGAGACTTGAGTGGTAGAAGAGGCGGATGGGGCATTGGAGGCAGGCGGATGTTGCATATCTGGCGCGACAGACGGGCTGGGTGGCGGTGGCGGTAGTGAGCCCCATGGCACGTAGCGTTCTGAACGCCAGGAGTTAGGAGGCAAAAAAATCTCTTAGGTGACACCGCGCACCTCGTGAAGCAGGGATAGGTGCACGCTCGAACACGTAACCCAGAGACGCAAGACGCTTGCGCTCGCCAGACTGGATCCTCTGAGACGAAGGCGTGAGGAATTGGGTAGTATTGTAAAAGCTATAAACTCACGGAAAGCCGGGCGCGCGTAGTGCCGAGCTGATCGCTCAAGTCATAGATCTTGCCGGAGAGGCCGTTGTACCAGTTGCGAATATCTTGCGGCCAGGATCTATCGTCGTTTATCAACGCGCACACATCGTCAATGCGAATCTTGAGGCTAGAGAATGGGCAACGGTGAGATCGAGTCATCGGATAGCACAGTGAAGACCAACACCCAGATGCTGAGATGACACTGATAGACATCATTCTCGTTTGGTAAGAGGCCGTCACGAATACCTTCATTAAAAAGGTTTTGGGTCTTTTCCAAAAGATCTAGGAGAGCGGGAAACCTCTGAGACGGAAGACGATTTATGAACCAGGCAACGAGAAGAGGGATCAACGCCGCGGTCCCGATGGCGGCAGCGACACCCCCCCCAAACACTAAGGCCCTGAGGGTCAGACATGTCGCGGGGCTCGACGGCGGTAATGCCGAGAGACAGCTGTGGGTTTCGGCTTCCCAAGGCAGATTGCCTGGCTGGGCGGAAGCTGCGAAGACAGGGTGGCGGGAATGGGATAGTGAGGGGCTGTTTCAAGAGGCCCTCTTATGGGCTACGCCCGTCCCAGCAGAAGTGTGCCCTATCCTAGGAACGTGGATGCTGCGTGCGCCGATACGGGGCACCTGCTGACATTCGGTGGGCTTCCACGCACGAACACATAGGTCTGAGGGTCTGAGGAAGCAAGGCGTAGCCCATCTCACGCTGCACAGGTTGGGCGGAAGGAAAGAAACGCAGGTTTCTGGCGCCTCTCGTTGCGGCCCGAGTGGTCGAACCTACTTACTAAATGCGGCGAACACATTGTCTGCGCGTTCCTCCTTTCTTACGGCGGGCAAAGACATAAATCCCGATTCACACGCAGGGATTATCTTGCGTTTTGCCCGTAACATAACGAGAAAGGTGAATCCGATGGGCGCCAATAACGTGTCTGCCAGAAAAGGGAGACGCCGCAAGAGTTTTCTCCTCTCCAGGGTCGCGGTGCACGAGTTTTGCCCGCCGCATCTCCGGCTGCAGCATGGGCGAGGCTGTTCCGAAGATCCACTCATCTCCCCGCACTTGCTCATAGCCTATGTCTACACCGTCCAGACCAAAGCGGCTTCCTAACTACGCTGTTTTGACGGACCAGGCTGCCGCACACTACGCACGCTCAACACACGAAGGGGGCTACGACTTGCTCCCAACAGAGCTCTACTGGCAACGGCGTCAGCGTTACCTTCATAAATCTGGCTATATCCTTAGACCTCGCTATGTTCCCAAGTGGAGGCCGTCATGGATAGACACAAATTTGGATCCTACTTACTGTGAGGACTCCATCATGCTCCTTGTACGCTACTCACCGCTGTGTACGCGAGCGGCCTCTGACCACCAGACGCCCAGGAATACCAAGTCATTGATGCGACGCGTGTTTCCAACAGCGAGCTCGTCGCAATCAAGTCGTTTCTCATAGACGAGGATAAACAGGAGCTGCAAATCTCCCAGTTCTTCGCGTCCATCGAGGACCCCATGAATCACTGTGTTACAGTTCACCAAATTCTACCTGATCCATTCGATTCGCATTCAGCATTCATGGTCATGCCATACCTGAGACCATGCAACGACCCCGACTGGAGCACCTTGGGAGATGTAGTTGACTTCGTCGGTCAGACGATGGAGGTAAGTTGTCAAACGTTGATTGCATCTCTTCCCTGCAATCTCATTGGAATCCAGGGCTTGGCGTTCATGCACAGGTACCGGGTAGCGCATCGGTGAGTTGTCTTCCTCTATGCTTCCATCCAGGCCTCAGTTATGTCGCAGGGACATCTGCATCCCCAACATCATGATGGATGCCAAGGCGCTCTACCCAGACGGGCACCACCCGGTGCGCCTCGGATACACTCCCGACGCTTTATACCGAGTCTCTCCTCTTCCTCGAGCAGGACGTTCCATTCGGTACTCTTACATTGACTTCGGACTGTCACTCCGATTTCCTGCGGGCACTTCTCCCTTAGCCGTCGGAGTCGTCGGACGAGACAGGGAGGTCCCAGAGTTGTCCAACAGCGTTCCGTACGACACCTTCAAGGTCGATATATTCGCCTTGGGCAACCTCTATTCCAAGGAGTTTGAGCAGGTGCCAGATTTCTCTTCACCCATCCTTGCCACGCTAACGTCCGGCAGAAATACAAGGGCATGGAGTTTCTCCTTCCATTGATTGCGCGCATGACTCAACGTTCGCCGACCGATCGACCAACTGCGGAGCAAGCGCTCCAACAGTGGGAGGGCATCCGTCAAGGTCTTGCCAAGTCTACCTTCCGCTGGCGCCTTTCTCCCAAGTCCGAGCCTCCGCTCGAGCGTGTACTCAACGACACTGTTGCCGTCGCCTGGGAGAGCATCTACCACATCAAGAAGTTCGTCACGTAGCGTCTCGTCGGTTCCGTAAGTAGTTCATTAGGCCTACTTTCGTGCATACGTTGATTGTATCGTAGTCTATCTTTGTTGTATATCCTGCTGTCGTCGCATGCGCTTTCTAGACTTGTCTCAGCCTGGTGGACGTTCCCTGTATACCATGTCATATAATATTCGCATCCGCTTGCAGGACATTCGCAGTATAGGTGGGCACTCTTCTCCGCGCTCGGTATACACGCCGCTGACCTCTCGCAGATGTGTGTAAAACATTCACCTCCCTTCAGGAGGGCTGCTCGACGCTTACAAGGCCCGTCACCGATTGAACCCCAACGCCCTGCGGCTCAGCTGGCTCTCCGCCGATGCGGACGCCCCCGTATACCGCCATCCAGCCCTGCTTCATGGTCAGATCCCAAGATTCAGGTTCCAGAACTCAGACGTCACCTTCCCTCCACGTTCCGCCCCCATGACGCGCCCGCGCGGCGCAATATCGTGAATATCCAGCGATAAGGTCGACACGGCGAGGACAGCCTCGAGCTTCTGGTGGGTGCATCGATGATCAAGAGAAGCCTCAATTGCCCGCGGTTTTCTTCTATTGCCACCGCGCACGAGCCCTTTGCCTTTAGACCGTGTGCTCCCGGAATGCGGCAGACGGCAGCGGTTCCTGCAGGGCGGAGTCGGCGCGGCTGCGGCGTTCTAGCCCGAGGGGAGGTGGGAAACGCACGGCCTTGCTGTTCGCTGTATCCGTGCGGCGATGAGGCGTACATCTCGCGGTCCGGCGATGACTTGCATGCAGCCGCGCGCACGGGCTGCGTGGAGAGGGTGTTTTGGCTGATACGCGACGATGCAGTCTCGTCGTGTACTAGCCAAATAGTCGCCCGTCTTGCCTGCTCGGCGGTCCCATGTCTGACATGCACATCGTCTATCCCAAAGGTATCGCAATGATCTTCGTCGCGTGGGCCGGTGTATCGAGCTGTCTTCAAGGTTGCCTCCTGATTTGCCACAACGGTCCATCAAGGACTGTCGCGCGATGCACGCGGTAAGGCCCACTCCGAACTTCAGAATCGAACGTGGTTGAAACTCAACGCCCATACCGCTGCGTTAGGTAGCGATGCTTCGAGTCCGCATAATTTTCGACGCTGTTTTCCACCCCTCGTTCTGGCTTACGGATATGATATTGGACAACATACACCCACAAAATTCAAACCAGCGTAACTGTACGTTTCTCTACGCCCAGACGCAGCCACGGTATGGTCAACCTCGCCGCATCGCTACCTTTCTTGTCCGTCTGATACAACCAGTACCCGATGCGTTTGTAGGCATCGCGCCCTTCCTCCACCACTATCAGGCCCTCCGTGCAGAGAGACCCTTCCGTATTCTCCTGGTAGATCAACACGAACCACGCTCGTCCTGGGGCCCCACCTTCGGGGCCGTCGAAAGCGAGGACGGCATGCCCCGGTGCAGACGTCAGCAGCGATTCCTCAAGTTTGGTAAATTGGACGACTGCTAGCAGATCGCTCTCCATGTGCTCCTGACGCACTGTGATCTGTGCGGGTGCCGAATCTTCTCCCCGTCTTGTGGCCCGGAAATTCCCGACTACTACCCCGTGCTGAGGAGGTGCGGCCACAACCTTTGCACGAAGCTCGTCTGTGGGTACGACGAACGTGTACCCCCGCTCGGAGGTATCGTCCCAGAGGACGGAAGGCATGGGAACCATGATCGCCCGTATCTCCAGCTCTCCAGCAGTGACCCTCCCGTACAGCTGCCGCTCGTCCATCAGCGTCACATCGCATTTGAGCACATCGCAGACCACCACATCGTCGTCGTCGTCACAGATCACGGGCGGCTGCACGTGGAAGCGGCCTTCAACGGACGCCCAAGACCACGAGGGCGCGAGGTAAACCTGGGGTCGCGGACGGAGCGGGCCATCCCGCCAATCTTCATGCAACGGCTCGCGGTACCACAAGAGGTCGCGCGAAAGGTGCTTCTCCCAGAGCCCTGCAACGTATCTCCCCGCGCTCGCATGCCAGACACGGCTGAATTGTTCCGCGACGCCCGCGAATGCGATGAGCTTGTCTGTCTTCAGAGTGAGGGCTCGGCTGGTGTAGTTCATGACGACGAACATCCACTCGACCTGGAGCTCGCCCCAATCTTCCTCACTCCAATCCGCGACCTTGCTGCGAATCTCGTCGTCCGAAATGCCGAACAGCAGCTTGTTCAGCTTCACGGGGCCACCCCACCTGATCGAGTTGTTGACGGGGGCCGAGGTCGTCTGGCAGTGGTACTCGAGGGCGTATGTCGCGTAGACGAGCTTGCGTGGAGATAGCAGGCGTTCTTGGAAACACCATGCGCGGGAATCCACCGGCTCTTTTGGCAGTGCATTTCCACTACCAGGGACCCCGTCTGTGAAGACAGATACCGTCCCAACGCGACCGTCACGGCAGTGGTAGGGCAAAACGGGGTGCGTGGCGTAGTGTGCTGGTACAGGACGGTCCTGGAGAATGCCGGCGTTTCCATGTGCCGAGCTGGCGGCGACGATAGTGAGGTATGCGTCATGATATATTTGGCCCATCCGGACAAGCTCGTTGTTCTTGTCCTCGACGGAGTCCTGGATGATGCAGAAGGCGTCTACCCAGAGGTAACGCATCCCTAGTTTGTGAGTGACGGTGATAGCATCCCGAATGGTCTTCGGTATAACGGAGGGCTTGATCCTGATCAGATACTTGTCAACGTTGGACTTGAGCGTGATGTGGTATGCATCCGAGCCCCAAACGTAGCTGAGCGCGAGGTAAGGCGCCGACATGTCCTTGGTTATGAGTAGACGCGGTTTGGACGGATTCATGCAGTCGATGACTCGGGTCGGAAGACGGGTCGGGCCTGGTTTAGGACATTTGTTGTGGCTTGCAATGCACTCGTCCAACCGCGCCAAGCTGTGCCGGTACGCTTCTGCGGAGTCGATCCGAAATAGAGGAGGTCTGGTGATAACGTCGCCGGCAGCGGGATTGTCTACAGAATTTCATCAGGAGAAAAACCAAAGGAGGAGGGCCGGGTACATACCTGGGGACGCATAGAGACAGTAATCCATCACCAGCGATGGTCTGTCCACTGTGATGCGCAGCCGCGGAGTGTTCTTCGGAGAAGGCCCGAAGTTGTATCCCTCCTCCTCCTCTCTATCAATCCCCAGCGCAAACTCGAGTTCGGGCGAGTCTGAGAAGCCGCTGCCGCCGCCGCCGTGACGGACGTAGTCTTGAAGTAAGGTACAGAGCGTACATCCAGCGCCCCTTCCAGCCTCCATTGCGGCCGGCGCGATACGGTACAGGAGCTTCTCTCCGTCCATGAGCCGTCTCCATGACTGCGACGCAAGCGGCCCGTTGGCACACTTGTCGCAAGCAGCGCGTCGTTTACTAGCTTTCCGAGAAGAGCGAGTTGAGAGAGGTAAACAATGCCACATGAGGAATTGAGTGAGGTGGTGTTCGTCCGAGTCGATACATCATACTTAGGCGACTCACAGGCTTCGTCCACGTTTGTCTCCCCTAGGCAGACGATATATGTGAGCACACCGTGTGCATGGCTTTGCAGCCTCGTGGTACCATGCATGCAACGTCTATCTGGATTCGGCCTGGGTTAGGTGCCATCTTCCGGTGTGAACAATATTCACTGGCTCCAGTACCCAGCTTGATGCCGACACTTTCGTATTCTTGCACTGTTCTGCAAAGACAAATCGGTGTACTCGCAAAAGTTCTGCCCAACTTGCGCGTTCGCTCTCCTGATCAGCCTTGCAAAGTTAGCTGGTGGTACAACATTCATATAACGCATAATCCGAGCAAGTACGTAGGGAGATAGCACGATAGCGGGAATGCATAATGGTGGGAATAGAGACCGCACGCGAGCTGCCTTAATACCGGGTGCATGAGCAGTAGGCGATATGGAGACCCGGAGCGACAGAAGGCTGATAGCTATCAGTATGAGCAGTCGTCTGAACTAGAGATCATGGCTGCACCTACGAGTTGTAATACTATGGACGTACAAAGCGTCGCAGCTGGCTAAGGCTGTCTTTGGCGACGGCAACGGTGTCGTTGAACAGCCTCTCATAGACGGGGGCAGTCTTCGATCCAAGCCGCCAACGAAAGCCGGAGGGGTTCAACGCTCCGCGCATGTTTCGGTACCGCTCCACGAGTTCGCCTGTGGCCGGTCGCGACTGGGGTCGGCGTTGTTTCATGGAGTCTATCAAAGGCCTGAGGAAGTCGAGGCCGTGGTATTTCTACATACGTATGAGAACGCGCGGGCGGGCGACGACACGGACCCTTACCTGAGCAAGCTCCTTATCGAAGAGGTTTCCGAGAGCGTATATGTCCGCTTTATACGCATCGTACGGGACGGTCGAGGAGAGCTCGGGAACTTCGGCGTCGCGCCCGACATTCCCGACGACGTGGGTGGACGCTCCAGGCTGGAAGCGAACGGACAGGCCGAAGTCGACGTAGAAGTACCTCACCGGGTTGTCGATTCGAAGAAGAGGAACCAGATCTTCATAGAGGTCCGGGGATGATTCTATCGAGGCCGGATGGTGTCCTCCAGGGAATAGCGCGCGTCCGTCCATCATCACGTTCAGAGCCGCTATATCGCTGTGCCTGAATGTCAGCATTTCATATAGCGTTTGTAAGGACATACGCTACCGGTGCGCAACACATTGGCTGTGTAGGAAGGCCAGTCCCTGAAGTCCGTCAATATAGTGTGCTTGGCATACCAACCCACGGCGCTCACCTCGAGCATTTGGGTCACGAAGTCCACCACTTCGCCGAACATGATGAAGTCTGGGTCGTCAAATGGCCTCAGGTATTGCATAACCATCAGCGAGTGGGAGGGATTCAATGGGTCGTCGAGGACGTCATAGACCGGTACGCAGTGGTTCTCCGGAGGCTGTAGCGAGGAGAGAAACCTTGAAATCTGCACCTCTTGACTATTTTTCGTGACGCTCTTTATAGCAACAAGTAGGCCATCCGCACGGCGCCTCGCGTCCATGACGTTGAAGTTCTAGACAGATTAGAATTAGCACAAAGCTGGTGATGTGAACAAGACTGTGTACCGACGCTGGCCATGACGGCGTCCTCGCAATATTCTGGGTCGAGATTGGTTCCAATCCACGAGGGCTTCCAATTTGGATGATATCGCGCCCTCAAATCGTAGCCGCGCTCTTTTAAGCGTCTCTGGCGATCTCTCCATAGCTCTTCTGAAGGGAGAAGATTATAGACACCGTCGTTAGTGAGCTCTACCTGCGCTTGCGAAGCTTCGGGAGACAGATAGACGTAAGAGGGGGGTTTCCTGCCATCTGCCATCGAGAGCGAGCAGTTTATGAGCAGGGATTGAGGAGAGACGGTGCAATGTAGCTTATACAGTTGCTGAAAATCCTACCACCACTGCATCATGGTAGAGAGACTCAAAAGAGGACGGTGCTGCGAACTGCACTCACGGGCGGCTGTCCGGGGAGTCGCTCCGGCCAACTCCGAGTCGGGTCGTTCAACACGGCAGTCCTTGTCTGTCCTTGTCCTCAACCACCACCCGCACCGGCCCTCCTCCACACTACGTTGTTTTCTCTTTACGGGATACAATGTTTCCATGGGAGACCCTTACTGCCTATCGAATGCTTGGTCACAATTACTTTGTTATTTAGCGCTTCGCTGATCTTCGAGTCTAGTCTAACGAGCTTCCCGCCTTTCTTATATACCAACGACGTATACAATGCGCTCATCCTCTTGAGCGGGGCGTTTCGGACAACACACTCTTGCCATGCGGTGATCTGTTTCTTCATTTGTTTCCTCTCTTGAGCTCGCCCACACCATCCGACTCGACGACCTACTCCTATGCATCATCCGTCTGGCAGTGCTACACGCTTCTCCGCCGCTCCACGAGGGTTCTACATAGGGTCCGACACATTCGACGGACGAACGCCAACCCAGGTTGCCATTGATTGCGTGTGGCCGCCGATTCAAGCCGCCTGCGCCAATACGCGAACGCTTTACCATGGCAGCTATGCGCTCGCGGAACCTCACCTGCTGTACTTCTATGAGCTTAAGGAGGGCATGGACGAGTTTCTGGGGCTCCTGGCATATGCCTTCATGATAGATCCCTGTGGGGTCTTGTCATGGTGCCGGGACAACGTCGTTTCAAGAAAACGCATCTTTCAAATACTGGCTCACACGGGACGCGAAGTCGCGCTCGACGCAGGGTACTGCGCACGGGTCGCGCACAACCTTGTGTTCCTCCTTTGGTGCGGTTCGAAGGGTCCCGCAAAGCATGCGAGTGGAAAGCAGCCCGAGCTACCACACCCCGGTCCAACTCCCGAAGGGTAAGAGTATATCTGTGCAGACTTGTCGTGTGCGGCCTAACACTATCCTGACAGATTTGTACGGGTGAAGAGGTATTCTGGTTCCGACTCAGCATGGCTCAAGTGGCCTGCGGGACTGGGGGACTGTTGGGTAGACTTACCAGTCGAAGCCGACGGCAGCCTCGACCTGCTGCCGCTGAAAAGGATATGGAACATGGAGAATTGCTATGTACGTGCCTCATTTGCTTCAGCACGCTTCGACTGATATACTCAATTATTCTCCGTCAGGTTATGCTAGCCGGACCTAGCAATCAGATACGGATTGGGCGAGAACCAGATGAAAAGCTCTCCGAGCTGGCATGGAGAGTCTCGTTGGGGCCGGACTTGACGTTGGGCGTTATCGGTATGTGCTCCTCTTCTAGGTTTCGCCTTTCAATGTGATTTTTAACTCTCCCTTATGTAGAACGTCCGACGCCTGAGACGATAGCCGCACGTAAATACCTCGCACTTCTCAAGAGCGGTCTAGACATCAGCGACATGATCTATGCACTCACCTGGCTGAGCAGCCTCCTCCTCTGGATCCCCATCACATTCGTCGCCCTGGTCGCCTTCGCGTTCCGGCAAGCACTACGTTTCTACGTTATCCTCGCGCTCAACATCGTACTCCACACCCTTGGCCAGCTACTCGTAATGATCTGTGTCATCGGTCCGTGCGCACGCAGGGGCTACGACCATCTATGGTTCACTCTATGGATGGCGCGGCGCAACGGGGTCACTGTCCCTGGCTTGGTGTTGGTGGTCGGCCGAGAGTTGCTTCTCTGGCTGTGCGGGGGTGTTCATTTGGCGTGGACTGTGGTTTTGTGTGAGGTAGGGCTTCTCGGGGATGAGCAAGTCGCGAGGCTATGTCGGAGCCAGGAACAAAACCAGGAGATGGACGTGTCGTCGGACTCAGAGTCCATCGCGGAGGTTGAAGGAATGTTGTAGTGGCGTCTCTTCAAATAACTTTGGCCACCCAAACGAAGAAAATCATGGGCACCGTCGCGAGCCACTGGCGAGCTCATCCCGCGCCCACCTACTCAACGGGGGAGTGGGTGCATATACGACGGAGTTTCTGTATCCTCTCCTACATTTGACGATCTCCAGTTGAAGATAGGCAATGTGTGTACTTCAATCCTCGCTACCAGCATCGAAATAATATCGAAATTCCTAGAGTGGCCGACGACTCGTGCCCCGCCGAGCGGCTTTTGCGTTGTTCCTAAACTGGGAGGCGCCCGCGAACCTTCTTGTACTCAACCGCCACCACTCGCCATGTCTAGTTCTCATATCCGGCGTTGTTATCTTCGGAAAATATACAACGTATCCATCGGACCCTTAGATACGGTAGCTTGCTCTTGTTTTTCTCCATCCGTCAAGCTTCAGTACTGATGTCCCCCACGCCAGTGATGTGTACGACCGCTCCTCTTCAGCCGGCGAGGCGCGACGGGAGTATCTTAGGCGGCAGAGGTTTCCTTCTACCTCAAACGCTCTTCTCCTGACATCTCCGACACTGTCTGTGTCCTCCCTGCTCTGGTCTTTGCGTTCCCCGTCATGCACCCACCACCTCGCGTCAACGTCGGCCCCCACGCGCAACTTCAAAATCAAGCCCCCTTCAACCACGCACCATCCGGGGCGCGTAACGCATTTGACCCCGTACTTCTGTCCGCTCAAGCAGTCTCCGCCGAGATGCTATCGCTCTACCGTGACGGCTATGCACTCGCAGAACCCCATCTCCCGTACCTCCGTGTGCTGTTCCGTGGCGTAGACGATTTTCTAGGGGCAGTGGTTTGCATTTTCATACGCCCTCGTGAGGTGTGGTTCTGGTGCCGAAAGAACATCACCTCAAGAAAGGGCGTTCTCCGGATTCTGGCGCGCACGGGATGTGGAGTCCTGATCGACACGGGGCGATGTATGGGGTACAGCGCGCTCGTTGGACTGAAGCTCTTGTCCCTGCCGTGGCGTGGCCCAGAGGACCGCGCGAAACTCGCGTACTCGCGCATGGTAGACGGCAAGGGGAAACAGAGGGTTCCTGGCCCCACTCCTGACGGGTAAGGATACAGTATCAACTCTCTTTACACGCGACCTGACGTTGTCCATGTAGCATGGTGCGGGTAAAATGGTACCCCGACGTCGAAGCACCGCTCAAATGGCCAGCCGGCCTCGGGGACCTCTGGGTCGACCTTCCGACCGAGGCCGATGGCAGCCTTGACTTGCGACCTCTCAAAAGGATGTGGGGTATGGAGAACTGCTATGTGCGTTCCTCTGTATTGTAGTGTTGCGATACGAGATCACTCACCAATGCATGCTTTCGTTCAGGTGATGCTCGCTGGTCCGGGAAAGCGTATACGGATCGGGATACAGCCAGACGAGAAGCTCTCATCCCTGGCTTGGACAGTATCGCTTGGTAAAGGCTCGGTGCTAGGCGTCATCGGTGAGTTCCCTCAACCACCCCTTCTCATGTCAACGACACTGAACCCTACGCTCTTCCAGAACAACCAGAACCCCGGACTGTAGCCGCGCGCAACGGCCGCGCACTCCTGAAAAGAGCACTGAACCCCAAGGAAACGCCCTACCTGCTCTACGAGCTGAGCCTACCGCCCCTCTGGATCGTCGTCACACTCCTCGCCATCGCCGCCTTCACGTTCTGGCTACTCCTGGGCGCCAGTATCGGCATCGCGCTGGTGGGCGTCCGCTGGGTCGTCCGAGGCTTGTCTCTCGCAATGCACGCCGTCGGGCTCTACGCATGCAGGGCCTACGACGTTCTACGGCTCTGCGCACACAGGACCTACGACGCTCTACTGCTCTCCCTTGTGGGGGCGTGGGACAGGGCGCAGTTGATCCCGGGCGTGTTGTGGGCGATCGTGCGGGACTTGCTAGTTTTCTTGGGACGGGGTATCCTGCTGTGGATCGTAGCCTTGGCCGAAGCGTGTTTGCTCACGGACGAGGAGGTCGCCGAATTGGCGCAGGGGCAGGCACAAGGGCAGGCGCACCCTCACCCTCACTCGCATCTGCACCCGCACCCTCATCCACACCCTCATGTTCACCCGCACCCGCAGATGCAAGCGCACGCACACGAGCAGGTGCCGGTTCAGGTCCAGGTGCAAAACCCGGAGGTGGACGCGTCAGACACAGAGACCGTTGTGGAGAGTGAGGTGGGCTCAGACGTCTCAACCCTCGTGGAGAGTGAGGAGGACGATTCGGACGATGGGACTGTAATTGGGGACGAGTGGTAAGGAAATCAGGGTTTGTCTATGATCTCTCAATATGCTTTCAGTCTGCTGTTTGGTGTCGTATGCTCTATGCTCGTGCTGTACCCGTTTATGTCGCTGTCCTGAATTTTCCTATGCAGCTCCTTTTGACCATTGTTATTCGGCAGTGAAGCGAAGCTGACTGAACATCAAAATCGCGATCGAGCTCTTCAGGCCGCTTACAGAGCTTGTGAGTTGCTGACCGATACTTTCCCCCAGCTGCGTTCTCACAGGCACCGACGGTCGACTGAAATCCATGTCAGCATGCATGGATGAACTATATTCGCGAAAGGTCGACGCACATCGGGCGCTCGCCGGCGAAGGTATAAGTCTGGACAACAGCCCCACCTCCAGTGCTCAACCACCACCCAGCCACCATCTCCCAGTACACCAGCGGTGCACATACGTCCCGCAGAATATGACCAAATACGTTATCACAGGAGCCACTGGCGGCCTCGGCTCGGAGGTCTTCAAGTACCTTCTCAAGCTCGTCCCCGGTGCGTCCACACCGAGCTGACATTCGACGGCCAATCTACTGACACACGTCGCAGCATCCGACATCGTCGTATCCCTCTACAACCCCTCCGGCGCGACTCCCCTGATCAAAGAGTCCGGCGTCGAGATCCGCCGCGGCGACTACAGCGACCCCGCGTCGCTCGACGCCGCCTTCGCCCGCGCCGACAAGCTCCTCCTCGTCTCCTACCCGAGCATTGCGTACGAAATACGCGTGCAGCAGCACAAGAGCGCCATCGACGCCGCGAAGCGCGCGGGGGTGGGGCACATCTACTACACCTCGCTCGCGTTCGCGGGCGACAGCGTCGCCGCAGTTATGCGCGCCCACATCGACACGGAACGGTACCTGAAGGAGAGCGGACTCACGTACACCGTGTTGCGGGAGGGGATTTACAGCGAGAGCTATCCGCTGTACCTTGGGTTCTTCGATCAGGCGGAGGGTAAGGAGGAGGTCTTCGTCCCGCATAGTGATGGGCCTATCGCTTGGGTGAACCGGGAGGACCTGGGTGAAGGGACTGCGAAGATCATGGTGCAGGTAGGTCCGCGTATCCCGTTCGCGAGACATGTGCTCACCAATTGCTGCAGGGCGGATTTGAGAACGAGATACGCCTCCTCTCCGGGTCGCACGCGATCACGCTGTCCGAGGTCGCGGAGAAGATTTCATCCCTGATTGGCCGTAAAGTCCGCCTCGTCGTCGCCTCCGAGGACGAGTACGTCAAGGCGAACATAGGCAAGCCCGGACCACAGGGCGAGGAGGAGTTCCTGCGCCAGTGGGCGACCACGTACAAGGCGCTCGCGCGTGGCGAGGCGGGCGTGGTCGATCCGACTCTGCAGGAGGTTCTGGGGAGGGAGCTGACGCCGTTCGACGATACCCTGAAGATCACTTTGGACTTGCATGGGTCGATATTGAAGCAGTATGTGAAATGAGGAACAGCGCTAGGGTAGTCTGTAATCCTGTGGATATCCAATGTATAACACAATATGACATCGCCGTGCAGGCCGGCGGGATCTCTGTGTAGGTATTCATGCAGATCTGCGTATGCGGGGTGAGACGGCGACTGCGGAAGCACTGAAAAGCGGCTTACTGTGGCTTGGGGAAGATCTGCTCCCCCTTCCCGCCATCTAGCCTATACCTCTGAACACCCTGCTCAGGGCCCCACGGAACCTCCTCTTCCCAATGGCTGACAACCACACACGCCTGCTCTTCTGTCAAACCACCTCCCCCATCCTGCAAATACTCGTGCGCAGCCTGCACCATCGCCCGATCCATCCCCGCCCACGCTTCGTCCAGCAACACCAGCGGTGGCGCGCCCACGAGCGCGCGCATCAGCAGCACTAGCGACTGCTCACCCGGCGTGAGCTCTGTGAATGGCTGGGCGAAGAACTGTGCGTCCGTCATCTTGTCCGGATGTGTATGCCACCGTCGCGGCCCGAGCGCGCCCATGACCTCGTGCATGCGATGGAGACGCCACTCTTCTTCCTGCGCGCCGGGCGCGAGCGGTGTGCCATCCACGGCGATCCCGACGCGCCGTTTCCCTTTGGGCAGGAAGGTGCCATCGAACCCGGTACCGATGGCGTCCCAGACAGTAAGCGTGTGCCGGCGCGGGAACGCGTTGAAGAGTTCGGGGGAAACCCGCCCAATTCGTCGATGCAGGAGGGGCGTCGCCCAGCCTGCGCGCTCCCGGTCGAAGAGGCGTAGGTTGTCCGACTGGGTGTAAGACTGGGGGTGCTCGCCTGTGAGAAGGGACAGCAGCGTCGTCTTGCCTGCACCGTTTTCACCGATAAGATGCCAGCGTGAATTCGCGCGTATCGTCCATTGGATGGAGGAGAGCACGCTGCGCGGACCGTACTGCACGCTGACGCCGGCCATGTCTATCAATGGGTCGCCGTGCTGTCGGGGCGCGTAGTTCGACTCCGGTGAGGAGATGCTCGTGGAGGTTGAGGCTCCTGGTATCGCAGGAGTGAACCTGGAGGGAAAGACGTCTGCCTTCGTCCCCGTGTGGACCGCGCCGCCGTCCTTGATAAGCGCGACATGCGTCGTCCAGTCCGGCAGCGGGTCCTGCACGCGCAGACCCATGATGACATGCGGGGAGTCGGGTTTATGCTTCAGCTCTTGTAGCAGGTCAACGAGTATGCCTCGCGATTTGAAGTCGAGTCCGGCTGGAGTAGCATGAGCACCAGGGCTGTGAAAGGGAAAGGGCGTACTCACTCATGGGCTCATCCAGCAGCAGCAACCTCGGGTTCGCGAGAAAGGCCTGCGCAATCCTCGCCCTCCGCGTCTGTCCATTGCTCAGCGCGATCATAGGCAAGTCCAGCAGGTCCTTCAACTTCAGCCAGGTCGTAATCGTCTCAAACAATTCCTGCTTCTTCGCCCTGTCTGCCTCCTTCCCCACATCCACCTCGTCCACGCGCTTCTCCGGCTTGTGAAAGGCAGGAATCGCGAGCGTGTGCAGCGGCCGCGCGCTGTACGGGAAGAACGTCTCGCGCAGCGTCCGCTTGTCCTCCTCGCGCACCGCGCCGTACCGTGCCGTGAAGTCATAGAACCCGTCCCCCGACGCGCGCCCGCGGTGCGCGAAGCGGACCATCTGCACGCACCTGTGCGGGTCCGCATCCTCGAGGAACGGGAAGAGCCCGCCTGGGGGAGGGGGCGGCGGGGAGATGCGGTGGGTGCCCATGAGGGCGCCGAAGAGCGCGGGTTTGAGGTGCGAGGAGGCTGCGCCGTCGCTCACAACTGCCCAGGCCTCGTCGGGGTGGACTGTCCAGGAGACATCGTGCAGGACTGGGTCTTTGCTGCCGAGGTCGTAGATGGAGGAGCGGGGGATGTTGATTATGGGTAGGGCGGTGTTGCCGGTGTGTATTCGCGAGACGAGGCTCGGGTGTCGAGGCAGGCGTTTACAAGACGTGAGAGCGTTGCCCCATTGCATGCCGTGTCCTCGTTGAACGTTCCACCGAGGGGCTGTTGACGAGTGTCGATATAGAGTCTAGACGGAGTAGAGCAACAGCCCGTAGAGGTCGTGGTAGCCGTGGCAGTTGAGCGTAGACTTCGTTCGGCATGACTCGACAAAGTTTCATGACCGGGTATCCGGTCATTCGGCAGCACTGATATGGTCGTCCAGTACAGCAGAGAGCAGGTGTGTTTGAGCTTGAGATGATAGTGGTTTGCGGTCAAGGTGTATTAGACGGCCCAAGCATGCGGTGTGCGGAGGTGTAATCAACACGGCGCAATACACAGGTCTCGCTTGTATTTATGTCCACTACAATACACGCCATGATATGTTTGTTTGCTTCGCAAGTCGCATGGGCGGATAGCATTGGGTGGTACGACGCATATGCATACATCGGTCATGTCATGATGGGGCCCGGGCAAGCACCAATGGCTCAGAGTACATAGATTCCGCGAGAGCAGAACAAAGCGAGAGGTAGGGTAAAGGACGGAAGAAGAACAACACGCATCGTTTAGATGAAGCCGATCTACCAACATTTTGTAAGATACATGACTACGACCGTCCTTAGTATGAAGCGAACTAACCTTGTTCGCAACGTCCAGCGCGTCGTGGTCGGCCGTCAGGCGGACGTACGCCTTCTTTTTGCCGTCGGGGCTACGGAACATACGAAGTCAACGAGACCGTCGAGCACGATATACCGAACGAAGCTTACCGGATGAGGGTGTTGACCTTAGCGGCCTGGACGTCGTAAAGCTTCTTCACCGCGTCCTTGATCTGACGCTTGTTCGCGCGGATGTCCGTGATGAAGACGAGGGTGTTGTGCTCCTCAATCTTCTTCATGGCCGACTCCGTGTTCAGGGGCCTGGTGTTCTGTCAATCCTCGCCCTCTCCCTGACAATTTTCCAGCAGGACTTACGAGACGATCGTCCTGAACTGGTCCATCCGGGGTGCATGAGGGATGGATTTCCTGGGGTACTTGGGGGTACGGGGAAGGCGGAGAGTCTTGGGGCGGTGGAAGGAGACCGAGTAGCGGACCTTGCGCGCAGCGTGTGCGTGCGTGCCATGGAGCGCGGCCTTTTTGGCGGCCTTCGCCTTGGTGTCCTTCTCGGACGCTGATCGTATGGGAGAAAAGATGAGGTCGGTAACCCAGCGTAGGAGATACGGTGGTACGTACGCTTCGTCGCCTTACCCTTGGTAGTCTTCGTAGGGGCCATTGGTGGAGTCTTGATCTGAGGGACGATGCAATGTCAGAGGAGTTTGGGGACAAGGGGTCCAGAGAAGTGCGGTCTTGCGGGCGGGCTCTCGACGTGCAGGGTTTCGTTGTGTGCGCTCCTCCGTTCCCAGCCAAGCCTTCCACAGCAGTACCATCCAGCCCGGATTCTCGTCCTAGCAACAGTGGAAACTGTGCCTGGCCGTACCCTCCGCCAACCCGTCATCCAGTCTGCCATCCACCCATCCATCCACTCCCGCCATTCGAATCGACCTGAAACACTGCCCAGCACGTCGAGAGCCCTCCACAGAACCTGTAGGACCATTATCTCAGCATAGAATACGATACTCACCTTGACGATGCCGCCTGTGTTGTGGGATGCCAAAATTTGGGTGGCCTTGAAGCGGACGCGATACTGTGACCGTGATGATTCTAAGCGCTCGCTGTGTTACCATAACGGCATAACGCATCACCCCGACCATTTACGGTTCAGCCCGAGCGCGGGCGCCTATAACGCGCGCCGCGCACTGCGCCGCGCCAAACGACGTCATCGTCCTGTACGACGACGAGCGACCCCTCTACGGCGACGAGCAACCTCTCCACGACGGCGGCGACAGTCGCGAACGGCTATTCTACCCTGCTTGACGTATACCTCTGCATCGCCTGAATCTGCGTAATACCCTGGCTCTTGGACGAGCTATGCGGTTCACGATACTGAAGGCGCCGTTCAAGTTCGCGTCCACCCAAGTCGCTGTTCTCACAGTCCTCGTCTACGCGGCTGTGTTTGCAAGCGTCCTCATATATGATGAGCTACCCAATCTACCGAAGAATACTTGGGGCTTGGATCTTGACCATGCGTACGATGCATTGAGCAAGGTGCGTGTACACTCGAATTTCATTGCGCTCCGTGAGTTCTACATCAGATGCGCGACCCGTTCAAACGATAGGAGGCGATTGTTTGGGCAGATACCATCTCAAAAGCGTCGTTGCAGCTGCTCTTTATTTGGCTTAGGGCACGCGCGACCAGGTGCGAAGAGCTAGGCTCAACTGCCCTCACGTCTCATGCGTTCGGAGGCGGAATACAGCCATTCCTTACAGAAGTTGGACAGCAGAACCGTCTTGCGAGGGCGCGACCGAACGTCGAGCGTATATGAGATTCTCCTCACTCGCTTGACCGATGCAGCCAAAATCGTAGAGAAGAGCTATGCCCATGCCCGGTGTACTTGATAGGGTGGCGTTTTATCGGGCACAGTCTGACAGGGGACTTCTGGCGAAATGGCCCGTTCAACATGCTCTTCACGTGCTAACACAATCCTCTCAGATTACGACCGGCCCCCACCCTTTTATCTCGCATGCCAACGACGCCGTACGAGAATACATTCTATCGCGACTCGAACCTCTCGCCGCGCGTCACGACTACATCCATATCTCAGACGACACAGTCTCCAACGTGACCTACGTGAGGGGCGGCGAGTACGCTGTGTATTTTGAAGGCAACAACGTCCTTCTCAAGATCGATGGCACGGAGCCCGCATCGGACGGCGTCCTATTTTCGTGTCATTTCGATTCAGTCTCCTCCGCTCCTGGTGCGACGGACGATGGTATGGCAGTGGCGACTTTGCTACAGATGGCGGAGTACCTGTCCGCGAAGGAGAGGCGACCTCGTCGGACAGCCGTATTCTTTTTCAACAACGGCGAAGAAGACGGACTTAACGGCGCCCACGCGTACTTCGAGCATCCCTGGTCGAACCTCACATCGGTCTTCATCAACCTGGAGGGGGCCGCGGCTGGCGGGTGGGTTTCATCCGCCTCGACCGCTCCTCTTTACTGATTCGCTTCGGATTATAGTCGTCCTCTGGTTTTCCGGTCGACAGCATACGGACCTGCAAATTCGCTGCGTGCAGGACATGTGAAGCATCCTCACGCCAGCATCCTCACCTCAGAGGCGTTTTCTGCGGGTATGATCCGCAGTGCGACTGACTATGAGATCTATGCGAGAGGCGTCAAGGGAGAGGCTGCGGGACTGCAGGGTTTCGACTTCTCCTTCTACAAGAACCGGGCATACTATCACACTCCGAGGGACTCTATCCCAGGTATGGGGCCCGGAAAAGCAAAGAAGTCGCTGTGGGCGATGATGGATACCGTGAGAGGGACCGGTTTGAGTCTACTCAACGATGACGAACCCGGAACCGATGCGAGCCCAACTGTATACTTCGACAGTACGTGCGAAAGTACCTGATTCTGTTACCTGCACACTGATCTTGTACGACAGTCCTGGGAAGTGGTCTGGTTGTGCTTACCCAAGGCGCTGTGTATGCGATCAACGTAGTCCTCCTGATATTGGGACCGCTCAGCACGATCGGTCTTCTCGTCTGGGTCGTGCTCGCCTCAAAAAAGCGTTCAGGTACGTCTTTCTTACGATGCGTACAGCACACCTTTGCTGAGCCTCTTTTCAGAGCTAGAGTCGGTACCCGCCGCTCATGATGAGCCCAGATGGAGGACTGTTGTGAGAGCCCTGCTTGGGTGGGAACGTTTCTGGGTCGCACTCGGTGTCGCCGTTCTGATCCATGTCGGCTTCATTGCTGCATTCGTTAAGCTTAATCCGAACGTGAGCAGTAGTTTCTGTTGCCTGCCGTCGACTCCATACTGACTCCCGCCACAGATCGTGCACTCGCATGCCTATGCAGTGCTCACCGCCTTCCTAGGCATCTCGTTCCTTGCTCTAGTGCTTCCCCTGCAGGCCCTGCACTACATCCTCCCGCCCACCTTCGCGTCCCAGAAGCTCACCACCACGCTCTCACTATACTTCTTCACCTGGATCCTCCTCATCGCCTCCACGGTCGCGCTTTCGACCCGCCAATACGGGTCGATGTACTGGGCCACGATCTTCAACATAAGCGCGTGGGTCGCGTCGATTGTCGAACTCGTCCGTGCTGGCCGGCGGCGCGACCCCGGGAACGAGATGGGCACCTACAGCTTCCTGTTCAGCTCGTATGGCGAGCAGGAGGTACGTGCCGAGGGCGCCGTTGCCGGGCGCAGGCAGGTTCGCGGTGTACTCTACGAAGCGCCGGAACCCATGCTTGATTCTGAGGCGGGCGAGAACGGCGTCCACCACGAGCCGACTGAGGGCGTGGAAGTCGAGACGGAGCCAACTGAGATCACTCCGCTCATTCACCAACACAGGAGACATACTGAGGGTGGCGGCGAGTACCTCACAGTGGACGCGCCCGACGACGTGAAGGTCGTCGGGAAGCCTGCGGACGAGCACGGGTGGTGGATCGCGCAGGTGTTGTTGCTCATCCCGCCCGTGTCGGTGCTGTTGTTCCAGTTGGAAGTCTTGTTGCTCAATGCTACTATGCACACGTTGCCTGATGGGAGTCCCCCATTCACCGGTGAGTCCGGCAGTGCAATGCCACTCCACCTACGCTGACAGCGCGCTATGATGCAGTATACCTCATCCTCGCGCTCTTCTCAACGCTGATATTCATACCCATCACGCCCTTCGCACACAAGCTGCCTCAGGCCCTAAACATCGTCGTCGCGGGCGCCGTACTTCTCATCCTCGCCGTTACCTGGACGATCTTCCCCTTCTCGCAGGAGTGGCCCTTCCGAGTCTACTTCCAGCAATCCGTCGAGCTCGCGTCCGCCTCATCTGGGCTTGCCATCAATGGTGCGTCAGGCCTACAGACTGCCCCACTCGAGATCGTCCGCGCAGAGACGACTCTCACCGGCCTGGGCAAGTATATCCCCCGAACAATTGTGCCCGAGATCCCGTCCTCCCGGCACGACACCGTGCTCTGCACCGCCAAAGGACTCCGGCCAGACCTCACGACGTGCCGCTGGGCGACGGACCTCATCCCCTCCCCCGGCGGGAACTTCTCCTCCGCCTCGGGCCCATCGCTCAAGCAGCACTGGCTGGACGTGCACACCACGCGGCTAAACGGTACGCGGGCACTCGTCTCCGTGCGCGGAGCGAACACGCGCGGATGCAGGCTATACTTCGACCGTCCAGTCTCCTTCCTCTACGTGCACCAAGCGTCGGACCCCACGCACTCCCCTCTCCCCGTCCCACACGCGAAGATGCACATACAGGGCGGGTACGAGATGCCCGCTACGGGCGTGAAGGAGGTGCGTCTGTGGAGCCGGGCGTGGGACAAGGCTTTCGCCGTCGAGGTCGGCTGGGAGGGCAAGGAGAGCGATGAGCTGACAGGGCGCGCGGCGTGCGAGTACGCGGAGTACGCGAGCGCGCTCGGGGGCGCGGGGAGCGGGCTGATCCCGGCGTATGAGGAGGTGAAGCAGTTCCTGCCGCTGTGGGCGCTGCCGACGAAGTTGACGGACGGGCTGGCGGAGGTGTGGACGAAGTTCTCGGTCTAAGTAAAAACCGGTTTTCTTCGCTTGGTAGGTGAGCTTTGTGACGCTGTATCCCAATCTATGCGAACATGATAGCTAGCATTTTGGATGAATTTGATATGCAGGGTATACTTATGACAGTACATCGGAGACATAGCAAGTGCTTAACAAGACAGGAACATCTTCAACAGCGATAAAGGAAGAAACACGACGCCTTACGACAGATCCATGGGGAAGTCCATGTCCTTCAACATAACAAACGTCGCTATCTGCTTCTCGACCTCGCGCCAGAACTCCTTCGTGGCCAGGCCGGCCCCCTCCGTCGCGACCGGCGGTTCCTCCTGCATTTCTTCTGCGTCCCCAGGTATCTTCCCCTCAAGCGTCTTTGCTGAGATGTGCTCCAACTCGGGAAACAGCTCTGCCAGGTTCCTCGAAAGCGCCACAGCCCCCGCCTCGTTCTTCGGAACATACGAGTCCACCAGGTCAATTGTTGTGATCCTCGTATTTGCCTGCACCCCAGGCAAGACTGTGCCGCGAGACGCATCTATTGCGATGCACAATTCCTCCAGCATCGGGCAGCCTTGCACAATTTGTGCAAGGCCGGTGAATGTGAGCAGAGGTCGCTGGCCCCAGCCGTGCGTCGTCCCAAGAGAGAGAGCCTCCAGCGCAGGCCAGGTGGGAAGGAGCGTGGCGGGGAAAGTGTCGTCGAGCGCGTAAGGCCCGGAGAAGTCGAGTTTGAACGCGCGAAGGCCAGTGAAGGTGATGAGGGGTAAGAGTGTTCCGTTGGTGATGAGACAGTCGGCGCGTGTGGGTGCCGTCATCGACTCTTTGCCGTTGTCTGAGAGCGACAGTGCGCGGAGCGTAGAGGAGTTGCAGCACCCTGCGAGTATAGTGCAAAAGTCTTGCACCATAGACGTAGCGGGTCGCTGACTGGAATTCACAGCCAGTTTCTCTAGCTTGCAGGTCCCAAGTGCCTGGAAGAACGCGGTGCAGTTGTCCAACGACGGTGCATCGAGCGTGAGGTCAACAAGAGCCGTGAACGGCGGCGAGCCGTCCGCCTGGACGAGCCACGGGAATTGTGTACCCTCCAGGTACAACCTCGTCCTCCGAAGTTCCGGCAGTCCAGCCAACCTCGCAAGGTCCTCCTCCCCCCACGCCCGCACATTCGCCACAAACGCCCGCAGCCTCGACCCCACCGCCCGCAAAAACCCGCTCAACGCGCCCGCATACCCCTCGAACTGCGTCCACACCAAATCGACCTCGCGCACCGCCGGGCACTGCTCCGCGACCGCCGGCAGCGTCCACCTCACATACACCGCGTCCGCGTAGTACGGCTCGGGCGGCTCCGCGTGCGCGGGGAACTCGAGCGCGAGCGCGGCGAGTGGCGCGTTGAGGAACATGTACACGTGCGGGCGGATGCCGAGCAGGGATTCGTGCGCGGTCCAGCGCAGGCGCTTGACGTGCGGGACGAGCTCGTAGGGCGCGCGCACGATGATCGTGCTCGTGAGGAACTCGAGCGAGATGCCTTGCGTGCGCTGGGTGGAAGGGGTGAGCTCGACGGTGCCGAAGGGCGCGCGCGGGTCGTATCCGAGCTCGCGGATCTTCGCTGCGTAGTAGTTGAAGCGTGGCCAGTCCTTGGGGACGATGATTCGGGTCGTTTTCTGCGGTTGTGGCGTCAGTGAGGATATAGGTATGTGCTGTATCGGAGTAGTGGCGCACAATCAATCGTTGTGTCTTGTCCAGATTGGTCTTCTCGTCGTCATAGGCCTCCCATGCGTTACTGGGAAGCGTTTTGGCGAGGTTGAAGAGGGTGAGTTGCCTGCGCCACAGTTGGTCGAGGGCGGGATCGAGGAAGGCACGGCATGTCAGCGCGAGCGCGAGGACGGCGCGGAGGTCCAACGGTACCCCAGGTCGATTCGCGCCCCAGTACGCGAAGGACGCTATGGACGACACGATCTCTGCGTTCAGCGCGACGGAGGCCATTGTGTAGTTGGGGTCAAGGAGAGGAGGGCGGCCGGCGACGCCCTCGGTGGACGAGAAGCATAGTCGCCACAAAAGACAAGGGCTCGGATGCACGCGAGCGTCCGCGGGTGGGAAACCAATGGGAAACAGTCCTGTGGGATTGACAAGTGAGCGCATGTCCATATGTTCGCGAACTCGTCGGCTGTGCTCAGCGTTCTTGGAGGACCTGTGATCGTGGGACATACCTGAGTTGCCGTAATGCCCGTAGTACTTACCAGACAGTTCAGACAGTTGAAGATGGAGTCTATTGCCTCGGAGAGCTTGCCACAACTAGACCGGTAGTCAATACAGCAGGTAAGTATCGACTTGCGAGATCCGGCTGTACCTTTGCGCACGCTCTCGCGACGGCGGACCGACCTTCCACTGTGGCTCATCCATGGAGAGAGCGGCCCTGTAAAAGGTCTGAGTTGTCCTCGAGCCCGGATCTAGGATTCAGGGATGATGTTTCTCGTAGTCAAAATTCTTGCTTATCGACCTGCAGGCGTGGATGAGTGAGGGTTTGTACATGCATGCATGGGAGTTGGCAGCATACCTGAGCCTCCGACGGTGGAGCACTTTGAAACTGGACTGATGCCCTTGCTTACACGAAGTTACCATGCTAACACCTCAATAACAAGTCGCGTGGTGTTTGACTGGACTTATTACGATCATATTGAAGCCGTCCAAGACTAGAAAAACATCATCTATACAGATGACGCTATGATAAGTACTTCAACCTCCCCTATTAGCAACCCTGGGGTTAGGGTTAGGACCACGGCCGGACAAGAAAAAGGGCCCGCCCAGCCCGAGGGCCGGAACGGGACAGGGAAATATTGAGACGGTGCATGAGCCGGAGCCCATACAAGCCGAAAGGATCCCCTGGGGACAGGGTCGCCGTGCTATGAGAGACCCCTACGGCCCAGGAACCCAGGTACGGGAAGGGGTCCGTGCCATCAAGGTAAGTATGAGGTGTTGCGGTGTCCAGGAGGGGGTTATGTACCGGAGGGTTGTGCGCACGGACCAGCTGCATTGCTTGGCGGGTGGGTGTCGGGAGGCGCGCGGCGCGATGCCATGAGGCGAGGCTGCATTGGGCAGGTGAAGTCGTTCGTACTGGCGCTAGCTGTCAAGGATCTGTGCAAAAACATCTCGACTGCATGCAAGGTATTATTTTTATCTCCAAGATGTGGACGAAGCGAAGAGTGACCAATATTTGAGATGATGTCGTGAGTTTATGACCGAAGGCACGACTTCGGCAATGTTTCGAGCTCTTAACACTGATACCGTCCACAGGCTCATCTACAGAAACACATCCATTTAAAAGGCACGTAGTAGGATTGCAGTACCGACCACAGCGCACCACTCTAAAACCCATGGCGGCGGCGATGACCACCTACCACCCCACGCGCCTTCTGCAGCTCGCTCCTCTTCCGCGCCCCCGTCGCAAACGACACCTCCATCGCCGGCGCGTTCAAATACCCATCAATCACATCCCGCCCCACCGTCTTCACGCCATAATCCCACTTCGTCAACCGCTGAATCGCAATACTGTCCGTCTGCACATCAAACACGACCCCATACGTGACCTTATCCCCCGTCGGGCGCGCAAAGAACGCCGCGCCCCCCGTGCCCGTCGCGCCCTTCAGCGAGTACACCTCCGAGATGCCGTGCGTCGGGTCCGCGCCCACGAGCGTCTCGAGGATGTCGAGCTCCCCACACCCGCCCGGGCTGCCGACCCCGCGGCAGTTGCAGCCGTACTCGGCGGAGCGCACGACCTGCGCGTTCAATGCCCAGATGGCGGGCACTTTGGACGCGTCGGTGGAGGGGGGCATGTTGAAGGTCACGACGAGCATCTTGGAGGCCGCCCAGCCGTGGTTCGCGGTGCCGCGCGCGAAGCCGTCGCAGGGGCTGTCTGCGCATGTTTGTGCGGTCATGATGTTCTGCGGGGGGCGGGTCAGGTAAAGGCGACGGTTGGAGGGTGGACAGTGCTTACGATCTCATGGTCCTCGTCGAGGAAGCCCTTCGCGATCTCCGCATTCGAAGCGGTCGTCGCGTCCGTCCACGCGCCGTTCGCGAACGACTGGCTGTTCCCGCCGCAAACTAGCACGCAGGCATCAATTCACGCTCGTCCGCCGTCACCCTAAATAATATGCGATGCTTACTCGAGAACTCGCCACTCTTCTCGCCACCGAGGTTGTTCATGAACACGAGGTTCGTCGGGGCCTGCCCCGCGGCCCACGCGCTGACCTGCGTCCACGCAGTCGCGTTCGCGCCGTCCGGCTGGTACACCGCGATGTTGTCCAGGTTCAGCGGCCCGCGGAAGTTGAACGTCATCTCCTCGTCGAACGGCGCCAGGTTCCCTGTTCAGAAGTCCGCAATCAGCCATCGTCCCGACCGTGATGAGCCCATCTCCAAAATCACGAAGACGACGCAGCTCCGTCCCCTCGGACGCTGAAAGAGAGCTCGACTGGGATCACAGGAAATGACGCGCACCGCTGATCTGCTTCGGCTGCGTGACGCACGACGGGTTGACCGTGCACGTCGGGAACGTGCCGGGGACCATGTTCGTGACCTGGTTGTACGAGCCCGTCGCGCCGACGCTCGTGTACTTGAGCCCCGTGAGCGCGCCGGATGTCGCGGCGGGGCTGACGAGGTTCTGCGTGCTCAGCTGTGCGTGCGCGAGGGGCGCGCACAGCGCAGCCGCGAGGGTGATGAACGCGGGCGAGAGGCGCATCATGATGGCGGGCAGCGTCTAGCTGTGCTGTGTGGGGGGCAAAGAGCGTAAGCTGGGAGGAGTAGGGAACGAAAGCGAAGGGAAGAAAGCAGCAAAAAGCGAGAGGGCCTGCCAGAGGACCGAAGAAATTGGGCGTGAAGGGATGGGGTCAACCGAGGGCACCGGGATGCAGAGGGCTCGCTTTTGACTGTCTGGCGGGGTGATACGCAGCGTAATGCATCATCGCTCGATACACAGCCGCCACTGTTGCGTGTAGGCGTAGCATGCTGAGACGGGTCGAGACGAGACGCGACGTCCGGGTGAAGCAATCTAGACTCTAGAGTGGGTGCGTAACGCTAATGTACAGGTCCATGGACGCACCACCAACAAGAGACTATGATGAGGCCGGCGTCGAAGTAGCCGCTGCGGGAGCTGTAGGGGGCGGCGCGGGCTGCTCGCCCTGCGTTTCGGCCGGGGACGCCTCCTGCGCCTCTGTCTTCTCCTTCGCCGCGGCGGCGTCCTCTTCCGCCTTGACGCGCTCGGCGTCACGCGCCTCCCACTCCTTCAGACGTGCTTCATACCACTCCCAAACGGCGCGTCCAACCGCCTCCCCTCCGTACTCTTCGTCGTCCTCCTGCACAGGCTCCTCCTCGGGTTTGCTCTTCTTGTTTTTCTTGTCCTTCTCCTCGAGCACCGGGGTGGGTGGGCGCGGCACGTCCAGCGGCACGACTGCGCACTCGCGATAGAGCGCGCCCGGCTTGAGCACCTCCACGTTACCCGTTCTCAGCGGCCGTGCGGGTTTCTCCGCTCCCTCCGACTCGGGAGCCGCACCTCCAGCGGCGCGTTCCTCCTCCGCCTTCCGCTCTTCGTCCGCAGCAGCATCGATCTTCGCCTGCGCACGCTTCAGCGGGGTCGGCAGGAAGAGCACGTGCAGGAGCGTCTGCAGCGCGGACTCGGAGGTCTTCGTGAGCAGCACGAGCGGGAGGACGAGCACGAGGTACGCAAGCGACCATCCACGCTCCGTCGCCCCGAGAAAGGGCGCGATCGTGTCCCGACGGCTGATGCCCGGGCACGCAGCGACGGCGAGGATGTTGGACGGGTGGGGTTCCATGGACGGCTTTGTCTTCGGGTCCGCAGCGCGGTTGGGCAGCGAGTCCAGGATGCGCTGGAGGTGGCGCGTGAGAACGACGGTGCGGAGCGCGCGCAGACCTTCGGAGATGACGAGCGGCTGGGCAGCCGGCTTCGTGGACGGGGTGGAGTTAAGGAAGGCGGGGAAGGTGGGAAGCGCCGCGGCGTAGAAGGGGTTGACGACGTGGACGATGCGGATGTCGCGCTCGACGGGCGCGACGAGCATCGCGGGGAGGAGCAGCGTGGTGAAGAGGAAGGACGCGAGAGATGCGGCTTCGCGTTGCGCGTGCTCGCGCTTTTCCTTCTCCTGCCATGCCTTCCCACCGAAGAACCAGATGCGGCCGATACTCGGGTACTCGTGCGCGAAAACGAGTGCGTCGAGGCGGGGGTCTTGCTCCGTTAGGAATTTGGTGCAGAACTCGCGAATGGCGGTGGGGGAGTTGAGGTCGCAGTACTCGGCGAAGATGTTCTCGTTGTTCGTGGTAGACCGCAGAAGAGGTAGGAGTAGAGAGGGAATGGGATGCAAGAGAGGGTATGGCGAGAGTACGATGACGTGCGCGCCTCGTTTTGCGAGGCCCGTTAGTGCTACGAGGCCTAACGGTGTGAATGGCCCCTGCGCAAAGATATCAGTAGCGTGCGTGAAAAGGCCGCTCTCCAACTGCGAGTACTCACTGTAAGCATCATAATCCTGCCATGCAAGTCCCGCTCGCGCGTCGTCTGGCGACCCTGCGTGTATGCATATATCACCACTAAGATTGTGGACACCACGAGCGCATGTGGCCAGTATCTCGGTGGGAGCACCGTCGTGAGGGCGCCATAGGCGACTTGGAGTACCATGGAGGGCGGAGGAGAGTTGTGGGCATACGTGAGCGCCCACCGCAAGCTGCTGGCGATGACGGACTCCGGGTTTCTCGGACGTTGGTAGGGGACACGTGAGGGATGGATGAAAGCGCGATGCGAGACGAGGACCGGGACATGGTTCGTGTGCGGGGAGCGGGGGTAGGGATGTTCTCGGACTTGGGGGTTGGGAACTGGGTGAGTTAGGACGAGCCCGCTGCGACCTTATACCTCGCTGACGACCTTCCTACCTTCTAGACAGCTTCATGTCATGTCGCGGCGCTCTCGGAGACCGGTCGGCCTGCTGTCAATCGACGTCGCGCGGGCGGGCGCAGGGGGCGGGCGCAGGGGGCGCGATCGTCAGTACGGTGGATTAAGCACCCTCTCCGCGCTGCATGTAGCGGGCCAATGCGGGCTTCGTGATATTCAGGTTGTTGTGTACAGGTGTCGCATGCATTTGCCGTGAAATATAGACTAGTTACAGTGCGCATACGGTGTGCTAGCGAGGGCGAGGGGGCAGCGGGGATCCCAAAGGGGACGGGAGGCGGGGGTCAAGAGGCACAGGCACTGACAAAAGCGGCGCGTATTGATCGCCAATGCCGGTTCTGTGACCGATTGGCCCCACTTTTGTGTGAAGACGATTTGGCCAGACATCGCCAAGAAAAGTCAGTTTCGGAGCGAATGCGGCGCGAACAAATCTGGCTTGATCTGCGGTGCATAAAGCTACAGTAGTATTGACTTTAAGCAGATTAGCAACGTTGACTACATCCTACATCGATTTATAACAGAGAGAATATATCTTTGAGTAATCTGTACTTACGCCGACGTGCGTAACAAATTCACCAATTAAATTATCAGTACGCTAATAAGCCTGGCCTGCAGCGCGAAGAGGTGCGAGAGCGGGAGGTCATCTAGCTACGCTCATGCACGCCAGTCATTTTATAGCCGTGGATCGTTGTGCGCACAAGGCTACGAGCTCACCGAACCGGGAGGCAGTCAATACTCAGCGATTACGACGTATCCAAGACATGGCGAGTCGTGTAGACGTCGCGGGGCCAATCTAGCGCCATAGGCACTCCATGAAGGGTTAGAGCTGCATGAACGGACTACAGTACTGATGTGCCGCAAGAACGATATGTATGCAAATAGTCCAATTAAAAAAAGTAGAGAATCGTAGTGGCTACAAAATACCCTTCCCTAATGATGCCTTCACGGTGGCGACGGCGAATTTGTCTCCGAAGGCGGAGGACTTGGGGGCAGCGGGAAGACAGCTGGATCCGCAGGCGGAGTATCAGGTGCCCGCGCACTCGATGGAGGCTCAGGCGGCGGTGGTGGCGGTATAGATGGCACCGGCGGGGACGGTGTTAACGTTGTCGACAGCTCTGGCTCGGGAAACGGCAGCGGCAGCAGTGGCGATGGCGGCTTCGACAACGCAGGCTCAGGAAACGGTAGCGGCAGCGGCGGAGACGGCGGACATTCCGACGGTGGACACTCCAGATCTAGAGGTCCAGGCAAACGCCGCGGCACCGACCCGCCCAGCGCGACGTTCTCCAAGCTGAAGTTCTCCTCCAGCGTCGGCATCGGCCGCCACGCATCCGCAACACGCAGGTGCCCCTCTGGAGACTCGACGCGCCCCGGCGACGGAGCCCCCGGTTCCGACCAGCTCCCGCGCACGACGCCCTTCCACGGCGAGTAGCTCGCCATCACGTTCGGGGCCCACGCCCCGAGCCCGGAGCTCGACGTGCCCGCGCTCGAGCTCGACGCGGAGCCGTTCCCGCGCGCGAGCACGCTGGGCGCGGGCGAGAGCTTGGGCGCGCTGCGCTGCGAGGTGGTGCGCGAGAACGTCGCTTCGGACACGGAGTCGGTGGACGTGGCGCGCGCGAAGAGGTGGTGCCCGATGCTCGTGATAGAGTCGTTGCGTCCGGTCGGCGCGGTGCTCATTGATGTCTGCGGTTCCACCTGAGGCTCGGGGTCCATGGAGAATGGAGAGAGCGGGGCGACGGGCGGGAGTGGGGAATTGGCCATCGTCGCGAATGGCCGGCTGAATATCGACGGGCCGGAGGACGTGCTTTCTTGCAAGCTCGCACGCTTGCTGTCGTCTGGGAACGCAGTGTTCACTGGCGATGAGACCACCTGGTTCGACTCGCGGAGGAATTGGATGTGCAGGGAGGGAAGACGTCGGGTAGCTGGATCCCGAGTAAACTGGATCTTCGGGAACTGCAGGAGCGCGGAGTTCGCGAAGAACTTATGCACGGCTGAAGGCTCCGGCACGGGTATGGCGTTGGCTGCGGCGTCGGGGGTGCTGCGTGGGCGCGGGCTTCCCTCTGTGGGTTCAAGTTGGGGCTCGGGCTCGGTGGGGTACATTGGGGGGACGGGTACCCTTGTGGGCGGCGGGCGCAGCCTGAACCCCCACTCATCCGCCTCCGCGTCCGCATCGCCGTACCGCTCAGCCTCAGCCTCAGCCTGGCGGGTCGAGGGCTGCGTCTTCGGCGGCAGCGGAGGCGTCGCCTCGGAGTAGAGCAGCGGGGTGTGCGCCTCGGGATCGAAGGCGTACGTCGCATGCATGAAGCGCTGTTGCATGTCTGAGCGCGGATGCGGAGCGCCTGCCCCGCGGCGCAGCATCTTCGCCCGCCGCCACACGAATATGCCGAAGGTGAGCAGGGCTGCGCCGACGAGAATGACGATGACGGCGCACGCAGTACGCCATCCTGTTGATACCTGTCCGGCCATGCGGTGTTAGCGTGGAGATCTGCCATCCCGGATGTGTACTTGGACGCACCATGAGGCCCTTGGAACGGTAGGAACAGACACTCACTCAAGTGCACTCAACCAGGATCTAGCAGCACGCAGCACCAAGCCGGGAAGAAAAGGAACAAGAGGAGCTCTAGATACGTCCTGGCGGAGTGAACGAAAGGAGAAGAGGATGCGGTAATGAGCAGGAGAGGGCTATATGTCCGCGGTACCACCGCCTCACGCTGTGGTCCGCACGCGTTTCTCGATACCGGACTGATGTGATGTCTCAACGGCCTGCCCGGGAGCGCTAGCTGATGGTGGGTAATGCGGTGGGATGTCCCCGGCCATGTCAGGAGCGCCGCCCCGCATGCGCACAAGGCGGTGAATTTGGCGTTGCCTCGTGGACGCCCTCCTTGGCTGTACCGCCGGTATATAAGACATCACAATCGGGCTGTCAAGACGTCAAATTGAGGGTCAACGGTTTGAATGAACTGGTATATGGGATGCCAGTGGTCCGAGACCGATACCATGAATACTCAGAGAGGCCGGCGATGTGCCGGCGAGTGGGCTGTGCCAGTGTGAATCGAACTCTTCCGGCCGTTTACCCGGGTTGTCCGGACTGGAGTCGCCGCTACTTTCTGTGCCACATTGTCTGCTAAGCTAAGTGGATGTGAGAGAGGTACCAGGAGGTCCACTATACAAGTAGTTCTGCCGACACGAGTGAGGCCACGGTGCGGCCCACGGCCTTCGAATTCATGAGACCTGCTGCAGTGCCTTGTGGATCGGGGTGTCTGACGGCTGCTTTTTATGCGCATCTAGGATAACTTCATGAGGGTATGTCAGGGGTTTCGCCCTAGCATGTTCCGCGCAAGAGCAATATTGGTGAGGAGGAGGAGGTGGTGGTGGTGGTGTTTAACATAGTAGGCGCCAGCGTCTCGCTCAGGCACCTTGTTAGCGCCTATATTTGATGACGTTAACGTGCTTTCTGTACCACACCCCGTCTTGGTGTAATGAACAACTCCGTTAACGACCACCAAGTAGTTTGGCCATCACATTCTACAAGTGATACTGAAGCTCGAATTACTGCTTCAAATATCACAGGTGCCCACTCAGGCTGCGAAGAACACTAGAAGGAGCGAAGCAGCTGAAATGGCGAAGGTACTACTCACGAGTGTCAATACTTCAGCGTTTGAAAATATTAGAGCTGACGCGCCCTCCGTTTCGTCAGGACACGAGCTCAAATCAACCTTGTCAAGCGGAAGGTACGCACGGAGCTCAGGCTTGCCCGAGAACATGTAGGCAAGAGCACTCATGCAAACCCGCCACCAGCTTGCGCGCTGCAGTCGTGCTTGAACAAGAACACATATAGCCCGGACAAATGCGAGGCACACCTGCGCAAGCTTTACAGGTGCTGCTGGGACATGTACAAGCGGACGGACGCGCAGGGCGAGTCCACCGCGTGCCCGATGCCCAAGGTCGTGCGCCGGTGGTTGAAGGACCACGGAGAGGACGCCGAGTAGCGGGGAGCGATGAAGAACGTCAAGAATGGAGAGCATGAATTATCATTTGCGGGCCGGAATATAAAGAATACATGTGGATGGAGAAATTCTCCGAGTGCGTAAGTTCGAACAGACGGTGATAGAACGGAAAACGCATTTTGGTTTCCCCGCCTGCGCGCCAGGGCGCAGACGGGTACTTATCCCGAGGACCACGAAAAGGTATGCGTCAGGACCGAAGTCCCTCCCTCGGGGAAAGAAATGACTTACCGTTGCGGGACGGGAACGGGATACAAGCGGGTAGAATACAGGAGGGGAGGACACGGACGGGAGGGGGCGCAGACGGGGATGGGACGAAACGCGGGGGAAAGAGAAAGACATACCGTGACCCACCTTGCAGAATCTTGAGGGAAAACAGACCGGAACAGGATACAAGCGGGTAGAATACAGGAGGGGAGGACACGGACGGGAGGGGTTCACAGACGGGGATGGGGCGAGACGGGGAAAAGAAAGAGACGGAGAAGAGAAAGACGTACCATTACCTACCTTGCAGAACCTTGAGGAGAGCCGAACCGAAACAGGATACAAGCGGGTAGAATACAGGAGGGGAGGACACGGACGGGAGGGGTTCACAGACGGGGATGGGACGAAACGCGGGGGGCTGAGAAAGAAAGAATTAGTAGAACGAAAGACTTACCGTGACCTACCTTGTCTTGAGGAGAACGAGAACGAGACGGGGAAAGGATACAAGAGGGTAGAATACAGGCGGGGAGGACGGGGACGGGAGGGGTTCGCAGACAGGGATGGGAGGAGACGGGGAAAGGAAAGGGACGGGGAAGAGAATGGGGAGCTCGAGAACGCGCCCTCCTCCTCTTCTAAAACCTCAGCTGGGCCAGTGGAGGCTGACACTGTCTCCAGCCTCCATGGTTGACATAAGCCCTCTAGACCGTCAGCCTCTGCGGCACACTCGTGGGGAGCGAGATCGACGCCGAGCAAGCCGTCTTGTCGCTCAGTCCAAATCGCAAGCTCGCTCTGATTCGTTCGTTCGAGTTGAATTTTATGACCACGGCTGGCAGGAAAGCTCGTGACCTATACCTCTATAGCTGAGCTGGATAGAAATGTCCGGCTGAGGGCTGAGAGTACTTACGAGTGGTACGTGACGCGTCGTGGATGCTGAATACACATACCCAAGAACCCGGCCGCGTTCATCCACAATATTGCTCTTGATATTTGCACTACGTGGAATAGCTAGTTGTACATGATATTGCGTAAAGGTCGTGAGCATATACTATATACGAGGGAGATTGCAAGTAAAGAATGCGGTACTTAGCACTGCCCAGGGCATGCACGGATTCACTCAGAAAGGCTCCGAGTCTTCGTCTTCGCTGGAGTCGTCGTCCCATGAGTCGCGAACCGCCGCAGGTGCCGGCGATGGCACTGCCTTGGCCTTGTCGGCTTGCTTGAGTGGACTTGCGCGCGTCGCGCGGACTTGCTTCCAGGCGTTCTCGAGGGCGACGTGCGTCTCCGTGGCGACTGACTCGGTGTCTTCTTCGGAAATGGCTGCTCGTGGGCCCCAGGGGCGACTCACCCCTCGTTGAGCATCCGGGATGCGGAGTCCAGGGGGGTGAATGGGCGGAGCACTGAAGACAGCGGTGGGTCGGAATGGCATCAGGCTTGCGTCCTCCGAGCTCGGTTCGAAGGAAGAAAGCTCAGAGGTGCGACTGGACTCGGAGAGACCATCGTCGGAGGGCGCTGAAGTAGACATAGCCGCAGAGGAGGTGTCTGAAACCGAGGAGGCGAAAGCAGGAGTGCGGGGTTTCACCGTCTTACGGGTGTCACTCGAGACCTTGCCCAGGTGCGGAGGCAGCGCACGCGTCCCGCTCGACGCCACGGATATCGCGCCCTGCGTGCCCGTATGCGCCCGGTTCGCCATCTCCACACGGATATCGTCGCGCACCCGCGAGCGCGGACCGTCGTCCAGCTTCCCACCTGCGCCCGCGGCCTTCAAATGGCGGGGTAGAGCCGCAGCCCTGTCTATTGGCTGGCGGTCACCTCTGCGCATGCCCGCGTGTTCCTTACGAGGCTCGCGTTCAGACATTTGGCCCCACCCACGCCCGCGCCCCGCGCCGCGCTCGAGCGCCCGCTCGGCAAGCTTCGCCTCGCGCTTGCGCGCCGCGCACTCCATGCAGATGCCGCTCACACACAGCACGCCGTGCGCGCTGCACAGGCCCTTCTCTGCCTCGTCGTCGTCGTCGCTGGCGCTCGTGTCTGCCGTGGGGAGCGGAGCGGGCGGCCCAGCCGTCGGGCGGATGACGACTAGGCCCGCCTTGGGGATGTCGCTGCCGTGAATGGCGGGAATGAAGCGGTCGCGCGCGATCAGGAAGTCCGAGACGCCATCTGAGGACATGGAGGCCGCCAGTAGATCTTCGGAAGAGGACGATGCGCTCTCGGGGGCCGCGGCGCGGCGTGAGGCGAAAAACTGGGCTGTGCTAGAAGGTGCTTCAGCCTCGGGCCGTCGAGGAATGGGGCGGCAGAGCGGGCTGCGCGTAACGTCCTCGACTGGGGGGTCGCAATGGCGGGAAGGCGGGTACGGATAGGTGAAAGGGCTGCACAGGGAGTTGAGCGAGGGACACAAGTCGACAATTTAGTTGTGTAGCTCACCTTTCCTTCGCAGCGGGAGACCACTCCTTGAACAAACTGGGAGTAACGTCACGGCAGACCCATCCTGTAACGCAAGGTATGAGTTAGTCGTCGCGCATCGACAAAGACAGAATGTTGCTTACCAGACTTCGCCACGGCGCGCTGCGTGGTCAGCGTGCAAGGGAATATAGAGGACGTCTCCTGTCCTGAGGCGTTGGAAGGACCGCGCAAGAACTCGCTCCAGCGATGCTCTCCCATCAGGCGGTCAAAGTCGGGCCCGAACTTTGAGGTCTCAATGACGACTACATTGGGGGACTACACGCCACAATCAGTCTACCGTATTTCGACAGCAAATGGGTAAACACGGTACCTTGGGCTTATGATAGAAAGCAAGGAAATGCTCCTGGCCGATAACGCACGCGATCCATCGAGCAAAGGTTTTCGTATCTTGCGGCGCGATGTACGGCTGCTGCGGGTACGGGTTCATCACCGTGAAGAACCGCGTGTCGTCGGCGGGCGGGGGAGTCGGTGCACGTTTTACCATGGCGGTCGAGGGCGGTGGCGTTGGCTTGCTGTCGGTGGTCTGCTCTTTGAAAGGGGGCTGCAGCAGGGGGCACCACCGCGAGGCTGGCTGTTATACTGCTGCCGCTGCCGCCACCGCATTGTGCATGTCAGAACCAAGCAGCGTGTTTGCGGCCGGTGCAAAGGGTCCATGGTGACAGCGACAAGGCCCCTCCACGAAAGGTTGAGGGCGTGGTCAAAGCGAGTGCGGTGTGAATCTCGGTCTGCAACGGAAGTCCACAAGACCGTTGAATGTGAACTCCGCGATGGATGAAACAGCTTTGTTAGGAGTTTGGAAGGGTAAGCGGGGTTGAAGAAGCGGTAAGCGTCGGACTGGCAATTAGTTGTGCCACTCAACTCAGCATGAACAATGATATATCTCGAAGAGGCAGGTGAGCCACTCGGGGGTATGGTACGCTCAGACCGCTTTGTGCTTAACCACAACATGCTTGATGCTACCCCTCGGTTGAAGAGAGGAGAGCGCGTGGACCGGATATGCTTCAGGTGCGACACATATGCACTTTTCACGAGTCCTGCAGCGAGGAGAGCCGCTGAACCAACGGTGAGAGTTTCAACTGCGGTGTTGTTGCGGTATGACGCAAATTTCCTGTATCGCAAGCTGCAGCACACCGTACGCTTCTGATCTGAACGCATCATTAGCGGAACGACCTTCGTTGGCATCTCGCAAAATAGCTGGCTGACCTGATCACCGCCGCAGCTGAGGTCCGAGAGGGTCCGAGTATCTCTCGATTACATAGCTCGGTGGGCACTGATGACAGATGGGTTCGAGGGCCGAAATGAACTTCGCGTTCCCGTGCCAGACCGCGTACGGTCTTGCTCCAGGAATTACCGCAGTACGATACCATGCAGCATCAGGAAGTGGTTCCAGTTCTGACCTAAGATCCTGCGGAGCCACCGTTGCAATTTAACTGGAAAGCTGGCTGCAGACTGCGAGAAGGGATTTTCGCTTGTCTCGCAGACGAAGGTGATCTTGTTAAGGGGGCCCGGAGAGAGGAAGAGGAACACTAACGGTTTTCGCAGGTGATAGAAGAAGGATAGTAACAGCCGAGCCCGAATAGAAAGGGCAATCAGTAACTGGTAAGCAATTTGGATTAGCTCGGGCTTCTTCTCATATTAGGATACTTACCTCGCGTCTACTTGATCAGTATATGGCTTGTCGAACGCACCTTCCTCCGCACCCCCATCGCGACACTCTGCCGCAGCCATAATTTCTTCCATATATACCTCGGCGACGCCCTCTTGACTGAGTGCTGTTGCCTCTTCTCTACGAACATCGCAAAGATGCCCAAGCGAGCAAAGACACCGGAGATGTTCGACGATGCGAAGTACCTCACCGTCGTCGGTCCATACCCTCCTCATCCAAACATGGAGCTCGCGCAACACCGCATGGAGTTCTCGCGGTGGATCGGAGCATGCACGGGCCCTGAGTTCCTGCGTGCGTTCTACCACAAGCCCACGGTACGCCGATGCATCACAGTCCCTCGAGAATCGTTGCTGGACGCGTCCATGCTACCGCTAGTCTCCCGGGAGCGTGATCATCGAGATCGACGAGTCCTTTCCGGACTTCAAGCGTCTCCTGGGCGAACACAGGTGGTCAGAGTTCCTGGTTGACCCCAGGGACGAAGGCCGGTACGTGTCGAAGGTGTTCTACTGCACGTACAGCACCGATCGAGACGTACAGAAGAATGGTGAGCCCAGTGGGATTGACGCGTCGATCATGTTGTAACGAGGGTGCGCAGGGTGGAAACGCGTAGACGTTGAAGACAAGTGGTTCAGGAGCAGAGCGTAAGGCGCAGCTCGATCGCATTTCGAGCTAAGCTCAGTTCCTCCTAGTGCATCCAAGTTCGTGTCGCCTTACCCTGCGACGTACTATTGCGACGTGCCGAGGGAGAGGAACGTCATACACAGCCCGCTGTGCCGGCCTCTTCCACGGAGCAACTTCCCGCCGCCCCCGCCGGAGCCTAGTCCAGTCGGTGCGTGCTCCCTATCTCTCGAGTATATACGAACCTTGACTCCAGTAAGAGTAAGAGTTGGAGGAATATTCTGACGTTTACTATCATGCTTTTTCGGCAATGTGGGAGAGGCCGCCTATTGCCAATTTGCAGCACACGACGCTACCGCAACGCACTTAGTAGGTGGGCGCGGTCAGCGTCGCGAGTACACGCCTTGGGTAGCGCTAAATAACGAAGTTACGCATGCCATTTTCAAGGATGGACGCCGCGCGCGCTGCGACGCAGGACCTGTATGCTGTGGGGAGGACTTGATTGCCCCGATACTCGCACACAAAAAGATGCATTGCGCGTCGACGGTCGCACACCGTGTGTTCCCTGCGCGCGAGTAGAGGAATATGTTTCGTGCTCTCTTTCATCGTAGATATTGAAGGGGCCGCGCACATCGTGCGATGGGCAGAGAATGTGTTGCATGCGCGAAAGGGCAGAATAGTAGGACTTGGAACACTTTTCCGACTGTTTTTTTTTTACTGAACTCGTTGCTTCACCTATCTTTCGCGCGAATATCATGAGTTGCTAACATTCACGCACAGTCGGGACACCAGAGTGGCAGAGGTGGAAGGAGCGCCAGAACACGCCGAACATGCCACGGGTCGTCACTGCCAGAACAAGGGGACCACCTCCCATGACGGCTACTGCTTCCACGGGCTCTGCCGCAGGTACCCCGCCTGCAGCCTCTCGCACGTCATCATCCAGCAGTGGTCGAAGTGATGGCGCTCCCCAGCCCATTGCCCGCAATGCTTGTAGGTCCATATCCCCACGACTCGGAGCAGCACTTACACACTGCGCACTCTGCAGGGAATAATGTCAACATGCCTCTCTCCCCGCCGGGATTGCCCGTTGGCATCATGAGCGGCAGCTCGTCCTCTGGATCGTCGCAACGCTCCAATGCAGGCGGCAGCACGTGGGGTGAGCCGCCGTCCCAGCGGTCGGCTTCCCCACCGGAAACACTGTCCAGTCCCAGCAGCTCGAGTAGTGACGACGTCCCGCCGGTGACCCCGTCGGGCGGTGACACTCGTCAGGAGGCCATAGTTGCTGAGGAACGCCTCGAAAGGGCGTTCGCCGAGTTCAACTTGGACGATTTCGACGACGACGTTTACTACAGCGTGAACGGCGGATCTGTCGCCGGGGACGCCCCTCCAGCCGAGTTTGACATCCGGCTCATGCCACGGGCCGACGCTGTATTCGTCCCGAAGGAAGGCGGAGGCGGAAAGGGTAGCGCACTCAATGTCGCGGACGACGACGAGGACTTCGATGACGACGACGAAACCGAGAACAACCCCGAGCTATGCCCCGAGCACAACGTCGTGTGCAGTAAGGGCATCTGCCTCTTCTACGCTGCGCGCGAGCGCGAGCGTAAACGCGAGAAGCGGCGCCAGGAGCTCGAAAAGGAGCGTGCAGAGCGGCAGGCGAGATACGAGAAGAACGCGAAGAAGAAGGCCAAGAAAGCACTCGCCGAGGACCCTGAGGACATAGCCTCGTCGGGCTCCAGCCGCACCGCGTCGCCTGCGCCCCCTGCAGGCCCTGTCCGCCAGCGCCCCCCGCACCTCCGCCCGAGTGCGCCTGTGACGCCCGCCCGCGCCCCGCCCCCGCATCTCAAGGCGGGCGCGCCGCCGCCGTCTCCCAGCTCTACGAAGCCGATGCCTCTTCATCTCCAGCGTGGGCCGTCCTCGGGCGGACTGGTGGCTCCTGCGCCGCCGACTCCTACCCCGTCGCACGCAAAATCAGACGGCGTGCAATCCGAGGGGAGCGGCTGGGGCAATATCTCGGAAGGTCCGTGGGCCGCCGCGGCGCCCGCATCGAAGAACTCTCGTGGTACTGCAACACCTGCCGTCACGGCTCCGGCCCCCAAGCCTGCGTGGAACGGATGGGGCAAGGCACCCTCCATCTCTGCGTCTTCCGTCCAGCGAAACAACGAGAGCTGGAGTGCGCCTGCTACCAGCGTCGCGGGAGACGACCACGACGACAAGGACGCAGCGCTGCCGAAAGACAAGGGCAAGGGAAAGGCGAAGGGGAAAGGCAAAGGCAAGGCAAGCCCTGCGGCACCTCGCGCTGAAGGGGCCTGGGGAAAGGCCCCCTCCATCTCTGCCTCCTCCGTGCAGCGCAACAACGACAGCTGGAGCGAGTCCGCGCGCAGCGTCAGCGGCGGTGCCCAGCCAAAGGGGGCTCAGGATCAGCGCGCCTGGGGCAATTGGGGCAAGGCGCCCTCCGTCTCCGCGTCGTCTGTCGCCCGCAACCACGGCAGCTGGAGCGTGGGCACGCGCAGCGTGGCTGGGGACGACGAGCCCCCGGTCGCGCCAAGCGACGACGGCAAGTGGGGGCGCCCGCCGAGCGCGGCGGCGCCGACTCGCCCGGGGCGCACGTGGGCGGACGAGATGGACGAGGAGGACGAGGCGAATGCGCTTGCGGCCCCCGCTGCGGACGACGACGACGTGCGGTCCGTCGCGGCGAGCACGGCGAACGGGTGGGGGAGCATCTCGAATGGCCCGTGGTGAGTGAGCCTGAGGAGTGTTGGATATTGACAGTCGATCTCGTCGTTGCGAAAGAAAGTGCTTGCTTTGAGGGTATCTTGTCTACTGTTATTGAAAACGGTTGATGCTCTGTCGAGTCTGTCTGAACAGTCGCTGTTTGCTTACGATCTCGCGTGTTGTGTCGTGTCGGATTTTTCGCTGTATATGCTTGCACCATGCCCGTGCTCGAGTTGTCTTGCTCTATCTTCCCCTGTACATATGCTGTTTCGCTGCATCCGAACGTTCCCTCGCTCTCGCGTACTCGTGTTCTATACCACATACAAACCCCCACTCATCTCTGCTCTGTATTCCGTGTACATGTTATCGTGCTTCCTGACACCTGTCCTGTATCTGCTATAGCCACAAACCACAAAGCCACACAAACTATGTATTTATACAAATGCAAGCACTACTATGATACATTGGTGTATGCGTGACGCGAAGCCCACTAGTACGGGCAACAAACCTCACGGACTCTGGCTCCACTTGTACGGCGCCTGCGTCTGCAGCACGAGCGAGCCCATGTCGAACCCATACCCCTCCACATACCCCGGCCTCGACTCCTGCGAGTCCGTGTCCTGGCTCTGGCTCTGGCTCCCACCAGCACCTCGCGCAGGGGACGGCTCGCGCTTCATCGGCACCGGGCCCCTCGGTAATGGCTCCGTCTGCGACTGCGTCTGCGTGTTAGAGCGCGCGCGCGTGCGCCGCGGGATCGGCACGTACAGCGTGCCCGAGCGGATGTGGTTCGGGGACAGCGACTGGGACTGGGACTGCTGTGGCTGGGACGGCGGGGCGCCTTCGTCGTCCGGCTGCTCTGCGACGACCGGGAGACCTGCGGGGCTGTAAATACCAACACTACGAAAAACAAGCGCATACACGTACCTCTCGGGAATCCTTGCTCCCTCCCTGCTCCCGTGGCAGGTCCGGTAGAAGGCGGCTTCGACCGCGCGCGGCTGCTCCTCCGCACAGGCCCAGTCGACGGCGGTTTCGACCCCGCGCGCCTCCCCTTCTTGGGTGGGGGAGGGTCGTTTGCGGTAGATGCAGACGAGGCGCGGCTGCGCGTCGTTCGAGGCTGGTGGCTGGCCGGGTCGTGTGCCCTTACTAGTGCCTCTACCAGCTCGGCGTACGGACCGTGTTGAGAGCGTGTAGGGGAAGGCACAGGAGCGGGCGCTGGGGTCTTTGACCGGCTCCGGAGTGTACGCCGCGGGATGGGAACGGGCGCGGTTTGTGAGGGGGGCTTAGATGGTGATTGAGATTGCGATTGCGATTGGAATGGGGGCTGCGCACGGTTGGTGCGCGGGATCTGCGGCTTCGCGGGCGAGGATGAGGTTGGCACCACCGGAGACTGAGAAGCCACTGGTCGTGAACGCGCAGATAGCGACTCCGGGGAGTGCGCCTGCGACTGAGGGTCGGACTCGACAGCATGCGAGCCGTGGTAAGCCTGGTACTCGGCGCTCTCCTGCGAAGACGACTGCATCGCGCGTTCCGACCGCGACAGCGTCTGGCTGCTGTTGCCCTGACCCGGATACTGCGCGCTCTCGCCCAGCTGCGAGCGTCCTTGCGAATAGGGCTGCGACCGCGCGGGCGACGTGGCCGCACTCAGCCCAAGGTCCTGCGTAAGCGCGTCCTCGACAGCCTGCACGGACGCAGAACTTCGTATGCTAGCATGTGCGCGGAACGCCGACCCTGCACCGAACCGCGGGATAGGCGACGTAGTCCCCCGGTTTCCCGAGTTGAGGACATCCACCAGCGAGCTCGACCCTGGGGTCGGGGACACCGCGCCAAGGCCCAGTGTCGTGCGGCGCGGGATGGGGACGTGCGGGCTGCGGCTCGACCCGCTGCTGCGCGGCTTGCCGGGGCTCGGGGAGAGTGTGCCCGTGCCTGCGTTGTTGCGCGCGGACGCGTTGAGCGCGTCCGTGATCATGTTTGAGAGCGGTGGCGAGGGCGGCATAGAGGAAACCGAGGGGGTGCTCATCGGCGAGGACTGCGCAGTGTAGCCCGCGAAGGACGTCGTGCGCCTGCGCTTCGCAGCGCGCGCGTCCGAGTCGGGCGAGCTCGACGGCGGTTCGTGGACGTGGACGTGTGGGCTGGTGTCGGCGAGTGGGCGTGTGGGGGACGCATTTCCGTGTGTGGGGGAGAGGTGGGCGGCTGCGGGGTTCTGTTGCGATCCGGAGCGGGCGCGGGTAATGTTCCGTGGGATCTGCGGTTTGGGCTGGAGCGGGGTGCTGGGCGGCGGAGGGGACAGGCGCTCTTGTGTGCTGTTGCTGACCGGGGACGGTTGGCTAGCGGCGGTGGCTTGTTGTGAGCCAGAGCGGGCGCGGTGAATGTTGCGCGGGATTTGTGGTTTGGGTTGTGGCGGAGTGTGGGGAGAAGGGGGAGAGCGCTCTATTGTAGCGTTGAGGGCGACTGGTGACGCTTGAGTGGAAGCGATGTCGGTGCTGGTGGATTCGATGGTCGAATGGGATGGTATGTCGGCCATGAAACTGTCTGTGCGGGCGTGTCAGTTCCATCGTCAATGAAGAGCATACACCTCCCGAGCGTCCGCAAGCCGCCCCAAACGCTCGGATGATGTAACTGAACTCACCTGTAGCGCCGCTCTGTCCCTCCACGGACCGCAGATAGTCGTCCCAGTAGCGTTTCTTGACTGCAACAATGTTGTTGAAGTGTGTATCCTCCAAGTGCCTCGCGAGGTCGCTGCTCTGGCGGAAAGTCCTCGGGCACCAGTTCCAGTTGCAGCTCCATATTCGCGGCTTGCCAGGGGCTACCTCCGGGGCTGCTGGCGCAGTCGTAGCCATGTTAAATGCTGAAAAGTGCTGAAGGTCAGTGTGCCGGGCCACACAGGTCGTGCAAAACAGAGGCCCCGAAGAAGAAAGCAAAGAATGGATACAGCAAGAAGACGACACGGCCGTCTGGAGAGAGCGCGGAGCAGACGATCGACGCGCGCGTCTATCTCGACGCCACAACGCGGTAGTCACACACAGTCACGTCCGTTATGATCTCGCAGTCACGCTCATTGCTCGGGGAGAGGCTCGCGTGGGGGCGTCTTCCGTCGTGTCTCTCGACCACCACGACCTTCAGCTCGACCTGCACCATCGTCCACTTCCCTGGCCTTCTATGCGTGCTGACCACCGCGCCCGCAATGTCCACCAAATGAACAACCGGCCGCCTTCATGCGCGCGAACCTTGCCGTCGCCGTGCACATTCCGCTAGTACGACCTCATCTCCGTCTCTCGACGGGCTCTATGCACTACAAGAGCGGTTCGCGATGTATGAAGAGCAGAGCCGGGCGTGGTCACCTGAGAACATAGCAAGTGAGCAGGCCCCGTAAACCCGAGTCGCGACGCCTGCTAGTCTGCTTCCCTCATCCACCCCTACCCTTGTCGCCGACGATACAGACACGTGCCCACATGTCTTCAGCTTACCGCGAAGGACCCGCCCCAGGGGCCGCGCATTCTTCTACCTAAGGACGAGCTCCCGCCGTCCGATCAGAGTTGCTCTCACTCCCTCACTTCGACTGCTCCGCATGACCCCCTCGGTCAGATCTTGCATGACCATAGCGTCCCCATCTCGAATACTGCCTGCACTTCTCTACGCTGTCCCTTGACTTGACGTTGAGGTGTGCATCACCAGCGAGCGCGACGGTGAGCCTGGAGGATACCTGTCTGTTCCGGCGTGTCAAACCCTTGACCTGGCAAGGTCGCCTTGGAAAGGTATGTCTCGTCTGCTGAAATGCTCTCGAGGTGTGGAACGTGTTCACAACAGCTACGGTCTTCATTTTGAGGCTGTTTGCTACTCGTTGAACTCAGCACGGTATGCACCACGAGAGAATGATTCTGACGCCCTGCCGCGTGAATGGCGACCATCAGACCTCGTGCACATCGTTCTTTCAATTTTGCATAATGAAGAGGTTGACAGAATGACCCTTCTCGGTGCCCAGGGTACCGACTCTCTTCTTCCTCGAGTTCATGTCTTTTCTCTCGGTTCGCAGGCGTTTGGTAGGTCGTGACGCATTTAGCATATTGGTGATGCCGCGGCTCGTGGCCAAGGTGGAGCAGCCACGCGCGATCCCGGCCGTTCGCGGTTCCTTCGCTGCGGTCACGTTTCAAATCTCAACGAGCGGTGAAAAGAGTCCGATCGACCTTGTCTTCCTCCCCGACCTCCCCCCGTCCCTCTTCCCTCCCTCTCCAGGTTCTGACGCTAGACTCACCTTCCTTTGGCCCTCTTGCGCCCTCGGACGTCTCTAGCCGACACGACACTCGTTCACCGACGCTCACTCACCCCACACTCGCTCTCGTCGCGCGCTCTTTCAACCCGACGACCAATCACCCCTTCCCCACGACATATCATAACCTAACACACCATGCGTCTCTCCATCGCATTCCTCACCATGGCCGCCGTACTCGCGGAGGCCCGCCGCTGTGCCGCGCAGGTCAAGCCGAACAACCTCGCCTCCACCTCGACGTCGGGCGCGCTCAGCGCCCTCAAGTACACGAACGTCGGCGGCTCGGGCTCGTACAACGAGGTCACGAACATCCTCCCAGGCACTTTCCCCACGTGCGACGCGAACCCGTTCTGCGTCACCCAGCCCAAGCAGATCACCGGTGAGTGCCCTCTCGCCACCTCTGACCTAAAGGCAGATGGACAAATTGCAGGACAGCGTTGACGTCCTATTTTTACCCATCTTTGCAGGGAACCTCGCACCGTTTGACGATGAGATGACCGTCGCTTTCCGTGGCCCGCTCAACTTGTACAACATCGCCGTCTACCAGCCGACGAACTCGAGCTCCGCAACCTGGAAGCAGGTCAGCTCGTGGGCCGCCGACCAGGAGCCCTCGAACCTCGTGTTCATGAACAACATGGGCGGCCAGGAGAGCGGCGAGTGGTCCAGTACGTCTCGCCACCTTCTCGCCACCGGTGCAACGTGCTGATGATACGCGCCCTAGTCTGCGCTGGTTCCAGCCAGTCCTACGCGAGCGGTGACTGGACGGCGTCCGCGAAGTCCGCGAACGCGCAGCTCGCGAAGGGCGCGCTCGACGAGACGCACGAGATCAACATCATGACCGGCGCCGCGTGCACTTCCTCGGACCCATGCACCGGCTTCTCGCGCGGCACCGCGAACCACGGTTGGGCGGGCAGCAAGTTCTTCGTCTTCGAGTTCGACATGCCGACCTCGTCCGACGCCACCAAGGTGCCCGCGATCTGGGCGCTCAACGCGCAGATTGTGCGCGCCGCGCAGTACGGCTGCAACTGCCGCGGGGTCGGCCCTGGGGGGTGCGGCGAGCTCGACATCCTCGAGACGCTCGCCGCGGACGGCGCGAACCCGAACCAGGCGATCTCGGAGATCTACTCGCCCAAGGGCGCGACGGGCAGCGGCGTGAGCTTCTTCGCGCGGCCGACGACGGAGAAGGTCACGTACGGCGTCATCTTCGACGTGCAGACGGACAGCATCGCGATCCAGCGGTACACGGGCTGGGACTTCACGCAGAGCGCGGTGACCCGCAGCGTCGTCGACGGGTACCTCAACGCGAAGGCGATGACGGTCTCGTTCAGCACGAGCTCGAAGCGCGCGGACATGCCGCGCTCGGTCTTTGGTGCGCACAAGCGCCGCCGCTGGCACTGAGCGGTTGCAGCGCGCGGCCGTCCTGCCGCACGCTCGCCTCTCTCGCTGAAGATTCCGCTACAGCGCTCTCCCCCCCGCTGGCCCACACTCCCACCTCCGCTCTCCACACTGTCCTGTCCTACTCCCCGCTCCGGATCTAGAGTCTCCCTATCGTTATGCTTAACGCGCTGCACGTAGACGTCGCTCGCGCTCTGCGGCGCCAGTCGCCGCATGCTGTATCCTCCGAAGCTTCTCGCTGTTGTCTGTCTGTCTGTCTGTCTTATATGTGTTGTATCCACACGGTCGCCGCCTGGGCGGCGCGCAGCTCGATGCTCATGGTACTTGAATATATGCTTGTGTTTGTTGTATGCGTTTGGTTGGCTTGTTATGCCGTGGCGGATTGTCAGCGCGCGGATGCAGTGCGGGAGGTAGTGCTGAACCTGTTATTTACACAGATTCCGCAGGTCAGCCAGGACAATCGGTTGTACCTCTTCGCTCAATGTTCCTCCAGATCCGTGCAAACTGTACTCCCCGACCCGGGACTCGCGTGAAGATGGTTTCAAAGCATGCGGGTGCGTTCCCGCACTGCGTAACGCCTATCACTGATTATGTTTTGCTGGGACAGAGTATGCGTGTACGGATGGCCCACGAGGACTGGATCCACAGCCCATGGTCACCCAACACAACCTCATCCTAGTCAGCAGTTCATAGGAGGGTGAAAACCGCATGAGATGCCATGGCGAACGCGCGTCTGGGTGCATAAACCCTATACTCGCGGCAGCGACGTAACTCCTCGCCGAATCCCAGTTAGATGGAACGCCCGATCGGAGTACGTGAACCCGCAACTATGTCTTACATGACCTGTTAGTATAAACACCCGCCCTGCGCGTAGCCCTCCTTCCTCCTCAACTTTCGACATTCATCCCTTACCGTCTCCACCACCCTACCTCTATTTCGCCTTCAGGTTTTCAACAGACCCTAAGGACTCGGACCCACACTTGAACGTCGCCGAACGACCAGCACCAATGAGCACAGGAAGGCGCGCGACGAGCACCGTGGTCGAGCGGAAGATACATCATGAGAAGAGACCCGCTCACCACCTCAACGACACGGAAACACGGTTCACGAACCCTTGGCCGTCTTTCAGGTGCGTATCCGGCCCACCGCCCCACGCTCGTGCTCACCTCGCACAGAAATCACACAACTGCGCAGTTCCTTGGCGTAAGTCTCCCCTTTTTCGACCACCAACAGCAGGGGCCTGAGCGCTGACTGTTCTTCTACGTGCAGTTTTTCTGGGAGCAACTCTTCGGCTTCCCGAAGCCCCCGCCCGACCTCTCCACACTCATCCCCTCACGGACACCCGACTGGGCCCCCGTGAACGCATCCAGTGGCATCAAAGCGACGTGGCTAGGGTATGTATGCCCCCTCTCTCCCTGAGCGCGCGTACTGACATGGCCGCGTTCACGTAGACACGCATGCTTCCTCGTCGAGCTCCCGACGCCGCCTGGGGCCGCGCGCGGCCCGCGCATCCTGTTCGACCCCGTGCTGTCGCACCGGTGCTCCCCAGTGCAGTGGGCTGGCCCGGGGCGTCTTCTTCGTGAGTGTGCTGCGTGCTTTGGCGACGGTGGCGGCCTGTGCTCAGAACTCGATGCGCATTCAGCGACCCCCTGCGCGGCGGAAGACATCCCGGAGGTCGACGCGATCTGTATATCAGTGAGTTGCGCGCCCGGACTGCCTTTACTTTTGAAGACTGACGCGTGCCTCGTGAGCATAACCACTATGATCAGTGAGCTGTCCTCCCGCGCTCCCCCAAAACTGACACTAACGCCCCCGGTCGTATAGTATGGACGTCCCGACCCTCCGCACAATCTACACCGCCCACACACCCCACATCTTCGCCCCCCTCGGGAACCGCGCCCACCTCCGCTCCCTCGGCATCGCCGACGCGCACATCCACATCCTCGACTGGTGGGACGCCGCGACCGTCACCGCCGCGCTCCCCTCCGCCGCCTACGCAGCCCAAGCCGTGCACGCGTCGTTCGCGGTCACGTGCACGCCCTCGCAGCATACGGCGAATCGCGGGACGTTCGACCGCTGGCATACGTTGTGGTCGTCGTGGGCTGTCGAGGAGGTCTTCCCCAATTTGGAGTCGGCGGCGGACTTGGGTGTAAGGGCGCGCGAGCCGCGGAAGGTGTATTTTGCGGGCGACACGGGGTACCGGACGATCCGGGAGGGGGAGGACGAGAGCAAGCTTCCGTGTTGTCCTGCGTTCGCGGAAGTCGGCGAGCGGCTTGGGCCGTTCGACTTGGCGTTGTTGCCCATCGGGTGCGCGTTCCTTCCCCATTTTCATGTCGAAGGGTGCTTGTTGAACCAGTGGTACAGTGCCTACGCGCCGCGCTCGATGTGGTCAAACATGCACGCATCGCCCGCGGACGCGGTGGAGATCTTCAAGGACGTGCGCGCGAAGCGGGCGCTCGCGATGCACTGGGGGTACGTTGCTGTTCCGCCCGATCTTTTCGTGCTTGTGGCTGACTCGCGTTGCGTAGGACGTGGACGCTGACGAGCGAGCCGACGATGGAGCCGCCTGAGCTACTGAGGCAGGCGTGCGCGAAGGCGGGACTGAGCACGGGCACGTTTGACGTCTGCGGGCTTGGGGAGACCGTGGTGGTATGATGGTGTGGAGGGCGAGGAAGTCGCTATGACATTGGATGTAGACCCGCGCGGTGAGCCGGCCGCGAACTCAATATGGGGGCGTGAGGATGAACAGGGCACACTCCCCGATAGATGGATCGCAAAGTTTGTTGGCCATTCATATATGCGTTGCACTCAACAGCAGAGCCTCGAGGATTCTATCCGCAGCCCTCGGTCACCTAACACAGCTAGTTGAGTTCTGCACGCGTACTTGGACGCTGCGGTACGGGTGTCCTACCGACACTTCAGCTGCCCTTAGCTCTGGTGGCATCTACCCGAAACCTCTCCCACGTCACTTCCTCGCCGCGCTGGGCACTCTACAGTCTGCGCTGGGACGCTCGGACCGTTCGCTCCCTCCTCTGACGCGTACGAGTGCGAACAGACCGCAGGGGACGCATGCCGCGCCGGACGCGTGTACATACTCGCATCCTCATACGTGCTATGCGCGATGGTCCGCCGGAAGAGCGACGTAACTCTGCGCCGGATCTGGTTTAAGTGGGACTCCCGATCGGTATACGGCGGCACACCCGCAGCCCGTACACACCATGCACGACCTATAAAGCTTCCGCACCCGCGTAGCCCTCCTATGTCCACAACCGCATCCTTCGCCCTCTACCGTGTCCACCGGACTACGAACCCGCGCGCGCGTTTCTTGGCGACATCGACGCTTGCTAGCCTGAAGACTCGGGCTGTACACTCTAACACCTCGATCCGAGTAGCTACGATGAGTACTGCGACGCGTGCGACCACCACCGTGGAGGAGCGGAAGGCGGTCCACGAGAAGAGACCTGCGCACCATCTGGACGACACGCAGACGCGATTCACGAACCCTTGGCCATCGTTTAGGTGTGTTTCTTGTTCACCGCCACATGGCGCGCGCGCGCTGACGCTCGCTCACCTTGCGCAGGAATCAAACATTTGGGCAGTTCCTCCATGTGAGTTTCTTTCTTCTCGGCGTACGTGGAGATGGAGAGCTATACCATGGACTATCGCTGTGCTGTTCGTTGGCAGGATAGTGTGCTCGCCAGTCGCGCGCGAACAGCTTGCGCGCGCGGTGGCGCTCACCTTCGGACCTGCGATCTCAACCATGCATTCCAGGTCAAAAATGCTGACCACATCTCTCCCGTTCACAGTTCTTCTGGGACCAGGCAAGAAACTCCCCAAAGCCCCCGGCCGACCTCTCCTCGCGCATCCCCTCACGCACGCCCGACTGGGCCGCCGCGTTCGCTGCGAATGGCCTCAAGGCAACATGGCTAGGGTACGCGTGCCTCTTCCCTCGCCGCGGGCCCTATTAGTGCGGAGTGCTGACATAGCCGCGTCCGCCCGGTATAGACACGCGTGCTTCCTCGTCGAGCTCCCGACGCCCGCCGCGGCCGCGCGCGGTCCTCGTATCCTTTTCGACCCCGTGTTGTCGCACCGCTGTTCGCCGGTGCAATGGATTGGGCCTGAGCGGCTGCTTCGTGAGTATCCTCCGTGCTCTAACAGTGTGATACTGTGAGCTAACGCGCATATAGCCACTCCCTGCCCGGCGGAAGACATACCCGCGGTCGACGCGATCTGCATCTCGGTAAGTTGCGCGCCTCCCCAATCGCCTTGGCCCGCCACTGACGCGCGCACTCCAGCATAATCACTACGACCAGTGAGCCCTCCTCTTGCCCCGGGCCCATGGGTCGCTGACACTAACACCCATCGTCACACAGCATGGACTTCCCAACCCTCCGTACCGTCTACGCCGCACACAAACCGCACATCTTCGCCCCCCTCGGGAACCGCGACCACCTGCGCTCCATCGGCATCGCCGACACGCACATCCACATCTTCGACTGGTGGGACGCCGCGACCGTCACCGCCGCGCTCCCCTCCGCCTCCTCCGCCTCCTCCGCCTCCACGTCGAAGGGCGCGAGCGAGAGCGTGGAAGCGCCGTTCGTAGTGACATGCACGCCCTCGCAGCACACGGCGAACCGCAGCCCGTTCGACCGCTGGCGCACGCTCTGGGCGTCGTGGGCCGTCGAGGAGGTCCTCCCCGCCCCCGCCAGTGTTGGGGAAGGGGAGACAGTGCGCGAGGCGAAGAAGCTGTATTTCGCGGGCGACACGGGGTACCGCACGGTGTGGGCGGGCGAGGACGAGGAGATGGCGCCGCGCTGTCCTGCGTTCAAGGAGGTCGGCGAGAAGCTCGGGCCGTTTGATTTGGCTTTGCTGCCCATCGGGTGCGTCTCCCTCTCTCCGTGCGCGTAGGAGAGCGTTTGCTGAGTGTAGCGTGGTGTAGGGCGTACGCGCCGCGCGCGATGTGGTCGAATCTGCACGCATCGCCCGCGGACGCGGTAGAGATCTTCAAGGACGTGCGCGCGAAGAAGGCGCTTGCGATGCATTGGGGGTGTGTACCCCCTCTCCTTCCTTGTTCGCAGTTGTAGCTGACGCGCTGGTGTTTGAAGGACGTGGATATTGACGACGGAACCGACGATGGAGCCGCCCGAGCTGTTGAAGCAGGCGCGGGTGCTTGGAGGGCTGGACGAGGGCGCGTTCGAAATCTGTGGGCTCGGGGAGACTACGGCGGTGGTATGATGACGTGAACGGTAGGGAAGGGGCCATAGGATGAGGCCTTGAGGTGGGAGTCCGCGTGGTTGGACAATGTTCTGAGGGACATGAGGACAGATTAGACATGGGCTTCCGGTTTCTTGGTAGATGCGTAGCATAATGTGATGTTGTAATGTTCTGTGGTTGTCCATGCATGGTAAAGTCGAGTTCGGCTCATAGAGAGATCACACCATGAGGAATGAGGTGCCCGTGACTTCCACTGAATCGTTGGGAGACAAGCATTGGCCTACCCATACCCGTACGGTCCCGAACTTGCACCGTCAAGGTCGACTTCCCTGCTGGACATGACAAGGTTCCAAGGCCGCGATGAGCACATGTGCTCGTCCGTCCGGCCCGCCCGCGCCCCCAGCCGCGGCTCGCGAACGAGTCTCCGGCACATCGGTGCCCATTAGACTCGCCCGCACCGCTCCCGCCCACCAATGCAGCGACACACGCGCCCCAGCGGCAAATTTCCGGCAGCGGCCACCCCCGACCTCCCAACGTGCATGCGCTCGGGACCGTCCACGGGACGACGACGGGACCGCCTGTATAGACGCAGCCAGCCGATAATTGCCCGCGTGCGCGCGGCCGTTCGACCGAGCATCTTCCAGCACGGTATGTATACGGGCGCGGGCGCGGGGTGCTCGCCCATCGCGCCTGCGGGACCTGCGACACGCAACAAGCGGAAAACGACAAGAGACTCGAACGGCATGTTCTCGAAGCTCGGATTGACGGTGTTCGCGGCGACGGTGGTGTTCGTGCGTGTGGTGTCGGCGCAGCAGCCCGTGTGGGCCCAGTGTGAGTCTTCGCGACGTCTAGTTGCGCTTTCGGGGGACGTGCTCGCTAACTGCGATGAAGGCGGCGGTATTGGATGGACGGGATTGACTACCTGCGCTTCTGGGTCAGTCGTCGGCCGCCTCTGCATTTCGCGCGATGGTGCTCACCGGTTCAATGGTTGATGCGCATCTAGAGCATCCTGCGTTGTGCAAAACGCCTGTAAGCGCATTTTCGTGGGTTTACGAGTGCATATATTGAGCCCGACGCGCCCGTACCAGACTACAGCCAGTGTATCCCGGGGGCCGCGCCCGCGCCGACCACGACGAGCGCGACCACGGCGCCGACGACCGCCCCGCCCGGAATTGAGAAGGCGAACTTCTGGTTTAGCTTGTGAGTATTTGAACCTGGCTACAGTCGAGAGAACACTCAATTGATCAGCGGCGATTCGTACACGCAAACCGACTTCGACCCGGCGAGCACCCCGCCGCAGCCGGGAAACCCGCTCGGAAACCCGCCGTACCCTGTAAGTAGCCCCGGGCTCCCTCCAGTGCTCCGGTTCGGCCAGAGTTCATCCGCGCGCTAGGGCTTCACCGCGGTCGGAGGCACGAACTGGATCGACGTCGACACCGTGGTGCACAACAAGTCGCTCATCCTGACGTGGAACTACGCGTACGGCGGCGCGACGATCAACGCGTCGCTCGTGCAGCCATACGAGCCGACGGTGCTGTCGCTCATCGACCAGGTGAACCAGTTCCTCGGCGGGGCCGCGAAGAAGCCTGCGAACGCGCCGTGGACGAGCGCGAACTCGCTGTTCTCGGTGTGGATTGGGATCAACGATATCGGCAACAGCTACTACCTGAGTGGCGACCGTGACGCGTGAGTAGTGGCGATCGCTGCGCGCGAGGCGGACGACGGTAGGGTTTGAAGCTGATGCGTGGAGGACGTAGGTTCTCGGACAGCCTCCTCGATTCGTACTTCGGTCAGGTTGAGGAGCTCGTAAGTAACGACGCCTATCGGGTTCTCGCTGATAGCTGAACAGCCTCGCGTTTCTGCGTATCATGCGATCTGCATAGTAGTGAGTACCCTCGTAGAACTAGCCAGGGACAACGAGCACTGACCGCCCATGTCTAGCAACGTCGGCGCGAGGAACTTCCTTTTCATCAACGTCCCTCCCGTCGACAGGTCGCCGCTGGTAGGTTTCGTGTACGACTTGCTGTCCCCGCGGGACTAAACCTCAGATAGATGTTAGCACAAGCCGCCTCCGCGCAAGCGCTTGAGAAGCAAGTGATCGCGGGCTATAACTCGAAGCTCTCCGCGCGCGTCGCTGCGTTCAAAGCTTCCCACACTGGCGTACGTTCGCTCCTCGACGAGCATGAGGTGATTCGCTGACACCTCTCGGGCGAGCAGGTCAGTACCTGGGAGTGGGATTCCAACACGGCCTTCGGGACTGTGTTGGACAACCCGACTAAGTACGGATTCGTGGACGCTACATCGTTCGGTGGTACAGGCGACTTCTGGGGGTGAGCATCAGCGTGTTCGCGCAATTTAGAATAATATGAACTCACCGTTATCGAATGTCACCTAGAAACAACTACCATTCGTCGAGTGAGTCCACACTCTCTCGTATATGTGAGAGACAAATTGACAATCTCTCCCCAGGTGCGGCCCAGGACATCTGGGGACAGGACGTCGCCAATGTCCTCGCAGACACGATTTGGTGAACAGTGCAGGTTCCTAGTGTGTACAGGACATGGTGCCTAGCCACCAGATTGTCGTAACGAAAGAAACCAAGCAGCATTACTCACTGGCCAATACTATCCTTCGAGCTAAGCCTCCTCCTCAGCGTATGATAATGAGCAAGGTTGTGCGAGGACTGTGGCCGTGGAGTAGCTAATACCACTCCAACGGGACACGGCGCTAAATGCGCATCCTCATAAATGAGACGTGGATGGAAGTCCACTATCACAGAAGGCTCGATGACTACTGAACCGCACAATTGTTAGCAAGCGGAAAATCTATCCACACTCGAGAGGAAGTCGCGCGTCGGGAGCGCAGAAATCTAGCTAACGTCAAGGACAGACGTGAACGCCGTCAAGCTGGCGACGCCGGGCGTGCATCCCGCGCACTGGGCCAGCCGGCCGGCGAGCTTCCACGTCCGAGCCTGCCTCACACACATGCAAAAAATGGCATTGACAGCTCACCTGATGGAAAGGATGAAAGAGATACCCCCCGTCTCCCTGGACTGCGTACACGCGTCTTGAGGGTCGAGAGGAACGCGGTGGTGCTTATGCGAGGACTCTCGAACCCTCGCACTAGGAAGGAAATGTCCAGAGAATTGACGTGGGATCATCCTTGCTGCAGCACTCCAGTCTTGCTCGCCGACGTCTCAAAGAGCGCTGTCGATCGAGCAGACCATCACGGTGGGCACAAGAGACGACCGCCTCCGTCGTTGTCGCCGTCCGAGAGCAACCAAGAGCGTCTGCTGTCGGAGCGACTACATGGCCAGCGATTGGCGCCCAAAAATGACCAGAGATGCGCATGAGCGCTTCGTGCTTGCTCTCGCCCACTGCAGTCCGAGGTCATCTCGCTTTCCCATCTGCTTTATTCCTCCCACTCGCGCGATGCTGCAGGCAGCGTTCAGGTCAACGGCGGCGCGCAGCGTTGCGTACCGCTCAGTACGATGCATGGCCTCCAAGCCGCCACGGAGGCCCGCCAACCCTCCGCCGCCCCCTCCACCCCAGGCTCCTCCTCCTGCCAGCGAGATTCCTGCCGAGGCCCCGAAGGCGGTTCCTAGCTCGCAGATCGTTCCGAGTCTAGATTTTGACCCCTCGGCGGAGGATGCCAAGCAAGAGCGCACGGGCGCGCGCTCGTCAAAGGATTCGCTGTCGAGTATCGAGCGGCGACGGCGGTTCCTCGGCCGCGTGTCCCTGGCTATGCTCTTGGTTGGCGCGGGTGTAGCGACATGGCAGATGGGGTCGCCGCTAGACGAAGATGAGCTGAGGGCGAGACGATGGGTGCGCACTGAGCGAGGCCTGAGATAAAGGCGGTATATGCTCACGCTCTTTCAGACTGCCGAGGACGCGCCCCAGTCGCGCTGGGAGCGGACAAAGCTACGGTTCACGGGCATATTCGATGTGAGCATGCCGTGCCAATCCCTTCTACAGGGTGCTGAGCGGACATGGTGATCTGTAGACCTTCACAGAGCCCCTCTGGCCTGAGCTCCTTCCTCCGCCAATGCAGGGTCATCTGTACCGGCCGTACACACTTCTCGTTTCAGTAGATGACCTCCTCGTCACATCGACATGGGATGTATGTATATATCCAATTCACGGCGTTGAGCATCGAGATTGACAGTCGCTTTTATAGCGGCAACACGGATGGCGAACAGCCAAGCGTCCCGGCGTGGACTACTTCCTAGGCTATCTCTCCCAATTCTACGAAATCGTTGTCTTCACCACCCAGTTCCACTACGTACGACGTTTCCCTGTGTTCGTTTTGGCGCAGTGCTGAGCTCTCTTGCAGACCGCCATGCCCATCATCGACAAGCTGGACCCATATCAGTTTTACATCATGCACCGGCTCTTCCGCGACGCCTGCCGATCCGAAAAAGGCCAGCCGGTTAAGGATCTCAAGTACCTGAACCGCGACCTGTCCAAGGTCGTCCTGCTCGACACGCACCCGGAGCACGTCACCCCGAACCCCGAAAATGCGGTCATCCTGCCCAAGTGGACCGGCGACCCGAAGGACCGCGGTCTGATCGCTGTCATCCCCTTCCTCGAGTGTATGTTCACCTGCCCGCCCTCTGTCGCCTAGCCTGACACCCCTCCCCGCACGCAGCGATCGCGATTTTCAGGACGCCTGATGTGCGCCCTGTGCTGCAAGCGTACGAGGGCAAGGACATCCCGATCGAGTTCGCGAAGAAGGAGGCTGAGATGAAGCAGCGACATCTCGAGGAGTGGGAGCATAGCCGCAAGGGACTCTCACGCGGCGGGCTGACGCTCAGCAGCCTCTTCGGCGGCTCGGAGCAGGTATGTCGCGCGTGCCTCTTGCTCGTTTATTTGCGCGCGCTCGCACGCGCGCGGCCACTCGACGCGGCTCGCTAACCCCTCCCCTATTCAGGCCGTCGCGTCCCCCGTCCCGCTCACGTACCTCGAGCAGAAGCGGCTCGAGGCGCAACAGCACTTCAAAGAGGAGCAGGAGTACCTGCGCGCGAACAAAGACAACTTCGACAAGATGCTCAAGGAGGAGCAGGAGGCAATGGCGCGCGAGATGCCGAGCACCATCTGGGGCGCGATGCAGGCGATGGTGACGCCTCCGCCTCCGCCAGGCCAGGCCTCGCAGCAGATCGCGCCGAAGACGACCGAGTCGCCGTCGACCACGGGCCCCAGCGCGGCGAAGTAGGCGGACGTCTGTTCCTACGCGCGGTGGCGGTGCGGCGCGGACACTCGCGACGGCTCTCTCGTTCGTGGTAGCAGAACGCGACGATCGATGCTCGGGCGCCGACTAGCTTTTACGATACAAACGTTAATACTAATCGAATCATCACTCCGTAGACGATTCCCCCCTCGATATCATTCCGCCCAACAGTGCCCATGGTTCCGTGTGCATCCTCTACTCATCTCCGATGCGAAAGTACGGTGCGCCGGGGCCTTGCTGGTATACCGGAAGCGGGCCGCCTTCTCCCGCACTCCACGGGTCGTCGGTGCTGTCACCACCCGGCGTGGACCACGAGGTGTAGACACTGGCCTGGAGTTTGCTCTCGTGATTGTAGTTGCTGAAACTGGTGTTGTGACCGTCCATCCCGTGGGCATGCATGTTGGGCAACCACACTGGCCCAGCAACAGCCAGTCCGCTGTTGGATGCTGCTGGCATAGGGGGCCCCACCGCTGCTGTGTGTATGGATGAGGTAGTCTCTTGCTGAACAGTGCACATGAGTGTGTTATGCTCATGCGCTCCCACCACAGTCTAAGGCACTCTGATTCCATGTAAGAGCACTCACCATGTCAGAGCTGGTGCTGCCCTCATGCACAGGGCCTGAGTGAGTCATCGGTGCTGGCATCATGGTATCGAGAATGCCAGCAATGATGCTGACGCCCACACCATTAGCAGCTGCCCACTGTTGGAGGACCGAGAAGGGCGGGTTGGGGGTGTGGACCAAATGAGTCTGCAGGAAGTCTATCCAAAATTCCGTCAGTGCCACTGCCTAAAACTAGCAGTGCAACACACACCACTCACTTTCAATTGCTGGCACCACAGACTGAGCTAACTTCTGATTGGCATTCCGGATCGTCTTCTCTCGGCCTGAGCACCAGGTGAGGTGCCTGTGACTATTGTACCAGGAGCTTCCTGGTAATTTCAAAATAGCCTGATGAACAGCCTCCTTCCTCTCAGATGAGGGGAAGTCCAGTGAATCTCCTGGAGGGTAGAGTGCTGAGAAAGGCAGGTCATAAATCAGTACTCGTCACAGGGATGTATATCAGTGACTTGAATACCATTGCGGAGAGCTCTGGCATCAGCACTGAGCTGATTCTTCTTTTTTGCCATGAATGAGGAAGAGGGTGCTTTCTTTTGGGGGTATTGGGGCGAATCAACAACAGAGATGGATACCCACATCCCTTATAACCCCCAGAAGCCTGGACACGCGCCTAATGGTGCAATTTACTACCCTGAGCTTCTTCTAGAGCGCTCCTTGACCTCATTGTTAGCATAACACAGGGCAGGGGCGCCCTTTCGACTCTGAGGAGTGAAGCTCCTAAATCAGGAAATTCCGTGCTGATCACACCGTCACAATACTGCGGATTTTCCCACACCTGGGCTTCTGCCGATAATCAATTTCGGAGATTATCTGCACGAGGATAGTAGCGGGAATCTGATTGGTGGGCTTTTGCCCTCCCCTGAGCGCCCTCTGTCAAATACTGAACAGGAGCTGATGGAGGGCATAGCCGATGTCAAGATCCCCCCCTCCTCTGCTTCCTGGCAGGCTTTTCTGCTGTCAGGAAGCCCGAGGCTGGCATGGGGATGGGGGACAGCCGGAGAAGTGTGTTTTCGTCACCACCTGAGATGGAGGTGAAGAGAATGCACTTCCCTGCTGTCTCCGGGTGTTTGTACTGCTGCCCGGCCGCGGGGCTCCCTGACAGGTCACCCCAAGATAGCGTCGGGGTGATCGCGCGGCGCGCCGTGCGGGTCGCGAGCAGTCGCGAAGCAGGGGCCCAACTTAAGCTGCCCGCGCAGGTGATGCGAGCCCTGAGTGTCTGACCCTCATTACCCGTTCATATCGCGCCTCGTGCATGGGTAGTGTCCCCAATACGTGCGAGACCTCGCACCCCTCGCGCGGCGGAGTCGCGCGATCTATATGCAGCTAATTGCCGGTGCGCGTTCACTTGTGGGTGCGCGTACCATTGTCGCGGATGCCCCGCGCACATGTGCCGGCGCGCAAGTCGCGACTGGTCGCGACGCGTCGCCCACACTTACTCAGCGAACCACATCGCAAAGGCCGCGAAGCGCGACCCCGCGCGACCGATAACGACGAATCCGCCCCTGCGCTGGCGGCGCGGAAGGATTCTCAACGCGGAAGTCTTCCCTTGCGCTATGATCGCGCGACGAACGCGCCCATGCTCTAAGCATCCAAGGGTGCACGGCACACCCTCGCGATTCGGACGCTCATGGGAAGCCAGGGAAAGCGCAGACGAGCCACACGCAACCGAAAAGGCAGACGCGTCGGCGCTCCTGCGTACGTATGGAAGCTTCAAGTCTCTTTGATTGAACCTTCGAGACAGACCGGTCACGGTCCTGAGACCCTGAACGACGAGCACATTCGGCCCACACGCACGCATGTTCTTCGGGAAGAAGGCTCGCAGGTTATACCAAGCACGTTGATTCGACAGAGACACTCGGTCACAAACGAACAGGCCGGTTGAACGGCGTACAGATCTACATAACAGGGACAGGTAACGGAGATGTTGAACCTCATCTAGCACTTCCGAACTCTACCCACGCGCCTCCGCAGCGTCGAGTCGTTTACCAGATGCGCGTCTCGAGGAGGAGGTCGCTGCTGCCCTCGAGACCGATGCAGGCCTTCAGGAAGGTCTCGAGCGCGTTGCGCTGGCGGTTGAGGGAGTTGACGACGTCCGTGCCGGGCTTGACGAGCGGGGCCTTCAGCATGTACGAGAGGAGCGACAGGATGGGGTACAGCGGCGCGAAGTCAGCCTTGGACCCGGCGGAGGCGTCGCGGTACTTGATGCGCGTGAGCAGCTCCGCGAGGATCGCGAGGTCGAGGATGAGCGGCGTCGCGAGGAGCGAGTCCTACACGAAATGTCAGCAACGTTTCCATAGGGAAAGACGCGAGGAGCCAGCGTACCTCGCATTCGTTGAAGATGTTGATGGTCGAGCGACCGCCGCAGAAGATCTCCGAGTAGTACTCGTCGATCGCGCGCTTCGAGTCGCCGACCGCGGGCACGTACTTGATGACGACGATGTGGTCGGGGTGCTCGCCCTTGGCCGCCTTTGAGCCCTTCGGCGCGCCCGGCTGCGCGGGCTCGAACAGGAGCGGGTTCGCGGCGACCATGTCGTCGACGACGCTGCTCTTGCTGATCTCCTTGCTCTTGAACTGCGGCTCCGCGGACAGGTTGTGCCCGTCGTTGTTGCCGAGGTGGTTGTACGACGCGATGGAGAGCGGCTTGATGCCCGCGTTCACGAGGAACTCGGCGAAGACCGACTTGAGCTTCGTCTGGCCGGACTTGAGGTCGTCGCCGCCGATGAACGAGTGCTTGCGCTCCGCGAGCTGGATGGCGCCCGGCACGAACGTGTTCTGGGGCGCGCCGTTCACGAACGGCTCGCCCTCGAGGATCGCTGCGACAGCGAAGAGCGTGGACGGCGAGACCTCGGGGTGCGACGCTTTGATGGCGGCGAGGAGGTTGTCCGCGGTGTCGTTCACGCCCGGGATGATCTCGCTGTAGCGCTCCGTGTTCGCCGTCCAGAAGACGATGACACGGTCAAGCCCGTTCTGCTCCTTGAAGCGGCGGATGTCGGCGCGGAGGTGTTCGAGGTGCGCCTGCTTGTCGGTGCCGGGGACGACATTGTCCGCGCGAGCCTCTTGGTTCGCCGCGATGAAGTCCGGGTAGTAAATGGAGGGGAGGGGAGCGCCGAGCTCGGCCATGTGCGGCGCGACCTGGCGCTGGAGGTCGTAGTCGAGGACCTGGGCGCGCTTCATGGCTTCGTCGAGACGCGCGCCGGAGATGTCCCAGCCGCCGAGAACCAGGTCGTTGGGGTGGACCATGGGCAGGACGTCCGAGATGGGGACGTGGATGTCCTTGCCCGTGGCGGGGTCAGACCCGAGACGAACGGTCGACGCGCGGAGGAGCGAGCCGATGTAGTTGGGCTGCTGGACACCGCCCTTGGTGCGCCAGATGATGTTGTGACGGTTGGCGAGGATCGTCGCGGAGAGCGTCGAGCCGTTGTTACCGCCCCAACCGACCATCATGAGACTACACGGAAAAACGCGTCAGTAACAGCGCGACGCGTCGTGACACGCGGGAGAACGTACCCAGTCTTGGCGACCTTGCGGGCCGTCTGGAACTCATATTCTTTGGTGGTCGGAGTGACGATGTACTGGCCCTCGACTACGGCGACGTCCGCGTTACGGTTGGTGAACTTGGAGACGATGTGGTCGTTGGTGTAGGAGGTGAGGTCGGACTGCACGACGATAGGGTTGCCCCGACGCGCAGCAGTGGGGTGGATGGGGAGGACACTCTCGAGCTGAGACTCGGGCGTGTTCGCCCCGGTTCCGTTGGCGATAGAAGACATAGTAGAGTTGTTTATACGAGGGGGTGTTCGGGAAGTTTAGACGCAAAGTATTAGACCGTCGCCGCAGGTGTGCTTGTTACCTCTGTGGCGATTGTGTGAGCTGCGCAGCTGGTTAGAGAACATGCAACACGGGGGAGTGCAAGGGTGGTGAGGACGAAGAGGGAGCGATGCGGGGAGGCTTATATACGCGGGGGAGGAGGGCAAGACGTGCTCAATCTTTACGCGCGCAGCGCACGCGTCGGCATCGCTCGCAATTTGGGCGCCCGTCGATTCGCCGAGTTTGATCAAATTCATCGATTAATAACCTGCTCACTCCGTCCGCGCCCCCTGCTCGTCGCAGTCCGCAACCGGCATACATCCTTCTCAGACCACGATGTTCTCACTGCGGTATCGATAACACTCGCTCGGAGGTACTCGTAAAAATTGCAGACGGCAGCGTAGAGAAACACAGGCCCGCGTCGATGCAGACACTCGGCATTCCGAGTGGGCGCCCTGATCGACACCGGCCATGCTGTCGTGCTAAGACCGTCCCCGCCTTGTCATGCGCTCTGACTGGTCGCCACAAACATCTGGGATTCTGGGGCCTGGCCAGCTGTCTGTGGGGAGCATGTCGGCAAAGTTGGGGTTATCGTGCAACGGACGATCGGCCGCTGTACACGACCCAGCTCGGAAAGGACAAACGCCGCCTTGCTTCCCCTCCGCTGGAAGCACGCACTTCGCGTCTTCGACAATATCAGGGGTACCTTCGTCCGACCCTTGCGGCCAGGATTTGGCCACGATCTGCACGCGTACCCTCGGCGCGCAAAAGGTCGCATCTGAGACCGACAGCCGACGTGGAGTCGTGGACATCCTCGGACACATCCTATACGCAGAGCATGCACTCGTTACGTCCCCGAGCATGGATGGGGTTGTTCCAAGGTTGTTCAAGTGAAGGTGTGTGATTTTGCAATGCAATCGGTTATGTTGACCGTTCCGCTCATGACGGTACCCCGACAGAACCCTCCCGGCTCCGGTGAGAATCACACGCACGACTCCGCGGGACGCGCACCTCAGCTGGCTCAAGCCACATCCCTCTTTCCAGCCGGACGCGTGCAGTCCGTAGTTCATCAAACGTGCTGCAAGTTCGCGCTCGCAAGGGCTTGGCTGACGCGTTCAAGGGACGTACGAACGAGGAGTTGGCGTTACTCACTCGTTCTTGACTCCGCAATCAGATTCTGACAGAGCTTGGGAGAGCACGCTGGTGCGCGAAGATGCGCCTCGAGGAGGGACGACACACTAGGGTGATCGTCGGCTTCAATCCGCGTGCGCTGCGCAGTCTAACAAAAGGACACGAGCTTCCATCGGTTGCCGAGCAAACTGCTGGGGTAGCTCTTCCAGGCGTCAGGGATGCCGTTGGTCGTTTCGCCGTCGCGACATTCTGGGGTGCGTGAAGAGCAGAGCTAGAGCTTCTTCCGGGGTGCCTTCATGAAGCATAACGCCCACAGGGTCGCCAAAGTGCACTCGGCCGTCGCGTATGCTAGCCTGCCGTCGACGGGAACTGGTAATGCGAAGCCATAGAGCCCGGTGTGGAAAGCGAGATGACGGAACGACGAAGTCAAGCCTCGAGGTTACGCCGCGTCTTATATAGTGCTGCAATAGACCGCCGCTTCTTTCGATCGTAGCGTGCCAGAGGTAACTGCGACATAGATCTGTTCAGCTTGCAGCTGTCGCAGAATGACATGTAGACAGTCAAGGGAAGTCCTTGCGTGAAATTCTGCGCCATAAACTCCGCTCGCTGGAATGTTCTACACGTAGGCAGGATACGTAGAAAGAAGCCTGTCTATGTCAGTTCCCGGGAGAAGAACCTATCTTTGGACCGATCGTCGTCGATTATCGTATGTCGAAGCCACGGGGCTCGAGCGTTCGATATGTTGTGTATGTCATCCGCGCTCAAAAGCACACGAGTGAGCAAAAAAAACATGTTGTCTTCGAGTCGGAGGCAGAAAACGCCTGTGACGCGACATCAATACCATATGGACCGTGTACGATGAATAGGCAGCATCGGCGCGGTCTCGACGCCCCCGACGCCGTCTGCCTCGCCCTCGGCACGCTTCGCAAGATCCCACAGGTAGAAGTCGATGAGCACGCTGCTGACGTCCTCGTCGTCCCCGCTACCCTCTTCGTCCTCCTCGGCCTGGCGCAGGATCTCCTGACGAACTCGCTCGACGGCTACGATGCTCGCCGTGCGAATTGCAAGTTCTTCGGGGCTACCCGGGGCGAGAGGGACGTGCGCGCTGAGAAACTTCACGAGCGCTGGCGGGTAGGACAGAATGCGGAGGTGGTGCAGGATCTGTGGGACGCGGTAGTCGGCGAACATCGTCAGTTCGTGGATCGCTGCGCCGGCGGGGAAGAGCGGATGCGGCATAGAGGGCGAGGCGGGGTAGAATGCGGCCCATGCTTCGGCGACGAGAATCTGCGCGCGCTTCCAGATGTACACTGTAGGCGTGACGAACGATCGTGAGTAAATCATGTCGGAATGAGAGTCGAGGCGCTGAACTACCTCGCCGGCCTTGGTAGGACGATTCGTCCCGGAAGGACGGGAAGTGTTCCGTGACCATCTTGACTAGTTGAAGCGCGGTGCCCCTGCCTTCATAGCGTATGCGAAAAGTGTCCATGAAGCCATGAAACGAGCCGCCAAACTTCTACATGGGGAAGTCAGTCCTATCCCTTCGGGGCCGTTGTATGCGTAGTTCTGACGCACCTCGCACAAGATTGCGCCGTTTTGACGAAGGACCGCGATACGTTCTCGGAGCAGCGGTATGCGCTCAACGGACTGTGGCGCGGCGCGGAATATATGCTCGATAAGCGCGTCCGAACAGAGCGTCTCGGACGCATAGAATGACGGGTCCGTGATGGCTATGCCCTCCTCGAGCGCTGCAGCACAGAAACGGTTAGTCGCTCCCATTAGACATTTTGCCTCTCTCCGTGCTAGCCACACGCACGCACCTCTGTCTACAGCCGCCACAAGCGACCAGTACCCGGTATGCACCACCGTCGGACAGTCCGCGTCCCACCCCGCGCGCCACTCGACGCCGTAACGGCCGCGCGTGCCCTCGCGCTCGGACCAGAAGCTGAAGTTGAGCGAGGAGATGAGGAAGACCCAGTCAAGGCACGCGCGCGTCGACGGCGCAGCCCATGCGACGGACTCCGCCGGGCAGAGGTGCAGCGGATGCGTGCGCCAGGTGCGGGGGGTATAAGACTCGCGCTGCATCTGTGCGCGGATGTAACGCGCGGCGGACGCGACGCCGTCTTCGTGCAGTCCGACGAGGCCGATCTCCTGTAGGACGGTGGCGGCATGATCAGCGGGAGGACATAGGGGAGATAGAGGACAGATTATGGGCTTGCCTTCATCGCCCATTGCGACGTCTCTAAGACGGGATTCACGCCGTCGGGGTATGTCTCTCGGGCGGTGGCTTTATGGTCGGCTTGGGGCGCATCAGGACGAGTTTGGTGTTCACGCTCCTCTTCGAGGATGGTCACAGTCATCGCAATTCGCGAGGCGGGGATCGGCTAGCCTCTCAAGGGGGGAGTTACGCTGCTGATTAGGGCAGCAGAGAGTTGAGTTTAATGTACTTGAGTTCGAGGTCGTGGTGGCCGCGTGAGGACCATGAGGAGTGCTTCCAACCCATGGCCGGTCTTCATGCAGCTCGAGTCCGTGGCGGAGCGGATCCGTCCGCGGAGCATATTTTGTTGCGGGAAAATGTTGCCGCGGAGTTGGGTTTGCACGAGTATATCAGCCCGTTAAATACGCAGTGCGACGCCTGTCAAGGACAAAACGGGTGCATAACATTCTGGGACGGTGAGGATGTTTATGGAACCTAGATGAGAACATGGGAGAGCGAGACGAAGGACGAGAGGCAACGTGCAAGCTTCTTTGAGTTTCGGGTACGCATACAACGGGCGCTTAGTAAATGAGATTCGTTAGCGCCCAGGCGCGACGAAGTGCATCCTGCGCATCTTGTACTCTACCTCCTCCCGCTTACATTCCTTTCCCCAAACTCGCACTTTCATCGGGATGTCTTTGAAGGTCCCAAAAGCGCAAAACCTCCAGCTCTTCAAGGATGGCTACAAGGTTAGTTGACCATTTTATACCGCGAAAGGACGCGAAAGTCCGACGCGTCTTCTAGCATCTGCAAGGCCTCGAAGATGCCGTCTTGCGCAACATCCAGGCCGTCGCGGAGCTCTCGGACCTCGTGCGGACGAGCTTCGGTCCCAACGGTACGTGCCTATGTCTTGCTCGCGAGATCTCACCCGGCGAACGACTCGCGCAAATCCACAGGCAGGAATAAGCTGGTGATCAACCACATTGGCAAGCTCTTCGTGACCTCCGATGCGGCGACGATCATCCGCGAGATCGAGGTCGTGCACCCCGCGGCGAAGCTGCTCGTGATGGCGTCCCAGGCGCAGGAGTCCGAGGTGCGTACGCGTCCGCTCGGTGTATGCATGTACTAATTGCGCGCGACATCGTTAGATGGGAGACTCGACGAACACTGTTATGATCCTGGCGGGAGAGATGCTCAAGAAGGCGGAACACTTGTTGATTATGGGTCTGCACCCTAGCGAGATCATCAAGGGGTACGAGCTTGCGAGCGCAAAAGCCCTGGCAGAACTCGAGAGTGCGTCTTTCCGATCCTAGCAAATATCTGCCGTCTCATTCAATCTTGGTGTAGCTCTGTCAACATCATCCCTTCCCTCCCCGCCCACCAAGGCCGCACTTGCCGCCGCGCTGAAGCCCGCGATCGCATCGAAGCAGTACGGATATGAGGACCAGCTTGCGGGCCTTGTTGCAGAGGCAGCACTCACCGTCATGCCCTCAAACCCCAAGAACTTCAACGTCGATAACGTGCGCGTCGTAAAAATCATGGGCGGAAGCCTCTCCGGCAGCGCGGTCGTCCGTGGAATGGTATTCGGCAGGGAACCCGAAGGTATGTTCTCACACATATATATCAATGACGCCCGCCTGACGGTCGGACTACCCAAGGTGTCGTCAAGCAGATCAAGAAGGGCAAGGTCGCTGTCTTCACCTGCCCCCTGGACACTGCGCAAACGGAGACCAAGGGAACCGTGCTGATCAAGAGCGCGGATGAGATGCTCAACTTTACGAGCGGCGAGGAGAAGCATCTCGAAAAGGTTTGTGCTTCTTCCCGACCTTTGAAAACACGCTCATTCTTGGCCCCGCAGATCTTCCAAGAGATCGCAGACTCTGGCGTGAAGGTCATCATCGCGGGCACGTCGGTCGGCGAGCTCGCGATGCACTACCTGAACCGGATGGGCATCGCCGTCGTAAAGGTGCTCTCCAAGTTCGACCTCCGCCGCCTCTGCCGCGTCGTAAACGCGACCCCGCTCGCGCGCGTCGGCGCCCCCACCCCCGAGGAGGCCGGGTTCGTCGACGTGTTCGAGACCATTGAGATCGGCGGCGACCGCGTCACCGTGCTCCGGCAGGTCGTCGAGGGCGACGAGGACTACGAGCCGGCTGCGGCGGGCGACTTCCGCGGGGAGCGCACGCGCACGGCGACGATCGTGCTGCGCGGCGCGACGCAGAACCGGCTGGACGACCTCGAGCGTGCGGTCGACGACGGTGTGAACGTGATCAAGGCGCTGCTCAAGGACGCGCGGCTCGTGCCGGGCGCAGGAGCGACGGAGATCGAGCTCTCAAGGCGTGTAGACGCGTACGGCAGCGGGCTGAAGGGCCTCGCGCAACACGGCGTGCGGAGGTGGGCGCAGGCGCTGGAAGCGATCCCGCGCACGCTCGCGGAGAACGCACTTGGCGGCGCGGAGGGCAATGAGGTCGTCAGCCGACTGTGGGCGAAGCACGAGAACGCCGGCGGAGAGGCGTGGGGTGTTGACGTTGAGGTTAGTGCTACTGGCACACTGGTATGGACCGTACTGACACTATTGCGCAACAGGCGGAGACAGATGGGACGCTCTCATCAGTCGAGCACGAAATCTTGGACTCGCTCGCCGCGAAGCAGTGGGCGATCAAACTCGCGACGGAGGCGGCGACGTCGGTGCTCTCCGTGGATAGCATCATCATGAGCAGGCCTGCAGGAGGCCCGAAGGTGCCCCAACAAGCGGGTAACTGGGACGAGGACTAGTGGTATGAGTACGTGTGAGCCGGGGAGGCTAGGGTACGACCGAAGTATAGACGAGTAATACACTTGTACAATGCCAGTTTTTTCTGCTTGCTTTCCATATCGCACTGCTTGCTACTTCAGCGGCGTGATTGCGATCCTAGGCTAAATCGAAGAATATGGGAGAAAAATCTGCGAATGTGTCGAGAAATAGGACCGCGCAGGTTCGATCGCGTCTCCATGATATCCCCTCCTCCTACGCACCCCGACGCCCCGACGTCCCAAACATTGCTTCTGGTCCGTGCGCACAACCCTCCGGTACATAAGCTCCTCCTGGACACTCGAACAACTCATACTTACCTTGATGGCACGGACCCCTTCCCGTACCTGGGTTCCTGGGCCGTAGGGGTCTCTCATAGCACGGCGACCTTGTCCCCAGGGGATCCTTTCGGCTTGTATGGGCTCCGGCTCATGCACCGTCTCAATATTTCCCTGTCCCGTTCCGGCCCTCGGGCTGGGCGGGCCTTTTTCTTGTCTGTCCGTAGTCCTAACCCTAACCCCATGGCATTCACCGGGGCAGTTGTTTAACTTTCTATGTTCGAGCAAGTCATTTTGTGTGACTTCAGCTTACTTATGACCCGAAACTTGGCCATTAGAACATGTTACTTATACTTCTATTCTATTCAATACGATCATAACAAATCAAGGAGATGTCGTGTAATGGGACGATGAGGTGGTATACAAGTTACTAGCTAATATTGGTCAGCCTGAGTCCTTCAACACGATAGCACGTAAAGCCTGCAGAAGAGTGGGGTATCATTCATTGCTGGTAATACACGCTCGTACTTAGCGGATACATTTGTTCTACTTGCAAGTCTGTCGCAGCCGATACACATACCCGTTGCCCTCCATCCACCAGCTAGCCGCAGCCCAATCTCCTCCCCGCGCCCCTCCTCGGCCTCGGTCGTGAGTGTCGTAGTCATAACCAGTGTCGTCCTGAGACCTCGTCGCTATTCGTAACAGAGTATGAAGATCTTCCCGTCGCGCACGGAGATGATGATCGCGCCCTGCGACTGGTCGATGTTGATCGTCTCGACCGCGTCCAGGTCGAGCTCCTCCGGCACCTCCAGCGTGTGTACGATGCCCTCGAGCGAGTCCGCCGTCCCGCCCAGCCCGTACCCCATCGCGTCGCGGTCGTTCGTCACCGGCGGGAACGTCACGAACCGCAGCCGCTTGTCCTCGTTGTCCACCTCTGGGGGGAACGCGAACTCGATCCACACCGCGTGCCCGAAGTCGACCGCCATGAGCGGCCGCGGCCGGTCCGCGCCCCCGTCCGGGTCCATGTCGTCGTCCTCGACGCCGTCGAGCACGCACACGACCTCGAACGGCTCGCTGACGTACCACAGGCGCATCATCGACGACTCGGCCCCGCGTTGTTTTGCGGGTGAGTCTGGCGTCCCCGTTCCGCTCCACTCGCCGGTCTCGGACGAAGATGTGCTGGCGCTGCGGCTTGAACCCTCGCCCTTGCTGACGTCGACGCTGCCAGCTTTCACGGTGGGGACCGCAGAGCCGTTTTCCGAGGTGGTAGCGGATCCGTTCGTTAGGGCAGCCTCGACAGCTTGCGCGGCGGCAGCGGACATCTGTTCGAGCTCGTCCGCCTCGATGAGCGGAACCTTGAAGTAGTGCTGCGCGAGCACGTAGCGTGTCCGGTGCGTGTCGGGCTCGTGGTCCGCAAGGAGCACGACCGTGCAGCTGAGTCGTGGGACAGACGCGAGCGTCGGCCACCACTGCCGCACAAAGTGCGCGCTCTCGGGGTACCAGGGTGGATATGGGAACGGGTTCCCGTCCGCGACGGTGCCGGAGCCTGTGTCGTCCTCACCGTCCGCATCGCCGTCCGCATTTTCCTCTCCGTCCTCGTGTGCGGGAGGATGCGGGTCCTCATCGACCCCATTTGTCTCCACAGGTGCGTCCACGACGACGTGGCCGTTGAGCTGTGGTCCCTGTTCCTCGTCCCGAGCGCTTGCAGGTGAAACCGACCGGGTCAGAGGAGGGAAGATGAACGGAGCCGACATCGTTGTCACCGGCCGCAACCGCTGGGAGATGTTGGGGACGAAGGTAGCGGACGAGGTCGACGGCCGCGCGTACTGCTGAAGCACCGAGATCGGGTAAAAGTACTGATGTGCAACGTCGCTCTCTTCGGAGTGTATCACAATTTGCTCTTGGTATAGGATGCATGACCAGTTCGAGGACATAGACTATTGAGGTGGGTCAGTACGTATTGCAAGGGATAAGAATAAAGACGCACGCATTCGATCCCGGTGTCGATGAAGACGTACTCCTCCTTCCTCCAGTCGAGCAGAGCGTAAAGGCCGATCGTGTTCGAGCTCGCGACCCACACGAATGCAGAGAGCAGACATGACGAGGGGTCCAGCAGGAAGACGTTCATGACCACACCAATCGTCTTGAACATTGCGAGTTCAGAGAAAATCGGCTCGCCCTTGTCAGGAAACTCGAGCTTCATGAGTACAAACTCCATCACTCGGTCGTCCAATCTGACGCTACGCTCAGCCCCACCCTACACGCGCAGATAGAAGCACTCACGACCGCTGCAGAATCTTGGCCATCGTGAAGAACACCGTCCGGATGTCAAATTCGACACGGCACTTCCAGAGCTCCCAGCGCTCTTGCGGGTCCCATTCTGCAAGGCATTCATCCCGGTGCACGTCCCAGCACACCACCTTGCCGCTTTTTGTTGCGCACAGACTGTAGCTCGAAGTGATTGGTGACAGCCAGTCGACCTCCTCGTTCGGCGGTGCGCTGATGATCTTGTACCAACTCCGGTTTCCTGTTGTAGAACCTTCGGCGGTATTGAAGTACGGGGATGATGACGAGGGGCGCGGGCCGCGGGTCAGCCACGCGGTCTCTAATCGGGTTGCATGATTGACGGCGTGGACAAGTTGCTCGTCTGTAAGGTCCGATAGGCGTTGGAAGCCATGGAGCGGGAGCGCGCGACAGCGCTTGAGGAGAGCTGTCGCAAGGTTTCGGTACACAGGCCGCGTGGTGGTGAAGCCGTGCAGCGCTTTGCAGCTCTAATGAGGCCAATTGAGGTGAGCTTGCGTTCTAACCATTCCGGTGCGCTCGGGAGTGGGAGGGGTAGGGAAGGCCTCGCAGGTACGGCTCTCGCGCGTAAAGCGGGGACGAATGAACATCTTCGCCCGATCTCGACCGTGCGCACGATTGCGACGTTCTTGATCGCTTTGGCCATGGGCACGCATAGCAAGGGAACAGAGACAGAGATAGGGAGCCAGAGGAGCGTTTGCCAGTGCTGGGGCATGACTGCCAATACTCCCTAGACAAATCGCAGCGGACAAGGGGGGTGGTTAAACGGAAAGACTCACCAGCTGAAGTGCATGTATCTCATGCAGTTCTAGATGTCGCGCAATGTTCAGAAGCAGGTCGTAGGGTAGAGTAGCGAGTGAGATCATGTCCGGAGAGGTGTCGTCCTGTTCGGTGCGGTTCGCAGACATGCCCGGGCTCACCACGGTTTCCTAGCTGATTTATGCCCTGGTAGGAAGACTTCTAGCTGCCAGAAAACAAAGCGAAAGAAGAAGGCGAGGTAGTTTGTGGGAGAGAGCCTTGTCCTCGTCGCGGGTCGAGGACAAGATGCACTCGGACCGTGATTGGTCCGAAACACCTTCGGCACGCGCCGAACTTCCCAGAACGAATATTGCGTTGCAGGTACCAGAATATCACGACGCTGAAATATCTGCTCAGAGGGTGGCGAAACCTCACAAGGAGGAAGTGTTTGGAGAAGGAGGAGGAGGAAGGAGGAGGAGGAGACGAATATTGAGACGACGCCTAAGTCTCGAGTTCCGTTTATGGCAGGTGGTTCCCACGGCTAACGACCTCTAACGTTGCTCACTGAGCCTCGCTTTGCTCCTGACTCAACGCCGTGATTATTCTCCTCATAACCGCCGTCTACTGTACAAGTACCTTGCTGTCTTTTATTACGCAAAATACACAGGTAAAAGCTCAGAACATGCGTTGTGGCCACAACTGAATTGACGAGACTTACCATATATAGATATACCGTCGCGTCGCTGGCGAAGTGCTTCAATCTCTTCCTTCCACCTACTCCTCCTTCTTCAGGCCGCAGGGTAGGCTTTGCGGTCTAGAATCTCTCTCTGGTGCACGCAACGAAGATCCAGAAACATACCCACGATCATCGAAACGAACACCAAAGTTGCTGAACCTCTCCACTCCTTCTCGGCGCGTAGCTTCTCTCTCGCCACCACCTCCGCTCCTTCAGCACCTTCCTCTATCGCATGGCTCCTCGGCGCGGAGCACAACACCAGAACTCCTTGAGTCCTGCAGAGGCGATTACCACTTCGCCGTCCTCCCCGGCAAGTTACCTGAGCGGCGGCACCGCGCGGTCCGCATCCCCCTCGAACGGGTTTACGCAACTTTTCACCAAACCCACGAAATGGTTCAATCGCTCGAACTCAGGAGGCGTCGGACGCACATCAGTGAGCTCTTCAGAGCCGCGATCGAGCACTAGTTCGACGCGTAAACACAAGATCTCGCATCCGACCGACCCGAGGCCTATCGTGGACAGCTTGTTACCACCTGATAGAGGAGGATTGGCTGGCGCAAGCAGGTGTGTGCATATACTTTTTGTTCTCACTATCTGTCTGGAGAAATTTCCCATTATCCATGCGTGCTGGTGTCGTTCCCTCCAAAACTTCCCTGCGCGTCCAGGATATCATATCTGCAACATAACACGGGCCATGATGGGATCTGCACCACTGGTTACAGAGCCGTTCTGTGCCACAAGAAGCCCTATGGCAACTTGGCCGTGATCGTGCTGTGTGATGGAGCTGTATTCCTGCGGACGTGGAGGGCTTTGCTCGCATCGGTGGAGGTACATTTCTGAAGTGCTGTCTCCCCTTCTGCGTTCAGCTTTCTGTGAATGTTGAATGGCTTCAATTGTATATGTATGCGGATGTTAACAGTTCTTCTCAGGTCAGTGGTGGATCTCTCCCTTGCCAGGACGACATCCGCCATGCCGGATTCACGACCTTACGCAAACCGGACGCCATCATCCCCGCCTCCACTGAGTTTCTCTCGCGGCCTGGGTGATCTGCGCAACATGTCGCGTAAAGCGTGGTCCAAGTCCGCAGACGATTTGGGACAACTATCTGCTTCCGCATCCTCTCCCGCGCTCACGCCGATAGACACATCTCTGCACCAGAAGATCAAGACGTACCGTAGCGATAGCGTCAGCAGCAGTATAGCCTCACCGTCGCCCATCCCCTCTCCCTCCGCCTCGTCCCTCAACACCAATTATCCGTTCCCCGTAATCTCCGGCGACATCTCCACGTCTCCACCCAAGAACACGCGTCTCGGGCCGCCTTCCTCGAACCCCTCGCCTATCACGCCGCCACTTACGCCCGCGTCCTCGACGTCCTCCCACGTTCACTCACGCTCACACTCGTTTACGCCGCGCTTGCCCTCGAAGCTGTCTGCTCAGAAATCCAATCTCATGCCACCTAGCCCGCAACGCAAAGGCTCTGCCTCTTCGGAATCGAGAGACCCGGAACGCGACAAGGGTTCCGTTGGGAGCGGCTCCTCGTCCCGTTCGCCGTTTCCGTTCGGTTTCGGCGCGGGCGGCGCGCACGCGAAACTCTCGCCGTCCGCAATATTCATGCCAGACGGGATCCTCGGCCAGGGACCGTCGTCGCCGACTTTGCTCGCACCCCCCACGATCATCGAGCCGGAGACGGGAGACAGCAAAAGCGAGAACCGCACGTCACAGATGGTGTACCAGTCCGGCTTCATTAACCGCATGACGGACTTCTCGCCCGCGATGCTCAATACTCGCGCGCACCACGCGTATATGGCGGGCGGGGCCCCGGCAGTACTAGTGAAGGGCTGGAAGCCATTCAAGCTCGTACTGAAAGGGTCGAAGCTGTACTTCTACAAGCCGCCTGGGGATCGGAGTGCCGCGATCAAGGAGCTCTTCCCTACGGAGCTTGTTGCCGTCCTTGAGGGCGAGGGCGCAGGAGAGCTTGAGGCGGAAGTGGACCTGCACGACTCGGAGATGGACATGGGCGGGCGTGGAGGCGGGAAGGGTAAGGAAAGGGACGATATGCGCCGGCGAAGAGCCTACTGGGGACGCGGCAGGCACCCCGCTCTCGTCCTCGGTGGCGCGGAGGTGGAGAAGGGAACGGCCGAAGCGTTGGTCCACGAAGCGGTCTTCGCGACCACTTTCGTCGCGCCCGCAGATCGTTCGGGTGAGGATGGTGTGGGACAGGAGGACCCTCCGGAAGCGTCTCGATATAGGCCTGAATGGCGCGAGTTTGCGGCCGATATCGTGCTGAGTTTGCCCTCTTTGATAGGCAAAGCAGTGTTCGAGGCAGAGCTCCTGCGGTGTTGCACGACCCTGTTGAATGGCGCGGATGAAGACACGAACCTAGAAGAGATACGGCGAGTAGAGTGGCTTGCCGCACGGTACATCGACTACCATGGCAGCGCGGAGAACCACCAGGCGTGGGACGCCTGGCAGCAGGAGGCGATTCCCAATTTCTCCCCCGACGTATCGAAGGTCGGCGGTCTTCCCGCGTCGATTTCGATGACGGCAATGCACACCCCCTCGCCGCTCCTACCGCCGTCGTCTGGGGCTGAAGAATCCTCTCCCGATCTGGGCGCCTTCTCTCCCCGGCCAGGCCAAGGGAGGATGCAGTCTATCACCGAAGCTTACAACGAAGCCTCCCCACAGAAGGCCGGATCGTCGCCGCCACTTCCTTCCAATGCCTCGTCTCTCTCGCCAGAAGCTCTGCGCATGGCGCTCGAGGAGGAGGGTCTTTCGCGCGATGTCTTGCTCAGCCTTGATCCCGCTCTTCTAGCACGTTCTCTATTTGTCGCACAGCGTGCTTCGCTCCAAGAGGTCCCAGACAACTTCACTGCCGACTACGTACTCGGTCCTGGTTTGCAGGAGGCTGGCTCTTCCGCGCCGGCTCACCAAGCTATTATACCATTCACGGGATCTGACGACCGACCGCACTGGTTGACACGCCTGGTGCTGATCCAGGTGCTCGTCCCAGAGCCCACAAGCAACAGCCATGGCGCGTCCGCTCAATTGCATCACGACCGACCAACCTCCCGCACGCATACCCGGTCCGACGTCATTTCGGCATGGACCCGCGTTGGAGAGCTCGCTCGTCGGACGGGTGACGACTGCTCATGGCGTGCCATCATGGCTGCGTTATGTGCTCGACCGATCGCGCGGCTGGACAAGGTATGGAAGCGAGTCGATCCCGAAGCCCTGTCCATCGTGCAATGCTGGGTCCAGATCCTCGTGCGCGGCGACCAACCGACTACCACGGCTTCTTTGGCATATCCGTGGGTGGGCGACGCGCAGCGCGAGATCCGCGCTGCATTGGAGAAGGCAAGGAGTGGCGATGGCGACGAATGGGTGGTCCGGTACCTGCGAGACGTGCGGGAACAGTTCAATGCTGTGCGGACTACATTCGCGTTGTGTACGAAGAGAGCCGATCTCGGGAGTGCAGCCGAGTTCCCAGGTGTGGACGTGCTCGCGAAGCATTGGCAAGCACTTGCGTTCGAGGGCGACGGCCGAGGCCTCGCAGCCAAGTTCTTGAGGTTCGTCTCTTCGGGTCTTGCACACGTTAACGAAGCCTAACTGTCTCTTCTAGAACGGAACAGTTCATGTCGCTCTCCTCCGCCGCCGAGCCGCGCCGGAGGGGCATTTTCGAACCGTACTTCTGGTCGCGGATGTCCCAACAACCGTCCATCCATCCTCTGGCTGCGCTTCTCTTCCCCGAGCCGTTGCCGGCCGTTTCCTTCGTCAACCGTTCTCAAATTATGCGAGGTCGGCTTGAGAGTAACTCGTCGGGGCTCAATATCCAGGATATCCGTGATCTGCGGTCCCACCTAGATGGCGAGAGGACCTCGCAGAGTGAGCGGCCCAAGCTTGGTGGCTTCGATCTGGGAGGGACAGTGATACCGGTGTATAGTGGCGAGCTGCTGCTGCTCGTGCAACCTGGGGGTGATGCCGTACCTTCATCCCGACCAGCGTCTCGTGCGCCTTCTCGCCCGCCAAGTTCGGCAGCCCCGGACACGCCTAGCCTGGAAAGATCTTTCAGCCGTAATCCTTCCATTCGGGTGACTCCAGGCTCTTCGCATGGCCATGGTTCCGAACGGAAGTCGAGTATGGCCCGAAGAAACTCACTTCCGTCTATGTCCCAACGGACGAGTCTGGTCGCGTCGGAAGTCACATCGGAGAGGCCCCTACGTGTCGTCGTGCAAGCCGGAACATTGGACCGCCTTGTCGACGTCTTGGTGCACGGCCTTCAGGGCGTGTCGGTATCGGTCGCCGACGATAACGGGGAGATGCCTCTCACGGACAGGAAGACCAGGGAGGTGCGGGTGGACATGGATGACTTTTCACAGGTGTGGTGGAACAACTTCCGGAGCTTTTTAAAGCCCCAGGTCCTATTTGAGGTACGTGGCCGCAATGATGGAATGCTCGCAGCTTGCGCTCAAACGTGTTCTTCGTCGTCAGCTTCTACGGAAGCGATACGTTGGCGCCCATCAAGCCGGCCGCCCGCTGACGTCTGACGAGATTTCGCACACCGTCCGACTCCGAATGGAGGTGCTGGAGATCATGGGCGAGTGGGTCGCGCAAGGTGGAGGAGCGCAGGACGCACTTGACGACGCCGGACTGTATGATGCATTCCTCGCATTCCTTACTCAGCCTACCGAGCACAAGCCGCTCGAGTCCGCAGCATCGGATGCAGATTCGGAAGTTTGTCAGGCATTGAAAGCGCTCGACCTAGCGCGGAAGACGTTACACATGTCGTTCCTCTCGCAGACGTTGCGACCCATCCCACGCACACCCGCCGCGCCAGAGAGTACACCTGACGGGCTGGGCGCCATCAGCTATGGGTCGGACTTGCCCGATATCGACCAGCTGGACGCCGAGGAACTGGTGAACAACCTCAACTCCATGGCGTCCGCGACGCTGCGCAACGTCACACAGGAGGTGCGTAATGCGGAGAAACCCCTCGCGTATTGCCCGTAAGATGGCTATCTGACAGATTCCCGCTCATCCAGGACCTCTTCGTAACCGCGGACCTGTTCGAGGTGCAGTCGGCGGACCGCACGGGCTGGTTCCTTGCGCGTGATCCGAGCTCCATCGCGGACGAGGTCGAGATCCAGTCGATGAGCTCATACATCCTCGAAGTCGAGCCCTCCGCGCTCATCTCCGAGCTCGCCCAGGACAACCTCTATCGCCTCCTCCCACCTGCTGTGCGGAGCTGCATCCGCGCATTCGGCATCTTGCGGAAATGGCTTGTCTCGAAACTCGTCGCGCTTAGGATCGGCATCCAGGCGCGTCAGCAACGAATGGAACTCATGCTTCGTGCGATCGAGGTCTGCCGCCGTCGCAACGCCGACATCGAGAATGCGGACGTGCTCTCCACCGAGCTCCCATGCGTTCGGTCGTTCGTCGAATCGATGCTTACCTCCGCCGTGCTTAGCATCGAGAGCCGCTCATACCAACGAGCGTGGCTAGGTGTTGCTGTGAATCGCGGAAGTGGATGCGACACACTCGCAGCGTACCTGGCGAGGCCTGTCCTGCAGTCATTGTCGTCTCGAGGAACCCTCGCTCCCGATATCGGTTGGCTCATGGAGAAGGTGCTGGAGATCATAAGCTTACCAGACGTCTTGGAGGCGCCTGCCGTGGAACCGGTCACGCTCGTCAACTTCGAGAAGCGACGGTAGGGTCGAAACAGCCGGGGATAGCATTACGCATTGCTCACACGCTTCATCAGGACATTGCAAACATTACTCACGAGCGTGTCTGGCGCAGCGGCCGGCCGGAGGCAACGTCGCCGCGAGAACGATAGGCGCGATTTCGAACGCCTGAACAACATGGAGAAGGAACTCGGAACAGTCCACTTCGACATGCGCACCATCCGTGAAGACGCCTATCGCGAGTCTGGACAAGCCAGCGTTACCCCGTCGAAGAGGGCCCAGCGGCCGTTTCAGATGCTCGTCGCTCAACAACAGGAGAAGAACCGCCGCGATCGCGTGTGGCGCGACCGCCTCAGCAAGGAAAAGCGCCAAGAACAGCTCAAGAATGACCGGCGGGAAGAACAGCTTAACAAGGCCATGCACCAGCGGCGGCAGAACCCCGTGATGCCTAAACAGCATCGGAACAAGAAGAGCATGTCCTCCGCCTTCTTCCAGTTCATGCGCCCCATCTCGAGCGCCTTTACGTCCGACACGATGTCGGGAAGCCCCGCGAAGCGGTGGACCCCGGCCGAGCTCGACTTTGCGCCATCACACAAGCCATCGCTCGTGCTGAGTGTTGTCGGCGCACGCGTTGCGCACTTCATCAACAACGAACGCTCGTTCGTGTTCCAGATCGACTCCGAAGACGGTGGCCATTACTTGCTGCAGGCGGCGAGCCAGCAGGAGATGAAGAAGTGGACGGAGACGATCGAGCGCGTGTCGAAGATGACCGCGAAGCGGCGCCTGACCTACCTTGGGCAGAACACAAAGCCGCAGCTCGCGGAGCATTTGTTGACGAAACCCGCCGTAGCGACACGCGACCCATATGCTGGTGAGTGAATGGATAGACGGCATGGAATCTCCGGAAAGTTGCTGAGTGACCTTCTGTGTACAGTGTTTGGTGTAGAGTTGGACTTCCTGCTCCAGCGGGAGTGTCCCGAGGACGAAGTGCCGGCCGGCACCGTTCCTGCTGTCTTGGAGCGACTGATCAACGAAGTCGAGCAACGCGGTCTCACCGAAGTCGGCATTTGTGCGTCCTTTTTCCGTTAACGTATCCAAGTGATGCTCATCAGCCGTCCGCCCTAGACCGCATCGCCGGTGCTCACTCGGAGGTGAACACTTTGAGGGACGCCTTGAACCGAGGTAAGTACCTATACTGCAGATGTCGCTGTCAAGTCCTCACTCAGACTGTCGGCTGCAGGCGAATGGCCCATCTCTGAGCTTACCGATATCCATGCTGTCTGCGACCTCATCAAATCCTGGTTCCGTGTGTTACCGGGGGGACTGTTCCCTGCGGATACTTACGGCGCTATCCTGAATGCGGCTGGTACGTAGCGTTCCTCAGACATCCTGATGCACCACGCTCATCCATGCTTCACAGCTACCGGGCGCGATGACGTTGACTTACAGACGAAGGTCGCGAACGTGCGGGAGATCGTCCACACCCTTCCGGGGGCCAACTTCGACCTTCTCAAGCGCATCGTTGAGCACCTCGAGAGGTACGCCGTACTTACGGGAGCTGTGTAATCATTCTGACCTTGCTCCTTAGGGTGACCGACTACGAGGAGAGCAACCAGATGACGACCGAGTCGCTCGCCACCGTATTCAGCCCAAATCTACTGCGCTCAACAAACAGCGATGTCGGCACGTTCTTCTCGAACATGGCGGCTGGTCACCGCGTTACGAAGATGCTCATAGCCCACGTAAGTCTTGGATCCCATATTAAGTCCAGTACGACGCTGATTCAACGTTCTGGCAGTTCCATGTCATCTTCGACAACGACATCGAGCAGGAGCAAGATGCAGACGCGGATGCGGAGCAAGAGGCTGAGGAGTGCGACTTCGACGAGCCCATTCTGGAAGAGGACGAAGAGGAAGAGGATCTCTTCCGGGATTCCGTCGATGAGCTCCCGCCCAAACTCCCATCCGAACCGCCCGTGCTCAATATCAACCTCGGGAGCCCGGCGTCGCTGTCCTTCAACATGCCTTAACCGCCTTCTTCTGCATCCCCTCACGTGGGCTCCGGAGTATCATACCTTATGTTCCCCATACCTTGGCGTGCTCGCTACCTTTCCTCTCCCTTTGTGCAGCCCTGACGTCAGCAGAACAGTCCCTCCTTGCTCCCATTTGTAGTGTATGGCTCCGTCTATGATATCCGCAAGTACCACGTACAGCAGGGCAGAGAAGATGACGGACTTCGGGTGATGGGGCGACGCCCTTGCTGGTGGCAACTATAATGCAAACCCATCCGTGCTACTTACCTACCCCGCCTTTGAGCCTTTCCCTGTTTGTGATTATACAAAATGTTTTCTTAGTCTCCTCCCCTCTACCGTGCTCCGAGCTCCCGTATCCGGGACTCCGGGATGTCGATTCGCATCGTCTGGGGGCGGATTTTGCGCGGCCATGAGCCGTAACGCTGACGGCGTCTGCGGCCGTCCCCTCAGCGACCCGAAACTCTAATTTGACCTGTATAAATACCCTCTTCGACGCCTCCGCAGGTTGGTATCGAACGCGCATGTTCGTTCGCCTGTGGTATAATCCTAGGCTCTCCACCCTGTGGTATAATCCTAGGCTCTCCACCCTGTGGTATAATCCAAGGCACCTCCCTGTCCTACTTCGGCCTCAGAGACAGTCCTCTGTGAGGCCCCCGTAGTTGAAGCCTTTCGAAACGGCGGGTCACACGGTTCGACGAGAAAGCATGTGGCTCGTCCGCGGCAGCACTTTGCGTGCTCCGTAGCTTTCCTGGCACCCCGGCATGATGCAGGGTAGCAGGCAGAGATCGGCTCATGCGACTACCCCGGTACACGTTGACGGGTACGACGCACGTCTCCCTTCATCCGCGTGTGCTGCAGTAGTGGGCACGTCCGAGCTCGCGATTTGCTACGCGAAGCAGTCGTTCTCGGCCGCCTTCCGCCCTGAGAGCTTCGCCGAGCAGTCATCGAAGTTTCGATGTAGCTCCCGTACAATGTGTACAATGCATACGCTGGAAGGGTTTCCGACGAGCGCTCGCGAGCCCTGGACAAAAAGCTCTATCGAGGCTGGAAGCTTGCTGTCGGTCAAATGAAGGCGCGGGCAGAAACCATGCAATATCGGGTTATGTCCCATGTTGCGTCTCGGAACGAGCGGCTCGGCGGGGGGCTGCGAATTTACAGCACGCTTGCACGAGCAACGCCCGCCGAACCTCTCGCCGGCGGTACCCCGATACCCGCCCATCTGTGACGTCGCACGCCGAAGGGAACCGGTGTCCGAGTCGTCTGGTATCGCCTCCACTGCAATAGCATCGCAGTCGTTGGCCCGTAGGGAGTGTCCGAGAGACGATATTGCTATCGTATCATGTTCTTGCGCCTATGGTGCAGAATGGTTGGCTCAGCGTTGTACGAGTCGTTCCCCGCGGTCGCCCTAGAGGAACGGCTCTGATAATTGAGCGAAACGCTCGCCTTCACGTTCTGCAAGGAATATGGAGCGTCTGGATAAGATGCATGCAGGAGAAACGGACACCGGCGTACTCACCGACGGCCGCAGTGCGCGCTGTCGGAAAGTTCGCCGGACAGTTCCTCTGCGAGTGAAACGCTCAAGGAGGGAAAGGTCGCTCGACGACGAAAGTAACTGTCGGCGAGGGAAGAGTCTCTCGGCGAATGAAACTTGTCGTTCGGCGGGGGCTGTCGACGGGTTACGGCGCAAATGCCTCCGCTCGGCGAAGGCCTGTTGTTCTGGTGTTTGCGATGCGCGACGCATTCTGAGCCGTGCAGCTTAAAGCGTGAACGCATAGGCCACCTCGACGTCGCAGGCGTGATTACACACCCTTGCGACGTCGACGCGCTTCTCTTGAATGTCCTGAATGACTTCGCGCATATTGCGGCCTCATGCTTCTAGCATCGGGAAGGTGCGTCCCGAGTCCTCTAGTGGATCCGGCCATGTAACACAGGGCAGACGTTGGCGATTTTCCCGAACGCCCTGTGACCTGCCAGCCATCGTCGGGTGCCCCGGGCGAACACGATCCCCAAGCATCCGAATCGCATGTCGCCGCGACTGGTCGTGATATCGGTGAGGAACCGATAACGATACTGAGTCTTCGACGACTGCGACCTTGGCGATTCCGGGCGTTTCTACCGGTGCAGCTGTTTCGACAATGGTTTCGACACTGGCGACTATTTCGACAGGTGCGACTTCTCCGAGGGGCGCAAACGCGATCGCTCGGGAATCGCGCGATGGCCTGGGTCCACTAGGAGCTCAAAAATCCTCGATGATGTCCGCCAACAACACGACCGCACTAAATCTAGTATTGGCGACGGTATTTTCCTTCGCCGAAAACATAGGTGAGTATCGACTACGCTAGAATCGAACCTCACTGACGAACCTGACTGATGTCCATCCTTACGCAACGCGCACAGCCATGGAGTCGACCGTGGGCACGGTGGGCTGGTCACAGTGCTTGCTGCCTTGCGGGCGTCGCAAAGCTAGCGAAAGGCCGCGAGGGCGTTGTGATGCGTCGCAAAGGCCCGGGAAGGCATAGCAAGGCTTGCGAAAGGCAGCGAAGGCGCCGCGAAGGCCGTGACGGTCGGCGACGTGCGACATGCGACATGCGACGTCGTTCAGCCTTTCGCAGGCCAGGAGGCCTTGCGATGCCTTCGCTTGGCGGCATTTTGCAGTCTTCGCTACCGTTTCGCGGACTTTTTGGACGCATCGCGATGCCTTCGAGGCGTTCCGCGGCCTTTCGCAGACTTTGCGACATTTGCGATGCCTTCGCAGGCTTTCGCACTGCGCCCTCACCCACCTGCGACTCGGACACGCCGTCGCGTAACAGGCATCGAGGGGCTTCTACAACGCTCGGTCGGACTGCGCCATGGTGGCCCAAGGAGCGCGAATGCGACGCGTGTGCTAGATATGGGCGTAGATGGTCGTAGCACGGAAAGGAGTGGTCGGCGAAGCGTGGGCGATTGGCAGAGCGGCAGAGCATGGGCGCCTAAATCACAGAAATGGGCAGGACGCCTTGTCGAGGATGATCGCACTTGCTTGCCTCCTGCTTCGCCGAACAGCCTCTGCCGACTCCCCATGTCGCACTTGCCTTCCTGCTTTGACATGTCACTCAGCGATGCAAGGTACATACCAGCGACATTCTTTGAATTGACCGGCACACCTCGTCTTATTCGTCTTAGTCGCCTTAATCCTCCTGGCGGCTCCTTATTCTCCTGGCGGCTCCTGGCAGCTCCTGATTTCTCCTGGTCGCCTGGTCGTCTGGCTATGTGCTCCATACACAATGCTGGCGGTGGCTCCTCATTGATGGACATTACAGTGCATCGGCCCCCTGAAGGAGACCAATGTGTCGGTACGTCCATTTGTCCAATCGTTGATACGACCCGACGTCTGTAAAGACGTAAGACCCACTTCTGCTTCAATGCTGTTGTGGATTTGCAATGGACGGTGCTCTAGGATTCCCTTCTTCAGGCCTCACAGTGTTATAGCTGCACTTCTGAACCTATGGGTGCATATCGTGAGATGCCTGTGTTGTTGACTTTTGTGCCATTGGTACCATCAGACATTTAATTTTGGCAATTGAATAATAGTTCATCTGCCCAAATCAAATGTTGCTGTCATACCTCCCACAGCTCTCAATCAAGAGTAAGAGTTCTCATTCCTGGAAGCTCTCCCTCGTGATTGAGAGCATTCATTGGTGTAATTATATCCACCACACGCACGACCCGCTGTGTTCATGCTGCGTGTCCTCGGGAGACCACATCCTAGCGTCCCAATAATCAAGCAGGCCAGGAATTGTACCTGCTATCGCTCATTTTATATCCATGCTACATTGTAAAGATAATATGCGCCCCCAATGATACAGGAAATATCTCCCTGTATTATCTCCGGGTTCGCGTTTAATGGGCCACCACCCATTATATTATCTTAAACGATAGCATGTGGGGATGATTGACTAGTTGCGATCAACCAAGTCGCCCGCGAGTTGCGCTTTTGCCCTGGGTCCGCTGGGAGCACTCGCCCCAGGAGCCCAGGTCTTATAAGCACCCGGGTCATCCAGCGACTGCCAGTGACCCTCTCTCATGTCTCATACTTGCCGAAGAAATGTCGAACCCGCATACTTGGGCACAAACTCACCGGAGGGCTTGACAGGGCTCTCTGGAGAGTTTTTCTCTGATTTTCCCGACAAGTTGATATCAGCGCTATTCCGCGCTCAAACATGTGTCATTCTCATCGGCCGGTTTTAGAGTACAGGTTGTGTGCTCTGAATAGTCGTCAGGATATACGCGCCGTAACAGCGCCTTCTGTGGTACTCACAAGGTAGAATCTTATCATTCCCATAGAAGCTCCCGACGATACACTGGCAGCAAGGTGCTGGCGTAAGCCCATCCCTTCTAGCGATATGAGAGGTGTCTCATGTCGGGTGCAGTGCGAGGCCTGGCGATTCGTTTTACTTGAGCCGCGTCTCGGATTACACATGCGGACCTCATAAGGATCCTGCACTGGCTCGCGAAGAGCGTGCTTGATGTGGTTCGGGTGATCGCCGACTCGCCCGCTGGGTTGCTGTACGAAGACCACGGATTGAAGCCGCCGCGCGTCGCCATATGGGAGCAATTCAGGGGGCCGCGTCCCGCGTCGCAATTGCGCAACACGTGGACCATGGTGAAAGGTAAGCTTTCGTTGGTCGGCATGTCGGAAATATGGTCGTCGCAGCTCGAGCATGTTGCGGCGTTTTCGCAGGCCATAGCGCAGCGCTTCTACGTTTCAGAAACCCGGTGAGAGCGTACGGGCTGACCGTTTTCAAGCAGCGAGTTGATTCGACAAGCAACACAGGATATGGCAACTCCGAGCGAGTAGGTTGGAGGTGAACAGGTGAGTCCGGTTGGATATCCTAATATCCTAATAAAGTTACTTCAGAAACCGAGCGCAGAGCGCCGCCAGCGCTTCGACGCGTTGCCGTCCTCCCCCAAGTCTCTCCCCCTTGCCCTATCCTCCCATCTCCATATCTCCCACTTCCTACTAGCGCCCCAGCTCGACTCGATATCGAACACGCCTATTCCCCAAAACGCGATCCGGACCCCTCCCTTCGACGACGACGCTCGCGCAAGCGCCGCCCCCGCGCTCGACTCATTTATTGAAATTGGAGATGGCGCAGCGTCCCTCGCTGAAGGGCAAGCTCCAGGCGGAGCGCAGAGGTGAGTGACTTCCGCATGATCTGCTGGATCTCGCTGCCCTAGCGGGGCAGCAGGTTCTGTAGCACGACTTCTGACACGCGCCATGCAGCGATGTTCGCGGACGGCGCGTCCCCGTCTGACGCAGATTACGACCGCTTCCTGGACAAAGTCCGAAACACGCCAGGATACGAATTCTACACTAGCAAGACGCACTCGAACTACAGGTCGAGGTTGCGTCCGAGGCGCGAGGCGATCGCGGCGCGGCGCGTGTCTCAGAGTGTCCAGGCAACGCAAGACGACGCGTCCGAGGGCGCGGTAGGGCGGGAAAACGACGCACACACGGCCCACTGGCAGCAGTGGGAGGGCGTCGGCAATCACGCCCCTCCCACCACCCCAACCTCCGACGCGAGCTCGTCTACGTCTTCCGATCGCGCACCGTTCCCTGGCCTCGACGACACGACGGCCGCCGAGCTCGCATATGGCACGCTCGCGATGCGCGCCCCGGACGTGTTTGCGCAGATGCACGCCGCGCGGGATCCAACGGTGACGCAATTCGAGCAGTGGGCGGCGGCCTCGGGCCTCCCCGCCGTCGAGCTTTTCGGTATGTTCATCGGGTTCCGTGAGGGGCGCGTCGGCCTGCCTCCTGGGGTAAGTACTTTTGTTCACAGGACGCATCGACGCGTGTTTGACGTTTATGCAGGTCCCAGGCGTCGCTCGTGAGTACGATGATCGCGGGTGTATCGGCTCGGGCGTTGTGGGAGCAGAGCCTCCTGCGACTGCTTGCGGGATGTGGGGTGAGACTTCCCCTGTTTACTCTGGCCCTTTTCAGGTCCCGTACGATTTCGCGCACTCGTTCTGATTTCAATGTCGCTTGTACTCCTTGCTTCTTGATTCTCCTCTCATCTCCAGACCAAGCATAACCTCATGTATATGATAGAACACCGGCACACAAAAGGGCTTGCAGCTAGCTGCGTTCGCCCGGCCCCATGTCCTGTAATTGATTTATCGTGGTTGTTTCCCGGTCTCGTACGACTTCATACCCTGGTTCTGATTTTGCTATCGCCCATACCTCTTGCAGCTTGTTTTGCTCCCTTGTACACTTTCGTCGCTCTCGTCCCTTGTTCTCCATGAAAACCATCTCTCCGCTCAGTTGTCGCCTGCTCATGTTTACTTGTTACTCTCACACTGCTTTCCCTCGCATTTCCTGCCCAAGCAGAACCTCCTGTACATGGTAGAGCATCCTTGCCCCCAAATCTCTCGCAGCTGGCTGCCTTCGCCTGGTTTCGTGTCATGTAGCCAACTATCGCTTTGAAATGTACATATTATACAAACAATTCCTAGCCTTGATTACTTCGATACATCCTTCATTGGGGCGCGCCGGCGCCGGGAGAGCCTTCAGCTGCGGGCGGCCATGGCTCCTCGCCCTTGACGATCTTCGCTCCATAGTCCTTCGTTTCGGGCTGGAAAGTCGGTCAGCATCGCGCCTGGCGCCGCGAAAATTCCTGTAGCACATACCTTCTTCAAAATCTGTTGTTCGTGCATTAGAAAGTTGTATAAAGGCGAGAGGGTACCAACTCTGCTCACCGTGCCTCGAATCTCCTGCAGCCGCGGCGGACAGTTCAGCATGAGGGCGCATTCCTAGCGAGGGTGAGATATCAGCGTACCTTTGCGTATCCTGTAAAACTATTAGCAAACGGCGCGTCGGAATTCGCATCAGACCACGTACCGACTACCTGTTGCGGGAACGAGGGCTTGTCCGACGACGCGTGCTTCACGCCGCCCGCGCCGGGCTGGGTCGCGGCTGTGATATAATGTGAACTGTTGCGATTCACCTCCACAGAAACGCCTCGAAATGAATCGTACCTTGTTGGGATGGCGTGGTCACCTCCGTGGCCGGCGCGGTCTCGGTGGGCAGCGCGGGCTGGAAGTCGGTCGTCGGTCGTTCGGTCGTCGCGCCGGGGCCGTTCTGGAGGGGAATGTGTGTGGAGGGGCGGTCTTGCGAGGAGGCCATGGTGTGTATGTAGATGGTGGAAGGTTGAGAGCGTCGGACTGCGAGACGAGCGAGTTTAAGTACCTGAGAGGACATAAAGCGGTGTCGGGAACTTGGAGTACTTATGACATCATAGTGGTATAGAGTGGCTAGGCGCCGGCAGTCCACGAGCGCCGGACAGCGCTGGCGCTTGCCAGTGTGTATCCATCTTGAACAACGACCACGACGACCACCGACTCGGGCCCGTCCTGCCACCTGGTTCCGATGCCAGACCGCTTGTTGCGGAAGAGACTCGTTACAGGATACTAAGACTGGGATTTATTACTGAACTTACTCGCAGGATGCGCGCGATGCAACAATGCAGTCGTAGCGCCTCCAAGTTGATTGACGCGGTGCGTTTTCCTCGTTATCGCCCAATGTAACTTGCTCTGTACTCACTACTTGATGCACGGTCTTTCCAGGCTGTACTGATTCTTGAGTCAACACTCGTGTCGCTCGTAATAACCGCGACATACCTTCGCCCAAATGCTGCTGCCATGTCCTTGCGAATGCGAGGTACTGGACCGGGTCGCGCGACACCCCTCGACTTCAAACCACGAAGGTACGTGAGTGCTTCCACGCTGTTCAACGTTCCCATAGGCCGGAGTTGAGGCGTGTGCGGTACCTTTGGCTGTCTGCTCGAGCGCGGACAGGAAAGGGCGCGCGATAGGCTAGTCGAATTTATGTCCCAGTTGGCAAGAAATCATGATTGTGAGGCCGAGGGAAGTACCTCACAGCCTGTAAGACTCACTACGGCGTGTTTACATTTGATTAAGATCCATCGGTACAAATACTGGATGTTTGTGCTTCTCGAAGGCGCCTACTGGGCGTCAGTAAGTTCCAGGGACCAGACGAGAGGGATATGCGACCGCGGGCCAGGCTACTGCGATGTCAGGCTCTTTATTTTCTTTGCTTCGTACGGTATATGTCCATCGGACGCGGTGTCCGACTCGAATATTCTCCCTTGACGGAGGTTTTCGTAAACACTACATCCAAATTCATTTGAGTAAGTCTGTTTAGGCCGCTTCATGCACAGACAGATTGACAGCCGTCCGAGTCGGGGCCGAGGCACTTCGTGTGAGGTCTTCTCGAATTGAGGACAACGTTGGGGACCGGAGCGCCGTGGGTATGAGAGGGTGTTGCGACTGCCGCTTTTGGGCAGGATATCTGGCCGGTACCAGGAATTGATGAGATGCGACGCCGTTCGGTTCAGCTGGACGTTGTCAAGACGCGGAGAGCGCGCAAGTAAGCAGTATGCAGATATTGAAAACAACGTCGTCGTAGTTTAGCTAATCGTACAATGCGCTTTCGCAAGCGATGGATTAGTAAGTAACCAGTAAAAGTTCATCTTTTTGGAAGACTCACCGAGTCCCAGCGGCCGACATGCTCACCCCACGGATGGACGGACGGACGGAGTGGCGTCCTACTGTGCCCTGCCTACCGAAAACCCTGCGCTCGCAGCGAGCGCGCGGTCCCCGTCATCGCTGTTGCCGCCCTGCTCTCCAAGCTCCAGCCCCTCACTCTCCACCGCAGGCGACATTTCCCGGCTCCCTACGTCCGACTCGGCGTCCGCCGCCTCTTGCCCCGCGTGCACGTCAACACCATCCGCCGCCATTGGTACGGAGAACAGGCTGTCCCTCCGCTGCACGCGCGCGAATATGCGCGGCGCAGGGCGGTCGTGCACACAAGGGACCACAAAGGCGCCATGCCCGTGCATGGGCGTCCACTCCGCATGCAGGACCTCGTCGTCGGACGCAGCGGCGGCTGTGGGCGTGGTCCGAGCGAGCGCAGCGTGCGCTACGGTTGCGTGCGTCGGGGGGATGACGACGTGGATGGAGTGTCTACGGGACGAGGGCTGGTCGGTGGTGGATGATGAAGGGGCAGGCATGATCGCTTGGGAGAGGACGACCGGGCTCTGTTGGAGCGAGGACATGGCGATCGGCATGTTGGTTGCAGGCGTAGATAGGATGGAGGCAGGCCTTGCTAAGAAGAGTGCTGATGGCGGGCGTAAATCGCTGTGAATCAATGTGGCTGGCGGCGGGGGTGTTGGCTGTCAAGGTGGTCGTCGTCGACGTCTGTACTTATAAGCGACGCAACGCACCGCTGCACCGCCAGGCCTATTGTGCGGTTCGGACGCACGAAGACTCGGGAACGCCAATCCCAGTCGCTCATAGGACATTTGACGGTCGAATTGCCGGGTGGTGTGGCCTGAAACACAACATAGTTGCCAAAGCGACGCTGCCGTTCGCGTCGCATGCTACATAACATCCGCGAGGCCCGCCCATGCACTCCAGGGAGTGTGGCGAGACGTGTAATGGACGTAAAATAGGCGTTTACGCACCTCACAGCAACTCGGAAGTGCTTCTACAGAAGCGTCTTACGGCTCGTTGAGTTTGATCGCGGAACGGCGACAGGTACGACGACCGCGGAATTTCCGCCTGGGGTCGATGAAGCGCGCTTGGGGGTCCCTCGAATGGAGAACAAGGATGCGCACGAAGACGCTGTGGAATCTGGATTGAAGAAAGTGCTACGGCTGCCGCTCCGGATCGCGATCCTGGGGGAAAGATCTTGATAGAACCAGTCATTGATGAGATGCGCCGCTGTTCGGGTCTCCCCGACTGGGATCCGATCGCTGTGAGTACACAAGGCTGGAGTGAGCAGGAGCAGGAGTCGAGTACGTACGACGGCTGGCTGAGACGAAATCTTACCGGTATATCTGTCGACGATGGGCTTCAAGGAGACGAACACAACGGCTGCGACGAAGCGTCACAACCGGAAGGAACACGACCGGCGCGCCCACGGGTCATGCCCTGGAGTACCTAGTACGTCAAGGAGCCACTGCAGCGCTGGTTTTACCGCGTACTGTCAGCTACCCCATGCTACCTGTCCCGTGGTCGGGGTGGCAACTTGAAGAGCGCGGCCGGGAGCCTGATGTCAAAGCCTGCCGGATTCACAGAAAGTGAGCGATGTTCCGTGAATCACTCGAGAATAAACTTCACCAAAGAGATAAGATACTTCTAATGCGGTTCCGCTGGGTCTACGACGTGTCCGTGGCTAGGGCCTAGTCTAGAGGTATCACTGTGCCACCGTCTGCGTTCCGAGTCGATACTACGGCTACCGTAAGACGTCTGCGCTTCCGCGCAGGACCGGCGAAAGTGTCAATGTCGGAGAGATGATGGAGTACTGAGAAGGTCGGCGTGAGTGTGTGGGGCCGGTATGAGATATGACATGGTAGTGGTAAGTGATCAACGTTGTGTACGATCGTTCAACCTGTCCAACGCCAGCGCTTGGCGCTTACTACTAGCCGCGTCGGACAGCCACCGAACTCAGAGTCCTTGATACCCTCCCCTTCTCTTTCTCCCAGAAACATTGATATATCTGTTTATGACTACTTATGCCCCATGTCTTGGAAATATTTCAAGTCTAAATGGTAATCGATAGGGTATAAATGATACATATGTGTATGGCAGTTGTAGAAGTGATACAGAGAGAATAAGTTAGGATGGGTATGTGGAAGTGACAGGGATAGTATGTGTTAGGATAGACATGTGGGGGTATTTATGATATGTAGAGTAAGTTAGACGTTTCATCATCCGCCGAGAGCAAGTCCGACAGAATTCCAAGAAGCATATCCAAGAAGCGGCGAGGAGAGGCGCGCGGGGACGCGCCTCGTCCACCAAAGACCCCGCGTTCTAGTTCTCCTGGCTCGCAGCTTGTTCATCGCCGCCAGGCGCCTCGTGCTCCTCGCTCTCCCCCATAGGCGCCATCGTCAGACCGCCAGCCCCGGCGCCTGTCGAATGCGGGCTCGCACCCACGCCTGCCTCCTCGTCCTCCGTGTTCGAGGCGGAGAACAGGCTGCTCCGTCGCCTCGTGCGCGTGGGCGCGCGCGACTGCGTTGGGGTAGCAGGGGAGCCATGCGGAGAGACGACTGCAAAGTCGCCGTGCCCGTGTGTGAAGGTCTCCGTATTCAGGACCTCGTCGGACGAAGTGGCGATGAGCCCGTGCCCGTGGATGAACGTCAAGGCGCGTATGGGCGTGGCGAGCGCTGTCACCTGCGCGGAGGGGATGACGACGTTGATAGTGCGCGAACGGGATGGAGGAGTGCGCGCTGAGGGCGTGGACGGGACGGCGTCGCCTGATTGGGGGGCAGACGCCGAGCCTTGGGTGAGTGTGGAGATAGTGGACATGTTCGGTCTGGGTGTGGATGGAGCGGAGGATGTCTGTGAGTGGGTATGAGCCGTTGTGAATGTGGCTGGATGTAGAGATAGTGAATGAGGTCGGGGCTGCAGAAATTCGTACTTATACGCGTCGCCGTGATGGCGTCCCGCAAGGTTCGTTGAGTGGTACTTTGACTACGGGCAGTATCAGACAACGGTTGTACACAGCATCAAGCAAAAGCACCCACAGCTTCCATAGGGCCTTGACAGACCTTGCGCCGGCACCGCTGCTTGAAACATCCCGACATGACGAACACGAAGTCACCGTCCCCATAGGAGAAGTCCAGCAACCCAGTTGCGCTTTGCGATCTGTTCCCTGCCTATACTTGGAACTCGGTGAGCGCATGTGAGCGTTGAACGCGCCACCAAATGTTCGTGAGCATATGGTGCACTGCTGATATGTCACTGTTGCAGATGGACGCCCGTATCCCTCTGCAGTGCTTGAAGTGATTTGCACGGCCAGGCAGATGTGGCACTTACAGTTCATCGAAATCAGCTATAGGTCGGTGTGTGCTGTGTATCGCTTTTCTGGATCGCGGGTGCGCGTGTGTATCTGCTGCCGGCATGACATCTTCATCTTGTGCGAACAACAGAGACATGTGCGGAAGAGGTGTGTATAATGCCGGTGGGGGCACTGGACGGCACCTTTCCTTGGCGCATTCCCGCGTTCCCGGAGTATAGTGCCTTGCATGGCGTGAAACGAGGGACATACCTTAATACAGCGCAATAGCTCTATGACAGTGCCGCCCGAGTCGGTCGGAGTTGTATAGCAAAATCCCGGCGTGACGACCGGAAGGCTTCTATCGTCGTCGTCGGTACCACTCGGAAGGCATGTCGACGCTCTAGATGCAGTATGGTTACGCGCTCTCGCTCGATACCTGTTAAGCTGTTCATCAAACAGGTCGCCCCGCGATCGTAGCAAGAGCAGGTGTGAACTTACGCATGGTGCGCTAGAGTAACGGAGCGTCGAATATGCCGATGCAACCGTAGAGGACCGCCCGAGGTTGAGTTCAGTTACTGTCAACGATATGGGCGGCGTTGTTGACCACGCAACCGGCAGACAGGGGTAGAAACTGAGTTTCCTACGGCTAATCGAGGTGAGCCGTCCCGGCCGTTATCAGAGCCGTTACAGTTCGTCCCATGCCACTGGAACACGTTCAGCCCTATGCGAACCGGATGATAGGCAGTGCACGTAGTCCCGAGCGGGCGCGGCGGAGCACTCACTATCCACGGAATCGTCGATGAGTCCGCACATCTCCTACAACTGAACGAGCGAAGAGTAAACTGCCATGGATGACAGGTCAGAATTAAGTACAGGAGAGGCAGCGTATGCCGATTACAAAGGCTCACTCTGAATAACTCGCGGCGGCGCGATAGGCCTTTGGCCATAGACGTGATGTCACCGCACCTGCAAGTTACGGTAAAGACCCAAGTTGTTACTAGGGTTTACTATCCTGATTTGTTGAGATTTAATGCTTGTATGTAGCGGCGTAGTCGTCCATCTCTGGTCAGTTCCAAATCCGTACTCGCGAAGCATAGTCAAAGAGAGTCGTGCCGGCGACGGCAATATGAAAGAGCTATGCGATAAGATGAGGGCAATCCCATTAAATTTAACATAAGCTCCTCTGAGAGGTCACGTACTTACACTATGTCGATTTGGCATCCTGATGGGTAGTTTCTGACTCTATTGCAGGCGGCCAGACTTGCCAGCAGTGTCCCAGCGAAGCGGCGCCTGTAAGTTGGCAGTACTCAATTTCCAGAGATCTGTACACAGAACGTGTTCAAGTGCGTGATATTTCACGATGATAGAAGCGAGCGAGCGAGTCAGCCAGGCAGCCAACATAGAGTGAGAGACAGAGCGACGAGAGTTCGGAAGTGGGAGTCTGGGACTCCGCGAACACTCGGTGTTCCTCCGGCATTTGCCGAGGCGTTCAGTAGACTCACGGCAAACACCGCAGGATATCATGGCCCCAGAATGACTTTAAGATCGTGAAGCAAACTATCACTGTCACTAATCCTTTGTCCCCGTACAAAGAGATTTTTGACAGTTATCATTTGCTTCAAGTTCCTGGGCCTATCTGAAGCCCTGATATCCTGGGATGTTTGCCGTGACTGCGCATTTGAGTCTCTTCCTCCTCTCACACTCACATATTCACTCCGAGTCGGGTTCTCTACTCTGTTGTATCACGATACCACAACAGCGTAAACCTCTACCCGAGGCCCTTCATTCTATGGGTGGCACCCATACGACTAGGGTAGCTATAATCGACATAGAGCGCCCGTTCGGAGGTTGTCAAAGTTATCACCATCGAATCGGCTTACACCCTCTGATCTCAAACTATCGACACGCTTCATGGGACACTTGTCGACTCTATATCGTTCAAGAATGTCCAAGGCATACACTTCAGAAATCGCCGTGAAGAAACGGATACAGCCTCTATAAGACGCTCACTAGTGCGTTGCAGAGCGCGTGGTTTCGGAGTTCGGACTGATCCTCATGTTCGCAGGTTACACACGCACGGACCACCTTCGGTTCTGAGAGACCAACGATCCGTACATGTTGATTACGAACTCCCAACACCGTCTCGGATTGCAGCTACTAGTAAGTATCCGGGCCGTCATGAGAAGACGAATATAACACTCACCCAGACTGAACCTAGAGACTGAGAGAACATGGCAGCTCATGACGTCCTCTCGTCGCCCAAGATTGCATCAGCAGTGCTCGGGCATCTCTCCCCAGGGCCGTTGACCAAGGATAGCGATAACGCGATGGGTTTGCTTACCGTGAAGCAGCGCCGCGAGAATCAAGCCGCACTGGCCCAGCTGGCGACCGTATGCCGTGCGGTCTCAAGTCTCGCTCTCGACGTACTGTGGCGATACATCGACGACTTCCACCATGTCCTGTTTGCTCTCCGACCCTATGACAAGAAAAACCACGTCAGTGTCCGCGATTCTGGTCTACTTATAGGCTAACGATCTTGTACTTTAGATGTTTGTAGCCGACTTCACGGATACGGACTGGGCACGTTTCCAAGAGTACGCGCTGCGCGTGCGCGAACTGCACGTCGGAAAGCTCGAGCGTTTCCCCGCGATGGTGTGGGTCCTATTGACACGGTGGTGTCCTCGGGACCCTCTCTTGCCTCGCCTCGAGCGTCTAACCGGATTCGAAATCAACACATCGAGCGTGTGCTGCACTACTCTGTTTTCGGCATCCATGAAGAGTCTTAATCTAAAGGTGTACTTCCCGGCCGAAGATAACGCCGTCCGGATGACGATTCAAGCTGCGCAGCCAGCGCTCGGTTCCGTCACTCACCTCACCATCGAGGACATGCCCGCTGCAGCCGTGGGCAAGGAACAAGCCATTCCGTTTTGGAATTTGACTCAGCTGCACACTCTGCATGTAGTGCACAAGACGGTGCTCACTATTCCGATTCTGCAATCACTTGCCTCGTTTACCCGACTTCGGACACTTCAATTGCACATCAACAGGATGCCGGAGATACACCAACCCGTGGCCAACACGGGTTTCCTCAGTCTCCGCGACCTCACACTTTCTGGACGTCTTGGCGATATCTGCGCGTTCATAGCCGCCACCGCACGACCCAACATCGAGTCTCTTACGATTGACGCGTCCGAGCTGTGCGTTTCCGAACAGTCTCGCGACGAACCCCATACGCAATCTGGTCACTCTACGGTTCGCAGTCTCGAGCCCATCTACGCGAAGCTCACACCTTCCCTCCGCCACTTCCGCGCCACGCTTCGCTGCACTTGTTCATCCAAATACCACTTCCCAGACAGCAACAAGCTTCTGGCGCCATTGCGTACCCTCTCCAGCCTCCGGAATATCGCGTTTGAATTTGAGGGCATGAAGTTCCACCTTGCCGATGCCAGTATCGTGGCGCTTCAGGATGCGTGGCCCGACCTCGTTCAATTCGACATCGCGACAAAACAGCCCAAGCCCAAGAAGCCTGATCCGTATCGGATGCCTCAGTCTATCATTGTCAGTACCGTTGAGGTACACTCCGACGGCTCATACTATCGGGAGCCAGCTCGACCGCAAGTCCCCAAAAACACGCACGACCACCCCACTGTCAAAACGCTCGCCCTATTCGCCCAGGCGCACCCGCACCTCACGACGTTGGGCATGCCGTCGGTCGATCTCGACGCGCTCCCAGCGCTTGATTCGGTGCTCCTCCTCGACCACGGGCTACAACATCTGCGCATCTACACGCTCGACGGCGGCGTCGCGCTGTTCCCGTATGCGTGCGCGCTCGACATGCTCTTCCCGCGCCTCGACCTCGCCGATGCCGCACGCGCGGTCATAACAGACAATGGCAGTCGGAGTACCGAGCTCCAGCTGCTCCTCCTGGGGCTGCAGGCCGGGCGCGTGGGCACCTATCGTATGCGTGCTGAACAGACGCGCGCATCCTCGGGGCCCGGAAGTTCACTTGAGATCCAACTCATACCCCAGGGCAGGTACCCAGAGCCGACCCAGAATACACGCAGGGAGCCGATCTATCCGTACTCTCCCTCCCCTCGGACATCGCCCTCGCTGAGCGCGAGGAGTAGTCCCAACGCGTATGAGGGACCGGCACCGACTGTCATCGTTCCATCGATATCGCTGGGTCCGGGTCGTTACTAGATCTCTTCTCCCTTTCCCCGGGCTACCAGACTGAGTCCCAAGGTTGGCTACAGCATGCCAACGGTAATCGTACGACATACTCCGGAAGCTGATCCATGCACTCCGGACGCCTCCGAGTTTGAAGACATTGCTCTAGGGTACAGCGCCCCCGCTCTTTACTTCTACCGCCCACCATCCATCTTGTATCGACCGCTTTCCCTCCATGTCTGCATATTTCCGTGCATGATTATGAGTATCCATCTTTTGGCTCCTTGCCAATACACTGTTATGATGGGCTTGCATATGTCGGCGCTCCTACCCTGGCGGCAAAGTGCTTGCACCCAGCGTACGGAACAGTACAGTGCGATTTGAGACAATGACAATGATTGTATAGGATTGTGTAGAGCCGGGTATAGTTAAGTCATGTGTACATAGGAAGGGAGATAAAGATAGAATAAATCAAACAACCTGACGTCGACCGAGAACGATTTTCAGTAACCCTTCAAGCAGTGGTGCACGCTTCATGCGGCACCGAGCAGAGGCGCGTTCGTGTGTGCCTCGTCCACCAAAGACCCCTCGCTAGAGCCCTCCGCGCCCACAGCGCGCTCGTCCTCGTGCTGGTCTTCAAGTCCGTCTTCATCGCCGTGGAGCCCATTGTGCTCGTGCTCCTCGCCCTCCTCATCCATGGGCGACATCGTCAAGCCCCCTGCACCAGGACCTGTCGCCGAAGCGCTAGCGTCCGCATCCTCGTCGTTCATGCTCGATGCGGAGAACAAGCTACTCCTCCGCCTCGTGCGCGCGGACATGCGCGGCTGCGTCGGTGTCGTCGGGGAGTCACGGCGGTACGAGGATGAGGAAGGGACCACGAAATCCCCATGACCATGAGTGGGCGTCTCGAGGATGCTGAAGAACCCGCCAGGCGACGACGCGGCTGAGCTCAAGGGATTCCCGTGGATGGGCGTAGTGGTGGGTGTGGCGACGCGCGCCGTAGATTGCGTTTGGGGGATGACGACGTGGATCCCGTGCGTGCGGATCAAGGATGCGCTCGAGGTGGATGAAGAGGGGTCCGGGTTATTGGTCTGGGGGGAAGAGGCCGAACGCTGAGCGAGTGCAGAGATAGTCGACATGGCGGGTGTGGGTGTCGATAAGATTGAAGAAGGCTGGTAGTAGGTGTGCGTCGCTGTGAATGCGCTGAGGGTAGAGATGCTGAGTGAAGTTGGCCGTTGTCGAGATTCGTACTTATACGCGACGCGGCGCGCCGTGAAGCCTGCTAAGGAATCCAAACACCCAAAACATCAATGAGGGCCCGGCACCGCTTCTCGTAGGACTTTTCACGGATCTCACGCCGAGCACTGCTCGACTCTGTCTGAAACGCGCCAACATGACGAACACGAACCACCGTTCGCATCCACTGACGGAGCCCATAGCCCAGGCGAAGCCCGCGTGGTGCGGACGCCTTCCCGCCCTGTTCTACGCCCAAAATCAGAGTTCGGGAGCAGACATCAGCGTTAGATACGCCGTTAGGGTTCGTGGATAGATGGCGCACTGCCGATATGTCATGCTCGCAGATGGACGCCTATAGCCTTCTCCATTGCGGGGGGCAATCTGCACCGCCAGGCAATCAGAGGGCGTTTGCATGCGAGCCGCCGAGACGATGTTCTTGTTTTGACCGAGTCACGACAGGAGGCAGGATAGAAGTGTGAGACGCAAACGCCGGCGGGAGACCGGGCGACTCCTCCCCTTAGCCCTCTGGGTTCCCTCGGTGCACTGTCATACACGTCACACACGTAAAGTCAAGGACGTACCTTGCAGTGCAATGTCCCCGCGATTGTACCTTCGGGTTATTTGAGTTTCACTGAGCAACACCGGCACCAATGCTGGACGCCCGTACGGGAGCGACGAAGCTCGGAAGTCGGCACTGGCCGGGGAGCAACCTTGACAGCCGGCGTATGTTATGGTGCACCGCGCTCGACCTATGCTCATAGGCGTTAGCATGAAGATAGCGCATAAGGATCTACGAGGCTATCAAGCCCGAAGAATGAGTCATAGACACCAGAATGGACAAGAGGAGACTCGGTATGTCCCATTCATGATGCCTTCGACCACGGAGCGCAGAGCTGGTCGCGTAGCCTGGCGGGCAGGTAGGGAGGTACTGGGTCGTAGGTGACCCGTAAAGGCGAGTGCGTCCCAGTACTTGCACTGCAACACTTGGTTGACTCAATTGAGCTCTGTTCCATCTTGACCGCACTACACACTCGTGTCCCCAGTGAATGCGGTGTCCATGGACTCGTCTGTCAGCTGGAGCATCTTCTATCCGTGATAATCATATCATATATGATTCAATCCTGAATGAATGTCAGCTAGAGCCCTGTACAACATGCAAGTTCTGATATACCCGAAAACTCACGCATGAAAGCTTGACGGTTCGCGGTAGTGCGATTGGCTACCGATCACAGCGGCGTAGCTACATTGCCTACAGGCTCTGGTGCCGGAGAGGCTTCGCCAGAGGGGGTCATCATACGCGTTCTTCTCTTTGCCGGTTGGCGGGCAGCATGGCGTAGTCGCTGAACTTCATCGTCGATTCCCGTTTCGTCCGCGCGATATGCAGTCGAACTTCGTGGCACGAAAGATCGCGGAGTATGGGTCGTTCGAGCGGCTAGTCCAAGTAAGGCCGCCTGAGTAAGGAACACAGTGCTATTTTGACTTTCTTGTAAAGTAGCGTCGTGGTAGGAAGACAACCGGATGGGAAATTAGCTCGCGCACGCTACTCAACGCCTCGGTAACTGCCGGCAGTCAAGCGCTGGCTTCATTCGAATGCCGCGGTCCACCGACATGCCATCCATAATATTTACGTTCAAACGCATGCGTTGCGGACTAGGGATTGTGAAAATTAGGTAGACACCGTGACACATGGTGTGATTTTAAATAAGGTACCAATAGAGTAACTTGAACAAAACTGCCAGGACCGAGCGACGAGAACTTGAACACAGCATGTCACGCTCAACTGAACCCATCTCCGGCCAACGCACCACCGCTCCGCACCTTCTCACTCTCCAGAAATGCGTCTCTATGCCACCCCCGGGTGAGGGGCGTCCGAGTCGTCCGATTCTTCGGCTATAGACCCCGCTGGGGAACGTTCCTCGCCCGCGGAATGCTTGTCCTCATCCGAGACGTCCTCGGTCTCCTCCATAGGGGGCGTCAACTGTCCGGAAATGGCGACGGTACCAGCGCGGCGAGGGAGTGTACGGAGGTGGGCGTGCGCTTGGACACCGGCGGCGTTCGTAACAGTGGAAAGGGTGCTCCGCCGCGCCCCAGGGGCGCGCCTGGGTACGGACGGGAGCACGAACGCCGATATCCCGTCTCCGTGGCCATGGTAGGGCGTGCAATGCTCGCTGCCATCGACATCCCTCCAGCAGTGCATGGCCCGGCCCGCGTCGTCAGATGCAATGGAAACAAGGGACTGTCCGTGGCCGCCCGTGACGGGCTTCATGATGTGTGTCTGTGCGGAAGGGATGACGATGTGGATGTCGCCCACGCAGACGGAGTGACGGCGACGCGGGGTGGATAGGGGGTGGAGGGCGGGAATGGCGGCGGTGGGTGCCTTCGAGTCGGAGTGAACGAGCATGGTGGTAGTCGACATTATTGGGGGGAGTGAGAGCGCGGTAGAGGCGAAATGGCCGATTAATGCGTGGGCTGCCGGTGAATGGGTGGTAGAGTAGTGAGGTAGAGATGCTCCTCCACCGTCGTACTTATACTCAACAACGCGCGCCTTCGAGCTCCTGCTCGAGTTTGCAGACTTTGATTACAGCAGATGGCGTCAAGGCCAGCCCTGGCTTCTCCTGCGATGTGTGTCGGACCTAACACCGGCCGCTAGTTCTATCTGAACTACAAATCAACCAAGCCAGAAGGCTGCCGTTCGCATGGGTCGAGTTTGGCATTGAGTCTACTTAATAGGCGGAAGCGTGCTCGCTCACTCCTGCATAGTCAAAGTGACAGATATTCCAAATTCGAAATGCGCGGGAGGACAGCGTACCGGTGAGAGGATGGCGCGACGTCACTCCCGTAGATGCCGGCGCCCGTATTCGCCTCCGATAATGTAACGCCTTCGACCTGCAACGTAGTCTAGTATGGATCCGCACATATTCAAATAAGCCGCTTTTACGGACAAAATGGTGGCACGTACCTCACTCGTATTTCGGTAATAACGCTGTGCATAGCGGACATGCGCCGTAACGCCGTCCAATGAGCCCGTATAACTGGAGTCGTGTGCGCGTACGTAAGACTGCGGTGAAGCCAGGCTCTTGTCTACTCAGATGCGAGTGACCGCCGAAGGATGGACTCCCTTGTTCGCTATGTCACGCCGTGCCAAGGAAGTATCTCAGACTGAGTTACGTCGCGGTTGGCGACATGCACGGCGCTGTGGGGCGTGAAGTGCATGGTGAGTCGCCTAGTATCAAACTGCTTGCCGTTTACAGACCGGGTCGTTCGTAGCCGGTGACAGCAAGCCGTGTAGATAATGGCGTTTTAACCGTCGAAATCCGTCGTGGGCACCCCGTAAACGAGCACAGTACGAGCTGAACGGCTACTGCACGCAGTCGCTAGCTTGTCGGAGCACAGTGACTGCCATCTGCGTCATCCGAGGTTGATTGGCGCATCTGCTGTCCATAAGTGATGTGTTTGCGGTGAAGCTGTGGCAGAAAGATTTATATGTCTGGAATAGCTGGCTAGGTGACAAATGCTAAGGACTTACTTCAAGTTCTTGTAGCCCGCCTCGCAGGCTCTGGTGAGGCCCTGTCACTATGATTCGCCCCCTACCCTAAGACATGGAGCCTGGCTGGTGTCAGCGTCTATCATAGGGTAGGCACTTGCGACCAACTTCTTCTCCGGCGCGAAGCGCCGCTTGATGCCCCCCCGCGACATGACCCAGACCTGCGCCTCTCATCCGGAACCAGATCCTGCTGTCCGAGATGGTGACCGCTGGACAGATACACAGTAGTATTTCGGTCTTATCTGAACTGTAGCGTCGTGGTAGGAAGCAAGTTGCGAGGGTCGGATGACGTACGAAATTCAGCTCGCGCTAATACTGAACGCTTCGGCAAACGCCGGTATATAAGTGCTTGTCAGCTTCAAGAACGAAATCTGACATATTAGTGTATATTAATGGCGAAGCTCCTACGCTGGACCCCATTTGACCTCAGGACTTCTATGAGGTACAGAATGTCAACGTTTGAATAGTGATCCATCTCCACTGATTCGCCGCAGCCGCCGCCTGCACATGGTCCCTCGGTGCATCTCTACGCCAAGTCAAGCGGAGGAACGTCCTCGTCCTCGTCGTCGGTTGCAGTCTCCACCGGCGAGCCCTCCTCACCCGCGACATGCTCCTGCTCAGGCTCTTCCGGCTCAGGCTCCTCCGGATCCTCCTCGTTCTCCTCCAAGGGCGTCATCACCCCCGCGGCGGCGATAGTCTCAGCTCGGCGAGCCGGGGCAGATACGTGCGCGTCAGCGGCGCCTGTGACGGTGGACAGGGTCTTCCCCCGGGCTAGCGTCCGCACACGCGACGGAGTCGCGAGGAGGTGAAGTGCAGACGGGACCTTGAACAGGGCGTGTCCGTGGCCCGGCGTCCACTCTGCGTTAATACCCACAAAGGTGCCCGTGCGAGCGGGCCGGGGGACGGTGGTGCTCCCGGGGGTGGAGTTGGAGGTAGACGAAGCGAGGCGCGAGAGGGTTTGCGCGGAGGGGATGACGGCGCGGATTCCGCCTGCAGAGATGGTCTCGTGGCTGTGATCGTCATCCGAGGTGGGCGTGGAGCGGAGCCTGGGGGTAACAGCAGTCGACGCCGGGGAGTGAGCGGGCATGGTGATGGTCCGAGTCGACATCGTTGTGTGGGATGCGGATGAGTTGGTGAGAGGGTTTTTTGTCGACTAGGCCGATAGGTATGAGTATTTTGTGAGTCGTTTGAAAGGCGACCGGGGGAGGTAGTGAGGGGGCGAGTGAGTGAGATGGCAAGTTTGGCAGCAATCCACTACTTATACACAACGCGGCGGCGCGCGCCCGCAGCACCAGTGTGAAGTCTATAATTCTGATTGCAGCCGGGGCCGTCAGTAATGATGTACATCGCCAGCCACAACGTCAAGTGTCATAGATATGCGCGGCGGCCATGACGCCGACAACTGAGTACTGATGTCCTAATCACAGATAAATGGCCAAGTATACTCCACCACTCGCATCGCATCTAGCAGCGGCGGGGGAGAGTAGATCCGCTCGCTCCCCAACCCGCCAGATCTGCCAAAGTGGAGAAGACCACCGACTCGCAGTCTTGCATTATGTAAGAACGACGCACCGGTGAAGTGGATGGCCCTAATCTATCACATTGTGCGGACGCGCCGGTAGTCACCTTGCTTGCAGCTCTCTCAGCCTTGGACAGGAACCCAGGTGCGTACACGCGCGCGCTGGAATCCCCGCTCACAGTCAACGAGCTGCGATGACATCCCAGAAATTGACAGGCCTAAGACGCTAGACTCCGTTCGATACAACCGACGGCCTGAGGCTGGGAATTGGTCAACCACGGTGCGGAATGGGATATGTGCAGAACGAGAGACGTACCCGTCGTAAGTCAAGTGGCCCCGCGGAGGTCCCTCCGGCTTTTTTAAGGTTGGCCGCGGAACCCCGACACCACACCGGACTGCCGCCGTCCGGGTCCAAATCATGAAACTGGCGTGGATGCTTCTCAATAGCGTGTCCAAATGGAGAGAAGCGTATGCCTCAACGGCTCTGTAAACGTGCACGATAAATTACGACTTCCTCCCTGATCAGTACATGATTTGAACCGAAGCGGTGATATTACTGACGCACGGGTGGGGTTGCATGCACCGATGCGAACGGGACGGCCCAGCTACAGTGGCGAATATTAAGTTTTTGAGAGCGTATAGCCCACGTACAACCGCAGGGCCGCTAGTTGAAAGACGAGGAGAAGGTGCTGAGCCTCGCCACCCGCACCACATCCCCGCCCCACAACATCGATGGGTGTTGAGAGCTCATTCAAAAATGATGTTGCTCTGAGGTCTTCTGAAATGAATGAAGCTGAGTATCTTAGTGGGTATCTTCGGCTGAAGAAGCGTTATATCGCGAACAGATGGAAAAGATTGGCAAGAAGAGAGTGACCGCAGCGCCAATGAATTTACCGCCGTGATACTGAACGCCGCGGCTAACGCCGAACAAGTGTTAGACGCGCAGTCAGGGTTCATGCATTCATGCACGGATGGCGCACCGCAGACATGTCATGTTCGCAGATAAACGCCACTATAAAGAGCAATCTTGCTGCACCGCCAGGTAATTAGAGGGGGTCTGCGTGCGAGCCACCAAGACGGCATTCTTATTTTGACCGAGTCTCAGCGGGAGTCCGCAGAGAAGTTTGAGACGCGAACCCGGGCGGTAGACCGGGCGACCCCTGCCCTTGGTGCGTCACTGGGTTCTAAGTAAAATGTCAGATGCGTGAATTGAGCGACGTGCCTCGCAATGCCATGGCTCCGCGACCGTACATTCGGTCTATGTAAGGTTCGCCGAGGTACACCGGCACCAAAGCCAGACACCAGAGCGTGAGCGACGAAGCTCCGAAGGCGGCACTGGCCGGAGAACAGCATTTACGACGGGTGTACGTTATGGTGAACCGCGCTCACTCTATGTTCATCGGGGTTAGCTGGAGTATACGACGGGGGTTCATGCGAGGACGGCACGCTACCGCCATACCAATTGTGAAGATGAATTCTTAGGCTCCTGTTGTACCGCGAGGAGGAGTGCACTGCCAAGCAGTTGCTATTGACCTTCGGTACCGCGCGGCACTTTTCTCGCACAAGTCGTGCGAGGTTTCAAGTGGTTTAGGACGTAACCTATGTATAACCGCCGGTGGGAAGTTGTGCAGGTCCGACGCCTGACGCGGACCTACGATGTGCTGCAACAAGGTCCGAGTCCAAACCACGTAAATTGAAGTGAACAGCTTACCTCCCGTGATACTAGCTCCGCGACAATGCCTCCGGGCTGTGTGAGTTAACGTTTGGGCGAGGAACCCGGGCACAGACACCGAAGGCACAGCTGGAGCCACGCGCTGCTTCCCGTCGCTCGGTGGTACCCGGACGCCAACACGCTCTGCACGGGGGTGGGATAGAGCCCGCTCGGCCGATGCCAGTGCACGGCAGATTCCTGCCGCTGCACGCTCGATGCACGCCCGTCCCTGCAAGCTACATTAGGTTGACTCGGACGTGGTACGTGCGGTAAAGGCGAGAACTTACGATAGCGTCAGAGGCCTGAAAATCGGCGCATGTGCTGGGTTCACCGCTGCGGCAGCAGACTACGGGTATGTGTCGAGGGCGCCGATGTCTGCTGTTGCATGTTGGCGTCATGAGCCGCGAGAGGATGCCGATGACCTGTTTCCCGGTAGATGGTGGCATGATTGGTATGACTCGTTCAACGCTCTTCTCGTAGCCAGCAAAAGCGAGCTCAATACGACATGCGCGCTCACCCGAACATGTAGACGAACATAGTCTCCGAGCCAGGGAAAACCACTCAGGGCCCCATTCGCCAGGTGCCATTGGCGGTCATAACGGACGCAATGATACTACATAGGAGGTTTGAGCACAGAGTCGTCGGCCCGAAGCTGCAAGTCCAGGACAGTCAGCACATAGTATACTTAGCAGCACCCTGTACGATACTAGGCTCACCGTACTCGTGTGAGCTGCTCAGTGGGCGTCGGCTCTCGGCTCTGCCCTGACGCCCCTGTCGACGTCGGCGGAGTAAACCGCTGGACGCGAAGAGCGGCGTTGTGGCCAATTCCCGATCAGGCATGTCAGGACCCCATCCGCCCGGTGCTTGGCGAGTCGTAGCACGCGGGGCCGGCGGCAAGTCTCAGTACGATATCTACCCTGCGTGCCTGTCTTGCGAACGTCCATGGAATTAAGAACGAAGAGAACGACGCGGTCGAGAATTCCACGATCGTGCAGGAACGACGTCGCGTTCTCCGGGACCGCCGCTCCCGGTCGGTTGGCGCGCGGTCCCGAGACGTGCCACGATCGCGACGCACGCTCCCGCGAGTGCGTACCTGCGTGCTGATTGGGAGCACGGCGGCGCGGTGGGTCTCCGTGGATCCCGGAGGCAGTCGTTCGCGAATAGTTCTGTGAAAGTAGGTATCAGCGTCGTATCAGGGAGAAATAAGACACGGCCTTTAGTGGAAGGAGTACCAGTCGATGGAATTCGCGGGCGACGACGTGGCTTTAACTTGCCAGCTGCGCAGACGATCGCGCACCGTGATTTCGCCGAGGGAAATCTGGGGTTGGAGAACAGATATAAGTCGGCGTCGATCTGGTGTTGACAATTTGAAGTGTGTATCTATCACGTCTGCGCGTCGCGTATCTCACTGTGGATCGTAAGATCATCTTTGGGCACTTTGTTCTGGACACCACGATAGTATGAGCATATACACGCCGCACACCAAACACGACGCGAGGAGGATATCTGACGCGTCGAATCGCGCGTGGAGCAGTTGTTTGTTTGGATTGTATCAAGACTATGACATGCGGCCGGGCACATGAGGGGATGCGAGAGGATGCGAGGTGGGCATAAGGTTATAGACAGCAAAGCAAGATCCGTGCAGTGTCCGTGCGAGAGGACAGCATGACGAGGGTGAGAGACGATGGTAACGATGATGGCGGTGGTGGTGATGGCGGGGAGAGACAAGGTGAGCAGGAGGCCCCGGGCCTCGACAAGACCAAGCGGGAGGGGGTAAGCAAGCAGCGAGAAGCATGTACAACGAAGGGCGACGAGAGCGAGGGGTAGAGTGGAGGCGATGGGTGTTGGAACGCGCAACGTGGAAAGTGAGGATCACAGCTATGGAGACGAGTTCTGCGGGAGAACGGCCATGCTCTTCCGCCGGAACTTCTTCGTGAGGTCCTTCGCCTTCGCCACCCACCCCGCCGCCGATAGCCTTCGCTCCTGGCTCGCCGGTGCCCCCGCGCCCTCCCCCGGCGCCGCCGTCCCCGGCATGCTCACCGTCGAGCGCCGCGACCGCAGCCCGTCCGCCTGCGCCGCATACACAAACGCCGTGCCGTTCGGCGTGTGCGGCGCGTCCAGCGAGTCCTCCTCCCCGTGCTCCGCCTCCGTCGTCGCCTCCTCGACCGACACCCCGATGAGCAGCCCGCTCGGCGTCGCGAGGATGTCGCGCGAGCGCGTGCGGGAGCGCGAGAGCCGGCGCGCGATGAGGCCGCCCATCGCCTTCCCGAGGCTGACGCGGCCCGCGATCGTCTCCATCTGCGTGACCTGCTCCTCGTCGCGCACGTCGTCCTGGCCGTCGTGCGAGGACGCGAAGGAGTCTGCGCTGCCCGCGTACTTTTGTGCCTGGTAGAACGCGCCGGTCTTGCCTGCGTTGATGATCACGGAGTTTGTGCGCGAGGGCAGTGCGCTGGGGGCCTCTGCGGTCTGTGTCGAGAGGTCCGTTGCCTGTGGGGGATACTGGCGTTAGAGCTGTTCGCTACGCATACATTGAAGATATTCGAGATGCCGACTTTGGAAGAGGTGTGTATGGACGCGTGCCTGGGGCTGTCAACGCGTCCGAATAGTGGCACCGGTACCGCGCGTCACCCCGAACGCGACGGAGGCGCGCGACAGCCATCAGGCGTTGCATGTGCTGCTGGCCAGCCACTGCGGTGCCTGGCGCAATGACAAGGAGACCCAGAACGAGGCACAGCAGATATCCCCACTCTTGCGCCGGTCAACACTTCAGGCACAGATGAACAGCGGGCTTGTCTATGAACTATGCACAGCGATAGACAGCGATGCCTCCAGCTCAAGTCGGAGAACACCCCATTTCTTGCACGAGCTGTTTTGGGGGACACGTCGATGAAACATGTATCGCAGAGGGATGGAGTGACCATGGCTGCACGAGCGGCTGTGGCAAGACGCCGTCGTCGACGTACGGGTAGGGCGTCCAACGCCCGCACGTCGCAGGCGTAGCTAAAGTGGGCAGCGGCCGTGACCAGCAGGACGAGGCCAGGGTAACAAAGCGCACCGTGCGCCTGGATATCTTCACCACCAGCAGTCTCGCCCGCCGAACATGTCCAGCGGAATACTTCGCCAGAGGGCCTGGCTTTCTGAGCCTCGCGCCACGCGTCATGTACGCGGACGACTTTCGTGGGGTACTCTACGCGCGTGGCGCGACTATGTCATAGCGAGGGAGGTGTGAAGCTCCAGCTGGGCGGCCGTACCTCCAACTACGGCACAGAGAGCTCATAGTAGGAATACACGGCCGTTTCGACGCGAGGGAGGCCGAGCAGAATGAAGACGAGGACGACACACACCTGACCGAACCGCGACACGGATATGCTCCCTCGTCTCCGGTCTCTCACGATGGAGACCATGGTGGGTGCGGCTGGCGGGATGGGTGACGCGACGCGGTCGTGCACGCTCTGTGGCGGGTCGGCGAGCTCGGGGCTCTCCTGCGCGCGTCGCTCGTTCTCCTCTTCGACCTTTGCGAAGATCTGGGTGGGGTCGCGTGTCACTGGGCGTGTACTTGGCGACGTGGCGTACGGCCGTACCTGCTCGATGAAGTCCGTGCGGGGGTCGAGGAGCGTCGGTGTGGCGCTCAGGCTGGGTTCTACTGCGGTCATGGTGACGGTAGGTGGCTGGTGGGCGACGGTCGCGGGCGTGACGGTCGATGTTCGGTGGTGGGTGATGCGTTCGGGGAGCAACGGTGGAGGAGGAAATCAAGAGAGGGCGAGGAAGAGAAGGGCGTGAGAGGTCATGTTGTTATAAACGGATGATTGATGTTCTCGAAGCGGGGGAAGCAGCATCAAGCGGCCAGACCGCTGCCCTGTAAGATCCAAGAAGAACGAGCAGAAGAGACGTCCCCCCGTCCACCGCCACGCGAGCATCGCCGCCCCCCGCCTCCGCCCCCTGTCTCCCTCCCGCCATCACCCTCCGTCGTTTCCACCCTCACCGCATCGCCGCACACGTCGCGCGCTCATACAGGCTCGTCCTTGTACTCCGTTTCAGGGACCCGCGAGCATATTCGGAAGACGCGCAGCCGCTGTGTATACACTGGGAACGACGGGCCCAGACGAACAGAAATCACGCCCGTTTCCGATGATCCTTCCCCGCGCCGTCCTGCCCTGCGCTAAGCCCGCGTCTTCCGAATTCGCCTCGCCGTGCGCAGACGTTCAGAATCACCCTCTCGCGCGAGAAGCCTAAACGCAATTAGCCCCGGCCTGCCCAACAGGGCGCGCCCGAATTCCAGGGGACCCGTTTCGCGCGCGGGGTCCGGACCAGAAATTCTGCCCGATCGCGGGGGCGCCACGCCTTTCCTTCTCGTCCCGAACCCACCTCTCACCCCGGTATTCTAGGCGGTCTGGGCCTACCACTTTGCTGGAGGTCGGGGAGAGATTGATACGGAAACATTGTATAAGACAGAGCCCCGGGGCAGTTGCGAACGTCGTGAAGAGCGTGTACATTCGAACGACGCGCCCAAATCCGTATACGCGTTGCGGAGATCGAAATAGGCTACCTCGGCATGCAATTGGACGCGGGCCACTCTCACCCTCACCCTCATCGCGTGTGACGACCGCCTCTCGTACTCTGCTCGCGCCCGCAGCGGATCCGAGCCCTGTCGCGAACGAATAACCAGAACAGCTAGCGTTTTTCTCACTGCCAGCTGGCCCGGTGACGATGGCGGTCCTCCCGTATCTGCCACACCTGCTGTACTCGACCGCGCTCACCTCGATCGCGATGCACCACCTCTTCCAGCGCAAGGCGTACGAGGCGGACCGCGCGCATGTCGCCGCGCAGCTATCTATTCTTACGGACCTGCGCGCGCGTCTCGGCGCAGGGGAGGTCATCGAGGAGCGCGAGCAAGACCGTCTATGGCGCCTGGCAAGAAGCCACGGCGTCTGGCGCGCGCGGGCCGAGGCCGAGGCACGCGCGAAGAGTAGGGAGGAGGGCGGCGCAGGGCGGGAGGAGATCGGGTGGAAGGAGGTCATGCTGGGGAAGCGGTTCGACGCGACGCGCACCGAAGAGCTGGACAGGAAGGACCTCGAGCGCGGTACGTGTTTTCAGTGCACGAGTTTGGGAGCAACTTGCTGATTATGCGCCCCGTGTGCAGTGCGCAAGGAGGTGGAGGATTCAGAACCCAGCTCATGACGATGTGACGACCTTGGCCTCCCACGCACGACAGTACAAGGCAACCGATCTACGTGCTTGATGCGGACGATGCATGGTGCCGAATTTGCGCCTCCCCTTCAGCGCACCACGAGGCTGGGGCGTACGTGAGACTTCTGAGGGTTCGCCGTCCGTGCCCCCGCGCCAGTTCGGTAGCTGGGATTCCGAGGTGGTTCGAAAGGGGGACACCTGCACCAGGTTAGAGCGGCATTACTACGGGGTGCAAAGATTTTAGTATCTGCGAACTATCTGCGAGCTCAAGTTCCCGATTCTGTGAGTGCCTCAGGTCAGTCCCAGATCGCTTGTTCGACCGAGCCCCAATACCCTATACTGACTGTGATTTCACAGTACATACACCTTGCCCATTCATACTAGAAATCCCCATGTTGTGTGCACCCGTACATTACAAACGATGAACGAATCTGCTAAGCAGCTGAGCAAGAATGACTATCAAGGCCGTGCGTCCCCGAACGTTGGTTCGCCGATCGCCCTACATACACCTGCAGCAGAGAATTCCCCTTCCCCGCAGCCGCAGCCGCTTCCTGAAAGACACCAACAGCAACTCATTTCACAGAACTAGGATTGTCCGACTTCGTGCAATGTCCGAAAAGGGTCCCAAGCGCAGTTACAATTCGCGCGAAACTCTCGCAAGCGGCGTGGTGGATCTGGAAGACGCATGTTCGTCATCTTCCCTGCGCTCCAAAGCCGCAGTAATCTTGTATCGCATCCCATAGGGGTTGCCAGGCGACGCGGCCACCGGGTGGGTCCATGCGCGGTTTTTGCGTTCGACATATTGCTGACGAGCTTATGCCGCCAGCATCCAGGGAACAGGCGGGATCCTGCGTGCAACCTTCGTTCAGTGAGCCGCGCGGATTTCGCGGCCTGGCGATCTGGAATTGCATTTTGACTAATGTGAGTGCGCAGTACCTGTGGGCTCAGGGTCTCGTAAGCACAGTTCCCCGAGCAGGTGCGGAGGACGCGATGCGTGTACCGCGGCTTGATGCCCGCATACGCGCTGAAGGTGAGTGTGTGTACGCACGGAAATCCACCCTGAACAATCGACCTATGGGCCGCTGGCGTCATAGCCTACAATATCTGCAGATATCGGCAACCAGCTGGATCTGCGATCGAATCTCCATCTTGCAGGTTGCATCCCACGACGCTTGCGGAATCGGCCACCACGCGTCTACCAGTCGGTGAGATACATACGCTCTTCACAACTTTCCCCACTGGAGCCCTGACAATCTTCGCAATTGGACTAACGACCGGCTGGTGTATGCCTCCCCGCGCACTCGTTCCCCTCGTAGGGAGAGTGAACATCCACGAACACGAGGCGAAGGTGAAGATTCCTGCCAACTACTGTATCCAAATACGGCCACGGCGAGGTCGTTTCAAGCCCCTGTTGGACTATCCATTCCGCGGCTGCTCGCCCTACATGCTACTTGCGTTATCGGGCTCTCCAAACCTGGGAGGTGAGTAGACTTCCTAAACTGTTTACATGATCACTCACCCTACTCATCAAGAACGAAACGTTTCAACCGCATGCGCAAACTCTTCAAACGGCTTCCCCTTTCACCTGCTTTCCTGCTTGCCTTGATGAGCGATGCATTATGCACGCGGCAAATGGCATCGAGGTTGCGCGGAGGCTAAATATAGCCGAACGTCTCGTCCTCCATGTGATTGTTGGCGTCGACGCATTTCGTCGCAGCTCCTTACTTACCGCAAACCATGCAGAACTCTGTCAGTGTATAGGTCAAGCCGATCCACATCATGTGGACAAAACAACATTGTGGGCCCATCGACGATGCCATACCGGCTTGAAAAACCTCCGACAGCTTAGTGCGTCTACTGTCATTCATAGAGCATCGTTGAGCGCAATATGCGCAGGACGTAGACAGTCGCCGACTGTGTCCGGGTGTCCTGGCCAGGAGAAGTAGTCGCAGACCCCGTCATCCATAGCTGGTAAGCGTGGCCGCTGCCCTCCGCTCAATACCGCTGAGAAGCCTGTTGTAGGGGAGCTTCGTCGCCTACGGCCGGGTGCCCGGTCTTCGAACCGGTCTTCGGGCAAACTTAAAAGGGCCGAGATACGTTCGCGGAGTCGGTGCGACTACACCGTAAGGCGTGTATGTTCACCAGCTCGCATAAATGCCAACCCAGGAGGGCCGGTAACACACCCGCACCAGGGCCAGCGTCTTGCATGCACGCCAAACCTCTCCGCATACTCCTCGCGACTCGTCGGATATGAAGTACAAGACCCCGGCCGCCGGCACGCTGAACCCATCTAGCACGGAGAAGCCGTCCACCACACGCATTCATATCCGTGCCAGATCGCCGCAAGATTCGACGGGGGCGCGGCGGTGCAGATCACGACTTGGAAGGAACCTGAACGCGGATATGGGCGTCCATTCTGCGAAACTGACATCGCGGCAGTGCGCAATCCTCTCACGGGCTCCGGCGTCGTGTTTCATGGCGATACCCCTTCCCCTTTGACAGTTCCGTCTGGTTTGGGGAGGACAAATAGGCGTGTGCGCGGCCGTGAGGGTAAATCTGGGCCGCGGGATCTGTTGGGTGCGACTTGTGGCGTCGCGTTGGCCATTCAGTCGCGTGTTAGGGAGCAGTGCCCGGTGTGATGCGCGCGTTATGCCCTTGAAGCTGTGGCCGGGATTTGCTCGTACCTGGTCGGCTCAGAGTGTTCGACTTGCCTCGTGGTGCGTTGTGTTGCGTATAAGTATGCACGTCGATGGCACTCGGGTTCTCTCACCACCTCTGCCTCCAGCCGCATTCACAGCGACTTCCACACAAGTCTACTACTAGCTTCCGAGCCCAGCTACCGCTTCTCCAAACCACCTACACCCACTACATCCATGGCGTCTACCATGTCCCCGCTCATCCAGAGTTCCGCCGCCCTCCCCCAAACCAACACTCCCGTCCCCTCATCATCAACTGGCGCGCGCCGGTCTTCCCTCCGCCGCGCCATTCAAGTTGTCATTCCCTCCGTTCAGGCAATGGCACGTGCCGCGACACCCGTCACTCCCGGCCATGGACATTCCCTCATCGTCGCTCCCTCGCCCGCCGCGCGTCTGAGCACCCTCGACACGCCGACGCACGGCCACGGCGACTTTGTCGTCCCCTCCTCGCACGACTCCCCATTGACGCCGACGCTCCCCCGCATGTCTGCTCGCGCAACGCGGAGGAGCGGATTGTTCTCCGCCTCGAGCGCGACCGACGCGGATGTGCAGATGCACTCTCTCGTCGAGACAGCGCACGCAGGGTTGATGACGCCGCCGATGGAGGACGAGGAGCTTTCGCACACTGAGGACGAAGACGAGCACTCCACGAGTGCGGAGAGCTCCGTGGCGGGGTCTGCTGTTGACGACTCCGACGAAGACGCTCCTTGATTCTGAACCGCTTGAGCCGCGGTGGCGGCTGCAGTGCGACTCCGACTGGCAGCATTTTTCGATGGGCATCAGCAGATGGTTCCCTCACTTATTCTATCATTATTTCCCATTCTTCACTGCACATACTATTCTCCTCGCCTGTATCGTATTTACGTTATTGCTCGTCCTATTTCTTCTATATCGTATGGGTCCGCATATTATGATGCTAGGGCACTATGTATAATCTCGCCCTGTACCTTTACAACGTATCGAAATCACCCTATATTTCAAATCCAAGTGTTTAGGAGTGCACGGGAGTAATCTGGCACGGCAACCCTCATCTAAAGGGACTGAGTCTCCGCAAAGCAAGCGCAACTGTACTTGGGTTATAATTCGAGTTCTGAGCGCCTCCCGGCCGGCGTTAGCCGAGGCGTTCGGTATCACGTCGGCGGCGGTCCCTCTCCTCCTGTTCTCTTCCATCTACATGTGCTCGCACTAGAACGCCCAACCAGCGTATAAATACTCATGTGCTAGCTGTCATAGACTTGCATCTTCGGGCCGACGGGTCTTCGCTCCAGCCTCCTACCACAGCGGCGTCCGTTATGACCGCGAATGGCACCTGGAGAATGGGCCCGGGGTGAGTGGCTTTAAATGACGCGGTGACTATGTGCATCTACTGATAGCGCGCCTGTAGTGTTCAGTTCGATTTCTCTGGCTAAGAGAGGAACGAACGGACCATATCAATCGTGCCACCATCTACCAGGAAACCGGATACTTATCCTCTCGTGGTCCATGACGCCAACATGTAACGGCAGACATTGACACCACATACCCGGACGGCTGAGCCTGCTGCCTGCTGTTGCACCGTCACGCCCAGCGCATGCGCCCACTGATGCTCAAGACTGACACTGTCGTGAGTTCTCGCCTTTGGTACCGCGCGTAGTATCATGTCAAACGCAACCTAATCCAACCCTCAGGGGCGGCTGTGCATCGAGCGCGGCTCACCACATCGATAAGTGCAGCGACAGGAAACTGCCGTGCACAGGCCTCCGCCGAGAGAGCTATATCGCACCCGCGTTGCGTGCGCATGCAGAGTGTGTTGGCGTCCGGGAACCACCGAGCGACGGGAAGTAGCGCGCGGCTCCGGCGGTGCCTTAGGTGTTTGTGCTGGGATTCCTAGCGCAAACTCACACAGCAAGGAGGCGCTGTCGCGGACCCAGTATCGCGGGAGGTACGATCTTCACTTCCTGTTTACGTGGTTTGGACTCGGACCATGCATTGTAGCCGGTCGTATGTCCGCGTCAGGCATTGGACCCGCGCAAATTCCCACCGGCGGTTACGCGTTACGTCCTAAACCAACTTGGAGCCTCACACTACTTGTGCGAGAAAAATGCCGCGCGGTACCGAAAGTCAAGAACATGGACTCGGCAGTGCACACTGCCCACGCAACAAGATCAGCCTGACAATCCATCTTCACAATTGGTATGGCGGTAGCGTGCTGTCCTCGCATGAACCTCCGTCGTATACTCCATCTAACGCCGATGAACATAGACGGAGCGCGGTTCACCATAACGTACGCCGGTCGTCAACGCTGTTCTCCGGCCAGTGCCGTCTTCGGAGCTTCGGAGCTCACAGGCGGGCGTCCGGCTTTGGTTTCGGCGTTCCTCAGTGAACCCTACGCAGACCGAACGTGCTCCTGCGGAGCCATCGCGCCGAGAGAACTCTGGGACGCATCAAGGGCAGGAGCAGCCCCTTTTCCCGCCGGTGTTCGCGTCTCAACCTTTGCTGCGGCCTCCCATCGTCCCGGGGGCTCGCAGGTAGGCGCCCTCTGATTGCCTGGAGGTGCAGCCTGGTCCCCTCATGCAGCGAATACGTCTATCTGCGAGCATGACACGTCTGCGGTGCGCCATCTTGCGCATTCCGCTCACGAATCCTGACTGAGCGAGCGTCTATTTGATAGCGCTGTTGTCCAGCGTTAGCCGAGGCGTTCAGTATCGCCACGGCAGTGGCCACTCTCTTCTTATTCTCTTCCATCTGCCAATGGAGTTCGCGACTCATGCGCGTATGTGCAGAGGCTGTACACAGACTGCATTGGACATAGCCTTCAGGAACCCCGAAGGGCACGGCAGGTGAGTTTGTATGCGCACGGTGTTCGTCAACCTCCCTTTAACGGAATTCGAACGTTGTTCACGGAGGTGCAGTCACATATATCTTGACAGTTCATAACACTGCGGGTGAAGCCACTTGTCGATGGCCGCCCTTCCAGGCACCAGGTGCGTTGTTGAGCAGCTGCGGTCCTGCACAGCAAGAGCGAGAGTATACCTCACTGAGTTCGTAGAACGTCTTGACGCTATGGGGCGGGAATGTGGTGTAGACGGCGAGTATCTACACCTTCTTTCCGTCTGGCGGTCATGCGGTTGTACTTGGACTCGACGCTCCCCGCAATCCTAGTATTTGCACATCCTGGCCGGACAAACAGTCTGGTCAGATCAAAAGGCTGGGGGTCGCGTCCCGTTCGCCTTGACGGTTGCAATTTCTATCCAAGCTTCATCAGTCATATCGCCGCCCCGATTTAAGGATGAAAGCCAGGAAAGGGAGTCGCAACTCCCTGTCCAGATATTCAGAGTCGGTTGAGGCGTCCGCTCTGCTCCATTCGGCCACGCCACCGAGAAGCACGCACGCGAATGTAATGATTTTGGTCCCGGACGGCGGCAGTCCGGTGTGATGCCGGTGCTCCGCGGCCAACCTTAAGAAAGCCCGAGGGGCTTTCGCGGGGAGCTACTTGACTACGGCGAGGTATGTCTTCTGTTGTGCACACATCACACCCAGCACCGGAGTTGACCAATTCCCGACCTCAGGCCTTCGGGGATTGTATCGAACGAAGTCCAGCGTCTTGGGCCCGTCAGCCTTTGGGATGCCATCACAGCTCGTTGACTGTGAGCGGGGGTTCCAGCCCGCACGAATGCATGACCGAATATCCATCCACGGTTCAAGAAGAAACTGCAAGTGAGGCGAATACGTGCGCGTCAGGATCGCAAGGCGATAGCGCGCCATCCCCTTAGCCGGTGCGTCGTTCTGACATATCGCTAATGGGCGATTTTCTCTACTTTTGCGGCTCTGGCGGGTTGAGGAGCGAGCGGATATACTCTCCCCCACCGCCGCCAGATGTAATGCGAGCGGCGGAGTAAATTTGGCCATCTAGTTGTGATTGGGGATGCATCAGTTGTCGGCATTATGGCCGCCGCGCATGTCTGTGACACTTGACGTTGTGGCTGGCGATGTACGTTCATATCGACGGTTCCTGCTACAATCAGAGTATAGAGTTCACACTGGTGCTGCGGGCGCGCGCCGCTGCGTTGCGTATAAGTAGGGGTGTAGCTGCCAACCTTGCCAGCTCACCAACTCACCAACTCACCAACTCACCTACTCCTGCCCCCGGTCGCCTTTCAAACAACCTGAAAAATACTCATACCCATCGTCTTAGTCGACCAAAATACCATCTCACCGAGATGTCGACCATTGCCATGCCCGTTCACTCTCCGACGTCGACCGCCTTTACCACCCTCCACTCCTCGCCCACCTCAGATGACGAGCACAACCACGAGACCATCTCTGCAGGTGGAATACACGCCATCATCCCCTCCGCGCAAACCCTCTCGTGCCTCGCTCTCTCTACCGCCAACCCCGCTCCCGAGAACACCACTGTCACCCGGCTCGCTCGCACGGGCAGCTTCGTTGGTATACAGGCAAAATTTTCGCCCAATTCGCCCATCCACGGCCACGCGCTGTTCAAGCTCCCGTCTCCAATTCACCTCCTCGCGACGTCTCGTGCGCGGACGTTAGCCCGGGTGAAGACTCTGCCCCCCGTCACAGGCGCCGCTGGCGCGCACGTACCTGTCCCGGTTCGCCGAGCTGAGACTATCGCCGCCGCGGGGATCATGACGCCCTTGGAGGAAGACGAGGAGGAGCACGACGAGCCTGAGCAGGAGGATGTCGGAGACATGAAGGACTCGCCGGCGGAGGCCGCGACGGACAACTCGGACGAGGATATTCCTCCGCTCCACTTGGCTTAAAAACGCACTGGGGAGCATGTGCAGTTGGCGGGGGCGGCGTATCAGTGGAGATGGGCCGTGACACCGTGCTATACCCTATAGAAATCCTGGGGTCAAAACGAATCCACTGGTACCGGTACCTCAGCCCTTCTTAATGATGTCTGTAATTTGCATGTATTTATGATTGTATCAGGGCCATTCAGTAGCATTTATTTACAAGAAATATCAGGTTAGCGCAAGGATCTTGCACTGTTTTAGATTTAGTTTAGTGATACTTACTCTCCAAGGTGACTAGCGCTGACCTGTCGGCGGTTGCCGAGGCGTTCAGTATCATAATTTCGTATGCCATCGACGTTTACTTCGTACCACAACTTGCGCTACAGTTAATAGAAACTGTAGTCCTAATACTACTCTATCTACTTTCAGTGTCACCATTTCGGAGCCAATACAGCTCATTCCTCCGCCAGCTTAGCGAGGGATCTGGTTCCGCAGGTTTGTGTCATGCCGTCGCGGAGCATCAAGTGGCACATCGCGCAGACGAATGGAAAGCAGTTCGTCACAGATGGCTTCTACGCTATGATGGACGCTAACACCAGCCAGAAATACTGGCTTGGGGGGCGAATCACAGTGACAGTGCCTTACCGGAACCCGCGAGCGCAGCCTGCGACGCTTTTGACGCCTAGTATGGACAATCGCGCGGCGCGATTCGGCGAGCTACAAAAAGTGAGTCCCTAGCACCCATCGTCTAGCCAGCTATTCTAAATGATATAACTCTTCGCCACAGGCCCTCTGAAGCACATTGGCACCCGTGGATAGCAGATGCGCTAAACAATCTCGGGCGACATAGATGACGGCTACTTCGTGCTCCGAGGACCTGGCGACTACGTACAACAGCAGTCTAGCTCGCGTAGAGCTCCTTGTGATACGGGGTACCCTCGACGGACTGCGATAGTTCAAGCCCCGTATCTCCGCAGCTCGCTGTCACCGGCCACGAACAATCCGGTCTTCACACAGCGGGAAGTCTGATAGTAGGCGACTCGCTGTACGCTCCACGTCCAACAGCGCTGCGCATGTTGCCAATCCCGACGTAACTCAGTCTGAGGCTGCTGTTGTTCATTCCCGGGCATATGGCCCATTTTTCACATTGACACTCTCGTAAGTCCTACCCGCGCGTTTGTGTCGGCCATGGAAAGGGTGTGTTCTCGCTGACGCAAATTAACGCAGATCGAGCGCGATTCGCCCTAGTTCGCCGTTGTGTCTGCGGGTGATAACTTAAGTTGCACGTTCTCCGGTGCTTGCTTCTGAGCTTTGTCGCTCTCGACGGGCGTTCGGTCTTCGTGCCGGTGTTTCTCAGCGAAACTCAAATAGCCCGAAGGCACAATCGCGGAGTCATTGCACTGCAAGGTACGCCCCTCACTTCACGTGTATAGCACTGCACCGAGGGAAACTAAGGCCACATCAAGGGGAAAAGCCGCCCGGTTTCCTCCCGGCGTTCGCGCCTCAAACGTTTCTTCACCTTCCACCGTGACTCGTCCGAGTGTAAAACAAGAACAGCGTTCCGACCGCCGACGCACAAAGCGCTTCCAACAGTCTGGCCCACGACGGCGTCATAAACATGCCGATCTGTCGCAGATCTCGACGTAGCGCGAGTGCATCTGCCTGGCGGGCGTCCATCTGCGAATGTGGCATGTCGGCAGTGCGCCATCCGCTCACGAACCTTGGTAGCGCGTCTACCGGGAACGTCCCTTCCTTCAGGTTCCAAGTTTGTGCCAGGGCCAGAACGAGAGCGCACGCCAAGCACGAGTCCCGGACTTTGGGACCAGTCGAACGCGAGACTCCTGGCTTCGTGTCCGCCATGTTGGTTTGTTTCAGATAGCGCCAGGCAATGCCACCCAGCGTTTGGGGCGTCAAAGGTCATCTGGGAACCTCTGGAGGGCGATAGCTGATACTTCGCGTGGTCGAATTACTCAAGGGGCCTCGCAGTGCATCGCGACGCGTATAAGTACGGAACATCGACGACGGCCAACTTTACTGAACACCTCTGCCTCCAGCCGCATCCACAGCGACTCGTACATACTCCCAGTTTCTCTGCATCCCGCCTGCACACCATCCGTCCAACATGTCGACTATCCCCGCGCTCGCTCAGCGATCAGCTTCTATCCCGCAAACATACACCCCCTTTCCCTCCTCGTCCACCGCGCCTGCACACCGCACGCGCGGTATCCACGTCATCATCCCTTCCACGCAGTCGGCCGCGCGCGCCGTCACGCCCACCACCACACCCGTTCACGGGCACTCCTTGAGCTCGGCCGCGTCGTCGCCCCACGCGCTCTACAAAGTCCTTGACACGCCCGTGACCCCCACGCACGGACACGGCGACTTTGTGGTCTCTTCTTCATACCACTCCGCCCCGACGACGCCAACACAGGCGCGCATGTCTGCGCGCACGAGGCGGAGGAACAGCTTGCTCTCGGTCTCGAGTGCTATGGAGGCCGATGTCGACGCGCCCTCTCCCGCGGCTGGAGACCTGATGATGTCGCCCATGGAGGAAGAGGATGCGGAGCACGAGCACGAAGGGCTCCACGGCGATGAAAACGACGACGAGCACGAAAGCGAGGGCGCTACTGGCGCGGAGAGCAAGGGCACGGGGTCTTCGGTGGACGAGTTGCACATGGATGCACCTGTACTGACTGCTGCTTGAGTCTCCAAGTCCTCGAGTCGTTCTTGGAGGTCAATGGACTCTCTGACCTATTCTTACTTTACTTTTTGTCGAAAACACGCAGTATCGTGTTGAGAATAGCTACCATACCACCGACTTACTTATTCCTAGAACTGTACCCATTTCCTCATAATTGTACGCCCACCTAGCTCCGCATAATCTTACAATTGCTTGCCCTGAACGCTGGCTCATAGTGGCATCGGCTTAAATACGATAGAGCTTCATCGCAGTTCATTGAAAGCACTATACTGGGATTGTAGCGAGACATTGTACAAGCCTGAGATATGTGAGTGCAAATCAAAGCGGATGCCGTCGATATTACACATATCAGGGCTTTCGTTTTACACAGCTACTAGAGGAAGAGGGAAATATTGGTCACTCAGACTGTAGCAGTGGTGATCGTCAACGGCGGTAGAAGTCAGAGTGAGTGGGTGACCTCGAGATTCTTGGAGGGGAGAATGAATAGTCGCGACGAGACCTTCCCCGCGGTGGAATAACGTCTTCCTCGGGGGCAGGATGTCTGCCCTGTGGAATCAGCCGAATATCCGACACCGACACCCCGGCCACCCCAGCAGCGTCCGCCCCGGGCCCGTGCGCAAGCTCCCTCCCGGCCTGCATCGCCGCGAGCAGCAGACGCAGCTCGCCCTCGCGTTCTTCCAGGTTTACGTGCGGCCCCCTCGGCACCACTGCGTGTCGTGCGTCCGCAACGCCCAGGCTGGGGAAGAGCCTGCTGAGCGCATGCGCGTAGTCGAGCAGCGGCACCCCGACGTCCAGTCTGGACACACCGAAGTGGCGCAAAGCGTGCCCGAGGAAAGGCACGCTGGCGATGTCGGGGAGCGCATCGAGGTCGATGGAGGGCACGACGAGCCGCTCGAGGCGCGGATGCCGCTCGGCGAACGCAGCGAGCGTCTTCACCGTCGGGTGGGTGTGCGGAACCTCCTTCGGGCCAGCACCGTGGCCGACCCGCCCGTACCATATCGTATTGCTGCGTTCGCAGCTCCGAACCTCAAACTTGACAAGCTCCGGCCATGCGTCCTCGAGTGCGCGTAGGTGCGCGTCGGAGAGGTGGAAGCCCGCATTATCGAACGCAAACTTGAGGCTGCGCAAGCCTGGAAATGCGCGCAGCGGCGCGAGCAACTCGCCGCGCTCGGGGAAGTGGTACACCTCAGTGTTCGGCGGCACTGTGAGCTTCATGCGGAGGCGGCGGAGAGAGGGCGGGAGGGTGGCGTAAAGGTCGTTAAGGCTTCCTCTGGCCCTTGCAGTATGGCTCTCCCCTTGGCCGACGTTCGGGACGTCCACCGTCAGGGCCTCTAAGCTGGGAGGAGTTGTGGCGGTAAGGAAGTTGGTGACATCGTCGAGGGATCCAGAGAGCGAGAGGTCGCGCAAGCGCAAAAAGCCCGCTGTCCGATCGGATGTGACCACGTACGGAACCTGCTTTACCGACAATTTGAGGACCTGGAGATTCGGGATCGTTACGAGCGATTTGATGATGGTGGCGGTTACTGTGGTCTGGTGTACGACGTGGAGGGATTGCAGGTGTGTCAGAGTCCAGAACGGGATCGACTCTGGCAGGTTGCTACGCGAATTGGACACGGCCTGATCGTCGAGGAAGAGAGTTCGAAGTGAACTCAACATAGGCCGAGATGCTTGGGCGACCATACGAATGGCCGACGCCTCCGCCGCTTTGTCGACTTTCAGCTCGAGATGTTTGATCGTTGGCGAAAATAGCGTCGTGTAGCATAAAGCAGATGAATCGATGGTGAGCCCTGTTAGTCGCTCTAGATGAGGCAGGAGCGGGTCGTGAGGGCACAGACGTGTCAAGGTGATCCATACTATCGCATGAACACGTTGGATCTCTCCAAGGTGCAGTTCGCGCACTCGGATCGCGTATCCTTGGAACTTTGCCCATTCTACGTCCGTTATGACGTCTCCGAACATCTGTATTCATGTTCATGCTGTCAATATTGTGCAGTTGGCGTCAGTTGAGTAAACTGGATAGTACTGACACTTGTCTCCCTGTCGTAGGCATTAAGAACGAATAGCACGTATCGGAAGTCGTCGACATATCGCCACAACGCGTCGAGCGCTTGGCTTGAAATCGAGCGAGAGACCATCGCAAGTGTGGCGAGGGTTCTCTGACATTCTCTTCGTCCTTCATTTGGGGCTGTAGATTGTCCATGTGGGAAGCTGTTAGGTAGGGGACCTGGGGAGAGTTGCTCAAGGATTGCGGCCACAATTCTAGGGTCCTGGAATATCTTTGCTTCCGCGGTAGGTCCCATTGTCGATATTTGGACTGAGGATCGATGGCGATAATTTGTTCACAAAAACAGATGGACGCTTTTGTGTGAGTAAATATTGTTTTCCTGGTACTAGAGCATAGTATAACAAGGTAATGGGAGCAGTAGAGCGAGGAGTGGATGGGAGGAGGTAGAAACGAATGCGACCGAATGCGCGTTCCCAATCGACGCCTCGGCAAGCGCCGGAGGATGAGCGCTAGCGCTCGTGCGCTCATGCGTGTGGCACGGCCGACGTCTTCCGCTTTCACCACGGGATGCGAGGCCCTCCAATATTTGCAGATAAGTATATTAAAAATTGAAGTGCGTGCAAGTGCCACCAGGGCCGTAATCATTACTGAAAGAAAAGATCCACGATACTACGAGAGGTAGTATCAGGTATTCAGAAAGACTAGCATTACTTACTGAGAATTTCAAGTTAGCCCCAGGAACGACTGCACGCAACTAAGTAGTAACGGTGAGACCTCCCTGTCAGCGTACAGCCAGTACTCAGCGAGTCAGCGTGATGTCAAAGGAAAGGATCGGGTTATGAATCACGACCCGGCGAGATACCTCAGCCCGAATCGGAAGAGGAGTGGTTGTGACTGAGCATCGACCGGTAGATCGCCAGGGGAGAGGTGCGCGACTACGCAATGCACAAGCGTGGAGGACGCGAATAGCACTTCTGTTGCGGCGACCATCTTGGTTCCTGTCGGAGTGTTCAAACTGTGATTTTATGCGAATCACTGACACACGACACCAATGAGAGGTCCGTTGTATACTGGGTGTTGTGAGACCGTGAACGTACCTATGGGCAAGTCTTCGAGATAACGCCAGGGTGGCTCCTAACTGCACGAATCTGTGTAGATAGCGTGTTGCAAGAGGCTGCGACCGGTAGCAATAAAGTGCTCGTGGGCGCCCGGATGTGAGCACATCATGGTGGCACGAGCTCGAGGTTGATTATCTTGATATTTGTGCGCATGATTCTTCGCCGCTTTGCGGGATCGTAGCCCATTGAATTGTCTTGAACAAAGGAGACTGGCCGCTGGTTGTGTTCGCGAGAGCCGCATGTTCCGCGGCTCGACTGGACATGATGGACAAGGATGAGATGGTCGTAGGTGAATAGGCGCTCACTGAGCATCTCCTTGTTTCCTACCGTCACCGCGTTCTCCTGGAAGACGAGAAGCTCTTGTGATTTCGCTCGCCGCGCTATGGGAATATCCCGTCATACCGACCAAACATGACAGAGGTACATTATACTGTTCTCGCTGCAACTGGGGCACACGTAGTACAGTGAGTCGAGCTCAGCTGGCAGCGGCGCATTGATGAAAACCCATCACTCATTATCTATATGCAGCCCAGTTTAATCCCACGCGAAGTCTCGTTATACATTCGATCTGCCAGCACTCGGAGGCGGCACAGCTCCAACGATGATGGAATTTGAAGATTCGCTCAGCTCATGTTGCAACAGCGCTGTGCTCGCGCTTCCTGATAAGGTCTTGGGGAGTCCGTGGAAAACGGCCAAGGAACAGCACAACAAACAGCTGCAAGGGATCATCGACGCCCTTCGTAGATCCACGGAGCTTTCTCCCATCTCTTGATCGCAGGCTCAACGTTGACTATCGGCAGTGCAGATGTCGACATGCGCTGATAAGTGCTGCCGAGATGCCCACGAGAACGACATCATTGACATGGCGGCGATGCGTCAAAGAAACCCTGCCAACATGTAGATGTACATTGCACAGTGATGCTTCGCTGAATGTTTGCGCCCATGTGGCTCTCGAGGTTCGCTGACCGTCGGTCGCCACTTCGCGTGGCTGGTCGTGTCCGCAGGGACTCAGGTTAACGACCAAGACGTCTGTCCATCGTTCTACTCACAGGCACGCTTGATCCCCCATTGGAAATATGGAAGCCGTGCTGCAGGCTATGCCAACACTTACGAGATAGTAGGGCGACTACATGGTGAGCCCTCTATTTAATCCTCTCGCCGAGAACTGACCTGAGTGCAGTGACCTCCCATAGCCAAAGACGCTGCAGTGCAGCGCATCCTCCCCGCCTACGCCCCTCATTTGTCTTTCAGCGCCACGCATATCCTAAACCCTTCAATTCTTCTTGTCTGTTATAATGGTTACCGTCGCTGGTCACGGTCTCTCCGCCCTCGGCGTTCTTCGTCTTACTAGTGACGCTGTGTCTTCCCACACCGAAGACATCAGCGACACCTCTTCCCCCGGCGGCACACTCAGCCCACTGGCCACGCAAGTTGTTCTCAGCATTCAAGGGTCTGGGTCCAACCACACACCTCCGACCACGCCTACGTCGTCGCTTCATGGACACGGCCATCACCCAATCCACATCCTTATCCCTTCCACTCACGCTCATCATCCCGAGACACGCACATTCACGCTCACACACGGACATGGGCTCATAGCCCTCCCACATCAAAAGTCGTCGAGCAGCTCTCCCCCCACGCCGACGCTTCCCCGGGCGTCCGCGCGCACGTTGCGCAAGAGCGGCCTATTCACCAGCGCGGCCGACTGGGAGGACGAACCTGCGCCGGGCAGTGCGACGGGCGAGGATCCGTTTTTCGACGTCGCTCGTGATGGGCTGATGCTGTCAGTCACGGACTCGCCCGAGGAGCAGTCGGGCGGCGAGCGGGACTACTTCGACGGCACGGGTGGGGCAGAGGGGGCGGATGCCACGCACCATCTCGCCGAAGATGGTGGCGTAGAGCTTGGGGGCTCGCGGTCGTCGTCATCGTCTTTCGAGGAGCGCCATTGAACGTCAGTGGTAGTCCACGAGCCAGCAAGCGGACGCAGATCAACAATCCCCGAATTTTATTGTTGACCAGGGACGTCCACCTATTTTTATCGAATGTACTGTGTATTATCATGTAGTCCACACACTATTTATGCTCCTCTTCTAGTTGTACAACCAACCCACTTCTATGTATATTTATCGCAACGAGCACACTAGACACTGGTCCATATTCACTTTGGCAGAAAAAGACGGTACAGAAAGTTGATATACGCTGGTAAGGAAACGGGCCCGACCTGTCCTACTCCCGACTATTATTCGTATACACACAGTCAGCGCATTTCCGTGACATGCGTAGGTCTTTTTGGAATGTGGAATGTCGATTTTTCAATGCCTAGCCACTGGTTCAAGTTCATACAAGGGAGATTCATAGTACCGGCCACGGCCACCGGGGTTAAAGTCATGGTTGGACTCGACGCGTACGTCCGAGCGGACGGAAGACTGGTCCTTCCTTGATGTATCTTTCGCGCGAAGATCCTCAGGAATCGGAATGTCGCCTGTGTACCCGCCGAGCATCGCCGCGCGCATCCGATGCAGACCGACGCGCCCAGCTTGCAAACCAAGGAGCATGAGCATGAGTTGTACCTCGTCCGCAGCGCCCGGCGTGTTCGAAGAGTCCCCATCGGGATCGACGCCGCTCGTGGCCGCGGTGCTCTCTACCTCCGTCAGGTCGAGACGGGGGAACAGCAAGTCAAACATGAGTGCGCAATCGAGCAGGGGCGTGCCACGGGAGATGTCACCTACGCCGAGGTGGCGGAGCTCGTGGTCGAGAATGGGCACGGAGTCAAGATGTGGGACGGCGCCGGGCTGGAGATTGAGCGCTGGGATGATGAGGCGCTTGAGGTATGGGTGGGTGTGCGCGAAGGAGGCGAGAGTCGAGAGGGTCGGCGGTGGACCGATTTCCTGAGGAGGCGCACGGCCATGCCTGGGTGGAGAGTAACAGCGATCATAGTATTCACCATAAATGGGATCTTTGGCAGGGCTTGGTTTCGGAAATTCGAATTCGACAAGTTCTGGCCATACGTTGCGAAAGGATGACAAGATGCCGTCAGGGAGGACGGATTTTGTGGCGTAGGGGAAGGCGAATGTGATCTCGCGTAGACATCCAAAAGGCCTCAACGGTTCCAACAGCTCGGTGGCGTACCAGGTGAGTGCGTTGGGAAGAGGAGCGGTGAATGAGGCAGAGAAGCGACGGAGACTTTTGGGAATTCTCGCGAGCAGCTTTCCTAGCATAATATCTTGTGAAGTCGGAGGGTTGTCCGAAACGCGGAACTCCAGAGATTCCAATAAGGGAGGAGCGGCCGTGTTGAGGAACCACCCTATATCCGTGAGCTTTCCCGTAAGCGTGAGCTCCAGCAAGCTCGTAAATCCTCCTAAAGGCTCATCCTCCACGACAGCCGGTGCTTTCTTCACGTTCAGTTCAAGGATCTGAAGGTTATGGAATCGCGCGAGAGACCGGAGCATCTCGTTCTCGAGGATTATCCGCTGCGTGACTTTCAAGGTGTGTAGCTGGGAGAGTGACCAGAACGGTATTGCCGATGGCCTCCCTAGCTCCTGGTTATGGCGGATGTGGAGTCGTCGGACGGAGGAGAGAAGACGTCGGACTGCTGGGAGGACCATGCGCACCGTTCCCTCATCAACGCTTTCATCAGTGTTCAAGTGCAGCTCCTGTATCGTCGACGATAGGAGATCCGTGTAGCAGAGTCCGATGGAGTCAATGGCATAGCCGACAAGACATTCCAGACGAGGGAGGAGGGCACCGTCCAGACAACGACGAGTCAGGATCGTCCACACGCTGGCATGGACGAGGCTGACGTCGCCAATGCACAGAACTCGCACGCGCGATGCGTACTGCTTGAACCGCGCCCAGTCTTCGTCGGTGATGACGTCGCGGAACACCTGCATCATGGTGAGCATATGAATCCAGAGGTAGGATGGTGGCGGCTGACCCGGGTGCGTTTATCATATGACGGTATCACGGCCAAGACATGACAGAACTCGTCCGCATGCCGCCACAAGGCATCGAGTGAAGGAGCGGAGACGGCACGGCAGACCAGTGCTAGCCGCGCAAGAGCCTGTTGGCGGTCGTGACGTCGCTTCGCACAAGATAATTCCGCCGGAGTTGGCGCGCCCTCATACTTGTGGCTGCGGAAGGACCCAGGATCCAGTCGAGCCAACACGCCAGCCGTCACTTTCGGAGTGAGCAGTGCTCGTGCCGCCAACGATTCCATGGCTGGATCTGTGCAAATCGCTGCTGTTAGATGTGGTCAGTCGAGAGATCTCGGAAGTGTAGACACGAGTAATGCTCACCGTCCGCTAGAGATGTTGGTGGAGGGGAAGGGCAGGTTGTGATCGATTGACTGTTATGGTGGACCGCAAGTCGGTACCGTGGGGGATCGGAGTCGTAGTACTAGCCGCGCGTACATAACAACATGTGCACAACGAACACGAGGCGATTAAAAGGTCCGAGCAACATGTCATCGGGGCTTGCGCGTAGTCGTGGCCTCGATGTCGATTCCCCACCAGCTTCCAAGTCAGTGCACGCATGGGCTGTTCATCATATACGAACAGCGCCGAACACCGTTGTGAGCTGCAGTGTGCTCAGTAACCTCAGTTATGATGCATGCCTACAATTGTTGTCACCACCGGGGCGCTGAGTTGGGCGCAATTTCCTGGAAGCCCGTAGGGCTCGGAGCGATGATATCGCCTCTCACCGATGGGTGCATCTAGAAGCACACAAACAATCAAATTGAACCGAAGAAGGGTACTCATACCGTACGCTACCAAGCGAGGCGCATCGCACAAATCTCGGGGGAACGTCCACTCGTGAAGCTGTGCACAGAATACAATAGGAACTCAATGAACACGATCTGGAGTGGGCGTATCTCACCTGAGACCCCTAGCTGCAGGGGCTGTAGTTCGGAGAGTCGTGATGGCGCGAGGGTACGGTGTCCCATCAGCGCCCAGTACACCATGGGCGCTGTACCGCCATGTTCACGCATCAATTCCCCGGACCTCCGTTAGTAGTTGAAATGAGGCGAAGATCAAGAGACCTGTACCTACGTGTTGTTACTCTTGAGACGAACATTCACAAGATGGAGCTCATCTGTAAACCATGACAATAGAAACCACGTACAACCCAAGCGGATGTTTAGCGCGTTGCTTGACGAACATGCTGTTACGGCGCGCCCAGGGTTGCTGATTTGACCATTGCGATGCCGTTCTCCAGCGGTAGCCCGAACTCGAGATCTCCAGCGAAGACAGTGCGTCCCAGAGTCAAGACAACGGCGGTGCTGGTCTTGAGCACCATACTGATTATGAGCAAGCATCATCGACCAAGGCAACATCGCGGCAGTGCGCCGAGCTCCAGTTCCCTTTGATGCATCGTTTCATTGCTGATACTAGGCAGGGGTATTCAGCAAGATCCAGATCGCTGCACACGCGAGGCGATCTCGGAGGTGGTTGTTCTGTCGTGCTCCGATTCCGTCGCGTTTCATCACGCGGTGTCCGGCGCCACGAGCGCGACGCGATAGAGACGCGAACGGTGTGAGTGCAGCGCATAGCTGATGTACCTGACAAAAAAACATGGAGGTGCGCGAGCGACCTGGACGCGGGAGTAACGTATAAGTACGACGGTGAAACGGCGAGGTCTGCACCAGCTCCAACTCACCGAGAGCCACCTACACTCGAAGCTCCATCCCACTCATCCTCAACATCTTCACTCCTCTACCACCGACTCCAAGATGTCCAGCGTTGTGATCGGCCACTCCCACATCACTGAGGTTCCCGCCTCCCCGACGAACGATACCGCGCCCACGAGCAACTCTTCCTCCGCCTCACCCGGCCAAGGGCTGCACGTCGTCATCGCGCCGACCACGACACGAGTGCCCTCGAGCCTGACAACTCTTGAAACACCCGTACACGGCCACACTTTGTTCGCCCTTCCCAACAGCGAGGCGCAACTCCCGAGCGCGGATGGTACCCCCGGCACGGGGACCCACGGACACGGGACGCGCCGCTTCGTGTTCCCGCCTCTCGGAAGCGACGCTGCGTCGACCCCGGTGCAGCCGCGCCCCTCTGCCCGCGTCGCGCGCCGGAGCAGTCTGTTCAACGCCGCAGACGAGGCGCACAACGAGGACGGCGAGGAGGATGCTAGGGACGCAACGATCGGGCATCCGCTCTTCGACATCACCCACAACGCGGCCCTGCCGCCTACCATGGACGCGGAGGAGCCGGCCAGTGCGGATGTCGGCGGTCGCTTCGACCAGCCTGAGCCCGTGCGCGGGAGAGACGATGGACCAAGTGGTGAGGCCGACGCCTCGAGGCCGCTCGGTGGGGCCTGAGCCTGGCCCTGACAGTCTAGGGGTTAGAGATTTGGGAAGAGAGGTCGGGGGATATCATTATTCTTGACTTGACTGACACACCGCAGAGTAGGTGTCATATACCACTGTATCCCGGTTATCGTTGTGTACTGCGACCGCGTCTCCCTTGTAGCGTTATACCTAGGATCATCCTTGATATTTATTACTCATACTTGCAAGCGTTGTATGGTTGAGTTGAGTTTCCAGTGTCGTGCGAGCGTCGTGTAGGGGCAAGTCGAGTCTCTAGTGTCGTGATCACATTCGACTTATTGCTGGTTTCACGGCGCTTGTCGCGGGGCCTGACGCGCGAATTTCGCGCCGCGCGCCCGTCTGGAGGGTGTCGACGCGGATCGTCGATAGCTCGCGCAATACTCCATGAAACTCACTATTCCTTTCAGATTTGGATTCTCCTGATCGACGCGGAGGGCACGGTACAAAAATCTGCGCGAAATACGGAGGTTGAGTGAAAGCCTCCTCGGGGACCTCCCCCAAAGCAGAACTAAGATTACTCGCTAGAATCTTGTTCAATACAGCTATAATTTTGTGCAATAGGGTCTATTACAATGTACGGAGGGCACTGATGTTAAACAAACAGAGTACATGAAGTGGTAATACTTGTTGCATATTCGTCTGTTCTGCCCTGCCTCGCCCGAGCTCAGCTACATCTTCTAGATGAGGTTCGTTCATAATCATTTGCGCAGATACATCATCCCGTGTTCAACAACGACTCTTAATAAAGACTTCATTGGCGTTACGGGGATTTTGGATACACACAACAAGGTCTGCTCGCGTGCGATGACGTGGCGCCCGCACTGCGCTGCTGCGCCCCTCAATATCGGCGCTGACGTCGCGAATGGGACGTCCAGGTAGGATAGACATCTAGGGGCGTATAAAGGGATATAGATGCCCCCCAAATGTCGGAAGAAAACCATGCCTGTTAACTCCCTCAAGCCGGGTGAACAGACGATTGCGTACATCCCAACGATCACAGCCAAACAACCTTCATGCCCTCCAAACACATCGGTAGCCTCTGTGAAAGTACATTCCAGCGAGAGTAGGGGACGATGTCGCCCGTTGTGCTGGTTCTGCTTGAAGGCAGGTCCCCGAGGAGGCTTTCACTCAACCTCCGTATTTCGCGCAGATTTTTGTACCGTGCCCTCCGCGTCGATCAGGAGAATCCAAATCTGAAAGGAATAGTGAGTTTCATGGAGTATTGCGCGAGCTATCGACGATCCGCGTCGACACCCTCCAGACGGGCGCGCGGCGCGAAATCCGCGCGACGCGCCCCGCGACAAGCGCCGTGAAACCAGCAATATTGAGACGACTGCTCTGGAAGCGTTAGTTTCGACGTGGGGGTCGCATTGAAAACACCTTACTCACCGTGTACCGTGCGCTCGACACATTTCCCTCCGATACAACAATGCCTTACCGCTCACTCGTCCCGTTTGTACCTCGTTGCGTTCAGCTCGGTGATACCACATGATTCCTTTTGAATCCCTCCGGCGCAGTCGCCCCAATTCAACGCATCCCAGTTTACAATTGCCACAGTGAGAGCCTAGCATTGCGAGCTTTTGACAGAAAGATTCAAGTCAAACATGGTAGCGAGATGGTGGACGTATCGGGAAGAGCGGCAACCCTGCGCAGACGCGCATCTTGCCTTCCGCCATCATCAGCAGCATCAGCAAGAGAGTTCCCTGCAATGTGTCCGGCACGCAAATACAACGTCAAGAACAGGTCAAGACGTACAAGGGAGAACGTCGGTCAGAAGAACGTGCTCGTTGTTTCTGACGACAAGATGCGGCCGCGCGACATGCGGCCAACACGTGTAAAATAGCCGAGCGCGGTCGAATAAATCTGTGACGCAGCCCTCCTTCCCTCCTTGACCCCAGTCCACATTCCCGCCATGGCCCACAGCAACTACTCCCAGTCGGCCGTCGAGCAGATCAAGAGGCATCCGAAGTACTACCTCAATGGTGGTGACGTTCACTTCTTGGTCAGTTTCTTCCATGGCGCTATCCAGCCCGCTTCGTGCTGAGTGCTGATTGCTGGCCGCCCTCCAGGTCGAGAACTACATCTATCGCGTTCACCGATACTTCTTCGAGCGCGAGTCAGCATGGTTCCGTGAAAAGCTCGGGGCGCCGGCGCCCGCGGGGCAGACCCCCAAGGGCTCGTCCGACGCGAACCCCTTCCCGCTGGAGGAGGTCGCCGCGGACGATTTCTCGAAGTTCCTTTGGGTGTTCTACAACCCGTGAGTGTCCGTATCTATAGTCACCCCCAACACCCTCTCAACTACCGCAGCAAATACTCAATATACGACGCTGTGCTCGAGGACTGGGTCGCCATCCTGAAGCTCGCCTTCGACTGGCGGTTCAGCGAGGTCAAGAAGCTCTGCAGCCGCGAGCTGGAGAAGTACGAGATTGCGCCCGTGCCGAAGATCGAGCTCTACCAGACGTACGAGCTCGACAAGAAGCTGCTCATCCCGTCATACATGGCGATCTGCCTGCGCGCGGAGCCGCTCTCGCTCAAGGAGGGTCGCCACCTCGGCCTCGAGACCGCGCTCCTGCTTGCGACCGCGCGTGAATGTGCGCGCGGGAAGCCGCTTGCAAACGGCGCGCGGAGTCCCACGGCCGCGGAGCTCGAGGAGGAAGACATGGTGTCGATCATCAAGGAGATTTTTGGGCTGACAGCTGGCCCCCCTTCTCCCTCGTTAACCCCCCTGGACAAAGGTACAGGCGTGGCGACGTTCACGGGCATCGCGCCCACCCCCACCACCTCTCCCCGCAAGGGGATCGGGGCGTCGGTGGGGACTGTGACTAGGGAGCTCGGCGGCGGGGCCAACGGCAAGCCCGTGCCGGTTCCACCTGAGTCGCCGACGAAGCCCTCGGCTGCGGCCAGGACGACGAACACGACATCGACGGCGGAGTCGGTACCGACCATCGCGAAGCCTGCGGCGCCTCATCCGTCGTTGACGGCGTCCGCTAGCGCCGCGCGGTCGAAGTCGCCCCCGCCCACCCCGTCGCCGTTCTCCGGCTTCGGCTCTGGCTTCGGTGCGTTCAGCTCCCTCGTGGGCAACGTCGCGGGCGAGCTCCTCGGCACGTCCTCCTCCCCCACACTCGCTCCATCGTCGCCCTCGCAACCGGCCGCTAACCCGCCCGCAGGCACCAACGCGCCAGCGTCCACCACGACCACGCCCAACCCGGCCGCGGGCAAGCCCACGACGACCACGACGCCCGCCACAGGTCAAGCGGTCTCCTCTTCCACGTCCGATTTCCAAACCCGACTGACGGCCGTTTGCCAAACGCAGGGGACCTCCTTGGCTCCACTGCAAACGCAGGACCTCCCGCCCCCGGGAAAGACGCCAAAGACGGCGGCAAGGAACCCCCAACCGTGGCCAAGCCCGCCGGCGATGCTAAAGAGCCAGCCACCCCCATCGGTGACAAAGGCCCTCTCAACACCCTCAAGACCGGAGACACCGCAGCCGGTGGAGACGACGGCGCAGACACCGGCGACGAAGGGGGGTTCCAAGGCGCGAAGAAAGGCAAAAAAGGCAAACGCCCAGGCGGCAAGTAGCGTGGCAGTCGCTGTGCCAGAGAAGGCTGGAGAGGCGGATGGGAGCGGCGCGCCGCTGGATGCTACGAACACTGTTTACGACCCTACGGACTCTACGGAACCCACGAATACGATTGGCGGTGCAGGCACCGATGTTGTTGTCACCACGAACCTTGGTCCGAGCGCCGTAGGCGAGAGTGCGGAGGCTGCGCTGGCTTCGAATCCCGCTGCCGGTGGCGAAGAGGAACAGGCTGTGGAGCTGGGTGCAGGCGGAGAGGGTGAGCAGCAGGACAAGCACGACGCTCAACCGGGATCTTCGGAAGCCGCCATCACCTCGCAGCCCCAAGATACGACCCTGGCAAATAGCCAGGAGGCAGCCTCTGAAGATCTCAACGCGGGCGATCCGACGTCAGGAACCTCGCAGAAAGGCGTGGCTGATCCTTCCCCCACCGCCCCGTCTGACCTCGCAGGAGAGGGCGCGGCAACTGACGTAACGTCGACGGAGCCTGGGGCTCAAGACGACGCTGTGAAGGTGAACGCCGCAGGAGAAGCAGCGCGAGCAAGCGATCCAGCCTCGGGTACGGAGGGTGCTGCTGTGAAGGATGGGGCCGCAGTCGAGAACAAGGGCACTCCCACTCCCGTGGCCGATGCTTCGCCCTCGAAAGAGCTGTCGAACGGGGACAGTACCACCAACACCGATAAGGCACTTCCCCCTCCTCCAGGCGAGGCGGAGTCCGCGGGTGCTGCTGACGAGTCTGAGACAGCCGCAGGTACGACTGTCGCTCAGTCTGCAGATAATGTCGATGCCGATGACAACGCCTGGGGCTTTGGCTTTTAGGGACGCCTCCTCCGGAGCAGGAGAGTCTGATCGACTTGTGAACGTGTCTGCTGTCTTTTTTGCTCCATGCGTTTGGGTCTGGCTTGATGCTCGATCTCTGCGCGGACTGGATGGAAGTGTTGTCTGTTGTACTTGTAAAGTGCCTCGCTCAGACTCTCTGGTGTACTTCTTCTCGCTGTTGTATCACTGTTTCCATAAACCCCAATCTACCCGTCCTTGTCAATGTATTTTATTGTTGAAGTCGACGTCTGGCTTTGCTGGGCCCCGGTGGCGAATTATAGTATAATCAGGTACGCAGACCGGAACAGACTAACCTTGGGGACGACGTTGTGGACCCAGGATGACTCTGATCCACGAGGACTCTAGCTGATGGATGAGGAAAATCCGGAACCCGACTGGGCGAGTAGTAGAAGGAAGGGATGCCGTTCAATGCACCGTAAAGGCGAGGCACAGCCACCATTTCGTACCATACATACCTTACCCGAACCACCTCCTCCTCGTCCCTCATCCTACTCTGCTCTAACACCACCCATGCCATCGTGCCTACTACTCGATCCACTTTCCTCGAAGCTGGGCGCGCTCTACCTCCACCGGCGGTCGTGTGCAGAATAGTATGACAAGTCTGGCCTGGCCTGCCTCGTGCCCGCCCTCGACCCTCTCGCCCGCTCAGCTGACGTCAACGCCCTGCCTCAGTCCTATCTTGAGACATGCCCTTACCGCTCATGCAGAACGCACCTTTGGCCCAGGATGATATGACTGAGCTGCGATGAGCACCATGGGCCGCGAGATACGTGCTACATAATCCTCACTCGAAGCATACGTGTTCGCATAGAAGAGCGATGCTTGTATAGACCAGGCCTGCTGCCTCGTAATTCGAGTCAAGGATGGTCAACGGAGCGCCATTCAAGGTTCGTACTCCGAGCCGTCCATGAATATCCAGAACATGCTCCGCTAGGACGCCCATCCCGGCAGAGCCTGCCTCGCCCGACCGCTCCCTGATCCTTCCCAATCTAATCCCCGGCAACCGCCCTGGCACGATTGGTGAATGACCCACCCGCCTCTCAATGTTCCACAGCTTTCCTCGTGCGGCGAGGCCTGCACGTTGTCTCGCGGATGCATATAACCTTCATGCTCGTGCTCCCGTATCCCCGCTACCCCTCGCTCTAACCTCTCCTGCTACTCGTACCTCCCAGACCTTTTTCCCCAGTCCCTAGCTTTGTCAATGGCCACAATCAGCGGTGCACGCGTCGGCCTCTACGTTGTCCTAGTACGTCTCTTCCCCGACTCGTCTCCCGTGCCTCCGCTGACCGCCCGCGCTGTCCCGCCCAACAGTGGCTTTTCTCCGCCGTCCTCCTCGGACTTACCGCCACCCGCCTCCACTATACCCTCCGCCTCCCGCCAGGTGACCCGCTCAACAATGGCCTACCCTTCTACGACCCCATCGTCGCAGAGCTCCTTGTCACTTCCGTCCTCGCGATGATTTGGTCCTCGTTTATGTACGTCATTCTTCTCGCCCCGCACCCAGGCGGCCTCGCGCGTCCCTGCTTCATTCATATCTTGCGCGCGGTACCTGCGCATATGAAGAGTGTGTCGTGCAGGAGAACGTCAGCGGTGGCGTAAGGCGCATGGAGCGCGGCGCGCGGTCTATGTTATGTCGGACGGTGGTGCTGACCGCGCGGCACAGTATCCACGTCATCCACAGGAGCTACGACTATGGTCGCATCTCAACCTTCGCGGGCGAACTTGTCGGCCTCATGGGCCTCTTCGCTCTTTTCCTCGTCGGCGCTGCAATCTCCTCCGTACGTCCCGCTTTCCTCACATATCTTGGCGCTTGCATGCCGCTAACGCGCGCGGGGGCCTTGCAGACCTTCTGGGGCAACCTTTTCTGGTGCCACCAGTTCTGGCAGTGCCGCATCCTGACGGTGCTCGTCGCGTTCGCGTGGATGTGCTGGGTGCTTGTGTTCATCCTCGTCTTCGTGAGCACGATGTTCGCCGTCGCGAACGCCGCGTTCTTCCATCCGCTCCACGGGCGCTACGACGCGCGCGACAGCTACTTCCGTGAGTCTGCCCTTCCTCCCTTCGAGGCCATGTTGATGAACATCGCGCCCGTGCGGTGACAGAGCGCGAGCCGAAGCGCAGGCGGTGCGGCGTTTTCTAGGTCCAGTTGAATCGTTATTTTGCCCGGGAATGACTGTTGTATGTGTACTTTCTGTTGACGTTCTTCATGAGCAGTGTGATGAGTTTGCGTGGACATATACGAGACCGCTGTATGATGTGTACATAGTGATAAGTACCGCGCCCAGCGCGCTCTCTACGGTATATAATGTCTACGGTATATCGCGCTCTCTACGGTATATAATGAGACCCATGAAATCGGATGCCACTCGATCAAGTGCCCATGTCGATCCCGAAAGCTTCAGCCACCAGCCGTGCGGTCCCAGGAATGGCTGTCGGGGACGCCTTTGCAGTCGTCTTACGCGGCTGCACCCCGCGCCCAGGCGCCACATCGCCCTGCGCAAGATAGTCCTTCGGAATGCTCCGATGCACCCCTTCGCCATGACCCGCGTTCCTCACAGGAGGCCGCCCAGCACCCACCGCACCCGCACCCGTTCCTGCCGCAAGCCGTGCAGCCGCGCTCCGCGTGAGCGTGTGGTACCCGCCCTTCCCGGCAGAGCTATGCTTCCGTGCCTGCAGTTCCTCCCGTACCTGTGCCACGCGCGTCGCGGTCGCGAGCCCCAGCCGTGCCGCCTCGTCGAGCGACAACGGCTGCGGGCGCTCGCAGAGCGCGGTGTACGCGGCGAGCGCCCAGCGTCCGCCGAGATCGAACTCTCGCGCGAGGAGGACACGGTCGACTGCAGGCAGAGCGAGGGATTGGAGCTGGCGTAGTGCGAGCGCGCGCACGGAGGCGAGCTCCCAGCGTGATGCGAGGGAGAGGATGGAGTGCCATTCGGCCGCGGAGGTGGGTTTTGGGGTGTTAAAATCGCTATAGGGGAGCGGTCAGAGTGGGGCGGTGGGCTTGCGCACAAAGGGCTTACGGAGGATAGAGAACCCAAAGTAGGCGTTCGAAGTCGGTCGCAGAGATGCCGGAGAAGGTGAGCGGGTTCGTGTCGTCGTCGCCTTCTATGGGCTGGCCCAAGTTGGGGCCCGTAGGAAGGCTGAAGAGGTCCTTGAATACAACAGAATGTCTCGTGAACGTCGAGCGGAACAGCCTGAATAGGGTGTTCTCGACCTGAATAGCTGTCAGTTTTTCGTCATGAAAGTTGCCTTGAATACGTACCAGGATGACCAAGTTCCCGTCCTCAAAGTAATACTCTGCATGTCGAACTGGAGATGCTGGCACCGGGCTTATAGGAGTTCCAGAAACGCGTGGTGGAGCAGGAGCAGGAACGGGGAGGCCGCTGAACATAGTGAAGAAATGAGTGCTGTTCGTCTGCTGAAGCAGACGTGAAAAGACGGGTATAAGAGTGTTTGAGAGAGACTGCGTGGGCATGCACACACCGTGCAGGAGACATGAGTATAGTATACATTGCAGATCGAGTGTCAAAACACTAAGTTACATGGTATCCTGCCCGTACCCATATGTCAGTGGAGAGAGACAAACTCGACACGTAGGGAATACATACTTCAAGCTCTCGTCAGGAACGAAATGTCACATCAATCAACCGCTAACCCACGACTCGCTAGAACAGTGCGAAACTCCTCATACGTATCCTTTCCCAACACTGCAAAGACAACGTGGTCGAAGGAGTCCTTGAACCGCGAATCGTCCTCGATCAATAGGTCCGCCCATATCCTCGCCACGGTCCCGACGTTATTCTTGAACACCCCCGTCCCGAAGCTGCCGAGCACGAGGCTACGGACCCCTTTCGTCTCGAACAAGAACAAGATCCGGGCCATCCGCTCGCGCATCGCCTGCTCGATCTTGTCTTCCACCCCGGCTCCAGCGACGCGCCCATGCAATGTGGTCCGCACTACCCCCGCGTTGACCGCCGGGCTCGTCAAAACGTCGACGTAGGCCGGCGAGACCCACGCCCCCGCGTCGTCACGGAACACCGTAACCGCGGGCGAGTATATCATCGCGTGCGAGTAGTAGCCGCCCTTCGGATCGCGGTTGTGCAGCGTGTAGAACGCCTGCGCGGTGCGCGTCATGAGGGTCGGGTACAGTGTCGACGAGCGCGCGATGGATTCCTCCTGTGCCTGTGCCCCGGAGAGGAAGCCTCCCCCAGGCTTCTTCGCAGATGCGAAGTTGAGCACCCCGATTTTCGGTGGAGATGTTTCGGGGGAGTCGGGACGCAGAGCGTCAGACAGGAGCCGCACGCCTTCGAGCGTGGAGACCTCGAGGATAGAGAAGTTCGTAGAGTCGTTGTCTGGGCGTGGGGGAGGTGGGATATTTGACCATGTGGAGAGCATGGAGTCAGGCGCATAGTACTGTGTGTGCTGTTTGGATACTTTCACAGACAGGCTAAGGTCGTATGTCGTTCCGTCGAGGGTGTAGTGCCCGTCGTCAATCGCGTCCAGAGTGCCCTCCGTGATGCCTTTGAGTCGCGTACGGCGATCGCTCATCTTCTGAAGTCATGCATGTGAGTGTTGCAACTTCTCAAGTATGATGCAATGAAACGATTATACTTACGATAGCTGTTCCGCAGACAGTTTTATGAATAGCGTAGTGATGGAGAGCGTGTTGATCAGGTCCACTGAAAGCTCGTGGCGATCTGAGAGGAGCAGAAAAGGGAGACGCGTGTCTCAATCTTGCCCTTGTACCACTATATGTTCTCCTGGCTAAGCTCTTGAGTCAGATGTTTCCACGAGTCAAAGTGGAAGGGGGGGGGGGGGTTGGAGTTCGTAGAGACTGCCAGTGAGGCTGTACACCGGTGCCGTCGTGGCTAAATTGACATTTGTGGCGCTACGTGACTCTGACCAGTTCCGAGCCCGCAAGGCGGTTCCTTAGGGCGAGGGTGTGTGGTATGCAAAGTTTCTCTGCGCTATGTCAAGCTTCAAGCTTCAAGACTGGCCAGGGTGGCCGTTGTGGTCAGAAACGAATGTGTACAAGGTTGGGCGGATCTTCGGAGATTGCCATGCAGATCGAGCAGATCTCAGATCTAATCTTTACCAAACGACCGATCGCGAGTTGAGACTTTGTTTTTCCCCGCCAGTACACACTTGAAGCGTTCACATCGTGCTACAGTTATGTTTTACATCGTTGGACTCGGGCTCTGCGATGAGAAAGATATCACCGTGCGCGGCCTAGAGGCAAGTATTTCTAGCATATGATTGCGTAATTTACCATTTTTACTGAATATATACCCGCAGGCTGTGAAGGGATCTACGCGGGTATATCTGGAGGCATATACCAGCATTCTGATGGTTCAGAAAGAACGGCTGGTATGTTCTCTCATATGTTTCTCTTCACATACTGAGCGATCATGCAAGGAAGCATTTTACGGGAAAGAACTGATCGTGGCGGATCGCGACATGGTCGAGACGCAAAGCGACGATATCCTTGCCAACGCCGGTACAGAAGACGTCTCCCTGCTCGTCGTGGGGGACCCGTACGGGTGAGCCTAGCCCATCACGGCCGCAGCATATCACCGATGACGAGGCTCTGCAGCGCCACGACGCACACCGACATCGTCCTCCGTGCGCGCGCACTGAACATCCCTACGCGCGTGATCCACAATGCCTCGATCATGAACGCGGTGGGCGCATGCGGCTTGCAGCTGTACAACTTCGGGCAGACGGTCTCGCTCGTGTTCTTCACGGACTCTTGGCGGCCGGACAGCTTTTACGACCGCATCAAGGAGAATGCGGACCTCGGCATGCACACGCTCGTACTGCTAGACATCAAGGTCAAGGAGCAGAGCGAAGAGAACCTTGCAAGGTCTGCCCAGTCCTATGAAAGTAGTCATCACTCGCTCACCGCTAAACGATAGGGGACGGAAAATCTACGAGCCGCCGCGGTACATGTCTATTCCAACTGCGGTTTCGCAGCTCGTCGAGGTCGAAGAGAAGCGGCAAGGCGGGTCGCTCAAGCCTGACGAAACTCTAGCAATAGGCCTCTCACGCGTCGGCGGCGGATCTGAGGAGCGCGTCGTGGCAGGGACCCTTGCAGAGCTGCTATCCCAGCCGCCCGAGGTGTTCGGGGAGCCGCTGCACAGTCTGGTCATCGTCGGCAAGCGGGTGCACCACTTGGAGGTCGAGTATGCGGAGAGCTTTGCAGTGAACAGGGAGACATGGAGGGGTGTGGCACAGCGTGTGTATGGATGCTCCCTCGACTGAATAATTACAGGGACTGGGGCAGTCTCACCGAGTACACCGGATCCCCGAAGAATTTTGCGCGATCAAGGACCGCACTCGCTACTCAAGCCGAACTCCGCAGGGTTGGTCGATTAATGACCCTGAGCATTTCGCGCATGTATTGCGGGCATACGCAGATCCGAAGCTTCCCGGTACCGAGCTCATGTGCGCTCACATCCGGCGTACAACTAAGTTGCAGCGGTCAATGTCGTCCGGGATGACCGAGAACGCCGAACGCCCCGAGCCACAAGCATCTGGTGAGCCCTAGAGCAGTCTGCGTACCACTGATTGCTCTCTAACTTGATGGCAGGCCGGTCACCGTTTCGAAACGCTCAGAACATACTCGGCGCTGCTCTTGCATCATGCTTCATGGAGCGCGTACCCACGAGGCCCTTCCGCGGCGGCATCTCAGATCCCAAAGGTACCCCACATTGTAACGCGCTTCCCCTGAGTGGCACCCACCCGAAAAAATGGCACTCCACCTGAGCTCGACCATCCGGGAAACACGATCCGATGTCTCCCGCGAACACGACCAGGTACCATGAGCGGAGCCGGCGCGTGAAGCCGTGAGCCTCTGCATGGAGGAAACAAGCTCTATCACTGTTTTGACGTGTCGGCGTTCATCCTCGGCCTGTTCGGTCTCACTTTCGTCTACATACCACACATAATAGGCCTGTAATCGTTCGTACGCAGCTGGCTACAAACACCGGTGGCAGTTGGGCGTGATGACGGTGTGTTGCGTACGTTTGCGGAAAGCCATGCGAACTACGCAAGGAGTCACGCGACTCCGCCGCGTGCTCGCAGTGCGGACTCCGAATGCGACCATTCTGCCTCAAACCGCCACGAACGGAGTGCCTGCACAGTGCGCATAAGTACGTACGGGGCGCAAGGTACGGGGCTAGGACGGTAGCAGCACCCGCAGTGCACCCAGGAACCCCAGGAACGAGGGAGGAGCGGCGGAGAGGCACAGGCCCTTTGCTCCCGCCGGCACAAGAAGTCATCCGATCCAGCAGATCTTGGGCGCATCGCACGGACATCGCGGCCAAGAAGGCGGCCAGGGACGCGCGGGACGATACGTACACGGCGACGCCTGGGAACGATAGCTTATAAAGTGGGCGACCTCGGAGCCGCGCTCGCCTTCTCGTTCTCGTCTCATTGCCACCCCGCACAGGTCTCACACCCACATCGGCCCCTGCCTCGACCGTGCTGTACACAGCCCAAAGAACACCCGCACGTCGTGTACGTCTCGGTGCACAGGATGATGCGGTTGTTCAGGAACTGATGCCGGTCGTAGCCTCACCCCCAGAGCAGCAATCCTGGCGCCCATTCGGAAAGCTCGTTTTCAGACTTTGACCATGGCTCTGCCGAAATTCTCGGTGGCGGAGTATCTCCCGCTGGATGTCATACCTTTAATCCTGGAGCACCTCGCGGATCGCAGGGACCTGCACACGTGCGCCCGGGTCTCGAAGGCCTTTTACCACGCAACGACTCCGCTCCTGTATCGCACACTCGATGTTCGTGTGACAGACTACAACAACAAGGTACGCGTGTCTATCAGAATCCTCGAGACTGGCTTTTCTGATCCGTTCTTGCTGTTCGGTAGCGCCCAGTGGTGCTGCATCCATCCACGACGATTCTCAAGAGGCCGGAATACGCGAAATACGTGCGGCATGTCCGAGAGAACGGTTTGACATGTACCTTGTCGTCCTTTGTCCCCGCACTAAGCTCACTTCGCAGGTGCTGTCGGATTCCACCGTCCTGACCTCATCGCCCAATGCAGAAAAGCCCTTCGGCTGTGCGTGCACCTCGAAGGCTTCACCTGGAGCGACGACAGCACCGAAGGCATGGACGAGAGCGACTTCATCGCGTACCTCGAAATCCTGCAGACGCTCCCGCTGCGCGAGCTCGTCATCCGCACGTTCTACGGCCTGAGCGACACGGTGTGGGAACGGCTGCAATGCTTCACCGCGCTCACGAAGGTCTCGATCTGGTGCATGGAGGGCAAGCCGCGGATCCTGCAGGGCTGGTCCGAGAAGCTCGGCGCGAGCCTCACGCACCTCGAGTTGGGTGTCAGTTCCCTTTCCCGCGCCCATCCGCTCTGCCGTACGTCCTGATCTCATCATGCCCCCCGCGGCGTTGTGCAGCGCTGCTCAGGCGTGCCCGCCTCGATTCTCATTTCAGTCCTCGCCCACCTGCCCCGCCTCCGCGCGCTGCGGCTCAAGGGCGCGCCATCCGCGGCAATACTCGAAATCCTCACGTTCTTGCCGCACCTCGAGACGCTCGACACGGAATATTTTGGCGCGGCAACGCTCTCACGCTACGACGACGTGCCCGCGGCGAACCTGCGCGAACTCACCGTACGCACAAGCTCGGTGCACATTCAAGGCTTCCAGCAGCTGTGGCCATGGATTCGCCGGCTGACGCCGCGCACGAGTCTCGAGTCGCTTACGCTAAACGCATTCTCGACACAGGGCGAAGCGTTTGTGCCGCGCGCGTTCCTGCTCGACATGGCGCACACGCACGGCGCGACACTCAAGCACATCAACGCGGACTCGACGCAGATGACGCTCAAGGACCTCGAGTGCCTGTGCACGGTCTTCCCCCAGCTGCAGACGCTGTCCTGCTCGGCGATGTTCAGCGCGGAGACGGTGCGTTCGATTGGCTTCTCGCGCGGATTTGTGGCTAATGCACTGAGTAGGAGGCGTATGAGGACGCGGTGCGTAAAGCTGACAATCTCCGCGAGCTGCGGATGAACATCAACAACTGGGCGCACATACGCATGGAAAGCCTGGAAAAGACCGCCGTCGAAAAGTCCGTGCGGAATATGATGCTCCGTGAGGGCTCAGTGCTGAGGGTGGTCGGGATGGGCTCCACCGTCTATCGGGTGCGTCTGATTTTAAGTATTCTCCGTGTCCGGCGGAGGTTGTTTACGCCTCGTTTTCAGGGCCAATGGGTGTGTGGCAAGGCAGAGGACGGGACAAATACCCTCCGCTTTGAGATTGTATCGAACGTTGTACAGGATCGATGGGACTAGGATTATGCTGCACTAGGTTTGGGATTTGCGTCTGTTCACTTCACTTGGACTATTATTACGTTTGTCGGATTGGCTGTATATAAGCATAGGCCGCCGTTGACGTCCTGTCGTGTAAAAATATATGCTGTACAAGGGGCAGATGACGAGGGATGTCCGGAAGTAGTATTCTCACATGCGAACGCAGGAGAGGTTCAAAGGAGGTAGGTTCGCGGGAGATGTCACATCCCCCTGCCTCGTCCGCGGCCGCCGCGCATCGGGCCGCCGCGCGGTGCCCCACGACCTGTAGCGTCACTTGTTAGTGGCGCCGAATGGTCTGGTAGAAGCGTGCCCTTACCTCGCGGTGGTCCACCACGCCCCCTCGGTCCCTGTCCGGAAACATGGGAGCCTCTCGCACTGCGGCCCGCTTCCCTTGCGCGGTTTTGCTCATCTTTGACGGCGTCCAGGAGCGTGTCAGGTACTCGCAGATATTTGATCTGGAGGCGCATAGTTAGTGTACTTGTCTCTGGTCGCCGACCACCGCAGCTCCGACCGGAATGATCGCAACGCGACCCCAGCAGTTGGTTCCTCTCGAGGGCATCGCGATCAAGAGTCTCCGCATACGCCAGCGGATAACAGGAGTAGGGAGTAGGGGACGTACCGTGCTCCCCCGAATATAGCATTCTTTCAACTTCCAAAATCGATCACCCTCTGCGCTCGTTTGGTATGCCTCCCGGAGTGTGATGTTCATGAAGTTGTCGCAGTTGACCAAGTGACCGTTAAACGTCTCTCCGTTCTTAAGCTCGACCAACTACGGAGCCGCGGATGTGCAGTCAGTCCTTATAAGTTCAGCGCGACGCGATGGTCCAAGTTGTCCGGAGCGGCGGCTCACCATAGGTTTGTTCTGGGCCGCATTTAGCAGTGAAAGCGGTAACTGTACGATCCGTAATAGTCAGTGCAAGCTTTGAAGCACTTGTACGTGTTCAAATACCATAATTTCGAGGTCGAGTGAGCAGTCGAGCGAACGATGGTGGAGGAGCGGAGACACGAAGCGATGGCCTGCGGTAGCACCTGGTAGCACGCGTCGCCAACTTCCAGTTTGCCGCGCGACGCGCCTTGTCTTCATCCCTCACTCACTCGTCCTCGTTGTTCATCTAAACTCTTTGGAAACCTATTGCGTGTCCCAGCGCCGAAGTGAGAGAAGATTCGCGAGTGTTTTTGAAACTCCAGCCTCTATCCGGGGCTTGTACCGGCGGGATCGACTTCGCTGACGGCGGAACTGCTGCGCGCGCAACAGCCGACTACGCCACTCCCACATTGTGGTCTGCACCACGCGCAACAGCGAGGTCTATATGTTGAAGAAGTACCTGGACGCGTTCTCCGGAGCCTTCAGTGAGTCAACGAGGAACCCCGCAGCGATCCCGCAGCCACCGCAGTCTCGCGCGGGCCATCATGTGTCTCGCCCCGCTATCGCTGCTCGATGGCGAAACGCCCGTGTTGGAGGCGCGATTGATGCAAATTGAGCTCGGACAAGCCGGGACGCCTCCAAGGTGCTCTTTCTCCTCGACGACCACCTCCGCGCTCTTCTGCACTGTGTCACTTCATCCTGACTCGGAACTGCGCTTGAGCCATGATTCTCCCCGACGATACCCCTGAGTCTCCTACGAAGTCCCGCGCGGGCCCGCCGTCTGAGGCGGTAGACGAGGACTTCGTCGCCCCACCCCCTGCATACCCGGGCAACGGCAACAACTCGTCGCGGCACTACGACGTAGAATCGCAAGCAGGCCCATCTAGCGAACCTTTGCTCCAACCACAACATCATGTTGAGCAGGTCGAACCTGCACCTCAGCGGTTCTTCAAAGCGCTAGGCATCGCTGTTCTTATTTGGCTTGTGGTCGGATCGTTTGCACGAAGCGTAGTCTCCGTATCGTATACAGGCCCTCATCCGGGAAGGGTAAGCGACGTTCCCACTTGGCCTTCCTTCGTATTCACTGAATTTTGTTAGGGAAAAAAGGGCCCCGTACCTCGGGTTCTCCCCATACCCCAGGATGGCACAGTAGAGCTCTGCCTCCCCGCGTCATCGCTCTCCGAAAATGTGCATATCGGGCGCACCGCATCCTTTCAGCTTCCCCTCTCCGCCGACCTCTTGTATATCTTTGGGCGGGGTGCCCTCAGCCGAGGTTCCATTACGTTCACTACGTCGACGAACCACTCCCTACCGCGCAACAAAGTGCAAGTCGACATTACACCCACATATGAATCAGCAGCTCTCCTAAGCATGGTGAACTTCTGCCACCTCGAGCGCGCACCAGGAGAAATTGGCGTAGGCATCTTGGTATGTCGATTTCATGACCTTTCTTATAATCGAGACTGACTGGTTGTAGACACCAAAACATGTGTCGGCCGAAGCTGTCCTCGAATTCGCGATAGATGTGCAGTTCCCCGTGATTCGCGACGGCGGGATTGTGCAAGTCAAGGCGTTCGAGACCGACCTGCCGATGTTCAGCCACCATGTGAAGCGCCTGGAGAAGAAGGTTCGCTTCGAGTCGATCTCACTCTTTTCGAAGAATATGCCTATACAAAGTGATGTGAGTCCACACAATAGACACCACCTTCTGTTCGTAGCTTACGAGGCTCGCGCAGTACCTAAGCGCGGACGAAGCCAACGTAGTCACTAGCAACGCAAAAATTTCAGGGACCTACCACGCATCGCGCGGGCTCTTCCTGAAGACGTCGAACGCGGACCTTACCGCAGAAGTCACGCTTTACCACGACGACTCCGCAGCAGCATACACAAACCTGACCTTCCTCAACTCCAACGCGTGAGTCTCCCACCGACTACTCCTCATCCCGTGTCCTTCACTCACACTATCTCCCCTCTCGCAGCGCGATCGACTCCCGAGTCCATCTCCGCTCCACCTCCATGGCCGCCACCGGCGGCTCATACGACGTCCTCGCGCACACCTCGAACGCGCACCTCGACCTGCGCATCCCCATACAGCCCGTCGGCAGCACGCTCGCGCTCGACGCGCGCACAAGCAACGCACCCGCCGCCGTGCACCTCTCGCCTGCGTACGAGGGCGCGTGTCTCGCGGAGACCACGCTCGCCGCCGCCGAGGTCGAGTGCGACCCAAACTCGCGCGACCCCGCGGGGCTCGGCCGGACGCGCGTGTGTGCGCTGCCGCGCCACTCGGCGCAGCGGGTCGTGGGGTGGGCGAGCTGGGACGTGACGGGGACCCACCATGGGCTGGGCGAGGTCAGCGTGGTGACGACGAACACTCCCGCTAGGCTCCTTTTGTAAGTTGGGGCTTTGAGCAGTGCGTTCGCTGTGCGGCGCGAGGTGTACGAGTAGTGTTTATATAGTCAATATTGGCTCCAGTGTAGATAGTGCTCCTTGTTGTTTTTGTCCAGCCTACTGTAATTGTACAACACGCTCCGGTGACCTGCACGGTCATCCTGAGCCTATGAAACAGTGCTCGTACTACACATCACGTCTCGTGCTCCGTACGCGATATACCTCGTTTCCTACAGCTCACCCAGTAGTTGAGCACGTTCCAAACATCGATGCGGCGTCCCCGCTGAGCTCGACGTTCTGGCAGGAGAACGTGGCTGCGCCATACTTGGAGGGCGGTCTGCAAGTGTGCTCAGCGTTACGTCCGTCCAAATAATACAATGAAGGCACGCACGTTACGTTGATGTCGTTCACGTTCACGTCGCTGCAGCGGCCGTCTGGGGAGCAGGAGAGGCTGGCGACAACGGCCTTCTCCTTGCCCGAGGAAGTGCCCGAGATGCTGCGAGCGGCCACGTTCGTCAACTCATATAAAACGCTTGAGTAGGAGGACGCGGCATGCTCACTTATTGAACCAGACGTCCTGGATGTACGTGTTCGACGGGTATTTGGCGCAGTCATCTGCGCTCGTCATGTAGCACTGCAGATACAAACGCAGGGCCTGTGTCAGCAATTGCGCAGTCAGAGCAGAGAAGTGCGGAAACGCACTTGGTCGATGACGACGGGATTGTCAACGTTGCTCTCGACGAAGCCGTCGAATGTGATGTTCTTCACGAGACCCGCGCCGACGCCCTTTCCAGCCCACGCCTTGATGCGAGCGCCGTTCTGCGCGTTCGACATGCGGATGTTTCTGCACGTCGAGTTTCAGTAGTGTTGTATGATGGGAGTGGGAGACAGTACACGTACGTGGCGAGGACGTTTTGGACGATGTCGTACTCTCCAGCGTATTGGCCGAGTGAGCCCACGGATATACCACTATAGTTAGAATTAGTCTCGGAGAGTGAGAAAGGACGAGGGGCCGTACTGAGAGCCATTGCAAGAGAGGTTCGAGACAAGAATGTTGGTTGCGTCTGCGTTTCGACTACCCTCAGCGAAAAGCAACTTGGATAGTGAGATGTAACGCACTAGGCTTGAAGCTCACGCAGTCGTCGCCGTTGTCAATGTTCGAGTCGGCGATGATGACGTTATCGCTTCGGAAGATGTCCCACCCGTCCGTGTTCTTCGCCGCGTTCTTGGATGTCGAAACCGCGGAGATCGTGATGTTGCGGAAGGTGATGTCTTGTCCTTCGTTCACCTGTAGTGGCCCTACGTTAGGCTAGGCTGTATCCGCACTCGCCCTGGTGTTATGTACGCACGAAGTTGATCCACTCGGGACCGTTTATCATGCGGATGTTCTGAACCGTCACGTTCGTGGCCTGGAAGATGGTAAGCAGGATCGGGCGGACAGTCGAGCTATGCTTCGCGCTGCATCGTGCATTAGTATAGGTACTCTACGCTCGACAACATATACTTACAACTCATCATACCAGGCCTGTCCGGAGCCGTCGAGGGTACCTCCGCCGTCAAGGACGATGTTCTTCCCGCCAAGCAGCCAGAAAGCGGCCTGGTCCTGGATGTCGAACGAGAACGAGTTGTCCGTCCAGTAGTCGATATCTGGGTTGAACTTCACGGTGCCCTGAACATTCTGCAATACTAGTGTCAGTATAAGTCACATCATATATCAGGTGTGTAAAGCTTACGATATGTTTGTTGGCGGTTCCTGTCATGTTCAGCTTGCTCTGGATGGAGAGGGTGGTCCCGGCAGGAATAGTCACCGTCGAACACGACGGGTCCGCCGCGGCCTTCAGAAACGCAGGCGCGTCATCGGACCCGCTCGCAGTGAGCGTGCATGTCCCCGACGCCCTGGCATCAAGGGGTGACGGCGAGGCAGCAGCCCAGAATGCGAGAAAGTATACCGAAAGGACGGTGGCTGCGCGGAACGGCAACATTGTGTAGAGTGCGTAGACTTGAGATGCGCTGAGCGGTGCTATTGCGTCTGCACGACCGTCATGCTTTTATGGCTCGCCAAGGTGAATGCAGCCAGCGCAGAGATGCCATATGCTCCACCCTCTTCTGACCTACTCCCGCTTGACGTCCTTCGTCTTCTCTCGCGGTCCGGCGGTGTGGGTGATGCCGTTAAAGCCTGGAACTTCCGATATTAGACCTTAGGGGGCGTATGGAGACTTGCAGATGCTGGCTCCTTATGTTCACAGAAACCGTCTGGTGGACTATTCTGTCGGCTCCGCGAGCCCCATGATCGTCTGCGTGCCATGGGTCGGGGTAACTGCCGCCACACCATCGGGAGCTTGCTCGTCACCGCGACTCTGTTCTGTGTCATGGAAGCCGCACATTCGGGAGCTTAGCAGGTGATGTTTGTATAATTTTAACTTGAGAACGGGGCTTCCCGCAGGGTCCTTGTACACAAGCTACTGGGTAGCGTGAGTGGTGGTTACTTGCCTGTTAATTTAAAAGAATATATGCTCACGGTCAACATGCTACACAACCCGGGAAAATCCTCCGTAGGTGCAGCGGGAAGCTGTACACACCTGCCTTGTTCAGCAAAGGTTACCATTGACGCGCCTTGAATGGGAGGAGGAAGGCGAAAGGCAAGAGCCCTCGGAGTCGATCCCGCTCGAGGCGCAGTACTTCGCGTCGGACAAAAGCGGTCCGCCGACGGACCGGGACTGCCGTTGGCCTTCCCAAGGGCGCCTATGCGCCTGCACGTCTGGAGGAGGCGCCTGGAGGCGCTCGTGCTCCGAAGTCCTTCCTTGCGTCCTCCTCCTCCTCGGCTTTCCTTTGCACGCCATCGACCCCTGGGGCCTCTTGCGGCCGTTCCTGCACGAAATCCTTTCATCAGGATTGGCGCATCCAGACTCACAAAATGACCTCCATTTTCGCCCGGCTGAAGAGCATACCGCTCCCTCGCAAAGGCTTGCGATCCCTCAAGTCTCAGGGCGTCGTCTTAGAGAACGCGCAAGCATTATACGACTGCGGGAAGCTGGCATGGTGGGCACGGTGGACCTATTTCCTGGTTCTTGCGGACCTAGTCGTGACGTGCGTCAGCAGCTCTCCGCGTCAACTTCGTCCTTACGCTGGCGCATTAGGGCATCGGCATGCGAGCTTACGCTGAACCATTGGACAATGTGGGAGGAGCTTCCAAAAGACAGCGCTACACCCACAACGCTCTCTTCGGGTGAACAGCCAGTGCGCTCGACGGATGTGGTTGGGCACTATGTCACGCGGCCGCTGTGGCAACGAAGCCTCTTCACGCTCGCCAACTTTGCTGGAGGCGTCGGTCTCGCTGCTGTGCTTCTAGGCGGTCGCTCCCGGATCGTCCGCAAGATGTTCATCGTCCCCTCCGCGGCTTCCCAGGATACCTCCGCTACAGCAGGGCGGCTGTCCGACCGTCTGCTCGTCATCCAGTCTCCCCTACACACAAAAGCGCAAGGGGTCGTCATGCCCCTCAACCGGACACGACTGATACACAGCCCGGAGAAGACCGAGATGCTGATTGGGCTCAAGGACCGCCGTGGACACTACTCGCTGGGACTGCAGGGCGCGGTGGTGGACGGTCAGAAGATGTCGATCTGGGACGCGCGGAAAAGCCTTTTCACGACGTGGTATGGAGAGAAGAGAGGCATGCAGATGTTCTTGGCTAGCGCGAAGGTCAAGGAGGAGTCCGAGACATGACACATGCCGCGACAGGACGCGTCCATGCGAGCCGCTTGCTTTTTGCGCGTCAACTGCGGTTCGAAGCCGAAGTGCTTCGTCAATGCTGCGCGGAAAACGGCTGGTTGAAGTTGGAGCTGGTAGTGCACGATCCGGGGTGCTCTCGGGATAATCGTGGGTTGTTCGCTGTGCGAGAAATGCGTATATGCTCACCGTTCACCTCCAGACAACTACACTACAATAATGGCTACGCCCTTTCATGAGGCATACAACTCAGTCATCGAGCCCCCCGTTTGAGTTTCAACTTTCACAGACACGGTATATCGCCGTTGAAGACCGCGTCAATGGATCCGGAGCGGTGAGGTATCTCTGTCATCCCCAGATCAGCGCTGTCGACTGCGGAAGCAGCCGCCATGTGCTACGTCCGCAAGGCTCAGTCTCGCAATCTCGACACCTCGGCGAGTCATGGATGATGGTTTGCGCAGTTGGTATTCACCGGCCTTTCCGCGCGTCTCGGGAAGCACTCACGCATTATTGATCGCAGTGAGTGCATCCTCGACGCTCGACGCGGCCCGATCGCCCGCCTCAGCGAGACAACACAATTCGATCTCGGAGCCGTCGCTGCGCACACATGCAGCACCTAGGTACGACACCTTCTCTCCAGCTGCGCAGGACCTGCGCAGGTACATCGTGCCCTGGCTAGTCGATCCTTGTTCAACCACATGAAGACTCGCGGCCTGCGCCCGCGGCTGCGGACGTCATGCCCTCACCTGCGCAACTGATTGCGTGTCTAGTGCCGAACGGTATGTGGCGCCCATAGGATCTGGGCCGGCGCCGTTGGCGCAGTGTTGTTTGGGTTCTGTGGGCCGTGGGTCAGCAGCTGTCAGCAGACGGGCGTGGGGCCCCATGCGGGTATAAAATCAGCGGTGTCCATTCTCCCAAACCGCCACCACCCACGATCATGGATTCTAACTTTCAGAACACGACTCCTCTTGCAGCTCGCCCCGAGGACCCGGAGAAGGCGCTCCTGACGCCTCCCCATCCCCCGAGCTACTATGCCGTGTACCAGACCGCTGGTACGGAGGAAGTCCTACCGCAGGACCGCAGGCGGCTCGTGCGCAGGCGCCGTTTGTGCCACTTCGCCGCCTGCACCCTTCTCCTCTTTCTATTCTGGAGCCCTCTGGTAGACTCCGTGGCCAGCGTTTTCTACAAGGTTTGTGTACATATAAACTTAGACTCTCGCCCGAACATTATCGCTTACCCCTGCCCCTGTCCACAGCACTTCCACAAAGACCCCTCGCTCGACCCCCACTGGGCACACGAGATCATGGCCAGCCCTTCTGACTGCTCTGATACCGTCAACTGGCGCCTCGACCCCGTCCAGGACCACTCCGACTGGCCGTACCACGCACATGCATCCCTTGCGCTCCCGATCGATGCCGAGGAGCTGTTCTTCAAGGCCGAGGGCTCGCGCGCTCACGGCACGTTTGAGGTCTCGCAGTCGACCGACGTCGGCTCGGAGGCCATCGTCGACATCGACGTCGCCTACAGGCGCGAGAACGCTCTGGCTGAAACGACTGTGTGCCACCTCAACCCGTCCGAGAACAAGCATGGCCTCGGGATCTTCGTGAGTGCTCTCTGCTTTTCGTGTTCTCGTGCAACTGTTGATGTAGGCGCAATCGACAGACGGAGCGATGGAACCACCCTGAGCATCACCGCCAGCTCCGCTTCCACGTCCACGTCCGTCTCCCGGCGACGAGGAACGGCGACCCGCGCACGATCAACGCGTTCTACACCGACCTGCCGATGTTCACGCACCACCTCGCCGAGCTCGCGGACACGGTCGTCTTCAAGAACATCCGCCTCGCGACGTCGAATGCCGCGCTCCGGGCCGATGTACGTGCCATGCTTACTTTAAGTTGTCACCCTCAACTAACGCTTCTCCTTCGCCGCAGTCGCTGAAGGCCGAGGTCGGCAAGCTCAAGTCCTCGAACGGCAAGATCGAGGGCACCTTCAACACCTCGGAGTCCCTCGAGCTTCGCACGAGTAACGCGCCGATCCACGTTACCGCCAACCTGTTCAACGACAAGGACGCCGGCACCGTGCTCACCGCGGACACCAGCAACGGGTACGTACTCTGTCCCAGCTCTCTACTTTGGTACCCTTGCTAACACCCGTCCTCGCAGCGCGATTCAGGCGCACGTTGGACTCTTCGCTCACTCCGTCGACGGTGCGTTCCGCGTCGACACGCGCACGAACAACGCCCCCGCGCGGATCACGATCACCGACTCGCCCGCGAACTCGCTGCTCAATGCCTCCGCGGTCTCGTCGAACGCCCCGGTGAGCTTCGAGGCCCACGCGGCGTTCGAGGGCACGTTCGAGCTGCACTCGACGTGGTTTTCGCCCCCGACGGTCGAGCAGCCGCACCCGGTCGAGGACCCGCTGGGCAAGGGCCGCCACCGCACGGTGCAGGCGAACACGATCAACCGCGGTGCCATCCGTGGCCAGGTTAGCTGGGAGCCGAAGCACGAGAAGGCGAAGAGCGGGCACATCGGGCTGGAGACGTCGAATGCGCGCGCGACGCTTTTCCTCTGAGCTGCGGTCCGCGAGGATCACGGTAATAGGGGCGGCGAGGGTGACTAGGTGCGAGAGCGGAATTTCACGAGGGGGACGCGCTGGCGGTGATCTGACAGCTGAGCGTGTCCTTGTTCCGTTCTCGTATGCTTGTTGTACAATATTGTTTGTGCCTCTGTGCACGTATGCGTAAAGTCGCAATGCGGCACTGTCACTCCTTGAATTGAGCCGCTGCGCGCTGCGAGCTTGTGCCAGTACGTCCTTCATATCCGAATAGCGAAGTCATCCATGCGGTATGCAGGTAAGCCAGTTCACTATATCGCTTTTACATCCGTGAAGCTGACCATAGATATCCATTAGGACTGATTCCGATTCGGCCTGTGCGGAAGGCGAGCATATTGAATTTTCGCGGACTTCGCCAGGCCCGATCCGAATGGCTATAAGGCCAACATCGGAGGCAGTTGCAGATCCGGCCAGTTACATCGCGGTCAACCGCTCCAGTCTCGCCCAAAGAAGACAGCACCTTGCGGATGTGCTGCCGCTCCCGAGACCGGACGTAGGTGCTCTGAGCACTAGTTCACGCCCATGGAAGTGTTCATAGCAGTTCGAACTCGCATGTGGAATTTATATCCTCCGCAGGCGGATACCACGCGACGATCCGATTTCACTACGACCTTGTAGGTGCGTCGCGCTCGGACGACGCCTCGACCGTCCTCTTCCACAGAATTCACCTGAACAGAGCGGATGTAGGTGCATGGGGCATATAAACAGCCCTTCCTCGACGGTAAAAGCCCATCACCGTCCACTCATACCAACACACCTCACCACCACCACTCCCTCATTCACTCCCTCACCATGTTTGTCAAGGCTAGCCTCATCGCTCTCGCCCTTGCCGTGTCTACCAGTGCCACCCCCGTCTTCGAGGGACTTGGCGCTAGCGTCCCATTTGGGAAGCGCGACGGGATGACCACCGCCGATGGCTGGTTCGACCACCCTCGTGCGGTACAACAAGTTGTCAAGGATCACAAGTATGTCCCTTCTACTGCATCGTAGCGTTGGTGATTTTGACATTTGTTCGCTTCAGCAAACACAGACAGAACATGATCAACCTCGAGCGCAACATGGGCAAGCAGGCCTTCAATGACGTACGTCTATTCATCACTTTTTGCCCTAACGATACTGACGTCGCCTTTCAGGGTGCGAAGATCATGCCCATGGCAAACTACTCTGCTCCTCCCGAAAAGCGTCAGGCCGAGAAGCTCACTGACGAGAACAACGACGAGTACTGGGCGGGCCCCATTACAATCGGGACGCCCGGCAAGGCCTTCCTCATCGACTTCGACAGTGAGTTCAGGCCTCGCTTCATGGTCTGTCTCAGAGCTGATGGGTACCTCGCAGCCGGTTCTTCGGACCTTTGGGTCCCGTCGGTGAACTGCACGAGCACCTACTGCAGCACAAAGAGCAAGTACAATGCGTCGTCGTCGTCCACCAGCGTCCCCAAGAGCGGCACCTTCTCCATCCAGTACGGCGACGGCTCGACCGTCTCTGGGCCCGTCTACGCCGAGACTGTCTCTGTCGCTGGTATCACCGTCAAAAATCAGGTGTTCTCACCTGTCACCACCATCTCGCCCAGCTTCGGCTCGGAGGCGGACGACGGACTCCTGGGTCTCGCGTTCCCTGCCATCTCCAACCTCCGCCAAAGCCCGTTCTTCAATACCGCTAAGACCCAGGGCGCAGTTAAGACCGGCGTGTTCGGGATGAAGCTGGCCAAGACCGGCTCCGAGCTCTACCTCGGCGGCACCGACACCTCGCTCTACACGGGCTCGCCCGAGTACCACACCGTCACCGGGTCTGGCTTCTGGCAGATCTCGAGCGGCAGCATCGTGATCGGGAACCAGACGATCGTGTCGAACTTCCAGACGATTATCGATTCCGGCACTACCATCATCTACGGGCCGCCGAAGATGGTCGCAGCGTTCTACAAGTCGATCAACGGGTCGCAAGTGTACGACTCGCAGAACGGGTTCTACTCGTTTCCGTGCAAGAGTGTGCCGTCGACGGTCGGGTTCAACTGGGGTGGAAAGACGTGGACGATCTCTGCGGCGAACTTCAACTACGGGAAGGTCAGCGCGACGATGTGCGTTGGTGCGATCGCGGGCCAGGACCTTGGGCTCGGATCGAGCACCTGGTTGTTGGGCGACAGGTGTGTTTCTTGCATCGTTCTGTGCATATGACATGGATGCTAATCGCGCTTGACAGCTTCATGAAGAACGTGTACACTGCGTTCTCGTTCGACTCGAACTCCGTCGGCTTCGCCCCGCTGAAGTAAAAATATCAGAGCACCATATCCCTACATTATACCCCATATTTATCTCATGCAATCCTTGATACCCTCCCGAACGCTGATGGCGAGTATGTGCTTGCGCGCCTCAGCAAATACTGCAGCTACGGTCTCACTGCTGGACGAACTGGAAGGCTTCCAATCTTGAGACACCGAGTTTGCCATTGAACATTTACTGGGCTGTACTTTCTAGATGCAAGTTGGCGAGCGGGGAACAAGGGTAGATAGACAGAGCTGGTACTAAGTATAGTGAAGTGAGCTCGAGGAATTCGTTGGATTGTCGGAAGCGCCCAGACGCGCTAGCCACAGGCGCGTGAGCGCGTTAAGCTCACGCGACGCGTCTTGATTTCCTACCACCACCACCACCACCACCACCACCACCACCACCACCACTCATAGCGTGTTTACTCCACGCCTCTCCCCAATATGCCTGCCGAGCGTACGTCCAAGAAAGCTCTCCGACAGACTACGTTGTTTGGCTTCACGAAGGCAGCACCGCGACCAACAACTAAACCGTCGGATGAGGCCCCCGCGTCGGATGTGCCGGTCGCGCGGGACGAGACTCCCGAATCGGACGAAGCGGTCGAGTTTGACGCGCCAGACGTGTCGAAACTGTCGCGCGTTGCTCCCCCACCACCAACGAACACCAAGCGGAAGGGGAAATCCAAGGCCATCAAGGAGGACCGCGTCTTGACCGACGTGCTACTGTCTATCAAGCCCGAGTTCACGAAGCTCATCTCGGAACGGAAGAAGAATCACGAGTATCGCAAGTACAAACTGCAAGACACCGTAGTGCGGCTATGGCTGTACGAAACAGCTCCTACCTCCGCGATTACGTGAGTGCATCCATACCATGGACCCAATTTGTGGCTATCGTGGTCGTTTTCTCTTACTCACACACTCTCCAGATACGTTATGGAAACCTCGCGTCCTAAAGTACCCGGAGAGGTCAACGACTCGTCCGGGATCGGAAATGACGACTTCGACAACGGATTGAAGCAGTCGAAGTACGGCTATCCAGTTGAAGCGCTATACAAGCTCAGGGACCCGGTGACAACGGCCAAGCTCAAGGAGCGCTTTGATATTGCAGTCCCACAAGGCTGGCGATACGCGACGAAGAAGCTCGTGGAAGGGGAGAAGCTGGAGGACATGGAGAAGCTTTTCTGACCTGATATCCACCTGCGACCCAGCTAAAAGTTGGACTGCCGTTATGTATACCCTTTAGGAGAGCTTGGGGCTTCTTGGTTGGATTTGTACAGTTTTGATGCTCTCGCAATTGCTCTACTGATATACTCTCTGGATGAATCTGGATATCTCTAGTGTTTGAGGTCACGCAGACGCGACAACCCATAATACAGGTATGCGATCTTTCGCTGCATCCATTAGTTATTATTGACATCCATCGAACCTATGGTACACACAGAGACAGTCAAACGAATTGTTAAAGCAGACTTAATCCGAAACCTCCTTGGACGTCGTGGCGTCGTCTGCGGACCCCGCCGCTTTCTCGAACATCAGACGCAGATACTCCACGCTGTAAGAACGAAACAACTTGGTGGGCTCGCGAACCCAACCTTCCACCATTCCGAACAACACCTGCCTTTCCTTCTCCGTCATCGTGGCGTACGCCGCCACACGATTCTTCTCCTGGGCGGGCATGTACTCGTACGCGTTCTTCCCCACGTACAGGCTGCTCTTCGACAGCTTCGCGCCGGACCAGTCGGTGATGAGAGGCGCATAGACGATCAGCGGGAAGTCGATCGCGTTTCGCATCGCAGGCTCGGCGACCTGCTCGAGCTTGGACATCTGACGGAAGAACAGGCGCTCCTGGTACTGGCCCGCGTAGTCGCTGCCGGTCACCCGCATGTGCAGGCGCGTCGGGGCAGCCTGACTAGACACGCGGCTCTCCGCGGTATCGGCCATGTAGACGAGGGCCCGCGCGAGGTTGCGGAGCGGCGTGTTCAGCTCGAGCCGCGCGAGGTCATCGGGGCGCTCGAGGTGGAGGGTATACTCACCGTGAGTGGGACAGACAAACGTGATGGCCGTCGACGCGGGGCTGACGCTGTAGGTGTTCCGGACCCCATGCTTGTCCGCCATGCCGCACCCCACGGCGGGGCACGCGCTCCGCATCGCGAGCGACTCGCGCTTGGGCGCGACCTCGCCCGCGAGGCGCTCGCGGTCGAGGATGAGGGTGCGGATCGCGTCGCGCGTCGCGGGCATGCGCATGAGGTCCTCTTGGTATGCGATCGCGTGGTCGACCTCGCCCCCGACGAATGCATGCAGGTCGGCGATGAGCCGCTTGTAGTCGCCCAGGAAGTTGTTCATCTTGCCCGTCTCGCGGTGGCTGCGTTGGTACGCGATGCCGTCTAGCTCTATGGTCTCCTCTTTGTCTGGGGCGGTGTCGACGAGATCGAGCTGGACGACGACCCGCAGCTCATCGACCCACAGGGCAGCATCGGAAGGGGACGCCGCGAGGGAGTGGGCGCGGAGCTTGGCGTACTCCCGCTTGAAGAGGCGGCCGAGGAGGAATGCGAGGGCGAAGGTGATGATAGTCCCCGCGTGAGGGCTGTTGTTTGGCTGGGCGCCGATGTGGATGAAGAGCGTGGAGGACGTGGCGTTGTACTCGGAGGAGTTTCCGGAGTCGGAATCCGAGTCGGCGTCGTTGGAAGGGACATGAGTGGAAGAGGTGCGCGCGCAGGATGAAGCCTGGGAGACGACAGGGGAGGGAAACCTTGCTGATACCGGGATGAGGCCGAGGTCACGTAGGAGCGGCTTCGCGAGCTCCTTCTCGTAAACGTAGCCGGCCGCACCTAGGGGATTGTGGACGACGCCGTCGTGCCGCGCGTCGAACCACTCCTGTCCGGCCGCCTTCAACGCCGAGAAATCCTCGGTGAGAGCATCCATTTCTTTGTCCTTGTATGAGGACGGATGCAGGACACAAGGACAGTGGCACTGCGTACCTGGGTCCTATGTCGCGCCAAACACGATGGGTGAGAGGATGATGTGTAGAAGAATCTGGCTGCAAATGAAGTTCGCGGGGGTAGATACTAGCGATATAGTTGCTGGTTTGTGAGGGAAAGAGAGTATAGGAGGGGAAATGGACGCGTCATTCGACGCGTGCTTGATATACGGCTCGGACGTGACTGCAGGGCTCGCCGACATGGTGGGGTACCTGACCATGTTTGGACTAGCGGCGCTCTCTGCCGTCGCTGCCGTCGCAAGAAGCAGGCTTGCACATGGCTGCTTGGGGGTGGCACTGCAGCTACATTGACCTCCGTCAGTCCGAAGCCACTCGCACCTGGTGTCCATGTCGAGTAAGAGCTGCGGAAACGCAAGATTGGTGCTCGCTTCGGTCGACAAACATCCCTCTAAAGGATCTCTCCGGGAAGCCTCTCGGAGCGGAGCATGGGCCAATGCGCGTCGTGGCAAGCACCCGCTATCTGCATGTTAAATGCGCACCGTGTGCGTCTGACGGCCCCCGACCATCCGAGTACTTCAGGGTCGTTGGTCGGCAACACGACCATGAGTACCACGCACCCTTTCCTGATCGGCTCCGGGAGTCAATGTCGCCTTGGTGTAGCCGTACACCATAGACGCACTAATGACTTCCGAGCTCAGCTGCTGCGCAGCGCTCAGGGAATGTACATTGTCTTAACACCTCCGAGCTTCTTAGCATCGTCTCCTTTCGGTTGCGGCCCTGCGATGCTGATGATGCCGCCATCTTGGAGAGGGTAAGCTATATCTTGTTAAGGTCCACTCGCCCTCGACGGGACCGGGCGTGGCGAACGGCTATTCCAGCTCGGTCTCTTTTGGAGTTACGGTATCTGTCATTCGTGTGTCCGGACGCAGCCCATTGGCCGAATATCGTGCCTCGCTGCACTGGTTTACGGAGTCACAGAGACGTCGAGTCATCTACTCAAGTCTCGTACCACGCGGACGTGTAAACAAATGCTGAGAAGACGTCTGCGTACCTCAAGGTTCAAGTGTCGCGGTTACGGCCTCAAAGCACCGTCCACGGTGGTGGCCAGTAGGAATGGTTGGTGGCATCGCAACCCGCGCTCTTCTTGGTGTATCTCCGTCGTTTCAACTAGAAGTTGTGGCTAGAATATATCCGTTCGAGACCGGACCCGCTTGACATCGTGTGTTGGGGCGCAAGTTGGGCGGCACTGCGGGCAGACGCCACGCCCGGCCACTTAACATCTGAGATCGGCCACGGGCGTCGTGGCGCGGCGTTTCCCGAGGGCGATGGAGGCTGTGTTCCTTCTATTGAAGGTTCCTTCCCCGCGGCGCCCCATGGCTACTCGGCTGTCGCTTGTCGAAACGACCTCGTCGACATACTTATCCTGTATGGTCGTGTTGGTCCAGAGAGATGATAGAAACACTCACTGCTAAAGATCCTGTAAAACGAGACGTTAACAGGGCGTATGCAAGTCCTCCTCGGGTCATGCCCTCGATTTGGTTTGTCAAGATATTCAGTCGGCACATCCAAAGAAACCAGTATCAGTATATGTACAACAGCACGCAGATCGCCCGCAGCAAATCAGGAAGCCACACGTTGCAATGTGGGTCACCTACGATACCGCTCTCCCACCCTTCACGAGACCCATCCCGGTCTTCCTGTCCTTGCTCGGATCGTGCTCCAGGTCCATAGGATCGTTGGCGGACCCTGCCGGGGCGTTGATAGGCTCGTCGCCACACCCGCAGTCATACGTCTCGTCGAGATGTGCGCAGTCGAACTCTGGCTTGTGTAGCCGTTTGTTGACTTCGTTGTGTACGACGCATAGCCTGAGATAAAGTACGGTTAGGCAGTGACAGGAAGGAGCGAGGGGGAAGAAAAACGTACCATGTTGCAGCCGATCGCCGTGAAGACGTCTAGAGATACCTGTTAAGTAAACAGCTTAACCACGCAAAGCGCAGACGCACTTGTGGTGGGTATCTCTTCAGAAGCATTTGGAATTCTGCCGCGCACTCTCCGCACGGGTATAGGCGCGACATTAGATGGAAGTAGTTGTTTAGAGCATCACGCTCGTCTTGCGTAGGATTCTGTGCGCAGTGTGTTTAGAGACCGAACTGTTTCAACAGCCCTTTCTCAGTCAACACACCTCGGGGTATCGGAGAGTCATGGTATGTCTGGCGCCGGAACAAAGTTCAGCGACGCGAACGAGGACGCATGAGCGCCTTGGCACTTACAGCAATTTCCATGTCGCACGACCGAGCTCGGCCCTACTGAGTGTCAGTGACAACACTCCAAAGACATCATAAAAAGGCGTACTTTGCGGTCGCATTTCCCAGCTTGCCCATGATTACTTCCCCGTGCACTCCATGCGTGGGAGATGGCGGTGGCACCATGCCGCCCTCGCCGAAGAGGTCACCCGTCCATGTGTCCACGTATGTCCGAGATGGTGGGTGGAGAAGTGCCAGCGAGCCCAGGAGAAACTGTCGAGGGTCACCAGACTAAGGGTTAGAGCGTACCGAAGCCGAGATTAAACAGGCCGTACGAGAGAGAACACCGAGAACAGGAACGCCTTGAGGAAGCGCGGGGTCATGTCCCAAAGCTGATTCCGATGTTGAACGAGAGAATGAGATGTGAAGCAGCAACGGGCGAGAAACGAGGTGGTGGTCGAGAGGGAAGCCGCGAGCGCTCGCTGAGTCGCGATCGTGTGTTGCACTGGCACGCGCCCAGGCCAGGCGGGTCGCGACATGAGCCCGCGACAACACCGCCCGTCTTCTACCTACCACTCATTTTTGTTCGCGATTGTACTATGGAGCCACCGCAAGTCCATTCGCTGCATTATTGTGCTCCTAGAGTCAATAGGAAATGTGCGCGCGAGTCCTGAAGTTTGAGCATGACCTACGCGCCGGAAATCTCGCGTAGATAAGCCGAGCGAAACTAATCCCTGCTAATCCGCCTACAAAATCCGATAAGCACGGTAACAATCTCGAGACACTTTAAGTTCCTACGGTGAACCTATCGCAACTTGACTCACAACCATCATCTCCCCTTCCTGACTCGCCCATCTGCCGCCATAAAAAGCGCGAACAGAAGGCGGTACGAGCAGCAACCACCCACCACCATGGCCCCCATTCACGTCGACGAATCCGCCGGCTCAGACGAGACCGGCAAGGGCACATCTGAGGCGCCATACCAGACCCTCGCGTTCGCGCTATACACCCACCCCGACGAGAAGTTCGCGATCCGCAAGGATGCAGCGGGCACCTACGAGGAGCCCACGCAGTCCGCGCTGAAGAAGGCGAAGAAGGGCGCGGACGGTATCGAGAAGAAACGCAAGAAGGCGGAGGAGCTCGCGGAGCGCGAGGCGAAGGAGCAGGCGGCCGCGCGCGAGCGCAAGGAGAAGCGATTTGAGGAGAGCAAGAAGATCGTCCTCCAGGAGGATGCGAGTCTCCCTGCGGCGGTCAAGGTACGTGCAGATCACCCACCGGCGCGCACGCGACCTGCTCATCTCGCGGCAGGCCAAGATCGGCAACCTCACGCCCCTGCGGTCAAAACGAATTCGGGCCTCTGGATGGGTCCACCGTCTTCGCGACCAGAAGGAGATCATTTTCGTCGTCCTCCGAGACGGGACCGGATACCTCCAGTGTGTTCTGTCCGGCCAGGTCGCGCAGACATACGAAGCCCTCACCCTCACGCTTGAATCCACGATTGAGGTCGTCGGTACGCTGAAGACAGTCCCGGAGGGGCAAACTGCGCCTGGTGGCCACGAACTGGTGGTGGATTACTGGAAAGTCCTCGGCGCGTCTCCAGGTGGCGAGGACGCCTTCACCAACAAATTGAACGAAGTATGTACACATAACTCAACCAGATTACCGCCTCCTTCTGACGCGCCGCTTTCAGAAATCAGACCCCTCTATCCAGGCTGACCTCAGGCATCTTGTGCTCCGCGGCGAGACTGCGTCCGCCGTGCTCAAGCTGCGCGCCGCGCTTCTGACCGCATTCCGCCAGACGCTGATCGAGCACGATCTGCTTGAAGTTACACCACCCTGCCTAGTACAGACCCAGGTCGAGGGTGGCGCGACGCTCTTCAAGCTCGATTACTACAACCAGCCCGCGTTCCTCACACAGAGCTCACAGCTCTACCTCGAGACGTGCCTACCGTCCCTCGGCGACGTCTTCTGTGTGCAGGAGTCCTTCCGCGCGGAGAACTCGCACACGCGCCGTCACTTGAGCGAGTACACACATCTCGAGGCCGAGCTTGCATTCATCACCTTCACGGACCTTATGGACCACATCGAGGCGATCATCTGCGAAACGACCAACAAGCTGCTCCAGAACCCTACCTCCGCCGCGCTCATCAAGCAGCTCAACCCAACATTCACCGCGCCCGAGCGGCCATTCCTGCGCATGTCCTACGTCGACGCGATCAAGTGGCTGAACGAGCACGACATCAAGCACGAGGCCGAGGACGCAGAGGGCAACGTCATCCGCGACGAGAGCGGTGCCCCCGTCATGGTCGAGCACAAGGTCGGCGACGACATCGCGGAGGCGGCCGAGCGCCGCATGACGGACATCCTCGCACGCCCGATGTTCCTGTACGGCTTCCCGACGGAGCTCAAGGCGTTTTACATGAAGAAGATGCCGCGCGACGGTGCCACCGGCCCGACGTTCACTGAGAGCTGCGACCTGCTCATGCCGGGTGTAGGCGAGATCGTGGGCGGGTCGATGAGGATTGCGGACGAGGAGGAGCTGCTGGCGGCGTACAAGCGCGAGGGCATCGACCCCGCGCCGTACTACTGGTTCACGGACCAGCGCAAGTATGGCACGTGCGAGCACGGCGGGTACGGGCTCGGTGTGGAGGTATGTATTCTTCTCTTTCCATGGCTGCCTGCGGAGGCTGACTTGTCGATATAGCGCTTCTTGGCGTGGCTCGGGAAGAGGTTTACAGTGCGCGAGTGTTCGCTTTACCCGAGGTGCGCCACATTTACGTTCCCAACTCGCTTAAAATTGTCTAACGTTGCTTTCAGGTGGCCTGGCCGCGCGACGCCGTAAAGAGAAGAAGACAGAACGACAGAGGTGTATTCTAGGTGTTGTAGTAGACTTGGGTAAGACTATGGTCATTGCCGTGCCGCAACCACGCTGCACACATCGGTGTCCGACGTTGAACGTGAAGCTGATATTGACGATCACGGAGACATGGTCACGAACACGTTGAAGTTGTAGGTCTGCGGGTGCTCCTGCACCACAAACTCGTCCGCCCCAGGCGCACATTCCGCGACGACGGTCTCTTCCCGGATAACCTGCGCCTTCATCCCACTCCCCGGTACCATGGAGTACGACAGCATCTGCACGCCTGCGCGAGCCACGTTCCACGTCCTGCCAGGCAGATCGTCGCGCGCCCAGACGCGGATGAGCGCAGGCCCGGTCGTGTACACCACGAGCCAAAACGCATCGTCCGTCTAGCACATGCACAAACATGAGCTCCAGCGCTTGCTTTCGTCATATTCGCAGGGAACTCAGACTGGCACTCACCAGTTGCCACCGATCCGGACGTCCTAACGGATCGTCGACGGCCTCCGCGTCCTTCATGTGCGGGCGGGACCACATGTATATCCTGTCCCGCGCGATAGGCGGGTACGCGCCCTCCTTGAACGCGCGCGCGTAGTAGCGCGTGAGGTCGAGCCATGCGGTGTGTGGGAAGCCGTCCACCCAGGCCTGCGAGTTTGGCTGCGCACCCTTGATGGGCCCGATGTAGTGCGACTCACCGTAGTCTGGGCAGGAGACAGCTCAGGCTCTGAGCAAGGCCGTAAGGGGCGTGAAGAACGCACCGTTCCACGAGATTATCTGCACGATGTCGACCTGGTCGCGCATCGCGATGAGCTGCTCCCACCTGCGGACGTACAGCCAGTCGTCGCCACGGTAGAGCCACTGTTTGGCCGGACACGGACGTTAGACAGTGTGGCAAGCCAGGGGTTGTGTTAACAATCATATATAGCGACTGACGTTCTTGTTCCAGGAGTCAGGACCATAATGCTGTAGCAAGCTCAGCTTGCAGTCGTGGCTAACAAAGGAAGCTGTAGGGCGCACCGTGAAGAACCATGGGGATACGGCTGCCATGAAGGTACGGCCTGCCAGATGGTAGATGTGGTGCCTGTCCGTGTCGAGTCGAGCGTATACGGCGTCTTGCATTGACGAGTCGGGGGTTAGGTGAATCGGCCAGCTTCCGTTCCACTAGTTACCAGGAGAACATTGTTAGCGATGTGACTAGAGGGTTCTTGCGAGTCCTTACGTTGAAGTAGCCATCCATCGCGGAGATGCTCGGATAACGTTCAGGGTTTATGAAGAACGAGGGGACGAGGTGTACCTATGCGCATGCTGTTGGTTAAAAGGCTTGACTCATCAGACTCGCAGCGGACCGCGCCCTCACCGGTGCTATTTCCTGCAAAAAGCTCTTCACGAATTGCCACGCTTCGTGCAACGTAGTCTGCCCGAACAAACAGTCCTGGCCAGCAAATGTAGAAATCAAGACTGCGCCTTTGTACAGGAGCTGCCGCGGATGGTGTGCAAATGCCGCAACGTAATCCTGGAGAACGCATACGTCTTCTCGACACGCGCCGCGTATAGACCTGTCGGCGGTGTCATCAGTACCGAGGGCACACATAGGTCTTTCTCAGGGAACGCTTACGACATGTCGAAGCATAGGAATAGCCGGAAGGGCTCGACCTCGAGGGCGGCCGCGTAGCACTTTGCGACAGAGTCTTTCTGCCAGGACTCGACGCCGATGTTGAGTGCAAACGCGTCTCTGGTGGGGCCGGGACATGAAGTCAACACATATGTACTTACGCACAGCCGAGTGGAGCCGGAGTGCACTCACATTCCGTGGCTACTGGCTAGTTCAATGTCTTGCTTCCAGTCCTCAATGGTGTATGGCTGTATACGGTCGTGATGAATCCAAAAACTTACACAAAACCACTCAGGACACTCACAAACGTGTTGCCGACCACGAAACTGCCACAGTTGATAAGGATCAACCCGAGTGATGTCAGGCATTTGCTATTCAGCAAGCTTGCTCATGATCTAGATGGATACACTGAACTGGGCAACCACGAGTTTTGCATGATAGGATGTCTGGCTGTCTGGCATCGCGGTACCACCGGTGTTTGACATGGGAGTCGAGTCGAAGAAGCTGTGAAGCACTTACGACGTTGGAGGCGCCCGATCAGGAATCACTGCACGCCTTCCGAATGTAGAAATTTGCTCGTGAATAAGCAGTACGACAACTAAATTCATAGCCTGAACTGTATTGGTGGGGCGCGGATGCCCCGAAGAGCAGGGAGAGGCGGCGGACTAAACACTATTGTAGGGAGGTACCGTATAACAAAAGTGCCGATCAACGAGCATGAACTTGAACCGTACTCACTCCGACTGGAGACAGAACTATTGGCGAGAACAACCATATGCGCCAACCATCGGTGTTTGGGAGGGTATCATGGATTGCATGAGATGTGGTATACATGCGGGATATCATGGTGAGGTGAAGTGCTCTGATGTTTTTACTTGAGCGGAGCGAAGCCGACGGAGTTCGAGTCGAACGAGAACGCAGTGTACACGTTCTTCATGAAGCTGTCAAACGAGGTCAGCACCCATGTCACTCCTAGCAAAAATAAAAGGCACACACCTGTCGCCCAACAACCAGGTGCTCGATCCGAGCCCAAGGTCCTGGCCCGCGATCGCACCAACGCACATCGTCGCGCTGACCTTCCCGTAGTTGAAGTTCGCGGCCGAGATCGTCCACGTCTTCCCACCCCAGTTGAACCCAACGGTGGACGGGATCGACTTGCACGGGAACGAGTAGAACCCGTTCTGCGAGTCGTACACTTGCGACCCGTTGATCGACTTGTAGAACGCCGCGACCATCTTCGGCGGCCCGTAGATGATGGTAGTGCCGGAGTCGATGATCGTCTGGAAGTTCGACACGATCGTCTGGTTCCCGATCACGATGCTGCCGCTCGAGATCTGCCAAAATCCAGAGCCGGTGACGGTGTGGTACTCGGGCGAGCCCGTGTACAGCGAGGTGTCGGTACCGCCGAGGTAGAGCTCGGAGCCGGTCTTGGCCAGCTTCATCCCGAACACGCCGGTCTTAACTGCGCCCTGGGTCTTAGCGGTATTGAAGAACGGGCTTTGGCGGAGGTTGGAGATGGCAGGGAACGCGAGACCCAGGAGTCCGTCGTCCGCCTCCGAGCCGAAGCTGGGCGAGATGGTGGTGACAGGCGAGAACACCTGGTTTTTAACGGTGATGCCTGCGACGGAGACAGTCTCGGCGTAGACGGGCCCAGAGACGGTCGAGCCGTCGCCGTACTGTATGGAGAAGGTACCGCTCTTGGGGACGCTGGTAGACGACGAGGACGCGTTGTACTTGCTCTTCGCGCTGCAGTAGGTGCTCGTGCAGTTCACCGACGGGACCCAAAGGTCCGAAGAACCGGCTGAGAGATACCCATTAGCTCAAAGAAAGAGCATGAAGCGAGGCCTGAACTCACTGTCGAAGTCGATGAGGAAGGCCTTGCCGGGCGTCCCGATTGTAATGGGGCCCGCCCAGTACTCGTCGTTGTTCTCGTCAGTGAGCTTCTCGGCCTGACGCTTTTCGGGAGGGGCAGAGTAGTTTGCCATGGGCATGATCTCCGCACCCTGAAAGGCGACGTCAGTATCGCTAGGATTAAAAATGATGAATAAACATACGTCATTGAAGGCCTGCTTGCCCATGTTGCGTTCGAGGTTGATCAAGTTCTGTCTGTGTTTGCTGAAGCGAACGAATATCAGCATCATGAGCGCTACAATGTAGCGGAAAGGACATACTTGTGATCCTTGACAACCTGTTGTACCGCACGAGGGTGGTCGAACCAGCCATCGGCGGTGGTCATCCCGTCGCGCTTCCCAAATGGAACACTGGCACCGAGTCCCTCGAAGACGGGGGAGGCGCTGGTAGACATGGCGAGGGCGAGAGCGATGAGGCTAGCCTTGACAAACATGGCGAAGGAGTGAATGAGGGAGTGGTGATGGTGGTGGTGGTGAGGTGTTGGTATGAGTGGTATGAGTGGTATGAGTGGAAGGTGATGGACTTTGACCGTCGAGTAAGGGCTGTTTATATGCCCCAGAGAGCCACATCCGCTCTCTTCACCAGGATTCTGTAGAAGAGATCTACACCATGGGGTGGAGGTGTCGTCCGAGGGCAAAACACCTGCGAAGGTGTGTGAAATGCGGATGCCGCGTGGTATCCGCGCATGGAGGATGTGGACCTGCATGCGAGATTATCGGTACGTGCATTGGCGTGAATTGGTGTTCAGGATGCCTGCGCCCGGTTTCGGAAGTCTCTGTACACCCGCGAGATCTTCGGTTCCTTTGGGGAGAGAAGAAGCGGTGGTCTGCCTTATGGCTAGTCTGAAACACAACGCCCGACATCCGTCTGGAGAGGCATTTCAATCGAGCCTGGTCGTATCCTTACTGGACCTATAATGCATTCGACTTCCGTACGGGCCAAATTCAAAGGGCTCCTAAAAAAGGGTCGGTCGTCAAATCAGGGCGGTATGGGACAGTAAAGGGGTGAATATGGCGTACTTGCGTACCGGATCGATGACTCTGCTATGTGGATATGGTGAGCATACTTGCACAAGGTCGCAGTGCAGTGGGAGCGACCCGGTTCAAAGAGTGACAGCCGCGTTGCGACTATACATATACGTGCACAGACAGTATTGTACAAAGAGGACGCAAATGAAACAAGGACGCGCTCAGCTGTCGGATCGTCGCCGGCGCGTCCTTCTTCTGACTTTCCCCTCGCGAGTCTTTCAACTACTGAGGCACGGCACCGCTCAAAGGACCAGCGACGCGCCCGCATTCGACGTCTTCAGCCTGATATGCCCACTCTTCGCCTTCTCGTGCTTCGGCTCCCAGTCGACCTCGCCACGGATGGCGCCACGGCCGATCGGGTTCACCTGCACCGTGCGATTGCGGCCCTTGCCCAGCGGGTCCTCGACAGGGTGCGGCTGCTTGACCGTCGGCGGCGAGAACCGGGCCGAGTACAGCTCAAACGTGCCCTCGAACGCGGCGTGTGCCTCGAAGCTCACCGGGGCGTTCGACGACACCGCGGACGCGTTCAGGAGCGAGTTCGCGGGCGCGTCTGTGACGGTGACGCGCGCGACGGCGTTGGTCGTGCGCGTGTTGACGCGGAACGCACCGTCGACGGAGCGAACGAATAGTCCGACGTGAGCCTGAATCGCGCTGCAGGGGTGTGAGCGGAGATGTGAGAGATATATGAGGATGTAAGCGTACCCGTTGCTGGTGTCTGCAGTGAGCACGGTGCCGGCGTCCTTGTTGGAGTTGATCAGGTTGGCGGTAACGTGAATCGGCGCATTGCTCGTGCGAAGCTCGAGGGACTTCGAGGTGTTGAAGGTGCCTTCAATCTTCCCGTTCGAGGACCTGAGCTTGCCGATCTCGGCCCTCAGCGACTGCGGCGGAGAAGTGTCAGTAACAAGCAATAAGTTAAGTGCGCATGGCACGCACATCGGCCCGGAGCGCGGAATTCGACGTCGCGAGGCTGATAGACTTGAAGACGACCGTGTCCGCTAGCTTGGAGAGGTGGTGCGCGAACAGCGGCAGGTGGGTATTGAATGCGTTGATCGTGCGCGGATCGCCCTTCTCTGTAGCCGGGAGATGTACATGGACGTGGAAGCGGAGCTGGCGGTGAGGCTCCGGGTGGTTCCAGCGCTCGGTCTATCAATTGCGCCCATATGAGCAGTGACACAAGGACACAAAGAGCAGGTAGAACTCACGAAAATCCCGAGACCGTGCTTGTTTTCGGACGGGCTAAGGTGACACACCTTCGCTTCGTCGAGGGCGTCCTCGCTCCTGTACACAACATCGATGTCGACGACAGCCTTCGTGCCGGTATCGGTCGACTGCGACACTTCGAAGGTGCCGTGAGCGCGCGAGCCCTCGGCCTTGAATAACAGCTCTTCGGCATCAATCGGGATCGCCAAGGAAGCATGCGCGTGGTATGGCCAGTCGGTATGGTTATCGACGGGATCATAGCGCCACTTGACGGGATCGGCGCAGTCGGATGGGCTACTCATGACCTCGTGCATCCAGTGGGGGTCGACGGATAGGTCTTCCTTACTGAAGTGCTGTCGAACGGGTAGGTATAAGCGGCAAGGTGGGGTAAGGGGTGAGGACCAATATGTGCACGAACCTTGCGGAAAACACTAGCCACGGGGTCTACTAGAGGGTGCCAGAACAGAAAAAGGAGTAGGGTGCAGGCAGCGAAGTGACACAAACGGCGCCTGCGCACAATCCGCCTGCGATCCTGCGGTAGGACCTCCTCCACGCCATTAGTCTGGTACACGGCATAGTCGCTTGGGGGACTGTGCGGGGACAGAAGTGCCTTCTCCTGGTCCTCGGAGCGAGCTGCAAGAGGGGTCGAGCTCTCAAAGTTGGGATCCATGGTGGGTGGGGATCAACCTGTGGCGGTTCGGGTGAAGGATCGCTTTTTATACCCGCATGCGACCCCACACCCATCCGCTGACGGGTTCGCTGAACTGCGGGCCACAGAACCCAATCACTCGAAGGGCGCCTGCTGGCGCGGATCTTTGCTCGTCAATTTTGCCTGCGCCCGGGTCGAAGGTTAGGATACCTTAAGTGAAAAATGACGTAGCTCACAATTTTGAGTCCCTCTTGTGAGGGTGGAGACCTTGCTCTGACGAGTAAGGAAATACCGCCGAAACAGCCCAGATCCTAGGGCGCTACACTGTTCAACACGCAATCAGTTGCGCATGTGAGGACATGACGTCCGCAGCCCCAAGCGCAGGCCGCGGTCTCCACGCAATTGAGTGACGTGGATTCGTCAGGGCACGATGCACCTGCTCAGAACTTGCGCAGCTTTCGAGGTGTCATATCTGCCCTCACCGAGGCAGCGCTCGACTCCTCAAGCCGAGTCGAGACATCGTGTTCGATATTTCTTCGGATCGGACTTCATGGTAGAGATGGTTCATGGCGGCCGCTCAACCGTGCATAAGAGGGAGAGAGAAGAGTGATCAGGGTCTCGCAAGCCTCGCTGTCGGGGAGTGGGTCGAAGACAACTTTTCGTTCTAACGGAGCGCCCAAGTTGGGCCTACCCGGGGATTGCCGTTCTGCAGTATGTACATACAGTACTTGGGTCTCGCCGGCACTGCGAACAGAGACCTCCATTGAACGTTTCATCCTGACACTCTGATCGTAGTTCATATATTGCATAGGATGCGGAGTGGTGGCGAACACTGGCATTGGCACCCCGGAAGACTTCTAAGAAGAAGCATCGTTGACTCGTACTACAAGTTCTAACTGCGGACAGTGCTAGTAAGGTCCGTGCTCGACGCGCCGACGCGGACTCGCGCTACGTATCATCTGTTGCATCGAGAGAACCGTTGAAACGTTCTCGCCATTGCTTACCTTCCGCGCGGTCTGTACAGCGAGCATGAGCACTGTGAGCAGATCGACAAACACTACACTGGCGGCATCACGATACGTAGCGTCAACGCCCAAACGTGGATCACCGAGACATAATCGAGGGAAGGCGCGGTCCATGGCGATGGCCAACAGCAACATCGGCGTGTGTGGCGCAGGGCTGCAGTGAAGCCGGAAGAAGCGCAGCGCACGGTGGGCTGGCCAATCCTGCAGCGGCCCTCCTGTATCGAATGCGCCTATGTCAGGAATACCACTCGCACTGAGCGTTGGGAGCGTCAGTCTCGCCAAGTGTGGATGGGCTCGGGTGAATGCGAGGAGGGTGTCGAATGTCGGTGTGCCGGGGCCGCTCCATTGGCGCATGTCGATTGGTTCGCGGTACTCAAAAGTTTCCAGCAAGGGCCATGCGGAACAAAGAGCAAGAAGACTGCCGTCCATGAAAGCACCGCTGATATACTGGCACGACACTATGACTTCGCGCAGGTCGGGCAGCGTTTGCAGAGAGGCTGGCAACACGTTCTCGGGCAAGAGGCCCTCCGGAGAGTACATGTCACCGGGCGAGCGTGGGCGCGCGCGCGCTTCGACGTCGACGAAAATCTGGTGGAGGGAGCGGATATGGCGCGGTATCTGTGCATATACTTCTTGCTGGCACAGGAAGTGCTCATGATATCCATGGAGCTCTCGTGTGATGACCAGCTCTTCAAGCCCCGCCGGGTCGGTTGCCTCGAGGAACAGGGCGATGTCCATATAGCTGGCATTCAGGCGTAGCTCTCGGAGCTTAAAAAAGCCGGGTGCCAGCTTGGAAGCCCCCATAGAGGTTCGATCGTCCGTAGGGATAAAGAAGTTGAGGGAGAGATGATAGAGGTTGGGGAAGGTCATGAGAGCTTGTATCGCCGATTTCCTAGCAACTACCGTGTGGCAGAGCTCGAGTCGCTCCAGATGTGTCAACACGCATATGTCGATGGTAGACTGGTAAAAGCCCAAGTTATGACGCGGTCCGTAAGCTGAGAGGTCATATTCATGCAACTTCAGGGCCAAGATATGGGTAAGATGGGGACGGAGGACATCGGCTAGTAGTGTGCTGCTTATTCTGCCATCCAACATCGGCGGGTTGGGGATCCAGATGGCGAGAGTGTGCACGGTGGAGCATAAAAGCGACAGAAGGGCTCCAAGAGAGGGTCCGACGATCAGGGATTCCAACTGCGAGAGAAGAGGTGACCCCCGGGACATTTGGAGCAAGACCATCCACACTTGCTCTTGCTCGACTGAGTTGGGGGCCTTTCCGAAGTATCCACACACAGATCGTACGCGTGAGGCATATACTTGAAAGCGCCGCCACTCCGTCTCCGCGATCGCACCAGTAAACTCCTATGACAGAAGAATTCAGCATCCACTGGTGACGGCAGGGGAAACATGACACTGACGCATTCTGTGCGTGAATACGTAGGAAAGAGATGCAGGAGACAATCGAATGCATCGACCCTTCGCCACAGCACATCCAGTGCAGGCGCAGTGAACACGCTGCACACGCGCGCGGACTGCGCTAGTGTATGCTTACGGACCTTCCGCTCGGCAATGATAACCGGGAATTCGTCCGGCTCAGGTAGGCGGCCGGGGTCAAGGTGTTCGAACACCTTAGAAAGCATGTCGGGACATAGAAATTGCGAAGAGACCATTGCGATCGACTGTACCCCAAGTCAATCACTGACGCAAGGAAAAGCAAGAGCAATGAACGTACAGATGAACGAGATCGCTTGTTTGTAAGAGGGAGAGTTCTGGGGGCGATAGGTGAGTACACAGCCGCTCCACGGCAACTTTATAGCCAGATGGACTTAAGGTCCGCGCTTGCAGCGCGATGTGGTATCTCGGCCACAATCAATCGATGAGGCGTGCAGGTACGAACACGATTACCTCAGGCTCCTTGGAAACCTTATTCCCCTAGCGCGTGGTAAACATACGTTCTACATAAAATGTCAGATATAGCAATGGGGGTATTGTACACCACTCAAGGATGAAAGACATGACAACCATTAGCAGTATATGTCCTGGGCGTACTGGATGCGCTGGCCATTCAAACAGTAGTGCCCAACGTCCGTGACATCTGGAAGGCAAGAAGAGGCGCTAGGAGGAGGTCCGTTGGGTCTCCATTGCTTCCGATCTTAGCTGCGCGAACAGGCCCAAGGTCCAGCGCTGGGAAGGCGCGGTCCACCGCGTAGGCCAGCGACACGAGGGGCGTGCCCACCATATACGTCTTCAGCCGGAACAGGCGGAGCCCATGCCCCGGCCAATCCCGCAGTGCCCCCGCGCTAAGGAGCTCGATCCTGTCCGGGATCCCCTTCGGGTTGAGCCCAGGGAGCGTAAGGCGCCTGAGGCATGGGTGGGCACGCGCGAAGGCGAGGAGCGTGTCGAGCGTGGGCAACCTGGTGGCATCGTCATTGTAGTAGAGCAGGCCGTCGAACTCGAAGTCCTCGAGCGCGGGCCAGGCGGAGCACAGTGCAGCAAGCTCGTCGTTCTCCAGGGTACGCGTGACGTTCGCGAACTGGAGGAAGACCTCGCGTAGGTCATGGAGAGCGTAGACAGAGGGCGGCAGCACACGCGAGAGCGTGAGCTGAGGCTCGGTGTATAGTTCACCGGGAACGTTGGAATTTTCTGGCAATACGCGGTAGCGGAGACGGAGGTCGCTGAGTTGGGGTGGTATTTTGGCATAAGCCCGGGGTAGATCTTCGAACCTGGAATATTCGTTCCACTCGAGCTCCCGTGCGAGAGCTAGTATGTCAAGCCGTGGCGGATTGGTGACTTCCAGGAACAGAGCGAGGTCGTCATAAGAGGCCGTCAAGTCAAGCTCTCGAAGCTCGAAGAAGCCTGGAGGAAAGGCGGACGCTTCCAAGGAATGTCGCTCGTCCCAACAGAGCTCGAAGACGAGGGAGAGGTAGCGGAGGTTGGGGAAGGTCATGAGCGCCTGTATCATCGATCGCCGAGCAATCACCGGGTGGACGACCTCGAGCGACTCCAGGTGAGTTAACGCGCAAAAGTCAATGAATTTGGGTATGGCTATGCTGCGACGCGGCCCTGGCCCTGGGGAAAAGTATTCGTTTAACTCCAACGTCCTGACGTGGGAGAGATGGGGGCGGACGGTGTCAGCCAGCAAAGTGCCTGCTCCCGCATTCCCCCATGGAATGGGGAGGCCTACGTTCAGACTATCAACAGAGGGGGCTAGAAATGATATCAACCCCCCGAGAGAGACGTCGATGGTCAAGTCTTCCAAGCGTGGAAGCAAAGGCGACCCCTGGGACCTCTGGAGTAAAACCATCCATACTTGCTCTTGATGTGGTGCGCCAATACTCTTGCAGAAGTTCGCGTTAATGCTTCGTATGCGTGAGGCGTATTCTTGGAAACGCTGCCAATCTTTGTCGCCGATCGCACCAACGAAACACTAGGAAGAAGCCGAGCAGTGCGGATTATGAGCGGGTGAGCACGACAGTGACGCGATAGTACTGACCTCTTCTGTGTCCGAGTACGTGGGAAAGAGGCGGAGGAGGTATACGAAGTGGTGTGCGTGACGCCATAGCAGATCCAAAGCGGGTGCGGTGAACGCACTGCAGACACGCGCGGACACGGCCAGCGTATACTGACGGTGTTGCCGTTCAGAAACGATGGCGGGGAACTCGTCGAAGACGGGTATGCAGCCAGGCTCGAGGTGTTCGAACACCTTGGAGAGTATGTCGTAGCACAGGAACTGTGAAGATACCATCGTGGGAAGCGGCAGCTGCTCTGTAAGTTTACAATGGTTAATCACCGGCGCAATAATGGGGAAGAACTATGGGCGTACGGATTGACGAGAAGATAAGACTAGCCAGTGGTAGGGGGTTCTGGAGGCAGGGAAGTTGAGTATACGACTGCTCCGCTTCGTTATAAGTAGTCAGGGCGCATTATCCGCGCTTACAGCGCATCGGGACCACAGTCATTCACTATCGATGACACGAGTGCGCAGATGATTCCCTCTTTGGGAGCCTCCTCCCATGACGTCGGCGTGGTATACTTGACTACCACAATCGTCGCTATATTGAACCTCGATCGGTCTAGATGACAAATTGGCACGGACCTCTACGCAAGCAGTGAGTGTCTACTTAGTCGCCGTCTTGGACGCGTGCCAGTAGTCGAAGTATTGGTAGATAGTCTTCAAGGTCGGGCGCTCGTTAGGGTCGCCCGCTTTGCACTTCTGGACGATATCGGAGGGCACCTCGTCCTCCTCGAACAGTTTCGAGAGCGCAACCCCGAGCGCGTGCACCTCCGCCGCCTCGATGGCGCGTGGGACGTGTAGCCATTCGTCGTACGGGTACGCCCTGTGCCTCAGGAGCTCCTGTCCCTCTTATCCACAGTCTGGCGGCTGATGGTAGAGCAGCCTGCCGTCGTCAGACACGGTGACGCTACCTCCGGCGTGGACTTCAGGGGCTGCTGCCTCCTCGTTCGCGCGTCCCTGCTCGAAGTCGATGAGAATCGCGTAGTCGTTCCCGTCGAGCATGATGTTTTCGAGCTTGACGTCGCCGTGATACGTGTGGGCGGTGTGGTGGACGTGCACGAGCGCCGTTGTTGCCTGGTACGCCCATTTGATTCGCCGGGGTAGCGCAACCGGTCCGGCCTCGAGCACCTCCCACAAGTTACCTCCAGGGAGAAACTTGGAGACGAAGCCGCAGATGAGCGTCGCGCCCCCGAATTCGCGAGAGATGTACGCAATCGGAGGACCGATGATATGCGGATGTGGAGGAATGGTACGCAACAGCTCCATCTCGCGTAGGGTACCTGCCTCCATCACGGCGGTGAATCCTGGAGAGAGGAGCGCGGATGCGGTGGGTATCCATTGCATGACACCGATAGTTTGGTCGGGAAGCAATACGCGCGCGATGCTTCTGCTCCATGCATCGAGTGGATTGAGCACGAGAACCCTGCCGATGTCGTGGACGGGGAAGTCGACAACAGACTCCAGTCTGGTGGCGGCATGATTCTTGATGCGCCGTAGGCATGCGGCCTCGATTTCTTGTAGGCTGTCCGGCAAGCCAGCTCGGAGTCGAATGACCCGCCCGTCTGCCCTTTCGACGGTGGACGCGATGAATGTAGGATCGCGTGGCGCGAACAGGAGGGAGGAGGGAGGTAAGTCAGTCAGGCGAGGTATGATGTGGTCTTCGACGAGGTGAGCCAATGCAGCGTGATACTCTTCGAGGTCCGCGTTTTCGTCATCGAGGTCGACATTCCAATGGACTATCTTGCTCTCGAGGGCATCAGGGAGGTCCCGGTTGTCCTCGATGAAGACATGACAGAGTCTCGACGTGAGCAGGGGTTGGGAGGGGAAGTGACACACAAAGGGCGCTCCTATGATCGTGTCGTCGTCAGACCGAACAATATCGGAACGTTCGACGGTAGATGGTCGCTGAAGGGACAGGGTAGTCGAAGTCGTCATGTTCATGACTGCTGGACTGACTAGTGAGATGCGCAAAGACCAAAACATTGGATGCCGACTTACCTTGGGTCCTGGGTGGGTTGCTAGTACTTGTTCACTTGATACTTCGGCACTACTGCTTTCCGTTACAAGAGACGATAGTATAAACTCTTGGACGTCAGAGTTAGGAGAGTTCTTATATATGAGTCATGTTGGAGCGAAGCAAGAGCATATGTACGCATATTTGCGAAGGTGGGTATATGACTCACTGTGTGAATGACGGTCCGCAGGACTAAGATTTGTAGATTCCTTCGTCAGGCCCATAACGGGCAGTCTCCCTACCTTTTGATACAAATGGCACGCCCTTGATATTCACGGGAGGACGTACGTCCACCAGCAGACTCCGAGTAGTATTGCACACTGGTAGTGCCCCTACAAATCCGGAGGACAGGGAACATCACGAGAGCAGAGATGACGAGTATGCCTTGAAGCTAGAGATATTTATCGGTACTGGCTTCGAGGCTTTAGTGGCAGTTAGCTTGACTTGAGGGTCGTTGTCGGTAGGAGAGGGGGACACTCAGAACCGTTGAGGCCCAACAACTTCAACTTCTTACGATGATCGAGCGTCTGTAAGTCTCAAAAAGGAAATAGCCAAGCTCCTTGCGATGCGTTGTTTGTTCCGACCAAACACGCAGCTTAGTCTCACAGACGACCGTGTCCGACATGCTCGACCCTGCACACCCACCACCCCGCCCCCGACTCCCTTCTCTGACGGCTGTTTTCGTTGCATACGCTGCTCTGCGACTCTGGACGTGAAAGAAGCTCGCCAAACGGTGCAATATCTGGCGAGATCAGCCGCGACTGTCATACCACGCGCGGGGAAGCGCGCTACATGGCGGTATGAGTGCCCGGCGCAAATTCCAGCACTCTGAGACTCCGGCGACGTCTTCTACACCCTCGAGGAAGCAAGATCCCACCGTACCCGGAGATGGCGGAGAAGACGTGATCGAGTGCGTCCGCACGCAATGGGTACAGGATCGGCGCGAGGAGTTGGACAGGGTGTTTGATACTCATGATACCCTCGTACGTTTTCCTGACCTTATTATCTCGTTTGACTGCGCTCAAAGCTTTCAGATCCGCGAGGCCTTTCATCTGGAGAAGTTTGTGTCGCTGCTCACCTATGACCCAAAGGTATGTGCTCTTCTATACTCCAAGCTTTTATGGAAGTGGCGAGAGCGAGACTGAGCTTTCCATGTTCACCACTGCGCTCGCCGCTCGCGTCATGCCTCCCACGTTTCCGAGCCAGGACGTATTGCATTTTCACGTGAACTTTCACGCTTCAGACTGATAACAGTCTGCGTCTCGCCGAGTAATGAGCCCTGCAAACATCTGGCCCAAAGTGGCACCCCTTTGCCCGACTGGCCCATCCTGATCGTGTTCAGAAAATGACGAGAGAACCGTGTTACATGCTGGCCGCACATTGGATGCAACGTGTGATCAGTGTGCACCTACGGTGGCACAAGTTGAGACACCGAAAGCACAATCGGACTTTGGCAACGATGTGATTTCGGTGTAACATCTCGTTACATAGGCGCATACCTCCGGTGTGACTTCCCCGGCGGCGTTCCCTCTCCGCATTTCATGGGCGCCGCTCGCCACCCATCAAATCGCACATCTAAGGACAGCTTCGGAAGGCTTCTGCCACTGAAAGCGTTCCGGGCCGTAATACTCTGATGGTTGCAGGCATGCCTAGATGTCTGTGCAAGCCAGGCTAATAGCCCAGTTTCGATCCCGAATGTGCTGGCTACAGTCTGCGACGTTGTTCACGGCCTAAGCCTATCCGGAATATATAAAGGGTGTCCTCCATGCGTATAACCTGAACTCCGCGCGGGGGAGGTGTTCGCAGTGGGGTTTATTCCCGTACAAGAAGTTGAGAGGTACCGGGCTGCGGTGCGCATGATGTACCACGTTTGCTTTACAAGGCTCGCTTTGAAGATAGATCTCGCTTGAAATTTCTCATCTCGTCCATGTCACTGCTATACAAGGTCGATCTGACCGGTTTCTCCGCAGGCTGCCAAAGAGGATCGATCCGACGTATTCCAGCGGGTAAGTCGCACCCTCGTGTAGTCTTCATACGTTACCTTATGCCGTATTTTATAGTATCAAGCGCAATACGATCTCGTTGACCACAATGCCTCCTCCGGCCCCTCCCGACGTACGACCCGGCGTGCTCACACGGAACGCCTACAAACCTTGAAAGTGCCTACCGTCACCGCGCCCCCGCCTACTCAGAAGAAAGCCCGCAAAACGGAGGAGAAGTTGGGTGTCGCCTTCTGGGACCTCAAGGCTGAGGCAAAGTCCAAGGGGAAGCAAGTACATGCCAACGGTCAAGACGCCGCGTCCTCTCCTGTTGGTCCGCCTCGCAAGGGGAAGGGCAAGCAGCCTGTTGTGGAAATTCTTGTCCCCCGGCCCTCAGTGCGCCGAGCAAAATCTCCAGTTCTTGCCAATTATAGTGACCACGAGCCAGAATCAGCTAGCACATCTCATGCCCCCGCCCACGGACTTGCGCCGCCACCGCCACGCAAGAAACGGCGCCTCACGCACCACGCCAGCACCGCTGATCTTTCTGGACGCACCTCCACCCGCCAGTCTCTCAGATCTGCTGCCTCTGTGCCCGATCTCTCTTCTGCCGTGTCTTACGACCACCATGGCGAGGTGTCTTCCAGCGCAGTGAACGGAGTCTCTTCAATGGGACCGCCCGCGGAACCCCCTCCGTCCCCTACAAAGTCGACCATACCGCGCATAAAACTTATCGTGCGGAGGCCCGCGCCCGTGTACACGCACCCTTTACAACGGCCAAAGCCTACTCCGTTTGGCGGATCTATAGAAACCCTTCTAAACTCGTTTACATTCCGTCTGCACGACGAGGTCAATGCCGAGCAGGTCGACGAGGAAGTCGAAGCCGAGCTGAAGGTCTGGCGACGCGTCGATAAGCTGCGGAAGGAGGGGCGGATGGTCGGAGAGCGTTCGTCGTTTGAGTACAAGCCAGCGGACGCAAATGATGCCTGGGGCCACATTGTACACGAGATCGAGCGGCCCGGCGCGAAGCTGGTAAACACGCGGCGGGGCGCGGCGAACGTGGCGGGCAAGGTGAAGGGACATTGGACCGGGGAGAGCGACAGGGAGCGGAAGCGCCTCAGGGTGTTGGCGCGAACAACGCTCGAGATAGTTATAGAAGAGTGGAAGAAGGCGGTGTATGTGAGTGACATCTATGAGCTCTGCTGAGGTAAAAATTGGCTGACTCGATGTCTCGCAGCATATACGGGAACAGGAACGACTGGAGAGGGAAGAAGAGCAGCGGAAGCTTGGACAGCAGCATCTCGATGCCATCTTGGACCAGTCAGGCCAGATCCTCGAGACACAGCTGCTCGACCTCGCGAGGGATGGGGATCACGGCTCGCGCAGCCGCTCCCGGAGCGTATCCACTCCTGGCGCAGATTGGCACGCTGCATCCGGCGACGATAGGTCTGATGCTACCGAGGTCTCTGATGACGAAATCGCGAGCGAGTCGTCGGAGGTTTCCGACACCCTCGGTGTAGATGAGGGGATCAGCATGTTGCTGACTGAAGATGCACGCGCAGGACTAGTCACCGAATCGCCTCGAAGCTCCTCTATAGAGGCGAGTACGGCGACCCCCGTTCTAGTGGATGACGAGGAAAGCGGCGACGAGGTGTTCACGGAGGTACAGCCAAAGCCCTCAGACCTTCTCACCGACGTTGTCGATTATGCCAGCAGCAGCGACCCCGGATCCCCACGACATCTCATCGACGACTCTCTCAGCAGCCCGACCCGGTCGCCAAATGCTGTGAATGGAGTTCTCAGGTCGCCGACGCTCATGTATGCCTCGAAGGGTCCGATTTCCATGGATATCGACGACTCCCAGGATTTATTTGCAGACGTCGCCGCGCTCCCATTCGCCGATGTCACGCTGCCCCCGCCTCTCAACGGTCACGTTACCAACGGCTTTAGCGATCTGCATGACACCCTTGCGTCCGAGAATGGGACATCTCCCGATGTACCAGGTGACGACGAGTCTTCCGCATCCCTCGATGCGTCTCTGCATGTTACGCAGACACTTAGCACACCTCTGAACGGGAAGAAGAATCACATCACCGTCGAGATACCCCAAACGCCTCTCGAAGATGCCACGCCATTCACCCCCGCTACTCCCGCCGTGGACGACCTGCCAGAGGAGATCGACGACGACATCGAAGAGGACTCGTCCATCCCGTACTACCTCAGGCCGTACGCGGTTGCGCCCGTGGAGTGGGATCCGCAGGCGAAGGTGAAGCCGCCGCAACTCCTGCGTGGCACGCTGCGGCCGTATCAACAAGCCGGGCTCGAATGGCTCGCTAGTATACACGCGCGGAACCTGAACGGCATCCTGGCCGACGAGATGGGACTTGGGTCAGTCCACGTCTCATGTTATATAGCGAAGTCATCGCCCACTAACACTAACCATAGGAAGACCATTCAGACCATCGCGCTCCTCGCCCACCTGGCGTGCGACCGGGGCATCTGGGGCCCGCATCTGATCATCGTCCCGACGAGCGTGTTGCTGAACTGGGAGATGGAGTTCAAGAAGTTCTTGCCCGGGTTCAACGTGCTCAGCTACCACGGGAACACGAAGCAACGCAAGGAGCTGCGGCAGGGGTGGAACAACAAGTACCACTTCAACGTGTGCATCACCTCGTACACACTCGCAAGCCGCGACGCGCATGTTTTCAAGCGCAAGCGGTGGTACTACATGATCCTCGACGAGGCCCATATGATCAAGAACTTCAAGTCACAGCGGTGGAACATCCTGCTGATGTTCCGCTCGTTCCGTCGTCTGCTGCTCACTGGGACGCCGCTGCAGAACAACTTGACTGAGCTCTGGGCGCTGCTGCAGTTCTTGATGTCCGGCACCGACTTTGCTAACCTGAAGGAGTTTGGGGAGTGGTTCGCAAGTACGTTGTTATAGTTATGGCTGAGGAACGTGTCTGACTCTGCCTGCAGATCCTCTGGAGAAGGCGATTGAACTCGGCGCGGTGGACGATGAGGTTCAGCAGCGCGTTTCGAAGCTGCATACCGTTTTGAGGCCGTATCTACTCCGTCGCCTCAAGCGCGACGTCGAAAAGGAGCTGCCCCAGAAGTACGAGCACCTTGTCATGTGTCCGCTCTCAAAGCGTCAACGCTTCCTCTACGACGAGTTCATGGCCCGCGCCGACACACGCTATGACCTCCAGTCGGGTGTCTACCAGAAGATCGCGAACATCCTCATGCAACTTCGGAAGGTTGTCAACCACCCGGACTTGTTTGAGGTCCGACCGATCGTCACCTCGTTCGCCATGCAGCGCTCTGCCATTGCCGACTTCGAAATCAAGGAGCTGCTCGTCCGTCGACGTCTCCTGGTTGAGTCTGACGAAGACCGCGTAAACCTCGATCTCCTAGGACTGAAGTTCATCGACAACCTAGGCCAGTCGGAGATTGCAGTTCGGGAGACACGACGACTGGATGCGACAGCGTACCTGCCCATGATCTCTGAAGTGCCGGGAGAGCCGCCTCCGGTCGATACGCGTACCATCGCGGGCTGGCGGAAGCACAGAGCATACCAGGAGCGGGCCGAGACCATCGCGCGGTGGACCCATATCGCCTACCTCAATCGCCTTCGGACGAATCAGGCCACTATATACAGCGCAGACACCCTTGCACTGGTGGGACGCTTCTACCAGCCGCTCCTGCCATACGACGTGTCTACTCGTCCGACGCAGTATCTCTCTACCCCTGAGAGGGTGCGCACGGCGATCAAGTCATTTGCCGCTAGAGCTGAAGAGATGAGCTCCATCATCGACCGGTTCACGTTCGCGACTCCAGCAGTCGTCGCTCGAGACCTTCCTTCCATCGCTCTGGCTGGCGTTCCCGAAGGCGTTGTTGAGTCCGTCAACTCCCCCCAGTTCGATGCGACCTTGCACCGCGCGGCCGTCAAGCTGCAGATCGCTTTCCCGGACCCGTCACTGTTACAGTTCGACTGCGGAAAGCTGCAGATGCTCGCCAACCTCCTGCGCGAGCGCCGAGCGGGTGGACACCGCGTGCTCATCTTCACGCAGATGACGCGAATCCTCGACATTTTGGAGATCTTCCTGAACTTGCATGGCTATCTCTACCTCCGCCTGGACGGTGCGACGAAGATCGAGGACCGGCAGTACATAACGGAACGCTTCAACTCGGACCCGCGCGTGTTCTGTTTCATCTCGTCTTCCCGTTCTGGGGGTGTCGGCATCAAGTGCGTTCATTTACACGAGCCAAAGAGAAAACAATATACTAACTCTGTGATAGCCTGACAGGAGCGGATACCGTCATCTTCTATGACAGCGACTTCAATCCTCAAATGGATCGTCAATGCGAGGACAGGTGCGTCTCTCGTCCCCCAAATCTTTCACAGCTTCTCACTCATCCCACCCTCACAGAGCGCACCGGATCGGGCAAATTCGCGACGTACACATCTACCGCTTCATCTCGCAGCACACGGTCGAAGAAGCCCTGCTCAGAAAGGCGAACCAGAAGCGCTCGCTCGACGACCTCGTCATCCAGCGCGGCGCGTTCGACTGGCGCACGCTCCTCGTGACCGACGACGCGGACGCGCTCACGCGCGCGCTGGGCGAGTTCGAAGATAGGGAGGACGCGGAGGCGGCGCAGATCGCGGCCCGCGAGGAGCGCATGCTCGAGAGCGAGGACGCGCAGGACTTCGAGGTGGACGCTGCCGCTGGGGAGGGGAGGAAGACCCCTGTGGAGAGGCGGGCGAGCGAGCCTGATCTCTTAGGAGAGGTGCGGGAGGCGGACGCGGAGGTCGTGGTTGGGGAAGAGAACGCGGCAGCGGGGAGCGAGCCCGCAGAGCCCGAGGAGGGCGAGGAGGAAGAGGAGGAAGAGGAGGGGCGGACGACGGTTGACTACATGCTCGACTTCATCCGCCTCGACTGGGAGCATTTTGGCGGCTGGAATGTCTGATCGTATATCACCGTGTTTGTATGTGGCCCTCGGCCTTTGCTACTATCTACGTGTCTACCGCTTGTATGTCGTACTCTACCTTGTCCCTGCTTTGCCATGCATTCCGCCGTAATGCCCCTGTATAGCACCCCCGCTCTAAGTCCCCCACCGCGCGCGGGGTTCCGGCGTACCTGCACACAGCACGTCTCGACTAACGATGCTCGACATACACCTGCCCGACGAGTACCACACACGCCACGAGCATCGCGACCGCCGAGATGGGCAGGTTCAGCGCGAGGAACTGCCGCCCGCGCACATGCACGCCCTTCTCGCGCAGGATCCCGCGCCAGAGCAGGCCCGCGAGCGACGCGGAGAACGTGAGCGTGCACGCGCCGAAGTTCGAGCCGAGCGCGAGCGCGTACACCGCGCCGTCGCGCTCGCGGGGGGAGGGCGTGGGGGAGGCGGCGGAGAGCCAGAGTTGGAGGACGCGCGCGAGGAGGATCGTTGCGCCGATATTCGTCCCGCAGAACTGCAGGTGTGCGAATTCAGAGTGATCCCTAAAAGGAGGAGAGAAAGAGAGGAACGTACGTTGCACATGACGCACGCGAGGAAACCCATGCCCCCAACGGCGCCCAGCACGCCCGTCGCGCGCACCCACGCGGCCCACCAGCGCGCGAAGAGCGCGACCCAGCCCTGCGCGGCGAGGCCCTGCACGAGCACGAACATGAGGAACGCGAAGGGGAGGAGCGCGACGGGCAGGCGCGCGGCGATGTGCGCGACCGTCGGGAATGTGCGCGTCAGGCGAACGTACGTGCGCTGGAGGCGGGGGAGCAGCGCGTATGGTTTGGGGCGCGCGGGCATGGAGGAGGATGGGGCGACGCTGGGGGTGCGAGAGGCGAGGTCTTGGAGCTCGTGGGCGGTGGATTGTACCTCCACCGCACCATCTTCGCCGGAGCCATCGTCTTCAGAAGGGGACAGCGGGGCTTGCAAATGGCGCCGGGACCAGTCATGGCGCACATCGCGCAAGAGCATGATCACCGCCGGCGGCACAGTGACCATATACACGGGCACCCGGATAGTGCTCACCCCCACAAGCACCGCGAGCGTGACCCCAAGCAATACCGCCCCGAAGACCGCCCCAGCGGGGTCGACGAGCGCGGCGCGGACCTCCGCGGGGGAGAGCGGGACGTCGATGCGCGGGGGGATGAGCGCGGGCGAGCGGAAGAGCACGAGGAGGAGCGGGAAGACGCAGGCGGCGGCGGCGAGGAAGGGGAGGACGACGTGCGCGGCGTAGCTGAGGAAGGAGAGCGAGAATGCGCCGGAGAGGACGAGGTTTGTGGGGTTCGAGGAGACGAGCACGACGGACGCTGGGGAGGGGGAGGTGGTCAGTCCTTTGAGGATGAGTGCGGAGGAGCTGGATTGGCGCACCCATGTTGGCGGCTGCGAATTGGGAGAAGATCCACGCCGTCGGGGGTGTGATGCTGCATCATTCAAGGTAAGTGTATGTTGCCAGGTGAAGATGAGACGGTCGGCGCACCCAGCTGCCCTCGTGAAGTACGCGAGGAATGCAGTACCGGAGAGGATCACCGGGTCCTTTCGAGGGGTGAGTTAGTAGCCCTCTGCGCGCGCAATACTGTATCGCTTACATTTCCGACGATGACGCCAGACAGCAAGAAAAATACGTAGAGGTACGCGAAGAGCTTGCGGCCGGAGGAGCCACCCTTATTGGCGACCCAGAAGGCCAAGAAACGGAGAAGACCTGTCGCATCCAGAGATATGGATATGTACGCCTATGTCTCGCGCTTTAGGTACGAGGAACCCTCTGCTGTGATCGGAACACGTACCAGAGATATGAACAAGGCCATGATATTGAGGGGGCTGACACCGCCAGTGCCGACGATGCCATCACGGACGGTCTGGGAGTTAAAGACTTTTGTCGCGAGGAGTAGTAGCACGGATGCGAGAGGGACGGTGATGAAGTTGAGCGAAATGTGGCGCGGTTTTACCATCGCCTGCGGCCGGTCGGGGAGCACGCGTGCGCGGACGAGGACATGCCGTCCGGCGCGCAGGAATGCGACTGGGACTGGCAGCCGCAGCGGGAATATGACAGCGAGATCTGTGTGGGGTCTGGTGAGCCAAACAGTAGGCAGTGAATCGTTCTGGATTGCGCGGCTTACTGGAGAGAAAGAAGAGCACGATGGTTAGGATAGCGGGCCACGTGTCGACAGACACATCCGAGTCGGTGGTTTTTCTAGCAGATGCGCTGGCCATGATGTACGATGAGTATTCGTAAAGCGGCCTCTATAAGCAATTTGAGGCTGTTTTGGCGAATGGTCGGTTAGAAGATGGTAAAGAGGAGTCGTTAGCACATGTTGGTGTTGGGGTCGTAGGTAGTGTCGTTATAATTCACTATGCCGATACTTTTGCTGCGTGGAAATATTGAGCATCGACGCCACTGAACCGCGCAGCACACGACACCACGGATGAATGGGTCTTTCATAAAAGGTACTCACTCCAGATATTAGCGGTAGGATGGGGCCGGCCGATGCCTTGGCGATGGTGGGAGTAGGAAACCAGGAGTATGTATACTCGAGCGCCGCACCGATCCCTGCACTGTACGAGTCTGACCGGACATGGTGACGCGCTCGAGCTCCTCACGGTAGCTCCAAGGCATCGTACCTAGGACATCCCCACCCGCATTTGGACCCATCCCGCCCTTCTGAGCGATAAGGTTCTGAGTTTCGTATCCCGCGCCGGCTTCCTTTCCGATCGCCCACAGAGTCCTTATATTCCAGGGAGGATCGACACTTGTTCAGAAACACCCCCCAGCAATCCTTCCTTCTCACCATGATGCTACGCAATCATCCCATCCACCATCGTCTGCGCTCCGTTCACATCACCGGCCTCAACGATGGAGTCGATGAACGTAAAATGACGCGGGGGTAAATACGTCAAAGCAACGCGTACACACGCGTCAACAACGCGAACGCGTCCGACGCGTTTCCCTGCCAGCACAGGCTGACGTTGCTCCTGTCTCTCGCTCCAATACGACGTGTCGCATTTGCCCCTCGGACATCCGTCCTTGTCTTTTTTGGCCGTCAGGACTCAATGACGGCCGGGTCGCGCTCGATGTTCCCCAGAGGTCGAGCAATACAATGTGAGCTGTCAACTATCTCAGCGCTGACGTTGCCTTGACTTTGACTTTGACAGTGTCATTGATGGATCTCCCACCTGCGCTCTCGAGCTCGTAAACCCCGAGTGCCAACATGGTACGATGTTCCCTTGGGCAAATCATAGAGCGTCCTCAAACAGCTTCAAACATGGACCCTGGAGGAATATCCGAGAACGCCGCGATGGGTCGATGGTCGCTATGAGCGGTATTGGTCGGCTGCGAAAAAGCGGTATGTACGCTCTGTTTATATTCGAGCTTCTTCTCAACCTCCGCGGTACAGGATAGCGTTAGTTCGCAGGGCCCAGGCACCGCGTTCCATCATTACAGATCACCGCTTCAGACGGCCTGCGGTCTTCTGCGGTGAATCTGGCTCGTCCTTCCATTCCTTCTCCCTCTATGACAGGTTCGCCATGGGCTGTACTGCGGTCAAGGCGTCTCCGTTCATGCAGGTCTTCCCTCGTGTCCCAACATACAGCCTCTACGGAACGCAGTGGCCCATCGCACGCAAGAACTGCATTTTTCTGCGGTGAGCCAATAGGGTGCGGGTACGCCGGACCGGGTCACTGGGCGGGCGCGCGATCGCGATGACTTCCCAGCCTTTCCTCGATCGGCTCCGATGTGTCCCTCGCTCGGTCCGCGCCCAGCTCGCTGCCACAGTTGCCATGCTCACCTGTCTTCCTGCCCTGGGCTGCGTCGACACTCTCCTTCGCGCCTGCATCCGCACGGCCGGCACGCCAGCACACAGCGAACAAGACTTTCTCGCACCCGACTCTACGCATGGACCGACGACGCACGTGGAAGCCGCGTCGGTGGCGTTCCCGTTAATTGTCGGACGCTCGGCTAAACGGGCGCGCGGCACTTGACGCGAGGCGCGTCTTCTCTTCCCGGCGCCAATGCACACGCACACTCCGCCCAACAATTAGGCTCATCACAAAAGCAAGGCCATGGCGTCCGCGCTGACAGCCCCGCCCCTCTTCTTGATAAACCCCTCCCGTCCTCTTCTCCTCTCTCCTCCCGTCGCCATCCACCGCTCCCTGGCCAACTCCGCGGGCGCATCGGAGAGCACCCACATCCCGCCTGTCTCCTTATCACCGGTCGACCAGGCGATCTGAAGCGTGCCCATCTCTTCACGTACATAACCGCTCTCCCGCCGCCTGAGGCAGCGTGCACTCGAACCAAACCCTGCGCTTCAACTTCCCGCTTCGCCCTTCTCCCCCCTCTCTTCCCCCTCTCTGCGTGCGCGATCCTTCGACTATCCGCCCCGTCTCCACCATGCCGCGCGGAACACTCCAACCACTCGAGGTGAGTTCTCCTATCACAGACCAACTTCGCATGAACACCGGCGCTGACGTAGCGCGTCCGTGCGCCATCCAGCTCGCCCCGGAGTGGCTCACAAATAGCCCTGTCACTGCCGATGACTTCCGCTGCCTCACCCCCGCCTCGACTATCTTCCGCATGTCGTTCGGTGCCAGGAGCCACTCAAATCCACGCGAGAGCGTAATGTCCATGGAAAGCGACGATGAAGAATCCGATGCGAGCACATTTCTCTGGGACGATGAGGAGAGCGAGTCCGAGGACGATACGGACACGATCGAAGAGCCTGAGCCCACTCCGGTCGTGCAGAATCCCGAGCCCTCTCCCCAACCCCAAGCCCTTCCAATACCTGCACACTCGCGCGCACCATCAACGGAGTCCCTCGGCAAACGCAAAGATCGCGCGATAGATTTCCGCCTGCCATGGTTCATGCAGGTAGACCCTGTGTGCTTGGCCACGCTCGATGACCAGTTGTTGCAATCCCCCATGGACGCCTTCGCGGACCTGTGCTATGCCCAGGCGGTGCGCGCCTCCGACATCCCCACCGGCGAGGAACCAACTGGACACAGCTACGGCTACTCGTGGCGACGCCTCAGTCGCCTACTCTCCGCGTGCCCGGACGTAACACAAGCCGCGCTTGGGCTTGATGGCCCTAGATCGGAGCCGGAACGGGAGAGCGAGTCGGAGAGCGACACGGACTCGGAGCAGCTGGCGTCGCCCGAGCAGCATGCGCCAGCGCCCGGCTGGGGGTTCAGTGTGTACCAGCCCAAATCGGAGCGGGAGCAATCGGAGAGTCCCTACAGGCCATACGTGAGTCTTGCTTCTGCTTCATGGCTCTCCCTTCCCATGCCCCCTTCACACTTCGCATTCCCAACCTAAGTCGGGTTCTCGCTCCCATCTTCAACCCAATCATTTCTCAGCGCGATGGCGCTCGCAATAAGCTCTAACTCGCACAGCCCCTTACCTACTCGCCCCTTATTCCCTTCCCTCTGCCGAAACTGAGAGGCGTTCTATTCCTTCTTCGACCCCCTTGTTTGATGATCAAGTTCGCGCCCGCTGACGCACAACCGTTCTAGACCTCACAAACGCTCATCGCGAAGCCGCTCCCTGCCCTGCCCGCCTACGAGCCCGAGCCCGAAGCCCCTCGTACACCCCCATCTTGCTCTCCACCGCCCCTGCGCCCGTCAGACGCGGTCACACAGGCGCAGCTCGCGTTCCTGTTTGCGGGATCCCCGCCGCGTGCAGGGGAGAGCGTGCACTTCTTCCCGACGAAGGAGCATCAGCCACCGAAGAGGGGCAGAAGCAGACGCGGAACGCTGCGCATCTCCACCTCCACCACCGCTGCAGATGGCGGTGGTGGTGGCAGCGGCACCACCACGCCTTGGAGCCCGCGCTTAGGCATCTTCCAGCGTGGTTTGGCTGGCCTGCGCGCAGGTCTGTCGCACTAGTGCGTTGCGCGCATGCGTCCCCCTCCATACGAATCAGCGCATCAGCGGCGCTCTGCGATTACAGCAGGCGCGCGCTGCAACATGCGACTCGTTTCGTTCTCTGTGCCGACGAGGCAGCGCCTTCCCACAGGCCTCACCCTCCCCCCGTTATCGCGACCCTCCGTTCACGCGATTCCTGCCACATCTACGACTGCATTGAATGCCACCCCTTGCCGCCCCTCCATCCAACCAAACCGATCTCTCCGTTTGCGGCCCGGACACCGCCGCCGCCTCTCTTCTTCTCCACCCCAACCTGTTTTCCCCTGGTGTATCCATCAATGCAGCTCACTCCGCGCGCCCGCCTTCGCCTTTCCGCGGCCGCGCGCCCACTTTGTATCTTTATCTAGGTCTACCGGCGTTGCGCGGACTCTGTCTCTCACAGTGCTCCCCCCCTCGACCCCCTGTTTCTCCCGTTCCGTGCCCGTCTCTCTGCCTCTCCAGCATGCACATGTACCATTATCAAGTCCACCCACCGCCCGGGCCCCCTGTTGCACATCACCACCACCCACTACCACCACTAATCATACGCTCGCTGTACCGACCACCACACGCTGTTGTTGTACACTGTACCACCAGCTCTACCACCCGCTCCCTGTTCCCTGCTCCGGCCCAGTTGCTCAGCCCCCTCCCTCACTCCCTCCCTCCGGATCTGCGCTTCTAGTACTGCTACTACGTTAGACGGGACGCTTATAATTGCGCTAGCTAGATGTGTTCTCTGTTATTGCCCACGCGTACGATGACTGGGGATCTGTACGTACGTACATACATGCATGTGTCGTTGAGCGCGGGCACCGCTGTGTGCCGCGCGTAGCCTGTGCTGGATCTGATAAAATGCACGGAATTTGGTTGAAACTCATTGGTGTGCATTCTGTTAGTGCCAAGGAGAGTACGAGATGTGGACGTATATGTACACGGGTCCGAAGGTCTGGTACGTAGGACGCAGGATGGATCCAGAGGAACGGCGTAAGGCCTGGGCCGCGGAGCCAGCGTATGGTACGCCCACGCGAACGATGCGGTATGCAACCCGACTAGACAACCAAACGAGCATGAGGCTCTAGAAGAGGTTGCAGAAGACTGTGTCTGTTAAATGAACATATCGTACACGCCAAAGCCGGGTATAACCCAAGCGTCCCCTCTCGCGACCTACACGCCCTTTCTAACCCCTCTACCCTCTCTCTTCCCCTCATCATCCTCCCCAGACAACCGCCCCAAATCAGCCCCACACATCCCCTACTCGCTGTGTATGCGGTCCTCGCTGCTGCCCTGGAGGGTCTCCATGCTGCGCCTCACGCGCTCGTACACGGCGAACACGATCGCCTGCCCGGGCGCGACGCGCAGCACGCGCGGGGTGATGCCCTTGTAGAACGAGCTCACGCCCTCCTGGCGCCACATGTCGCGCGCGATCGCGGCGATGCGCTGGAACGCGCTCTGCCCCGGGAGCGCTTCTGCTTTCTGCAGCCCTGTTCGTCGCGCGCGCCGTCAGCGTCGTCTCACCGCTGCAAACGATTCGAAACAGGAGAAGGGAGGGAGGGAGGGGGGAGGGGGGGACTCACGCGTCTTGATAGTATCGATCGGCGCGTTCGAAAACGGGCCCATCGCCCCAGAAATGAGGCCAATGCCCATGTGCTGCCACGACGGCAAATCGGCGAGGTCCGGCTGCCAGCGGTGCGCGGCCTTCTTGAGCTCCTGGTACGCGGTGAAGTTCGCGCCCTGGTTCGTCGCCTGGCGCAGCGCGGTGAGCGACACGCCGCGGTAGAGCGCGCTGAAGCCCTCCTCGCGCACGATCGCGTACACGGCGTGGCCCGCGTTGCGGTAGCGGGGCGCCTCGAGCGGGTCCGCGAGCGAGTGTTGCTGCGCTTGGAGCCGGATCTTGACGACTTCCATGGGCGTGACGACGAGGACTGCTTCGGTTACGCCGGCGCCGAGGCCGGCTGTGGAGGAAGTGTGTGTTAGGACATGCGCGGAGTGTAAGATGGGAAAGGGGCGGGCGTACCGATGAAGATGTTCCCGACGGCGGTTTGGCCGGTGGACTTGTCCGCGAGGAGCGCCTTGTACTTTTCAAAACTCGCGAAGCGGATGGCCATCTTGGGGACGATCCCGGAGAGCACCGCTCCGAGACCTTTGTAGAGCGCGAGGGGCGTTTCTCGCCGGACGATCATGGCGCCCGTCGCGATGAACCCGCGCGCTTTCGTCTGTGGGCAGCTTGGTGAGCATCGTATACGTTTTAAGAGTACGTTGGGTATTTCTAGCTTGCGACGTAAGGGTGTTGAATATATGTTCGCAAGGTCGTTCTCCAGCCACGGCCCGGCTTCATTGAATGGGCGCCTTTCCCCGCACTCGCGCTATGATGTCATGGCCATCGTCCTGCATGCATACGCCCATGGACGCATAGGTTATGCAAACGCAAACACCACCGAAGTGAGAGGACTGTGCATTTGGTGCGCATGAATGCGCCACTAGATGTCCAGCAGCGGCCTACCGTGCCCCAGACGCGACCAGACGAGTCATACGGAGCAGCACTCACCCCGGGTGCACGCCCAGACCGCGAGAGCTGCATTCGGACCTTGATCGTGTCGAGCGGTTGGCAGCACAGCTAGAATGCGCATGCAGTCAGTTTCCACCAGCCGCGTTTCGTGTATGAAGAGGGGGCGCACCGCTTCCATCGCGCCTGCGATCCCTCCTGCGGTTAGTTGTGTGGCGAAGCCTACAGGCTTCTTGTCGGCGGATCGCGAGGCCATGGCGGGCGGTTGCTTGTGGGGATGATTTTGCTACTGCTTTCGTGGGGAGCGTGTCCTTGAGGCAAATGGGGAAACGGGGCGAGAGGTGTGAGGGCGACGCAGGAGCTGGCGGTGTATGTATGTCAGGGCGAGGTCCTGTTGCATTCCGAAGCTCACATGCGCACCTGCAGATCGAGGGTGGTGTTCGGCTGCTGCACAGAAGTCGCGCGGAAGTTCTACTGATGTGTTTAGTGCAGTCGCGCAGTCGAGGTGTAGACGAGAGGGAGGGGGGAGCAGGGCGCGAGACGTCGGGTCGGGGCATGCTATATGTGCGAGGGGCTAGGAGGACTCGGAGGGCGCACGGGCGGGAGAGGGCAGGCCTGGGCGGGAGGCATGTGTTTCTTACCCCGCCTTGGCCGTGTGCGGGGGCGCGGGGCAGGCCAGCCACCCCCGCACGACCCCGCCCTTTCCGTCCCTTCCGCGTCGACCCTCCGCACTCGTTCCGCCTGAACACCGACCGCGCGCGCGTGGGCCCCCTCCCCTCGCCCGCTGCGCCGCTCTTACCCCGCCGAGTCACGGTGGACACTGGACGTGTACATATGTCGAGTGTTGTTGTCCGTAAGTGTCGCCGAGCGTGTGGCCGCGGCCCACCTGGATCGCACCGTATGTCGGTGCGAGCGTCCGGTGGTAACGCATCCTTGACGTACAGCTCAGCAGACGTGTTGCTCCGGTGCCTTGTGGAGACACGAGCGTCCTCTGGAGCTATCGTAGGTCCGAGTCGCACAGAGAGGCGAAAGCAGAGGTGTGTGGATGATTATTCTTCGGCGCGTGTGACCTCATTCGGGTATGCGTCGGCCGACCCTTGTGATTTGCCGCTGCTCCTGCTCTGCGACTCACTCATGGCGCTCCAACGCTCTCCCTTCGGAACACCTTGAAGCTGGGCTTGAGGTGCGCAGATGCTTTTGGCCCGCTATGACTCGTCGTCTAAGTTTTGCAAGCGTTGAATGCTGCCGCCCATGTTCCGAAATCACACTACACTTTCAGCGAACGCAAACGTTTGCAGTATATAGGCAAGACATGATATCGTAGCTTTTACAAGCTGCTACTTACCACAGGATTTCATCTCATCTAGAGTTGCAGAGTGAGGTGTGTTGGGCACACCCCTATGGCCACTCGCATACCACGGCCGCGGGAGCACATCCACGAATCCTCTCATAGGGGCGCCCTCTATCAGTCTATCAGGGGGCCGCAAGTCGTGCGCATATATATACTCACAGCACGAACAGTCCACATCCTCTAGATGTGAGGTATTTGTTTCATTTCTGTCGTTGAATGAATGTGTCCATCGTGGCCCGTTCGTGGCCCGTTGCTGAAGGCTTGAATGCTACCAAGCCACCTCTGCAACACGACAAATACATAGTGACGTTCCTTACGGTATAATCCGATATGGTGTAGTGGCTAACATTATCGCCTCTCACGCGATAGCCCGGGGTTCGATTCCCCGTGTCGGAATTGGTGATAGACTTGTAGCTTTTAGTCCACTTGGCTGAAGTGTTTCGTGCTTTTGCAGGAAAGCCTTATAATCATACATCATGCTTAGTGCGTCGGCTATACACAATTTTTTCTTACTTGTGCGCAGGTGACGGGGGGAGAAGCAAACGGCAGACGCGATCACGTGACCCACCCCTCACGACGTTCACGCGTCTCCGATCGAGTCTGGTTGGTGTGCGGCCAATGCCGCGACCATCAAGCGGTGGCCAGATATCTGCGAGCGATGCGCTCTTGATACTGGACCACCACCTCCGTCCCATGCTTCTACTCCAACAAACTAACTGCTGATCACTTACTAGGTCGCCCTCACGCTCGTTTCCTAGTCTCTCCGTCTCCGCCAACCACAGCCTTGTTTCTTTCTAACGGGTCGACTTTATTCTACCGCTGGTCTTAATCTCGCAACTTACGACTGACAGCATGATCTTGCGCACTCTCCTGGTGTTCCATCTCGTCTTGACGACGCTCGAGCTCATGCGGGCTCAATGCGCCGAGTCGCCATGCTCGCTGCTGCATTCACGCTCCCCTTTCGTTCCTCTGTCCTTGACCGGTCTCTGCGTCAATCTTGCGCTTCAACCTCTAGGGGATGTTGTGGCTGGGCTGGTCCAATTGATACTGGGACTACTCCGGGCTGCGGCTGGCTTTATCTTTGCGACGGTCCCTGTGCTCTGGAAGGTATACAGGGCATCGGGCGAGGAGTTCATGATATTTATAGGAGGAATAACGGGAACGGTACGTGCTCTATCTCGAATCGATTGTCGTGCTGCACTTACGATGCGCTTGTACAGTCCACTGGCATCCCCGGTTCGTGGAGTTTGGATAGGTTGCGCTACAGCACGGTGCGTCCAAAGAATCGTAATCGAAGAAGCCGCTGTAAGATGAATTATTCCGCAGGCTCACCGGTGTCCACGGACGCAACTCGGGCCAGACGTCAGCCTGGAAACTCTAGCCTCTGCGAACTCGGTGGACAGCGCTGTGGTCTCGGACTGCGACGACAGTGGCTTCGAGTCCGCAACGTTTGAGCGTCGGTCGGCTGCTAACTCATCTTGTCCTGTCTGCACCCCAACATATGCTTCGGTGGACTCGTTGACTCACCTGGACTCTCTGACTCTGCACTCGGCCGACATCGCTCTGCTTGGGAAGCATCTGGCACGCACCCGCGGTATGTTCGCCTGGCGCGTCTACTCGCTCATCCCCCTCTCGCGCGACCCAGGTTCTGACGAGCCCAGCGGGGGGCTCTATCAACGGATCGATGCGTTCCTCAAACCTGTGGGGGGAGCCGTGCACTACGTCGAGCTTCTCGTCGAGTGGGTCTCATCTGCAAGTTCGGACCACAGCTTCCTTGTCTTTTCGCCCCACTCCTGCCCGTCAGGAACATCTACGACGGACGAACCCCGTCTCATAGGGACACGCGTGCACGCGTTTCGAGCACGCAAATGCGACCCCAGCACGTCCACCAGCGCCGAGTTCCTCCTCAACAAGCTCGGGCTCGGGTCGCGGTGGTCTTGCGACTACAACTGGGACACGCAGCTCGGGGCGACGTTTGACGGGCCCGGGTCCTCGCGATCCGCTCTGAAGCAGGCCGTGGTGGAGCGCTGGGACGACGACGTACGGGCGCACTGGGTCCGGGCGGGGAAGACGGAGGAAGAGGCGGATGCTTGGGCGAAGGAGATCCTGGAGTTCGAGTGGGCGTGTGAATGGGACGAAGACGATTCGGACTTCGACTCAGAAGACGAGGAGGAGTCTGAGGGATCTGACGTTTCGGACGATTGCTCGGAGGGCTGCTCTGGGTGCGACGAAGAGGACGAGGGTGAGGAAGATGAAGAGGGTATTGCTTTCATTCAGCCGGAGGTCGTGTTGCCAGGGGGGCCCTTATCGACGGAGTCGGTCCCCTTGCCAGAACTAGACCAGTCAACAGAGCTGGACCCAGGAGTTTCGTCGGAAACACCACCCCTGGAGCATTCGTGCGAACCCTCTCTCCCTGCGCGAGAACATCCCGTCGCTCCAACAGCTGTGCACCTCCCGTCGCCGAGGACCTTCAGAGTCGTCGTCGAAGCGGTCTCCGATGATGAGCAGGACGACGAGACCGTGGTATATCCCCGTGCCCCTCCGAGTCTCCCGGCCGATGGTGACGAAGAGGAGCTCATCCTTTACGAGGTCCCCCGCACAGCCCTCGCCGTCTATCCGCCCAACGTCGGCACCAGCGCGCCCTCCGATCCTCTCGCCCACCTCCGCACCATCTACGCGCCAGTCCCGACACGCGCCGCAACATTGGCCCCACCTCCAGCTGTCCCTCTACCCGGCAGCTCGGACTCCACGGCCGTATGCACGACCACCACCAATGCCGTCGCCACCACCCCGCCCAAGCCCCCGCTACAAGTATTCTACGACTGCGCGCCTACCTACCTCCCCAGCTGGACGCCCGGCCTCTCCTTCCTCGAGCCGCGCCCCTTCCTGCCGCGCGTACTGACCATGCGTACGACACGGCTCGCGGGGATCGGGCACGCGCGCATCCCCGTCAGCTACACCGTCGCGCTCGAGCGCAAGGAGGGCACAGAGAACGGCGTGCGCGCGGTCATCACCGTGCACTCGCGCAACCCCCCTCCCGCCGTGGCCCCCGCCCCTACTCCCGCCATCACGTCCAGTACATGTGGGTGTCGCCCCAAGCCCGCGCTCAAACCTACGCGCCCCAGTATCCTGTCCTCACCACTCGCGCGCCTCCTGAACCCCGCCCCTGTTCCCACTACCCCTTACGCGCTGTGCGTGCACGCCAGCATACCCGAAGAACAGGAGCCGGCCGAGCAGGCGTCGGGCCCGGCGGGGGCGAAGAAGAAGAAGGCGCGGCGCGGGGGCAAGAAGCTGACCGCGCGGCGACACCGGCTGCGGGAGGAGAACGGGCAGCGGCTGGAGCTGCTGACGCTGCAGCTGCGGCTCGAGGCGGACGTCGCGGCGCGCGAGGAGGGGATGGTGCTTGCGGAGGTCGCGCTGAGTGTGGATGAAAGGGCGATGGGGGAGTGGGTGGAGGCGCTGGGCGTGTAATGTGTGCGGATGGGGGCGGGGAAGGGGAGGAAGGGGGTTGGCTGGCGCGGGTCGCTGGCAGGGTACATGTGTACTGGATTTTGTGTAGCATAGTAGTAGATTTGTATCGATACTCGTTCATGATGCGGTTGTACAAGTTATATGATTAGGCTTGATCTCTATTCGACGCTTGAGTGTGGAGGAGCATATATACATATATCGACGAGTGTTGATATTATACCATAGGCACACATAACGTATGAAACTGGATCGTGCAGCTAACTGCAAGAAAATAAACGTTACTACCCATATATCGAGAACACCGCTGCGTACATATCACTGCTCTATCAATCCCACTTCCTGTCTCTTCTGGAGCTTCCGGCGACGCCTCAACTCGCGGGCAAGCTCTCGCCCCGCACGTAGTGTCCCAACGATCTCCTCGATGTCCCGCCACTCAACGCGCTCGTTATTCGGGACAAACGGTGACGGGCTCTCGTCGTCCAAGTCCCAGTTTGGGAACAACTGGTCCACGAAGATCGCGAACTCACGCCGCACCCCGGCGTCCACCCAGTCACCGTCGTTCACCACGCACACCCGCAACGCCGTCACCCCGCTCTGCTCGTCCATGGGGAGATTGTGCACGTCCGGGATCTCCGCGTCGACGAGCGAGATGTACGGGAGCGTGAGGCGCTCGAGGCGCGGGAGCCGCGCGACCAGTGCGAGCAGCGTGGCTGCGGTAGGGGCGTCGGGCACGCGCGAGATCTCGTTGCCTGAGTCGCACCGCGAGAGCGCGAGCTCAAACACGATGAGGTCCGGCCACGCGGCGGCGAACGCGAGCAGCTCCGTGGCGGTCACGACGAGCTCGGCGGTGCACGACTCGAGCGTGACGTGCACGTGTGTGAGCCAGCGGAACGCGCGTGTGGGCGCGAGGAGGGGGGCGAGGCGTGGGCCGGCGCCGCCTTGCAGCGTTACTGAGAGCGTGGGGATGGATTTCCAGGAGGGGATGTGTGAGATAGCGGTGTGGACGTGGCGGATAGCGGCGTCGTCGGAGCACCGGCACCAGTCGACGACGTGAAGGTTGAATGTGGTGAGGTGGCGGGGGCGTGTGGCGTAGAGGAACCGGCGGAGGCTGAGCGGGTCGGCTTTGAGTGTGAGGTGGCGGAGCGCGTCGAAGGTTTCGCGGGGGACGCGAAACCCCTTCAGTGCGCGCACGCCCGGCCGGAGTGAGAGCTTGTGCAGCTCACGGAGCGCGGCGAGGGCTTGGAGAAAAGGCGCTTCCACGAGTACTGGCTCGGTTATGTCTAGCTCACGGAGATGCACGAGATGTGTACTGAAAGGGATGCCTAGCGGACCAGGCCCGCGGAGGAATTTGGGTAGGTCGACGCGCAGGCTCTCCAAGCGGGGGAAGACTGTACGCTCCGCGACCTCGACGATGACGTTGCTCGTCCAAAAGATCGACGCGTTGAAACAGCCGTTCTCCATCAGGCCGAGTTGTTTCAGGGAGGGGCAGAAGAGTAGGATGTGCCCCGGGTCGGCCTCTGCGACGATGAGCCCCGTGAGACACCGTAGACGGGGCAGGAGCCCCTGCCCGGGGGAGACCCACCTCGCCAGGAAGGTCCAGACGGAGGGCGCGATCTCCGGTGGGCCCGCGTGGTCGTCGATGAAGTGGACCTCGCGTACGCGACGAGCGTAGCGCTGCATTCGTTTCCATTCGCATTGGGTGATGTCCCGAGAGAGAACCTGAACGCGCACGTCAGCCTTGAATCCGCAGCGATACCACTGGCAGCGCCAATAGGTGAACGTTGGCCACATACGTAGTTCTTGTCAACCTTAACACACCGTAGGGGCGGGAGGACGCGTATCACGGGTAGAACTCTCTCCATAATGCGCCATAACACGTCCAGCGCGGGGGCGCAAAAAGCGCGACAGACCCGGGCCAAGCGTGCCAAAGTCTTCCTGTTGGCTCGTCTGGTTGTCACTTCAGGCCAGGGCTCGGTCTGACTGGGCGTTCCTGGTGCAAGATGCTGGCATATTTCAGAAAGTATCCCAGGGCTTCGCAGAACCTGGTGTATCGCTGGCATTCGTGCGTTCCGCCGTGCCACTGGCGGTTTCAAGTCAGCAAAAATAGGCTGTTTGGAAAAGCGACAGGAATCACCGGTAATTTGTACAGATATGTATGTTCTGTATTATAATGGCATATGTACCTTAGGAACAGAGCGCACTCAAGCGAGCGACAACCTGCGGACAATGTGGTTTGAGGCAGAGATCGCTTTGGGAGTAAGCGCCCGTATGTCCTCTCTATCCGGTGAAGGAATTCGCTCGCTAAAACAGTCGACTCACGGGACGATAGAACATTGTATAGTGATACCAAGAGAGTAATATATTCTATAACAGTGGATGTGATAACTAACCAAGCAACGATAGCGATGATATATGCATATACGTCTAAACAATCAGTCAGCGGACCTTCTTCACTCAGAGGACTTGTGGAAGCAAGAATAAACCGTACATGCTACGGACCAAACGGCTCAACTCCCAGCCTCTTCTGGAGCTTGCGGCGACGCTTCAACTCCTTGATGTGCTCCCTGCCGGAACGCAACGTGACGAGCACGTCCGCAAACGCCTTCCAGTCGACAAAGTCGTCCACATTGGCAACCCTCTTGCACGGGATGTCCTCCACGTCCAGATGCGGAAACAATCGATCCACGAGGATGGCAAACTCCCGCCTTAACGCGGGGTCCCAGTACCCGTCGTGCGTGACGCATACGCGCAGCGCCTTCAGCCCATGCTCCCCTGCCGGCACCGTATACACGTCCGGGATGTCCTCGTCGATGAGCGAGATATACGGCAGTGTGAGGCGTTCGAGGTGCGGAAGTCGCGCGGCAAGCTCGACGAGCGTGCGCGCCACAGGCGCGTCGGGCACGCTCAGCACCTCGTTGCCCTCGTCGCACCGCGCAAGTGCAAAATCGAACGCGATGAGGTGCGGCCACGCAGTCGCAAACGCGTGCAGATCGGCTGCGCTCGCGACGAGCTCCGGGAGGTACGAGTCGAGCGTGATGTGCACGTGCGTGAGCCAGTGGAAAGCGAGTGTGGGCGAGAGGAGGTCGGCGACGCGGGGGCTGTCGGCGGCGAGCGTCAGGGCGAACTTGGTGGTGCACGGGGAGATGCATTGCGAGAGCGCGGCATGGACGTGACGGAGTGCTTCGGCCTCTGTGCACCGGAACCAGTCGATGATGTGCAGCGTGCACGTCTGGAGGTGGCGTGGTGAGACGACTCGGAGGAATCGCCGGAGGCTTAGCGGATCGGCTCGGAGTGTGAGGTCGCGAAGCTTGCTAAGTGAACCGCGCGGGAGATAGCAGCCCGTCAAAGCGCGCACGCGCATCCAGATGGAGAGTCTGCGCAGCTCGTGGAGGGTGGCGAGCGCCTGAAGAAAGGGGGCCTCCACGAGAACCATGTGTGTGATTTCCAGCTCGTGAAGATTCACAAGGCGCGCACTCAGAGGGGAGCCTCCACCAGGACTTCGTAGGAAATGTGGGCTGTCGACGTGTAGGCTCTGCAAGTGGGGGTAGACCGTTCGCTCCGCCACCTCGGCGATGACGTGGCTCGTCCAAAGGGTGGGCTGGTCGAGTTTGCCCTTTTGTTTCAAGCAGAGATGTCGCAGAGACGGGGAGAAGAGCAGGATGTATCCCGGTTCGGCCTGCGCGATAATGAATGACTCGAGACGCCGTAGGCGAGGCAGGAACCCCTGCCCGGTGGCGCACCATCTAGCAAGGAAGGTCCAGACGGAGGGGCAGATTGGCCATCGGCCGTAGTGGCGGTCGTCGTATATGTGGACGACACCTACACGACGAGCGTAGTGCTGCATGCGCTCCCATTCTGCCTGAGTGATGTCTCGGGAAAGCACCTATACTCGCACGTAAGCCTTGACGGTGTGGCGCGCTTAATGGACGTTGATAACGCACGTATTTCTCGTCACCCTTTGCGCGTTTGAAGGGAGGAAGTATGCGTAGCAAGGGCACCACATCCTCTAGACGATACCATAGCACGTCCAATGCAGGAGTGTAAAAAGCACGGCAGACTCGGGCCAGTGTCGCCAAGGTCAGCCTGCAGGGTCGTCGGTTTATCTCTCCCATAGACCATTTTGACTCCCCCGGCTTTCCTGGTGCTAGGTGCAGGCATATTTCAAGCAGTATCGCGGGTGACCGTAGAATTTGGTGGATCGCTAGCATCTGTACTTTCAAGTGCGGTCCGATCATGTCAGCACAAGGAAGTTATTTTTAAATAGCGCAACAAATTGGGACCCTACCAGTCTATGTCGGAAATTCACAATTGTCCGGAGGTCCGTTTTAAAATGGCATATGTACCTGGTGGAGACTTTACATTCATAGAGTGGCCAGTTCTTGTTGCGAAGGATGTGGTTGGTGACAGAGGAAGAAGCTAAGAAAAGCGCCCGTGTGTCTAATCCCACAGCGTCATTATACATTGACGAGAGCAAGCCGAAAACTCGTATTCAAACGATCCATACATCAAGCGAAGGCAATTCATTTCAAAACAAGACATTCGTATATTCATAGAAAGGTATATAGTACTATAGACCAAACGGTGCAGTCCGACATAATAGGGAGGGCGCGCTAAATATCAGACGCTATGTCAAGCGAGAGCGACTTTGTCTTCCGGTATGAATCGCGAGGAGAAACTGCTCGACCTCACACCATCGCTTGAATCGTTGGCGCCCATAGTGCGACTTCGCCAGGACGGGGTACTGAACGTCCGACAGGTCGAGGTTGGGGAACAGGCGATCGACGAACGTCGCGAACTCGCGATGCTTCGGGAGGCCGTCGTCCCGCACGATGCACGAGCGGAAGACCTGAAGGCCGTGATCGAGTGCAGGGGCATTTTCCATGTCCCGTATTCCTGAGGCGTCGAACGTCTCGACAAACGGCCAGATGAGCCGGACGAGACGCGGGTGGCGCTCCGCGAAGGTGATGAGGGACCGAGGGGAGGGGCGGCCGTTGTAGTCCAGGACGTCGTCGCCGCCGTCGATTTCTTTGACGTCGATCTCGAACTCGACGAGGTTAGGCCACGCGTCCGCCATGGTCAGTAGCTCAGTCTCTGTGACGGGAAGCTCCATCTCCAGGTGGTCGATGGTAATGGATATGTGGGTCATGCCGTCAAGTTCGAGGATGGGGCGCATCACCTCCAGCAGGCTCGATGGCAGAAGGTATGACGCGAAGCTGATCTTGAGGCGACGGAGGGACTTGGTGGCGCTCTTGAGCGGGAGGGTTTCGGGGACGCCTGGGTTCAACACCCAGTCGATGTAGTCGATAGCCAGGGATTCGAGGGCAGGGGGAGAAGTCCATTGCAGGAACCGTGACACCACATCAGGAAAGCCGATGATCTTTAAGTCCAGCAACGCGTGCAGCCCTGGCGTGAGCTCGTCTCCGGCCATGTCCCCAAGAAACTTCGGATTTACGGTGAGCTTCCGAAGGTTCGGGAACGCCAACAGCGCTTGAAGCGAATCCTTGTCAAAGAGGCAGCTAGAGAGTATCTCCAGCTCCTGCAGGTGTGCGAGACGGGTGTAGGGCATGATGTCGGGATTAAACGGCAGGTCGGTGGTTGCCGCGGTGACACGCAGACCCACAAGGTTGGGTACGCTGATCTTTTGTACCAGCTCCATCACTGTGTCGATGATAGGAGAGCTCTCTGCTATCCTGTGCGACGTGTGGGTGATGGTGAGTGCGAGGTGCCGCAGGGTTGGAGAGAGCAGGAGGATCCTGCCGGGCTCGGCAGGGGACACGTCGAGCGCGTCAAGCTCTTGAAGTCGGGGAATGAGGCTATGTCCGTCCGGGCATCGTCTCGCAAAGAATATCCAGACAGAGGGCGATATTTGGTCTTCAGAACGCGAATACAGCACCCGTACGCGGCGCGCGTACTCTTGGAAGTGGGCCCATTCCGCGTCGGTCACGTCGCGCGTCAACGCCTACACCACTCCATAAGAAATCCAGCTGACAGCAAGCCAAAGTTGAGACTCACAAGTTGTTTTGAGGGCAAGAGTGTAAATGAGGGAAGGACGGACAATAGGGCGACCAGGCTGTCCGCAACGCGCCACAGCACGTTCAGCGCAGGCCCGGAGAAAGCATGGCACACGCGGGCAACACGAGCAAGAGCTCTCTGGGCCTCGCGTCTATGTAGCCTCTCCTTCGGTAGAGCGTGTTCGTCCGGTCGGCCAGGGGAGAGGTAGCCAAGAATCTCGACAAGAATTTCCTGGCACAGAAGCGCTTTAGAGGCAGCACTCGACCGCATCTACACAATGATAGTCTCATTTTAGCAAATGATATGCAAGTATTCAGGGGTGATATGAACACAAACCTTTCCGTGAAGTACTCTGTCAGTACAAAGGATATTTTTGCGCTGCGAGCTGGCCGCGACTAAAGCTGAACGTCCACTGGTCAGTAAGTGAGACTCCAGGAACAGGTCGTTTCCTCCACGTCCGATGCTTGACTTGTGTTTCGTCTGGCCTGGAATGCAGAGGGGACGAAGACGTGCGTCCTGCCCGACGGGGGGGTTACAATGGTGGCGGTTTGCGCAAAAGGGCTTCAAGACGCGCCGACGCGACGCGACGCGTCGAGCGCTTCACGGTCTGCAGCTACGGGCCGGTTACCCGGGTGGCCACCTCGAATGGTGCAGTCCTTGTTGCTCGTCCTCGACCCATACGCTACGCACACAGTTGGATGGGTGAATCGCACTGGATTCGGGAAGCGTGTGTCGAAGGATATACTAAAGTACATATACAGTACAGAGTCCGAAAGCGATGACAGGGTAACAGGTACAACAACCAGCCGGTGGTATCCGACAACCCGATGAGCGTATGTACATAGCATCCAAGAAGAGGCGGCAGCCCGAAGCACTATGTGCTGGTATACTCGAAATCGGGGAATCGTGCGCCGAACGGATCGGGCGTGCTCGCGCCGTATTGCGCCGCCGCGTTGTCCTCCGGGTATCGCTCGAACCTAAACAGAGAACACATGGTAAGTATGGCAGGGACGCGCACAAAAAGGACAACTGAGACGCACGCGCTAGCATCGCCGTCACCCGCGATGCGCGGCAGGTACGGCGCGGTGATCTCGCGGTTGAGCAGCTTCTTCCAGTCCACCTCGCGGAACCACGGATGCGCGAACACGTCGCCCGCGCCGTGCTGCATGTTCCCGAAGCGCTTCGACGGGTCGCGCTCCATGAACTTCAGGATCAGGTCCGTCGCGTTCGGGTGGAACGCGGGCCACTTGATCGCACCCGGGCCCTGCGCAATCTTCTCGTACAGCACGACGGGCGAGATGTCCGGCTCGTGGAACGGCGGCAGGCCGGAGAGCATCTCGAAGATGAGCACGCCGAGCGCGTACCAGTCCACGCTCTTGTTATAGCGTGCGTTGCCGATAATCTGCAGGCTCGTCAGCAAGGAGTTAGACAGCTGGCACAGGACGGTCTCACCTCGGGTGCGAGGTAGTCAGGGGTGCCGCAGAGCGTCCATGCGGTTGTTGAGCAGTACTTCGCGAAGCCGAAGTCGGCAATTTTGATGTGACCGTCAAAGTTGAGGAGGATGTTTTCCGGCTTGAGGTCGCGGTATATGATGTCTTTTGAGTGGAGATAGTTGAGTGCCAAGGCGACTTCGGCGGCGTAGAACTTGGCGACGGGGTCGGGGAAGCGCTGCGTAGATGGTAAGTACGGTAATGCATCAGAAAAGGCATGATACATACGTTGGATCGTCGCAGGAGGGTAAATAGCTCGCCGCCTGGGACGAAGTCCATCACCATGTACAGGTTTGCCGTATCTTGGAACGTCCCCCATAGGTTGATGATGAACGGATGCTGGACTGCCTGCAGCATCATTTGTTCGTTGCGGGTGTGGGATTCCTGTTTCATCCGCACGATCTTCTCCTTGTTCAACACCTTGACGGCGTAGAAACGAAGGTTGTGTTTACTGCGTACTGAAGCAAGCATCAGTTCGATGTTCATGAAGATGTTCGGCGCCCTTGTGCTCGACACTACCAATAAATCGCAGAATATGACAGCGAGGCCGCTCCTCGTACTCGACACCTCATATCGCAGTGACGCTGTAACGCGAATTTTCTGTCATGACCATCGCCGCTCGCTCTCCGCACTCTTCCGCCTACATTCAAAATGGGCGTTTAGATCAATGTAAGCGCCCATTTAGAGTGCATGGAAGGTGGCGGCCCCTCGGAATAACTCAGGGTTCAAGCAAATCGCCTCGCAGGATATGGGGGGGGAGAGTAAAAGAGATGTCATGAGACTCACCTAGATGTACGCGACCAAAGCTACCAGTCCCAAGGGTGCGTTGGATGATGAAGTCGGTGAGGCGGTATGAGCCTTTCGACCGGCGGACTTCGAGCGGCACTGCGTCCGACTGTGGGGGCCGCTCCTGCTGGAGCGCCTCGGCCTGGTCCTTGACCCATTCGTGCAGGGACGTGCGCTGGGTCGATATCGACGCGCGGTGTTCGTGCGAGAGGATCGACACAGAGGGTGCCGAGGAAGTGTACGAAGAGGCCGCCGAGGACGCTGAAGAATCGGGATGCTTGGGCTGCCCCAGATGGAGTTTCGACGCCATTCTCTTGATCATGCAGGTAGAGTGCGTCAACGTCCTTCGCGCGCTGCGCGTGAAACGTTGGAAAGTGGTGGGAGGAGAAGAAGAGCAACGAGGGCTGTTGAGGGAGAGATGAACGGCCATTGTTCTGTTAGGCGCCGGGCGGCCGTAGCCGGCGATCTCTGAGCTCTTTGTTCCCAAATCACCTCCTCCTTCCTCCTTCGCCCGCGACCTTGTTCCTCCCATGTCTTGTTCTCTTCTTGTCGGAGTACACAGCTCTAACAACTGCGCGTGTGATCACGAACGGCAGAGGCAGGCGCGACACGTCCAATCACGCACGATGTCCCATTGGATGACGGGGAGCATCAGGGACTCCATGAGAGTGCAAGGTTATCTTGTGTTGGCATCGGCCCTCTCTGACGGCAATGCATCAGTCCTGTGAGCCCTATGCTATATCATCTATGCTATGGGGCGATTGTGCGTTGATTTTGACGTCGTGCTTTCCGTGAGTCGTCATCGTTTAACACATTCGTGACGATTGTGGTTGTCGAATTCCCTTGAACCACATCCTGGGAGGAGGTTTCCAAGTAGGGCAATAGTCCGCAGGCTCGCTCATCGATGTGAGATGATTGTGGTTGAGATACGCCGTACTAAGCGCGGATAGTGCACCCACCCGGCTATAAGGACGCGAAGCAGTCGTATACTAACCTTCTCGGCCTCAGAACCCCATGCTACTAGCCGAAGATACGTCCCGTTAATCCGTACGTTCAAATTCATGGCCCACACCTGCTCTGGCGATTGATTATGATTCTACTACGGATCTATAGCGCAGTTACTTCCGATCATGGTATCTTCGCAGTTCCTGTGTTACGACATACTCTCCAAGGTGTTCGAGCACCTCGAGCCTGGCTGCATACCCCCCTTCGACCAGTACCCCGCCATCATCTCTGAACGGAAGCTCCGTCAGTATACGCTGGCCGTGTCCGTGCGTGTCTGCAGCGCGTTCGCCGCACCTGTGGCGTCACGCACACCACTTCGTGTACCTCCTCCGCCTCTTTTCCACATACTCGGACACAAAAGAGGTCAGTACTATCGCGTCACTTTCGTCTTCACCCGCTCATAATCCGTACTACTCGGTTTCTCCCTAGTGTTTCGTTGGTGCGATCGGCGACAAAGATTGGCAGCGTTTCCAAGAATACGCCTCGCGCATACGAAGCATTAACGCGAACTTCAGCCTGAGCATTGGCGCACCACGTCAAGAACAAGTATGGATGGTTTTACTCCAGAGGTCCCAGGGATCGCCCTTGCTTCCACGCTTGGAAGATTTGACCATCGACGTCTCTCTTGGGGGGTTTATATCACTTCTAGCCCCCTCTGTTCACAGTCTAAACGTAGGCCTCCCCATTCCATCGGGGAATGGAGGAGCAGGCACCTTGCTGGCTGACACCGTCCGCCCCCATCTCTCCTACGTCAAGACGTTGGAGTTGAACGAATACATTGCCCCAGGGACAGGGCCGCGTCGCAGCATAGCCATGCCCAAATGCGTCGACTTTTGCGTGTTAACTCATCTGGAGTCGCTCGACGTCGTCCACCCGGTGATTGCTCGGCGATCGATGATACAGGCGCTCATGACCTTCCCCAACCTCTGCTCCCTCCACCTCGTCTTCGAGCTCTGTTGGGACGAGCGAGATTCCTTCGAAGCGTCCACCTTTCCTCTAGGCTTCTTCGAGCTTCGAGAGCTTGACTTGACGGCCTCTTATGACGACCTCGCTCTGTTCCTGGAGGTCACCAACCCGCCACGGCTTGACATACTAGCTCTGGCGCGGGAGCTCGAGTGGGACCATCATCCTATGTTCGAAGATCTACCCCGGGTTTACGCCAAAATACCACCCCAAGTCAGCGACCTCCGTCTGCGCTACCGCGTATTCCCAGAAAATCCCAGCGTTTCCGGTGACCGGTACATGGAGCCTCTGCTCACAGTTTCTCGTGTGCTGCCGCCTTCTCTCTACGCCCTTCATGACCTACGCGAGGTCTTCCTCCAGTTCACGAACGTCACACGCACTCTGGAGAACGACGACCTTACTGCGCTGTGCGCCGCCTGGCCCGCGCTCGAGGACTTCGAGTTCAACGGCCCGCTCTACTTCAACGACGATGCCACCAGGTTGCCCACGCTCGACACCCTCCTCGCGTTCGCGCGCGCCCACCCACGCCTCAGACGCTTCACGCTCCCTGGGCTCAATCCAAAGGGGATTCCGGACAGGATCGACCTGCTTCACGCGGGGGCACTGCGGGACTGGCCGGGGCATGGGCTGCGCCTATTCCGGCTGAGGACGTATATGGTGGGCACGCCCCTCGTGTCGCTGGCCTACGCGGTGGACCGCGCCTTCCCAGCGCTGGACCTTGGGCCTGTTCGCGCAGCTAAGATCGGTGGCAATGGAGACCCAGCGGACCTCCTCCTGGCGCCTCTTCTTGCCTTCCAGATGTCCCGGACGTTGGGCATTACTGTTTGACTAGCGAGCGCGTCGAGTACGCGGCTACATATCACTAACCTAGAGAATGCGTCAGTCTCATGTCACCCCTGTCGTCCCCGATGGATGCTGATTTTTTCTGCCATAGGAGTCTACTGGTGCGATCGCAGAGACGGAGTGGCAGCGCTTTCAACTATACGCCTCACGCGTACGAGCCGTTCATGGGGACTTCGGAAAGGCCCCCAACTCGATCCGGGTACCCTGCGCGAGATGCAACTATTGCGGACCGTTCCGCCACCCCCCACATCCTCGGTGCTCCGATCGCGTACATCTCTCGCGAATTCGGGAGCGCGACGCTCATCTGCGGCCTCGTCTCCAAATCTCTTCCTTGGGGTGACTTGCGGGAGGTGCTCGAGGCCGGACCGGTCGAGCTGGCCCGGCGAATCAAATGGGCATACCAGGCAACAACTGCGCTTGTGCACATCCACTACGCGGCCCATACGTATCACGACGACGTCAAGTGCGCCAACTTCATGCTGGACGCAAACTACGACGCCGTCCTCATCGACTCCGAGCAGGGGCGCGCAAACGAGGAGGCAGCAGCGCCCGAAGTGCACGCCGGAGGTGACGTCGCCGTGTCCGACGAGGGCAGGCTGGTCTATCATCCGCCTCTGGGTTATGCCGGAGAAGACCAGGTGCCCCTCAGAAACAGGGCGTACCCGTACGATGTGTGGCTATCCGCCCCGCGCGGCATCGAGGCGGCGGAGGTGCACGCGCTCGGGGTCGCCCTCCCGAAATTGTTCGAGGAGGATGAGGTGCCCTCCGACATCGTGCGAAAGTGCAAGGCAGGCGACCCTAACGAGCGCCCTACCTTGGAGACTATCGAGCAGTACTTCTACGACTGGTATCTATCCAATATTGCGACCAAGTAAGCAATCACTCCTTTCCCAGAAGCTCGTACTACTTTCAACTTTGTTTTCTACATGGGTGGGGACTTCGTAGCTTTGTCACCCCTGTGAAATCGTTAGGAAGGAGTGCGCCGGATGTGCTGTATACATGTATCGTCTGATCGCTGAAAAGTGTTATGTAGTTCCATGCTAGTGCCTCTGCCTGATTACGAGGAGTCTTACGGTCACAATTTCGGGTCAAGTAAATGTCGACGTCGAGTCTCTCATCTCAAAAGAAGCGCCCAAGGCCGCCGGATTCCGGTAGAAAGTCCCAACGGGTCCGATACCTTGCGCGCCTCCTTCCTCCTGCGCCCACCACTTTGTTCCTCTCAGTCTTGTTCTCCTTCTCGTCGGGCGAGGTACACAGCTCCAACAACTGCGCGTGTGATCATGAACAGTAGAGGAGAGCGCGACGCCGACAACACGTTCGTTCGCACATGTTATCCTTCTGGATGACGGGGAGCATACGCATGAAAGTGAAAGAGGCTGCCTCGCGTTGGCATCGGCCGTCTCTCCTACGGCAATGCATCAGTCCTGTGAGCCCTATGCTATGTGCTCTGTGCTATTGAATGGTTGTACATCGATAATCACGTCGTTTTCGGTGAGTCGTCATCGTTGAACGCACTCGTGACGATTGTGGTTGGCGAACTGTCATAAACCACATCGTGGGAGGGGGTTTCCAGGTGGGGAAATAGCCCGGAGGCTCTCTCATCGATATGAGATGATTGTGGTCGAGATACGCCGTACTAAGCGCGGATCGTGCGCCCATCCGGGTATAAGGACGCGGAGCAGCCGTATGCTATCCTTCTCGGCCTCAGAACCCCATCTACAAGCCGAAGGTACATTCTGTTGATCTGTATGTTCAAATTTATGGACCACACTTGCGCTGGAGATTGAATACGATTCTGATAGGGATCTACAGGGCAGCTACCTTCCATCATGGTTTCCTCGCAGGTGCTGTGCCACGACATACTCTCTAAGATCTTTGAGCACCTGGAACCTGGCGGCGTACCTCACTTCGACGAGTTTCCTGCCGTCATTTCCGAACGGCAGCTTCGTCAGTATACGCTAGCTGCGTCTGCGCGCGTCTGCAGGTCGTTCACGGCACCCGCACTGGATGTGCTATGGCGACACATGTGCAACTTCAACAACCTCCTATGTCTTTTTTCAACGTATTCAAGTACGGAATGTGTCAGTATGATTGTCACACTGCTGTCTTGGTTGGTTCGATATCAATACTAAACGTCTCCCCCGTAGAATTTTGTGGGTGCGATCGCTGAGAAAGAGTGGCAGCGCTTCCAGGAATACGCGCCGCGCATACGAGGCATCAACGGCAACTTCGGCAAGAATCCTGGCTCACCGTTACAAGAGCAAGTATGGATGGTTTTGCTCCAAAAATCCCAAGGGTCGCCCCTGCTCCCGCGCTTGGAATACTTGACTATCAACGGCTCTCTCGGGGGACTGATGTCACTGTTAGGCCCCACCGTCTACAACGTCAACTTATACATTCCTCTTCCATCGGTGAATGCAAGGGATAGCAACCTGCTAGTGGACACCTTTCGCCCACATCTATCCCACATCAAGACTCTGGTGATATACGAATACGTTCCCAACGCATCAGGGCCGCGTCGTGGCATAAACATACCCAAATCCATCGACGTCTGCGCTCTCACCCACCTCGAGTCCCTCGACGTCGTCTACCCGGTGATAGCTCGGCGATCGATGATACAAGCGCTCATGGGCTTTCCCAACCTCCGCTTCCTATGTCTCTCCTTCGAGTTCTGTGCGGACGAACGGACCTCTTTACAAGCGACCAAGTTTGAGCCAGGCTTCTTCGAGCTACGACACATGGACTTGACAGCCTCTTATGACGACCTCGCTCTCTTCCTGGAGATGACCAACCCACCACAGCTCGAGACGCTAGCTCTCGCGCGGGAGTTCGAGAGGGGGGATGACCCCGACGTCGACGATCTACCCCGAGCCTATGCCAAACTACCGCCCCACCTCCGCTGCCTTTCACTGCGCTTCTACGTTTCCCCCGGTGACCCGGACGCGCCCGACTCCCGGTACACCTCACCCCTGCTTACTCCCTCACGAGTGCTCCCGCCTTCCCTCTGCGCCCTGGATAATCTCCGGGAGGTCTTGGTCCGGTTCCAGAACATCTCCTGCCCCTTGGAGAACGCCGTCCTCGCCGCACTGTGCACCGCCTGGCCCGCGCTCGAGCGCTTCGAGTACAACAGCGTGCTCTACCACGACGACGACCCCTCCATGGTGTCCACGCTCGACACCCTCCTCGCATTCGCGCGCGCCCATCCACGCCTCACGCGTCTCTCGCTCCCGGGGCTTAGCCCGGACGGCATCCCGGACGACATCGGCGCGCTCGATGCGGGGGCGTTGCGAGACTGGCCGGGCCACGGGTTGCGTCTGTTCCGGCTCAAGACGTATCTGGTGGGCACGCCCCTCGTCTCTCTGGCTCGCGCGGTGGATCGCGCATTCCCGGAGCTGGACCTCGGCCCTGTTCGCGCGGCTAAGGTCGATAGCGATGGAGAGGCGACGGACCTCCTCGCGTTACCTCTTCTTGTTTTCCAGATGTCACGGAGGCCGGGCGCGGCTGTCTGAACGGTCGTCTCGGTGTGAAAGGGTGTGGCTTCCGGCGTGTCGAGCCCCCATAGTACACGGTTAACCACATGCTGGAAAGAGGCTTTCGAATGCTCTCGGACGAGTTTTCCTCCATTTTTGCCTCCACATATTTTATCTGACATTTCTTGTTGTAATACAAACCGACAGGCGGCACAAACACACATACATCATTCCATCTATGCTAGCATTGGGCAACAGCATCGCAAGTGCGCCATAGCAAACCGACCAGCCTATCTTGCCAGCTCGGAGTAAGATGTATTGAAGAAGGGATCGCTTCGTATATCAAATATTTACAGGATATCATTTGTCTGCGACGGCCGCGCACTTGGTGCGCGCAGAGCACCGCGACCTACTCCAGGCACCACAGCAGGGCCCGGCCTCTGAACGCATGATTAACTTCCTCTTTCCCTTCTACAGCTATTCCTCGCCATCGATAGCAGCCAGCTGATACTAGTACCGAGGTCTCTGTATCCTAGGGTCATCTTCGACAACTTCGCTTACCGGGTTTCCTAGACTCGCCCCGATCTACTGAAACACGCTCTCTGTCGGTGGGTCACTCTGATTCTCTCTACTGAGTTGGATGTTTCATCGCACATATATAACACAGCAATGGCGCCACCGCCTCAACTTCTATGTCCCGACATCGATCTCGCAAAAGTCTTCGAGCACCTCGCTCCTGGTTCCAAACCTACGCTTGAAGACTCTCAGGCTACTTACTCCGAGTGGAGGATTCGCCGGCTCACTTTGACCGTCTCCCCTCGCATCTGCAGCCTACTCACCGCGCCCGCTCTGGACGTGCTTTGGAGTGTCATGGATGATGTTCGGCCGCTGTTTGTCCTTTTCCCGACCTACTTTCCTGAGATTGGCGTACTTATCAAACCCATTATACGTTCATATCTTGATGAGTACACACGAGCCACCGCTCTCGTCCCCATGGTCCGTACAAATAACCTACCCGATACAGAATCTCGCGTGGCCCATCTGTGGCTAAAACACGCTCATAAACCAAGCCGCACCCCTTCTCCCCCCAAATTTCACTGTAAGCTCTCCTTTGTGCTTACTGCCGTCACCTCACACTCATCCACTCACGATGGCTCGCCCCGCTGTCGGTACCCCAGTCAAAGTCGCCCGCATATAGGGCAGCATCTAGAGCGCGGCTGCACCCAACGTCGATATCAAGCGTCGCGAGCTCCGATTTAGCATGCACGGCAAATACATCGTCATTCCGACCTCGCGGTTTCTGAAGAGCTATATGCCCCCAGTCGACCAGCAGCGAGAGGGTCGTTACTCCGACATACTGAGAAGCATTCCTGTCACTTCTGGCCAGGAAGCCCAGATGTATGGACCGCTGGTGAGCGCTAGAAGTGCATTTCGGATCGACTCGATGGCTTAGCCACATTGCAGGTTACCGCTCTCAACAAGGCCAGAATTTGTCCCGGATTCAAGTTCGCCATAATATACTCGCGAGGCAATCCGTCTGAGAAATCCAACGAAGCCGTGGACGTTGGTATGTATCCTTCTAGTTACGTCCCCCAGGCAGCTCTAAGAGGCCGGAAAGGCTCAGTCAAGTCTGCACAAAACGACTGGTCGTTCGTGGAGATTTGTATCGAATGCAAGACAGAGCCGGAGGCACTCGATCCATTCGACGATAGGAACGACGACGGGCAACCCACCTCGAAGGACCGCAAGGGCGTCCTCGGCCAAATTCTTTCGTACGCCGAGTTCGTCTTGACTAGGCAACAACGCACGTGCGTCTTCATGATCCTTCTCCTCGGCGACCTCTGCCGCCTCGTACGCTTCGACCGGTCGGGGGCCATCGCATCGCAGAAGTTCAACTACAAGACCAACGGCGGGGATCTCATCGAGTTCTTGTGGCGCTATGCTCGATGCGACACGGCTACCCGGGGCCATGATCCTTCCGCCGAGCGTATCAGTCCCGACTCAGAGCTCGGTAAGAAGATGCAGGACCGTGCAACGAAAAAGGCTGGCGCGGGGCCTGAGGACTATGTCCGCGAGATGTTCGAGGAGTCTTTGAAGACGGACTGGTCATGGTGGAAGCTTCGCGTCGACGGAGAGCGCGGTGTTGTACGTCACTTCCTTGTCGGCGAACCGAACTTTCAAGCACCTGGCGTCGCGGGACGCGGAACACGTGGCTACGTTGCCCTCGACGCGGACAACCTCGACGGGCCATTCTACTACCTCAAGGATGCCTGGCGAGTCGTGAGCCGTCACATCGACGAGGAAGGCAATATCCTGCAGTTCCTCAACAAGAAAGGTGTCCAGTACATACCCACACTCGAATGCCACGGGGACATCATGACGCCGACAACGCAGTTGACCAAGACAAATCAGTTGTGGAAAGACCTGCACAGGCGCAAGAAAGGCGCTGTTTGTCCGTTCAAGAAGCACCAGCACTACCGCATCGCGGTCAAGGAAGTAGGCCAAGAAATGGCCAAGTTTGATCGTGGTCGACAACTAATACACGCGCTGTGGTGCTGCATATATGGTATGAATCCTGGAATGTGCGCGCCCCCAGTTCTGACACGGTTTTACAGCACATTCGCAAGCTTACAAGGCAGGTATCATCCATCGCGATATCAGCGCTGGCAATCTCTTGCGCTACTTTGACCAGAGCACCGGGCAATGGTGCGGGCTCCTCAATGATTGGGAAATGTCGAAGAATACGAATTCTAAGCGTCCTGAAGGGCGCCAGCTCGACCGCACAGTGAGCGGCCTTTGCCTGACTCATGCTCTATACAAGCTGACAGTTAGCAATCAGGGCACTTGGCAGTTCATGTCTGCTGCCGCACTTGAAGCACCTACGAAACAGATCGCCGCCGAGGATGAGCTCGAATCCTTCTTCCATGTTCTACTGTTCCTCGCCATCCGCTTTCTCAGACACAACTGCGACAATGTGGCCGACTTCATGCACGCCTACTTCGACGACTTCAGCACCCTCAACACCGGTCGCTATGGCTGCGGAAATATGAAGATGCTCTGCATGACAAACGGACGCATTGCTATCAAGATGGATGGTGGGACTGTCGTTTCGCTCCTCGAGTTCATTTGGCCGCCGTCTGCCGACAATCCCGCCGAGGTCGAGACACGCACACACCCCATGAACAAACTCCTTCAGACCATCCTGGGGTGGCTGCAGGCGCACTACTCCCTCATGCCCGTTGCCAACACCAGTGCAGACAAAACGGCGCCCCCAGCTCCGACGGCCGCGGCAGAGGAGTCCGACGACGAAGAAGACCTACTGCTCGCGGGCAGGCCCCCGCGAGACCCGAAATAACTCAACAAGAGTGAACAGCCCGCACCAGTGTCTCGCGAAGTACGAGAAGCGCTCGCTCAGAATCTCTATACACATCAAGCCATGCTCGACCTGCTCGAAGGCGCCATGCACAAGTCGACGAAGTGGCCACCATTGGACAAGCTGGCGGACCAGCTCCCGGAGGAGGGATACAAACACGGCGCCGATATCAAGGTGGACTCCGCTGACCTGCTCAAGCATGGAGCGCGGCGCGGTGGTGCCTCCGGTGCGGCGCCGTCGCGCAAGCGGGGGTCGGACCAAGTCGAGCAGGCCGCAGCGCAAGAGGAGCCGAAGCGTCAGAAGTTGGCAACACGCAAGTCTACTCGGATTCGGAAGCCGCGCCGCAGCAACTGAATACGTGCTCACGTCGTGTCCATCATCGCCGTCGCGAAAGGGCCCCGTCGACGTTGCCTAATGTTGTGCCGCATGATTCAGGTCTTCGCGCCCTCAAGCCCTGCCGGAGCCCGCGTTCTTCCGAGTCGTTATGGTTGGTGCACAGGTAGCAGGAACTTAGCTTAATGTAACTGTTTGTATTCGTTCGCAGGAGCCCGCCGTTTGTCACTGGTTCAGAGATTGGCTTGCGGGCGTGTCCTTGAAAAGGATCGTATAACAAAGTGTGAAGTTCGAGATATTCTCGACGCGCGTGAGCGGGAGCAGATATGGATGCAGCAGACGATATATACATTGCAAGGGTATGTACGGGTATGCGGTAGATATGATGCGAGAGATATAGATAGGATAGCCTGGGTAGTAACTAACTAGACGTGTCCGGAGTGTGTGGCCCAGAAAGAAATGTCCACAAGATCGTATGCGCACCACACGGGAGAGAAGATCTGAGTTTAAGGGACGATGTGCTAGGAGGGAAAGTTGTAAGAGACTAGACGGTACGGGGAGATTCCAGGCAGAAGCTTTCGAAGTTTCGTAGCGAGGTTCTCGGCGTGCGGGCGACCGCGTCGTACTCTCTGTCCGGACTTCCTGGACGGTTCACCGGACTGGTGAACCACGGGGTACGTTGCAGCTCAGTGCGGAGTATGGGCGAAAGCGGTGAGATAGGCCGAGGTTGTTGTGGAGGACCTGGTCCTGAGACACAGATTGCGCTCGCGGACGAAGAGCGCTAGCTCCCGAGGGGGCGAGGGCGAATATACCATCGCGACGACGCGCTCAGGTGCCGCGGCGCGACTTCCGAATACGAGTAGACTTGCGTGTCGCCGACTTCGAACGCTTCGGCGACTCTTGCGCAGCGGGCTGCTCGACTTGGTCGGACCCACGCTTCCGTGACGGACCTGCGCCGGAAACACCTCCGGGGCGTTGTGCTTCCTGCTTGAGGAGTTCGGTGGTGTTCGCCTTGACGTCGGCGCCGTGCTTGTAGCCCTCCTCCGGGAGCTGGTCCGTCGTCTTATCTGCCACCGGCCATGTCGGCTTCTTGATATCGTTGATTGGATCACCTTCGAGGGCGACCTCGAACAACTCGAGCAGGGCATGATGGGTGTGGAGATTCTGAGCAAGCACTTTTTGTGCTTCGAGCGTCGACGGTGAGGGCGGCCGGCCGTTAGGGACGGCTCGTTTCGCGCGTCGCTGGCGGTCGCCATGAAAGACCACATGGTGCTGAACGACCTCGGGATCGTCCTCTGGAGCTGTGGTAACCAACTTGTATGCTTCAGGATTCGTGACGGCCATCAGGGAGTAGTGCGCTTGTATCCACTCCAAGATGGTCTTCATGATATGGTTCAATGGATGGACCCGTTTGACGGCGTCGGGGAGAGGCTTCTCGGAGGTGGATGCAGCGGCCTTGGATGGAGGTTTTGCGGAGCCGGGCGCAACAGTGTCGGGAAGAGGGTCCGCGGAGTTGGATGCGACGGTCTCGGGAGCAGGTTTCGGAGGCGGCCAAGTGAATTTGAGCAGGGATACAGCCGTTCCGGCGTTTTCAATATCCAGCGCGATGCGTCCATTCGTCATACACAGCATCTTGAACGATCCGCAACCGTAGCGGCCGGTATTGAGCATGCTGTAGTCATCGAAGTAGGCGTGCATGAAGTTGGCCACCTCATCGCAGTTGTGGTGAAGGAAGCGGATGGCGAGGAACAGTAGGACGTGGAAGAAGGACTCGAGCTCATCTTCGACAACAATTTCTTTCGTCGGTGCCTGGAGTGCGCTAGCGGACATGAATTGCCAAGTGCCCTGCATAATCATGAGTCCCAATGCAGCGTAGGACGGTCAACTGCTACTCACTGTTCGATCGAGCTGGCGTCCCCCGGGATTTTGTGTCTTGGTATTCTTAGCCAACTCCCAGTCGTTGAGAAGCCCGCACCACTGCTTCGAGTCCTGGTCATAGTAGCGCAAAACATTACCGGCGCTGATATCGCGATGAATGATACCAGCCTCGTATGCCTTCCAATGCGCTGCAAGAGTGTATTAGGCCTGGTTCATACGCTTTCGAGTTCGGGGCACGTACCGTAGACACAGCACCACAATGCGTATATCAGTTCATGACCGTGAGTGAACTCGGACATCGGTTGCCCAACCTCCTTGACCACGATGCGATAGTGCTTGTGCTTCTTGAACGGAGAAACAGCGTCTTTCTTGTCCTTGTGCAAGTCTTCCCAAAGCTTCGGTGTCTTGGTGAATTGTGCTGTCGGCTTCTTAATGTCTCCATGGCACTCGAGAGTGGGAATGTGCTTGACGCCTTTCTTGTTAAGGAACTGCAAGGTCTTCCCTTCCTTGTCGACAAGTTGGCGGCTCACAACTCGCCAAGCGTCCTTGAGGTAGTAGAACGGCCCGTTGATGTTGTCCGCGTCGAGCGCGACGTAGCCGCGCGTCCCGCGTCCAGCGACACCAGTTGCGCTGAAGTTGGGCTCTCCGACGAGGAAGTGGCGCGGACCCTTCTCGCTGTCCACCCGAAGCTTCCACCACGACCAGCTTTTGTTCAAAGACTTCTCGAACATCTCGCGGATATAATCCTCGACCCGGCCCGGCTGCTTCTTTGCCGCACGGTCCTGCATCTCTTTACCGAGCTTTGAGTCAGGACTGATACGCTCGGCGGAAGGATCGTGGCCCCGGGTAGCCGTGTCGCATCGAGCATAGCGCCACAAGAACTCGATGAGATCCCCGCCGTTGGTCTTGTAGTTGAACTTCTGCGAGGCGATTGCCCCCGACCGGTCGAAGCGTACGAGGCGGCACAGGTCGCCGAGGAGAAGGATCATGAAGACACACGTGCGTTGTTGCCTAGTCAAGACAAACTCGGCGTACGAAAGAATTTGACCGAGGACGCCCTTGCGGTCCTTCGAGGTCGGCTCCTTGTCGTCTTCGTCTTCATCGAACGGGTCGAGATTCTCCGGCTCCGTCTTGCACTCGATACAGATCTCCACGAACGACCAGTTGTTTTGCGGAGACTGGACCTTGCCATTACGGTCTGTCGAAGCCTGAGGAGTGTGGAGAGAAGGATACATGCCGACGTCTACGGCCTCGTTCGACTTCTCGGACGGGTCGCCTCGCGAGTGCGTCATGGCAAATGTGAATCCGGGGCAGAGGTTGGCTTTGTTGAGGGCGTCGATCTGCAGTGTGTCTAAGTCACCGAGTCGGCTCAGAATGCACTGCAGCGCTCACCAATGGTTGATACATCTTGACCTCCTGGCCAGAGGTAACAGGAATTCCCCGAAGGATGTTGGTGAAACGACCACTTCGCTGTTGGCGGACGGCAGGCATGTAGCTCTTCAGGAACTGCGAGGTCGGGATGACGATGTATTTGCCGTGCATGCTGAATCGGAGCTCGCGACGCTTGATGTCGAGGTTGGGTGCGGCCGCACTGTATATGCCGCTCTCTATGCGAGAAGGCTTGACTGGAGTGTGTTTAACGGAGGGTTTATCCATCGCGAGTAAGTGAATCGGTGAGTGCGAGGTCAAGGTAGTAAGCGCAAAGGAGAGCTTACGGTGAGATGCGCGAGGAGCAGCTTGATATATGAGCGTGCTTTAGCCACTGATGGACCACGCGATGCGCTGTATTTGGGTAGGTTATTGTACGGACAATGAGAGACGAGGGTGGCTCGCGTTCTGGCGCTAGTGGTGGCTAAGGAGAACGAGTTCAAGTTTGGAGACGCCCAAATCGTTCCGCGCCCTTGCGCGATGCCAGCGTCTAATCTACTCAGCGCTTATGGCCTTTGTCGAGACGTGGCCCCAAATGTGCTCACCCTCACTCAGTTCTGGACGTCACCTGTAGGACATATACTCCAGGGTCTTACCTGTATTTCTTGTAATTTTCATTCGCCTGGAAGAGGAACGTCAGAGGGTAAGCCCCCTTCGAATTTCCTCGCCGCCGCCGGGTGGCTGTGTAACGTCGAACGCTTTCGCGCAGGCGCGCGATGCGAGCAGCGTCACTTCGAGCCTAATGCCAGTGCTGGATAATACTCATTTGAACACGGACGATGCCACCCAAGACTTCGTGGTATTGCGAAGACATGTGCAGAAATCTACGCTATGTAACGCATAAGGCAGATGTAACTGGCCAGTGAAGGCGCATAAGTATACAACTTCTTGCTTGTGTTGATGAGTACTAGTTCTCGGAGGATCCGTCGATTTCTGCAACCCGTAGAGCCTCACCAGCCTGCGATTTCCGCATATGATACCGTGTATCAAAGAATTACACGGATCGGAGCCTTTACAGCTCGTAGGGGTGGCTGCCTATGCAGCTGTTCGCGATCGGCGCCGCTGACACTGGCCTCCGGGTGTGGCCGAGGATGTGCTATGTTCGTTTTGCTGACCCTCTGCCAGTATCACGCCCGCCGAGGCCTACGCTCACCTCCTAGCCACTGGCATCACATCTTTCGCCCGTTCCACCATCTCGCCCGTCTACCACCCTTCTCTGCTGGACATCCTCGGAAGCGCAACGCGATCGTCCTCACTACGCAGCTACCGTGGCATCCTAGATCCTCGGCTGAGCTGGTACACTCTGGCAGTGTGCGATGACCATCTCCGACTTCAGGCTCAAAGGGCTACTATCCTTCGCTCTTGCGGCACACCACATTCTACACCTCACGCTCCCTACCATCACTGGCATTGAGATGCTCCTCCTCTGCGCCTATGTCCTCATCTGGGCCTCGAAACCCCACGTTCGCGCCTCGACTGCCGCGATCGCTCGCCACCTAGAACGCTACGCCCTGGCAACACTTCCTGCCAAAGTCGTCCACCGCTGCAACCGTCTCATAGACTGCTCATTCTATGTGCTTCTCTGGGTTATCATCTGGGGTCCCACTTCTGGGCTGCCTATGTTTTTGCGGTCGGCCTGGTGGTCTATTGGTACGGTCTTCACCGTCTGCTACGTCTCGGCAAGCCTTAGCGGATTCCTCTGGGTGCCTGCCTTGTGCTACGTCGGCCATCCCAGCTACAACATGCTGCAACGCGCCGCGAAGATAGGAACGATGGCTTTCCGCTGGACGGGCGGGAAGGTTCGCTCTCTGTTCAAGTCCTTTCAATCAGCTGCGGTATTCAGCTACACTTACGTTCAACAACATCGTCCTACACTGTCCGACGCGAAGATCTGGACCATTACTGCGATGACTCCTCTGCGGGCTTGTCTTCGCTGGGCTGCCGCCGTGATTACTATCCTCGACGCTGGCGGTCGTTCTACGATCGCCGCCATTCTCCGCGCTACTTCAACTGTCGTCCGTATCGGGGGCCGCGTGTGTAGCAAGATCCTCGAAGTAACTGCCCGGATGCATGCCGCGACTATGGACATGATTTCGCGGATGCACTCCACGGCCGTCCACGTCGCGTTGCAGATGTACACCAAAGCCGCCACCGATTGCAAGGCAGCTGCTTCCTGGGCCTCGTTGCAGACCACCGAGGCATGCTCGACGGCGCACCGCCTCTCGCACCGGCTTTTGCGCGCCTCAGTCAAGACGGCTGCGTTCTTCCGGAAGGAGCCTGGCACCGTCGAGTGCATCATCGCATCTACCTCGCAGATCCTCGAGGGTCTAGGGATGGCGTCGGACGTCCTTGCCCTGGTTCCGTTCGCCGTCCTGGGTGATGAGATTACGCTGAGGTCAGGTCCGACCCTCCACGTCGCGGACGCTGTCAAGGCCACAGTGGACGTAAGTGTGCGGCTGTACAGTCACGTTCAAACATTCTGACGCACCCGCGTAGATCGCACTCGTCGCGCCTTTCCAAGCCAGCAGCAACGACATTGAAGCTGACGGACATTGCGAGGCAGCCGCCCTCGAGCATATCGAAAACGAGGATACAGCCGCAAACATGCGCGACGCCGCCCAGCCCGCCAGCAAGGATACGCTCTCCGCTCAGCAGCCTTTCGACGACGATATCGACGATGATCTAGATGCGCTCATCCGCAGCCTCGCGACCCTCGTTCTTTCGGACCCAGAGGAGCAGCCCACTACTTGGTCCCTGGGTCCATGTGTCTCGCTTCGGATCCCCGCTTCGACCTCGGCGGAGTCCAACTGCTTCGACTTCGCATCCCCTCCCCGCCAGGCACCAACCTCGTTCGCGTACCCCATGGGGGTGGCCAAGGATCGCGCTTCTTCGTCAAATGACAGCTTCGACACCACGCTCTGCGGCGACTCCTGTTCCTCCCTCGGTCGCATCCTCGACTCCAAACTTCATGAGCAGGCTTCAAGCAACTCGACGCTCGCTATGACGGAGGAGGTTGCCCGAGGAGCTGCAACGCCGCAGAAGGCGCGCGAGCAGCCGAAATACCTAGGCGCGCATAAGCATCGACAGACGCAGCAGGATCTCGCGCGAGGGGCATGCAGGGCTGAGGAGGTACGCGTGGTGGTCGACACATCCGCGGCGAAGCAAATCGCCTGGAGGGCCCTGCTGACGTATGGGCGCAGGTGTGAGTGAGAAGGGGATGATCTGGTGGCTTGGGCCGCGATGGAGGGGAGCAGGATGCGGTGTGGCTGACCCAGGGGAGGACGAAGTAGACAAGGACTCGCGGGCGGAGGTCGTCGTATCCTTTCGGACCTCCAGATTCGTCATCGACGCTTCAGCAGTGGGTGTTGGGCTATCGCTGGTCGGGCCCCGCGCGCACATAGTTTTGGTCTAGACAGTTCTATACCCACATTATATTATTCATCATGACACCTAGAAGCGCGGAAAACGATTGGTTGCGTACCTCTTCACCGATACTGATCACGGCGCCAGGACGGCAAGGTGTATCTGCACGCGGTATTCATCCCTCGCGATAGAGGGGTACTCACTTCTGATCACTCGAAAACATAGGCTCAGCCGAGAGCAAGCAACTGCTTCGCTAAACATGATTGAGACCGTCTTCGTTAAAAACGATACGCGAGGAACTCACCTGGCAGAAGCCCGTATGCATGTGGTGTGTATGCGGCACGGCCGCGGTGATCTTGTGACGAAAGGAGATAGCGTACACCAAAGACATGGTCTGTGACGTTGCGAAAGAACCCCAGGGGAAAATCCGGTACGCCGGTGCATGTAATATAAGAGCCGTACTTTACAGGGAGCGCAGACGCGCCGTAGCAGAAGACATTCTGGTTCACGGCGAAGGATGAAAGCGGCACTAATCCTGTGCAGGTGCTTGAATGGCATGCATAGCCGTCTAGTGGGGGTGCTCGATGTAGAGCGTACCGGTATTCCACCTCCAAAGGCGCATAGCCGTGTCCGAAGGAGGACGAGGTTGTTATGCTCGGTTGGAGCGGTTCTTGAGTGCGGCGATAGCAGCCTCCGCGAGGGCCACCTCGTGTTTCTCATCCTCCTGCACGGCACCTTCAGCATCATACACGCCATCCATCCCTGCCTATATAGAACGCACGTCTTTAGGTACGACGGTGGGTACCGGGCCCAACGCCTCTTGCCTTGCCAAAGCCTGTACGAATGGCAACGCACGAGGTCATAAGCGGAGCCATGGCTCAAGATGCAAATCGCTAACCTCTGCAGAACGTGAACGATTGGAGGACGGTCCGAAAGTAGAGAAAGACGCTACGCACCTCTGCCAGCCTTTAGTGTCTCGCGGTGGACAACTCCCATCATGACAATTCCCCAGACGCTCACGCCGAGTAGTGACCAGACCAGACCGCGATGCAGGACGTCGCTGACAGCCAAACGTGTCCGAAGAGCCATAGCACTAAGCAGGTGGTAGAGGGAGCTTGAGTGGGAGACCTGAACGAGGCCGCCAAGGTCAAGAGGTTATTCCGCATGGGAAATACAAAACGGACGAGCTATGTTGGTACAGCATTTGAGCACAAGGCGAGATGGCCGAGCGGTCTAAGGCGCCAGACTAAGGAGTACCTGCTTCGGTATCTGGTCCGAAAGGGCGTGGGTTCGAATCCCACTCTCGTCAGAAGTGTTTTGTCACAGGCGAGATGCATGCCATCCACCTCAAAATCTGTTTTGATCCTGACAGGAATACGATCCCGACTGAGGTTGCTAATATACAGCTGGACTGGCCGGGTCTTGTTTATGCGTATGTTGATTTAGTTAACCGAACTCGTACGTAAGCGCGTCGGGCGGCGGCTGGGACGAAACTGAGACGATCCTCTCACCGTGACTGAGTCCTCCTCCTCCTCCTCCTCTTCATCTAGTACCAAGTAAGTTATCCTCCTCTCCACTCTGTGACACTTCTATACTCATACAACTTCTTGTTCTCAAACGCAATAGCTTACCATGGCACATAACGAAGAGGGATCCGATCTGTCCAGCCCAGGTCGGAACGCTACCGAACGCGTTCTAAACACGCCAGAGCTCCTCCGCGCCGTTTTCGACGTCCTAGAACCTGGGCTCAGGCCGTGCCCAGGCACCGACGCCGACAATGAGCAGTTCAGGCTTCATAGAGCCACGCTTGCCGCCTGCGCTCGCGTTTCGTTATTTGTCTCCCAACATGCTCTCGATGTGTTGTGGAGAGCCATCGACGAGATTGAATGGTTACTCAAAGTCCTTCCCACCGTTGATTATGTGCAAAGGCAAGGAATTCCGGTACGTTCAGCCGAATCTTGTTGAGCGACCTGACATGATGTTCAACTCCGTGTTTGGGTAGACATTAACCGGGGACATCTCAGCTTCCGCCTGGGCACATTTTCAGACGTTCGCCGTGCGCATACGCAGGTTGACTTTCCTCCAACGTAACGAAGACATGCCGACGTGGACCGAGCTCGTCCGAAAATGTCCAGGTCAACCGTTGCTGCCGAACCTTCGCTACCTTCATGCTATGTGGGTTGCTGATGAAATTGCTATATCACCAATACACAACCTACTTCCCCCCTGCCTTCATATCATACACATTGGCTTCTGTGGACGTGTGTCAAATGAAGCGGAACGGCTCCTCTTCGAAGCTCTTGTCAATGGTGCCCCGCAGTTGGAAACCCTGTCCTGGGGTACTTACTTTCCCTCGGATTTCCCTCCAACCTATCCAACCTACTTGCACGGGATCGGCCGGCACTTCCCCAAACTGGCAACACTCACCTGGACGACTCGGACTCCACAGAACCCTGTCGCCAATATAACACTTCTTCGTGCGATATCTGCCATGCCGTCGCTGCGCACTCTGCGCTTGGACATCAATTTCCCAGAACCAGAGAACTTGACTTTTCCCCCATCCGCATTCGAGAGCCTACACACACTCCATCTGACTGGCCATTCGTTCCGCGATGTGGTCGAATTCGTTCATTCTCTGAGACCTCCAGCACTCAAGGCCCTCTTCCTCGCCGGCAAACATGGCCCCCTCACGCTCCCAACCCTCCATGGCGGAATGTCACGGCTTTCTGCAAATCTGCCCTCCACCCTAACGCACTTCTCCCTGTTTGCATGTTATCGTTCTGAGCCCCCTCCCCAGTCCATCGAGAAGACCACTGGAATCTGCGATATTCTCGCCCCGTTGCTCCGTTTCAACGACTTGGAACACGTCGTCCTCGATCCCGAGATGTCTTCAGTCTTGCAGCCCACGGACGACGACCTCGCGAGCGCGGGTGCCGCCTGGCCGCGCCTCCAGTCTCTGAACCTCTTCACCCATAATCACCCCGCGGACACCACCGGCCCCGAAATCGCAGCGAACATCCACATCACCGTACAGGGCGTGGTCACTCTGGCGCAGCGCTGTCCCCAACTCTCCGCACTGTCCATCCCCGCCTTCGGCGTCTTCTCCCCGCGGATCCCACACGGTTCTGTTGTGCAGATGACCCCGTTCGTCAAGCACCCGTTGCGCTACTTCAGAATCGGTATGCTCAACCCTGGAGAGAAGTTGCCGTCTCAGCTTGCGGCAGTGTTGCGGCGGATGTTTCCCCTGTTCGCGAATCCGGCAGCGCGATACGTGCATGGCCAAGAGCCGCGGCCGCGGAGGTTTGTCATGACCGTGCCGGAGTGAACTTGGGTGTGCGCGGGACGGGGGGCACATTGTTTCAACGAAGTGAGTGATCATATTGTTGACGCTTCTGAGACAACGCGTAATGATGAAATAATTGGTAGAGATGAAAAGACTGTGTAATGTACAAGGTACAGTAACGGCACGTACGCACGCTTCTCATGCAATATAACGATACAGTATCCAAATAATCTAAGGCTACACCACAAAGACACAACATACCGCAAGCCCATTTCCCCGCCAGTCACGCCACTCCCCGCATAGCGTCCCAGCCGCATGCGCACTTCCCACCTACCATACACGCGTTCACCGGTTAGCGAGCGGGGAGCCAGCGACTGCCCGTCGCGTCGACATGCCGCCGAGCCCCGACCGGTTGTCGGTGTAGGCCTTCCTGGACGGCGTGACATACGCGTCGCCGCCGCGCTCGCCCTGGCGCGCCTCCGCCGCGGTTTCGCGGCACTTCTGCAGGAGCGCGCGGAAGTCGCGCTTCGGCGACTGCCCAGGGGTACCCGACAGGTACGCGTTCAAGATCGACGCATAGTCCTGCTCCCGATCGTGAGTGGCACGTCTTCCTCTAGCCACAGCGGCTCGGGAGAAGAACAGAAAAGGGGGACGTACGGAGGGGTGGTACGCGCTCGACTTGGTCTTGAGCGAGCTCTTGCTCGCGCTCGAGCGCTGCTTGCGGAGGCGCGCGAGCTTCGGGCGGTATGCGCGGTAGCGGTATTTGATCGTCTGCGTCGGCGAGGGCGGGAGCATGAACGCACTCTCGGACGAGAGCTCGCCGTAGCCGGTGAGCGTGTACGCGTCGTCGCCGAAGCTCGAGCCGGTCGGCGAGGGCAGCGGGGAGCCGATCGCGCCCGCTTTGTCGTAGAAGGCGGCGGTGGGGAGGAAACGGCGGGGCTGTGGGTGGCGCGTGTTCAGCGACCTCGCGTTGAGGGGACATGCCGATGAGTGTGGAGGGCCATACGTACCTTGCGGTGGGGAGGCATGGTAATGTGATTGAATGTAAGTGAAAAGAATGTGATGATGCGGACCGGGATAGGGTGTGTGAGTGTTGGTGCGAGCTTATATAGGGCAGCTGAGCAGAATATATAGCTTTGACCAGGTGGCTAAAGACCGAATGTGGGCACGTGGACTGTGAAGTCATTGCACCGATGCCGGCTTGACAATGGCCATTCCATGAGTCTCCTTTCCGGTGAACACTGCGACATGTGTATACCTGCCCGTGTACACGCGGCAGGACTTCACGCAACTCAGTCACATTTCACGATACCTGTAGCGAGTGTCCACACACAAAGACGCGGTCGGAAAGGGGGATTCAATCGCGAATTAGACGGAATTCGCCTGCGTTCCCTTCAAGTATAGGCTGATGAACGTTGGAATTCTATTGCGATGAGACTGCGAAACTTTGTGCAAAAATGCTCGCGCCGTGGAGTTACCATATGCACCCGAGACAGAGACACTGACTCACCAAATAGCATTCCATCGTGACGAGTATGCATACACAAATATGTATGTTCTGCAGAATGCGAGGGGGTATTATATCCGCAATGCTTGCAGCGGCTGTGGACGGATACTAAAGACGGTAGAGTGTTAGTGCGGTCGACTCAAGCGGAGAGAAAGACATACTAACTCACCTGTTATGTGCAATGAAGACTTCTTTCCAAGTAAAACTCCTGGATATGCCTGACCGTTGGGTTGCCTCAGTAGAACCGCATATACTCATTCTCGGCCGGTATAGGAGTCCTAAAATGACGTCATCACATCCTATCAAAGCAGATTATCAGCATGCGCCAAACTCGCAAACGCCTTCTTACTACCCGCCTATGCGCATACCGCTCAAGATGACTTACCAAACTGTCGACTTCCTCGTAAAGGGCAAAGTACAAGGTGTCTACTTCCGCGTCTTCACGCGAGACGCCGCCCAACGGCTGGGCGTGGTAGGCTGGGTGAAAAACGACCCGGTATGTGTGTGTTCGCGCAAGTTCAGTTATAGTTGTACTCACCGAGTTACGGCTCGCAGTGCGGAGACGTCGTTGGAACGGCACAAGGCGAAGAAAGCGCGTTAGCCAAGTTGTACGTTTGCACTTTGGCGGTTGATCTCTATCTTGCTAAGATCGCTCTCCAGCAAGGAAGCGTTGCATGAGGGGCCAGCCCAGGCCGAGGTCGCCAGCGTCGAGTTCACCAACGAGGCACCGCTCGAAAGGTTGCAGTTCCAGGGGTTCGAAAAGGTTCGCAACCAAGCGCGATAGCCGACTCGGACAAAGTCAGGACGGCGACGATATGGAGAAGTTTGGTCCACTGTGTTCCGTTACGATTCGATTTGCTCCTGTAGATTTCGCGAGACATGACTCTCTGAATAAAGAGTCCACAGCTGGTAGATTGCATGGAAGACGTCCGGGGCTTATGAAGACGAGAGGGGGGTGTCTTTGGAGTCTCAAATGCGCACTCCCCAAGTCTCCGGCAAAAGCGTTCAAAATCGAGAAAGCCGGATCCTTCCTCATTCGGCTAGATACAGGGAACCAATCAGAGCCCCCCGATATTTCTATCTAAGTACAGAGATTATGGGCGCCAAATCCTCTTGCCGAAAGCCGAGCTGCTTAATGCTGAACATGAGCCCTCTCTCCGTCTCACCCTTCCTATCTCGCTATCGTCTGCGATTGCACGGCGCACGACGCGACCAAGACGAGTCACGACGCGGATAGCAGCACATTAAAACCTTCGCAGGTGCCGTACAACACGCGCACGCTCTCTGGGTACGGCTCTGCGACCTCGAGCCTTCGCAGCATGTACACAAGTCTCCCCGGAAGTAGCGCCATGACCCCGCGAATGCCCGGCATACACTCAGGACAGGACGGCGAGCGGGATCCATTGCTCGACGCGCGTGTGAGGGATGTAGGCGAGGTGGAAGCGGGCGGGACGCGGACCCCGGAAGTTGAGCGTTCTCGCGCTTTGCTTGGAGCAAGACTTTGTGGCGGAACTTCTGAACGTGCATTATATGGACGGTCTTCACGAGGGTGCCTTGGTGGCGAGACCTGTTTCCGTGTACTCGGTGGGCAAACATGCAAGTCAACTCTGCAGACCAACGTGCGCCGGGAATGTATGATGTTCGCTAGTCGGAGCATCAGTCTACGACATCATACACTTGCTTCGCATGTCCTCCTACTCATAGTCATGCACGCAGATCCCGCCGAGAATATAAGACGGGCTCCCTACTGGTCGCACGACTCTATGGGCTTTAAGTATCGACGCACTTGCTTCCGGGTCCGGGGTGGAATGTCGGAGGTACCGGAGCCATCCTTGGGCGTTTTCGCGCGGGATGAGATCTGTGAAACGGACTTGATATGAGCCATGGGCACACAGAAACAGAGCTCGTTATTGATGAACGTAACGGGTATCTCTGTAGCCGCGGCTATCTACGTCGATGGATTCTGCTGAGCGCGCGGAAGACCTGGTTAGGCATGCGACTCGTTCGGATGCATTCTGTTGGGAGTATGACCATCGGAAGTGCAGGGCAGGAGTACCGTAAAAGAGGAGTATATCGCATATTCGTTGGATGATCGGGGGGCGATGGTAGGCTCGTAAACCAGCCTCACGTTCGGAGACGGAAGACAGTCGTTCCTCCCGAAGGGAGGCTGGAACCTCTTGTGAGGGGGGGTGGTGGTGACCCCCGTGGGAACGACACGCCAAAAAGCGTCTCAAGGCCTCTCCTCACGAGCTCTCCTCGCGCGTAGATTTACGCAGCGAATATTCTTGACAAAAAATGGGCAGGCTCGCAGCACGGACGGTTCCTGATAGAATATTTTTCTGTCATGATATTCTGCACATAGCCTGCAATGCAGCTCTCGACGACGCAGGGCTTCAGCCACCCGTTCAATGTCCGCTGACATCCACTGACATCTCTCACTAGGGGATTGCAACTCAGCCGTTCCCACGGGGGTCACCACCACCCCCCCTCACAAGAGGTTCTAGCCTAGGCGATGGAGAAGTAGAACAGAACCGCACCGATTTTGTTGAGCACGAAGACCAGCTTCTTGCCTTCACTTTCCCTCCGGCGGACTCTATCCTCCTGCAGCCCTCTGGATTGCGCGCATCGCGCACCAGGATGACGATATCGCTCTCATCGATCACTTTGTGCAAGGCACGAATATAGTGGCGGCGGAGCTGCTCCTTTCAAGTCTTCGGTGCGCTACGTGAAGACGAGGGGTCCGCAGAGAAGCCCTCGTCATCCACGGCCGCAAAAGTTTCTGCGAGCACGGCGAGGGAGGAGAGTATGGGTTCCGACGCCATCTGCGCGTTTGGGTCTCGGTGGGGAGGCTGCGGCGAACTGTAGTCGACCACCTCGCCTCACTTCTATGTGCGATGAAGTACAAACGGGTTGTAAATGTTTCTCAGCATTTCGAACCTTGAAGCTGGGTAGACGAGGCACGCCATGGTCCTTCGTGAGATCTAGGAGGCATGGGGGGTTTGCAGGAGCCTTGCCACACGCGTCAACGTATTGGATTATGTGGGAACTTCGAGTTTGGGGCTCTATACGATAACGTGAGTATGCTACAGCATGTAATCGCGCACTGCACGTAGTTTTTACCCATCTTGAGAGGTGTATTGGGAGGCGAAGGGCAAAAATAAGACGTATTCATCGGGGGCATCTTTGTCCGTATTCAAACAAATGTTGTTCAGCATTCTTGAAGATGCTTCCGAGTCGCGATGGCACCGCGCGCCTGCGCGAAAGCGTTCGACGTTACACAGCCACCCGGCGGCGAGGAAGTTCGAAGGGGGCTCACCGTCTGACGTTCCCCTTCTAGGCAAATACAAATCACAAAAAATACTGGGACTATGCTGGAGTACATGTTATACAGGCGACCTCCAGGATTGAGTGAGGGTGAGCACATTTGGGCCACGTCTCGACGAAGGGCATAAGCGCTCAATTGATTAGACGCTAGCACCGCGCGAAGGCGCAGAACGATTTGGGCGTCTCCAAACTTGAACTCGTTCTCCTTAGCCACCACTAGCGCCAGAACGCGAGCCACCGCTCTCGTCTCCCATTGTCCGTACAATTAACCTGCCCAATACAGGGTCTCGCGTGGCCCATAGCTGGCTAAAGCGCGCTCATATATCAAGCTGCTCCTCGCGCATCTCACCGTAAGCTCTCCTTTGCGCTTACTACCTTGACCTCGCACTCACCGATTCACTCGCTCACGATGGATAAACCCTCCGTTAAACACACTCCAGTCAAGCCTTCTCGCATAGAGAGCGGCATATACAGTGCGGCCGCAGCCAACCTCGACATCAAGCGTCGCGAGCTCCGATTCAGCATGCACGGCAAATACATCGTCATCCCGACCTCACAGTTCCTGAAGAGCTACATGCCTGCCGTCCGCCAACAGCGGCGTGGTCGTTTCACCAACATCCTTCAAAAAATTCCTGTTACCTCTGGCCAGGAGGTCAAGACGTATCAACCATTGGTGAGCGCTGCAGTGCATTCTTAGCTGACTCGGTGACTTAGCCACACTGCAGATCGACGCCCTCAACAAAGCTAACCTCTGCCCCGGATTCACATTTGCCATGACGCACTCGCGAGGCGACCCGTCTGAGAAGTCGAACGAGGCCGTAGACGTCGGCATGTATCCTTCTCTCCACACTCCTCAGGCTTCGACAGGCCGTAATGGCAAGGTCCAGTCTCCGCAAAACAACTGGTCGTTCGTGGAGATCTGTATCGAGTGCAAGACGGAGCCGGAGAATCTCGACCCATTCGATGAAGACGAAGACGACAAGGAGCCGACCTCGAAGGACCGCAAGGGCGTCCTCGGCCAAATTCTTTCGTACGCCGAGTTCGTCTTGATTAGGCAACAACGCACGTGCGTCTTCATGATCCTTCTCCTCGGCGACTTGTGCCGCCTCGTACGCTTCGACCGGTCGGGGGCCATCGCCTCGCAGAAGTTCAACTACAAGACCAACGGCGGGGATCTCATCGAGTTCTTGTGGCGCTATGCTCGATGCGATGCAGCTACTCGCGGCCATGACCCTTCCGCTGAGCGTATCAGTCCCGACTCAGAGCTCGGTAAAGAGATGCAGGACCGTGCGGCGAAGAAGCAGCCGGGCCGGGTCGAGGACTACATCCGCGAAATGTTCGAAGAGTCTTTGAACAAAAGCTGGTCGTGGTGGAAGCTTCGGGTGGACAGCGAGAAGGGTCCGCGCCACTTCCTCGTCGGAGAGCCCAACTTCAAAGCAACTGGTGTCGCTGGACGCGGGACGCGCGGCTACGTCGCGCTCGACGCGGACAACATCAACGGGCCGTTCTACTACCTCAAGGACGCTTGGCGAGTCGTGAGCCGCCAGGTCGACAAGGAAGGGAAGACCTTGCAATACCTCAACAATAAGCGTGTCCATTACATCCCCACTCTCGAGTGCCACGGGGACATTACGACGCCGACAGCACAATTTACCAAGACACCGAAGCTTTGGGAGGACTTGCACAAGGACAAGAAAGGCGCTGTTTCTCCGTTCAAGAAACACAAACACTATCGCATCGTGGTCAAGGAGGTTGGCCAACCGATGTCCAATTTCACTAACGGTCGTTTATTGATATACGCATTGTGGTGCTGTGTACACGGTACGTGCTCCGATCTCGAAAGTGCGTGAACCAGACCTGATACACTGCTATAGCGCACTGGCGAGCCTACGAGGCTGGTATCATTCATCGCGATATCAGCGCCGGGAATGTTTTGCGCTACTATGACCAGGATTCGAAGCAATGGGTCGGTCTTCTCAACGACTGGGAGTTGGCTAAGAATACCAAGTCCAAAAAGCCCGGGGGACGACAGCTCGACCGAACGGTGAGTAGCCATTAATCGTCTTATGCTGCAGTCGGGCTCATGATCACACAGGGCACCTGGCAGTTTATGTCCGCTAGCTCACTCCAGGCGCCGTCAAAAGAAATCGTTGTCGAAGATGAACTCGAATCCTTCTTCCACGTCCTACTCTTCTTCGCTATCCGCTTCCTTCATCACAACTGTAATGAGGTGGCCAACTTCATGCACGCCTACTTCGACGACTACAGCATGCTCAACACCGGCCGCTACGGTTGCGGATCGTTCAAGATGCTGTGTATGACGGACGGGTGCATTTCCCTGGATATTGAAGACGACGGCACGGTTAAAACCTTGCTCGAATTCTCTTGGCCACCTCCTGCGAAACCTGCCGCCGATGCTGCCTCTTCTACGTCCACGGACTCTCTTCCCGACACCGTTGCGCCCACCTCCGCGAAGTCTCCGTCCGACGCTGTTGCACCCGTCTCCGAGAAGCCTCTCCCCGACGCCGTCGAACGCGTCTACCCATTAAACCATATCATCAAGACCATCTTGGGGTGGATACAAGCGCACTACTCCCTGATGGCCCGCCCGAACCCTGATGCACACAAGGTGGCGACCGCTCCTCCGGACGATCCCAATATCGATAGGCACGAACTGGCCTTTGCGGGCGGAATCCAGCAAGATGAGGACGAAGCCGACCTTGACAGCCGGCCGCCCTCACCGTCGACACTCGAAGCACGAAAAGTGCTTGCCCAGAAGCTTCACACCCATCATGCCCTACTGCGCTTGTTCGAAGTCGCCCTCACAGGCGACCCCAAGAAGCATATCGAGATGCCGACGTGGCCGTTGGCAGATAAGACGGAGGACCAGCTCCCGAAGGAGGGCTACAAGCACGGCGCCGACGTCAAGGCGAACACCACCGAACTCCTTAAGCAGGAAGCACAACGCCCCGCTGGCGTCTCCGGCGCAGGTCCGTCTCGGAAGCGTGGGTCCGACCAAGTCGAGCAGCCCGCGGCGCAGGAGTCACCGAAGCGTTCGAAGTCGGCGACACGCAAGTCTACTCGTATTCGGAAGCCGCGCCGCACCTGAGCTCGTCGTCGCAAGGGTATGTTCGCCCTCGCCCTCGCCAATGTGTCCCCTCGGCGTTGCCTTGTGTTGCGCCCTAGTCGGATTCAATATGATCACGCCCTCGGTCCCTGCCGGAGCCCACGGTCTTCGTCCGCTTGCACAAGTTGCGTCTCAGGACCAGGACCTTCACCACACCCCTCCCCTCTTCCCCGCTTTTGCTCATACTCCGCACCGAGGTGCAGTATACCCCACACTTCACCAATCCGGCGACCCGTCCAGGAGTTTAGAGCGCAGTGTAGGGTATGGTCGTCCGCCGCCCAAGTGCCTCGCTACGAGACTTCGAAAGCCTCCGTCTATGACCTCCTCGCATTTAATGGTTTCTGACAGCTTTCTTTCCTATCGCATATCTCTTAGGACTAGATATTATCTCTCTCATCTGATACACATTGGACCTCGTGGACATCTCCATCTATGTCTCTCGTATACCGCATACTCGCACATACCCTCGCAATGATATATCGCCTGCTGCATTCATATCTGATCTTTCCTAAATCACGCGCCTTCACAATATTTCGAAAGCCGTACTGTAAACCTCAGACCGTCTACCATCTCGCAAGCTAGCCTCTAGATCAGTAAATGAGGGCGGTAACGTGGAGATGCAAGCCTTGAAGTGCTGTATGCCGGGTTTGGGGGCGATTCGAATTGTTCTTGTAGGGTATTCGGAATACTCTGTACAACGAGGTGGTCCAGGTAGATTGCTAGCGATGATATGTCTGATGCTTAAGAGAGTTGTGCCTGAGGTACAGGTGAATAGTATCAGGAAAAGACGTTCCCCCGTCAAAAGCGTTGAGTATCTGCAGAACCGGATTATTCCTCATCTGGTTAGATATGGGGAACCAATCAGAACGCCCCGATATTTCCATCTAAGTGCAGAGATTATGGGCGCCAAAATGTCTTGCCGAAAGCCGAGCTGCTTAACGCTGAACATGAGCCCTCTCTCCGTCTCGCCTTTCCTATCTTGCTATCGTCTGCGATTGCACGGCGCACGACTCGGCCAAGATGAGTCACGATGCGGATAGCAGCACATTAAAACCGTACAACACGCGCACACTCTCTGGGTACGGCTCTGCGACCTCGAGCCTCCGCGCCATGTACACCAGTGTCCCCGGAAGTGGCGCCATGACCCCGCGGACGCCCGGAATACCATCAGGACAGGACGGCGAGCGCGACCCACTCCTCGATGCGCGTGTGAGGGATGTAGGCGAGGTGGAAGCGGGAGGGGCGCGGACCCCGAAAGGTGAGCATTCTCGTGCATCAACTTGGAGCAAGACCTTGTGGCGGAACTTTTGAACATGCAATTCCCGAATGATGTCTTTGGGACTAATTTACGGAGAGACCTGTGTCCGGGTACTCCGCGAGCGAACATGCTAGTCAACTCTGCGGAATAGCGCGGGGAATGTATGATGTCCGTTGGTTGGAGCATAGCTTTACGACACCATACGCCATACATTTCCTTCGCATATCCTCCCACTCATGAAATGTGCATGCAGGACCCAACGAGACTATAAGACGGGGTCCATATGGGTCAGTCCTAGCGGGTGTGCACGTCTCTTTGCAAACCCTCAACCAATCTGCGTTTTGCACTCCAAGCGCAATTCCGACCGCTCGACCCGTGTGGCTGGAGCCCGCTGCCGTCTTGCAAGCCTCTGCTCACTGGGTTCACGTCGAATGCATCGGGTCGCAAGTGAGCAGCAGGCATGGATAGCGGTGGTTATGAACGTGGGCATCTTGTTGCGCACGAGCGTCGTGTAGATAAAGCTATGTGGCCATCATGACCAGCACAGACACTGTGGAAACTCGTGGTCTTCACATTGTTACGCGGAACAACAATTTTGTGGAACATATTCTGTAGCAAGCTGTCCAATAAAAGGAGGACGTCCTGGGGACTGCGGGATATGTTCCGCGGAACGCGATTGACCACTGGCATAGAATTCTCGTCATCTGGCAGAGATGTTCCACGCAACGCACTCTGGCCGTCCCTTGGAACATGCACGGGTCGCCGAGGTGCCTTGACCGAAGTGAGTGACCGTGTCGACGGGCAACGAGCCGACTGGCCGACGCGACACGTCGACAGGGAAGCCAAGCGGGGAGAGCGTCCTGTTTCTTGAACGCCCTGCGTCTCTCAGTGGCCTGTCTGGCTTCCCTGCCTTCGTGTCGCGTAGGCCAGCTCGTGGCCGACTTGTTACCTATCGACACCACACCATCACGCCTCTTTGGGCCATACTCATCCGGTATGAGATGGGCCGTCTCCTTTGCAGTGGGTGCGACCGCGGCTGCAAGAGCGGGCTCGGCCGCATCGACCAGGATTTGACAAGAAAAAGAGCGCTACGTGACGTGCGCAGGCCACTCGAAGGCCACGCATTCAGGTCGAAGCAAACCATCGATCCGCGCTTGTTTCATGGAACGGGCTGAATGCGTTCCGCGGAATATCTGCGCCAGGTGACGGGACTTTCTGCAACCGGGCTACTAAGAGGACATATTCCAGAGCTCATGGCGTTCGAGAGAGATGATGATCTTCACTGAGTATCTCTATTTCACTCGACCAAGTTCCCAGAACCCGGGACGTATACCGGAACGTGTTCTGCGGGACAAATCCTGCCGCCGCCGGGACTTTCTGAAGAAGAGGGAGGTTCACGGCGCGCGCGTCACGTCACCTCTTGCTGCCTCTTGTGTAATACGACTGCTCTCCTTCCCCTCCCTATCGCAGCTGCAGTTGCGGCCACAGCCGCACCGCTGCAAATGAGACCGCCCAGATTGTCTAGCCCTCTGGTGCAAGTACACATTCTATGGAACGAGTGGATGTTGATGGCAACGCCCGGGACTCCTTCACCAAGCGCACGTCATCTCGTTTTTCAAGTCACGCTTAGCTCGCCTCCGACCCCCGCTTTGCATACGCTCGCGATGTTGCACCCACACTGACCGCTAGTCCGTAGGCCCGGTCGAGCGACCTCAACTCTGGAGGAAGAAGTCAATTTGGGCGAAAGTTCGGTATTATGTACCCGGGACCGCATGGATTCCTCAATACTCGTTTTCCTTGTACGCATCAATTCCATCTTTTGCGAGAGTTTGGGAAAACTAAACGTAGTTTTTGTTTAGGTTTGCCGGTGATTTCCTCGCCGGGATCACCGTTGCAAGCATGTTGATACCACAGTCCGTGTCGTACGCTTCTTCCCTCGCGAAGTTGAGTCCAGTTACTGGTTTGGTGGGTCTCTATTACACGGAGGGCTACGATATGATCCTGACGTTATGGCTAGTTTTCCGCCGCTATACCCGGAATCGTTTACGCCTTGCTTGGAACATCACGACAATTGAACGTTGCACCCGAGGCCGCGCTCTCGCTGCTTGTCGGACAGGTCGTAGATGAGATTTTGCATTCAGACCCGCACACCCATCCAATAGACCCCAACGCTATGTCGCTCGCGATTTCTACTATCATCACGTTCCAGGTGTGCTTGGCTCATAAACACCACGACCGAGCCTCAGCTGATCATGTTCGCGGTCGCCTAGGTCGGCCTCATCAGCTTCCTGCTCGGGCTGCTTCGGCTTGGGTTCCTAGATGTAGTGCTCAGCCGCGCGCTCCTGCGCGGGTTTGTCACCGCGGTCGCCGTTGTGATCATGATGTAAGCCCGCGCTCAGCTGCTACGCATCCCGCCTCCATACTGATTCAAACAGCGAGCAACTCATTCCAATGCTCGGACTGACGCACCTCGAACATGTTTTGCAGCCGAAGACGACGCTCGACAAGTTCCTCTTCTTGGTCGAGAACGCGTTCACGCACGCGCATCAGCTCACCACCACCATCAGTTTCGGGGCCCTCGCGGTGCTCGTGAGCATGCGCAGCTTCAAACAAATGTGCCGGAAGTACTGGTTCATATACCGCCTCCCCGAGGTCTTCCTAGTCGTCGTCGTGTCTACCTGTGAGTTACCCGATGCAGCTATTGGCGCAGGCTAACCGGTGCTCTTAAAGTCCTTTCGGACAAATTCGACTGGGACCAGGACGGCGTCGAGATCCTGGGCTCCGTGCCGATCAACACCGGGAGCTCGTTCATCCAGTTCCCCCTCCGCAAGATCACGTTGCGCTACCTCAGGCGCACGACCTCGACTGCAGTGTAAGGCCGTACCAATTAACAATCTATCGAGCCACCAACGCCCGCTAACAAACCATCGACCACCACAGACTGATCTCCGTCGTCGGCTTCCTCGACAGCATCGTCGCTGCGAAGCAGAACGCGGGTCGCTTCGGATACAGCATCAGCCCGAACCGCGAGCTCGTCGCGCTCGGGGCGGGCAATATTATCGGCTCATTCGTGCCGGGAACTCTGCCTGCGTATGGGTCCATAACGAGGTTCGTCCGCCCGAACGCCGCCGCCGCTGTGCAGATAATGATTGTGGCGGGCACAGGTCAAAGTTGAATGGCGACCTTGGTGGGCGCACGCAGATGGCATCGCTCGTAACCTCGACGCTTGTATTGCTCGCAACATTCTTCCTGCTGCCCTGGCTCTACTACCTCCCCAAATGTGTGCTCGCGTCCGTGTGAGTCCCGCTCGCCCGCCCTTTTCCGGATAAGGATCGAATTTGACGACGATCACAACAGCATTTGCCTGATCGTGTTCTCGCTGCTCGGCGAGCTGCCGCATGACGCCATGTTCTACTGGAGGTGAGCCCGCTCGCGACAGATGCGCGCGTGAAACGCCCACGGTGCTGATGGGCCCGCGGTGGCGGTGGCGGCGCACAGGATGAAGGCGTGGATCGACCTGGCGCTCATGACGCTCACGTTCGTGCTGACCATCATCTGGAACGTCGAGGTCGGAATCGCCGTCAGTGTCGTCATCTCGCTGCTGCTCGTCGTCCGGCGCTCGTCGCGCACGCGCATGACCATTCTGGTATGTGCGCTTTGCTTTCGTTGTATGCGGTGCAAGGCGGTATGGATGGTCTGACCGTCTGTAGGGTCGTATCCCGGGAACGGAGCGGTGGAAACCGATTGACGAGAACCCGGAGGCGGAGGAAGACGCGTCCGGGGTGCTCATCGTGCGCATTCGCGAGAACCTCGACTTTGGTACGCCGCGGTCTCCGAGTGTCGAGGTCATGCCTTGACATGCAGTGGGGCATTAAATGCTAACGCGAATCAAATTCCCTGTCGATCGCAGCCAACACCGCACAGTTGAAGGGTGAGCTTGTTCCACCTCTCTAGCCTTTAATGCATCAGAACGGGCGCTGATGGAATGTGCTCAGAGCGACTGCGGCGGCTCGAGCTCTATGGGCACGACAAGCATCATCCGGCCGACGAGCCGCACAGGCACGACGCCAACGTGCTCGTGTTCCATCTGGCGGATGTGGACACCATTGACGCGTCGTACGTCGCCGATCGAGCTCAGCTCGCCCTGTCGTGCGAACGCGCCCCGCTGATCGATCCCTTCGCGTGCTGTCGTGTCTTACAGAGCGGTACAAATATTCTTCGAGCTGGCGGAGACCTACAAGGTACGTCGGAGTACGCGGCACGCGCCACCATCTCTACTGACCTGTGTGCCTGATACATAGAACCGAGGAGTGGGCATGTACATCACGCATCTCAAGTCGGACCCGCGGCGGGCGTTCGAGAAGGCGGGCGTCGTGGCGCTGCTGGGCGAGGATGCGTTCTGCAAGGACGTCGCGAGCGCGATGGTGCGCGTCGAGCAGGCGATGAGGGAGCGGTGATGGAGATGTGCGTAGGGTGGTGGTGCGGGCGAGTATCTCTGTTGGCGGTGACGGCGACGCGTCTTTATGTTCTCCGATCTGTGAGTTTTGTTGTTGTCCTAGATCTTACTGCAAGTTCTATAGAGATGGGCTTCCTTCTCGCACGACACCGAATCGCCGAGGTCGGAGAGTCCAGGGCAGGTGGATGGATGCCTTGTGCACCTCCACCATGCCCCGTTGAACTCGGAATGCTCGGGGAACAAAGCAGACCACCGCCGGTAATCAACAGGCTCGTTCCACGCGCACCTTCCAGACATTGCGTTCTCCGCCGCTCCAGGCACGCAAATAACGTTACGGCACCCATCGACCTCCACAAGCGACCATCCAATCGCGTCGCCGCTCGCTCCGCAAGCCAATCATACTCACGCTTTCCTCCTCCGCCAGATCAGGGCATCACCCGTCCAGCCAACCAACGTGATATCGGGGAACGCGTAGCTTGCACCCCGCGCGGCCTGTGCATACAGCATCATGCACGCCATCCGGGACGACGTCGAAGGTGGCGGGCCATCGCCATCGCGGGATCACAGTGCGTGCGCGCGCGGCGACATGCTAGGATGCGGCGGTAGGGGTAACCGTACACAACATTACAGCGGCCGATGGCCGCGCGGAGTACAATATTTACAGAGTTTATAGTTTATGGTTATGGGCATAGAGTGAGCGAGAGCGATGCATGCAATCTAGGGCGTAGTGACGTCTGTACAGCTGTGTTCAGCACGGTGTGTGCGCGCGCGGCGCGGAGTAATGTACACATGGCGGCGAGTCCGGGAAGTAGAATAAAGAGGGTATGAAGTGAAGGCGAGGGGGGCAGGGACGGGAGGGGGAGAAATAAGTGGCCAGCGGCGAACCAATAATAAAGTTAGAAGGGCAAAGCAACGTTGGTACGAATAGGACGAAGGGGGTACGGGCTGGACACGTAAAAAGAGTCGACGCAAGGTCGAGACGAAGATAAGGTAAAGCGGGACGAACGGGGTGCGAATGTGCAAATGTGCAAAGTGTGAAGCTTGAAACTTGAAGGCGGGTGTGAAAGCAAAACAGGAAGCAAAGTTTCAACATGACCAAGAGGGCTCAGTGCGACCGGTGCAGGCCTACGCTGAGGGCTGCGCTGATGGACCGGATGTGTCTCCCAAGCACGGCACCCTTCTGCGTTCCTACAGCGTCCCTCCCCGTCGCCTCGTTTCCGAGGCTCGCGGCGCGAGCGTGCAGCGGTCCAGCGAGCGGGGGACTATACGCGGACGGCACGAACCGCTGGCGGCTCTGCAGGCGCCGCGGCGGCATCCTGGACACGCGCTAGTAGGTGCACAGCAGCACTCGTCAGAACAGCTAGCAAGCCAAAGGAGGCGCGGACGCTCTCTGCAGACGTACATCGTCCCAAACCGACGACTGCTGTGCACCCGCCGACACATCCGGCATCGACGTTCCCCGGGTCGGCACTGGTGGCAGTGGCCGGCGCGCGACGTGTCTTGCGCTGGGCGCTGGTGGGAGCGCGCGCAGTTGCGGTTTCTTCTTCTCCGTAAACGTCGCGGCCTCGATAGAGTACTCGTTGAACATGGCCCGCGCGGCCGACTCGACTTGGGCGGTCGTCTCCCGCGTGGGGTTCTCGGACTCCTGGTAGAAGGTGACGGAGATGACGGGCTGCTCGGCACGGCTGGCGGGGTAGGGTGGGGGTGACTGCTCGGCAGGCGAGGGGGGACCGACGGGCGAGGAAGGAGCGGTGGACACAGACCCGTTACGGTCGTGGTGCGAAAATGACAGCGTGTGAGGCGTGTGCATGTAGAAGTCAAAGATCTCGGACACGGCGGACATCGAAGGCGAAAAGGGGGACGAAAGCGCGGATGGGGACGAGGGCGACGAACATGAGGACGACGATGAGGCGTGCATGTCAGAGAAGGGGGGCGAGGGCGCGGCAGGAGGAGCGCCCGGCACGTCAAGATCGAATGCCTCGTCCTCTTCCACCTCCACGTCAAAGGGAATTGGACTCGCAATAAAGCGCAGGCTCGATGATGACGTCGAGGACGGAGCGGACGACCCGTTCTCGACCTCGCTGAAGACGATCTCGTCCTGCGTCGAGTCCCACTCAGCGGTGAACGTCCATGCCATTTCGCGCGAGGATCCTGGGGGTGACGGGCCAACAACGGGGGAGCTCGGGAGGTTCAGGTGTACGCCGCTCAGCAGGGCAACTCTACGTCGCATTTTCTTGACATTCGGTTGTGGCACGGCGGGAGCCTGTGCGCACGAGCGTCAGTCTGAAACGCGCTTCAGGCACATAGGTACGAGCTGCGACATTACCTTGCCTTTCGCCGCCGCGGTCGCGGAGCCCTGCCCAGCGGGAGCGCTTGGTCCGACGGAAGAGGACCGCAGGTCCAGGAAACTCGACGACGCTGAGGGCGCTGAGTCCACGGTGCCCCAGGCACGGCCCGCTCCCTGAGACGGTACCACGGCGAGCCTTGGTCGCGCAGCGGCCATGTTGTGCTTTGGGTCCTGGTGTCCGCGACGCCCGCGAGCCGAGTGCGCCATGGGCGCAGGAGGAAGGCGGACAGAAAGGGAAGAAGGAAGGGAGACGCGAAACGAAGGTGGGGCGGACGAGACGCCGAGGTGCAGGCATATGTATGCGCTGCGGGTGTACGCCGAGGAAGAAGGGGTGCCGCCATGGGGCCGTCGCACGCCCGCCGCGCTATGATGGAGACCGCTGCCAATGATTGACGTGGTAGCGATGGGAGAACGACTCATCGTACAGCGTGCGGAAGGGTGACGGGGTGCGATCAGGTCGTGACATTGCCTGTTGTATATGTATATCTGTGGGATCCGGGCGCGCCAGGCGGGCTGATTGGGGACAGCCCTACTGAAGTGATCTGCAGAGTTCGGCAGTCATCAATCAGTCGGGACTGGACGCCTCCGCAGGCGGGGGAGCTCCTCGAGCTCTGAGTGGTCCATGGGGTTGTCTGATCTGCAGGGCCAGGTCCAAACAGGCATCGCGCTAGGAGAAGCGTATCGTAAGCCCCACCAGATGCAGATTGGTGAAGGACCAGCGCAGCGGCTGACATCACACGAGAGGCACTCGTCGCCGCCAGCTGGCAGCGCATGTAGACACCCGGGCAGGCCTCGCCCGTGCTGTGCCGACATGTACGACACGTAGAGTGCACCTGTGTGTCAACTTCAGCTTCAGCGGTGACTCGCTAGTAGGTTCAGCGATGCCACAATGACCTTGACATGCGACTGTAGCTGACACGCACCGTCACTCAGCCGCCCATGAAACGGGCGCTAAAAGGACCTGCAGGACGGTACCTCGACACTCGATCAATCGTCCTCTGATAGATCTCATCAGTAACATCCTCCAATGGCCCCATGCAGCACCCAGCGGGCGCAGCCATGCACCGACGTCAGCCAACTCTTCCAGCAGAAGCAGGCGGGCTACGCGGAAGGAATGGCATGGAGCGCGTTCCAATGCCGACCAACACGGTGTAGGAGACGCATGGGTGGATTGAGTTCCAGAAGCAATCCAGTCTACAACAGGGTTACTAGGGCTGGCGTTCGAATGTCGTGCTGGGCAGTTAGGGGAAGATATAGATCAGTCACGTTGGAAATGAACGTTAACGGCTGTCCGACGAGTGAGCGCGACGGACGTAACTTACCGCCAAATCCTGCCGGAGTCCGGAGCACCGCACTCCTCGCTCCCGCAAACCTCTCGACCGCTCCATTCTGTGGCTGTTGCCAAACGAGTGTGAACAGCGCGAGACGGCGGCGCAAATACACTTCGGCGATACGTTCGGGAATCGCAGCCCATCCGCTCCCGGAGCGTGTCGAGATGGCGCTGATGTCGCATAAAGCAGGGACGCGTCAAATCCCGTTACCCGCAAGGGGCCGCATCAAGCAGCACCCACGGCGCCCACACCGAGCATGCACTGTCATCTCCGGCATTGCGTGCGCAATGCACGCCTCGGGCGATTTCCTCAGCACCGCCGCTGCGTTCTGCCCAATGAGAGGCCGCCCCAGCCCTCCGCCATCCCGACAATGTCACCTAGCAGGCGCGGACACGCCCGGAAGAGGGCCTTTTGCTCTTCTTGCGTAGGGGACGTCGGTTTAACGCGTTTGCGCTTGTACTCGGGCGCGTCCGAGGACAGCTGCCCGCGCCAGGGTTTCTTGTTTGGCAGCGAGGGGTCACGGAGTGTACAATTGGCGTCCATCATCCGGGAGAGGTTCCGGGTCACCTGGTGAGGCAGGCCGCGAGATACGGCAGAGCTGTGAAGTAACGAAATGGTGTTGTCCACTGCGATGGGTCGTAAGCACAGGCATGACGGCGAAGTAGTACGCGCAATGTTTCAGGAAAAGAGGGCACATGGTACACGGGAGAAAAAGGGTGGTCGTCAGCGTCGTGGGGAGATCGACAGGGGTTTCGGGACCAGCTCACTTCGGCTTTCCCACTGCACATACCAGTGCGTGAGACTGTCGCGCTGATCAGCAGACAGCCGAGCATCTTCCATCTGCCGCACTGCGTTCGCGGCATGGTCAAAGACGGCGCGCCAGGACTTTCTCAAGCGTGAGGTGGCGTCGGGGTGTGCGAGGACCGAGGCGGCGGTGGCCCTCAAAAATAGCCGATACAAGCTGCGGAAGGTCGGTGGAAGAGGAGAGGGAAGGGTCGGCTGCGCCGACTCGCCATGGGTATGCCGGATGGAGCCGAGGATCGCAGGTGCGCCAGCGGACTGTATTCGGGGAATATGAGCGATAGATCTGAGCGACAGACGCATGCTCTTCTACGCCATTCGCGATGGATGAGAAATCTGCTGCAAGAACGACAGAGCGCGATCTTACCTCTGCAGGCCGCCCTGGATGTCCCCCGAAGTTGGACAAAATCAAGCGCCTGCTGCTGTCAAATTGGGTCCTTCGAAGATGCGGATGCTCAAGCAGCCTCCTGTTCAGAATTTAGACATAAGACACCCAAGACAGAGCCTAGATCCACATTGTGCAGCCCACCTCCCAGCAAGAACGGCACTTGCGGCGGACGACTTGGTGGTGGATGGCAAAGAACAGCGTGTCACACGTCACACTCCGCGATGGTTCTCGCGAACTTGTCGACGCGGACGGACCCCGGACACCCGCAACGCAACGCCGCGCGGGCATGGTCACTGCAAACCCGGAACGGTTGAGTCTCTGTCTCTTTCTATTAGTAACTATACCGCGAGATGGCACTCGACAGACTGAGAAGACCCTTTGTTGTTGAGGGTAGCGGGGCGTCACGGCAGAGCCGGACGCCACGCTGAGCGGGAACGTCGAGATGCTGGTCGGACGTCTCTCCAGGGAGGGCAAAGCACGCGCAGTCGGGGCGCAGAGCGCCAGGGGGCGGAGGTTTCCCCGATATAGTATATCGTATGTTCTGTTCTACTCACCGCCTCGCCCGTCGTCTCGCGCGACGGGCGAGGCCAGCCACTCTTTTGTTTACTCGTGTTTACTCGCAAAATTCGGGCTCGTCGCGCGAGCGCGCGACGACTTCTCACCTCACACGTTCAGTACCGAAGCCGTGTGAGGTGAGCATTTTATATCTCTCTCATTCTACTGTACGTTACTTACAGGTCGCGCAGATCTGACTTACAGCGCGACTAGGTCAGTACAATGACATACACGTTCAGTACCGAAGCCGTGTGAGATCTGACTTACAGCGCGACTAGCTCGCTCGTACCTGCTCCCCGTCGCCCGCATAACCTTAAAATTTGTGAGTGTTAAACTTGATTCTGAGCTGCGATGACATTATCGGGAAGGCAGGCACATCCGACTCGAGTCTGGTAGACGGTCACGGCGGTAGTTCTCCCCCGAACCCGAGCTCAATTGCTTGGTGGGCCGTAGCCGTTGGTGAAGCCTTGGAACGATTGGAGATGGAATTCAAGATTGAAATAGGTATACATTGATCATTAAACTTGAGCTGTAACGTATTCGTCGAGCAATACAGGTATGATGTTGCGAGAAGGCGGCGAGTTGACAGTTTCAGGAGGAACCAAGTCCGCGGAAGGCTGGCCCCGGGAGAAGGCGATGCATGTTTTGAATGGCTCTAGAAGGCCAGGCCCACGGAATCCCAATCCACAGCATCGTCCGCTTCCTTGGAAGAATCGCCCGCCTATTCTCGAGTCAGTTGCTTCACAGAGATCCAACATAACCACCATACTCACCCCTTGACCTTTGGCAGCGTCACCGTCCTTCTTGGGTTGAACGTGCACATAAGTCGCTTTCGCCACTACCGCGCCAACTGCCACGCGGCGGGCTGTCATATTCTCCACATAGGCGAAGTGTTCGTCAAGGCTGCCCCTGCTCCCTTCGGGCGTGCTCCCAGTGCTCTGTGTTGAGGAGGTCGACATTTTTCTTTCGGGGTTCGAGTATCCTTGGTGGGGCTGCTGGATGCATGATGGGGTGTGCGGCCCTCCTTCATATACCCCGGGACGCTTGGTACGTCCCAGCAGCAGCATCGCATCCAGCGTCCGGAGCTTGCGTGGGCATTGACCGTCCAGGCCGCGGACCGCTTTGACTAGTCTGCGCGAAGTGTCCATTGGATATTCGTGGACTTTTTCGAGGGCCGCTGCGTATGTCTCTTGGCTGTGAGAGACATGCACGGGAGGCTTGTGGCGCATTGTGGTCCCGGTGAGTGGCTCATTGTCAAAGCTCTTTGGTGCATTTAGCCATTGATTATTGCGACGGCTATATAGACCATCGTTTCCAGAAGCCGTTACCCTCAGCACCACTCGCCGTCTACTCTCTACTCACCCACGCTATACTCCCAATCTCCTTTGGCGATGGACACTCAACGGTTCGATATGAGCATCAAGCAGGTACGGTTTCCGTTGTATCCTTTGTGATTGACTCACTGATTGGACTTGTAGCCCATTCCTATGGCTGTTAAGTTTCCGTTGCTGCTGGTGGAAGACAAGGAGATAGAGGGTTTCGACTTCGTTTCTCGGTATCCATCTCCGCCGCCTCCTACGCCCTGCATCCCCCGGCGCAGGACGCCGATGGATGCGCAGCGGTATGATCCCTACAAGACCATGGTACGCACCGTCGTTATTTTCATCTGTGTATCCTACGTTGATGTTTATTTCGTTATTCGACAGCTCGCGGCCACATCTCCGCCGCGCTACTCATCCCCCGAGCCCGAGGACCCACTTAGCCACTCTATTCTCCCCGAGTCCGTCGCATTCCCGCTGCCACTGCCGCCGACCAGAGACGTGTACAGCGAGCTCCTGGAGTTCCGCTTCGGCGACCGCGACTCGGGGTCCAGTGAGGAGCTCACCTCCGACTCAGAGGACACCGTCACCCCGACCGACGAAACTGATGTCCACGGCTTCACCACCACCTACTGTTTCACCGGCACGAGCGAAGAAGGCGACTTCCCCATCGAGCGCACAATCGTCCGCCCAGCGCCCACGCCCCGTTTCCGCGTGGACCTGACCCGAGCGCTCGCGTCGCTCGCCGCCCGCTCAGGCTCGACCACCACCCTGCGCACCGTCCCGAGCGTCTCGCAGCTTTCAGGCGCCTCGACACCGTCCTCCCCAGAGGACGACTACGACGGTCCGATCGCGCCCCCGGCCTCTGCGGTCGCCTCCCGCCGCCCGTCGCTCGCCCCCCTCGCGCTCGGGGAGGTCACGAAGAGCCTGAAGCGATTCGCGTCGCGCCTGGACCCGACGACCCCGGCCTACGAGCCGCGCGTGGACAGCGGTCACTTCGAGGAGGCGCTGGACCAGTGCGAAGACGCGTGGGCGCGCGCGGGGCGCGGCGAGCCGCTCGTTGAGGTGTTCCGAGTCGTGGCGCGGACGCGCAGGACGAGCGTCGAGGACCGGGTCATGCCCGGGTTTGATTACGAGGGCCGATACGCCGTCAACTTCGGGGTCGGAGATGTGGGCCATCGCGGTGTGGGCAACTACGGGTATTGATGCTGGTCCCCGATGTGTTCCGTGGCCGGCGCACCGCTCGCGATCTGAGTGTGGCTCAGACGGCGCGAACTTCTTGTGGTTTCTCCGATGCGCATGGCACGGTGTGTTTCCGTGCTCTGCCGTCTCTCCACTCGATTCCGTCGACGGGACTGAAGTCCCTGCACAGCCTTAGCTTCTTCAAGCTGATCGGAGGCCGGGAGGCGAACCTGCTCGCGCTCGCGGTCGTCCTGGACATGCTCTTTCGATCTGCTGGGCGGCTGCACTCTGTGACAGTGGAGAAGGATATCAAGGGCATTGCAGTTCTCGCAGGGAACGAGAATTACCAGGCCGCGTGCGTGACGATGATGCTGCTGGGGGCAATGTGGGCACGTCTGCAGGGCGAGGAGAAGTGGCTCGTGGGCCAATGAAGGTGCGGCGGGTGTCGGTGCTCGCGGGCTGCGGTGCTCGCGGGCTGCGGCGTGCCGTGCCGCGCATCTGGATCTCGGCTGGGCGAGGATGTACGGCCAGGGGAATATCTACGGACTCCGTCTCGGGGGTGGATAGGTATTTGGCTCGTGCGGTGGGTGGGTGGGTACGAGGAGGGGGAGGAGAGCATCTCGTTTTCGCACTCCGGGCTGGCTTGAAAGGGCGGAAAACTTGTATTTCAGACTACTAGTGCTAGCTACAGGTGTACAGAGTCATTCGTGCGATCAACGACCCGCAGGGGACCATCCAAAACACTTCGCGCATTCGCGCGGACACGGGCGCCTATTGCGACGCTACTCGAACTGCGAAGTCTCGTCGCGCCGTGGTTATCATCCTGCCGCGCCCGCTCGCGAATGACTCGGTGGCGCCTCTCTGACCGCTCTGCAGACCATCAGTGGGGAAATCAGTCAGAAGACAGCAGAGAGTGCGTACCGTCTCCGAGCTCGCGCCGCAGCACCTCCACGGGTGTGCGTCCTTCGCACGCAAGGAGAATGGGGCGTATGGGGCTGTCCGCATTGCAGTTGTGTGGCGGCCGCTGCTCCTGACCTACTACGGACAGGCTTGACTGCCGCAAGGGCTGCGGCGCGCCGTCTGGAACGTCCGGGATATCGCTCGCTGGCCTGTCGTGGAGTGATTGAGCGAGAAACACTGCATTGAGCGCACCGCATACCGCTCGATCACTTTTGAACGAACTCCGAGCCGCGCTATAACTGAGACGCAAAGTCGGGGATAGATGTCGCCACCGCACAGGTCCTGTGTGGACCTTCTGAGTAAGTTGCAAGTTCCCGAGCAGCAAGCTGCTTACCTGTGAGTCTGCGATACGATTTCCCTAAGCGCCATCGGCCTCGCCCGCCGGACCGCGGGGAGAACACGCCATGACTGCCGTTGCGAGAGGCCGCGATCGCTGGCGCTCGGCGTGTCCAGAAGACGATTGCGTACACTCCGCGAGCTCGGACACATGCAGGAACCTCTTGACACGCAGCTCGAGGGCGTTGCGCACCCCTGTGCCTCGCTCGCTTGCCCGTGTGCTGGCGGTCTTTCTCTGCTTGCTCGTCGACTACGTCGTCTGTCAGCAGGAAGATCAGCCAACAACCGCAGGATTCGAGAGAAAGCATACCGCTTTTGAGTGCGCATGACGCCTACTTTGATGTCTATCCTCCGAGCCGCACCCTTTCGCATGCCGACGGAAATGGATTGCCTGCCGTGCCGCATACTCGACATCGCCACTATCCCGACATGGGAGAGTCGTTTCTCCCCCCACACCTGCGTGTTGAAGACGATTGTGGCGCACTTTAAACGTCTTGGAGAGACCCTACACGATTGGAAAGTCAGATTTATCAGTCATGATCGCGGCCCTGCAGCGAGGAGAGCCACATACTAGCAAGGCAGCGCGTAGTGCGCGTTTTGTACGGCCTGATCGCCCGTAAAGAACCTTCTGCGATGTAGAGTTCCTGCATGTCTCGGAGGCAAAGGCGAAAATGAATATTTCCATCATACAGCCGCTGCAGACACAATAAGTATGTCACCAGCTCCCGAAAGAAGCGATGGCTTACCTGCGAGTCCACGACATAATTCCCCCGGTGCTTCATTCTCCACCGGCCAGAGTGTGTGACGCGAAAAGAGAGCCATACAAGGGCTTTCTACGCTAGACGGTTAGGCGGCCCTCAACGCATCCGGGAGAGCGCGGGGCACTCTGGGGACTCGGATAGATTCGGGCGCCTATTCTGACGGGACGCGAAACTGCAGAGGCTCGCGCGCTCGACGGCTGCCTTCTGCCGCGGTCCTGCTTGCCCACAATCTACGCGTTCCCATCCGCACCATCGTGCTCTCCGGGTGAGAATCCGCCGCCTAAATCTCTCTCTGTACGGGGGCAAACTATCAGTCGGGAGCCCGAAGCCTCTGCCAGAGACGATAATACGGTACATACCACCTCGATCACACCCAAATCGGTGCTCGACTGGGATGTGGGTATATACGCGTACTTTCTGGCCGCGCGCCATGGATAGAAATCGCATGCGGTCGCGGTGCCACGAGCGCCTATCTTGCCGCTCCTTGAAATGTCCAAGTCCTCCGTGCTTCCACCTCTCTCGCATCTTGCATGGTCATGATATCGACTCTGGAGGCCACAAGATGGGCCCAACAGACTGGGCCGGCTATCTGCAAAGCCAGGAAGTGAGTAATCAGCCCAAGAAAGAATGGCTCAGATACGTACCCACACTGTGGCCTCGACTCGACATGCCTAGGGAATGGCACAGAATGCGAGGACGTAGACGCTGCGCAGAGTGGTTTATCGAGATTGTGGGTACCCTGCCGCGAGAGGGAGATCAGAGACATTCACGCTGTGACTTGCCGGCTGCAGTGCATCTGTAGGACACTGACGGTCTAGATCAAGGCCAATCTCGTGGAAAACCTCAATCGGAAACGTATTGTGAGCCCCTTCGCCGACTTTGCCCGTCGACTCGCACTCATCGTGGCCATCACATGCGAGTAGAGTATGTAGGCACCACTCTGCTATCAACCAAGTTAGCCTATGCAAAAACAGACGACGAAGGCGGAACGTACTGTCATCCAAGTGAGTCATTCGATTGCAGATGTGCAAGACGCGTGCCGCCTTCTATATGCGTGTACTAGGCTCAGCTGCGAGCCCTACCTGCGCCGCGAACTCGCCGTCGCCACCACAAATGCGCAGGAGCGTGAGGACGCCCTGAAGCAGATGAAAGCTTTGGATGCGGTACAGTTTGACACTCCTAGCTTCCAGGGGGGGCGAACGTAGCGAGCGGAAGAGATGGACACAGCGCGAGGCGGCATGTCGGAGGCGTTGGAATGAGAAGGGGAATGCGGGCGCCTAAGATAGCACTGCTTACTGCCGTTCCGCGCTGCCGCTTTCCTAAGCCCCACCACCACCAAGCCGTCGTAACAGGCCTCGTTCTCGTTCTCGTGCTCTCGCTCTTGCTCTCCGGCCTCAAACAAGGAATCTGGAATATTAGGCAAGTCAGCTGCATGGCCTGTGGGCGCGCACAAGGCAAAACTTGGGTAAGTATGTACCGAGTCTTCTGGTGTTCTCCCGTACACTCGAGGATCTGGAGTGCGCGCGCGTCCGCGGTGGCCCGTGGAGTTGCATTCCAACGCGCCCGCCCAGAGTTGACTCGCATGCTCCATCACGAGCATCCACCATGCTCGTCAACGGACGCGGTCGTGGTCGTGCACGAAGGTGGGTACCTTGCAACAAATGGCGAGTGTGAGAGCAGAGGAAGGATGGTGAATGCACGCGAGGGAGAGATTGTGCGACCGCGAACACGCGTGAGAGACCCGACTGGGCTCGAAGCGTGAAGGGAGGGTACGAGCCGCATGGACTTGTGATCAGTCGCCTGCTCCTGTCGCGCGTACTCTGTGCGTTTGCGCGACGCCGTCATCGTCTTCGGGCGGCTCAGCGGGGCATTTGCGTGTGCTGATGAATGGCCTTACGCTCGCGTCGCAGGTATGCAGCGTAGAAGTCATTCCTGTGGCCGGTAAGCAAACAGATCTCGGTACTGTACATCTCGGCAGAATCAGCTACTCACCCTCCTCCGATTGTAGGCACTCCCACTCTCGCTTGCACCCAAAGCGAACCTGCGAAGGTACGCCACCTTGACTTCGTCCACCCCCTCGTACTCTGCCTGCATGAGCCCAGCTCCGAACACTCCGCCCTGCGAGACCGTCACAAAGCACGTCTCCTGGGACGAGTGTCTGCACTGATCAGTCCGTGTCAGCTACACATCATGGGAGTTCGTATGTGCAGACATACCTCTCCTTGGTCAAGACAACTAGGGCGGCTGCGAGGTCGACGATGCAACAACGTGCAACATTGATGGGTGGATCTCGAGAGTGCGCTCAAGCAGGACGGGAAGGGAGGTGTGAGGGAGGAGGGCCGTGCAGGTGTTGGCGATTAGAGGGGCAGACATTGGGAGGGTGAGAATAAGGTAGGAGAAAGACGGCAGGGACACGGCTGGCGTCCCATAAGCGTCTCTGCGCATATGCGGTTGGCATGGAGCGGTCGATGGACAATGCCGCTCCTTTGCCGCATGTGGGTACGCCGGTGGGAGGATCATCACAAGCGGTTGCTGCCCGCCCACGGCGCCTGCAGGGAAATCTTTCATATTCTGGACTTCTGGTAGCAGCCGTTGCTCGCTTGCACTGTATTTTAGCCTCCGTCTGTACGCCCGACCAATCAACCCATTTATTTGCGGCTGCGGCGTGATCGGACATGGCTCAGGATAGTTGACACTCAGGGCTCCCGCTGATGTATTTCCACATACCGACAGCGAAAATACCGCCCTTGTTTCCAAGTTTGGAATCACCACACTGCATGCACGCCCGGCTGTTCAGGGCTCGGCTGCACTCTCACAAATCTCAGGGCTCGCCCGCCCATCCAGAACTGAACAGGACCAGGAATATTACTGTGTGCAGCACACTGCTCCCCACAATATTAATCCTGACCTCTTCATTTCCAGTCTCCCATACAATGTATATTGCACTAGTAGACTGAGATACATGTCGTGGAAAAACGAGGGCAGCCAGAGGACCGAAAGTTTACGCTTATCGGGTGTGTCTAGATCTGAGATGTCAAAGCGGCGGGGCTCTCGCTTAACCCTGCGTCGGGATATCGCACCTGTACGTCATGTGCGCGGGTGCCGTAAGTGTCTACTGAACGCCGAACAAACATTCGGCCGAGTCGCCGAGCTCGTCGTGGACGCAGGAGACAAGATGTGAGCGCAAGAGTGAGCCTTGCATATCTTGAGATAGAACTGCCTTTTGCGGTAAGAAGGTTTGACCCGCGCTCTCAGCGCTTTCGCAACGACTTGTAGACGTTCACTCTTGCCTTCACCACCAACTCCCCTGACTCCCGCTTATCTTACATCTCTTCCACTGGTTTCCCAATGCGATTTAAGCCTCGACGGAAGGCACAGTGCTACCGTGATGAAGATCTCGGGCAGCCGGCGAGTCTCAAATTCTTGCTCAGCTTCCAGGCGCGCCTGCCGCGTATCTAGGTGCTCGCCACTCAGCAATGGACTCAGTCTGCTTCAGCGTCCGTGCGCGTAAGGCTACTTATTGTAACGAGAAGCACGCCCATTCAATAATGGTATGCCGAAAGACATTCCCGCAGGACATGTGTACGAGACTGGACTTATCCGAGCAGGCTTGCCTCAGGGCACTCTTGCCGGTCCCGTCTCTCTCCTGGTGTTCCTCCCCGCACATCGTTCGCGCCGGGCCCCAAAAGTGGGCAAATACACTACTTCGCAGATTTGGGGAGGTACGTTAACTTGTATCACTCTGTGCAGATCATGCTGCACTCGTCATTAACCTACTTCTCCCAGGCTCGCTATACAAGCATGAGAGCACCGCGCGAGGGCCACGGTGAGGTTTGGTTCGAGAGAACCGCAAAGTGCTTGTGAGCATGCCTCTCTTTGCGCGGGAGCTCCAACGGCACTCGGTGCCCCCTCCGCGAGCTGCGAGCCAATGCAATGTCAGGTAAGCAATCATTATCTTTTCAGCATGCCCGCTAACTCGGGTGTTGTTACAGAGCGAGCACGCTCAACCTGAGTGCCGTACATCCTTCCTCTCCACGTCTCCCCAGGACTTGCAACACATCCGCGCACAGGATGGCCATTTCGGAAGCCACAGACGTTTCGTGTGTGTCACACCAGATGAGGTAAGTTGAGGCGAGCCGTCATCTCTTAACACACTCATCTTGTGAGCTTCAGGTTGCTCTCACTCGATATGCGATGCCACAGACAACGTCCAGCGCCGCAATGCCGGGATTCTCAGAACGACTTATGGGATCTAAGTCTCCCGGACCCTGGCACGGTGTACACCGTAAGTACGGCAGCCTGGCGTCGCATCGCGCAATATTGTCACTAAATTTGTCTGTTGCTCCAGGCACGACATCGCGAGAGCACGGAGGCGAGATAGGTCTCATGGTACTCCTTGGCAAGTGGTGCGTGCCTCGCCGCTCGCTCGCGCGAGACGGCCTTGTGCACTGACGGGCATACTGCGTTGTGTGCTTGCACATTGTAGGAGGTAGCGCAGCGAGCGGAGGAGTAGGTATGATTTGTTCGACACGGGTGGGCGCGCAGACGTACACACATGCAGGATGTACTGCAGATGCGGCCTCGGCGACGCGAGGCTGTCACTGTCAGGGATCGCACTCAGTGTGTTGTCGACTTTGCCCGGCCATGTTGCGAGCGGACGTGGGCACACTGCCGGGGGTGGCAACATATCCAACATACGTTTTCGCGAGCCGTGCACATGCAGTACGAGGCGTGACAAAATATATTTCATGCTTTTATACATTTACTAGGTTCGATGCATGCTGAAACACGACGGGAGAGGGATTCGGTACAGCTAATACCCACATTTCTGCATGGCCATCGGTGCGGGGACCTACCATCGATGTCTCCGGAGCTTGTCGAACCGCACGGGATGTGTCCGCGCGGGGGTGAACATGCCCCGATGCGACGGTCCTCGTGGACCCTCGAAACGGGGGCGATCCGTGGACCTTCGCGTACCGAGCGCTGGCCATCCGAAGCGAGCGAGTGCTGGATCTCTAAATCGAGACTAGACGGCGAAACGCGGCGCACCGCGTAACTACACACTGCCCTCCCGCGGAGCGTCCGTGCACATCCTCTCCCGCTCATCCCGTTTCCCTCGGCTGCATGTGTCGCGTCCTGGTTGGTGCGCCGCTCGGCAGGCGCGGTGGGTCGCCCTGACCCTCTCGTAAGATCGTTGCCTTGGCCCGGCAGGCCGTCGTTTCCGCACGACGGGGGAGGACTGGGCTCGAGTGCGCGGTCGCCGCACGGACCATGGTACGACGGGAGCGGAGGACGGCCCTAAAGCACGTCGAGGATAAGTACCGGTGCGGTCGCAACGCGGACGTGCTCACCCTCTTCCCTCCCTCCTGCGTCTCCTAGCAGAGATGTTGCACGCCCCCTCCCCACGCCCTCCTCGTACGCTCCCGCGCTTCACGAACTCATGCAGACGGCTCCCTGCGTGGAGACCTTTTGCTGCATGCAAGAGGTATGTCAGCATCTCCGAGCCGTCCAAGATGGAGCACTGACCTTCCGGATGCAGCTCTGCATGACAGGCGAGCACGCATCCCGACGCGAAACGTCGAGCACGGAAGACATGGAGGGCGCGAGCGTGAGCGCGAGCTACAGGGTGTACTGGCAAGCGGGTGCGGGGATCGTGTCGGGCTCTGGTACGTGTTTCTCCCGTCGTTTGTACATGTGCTGACATGCAGGACAGCGTTGCCCGCGATACGCATTCCATGGCGTGAGGGTGCGTACGTCGCCAACATTGTGTTCGGTGGTGGGGCTTCGAGCCGTGCGTGCTCTGTGGCTAGTCCCGGTGGGTTCGTGCTCGTATCGTCGAGTAGTGTCCTGACGGCCAGGCACGTGTCTTCCATGGGACTATCAACAGTCAGCCAACCTCCTACTATGAGCCACGGTACGTCAGCGCGCGCTTCATAATACGAAATCGAGCCTGACATACTCTCCAAGCTGACTGGCAAGCGTCGGACGCACGTGGAACCAAGCCGTGCCACTCCGTCTTTGCCTGTGTCCGCTAGCAGGTGTCTGGGGGGCCATACTATATAACGAGTGAGTCTGGAATGCATATCAGAGTCTGCATCGCGCACTTCACCTCTGCAGCTGCCCTCGGACTGCCCAAGACGCAGGGCCTCGACGTTTGTCCAGCAAGCCCGTCCACGACACTCGCGCTATCCGTGGCGTCGCTCGCGCTGCGGGAAACTAAGGTCAGCAGATTCTTCGCGCGCGCACACTCGACCGCCGAACTCACCGCTCTTCCTCGTCGACTGCAGCCCAAACAGGTCGCCGCCGACGACAACACGGGAGGGTGAAGGGAGCATGGCATGACGTGCTCGAGGGGCGTGCGGTACGGGGGATCGTAGAATAGCAGTATGTACGTAGTTGCATCGCTGGGGCGGAGACTGTCGCTCTCCGTGCCCGCGTCCTCCTCGCCAGGATGCGCCAGGGCAGTGTCCGCGCGTATGTTCGCCCGCCGCGCGGATAGGGGCGGGCCGCGTGGGCAGCTCGCGCGCTGCCGGGGTTGTCCAGCGCAGCTACAGTAAGTAAGCTCCCTCCAGGCACTATAACACCGCAATAAGCTCACCTTCTCCTTTCCCTTCAGTGCCCACCCGATGATGCCACCCGCGCGCCTGCGCCTGCGCTCCACGACCGCCGGGCTGCCACACCAAGTCTTCCGCCGTTGACGGTGAGTTCAGGCGATCCAGACAGCATGCGCGAGGCCACTGACGTTGCTATCTCCGGCGTAATCAGCCAACGTCTGGGCCGTTGGAGACAGCGAGTAGGAGGGAGATGGGAAGGAGGGCGGGATGGCGGCACGGGTAGATTATTGTACGTACATAGTGCGTGCGGGGGGCGCGGCGTGCGGGGCGGCGTCGCAAGGTTCCCTTCGCGGGCTGGGAGGGGGCGCACGTCGTGCTCGGTAAGTGCATAGTCGTGGGTCCACCTCCCGCCCTCGCCCGTGCATCGTGCCTCGCGCCGGGTCGCGCCCTGGGGACGGTGGGATGTGTGTCCCCGCTGGCGACGCCTCAGGGTCCCGCGTCGCACATCCGTCGTCGGAGGCGTCGTGGAGACGCGCAGAGCGATCGTGCTCGCGCCGCCGCCGTGCAGCCCGACGCCAAGAGGTGTGCCGTGGGCCTGTTCCGCCAGGGACGGGCACACGCTGCATCTATTGGCCGCGGGCTGCCCCGGCCAGCCTCAGGACACCTTGGGACGCGCCCGCCATCCACACCGCCGCGACGCAGACTCCCCCGACGCGTCCGGCAGCACCCCCCAAGGTGAGCAAACGATACGCGCATCGCCCTCGTAAAACGCCGCCACCTCCGGGGGCCGGGCGCGCCGTGCTTCCCGTCCACCGCGCCGCCGTCCAAACGGCCAAAATCGCCGCACAGCTGTCGAGACGCAAAGTCCGCGCTGGCCTCTGCAAACGGCGGAGCAGGCGCACGGCATGCAGACGGGCGTGCCTGCAAAGCCACGGGGCCCTGGGCGGCAGGACGCGCGCGGGACGGCCGCGCTCCGGCGGGTGCTCATGAAATCGCGCGTGGAGGCGCAGATTTTTTGTGCCCGGATCGCCGCGCGCGGCGGCATGTGCGTGCGCCCTGGTGTGGCGAGTGTGGAGCCGCGTTTTGGGGGCCGCACGGCGCGCCGTCCGGGCGCGACGGCGGTGACTTCGTGCGGGGCCGGGGTGCACGGGGCGTCCTGGGCCGAACGGGTCGCGACGCGGCTGTTTTGAGCGGCGGGGCGGGTGGAGGGGGTCTGTTGGGGTGTGCGTACCGGGTTTCGTGGCTGTAGGGTGCGGGACGGGCGCGGGACGGCGGCGGGAAGCCCGGCGGTGTGCTAGGGCCCATGGATTTGGGCGAATATGACGTGTTTTTTCGACTCCGTCTGACCCCGCGGAAACGTCGTGTGTGTGTGCCGAGAGGTTCGTGTATGTGTTCTGGCCCGTTTGGAAGTCGTCCAGAGGTGTTGGCCAAGCGCGAGGGGTGCGCCGTGTCCGGGGCTTGACCGTGGTGACAGCACGGCGCGCTCGCGGCTCACGTCGTCGTACCGCCCCGGTATGCCTGTGGGCGGTCAGGGTGGGTCAGGTGAGGCTACGCGTAGAATGTGAGGGTGACACAAGCACTGCGGGGTGCGCGATTCGCGTTCCCAGGTGCGCGCGGGCTGAAAACACGATGCTGTCAGCGCATTTCGCGAAGGCGCGCCCTGAGAACGCACCGGATGGAAGAGCATATAGTCATGTATCGGCTCGTCACAAACTGGCATGCGCAGGTACGCGGAACGGGACTGGAACAGAGAGGGGGGTTAGCGGAGTGATGCCGTCTCGTGAGCGGGATTCCCGGCGGAGAACATGAGCAGCGTCTTTGTGCGTCGGCAGGCGTCATGAGAAGAGCTTGGTGGACGTGCCGGTGTTGTTTCCATTGCGTGAATCGAGTTGTGTGGGCGACAGGAAGCGTCCGTGGAGGGTGCAGTGGAGGCGCTTGTCCGGCCATGGCGCGTGCAGATCGCGTCAGAACGAGGTGAGCTCGTGTCAGATCCGAGATCGAAGTCTTCCGCGCGATTCCCCGTAGGTGCCGTACTTGCCAGAGACAAGATGAGGTCGGCAGGAGCTTGGTGGGCGTCGACATTGCCAGTGTTAGTGCAATTGCGGACGCGGATCGATTGCTATGGGTCTGCTCTTTCAAAGGTGGCCTACAGGACGACAGCCGAGCACTCCGTGAGCATATAAAAGCAAGGAGCACAGTTTGAGACACTACGGAGGGCGTATTTGCGAGCTGTGCACTCCCAGTCTCCACTCCAGGCGCTGCGGACGATCTGGATATGTTGCGCAGGTCGACGCCGACGCAACACAGTCGTCTTGCTGCCAGAAAGCGGACAAGGGCGCGGAGAGGCAGGGCACAGCTGAGCGCGGGGCACCAGACGAGCACCGGACGAGCAGACGAGGGCAGCAGACGAGCAGCAGCGGACAGAGAGAGAAGCGGCCGAGCGATCGCGCATGGGCAGCGGACGAGGAGAGCAGCGCGGCAGAAGCGCTGGAGCGCCCGCCGGAGTGCATGACGTCACGCGTCAGGCTGAGCTGCTGCTGCTATCAGCAGTGGCTGAAGCTCGTGTCTCCTCCCGAGACAGAGCCCAGATCCACGTTGTGCAGCCCACCTCCCAGCAAGAACGGCACTTGCAGCGGACGACTTGGTGGTGGATGGCAAGGAACAGCGTGTCTCACGTCACACTCCGCGATGGTTCTCACGAACTTGTCGACGCGGACGGACCCGGACACCCGCAACGCAGCGGTCAACGCCGCGCGGACATGGCTGCAAACCCGGAACGGTTCTCAGTCTCTTTCTACCAGCAACTGTACCGCAAGATGGCACTCGACAGACTGAGAAGACCCTTTGTGAGTGTTAAACTTGATCCTGAGCTGCGATGACATCGGGAAGGCAGGCACATCTGAGTCTGGTAGACGGTCACGGTAAGTAATTCTCCCCCGGACCCGAGCTCAATTGCTTGGTGGGCCGTAGCCGTTGGTGAAGCCATAGAACGATTGGTGATGGAATTCAAGATTGACATATATATACATTGATCATTAAACTTGAGCTGTAACGTATTCGTCGAGCAATACAGGTATGATGTTGCGAAAAGGCGGCGAGTTGACAGTTTCAGGAGGAACCAAGTCCGCGGAAGGCTGGCCCCGGGAGAAGGCAACGCATGTTTTGCATGGCTTCAGAAGGCCAGGCCCACGGAATCCCAATCTACAGCATCGTCCGCTTCCTTGGAAGGATCGCCCGCCTATAGTCGAGTCAGTTGCTTCACAGAGATCCAACATAACCACCATACTCACCCCTTGACCTTTGGCAGCGTCGCCGTCCTTCTTGGGTTGAACCTGCACATAAGTTGCTTTCGCCACAACCGCGCCCACTGCCACGCGGCGGGCTGTCATATTCTCCACATAGGCGAAGTGTTCGTCAAGGCTGCCCCGGCTCCCTTCGGGCGTGCTCCCAGTGCTCTGTGTTGAGGAGGTCGACATTTTTCTTGCGGGTGTCGAGTGTCTTCGGTGTGGATGCTGGATGCATGACGGGGTGTGCGGTCCTCCTTCATATACCCCGGGACGCTTGGTACGTCCCAGCAGCAGCATCACATCCAGCACCCTGAGGGTGCGTAGGCATTGACCGTCCAGGCCGCGGACCGCTTTGACTAGTCTGCGTGAAGTGTCCATGGGATAATCGTGGGCTTTTTCCAAGGGTCAGTGCGTATGTCGCTTGGCTCGGAGAGCCATGCGCGGGGGCTTGTGGCGCATTGTGGTCCTGGTGGGTGGCTCATTGTCAAAGCTCTTTGGGCATTTAGCCATTCATTACTGCGACGGCTATATAGACCATCGTTTCCAGAAGCCGTTACCCTCAGCACCACTCGCCGTCTACTCTCTACTCACCCACTCTATACTCCCAATCTCCTTTGGCGATGGACACTCAACGGTTCGATATGAGCATCAAGAAGGTACGGTTTCCGTTGTATCCTTTGTGATTGACTCACTGATGGGACTTGTAGCCCATTCCTATGGCTGTTAAGTTTCCGCTGCTGCTGGTGGAAGACGAGGAGATAGAGAGTTCCGACTTCGTTTCTCGGTATCCATCTCCGCCGCCTCCTACCCCATGCATCCCCCGGCGCAGGACGCCGATGGACGCGCAGCGGTATGATCCCTACAAGACCATGGTCAGCACCGTCGTTATTCTCATCTATATATCTCACGCTGATGTTTGCGACGTTACTCGACAGCTCGCGGCCACATCTCCTCCGCGCTACTCATCCCCCGACCCCGAGGACCCGCTTAGCCAGTCTGTCCTCCCCGAGTCCGTCGCGTTCCCGCTGCCCTTGCCGTCAGCCAGAGACGTGTACAGCGAGCTCCTGGAGTTCCGCTTCGGCGAGCCCGACTCCGGGTCCAGCGAGGAGCTCACCTCCGACTCAGAGGACACCGCCACCCCAACCGACGAAATTGACGTCCACGGCTTCGCCACCACCTACTGTTTCACCGGCACGAGCGAAGAAGGCGACTTTCCCATCGAGCGCACAATCGTGCGCCCAGCGCCCACGCCCCGTTTCCGCGTGGACCTGACTAGGGCCCTCGCATCGCTCGCCGCCCGCTCAGGCTCGACCACCACCCTGCGCACCGTCCCGAGCGTCTCGCAGCTTTCAGGCGCCTCGACGCCGTCCTCCCCGGAGGACGACTACGACGGCGCGATCGCGCCCCCGGCCTCCACCGTCGCCTCCCGCCGCCCGTCGCTCGCCCCGCTCGCGCTCGGGGAGGTCACGAAGAGCCTGAAGCGGTTCGCGTCGCGCCTGGACCCGACGACCCCGGCCTACGAGAAGCGCGTGGACAGCGGCCACTTGGAGGAGGCGGTGGACCAGTGCGAAGACGCGTGGGCGCGCGCGGGGCGCGGCGAGCCGCTCGTTGAGGTGTTCGTGGCGCGGACGCGCGGGACGAGCGTCGAGGACCGGGTCATTCCCGGGTTTGATTACGAGGGCCGATACGCCGTCAACTTCGGGGTCGGCGATGTGGGTCGGCGCGGTGTGGGCAACTACGGGTTTTGATGCTGGTCCCCGATGTGCTCCGCGGCCGGCACACCGCTCGTATCTGAGTGTGGCTTGGACCGCGCGAACTTCTTGTGGTTTCTCCGATGCGCATGGCACGGTGTCCTTCTGTGCTGAGGGCTGAGGCTGAGCTAGATCTTGGCCTTGAGGACCTGCCACCCGTCATTGATTATAAGCCAGACTATTTCACCGTTCCAAACATTTGTAAACTGTACCCAGCCCTCGCCTTGTGTATGTCATATCGCATCCTAGTGTTTTGTGTCTTATTGGTCCGCCCTATATGCCAGCACCTCCTTCAGACAGTACTCTATCACATCTATAAATGTAGTTATATATACTCTGCACTGTTCTACACTCATACAATTGAATGCATGGTACTATCCCCGAAGACATGCCTCGCCTCAGTATGTGGCTGGAACATGTATACTAGATAACATACTAATAACATGAAGGACTCAAGTTAACGACCAGTGTGCCAGGGCGCTTATGTCGGCAATGACCGAAAGCCCGACTCTCTGAACGTTTTCACCTCCAAGGTTGAAATTGTAATTCGCCCCTCTTCTCCGCTTTCTCTCACTCTCTCTCATTTTCTCTCGCTCTCTCGCCCTCTCTCTCTCGCGCGCGCGCGTGCGCGGAACATCCCTTCAGGCCAACCAGCGGCGATATAACGATGGCGCATACACGAGCTATCGACCGGGTGCTCCAGATCCCACACCTTCTTGACGAAGTTTTCGCCCAAATTGCATCACCATGGACGCCTCACGACAGCGAGAAGTGGTGGATTTTTACAAGTCAGATGGCCCGGGATGGTCGCTTCACGCTCGCATGCTCGGCACGCGTATGCAGGGCATTCCTAGAGCCCGCGTTGGACGCATTATGGCGGGACTTGGGTGATTTGCTCGTGTTGCTGCGAGTCCTCCCTTCCTTCCAGCCGTACACCTCCCATTCCTTCGTGAGCTATCTCATGATATCTACATCGCTGAAATGGTTAATCATGCCGATTTGCAGAATTTCCTTGACGAGATCACGCCTTCCCAATGGCTGCGCTTCCAATCCTACGCAAGGCGTGTACGAGCACTTCAGAAGGGCGCCTTGGGCTCATCGGTGGAAACAGTCGACAAGATGGTCTGGGCGACTCTCGGAAGTCGTCTTAACGGCCAGCCCCTACTGCCCAACCTCCGAACGTTCGTGTCGGACTTCGCCGAGGACTATCTGGCCCCTCTGGTGCTGCTCTCCCCCTCTCTGCTAGATCTCGAGCTTTGGTTCCCGTGCGCGGACGCGGTCGACGACGATCCCGTTTTCGCTTCTTCCCTGCCACTTGCCAGAGGTGTGCTCGTGCAGTCCCTGACACCTCATCTTCGGAAGCTGTCTCGATTTCTAATATACGACGGATTGGAAGGCACGCCTGCCCGTTTCCTCTCTGCTTTCTTGACTCCGCTGGATAGGCTTCAGGCACTCGATCTCGTGGCTTCCAAGGCAATCGCAGACTTGGCAACTCTACAGGCCATCTCCGAGATGACAGCCCTTCGTGAGCTCGGAATAAGGCTCTCTCTTGCCGGTACCAATCCGACAATGCTTCCACAACTCGGTGGCGCATATAGCGCACTGCATCGGCTTCATCTCAGAGGCAAAATTCACGATATGTGCACACTGTTCCAGGCGTGCGACTGCGCTCAGCTCGACGATCTAGCTCTCACCGTCCACACTCTAGAGGGCCTGCAAGAAGGCCTTGCCTCAATATGCGACCGTCTTCCGAAGTCACTGCGCCACGCGAGGGTCACCATTCTCGGCCGTGACCCTCCGCCCGAGCCGTCTACTCCCGCTATACACGTCCTGCGGCCGTTCTTCGTATTTCGCGACCTACGCACTGTCAGCATGTCGACCAACCATTACGACCCAGGCATGGACGACGGCTTCGCGCGCGAGTCCGCGTCCGCGTGGCCGCAGCTCACGCACTTCGAGCTGGGCTACCTCGATTCGTGCAGCACTCTGGACCCCGCCATGGACCAGTTGAGTGTCGCCGGGCTCGTCGAGTTTGTGCAGCGGTGTCCGAAGCTCGCAATCTTCCAAGTGCCCTTCCTCGACGTCCGGGGGCCGCTTCTGTCTCTCCACTCGCTCCCCCCAGAGGGACTGAAGAACCTGCATAGCCTCAGCTTCTTCAAGCTGATCGGAGGCCGGGAGGCGAACTTGCTCGCGCTCGCGGTCGTCCTCGACATACTCTTTCCGTCCGCTGGGCGGCTGCACTCTGTGACGGTGGAGAAGGATATCAAGGGCATTGCAGTTCTCGTAGGGAACGAGAATTACCAGGCCGCATGCGTCACGATGATGCTGCTGGGGGCGATGTGGGCACGTCGGCAGGGCGAGGAGAAGCGGCTCGTGTGCTAATAAAGGTTGATGCGGTGGAGGCTGATGAGCATTCGGAGGAGTATTCGGGTTCATGTGCGTTTGTGCATCTCATCTCACTGAAGGTCAAGCACTGATGAGGCTATCGAACGCTACAGAAGCCATGCAGGCAATTGGTAGTTATAATGGGCGCTGGTATGTACGGTGTGGGTCTTCAATTGTCTAGTTCAAATACGACTCTGAATAGAACCAGAATCTCCTCATCGGCGGCCGTGTGCGTGTTTGGGCGACACAAGATGCATCTCGACTGAAGTGGGTCGTAGCTAATCCGCTTCCTCTGACTCTCACCGGCCACGATGGGAGTCTGATACGAGCTGCGGCCTAGGAGGATGACGTGTAGCAATAGTGGTCGTATAAGATATATAAACACGGTGCGAGGTGCTGCGAAGGCGAGACTCGCCGGGAAAACGTTATGTCTATGTACATGGGAGGACGTACGGTACGTCCATTTTACTCCTCTCGTATTTTTGTGCCGGAAGATCGTTTACGTACAGGGCATTCTCCGTGAAGAAGCTCAGCAGTTCGCGTGGCACCAAACACGCCCAAACTTGCCAGCAGATGAGGGTATCGCCTCTGAAAACCGTCCTGAACCAGCGCAGTATCGCAACCCTTTCTACCCCTTAACCTAGCATGGTAAGTCCTAGAACCTACGAAGGAGTCCAACACGCTCACCGCTACCTCCTCGTCTAGGCGAACCCGCATGAGCTGTATCAGGAGGCGGACGGTGCCAATCCCAGTCCAGTGCCGAGTACAAGCCCTATCAGTGCTATAGGTCAAGTGCTGGAATCACCGGAGCTCTTGAGAGCCATCTTGGACATCCTCGAACCCGGCCGATACTCGGACAATGACACCGGCGAGGAACTCGTCCTACGGACAGCTAACAAAGCTACGCTTGCTGCGTGTGCTCGCGTCTCCCACCACTTTTCCCAGCATGCACTTGATGTCCTTTGGTCCGCCCTTGACAGTCCCTGTGGAGCGTTGCTCTACATCTTGCCGTCTATCCAGTCAGTAGATGCTGGTCCGGAGCGTGGCTATTACAAGGTAGGCTTCTTCTGAGCTTCATTGAGCAAGACCTTGACTCGAGTTAATGCGCCGCAGACGATGATCACAGGCGATATTTCCACTGCCGAGTGGGCCCGTTTTTGCGAGTACACGGCCCGTGTCCGGGAAATATCATACGAAGGGACCGCCATCGACCCGCTGGTCTGGACCATTCTTGCACGTAAATGTCGAGGCGAGCCCCTGTTCCCGCGGCTGCGCCTTATAGTTGCCTGGGGCTTTTACGAGGATGACGTTCCTGCATTGATTAGCTTCCTTTCACCCAGCCTTCGCCACTTTACTTTGGAAATAGGCTCTCCAAAGGATTTGAGGCGAGCTTTGCAACTTTGCGCGAGCTTGAAGGTGCTTTTCCAGACTTTGGTCGACATCGCTCGCAACCTCACAGCGCTGATCTGGGAGGCGCCCTTCGATTGGCGCTTTGGGTCTGGCTTCCTGGCTAGGATCGGTCGTTTGCGAACCCTGCAGACTTTGAAGTTAAGCCAATATTCGAGTCATTGGTACACACCCCCGGTGACACTCCTCCGACCGTCGCCCCAGATTCCCGCTGCTGAACCCACGTTGCTCCGGGAATTAACTGCAATCCCACCACTACGCTATCTTCACTTGGACATGGGACTCATAGAGCTCGACCAGGAGATGAAGGACGTTGCCGGCTTGGCATTCGAACAGTTGCTCACCCTTCGTATGATCGGCGGTCCGGCCGAAGCGCTGGCAACGTTGGTCCATTCACTTTCCCTCCCTGCTCTCGAAAGCCTCGTCGTGGATCTCAATCACGATCATCCTGTCGCGCTCTCCGCCTTCAAAGACTTGCTTGTGAAGCTCGGTGCAAATTTGCCACACAAACTGCAAGATTTCGAGTGGAGACGTCGCGGCAATCTCATCCCGGGCCCTTCCACCGTGGATATGGAGGGACAGGCTTTCGCCGTCTCCTGCGTCCTTGCGCCCCTCCTTCGGTTCACTAACTTGTGCCACGTGCAGGTCCAGCTGTGCACGACATCCTCGTTGCACATCACGGACAACGATGTGGCCCAGCTCGCGGCGGCTTGGCCGAACATCCAAACGTTGTGTATCAGCACCGAGGCCTTTCCTGATAGCGAGACCGTTCTGGGAAATGTCATCCATCCGACAATTGCGGCGCTTGTCACCTTCGCACAGCGCTGCCCCATGCTCTATTCCTTGTCCCTGCCCAGCCTCGATTTTTCTTCCGTGTTTCTCGACACGGCTGTCGTACCTCTCATCCCTCGACACCCGCTAAGGAGGCTCTTCATTTCAAGGACGGTTTGCGGCCTCGCCTCGGCCACGGAGGCTGTCATATTATTAAAACGTCTATTCCCCGCGCTGGAATACCTGTCGGTGTCGGCCCACCTCTCAGGCGCTGGCGATCCAGGAGCAGAGAGGGCGTTTGCAACACAAATTGGGAAATTGGTGTCCATGTTGCGGCGCGTTCGCGACGACGAGAGGATGCGTGCCAAGTCACCGGCCGGGGGGGAAGGGCAAATGGGCTGCCAGTGAAAGTGGTGAGCGCAAATACCGGAGTATACGTCCCATTATATCAGTAGAGCTGACCAGGTGTCATAGACTAGTGCCAGGCGTAGAATGGGGTGAGTAGTGTAGGCTCATGGACGGTTAATATGTCAATTTGTCCTTCGAACCGTTCGTGATTTGAATATTGAACACTTGTATTTCCACTGACCGCGCGCCTTTGACATGAGTGTTACTAAGTAGATGCAATCACAGCGGATGTGCGTCTCTGAACCTGTCTACCACGAACTCGACTAGGCGCATATATTGCTTGCTTGTTTCTAGACGAGCGGGACCTATCAGTACAGTATACAAACCTGTACATACTACGATGCAGCGGATAGAGGCAGTATAGAGGCTCGATACTATGGCATACGCGGGAGTAGCGGGCCGGAGCGCCGGCGTATGTATGTATGCGCGATTTTTCTGATTTCATTTTTTCTCCTCTCTCTCTCGCTCCTCTCTTTCCGCCACTTCCACTGTGACTCAATTTTCGCTCTCTCCGAAATACGTTGACCACACTCCATAGTTCTCAGCGCTCTCCAATCGATCGACAATGACGCATACACGAGCTATTGACCGCCTGCTTCGGGTACCACATGTTGTGGAGGAAGTTTTTATACAGGTCGTTGCAGAACGGCCCCCCAAATCTGGTGCAAGTCCTATGTACTTGGGAAGTAACATCTATGAATACAACACGCAGGCGTCGAAGGATAGGCGTCGTACGTTGGCGTGCTCGGCACGCGCATGCAAGGCATTCGTAGAGCCGGCGCTGGACACCTTATGGCGGGAGTTGGGTGACCTACTCGTCCTGTTGCGAATCCTCCCTTCCCTCAAGCCATACACCTCCCAGTCGATGGTAAGTTAATTCATGACGTCTACTGCTGTAGCTGACTATGCGATACGACAGAATATCCTAGACGAGATCACCCCCTCGCAGTGGCGGCGTTTTCAGTCCTACGCAAGGCGTGTGCGTACCCTTCTGAAAAATGCCTTGGAGCCCTCGGTGAAACAAGTCGACAAGATCGTCTGGGTAGTTCTCGGAAGTCATCTTAGTGGTCAACCCTTGCTCCCAAACCTTCGGGAGCTCTCTCTAGTGGAATTCACCCCGAACTACCTCGCATCCCTGGTATTGCTCTCTCCCTCTCTGCATGCGCTTGGCCTCGACTTCTCGCACGCGGACTATATGGACGCCGACATCGACCGTGCCCCCTACGAGTCTAGACCCCTGGCTAGGGGCATCCTGCTCCAGCTCCTGATGCCTCACTGTCGGCGACTGTCTCACCTCGCCATACACTACGGATTGGAAGACATGCCCCCTCGCATGCTTTCTTCCATCACTGGGCTGGACAAGCTCTACGAGCTCGATCTGGTGTACTCTGAGGCGATTGCCGACTTTGGGACACTGCAGGCCATCTCCAAGATGGCAGACCTTCGCGATCTCACGTTACGATTCTCCCTTGACCCCCCCGATCCGGCGAAGCTTCCTGCGCTTGGCGGCGCGTTCTCAAAGCTCTTCAGGCTTCATCTATCAGGCGACATCCACGACCTTCGCGACGTATTCGAAGCATGCGACTGTGCACGACTTACCGCGTTAACCCTCACCGTCTCCGAGGCGACGACAGTGCAAGATCTCCAAGGTGGTTTTGAAGTGATATGTGCCCATGTCCCGACGTCTTTGCAGGAAGCGAGGATCTATCTCTCCGGCCGTCTCTACTGGAATGGGCCGCCGAAATCTGTCTCGGATATCGTCCAACCTTTCTTCGTTTTCCGCGCTTTGCGCCACGCTACGATTGGGTTCCACTACGATCCTCGTACGGACGACAGGGACGCATGCGTATTCGCGACCGCCTGGCCACATCTCACGCACTTCGAGCTGTCATATGCCGACTGGGATCTTGACCAGGAAATCACTCATCTCACCGTGGCCGGGCTCATCGAGTTCGTGCAGCGGTGTCCGCGGCTCTGCCACCTTGAGGTGCCTTTCCTCGACATCCGGGGACCTCTGCCTTCCCTGCATACGCTCCCGCCTAGGGGACTGAAATCTTTGCGCCGCCTGGACTTCACGGAGCTGATAGGCGGCCGAGAGGCTAACCTGCTTGACCTCGCAGTCGTCTTGGACATCCTCTTTCCGTCTGCCGGGAGACTGAACTATGTGACTGTGAAGGAGACTATCTTGGGCGAGATTTTGGCGGCGAACGAGACGTACCAGCCCGCGCGCGTCACGATGATGCTGCAGGGTGCAATGTGGGCACGTCGACAGGGCGAGAGGGAAGCGGCTCGGGGGCGAGTGTCGCGAGCGACGATGGAGGCTGACGAATCTACGGAGGAGTATTCGGATTAAGGTGCGTCAACGCGGCAGTGTTCGCTGGCTTGTATGCTAATTCAGGGACCAGACTATTGAAAGTTATAGGAACCGTGCGGACGACGAGAGGCCTGGGTCGCTGGTATCCGTCTTGACAGCGTGTATGCAGACCATGTTAGCGTTTGTGGACTTATTCCGGTCCCTACTATCTGTGCGTATTCGCTCTATATTCCGTCTCATTCACGTCGAGTGTAAGCGCAGATACTATCTATCCCACTTTCTTGGCGGCTGTCGGGGAGCTCTCTTGAACTACCATGATTGACTGTGGCGAATCTGGAGGTGGAAACATGGGCGATTGATGTTCTGTCTGCTGACCATGCCCAAACGGGGCGGGCTCGTGCGACGCCCCTCATCGCTTCTCGTGCTTCTGGCGGCCGCACGAAGTCGAACGCCACTAACTCCGCCTGCTCGTAGAGCCTCTGCTCACACAGCTGGATATATCTTGATAGTGTATCATCAGGTATCATTACTCACGGAGTTACTTTCTGTCTTCGCGCCATCTGGCCTCAATGTCGCCACATTTGGTGTCCACGGCTGCGTGGACGCTCTGGCCGCCACAGTGTACACACGCACAAATAAGGCCGCGCAGCCTCCTTATCACCCGCGGAGAAGCGCCGCAACATCTCCTCCTCCTCTTCCCCGACGACGACGACGACGATGACCCGCCTTCTCTACGTAACACTGCTCGCTGTCTCGTTGGCATCGGCCACGCCGCTCTCTACCTACCATGAGACCCCTCGCCAGCGTGCAGGCTTCACGCTCGCACCCCTCGTCGCCGAGGAGCACCCGCACGGGACCGTCAACAACTCGTACATCGTCATGCTGAAGGACGGGCTCGCACCCGCGCTCATGCAGAACCACATGAACTTCCTGCAGAACGTGCACGCGAGCGACCCGCTCGGGGACCTCCTCGGGGGCATCACCCACGTCTACGACGCCCACGTGAAGGGCTACGCCGGCAAGTTCAGCGACGCGACCGTCGACCAGCTCCGGCAGTTGCCCGAGGTCGAGTACGTGGAGAAGGACCAGATCGTCCGCACCCTCGAGATCCCCGGCGTCGAGGTGGAGAAGCACACCACGCAGACCAAGGCACCATGGGTGAGTCACGTTGCCCGCTTGACTCTCGACACGCGTCTTTCTGGCGCGCATATACGAAGTTCCTTGCTTGGGCTCTATATGCCTGGGTGGTGCTTCGGTATCATTGACACGCATATATGCGGTCCTTACGATGGCACGACGCGTCTCGGGCATGACCGCATCCGGGGGTCGTGACTGATGCGGTACGCGAATGTCTCTGCGAAAGTCTGCTGTCTTCGCCAACACTAGCAGACTTTTGCAAAGCGTGCCGTTATGTCTGGTTGGATTCGGGCGCGCATTGGCACTCGCTTTATATTGGTAGTCGAGCGTAGCGACTTCTCGCTGGCGTCGTGGGGGCCTTCGGGACCTTTCGGCGCCGAAACGAAATTTCCCGGGTCACACGAGTAGACCTATACCTGTTTTGCCGTCCATTCAAACACGAATACTTACCCTTTCCTCCAGGGCCTCGCTCGTATCAGCCATCGGGCGAAGCTTACGCTCGGCACGTTCACCAAGTACGAGTACGACCCTGCTGGTGGCGAGGGCGTCGATGTTTACGTCATCGACACTGGCATCAACATCAACCACGTCGAGTTCGAGGGTCGCGCGCTCTGGGGCAAGACCATTCCCCAGAACGACGTCGATGAGGATGGCAACGGCCACGGCACCCACTGCGCTGGCACGATCGCTTCGCGCAAGTACGGTGTCGCCAAGGCTGCAAATGTCATTGCCGTCAAGGTCCTCGGCAGCAACGGCAGCGGTACTATGAGCGATGTCGTCGGTGGTGTCGTCTGGGCTGCTACTCAGGCGCAGGCGAAGGCGAAGGCGGCCCTCGAGGAGTTCCAGAAGACTGGCAAGACCGCGCACAAGGGTTCCGTCGCGAACATGTCGCTCGGTGGCGGCAAGTCTCGGGCCCTCGACGACACTGTCAACAAGGCTGTTGACGCTGGCATGCACTTCGCTGTCGCCGCCGGCAACGACAACCGTGACGCGTGCAACAACTCTCCGGCTGCTGCTGAGAAGGCCGTCACCGTCGGCGCCTCCACCATCGGCGATGAGCGCGCTTACTTCTCCAACCACGGTCCCTGCGTCGACGTCTTCGCGCCTGGTAAGTTCGATACGTCCGACTCGCCGAATATATGCTGAGTCTGGCTTAGGTCTCGCTATCCTTTCGACGTACATCGGCAGCAACGAGTCCGTTTCAACTCTTTCGGGCACGTCGATGGCCTCCCCCCACACCGCTGGTCTCCTCGCGTACCTCCTCTCGCTGTACCCGTCCGCGGACTTCAACCCTTCCGTCGCGCCCGACCTCGTCCCCGCCATGCTTAACCAGGACTCGACCATGGCTTCGCTCTCCGGCGTGTACTCGCTTGCGTGGTCGGCGATGCCCTCGTGGGTCGCGACCTTCCTGCCGCCCCCGGCCCTCGTCGATGAGGTCGTCGCCCCTGTCCCCAGCGCGCCGAAGACCTTGTCGCCCAAGCAGCTCAAGCTCGCGCTCCTCGCGCTCGCGACGGAGAACGCGCTTCTCGATGCGCTGCCCTCGGGTACGCCCAACCTGCTCATCTTCAACAACGTGACCACTGCATGATCGTTGCTGGCCTGTCTTTGTCGATGCTGTCGTTTCTTGTTGTGTAATCTTCCCCCGTGACATAGCCTCCCCTTCGCATTATCACGCTGTACAGTACATATATGTTATGGACGATGGATGGATACGACCCGTGTGCTACAGACCTGTCCACACAAATCGCGATGAACGTGTCGCCTTGCGTGTCGCGCAAGAACTTGGACACCCGATATCTTGACCAAACTGCGTCGTGCTGACGATGTCAATGTCGAGATTGTAGATGACGTGTGTTCTCTTATAACCGGTTAATAGTACCCCCACTTAAGACTAGAGTTATTGCCTGAGCGGCTATTCGCAAGTGTAAGGTACGTCGGCCCGAGCGCCTTTACTCTTTGTCTCCACATACGCGGGTGCACCTCACAGGAGAGCGGTTGGCAGTAGTGAAGGCTCCGGTCAGGTCCTGCAGATGATGTGGAATGATCCTGCACTTTCCAGAGCATCCCAGCATGAAGTTGAAGCATCTGGTGAGGTTGGTGTCGACGATGGGCTCCTTTTTCTCAGCACAGTGTCCTGGCAACACTAGATGTAGCTCTAGCTTTGTATGGCCTGTATATGATATGAACCATTTGTCTCAGACGGAAGTCGAGTTGAGTTGCCATAATTGAGCGAAATGGTGAGTAAGCGCCTCGTTCCTCTCTTGCTTCACGACCACAACGTGCCCCTCCCGAATCTCATTCCACGACAGCCGCCGCATGTGTGATTGAGGCCGATAACCTCCTTTGTTCATCCGTTCGCTCAAAGGCGGGAACAGGAGGCTCAATCGCTCTCAGTCACCACCGCGGAACCCCTGTCTTCGCCCCCCTTGTCTCCTTCTGCTTCCACTTTTACCGCGATTCTCTATGTCTGTTGCTGCTGCGGTCAACCCAGATACCGTCCGGGAGATGCTGGAATGGGAGATCGTGCCGGAGGACTGGTGGAAGACCTCTTTCAGGGCGATATCATGGTCGTTCAAGACAAAGCCAGGATACCCCCGCCCCCCTCACTATCACAACCTCCTCGCGCGCGGGCGACGTCGTAGGATCACGGTCGATACCCACCCACCCGAGGAGGACGTCGATCTCAACGATGGGCTCAGTGGCGTGCGCGCGGCGCAGGAGGCCCTCGAGCGCTACGAGGTGGAGGTCTCCATACTGTCGCAAGACGACCTCGCGGGGCATGATTTACCCGCGCACCGCTGCCTCACCGCTCTAGGCAGGGAGAACTGGGACGAGAAGGTGCGAGAGCTCTTGGGCGGCATTTTACAGCCGGGCTCGTTGCCGGAGGTCGAAGCGCCCTCCCCCGACGACCCCCTGTGGGACCTCAACCGGCTCGACACCCTTTCTCCCCCTCCCGGCACCCCAAGTACTGCTGCGTTCACCGATTCGGACAACTCGGTCGATTCTGAGCCGCTACCTTCGACCCCGAAGCCGAACAAGGCGTCCTATGCCCGTGTGGTGTCCAGTGAGACTCCTACGTCCCCGACGGTCCTTTCACCTCTTCCCTCGAAGCTGTTGAGCGCAGCGGCCCTAACTTTCATTCCTTCGACTCCGAATGGCCCCAGCATACGCGAGGCCGTCACTCCGCCCCTCACTGCCGCTTCAAATTCGTCCGGTGACTCACCCTTCTCTTCTCCGACATACAATTTCCATTTCCCCTCGCTCAAGACTGCTTCTCCTGCCGATCGCCGGGAATCCCGTTCACTTCCTCCCTCTTTGCAGAAGGACGAAAGCGGATTTTACGTCGAAGTTGCCGAGGATGCCCCGAGCGGTGCCACTCAGAGCCTGAACGCCACTCGAAGTACCACGCCTCGTCGCCCCTCCGCTGCATTCCTTCCCGCATTTCTCACGGACGGATCGCCAAGTCCCCGCCCTCGCAACTCCAAGACTCGCGAAATTGTCGACCGGCTGCGCTCCTCGGGCAGCTCGGGCTCGAATCGTAAGGCGAAGAAGGCGGAACGTAATCGCAGGCAACCGTCTGGGTCGACCTCCAAGGACGACGAGTCTAACGCACCTGCTTCGGCGGATGCCAAGAACGCTTCCCGTGAAACTGTGGCGGATGCGGACGGATGGATCACCGGCGTAGTGAGCGAGGACACCTCACCATGCCTCATTGTCACTGACGATGGCTGGATCACTCAGGGCAACGCGCGTCCTCAGCAGCAGCCCCAGCAGCAGTCATCCGAGCGCTCGAAGTCCAAGCATACGCACGGACATAAGCGTTCCTCTGGCAGCATCGCGCAGTCCACTACCTCCACCTCCTCGTTCGCTCCCGGTTCGCACGCGTCCAACCTCGGCGCCTCGCGCACGCCTGCTCGCGGCGCGGTTCCCCTTCCTGCCATGCCACAACTATATCCTGGGGTCTACCCCGCTGTACCATATGGCGCGCCATACGCTGGTGGGAACCCCGCTGCGTTCGCGCAGATGCAGTACCCCATGCAGGGCAGGGGCCCGCAGTGGCCGATGAACTTCCAAGGAGGGATGTACCCTATGTACCAACCATTCGGGGTGATGCCTTCCGCGCCGTACGGGATGGTGCCCGTCGCGCCTCCGCTTTCGCAACCGTCCACATTCTTTGACGGGAAGGGCAAGCAGGGGAGTGCCCTGGTGCAATAGTGAGTCCCACCGGTTATCCGCGCTCGAAGTAGACAACGGAAGCTGACGACGACGTCCCCCAGGAATCATATTATCACGACGCCTCTCTGTTATGCTCTTTTCCCCCCTCTTGCGTTTCTTGTCCCATGTAGTAGTTAGCAGTCTGCAGTATGTACACCCTTCGCCTCTCGCTACACCTCACCCCCACCTCTCGATGCTTCGTTCTCGTACCCCGGACCGGTCCCGTTCCCACTCACCCCGCCCACAGCCATACTTGAGTATCCACATCGCAGTTCTGATTGTTGTTCTCTGTCGTCGTCGAGCCTTGGTATTATTGATATCGCCTTCGTTCTCTCCGCCTCTCACCCTGTCCCGCCCGTCTCGCGCGCAATATACGTGTGTACGTTTGCTGTGAGATCGTCAATTATGGGCCGAGGACGCTCGCCCACACCGGTTCCACGGCGTGCGTTTCTCCCGTTCCCGCCCCTGCCCTGCTTTGCGCCTGCATCGTATCGCTGCTCCCGTTTCCCGCAACGGTTCTTGCCATCGTGATGTTGATCGCGTAAGTATTACGGTCAGCTACAGATGTCCATAGCATGCCAGAGGACAAGGGAGACACAAGTAAGAAACTGCATTCAGGTTCGAAAGACTGAGTCACAACCATCCACGAGGCTACGCTACCCTCTTCCATTTCACGCATACGTCTCGAGCTCGTCTATAACACCAGCCAGTCAGCACTGATATAGATGTGGACATATGTATTCTAGTATTTGCGCTCACCGCTTTCAACCTGTTCGCCTCTCGCCCTCCGCCACCAGCAACTCGGCACGCATCCGCTCGTGCTCACGCACGCTTCGCAATGCGTCCATAATCCCCCGAATTTGTGATCGGAATGCTCCACTTGCCCCTGGATCGCCCGGACCTGCGAGATGGGCCGACCATACCCCCAGGTACTCCAACTCGGGGAATAGACGATTCAGTGATACGGCCGCCTGCACGGCAGAAGCGCCGCCGCAGACCGCTGTCGATATAGAGAGGCGGCTTAACGGATGTCGAGGAATGAGGGGTACAAACACCGTAGGGTGGACGGAGGAGAAATCGAGGCTGGGTAGTGACAAGGACCAGAGCACGGGGCAGCGCTGTGCGAAGGTGACCAGCGCCGCGATTGTCGGGTGGGTGTTATTCACTGAAACGCGGGCGGTACTGTCGTGAAGGGTGACCCTCAATACCTGAATGTTCGGCCAAGCAGCCGCCAGCTGAGCTAAGCCATCGTCCGTGGTGTGCAACCAGGACGTCGCGGAAATTGTAAACGTGAGATGGCGCAAGTATGTGAACCGCAGGAGGGGCCCCAGAGCGCAGGAGATGTCGGAAGGTGCAGTAACGTCCACAGTCGGGGTGGGATTCCCGAAATTTACCCACATGAAACTCAGCAATGTGGGCGGCAGGTTTGCACATAGCTTCGACAGCTGGTCTTGGAGGGCGGCGAAGGGGACATGATACATGAAGGCATGATCCACCTCGAGGCTTCGAAGAGCGGGGACGCGGAGCGAATGCACCAATGTCGTTATCGTCTCGGTTGGACCGCCCCGTACACAAAGCGTGCGCAATTCTTCTAAGGCTGAAATGGCGCCAACCTTCATTCCAGGTTCGAGTTCCATGCGTCCCAGGTCCAGGGTGAGAGAGCGGAGCTGCGGATTCGAAGCTAATGCCTGGAAGAGTGTGGTGGGAACGTGGATTGGTAGCTCGAGGCTTGTCTCTCTTTGTGTCAACGTCGAAGCCCTCAGGTTTCGTAAACCCCCGATCCGGGTCAGAAAGCCCATTCCAAACCGCCGATCACAGGGCGAATCCCAGCACAACTCCGTCAGGCCGGGGGCAGTGTCGACCAAAGCCTGGAGAAGGACCTTCATACCCGCGCAGAGCAGCGATCGCGACGGCGGATTTCGAGGAGCTTCGAAGTGCAAGTTGACGCTGAGGAGGCTGGGTGTAGGGATACAGGTCATCATGCTGATGTCCCTTTCCAGCATCTCGTAGGCATCTATGAGGCGTAGTCGCGGCAACAAGGGTTCGCCTTGACATTTGCGGGCCAGGATGGTCCAAACTAATGGGTCGACGCCGGCCGGTTGGTATATAGACATCTCTCGAACACGCACAGCGAACGTGCGGAAATGCGCCCACTCTGCAGAGGTAATCTCGCCTGTGATCATCGTCTGCGAACGCGTCAACTCAGGCCTGCGCCGAGGCTGGCGAAACTTGAAAGAAGCCTACCTGGCGATCTATCCACTGGATAGATGGCAAAATCTGGAGCAGGGCCCCAACATTTTCATCTAGGGAGAACCATAGAACGTCAAGTGCATGCTGGGAGAAGTGGCGGGAAATACGAGCACACGCAGCAAGCGTGGCTTTTTTGGCATTGCGTATGGCGATTTCCTCCGTATCGTCATTGTCCGAGTTTCGGCCAGGTTCGAGCACATCGAAGATGGTTCGCAAGAGCTCTGGTGATTCCATCACCTGGCCTAAAGCCCTGGCTGGTCTCGTACCCAGGGCTGAATTGGGATTGGCGAGACTGTGCGCCTCTTGAGACTGCTTTGCTTGGTCTGGGGTAGTCTAGATGAAGAAGAATTGTTCAGTGCGTCGAACATTCCCAAGTTCAAGGACAGACCGTTCCGAGGAGACGGTTGACAGTGAGAGTGCTCCGGTTCAAGAAGAACCCACTACTCAGCGTCAACACCCTGATGCTGGCAAGTTTGGGTGCACTGTTCGGACGCTTCTTTGCTTTATGGCGACGATATCTTCCACGTAAATGAGTTCCCCGCGCATATATATTTACCGGAGTAAGACCTACCATACGTCACCCCAGATATGCAGACATTACGTTTTGCGCGGCGGACTTGCACTTGCGACACATCTCGCATTTACAGAAGCAACACGACTACCATTGTTAGGCGTCGCCCTCCCAGGCCACAGCACGTATCGGACTCCCATCGCAGCCAGCAAGGCTTAACGGCAGTAGGCTTACTACGATCTGCTTCCACCCTCCGTCGACGATCGTCTCCAGACCGGTCAAGTTCTCCACGATGATCCCGCCGCTTCCCAGCACGACGTGGTGGACGTCCGCGCACTCCTCGTCCGCCGTGACCTTGTCCGGACTCATCGTGTCCAGCCCGAGCACCTTCACGCCAAGATCGAGCAGCCGCCGCGCCGCGTCCGCGTCCACGAAGGGATGCGCACTGTAGGTCTCCGTGTTCCAGTGCCGCGACCACCCGGTGCACAAGAGGAGCACCCGCGCCCCGCGCGCCTTCACTTCCTCCGCGGCGTCGGCGAGGTCCGCCCACACGATGCGCTCGTGCGCACGTTTCCCGCGGAGGTCTGCGACCACGGCAGGGGCGGCGGAGAGGAGGGTGAGGTCGAGGCGGTCGACGGTGACGCCGTCCGCGAAGAAGTGGTACGGGGCGTCGATGTGCGTGCCGGTGTGCGTGCCGAGCGTTAGGGCGTGCACATTTGCGAATTCGCCGGCGGCGAGGCTGAGGCAGGGCGAGGCTGTGTAGCATGGGTGACCAGCGCACGCGGGCACCTGGCCGGGGACGAGGGCGTGTGTGAGGTCGATGACGGTGCGTGGACGATCGAACGCCATGGCCTGGTGGGGGAGATGTGGTATAGCATCGTACGAGCCCAGTGTATATGTAGGATGGAGGGGTGCCAGTGCTGGTAATTGTCGCGCTCGATCTCAGGAGGTGCGGGCCGCGGTCCACAATTTCATCATCACCGGCGAGCGGCTCAACGTCAAAGTGCATCTCGTGTCGCTCAAACGCACACGCGACCGCCGGTGGGAGGGGGGTAGTTCCATCCGAGCGCCGCCCAGCGCGGGAGTGGCTGTTTAATGAGCTGTATGTTCCTGGTCCGCCGTCTACCCGTTACGCGGCGGGACACGTGGATGGCCTGCGAAGCCAGGTGTCTGTCAGGATCGTATCCGACATGAAAAGTATGCCAATTTAGGACTGACCTTGTGGCGCAGGCTACCTGGCAGGGTAGTTCCACAGCCATAGGGAACATCCTCGCTACCCTATCGTCTACGCTTTTGCCGGCCATGCAAAGGCGCGCACTGGCGAGCCATCGCACCCTTTCAGCTTGAGCGGCACCAAACTGACAAGCCAATCGCCGGTCGCCATAGCTTCGAGGTTCGTCAAGTTTTCCGCAATCAGCGCCCCAGCCCCAAGCACCACTTCGTGCACCCCGAAGTCGGGCATGCCGCCGTCGACCAGTGTCTCGTCCGGACTGAGGGTGTCCACCCCGATCAACTTGACGCCGAGGTCTACGAGTCGCTGAGAGGCGTCTCGGGTAAGGAAGGGATGCTCGAAGTATATGGGCGATTGCCAGTGCCGCGACCAGCCTGTGCGGAGGAAGACGAAGACGCCTTCGGGAAGACTCGCCTTGCGGCTGATGAGGTCTGCGAAAGGAGATATGTCTGCCCATGTTATTTGCTCCTTCGCACTCTTGGATGTTACGTCGATCACGACAGCGTGCCCAACGAATGCATCCAGTGGGATCTCGTCGATCTTCGAGCCATCCTCGAGGAAATGGTAGGGTGCGTCGACATGGGTACCTGAATGCGAGCCCAAGGAGATGCTGTGTACGTTGTTCCCATCTTTCGCGAGAGTCAAAGCGAGGCAACAGGAGAACGTGGGGTCTCCAGGATATACTTGAATATTCTCGTCCAGAGTGTGAGAGAGGTCGACGTATGCTGGTGCCATTTCCAAGTGTTTGTGTTTCTAATCGCGAGAGCGTAGATTTCCTACAGAGGTCGGGGGTATCTGGCGAATGGCAGTGGATTTCAGAACAGTTTCCACCAGCGTGTGGGCGCAGCGCAGACAAGAGGCTACAAGAGGTTGCAGAAACAGAATTTATCGAGGGAGCTGTCGTTGTCGCAAGTCGGACTGGAAGAGAGTGAAAGAAAGGAGCGGGTTAAAACGGACATATGCGTAGCGATGGTATGATGTTCTAAGTCCGCGTAAGGGTACGTTTAGACTCCGATGACAGAGACTACTGACCCCATCACCAGCTTTCTACCGGGCCTTACTATCAGTTGTAGCCGACGTTGTATTGCTGCTTTGAAGCGCGCTGATCACTGCTCCCAGGGTCAGTACACCGACGTCGACGTGTACCTTTCCTCCCGCGCTCACACACTCTGTTTGTGCTCATCTCCTGCTACGCAACATACTAGGCAACAGGGTACTAGGAACTAGGGCCATACGACGATGCGGGTGTTGAGCGCTGTGCTCGTGCTCGCTGCGCTGCCCACAGCATTCGCTGTGAAGGCCCACGACTTCAAGACATGCTCTCAGGCCGGTTTCTGTAGGAGGGGGCGCGCACTGTCTTCGAGGGCAAAGGAGAACCCTGCATGGAGGTCGCCATACGTGATAGACGCGTCTAGCGTCGCCCTCTCTTCAGACCAAGCCGCATTCACCGCGGCGGTCAAGTCCCAACTCTACCCTGAGGTCAACTTCGGCTTGGACGTGCGGATACACGACGATGGCGTCGTCCGGGTCCGAATGGACGAAGTGGGCGGCCTTAGGCAGCGCTACAACGAGGCGGCGTCCTGGGCCTTGTTGGAGGAGCCGAAGGTCAGCAATGCAGTACAGTGGACTGTAGCCAAGGACAGCGTACGAGCGAAGTATGGCCCCAAGAACGACGTCGAGGTTATAGTTGCATTTGAGCCGCTCAAGGTCACGCTGTTGCAAGGTGGAAAGGAGCAAGTGGTGCTCAACGGGCGCGGCCTCCTCCACATGGAACACTTCCGCACCAAGGAGTCGGTCGCGAAGGCCAGGGAAGAGCTCGCGAACCCCGAGGAGGGCCTTGACACGGACGACTCTCAGGTCGTGATGGAGCAGACTCTTCCGCGGACTGCGTGGTTCGAGGGTGAGACGGAAGACGGCTGGTGGGAGGAGACATTCAACTCGTTCACGGACAACAAGCCCCGAGGTAGGTCACTTCATCGTCGCGTAGCGTTCATTCCTTAACAACGTCTACAGGACCGGAGTCTTTGTCCCTCGATATTGACTTCCCTAATCACGGCCATGTCTACGGTATTCCTCAGCACGCTACACGCCTCTCGCTCCCCACCACTACTGGCGAGGACGCATACTATACCGAGCCATACCGCCTATTTAACGCGGACGTGTTCGAGTACCTGGCGGACTCTACCATGTCGCTCTACGGTTCAATACCCTTCTTGCAGGCCCACTCCGCCGAGTCGACGGTTGGTATCTTCAATGCCATCGGCTCCGAGGCGTGGATCGACATCGGACGCCCTTCACCGAAGTCGACGACGACCCACTGGCTCTCTGAGACGGGTATCCTCGACGTCTTCATCCTTCCTGGCCCTACTATCGCCGACGTCTTCGCTCAGTACGCCAAACTAACCGGCACCCCCGCCCTCCCGGCGCACTGGGCACTCGGCTACCACCAGTGTCGCTGGAATTATATCAGCTCGGAAGACATCCGCAGCGTGCAGACGCGATTCGACGAGGAAGACATCCCTGTAGACGTGTTCTGGCTCGATATCGAGTATGCCGAGGACCACAAGTACTTCATGTGGGATCACAAGCTGTTCCCTGACCCGGTCGAAATGACCAAAGATGTGGAAGCGATTGAGCGCAAGGTTTGTGCCTTATACCGATTGTCGACATCGTACTGACGCGTTTTGTAGATGGTGGTCATTGTCGACCCTCATCTAAAGCGTGTGGACGACTACCCAGTTTACAAGGAGGCGACCGAAATCGATGTGCTCGTCAAGCTGAAAGACGGGCAGACCAACTACGAGGGCTGGTGCTGGAGCGGCAGCAGCGCGTGGGTAGACTACTTTAACCCGAAGAGCTGGGACTGGTGGAAGGGGCTTTTCAAAGTGGACGCACAGGGCAGCTCGTGGCACTGGGTCGAGAGCACTGTCAACACGTACATCTGGAACGATATGAACGAGGTTTGTTTCACATGACGTGCCTTGCTGAACCTTGCTGACTCCGTTTAACAGCCCTCAATCTTCAACGGCCCCGAGATTAGCATGCCTCGCGAGAACATCCACCACGGTGGCTGGGAGCACCGCGACCTGCACAACATTAACGGCATGCTCTTCGTATGTGTACTCTTCATTGCAGCTCATAGCGCTACTCACTCCGGCCTCTCAGCACAACCTCACTGCTCAAGCAGTCAAGGAGAGGACTGACCCGCAGAAGCGTCCGTTCGTGCTTACTCGTTCGTTCTATGCCGGCTCCCAGCGTTTCGGCGCCATGTGGACGGGCGATAACCTGGGAACATGGGAGCACATGGCAGTTGGCATCAAGATGGTCCTGGCAAACAACATCGGCGGCTTCAGCTTCGCGGGATGTAAGTCCTTGTGTAGATTTTCCGTCTGCTCATTGACTCACGTCCTTCCCTCTACCAGCCGACGTTGGTGGCTTCTTCGGCAACCCAGAGCCCGAGATGCTCGTGCGGTGGTACGCAGTTGGCATCTTCTCGCCCTTCTTGCGCGCGCACGCCCACATCGACACCAAGCGCCGCGAGCCCTACCTCCTCGACGAGCCGTACAAGAGCATCGTGCGCGACATGCTCCGTCTTCGCTACACCATGCTCCCCGTCTGGTACACCGCGTTCCGCGAGGCGAGCGTCACCGGATTGCCGGTGTTGCGCCCACACTACGTCGCTTTCCCGCACGATGAGGCCGGCTTCGCGATCGATGACCAGTACTTCGTCGGAAGCTCCGGCTTGTTGGTGAAGCCGGTCACGCGCAAGTCTGCTACGGAAGAGACCGTCTACCTCCCAGAGGACCAGGTTGGCATCGATTATAGCATTGGTATGGCCGCAGCTCACACATTGCATATAGGTATACTACGACTACTTCAGCCACCACGCCTACCGTGGCTCCGCCAAGGGCAAGAACATCACCGTCCCCGCCGAACTGCACCAGATCCCTCTTTTCATCCGTGGTGGTTCCATCGTCCCTACGCGCGAGCGCCCGCGCCGCTCGTCGCCTCTCATGAAACAGGATCCATTCACTCTGCGTATCGCGCTGGACCAGGACGGCAACGCGCGCGGCGAGCTCTACCTCGACGACGGCGAGACGTACGCGCACGAGAAGGGCGACTTCATCTGGCGCGAGTACACCGCGACGCGGCCCGGGAAGAAGAGCAGGAGCGTGCGCATCCACAGCAAGAACCTCGCCGCACAGAAGCCCGGGGAGGCGGTCGACGGCGTCGCACTCGCGACGTACGACAGCGCGAACGATTTTGCGCGGAGCATCGCGGCCGTGCGCATCGAGAAGATCGTCATCCTTGGGATGCCTGCGAAGCCAGTCACGGTTACCAAGGTGGGCGGCAAGACGCAGCTGCAGTGGACGTTCACGCCCGGGGTCGCCGCGTCGGACAAGAAGGAGGGCACGGCGAGCGTGCTGGTGATCAAGGACCCGAAGCTGAGCGTCCTGATGGACTGGGAGGTCATCGTGCACGCGTAGTGCGTCGCCGTGGCCTGGCCCTAGATACCTCCCGCGACTGGCAGCGCGCTATGTCTGCAGCTTTCGTATCGTTCTCGTGTAAATCTAACCGCTTTGATCACACTAGAGGTGTGGCCTTTTCGGGCGGCAATGCGCCTCGTGGCCGGCCACACTCCCGCAGCGACGGACCAAGCAGTGGCACGGTCAAGTCTATGCGTGACGGGTGGCTCAAAGGCATCGTGTCCCCCGACAATGCGTCGGGCGCGGCCACATTTTGTATATAAGGGCGCCCCCGAGTCCGCTATACTCATCATCACCCTCTAGTCTCTCCTACTCCTCAGAACCACCCGACGATCCCAGACCAGATGGACTGCCAAATACCCATGATCGTAGTGACCCCGGCGCTGCCGTCGAGGAAGTCGTTGCCAGCAGATATGCGCGCAACATTAGACGCGGTACGTTCCTTGTCCATACCTCCATACGAGCATCAACTGACGCGTACCCGCAGATAATAGGACCAGCACCACCGGCAAAGGCATCCGAGTGGATGAGCGAACCATCCGATGCCGCACCGGACAGCGACCTAGAGGACGAGGACGTAGAGGAGCCCCACGTCCCTTCACGAACACATCGCGCGGTAGTGGAGACCGCGCCTCGTTTGGAGCTACACCTGGAGAACGCACGCTTCAGCGTCGGCGCGGTCGTGTCCGCGCTGGAGGAGGCGTTCCGCGGCGTGCCCGCCCACGACGCCGCCTCTTGCAGCGTCGTGACCAATGGCACGAGCGAAGCGTCGTCGTCCCGGACCCCACATGGACGCAGCTGCCCGCGCGCTGAATCGCGCGCCAGCTACTCTTCAAGCACAGACTCGCTCCTGCTCACTTCGGAGATCGAGTCGCTCCCCGAGGATATCTGGGAGGACGCGTCGGACGAGGACGTGCCCAGCGCCCGCGCCGTCCGCCGCGCTCCCCCGTACGGCGGGACGGGGAATGCAACATGGCGCCACGCCATGTACGTCAGCCCGCTTGTGTGGCCCCTTGAAGAGGCCTCCCGTCGACAAGCCGATACGTCTGCTCGCAGCGAATCGGTCAAGCAGGGGTTTCAATGGCCCTCACTTCGGACCTTGGCTCGGGTGCTCGCACCAGGTCGTACACGAGTACGGCATGATGCATGAGGGGCTGGGCGGATAGACGCAGTCTTGGGGGCTGCTGGGCGCAGGCCGGAAGGCAACGCTTTTGAAATACTTAGATACGAAACGCGCTGTGAATTGTATAACATGGATTCCAGAGTCATGCCGTGTTCTGCCCGACATCTTGGTTATATGCCCCTTCGACCAACGATGTCAGAGGCGTGTCCCTGATACAAGCGCGGGCTATCAGATATGGTGCCAGCTGCGTTGAATGGACACATGGCATTTTACGTTATGTGAGGTCAGTTGGGAATTCGTTTCGAAAATAAATCGAACGCTGTCGACCTTTCATCTCTGCCCCCACCTACGTTCTGATTCTTCACCGTCGAGATTGACCTGCAGTCGACCTCATTGTCTGATATAGCCTGCCGAGGCCGCCTCGAGCTCTTATTCTGTTAAACCGATGGAGGAGCGACTATCCGATCCCGCCCTTGGACCACTGGAGGTGTGCACCGCCGCCGACCGCGTTTTGAGCACGCCAGAGCTTCTCAGGGCTGTGTTTGACGTCCTTGGCGACGATGAACGACATGAGTATAATCCTGGTGGACAAATGAACCGCGATACTTTGGCCTCATGTGCTCGCGTCTGTCGTAACTTTTCTGCGCATGCACTGGACGTCTTGTGGACAAGCAACCACGACCTCCTAACCCTGCTCAAGATCCTGCCATCTTTCCAATCCCTGAATGGCCAATGGGTGCGTGTGGAACTTGGCCGTCCACAACGGACATGTTGCATCAAACCCGCTGACGCAGCCTTGTTTATAGTGGCTGGTCGAAGCCGACATCCCCTCTGCAGAATGGACGAATTTCCGGACATATGCGTCGCGCATGCGCGCTCTGGATGTCGACTACATAGACGAAGGATCTGACACGAGAAATCCCGGGCCGATGGTCTGGACTATTCTCGCTCGTAATTGTCAGGGCAAGCCTTTGCTACCCCATCTCCAAACTCTCGACATACACCTACCGGACTATCACGATGTGTGGCAAGACGCACTGAATTCCATCGTGCATCTGCTCTCCCCTCGCCTCCACACGGTCAGTCTTGCTTTTTGTGACGATCCCCCGGAAGATGCAATGAGAGCTGCTTACAATGTCACACAAATAACCCTCAAATTTATCGCCCACGTCGCCCGCCGCCTCACTACGCTGCGTTTGGACGCGCCTATCGACCATAAGGCTCTGGAAGATATTGGCACATACTTCCCAGAACTTCGAACCCTGGACTTCGGTTCCAGTTCTCCCCCGGTCGATCTACCCCTCCTGCGTGCGATATCTACCATAAAACCGCTCAACCACTTGTCTCTGACGATTCAGATCCCTGATGCCCAACTCCATCTGGCGGGGTTTGATCTCAGCTCTGCTTTCCAGGATTTGCGCACCCTCCACGTGGAGGGCGGATTGCGGGATATAAGCCACTTCATCCAGCGGACGCGACCGTTGTATCTTGGCAAGATCAGTATCTGTGTTAGAAACTGGGATCCTGACTTGTCGGATACGATCATCACCTCGACCTGCCCCCTTTATAAACTCTGTGCGCTGCTATCGCAATGTCTACGGGACTTTACCATGGTCATATGCGACAAGAACGTGGCAGCACACCCCGGCCTCCGCGATGCTCCCCAAACCTACAGTGATATCCTGGCACCTCTCCTCCGTTTCAGACGCCTGGAACACGTCGCACTCATCATCAAGCACACAAGGGGCCTGTTCGCCGAGGTCGACGCTACCGACCATTGCATTTCAGTCCTGGCGGAAGCTTGGCCTAAGCTTCGTAGCCTGAGGCTCAAACATAAAATCTCATTCGCTAGCCCTCCGCTAGTTCCGCCCCTGATCAGCACCTATCCGACCGTGCAGGCCCTGGTGGCTCTCGCCCGATGCTGTCCCGAGCTCTCTGACCTGTCCCTTCCACGCCTCCACGTTTCGTTGCCCCTCGCCGACGAATCCGAGCCTGGCCCCCTTGTGAACCATTCATTGGAGAGTCTTGCCATTGACCAAACAATCATAAGCTGGAACGGCGACATCGGGGTCTCGGGCTCGCAGCAGTTTGCAACGTTGCTAGATCGCTTATTTCCCCGACTTCTCCGGGATGACATTCGCGACAGCAAAGGGAATCACTACTGGGAGGTGCACGACTTCCTAGAGGCGAGACGGAGGGCACGCAAGCATGAGAGGCGGCGCGGCGGGCTCTGATGGCGGGTGGGCAAGGCAGAAGGTTGTGGGTTCGGTAAGTGGAACTCCGCGGCGTTGGGACAGAGGGACGTATGCAGGACGATGCTGACTCGTACTTTTTGCAGATGCCTAGGCGGCCCGGGGGAGTGAGTGACGTCTCAGGGGTAGCGGGGTGTGACATTGGATTTCGGAGAAGAAAACGATACACCGAGTCCGGCTCGATGGGAGGTGGAGGTTCATCCGAAGGAGGGGAATCATGGAATGAAGGAGGATCGACCACGTTCAACTTCACGCGCGCGTCGATTGTCTGTTGCCTACACGGTCGACAGGCGGCGGCGGAGGGGTTGGTAAGTATGGCTGCCGTGGTCGCAATCAGGACGCATGCAGAACGTTGACTTATGTATTTGCAGATCTTCCATTGGACTGGACAGTTGTGGGTGTGCTTGAAGGGAGTCCTTACTATATGAAGCGTGCAATCGATCTCGAAACAGGGTAGTGATACACGAAGTCCGTCGGAAGGCGAGGCGTCATGAAGGCGCGTCGACCACGTACAGCTTCACATGCGCGTCGACAAAGTGGTCGATCGTGGCCGCGTCTATGAGCGCGGCTTTCATGCGTCGTCTCTGCGTACGTACCGTGAGCGAACGTCACGCATGAGGGTGGTAAGAGGGCCGTTACCAGTGCGAACGACGCGCCGCGATAGCATGTCTGGAACACGTCCGTGAACTCGGCGTGCGTCTTCAGTATGCCGTGCCCCGCGAGAGCTCTCGAGACAGCCTTCTTCACCGCCTGCCGCGCCACGATGTCAGCCATAAACTCATACTGAGTGCGACATCGAGCTCACCGTCTTGTTCTCCCGCTCTGTATCTACGCCCGCGTCGCCCATCACGACGTCTGGGGGCTCGCCACTGACGGGCCCAAAGATGTCAGCATCCTGGCCGCTCCCCGAGCGCACAGGCACGTTCGGGATCTTGAACACGTCCTTCTTCACGCCCACGCGCGCGCCCTTGCCCAGCGCCTTCAGGTCCACGGGCACAGCCGCGTTCTTACCAGGCTTCGGCATGCGCAGCATGACCTCCGCCGCGGCCTTGCGCATCGCGTCGTCGCCGTCCTTCGCGCTCGCCTTGCCCTTGCCCTTCTCGCCCGTCTTCGCGCGCTTGCTGTCTGCGGTGAGGGGGAACGGGAGCCCGACGACGTCGCGCTTGCGCTTCGCGCCGAAGGCCGCGGGGGGCCGGCGCGGGGTGGGGTCGTCGGGGCGGGGGAGGCGGAAGCTGGATGGGGTGGGTGGCGGGCCGGGGTGGATGCGCGCGGCGAGGAGGTGCAGCATCTGTGGCGGGGATGAGGATGTGGATGGGGTCGGGTCTGCTGAGGAGGCGAGCGGCGCGTCGCGGAGCTCGCCGTATATGAGCAGATCGGGCGTGTCGGGGTCATCTACGCGCGAACTTGAGAATGGCGCCACGAGCGTTCGACGCAGACCTACTGTTTTCCGTTAAGCTTACGCGCACGCCATATTCTGTCCTTCTGGTCGGGGACGTGATAGGTGCAAGGCAGAACGTGTTCTCGAAGTATATCCTCGTCAGCGTTGCATCCGGGTGGATGTCCCTGCAAGCATAGTTAGCTTCCCGTTGGTGGTGAGTTGAGCATTGCCTACACAAGGATATCTCCGGGAGGATCGATCCAGGTATCCTTGACTTTGACAATCCCGAGTAGATGGAGCGGCAAGCCACGCATGCTCTCCAGAGTGAGAGCGAGAGGGTTGTTCAACAAGGCGGGGCTACTGTGTATGTCGCTAACCCTTGCAGAGAAGCTGAGTCCGTCTAATGGTAGATATGAGTCCGACAGGGAGAGCGAGCCACGGTATAGCAAGCGGTGAGTTGGCGCGACAGCCTTGGATGGGGTGGCCATCGCTGCAAGATGGTTGGTGACTGTTGAAGTTATGAGATTACATATATTGTCTATAGCAGCATGAGGAAGCACATACTGACAGTATTCCCAAGTTCTCGTCAAGTTCAAAGTAATCTCTGAAGTCCAGCGAGGTGTCGTGGTTGTAGGGGTTCCCGTGGTCTCTAGATGCCAGTTGTTTTTACATTAGTATCCGCAGCAGGGACAGGGAGTCCAGACAAGTACTTACAAGCCTTCTTCGGATGCTTGCTCCGAAGGCGTACTACTGATTCGTGTGAACCACAGCAAAACCGTTAGCCAAGACTCGGACGAATCCTTGTGGCGCGATTCTGATGGCGGGTTAGTTGTGACAATGGTCATGTGCAGCGTGACTGGCGCGTCATTTGCGCGCATGGGCTTGGGCGCCTACAGCTGCGTGATGCTTTTGTCCTCGGACCACTCACTCAACGTAACGTTTTCCATAGTAACGTTGTTTTAATGCCAGGACTGACATTTGAACGTTTCAAGCTAGACAGTGCAACAAAACCAGAAGCTATAGTCGAAGGTGGACAATCATCAACACATCATATCAACGCGGTATGTTTCAAGTTCTGTGGTCTTCGTTATTTCATAACATCTCGTCTCGGTTTGCACGCGAGCTTAATACAGCTCAAGGAGATGTTGATCTTACCGTATTACAAACCCCGCCTACGTCGCAAATTGTATTCGAATGTCGGGATTTGTCTCTTATTTGCATTTTTATGATACCGGATTCGCTGCTGATAGAGCTGTTCCTTCACCAGGGTCCAGATCCTATCCCTCTCTGAAATGTCATTCAACCAGATTTTGGCTTCAAGGGAACTCCTCTCCCTTATATTCCACCACCTCACGCCCCCCGACCTCGACGGGGAATCTCCAAGCGCCTTTCTGAACTTCGCTCAATCATACGAGCGTAAAGTTTGTGTACGTGCACTGAGCGCTGTCGCTCGTACCTGTAAAGCACTCTCCGACCCGGCTTTAACGGTGCTATGGCGGCGCGTGAACAACATCGATCACCTCTTTCGTATACTCCCCGGATGGTCAGATATTGGTGGGAGGGGGTACAATAAAGCGCTGGTATGTGCATTTCCTGTCTATATAACACGCGCTGACCGATGGAATGAGAACGACAGATTGTCAGTGGCACCATCACACCAGCCATTTGGGCGCGATTCAGACGGTATGCACTATTGGTGAAGGTCGTGAACCAGCGCAGCTGGGCATGGGTCCACCCGTACACTTGGACACTCCTCTCCCCCTGGTGCCGCGGGGAGCCGCTCCTGCCGAACGTGGAAACGTTCCGCATCCTGCCGATCTGCGCACACAGCCCAGGCGCAACACTCTTCCTCTCCCCCACGCTCCGGCACCTCTCGGTCACGCTCTCGGACGCCCCGGAGCTCGAAGACGTGCACGTCGGCGCGATGCTCATCCGGCAGATCGTGCTGACAATCCCTGGGCTCCAGACATTGCATGTCGAGAGCAAGATGGAAGCTGCGTCCCCGATTTTGGTCGACGTCTTCCAGTGTTTGAGCGATCTGCGGTCGCTGTCGTTAGCCGACATATACATCGGGCGTTCTGAGATGGACGTGCTCGCGGCCCTGCCGCGCCTGGAGTCGTTGTCCGTGATGGTCATGCTTCCTCGGTCCGATCAGCGGCCAGACAGCGACGACGAAGGTGAAGATGCCGAGGCAGGTGTCGTCAATAGCGACGAGGACGAAGTCGACGAAGAGGACGGAGAAGAAGAAGGCACCGAAGACGGAGAGGACGAGGATGACGAGGATATGGACGGTGAAGACAGCATCGACGAAGAGACCCGCGCTGTTTCTCATCGCAACCGCTACGTCGTTCCCGTCGCCTTCTACGCTCTGCGGCAGCTCACCCTCCGCGGATCCCCCTGCAAACAAGACCTGTTGCTCCGATACCGACCTCCTCGTCTCGAGGGCCTCTCTCTAGAGATCACCGGCCGCGCGTCATTCAAAGAAGTCCGGGACATCATCGCGTACAATGCCCGCAACGTCCCCGCCACCCTCTCCACCTTCTCCTTGAAGACCGGTCGCACATGGACCGAGATGGAGCCGCTATTGCTGATCGACCTCATCAAGCCTCTCCTCGCACTCTCGGACATACAGACGATGTGCCTCGAGTTCCGCGACGTCCCTGGGGTCAACGACGCGGACATCGCGACCATGACCGGCGCATGGCCGCGCCTCACCTGCTTCCGCCTCCCCATCAGCGGCTTCACGGAGGACCCGCCACGGACCCGACCCACCCAGCAGGCGCTTGCGCACGTCGCCACCGCCTGCCCGGACCTGCGCGAGCTCGAGCTGCCCGAACTCGAGTTTTCGCGGTTGCCGCTCTGCGTCCCGGCCACCAACCACGGCCTGCAGACGCTCTCGTTCGACATCGCGGCGGGCCCCAACGACCGGCCGTCCGAGGGACACGGGAAGTTCGCGGGCGCGTTCGAGGTCGCGATGGCCGTCGACCTGCTGTTCCCCAACTTGGCTGTAAGGATGCACGACCACCCGACGCCAGTGCTGCCGGACGAGGAGCACCGCGGGTTTCTCTACCGGGCCCCGCCTCCGCGGAAGATCAGCGCGTGGTACAAGGTGCGCCCGTATATTCACGCTGCGCAGCTGGGGCGCAAGCGCGGGAAGACGCTCCAGAATCCGGCTCCTTACCGGTCTAGGATATCTATGCTGTGGACGTGTTAGCCTGTGGACGATCCCATTTTCTTCTGTCAACTATCGACGTTCGCTCATGCTTGGATCTTATGCTCGTAAATAGTCGCGGTCGGGCTACTTCAAATTCCAGCAGTCCCGAGAGACACTCGGGCGACTTCTTTACGTATCATACCAAACACGACCACACTTCCGCGTAGTCAACTGTACCCGCATTGCACTGTTCTTGACGCAACCGCCGTCACCACGCACGGACTGCCGCTCCAGTTCATTCACGCCGAACTCGGTGAGACCTTCAACAAGCTAACGAGTCTGAGCTGCTAAACATGTTTATCTCATCTAGACGGCCGCACAGTTGCTTCAATGCGTCAGCAGATCGATGGAGTCGTCAATCCAAGCCTGGCGGAAACTGCGCCCGCACGTGCTGTTGGTCATGTTCTAGGATCGCCAGAGCTCCTGCGGGCCATATTCGATGTCTTCAAGCCTCGCCTACGCACAGACTATGATAGCCTTGAGGACGTCGCCATGCAGGCGTCTCACAGAGCGGCGCTTGCCGCGTGTGCCCGTGTTTCCCACTACGTTTCCCAGCACGCACTCGATGTCCTTTGGTCATGCATCGATGGGAATGTCCCGGCCTTGTTCATCTGCTTGCCATCTATCAGGGAGGTAGCTGGCAATCAATGGGTACGCTTTACTTGAGGGTTTTCAGACAGGGCGTTGACACACACTGTGGCTTACAGGCATGGTCAATCACAGGCGATATCACCCCTGCAGAGTGGGCTCGCTTTCGCACCTTCGCGACACGCGTCCGGGAACTATCATACCAACCCTATGACTCCTTTTGTCTCATCGACCCGTTGGTCTGGACCATTCTTGCTCGTAAATGTCGAGGCGATCCTCTTTTCCCCCGGCTGCGCCTCTTAGATTACCCGGGTATAGCGTGCGAGGACATCGGGCCCATCATCAGCTTTCTCTCCCCCAGTCTCCGCAGCGTCTCCTTCCGTTTCATTTCGCCTGAGGACGCAGCGCCCCTCTTAGCAGGGATGAAGATTCTTTTCCAGACTTTGGTCGACATCGCTCCTGACCTCACTGAACTGGACTGGAATGCACCCCCCGACATACTACCACTCGAGGAAGCGTCGTTTATGGCCGAGATCAGCCGTTTACGACACCTCAGGGATTTGGCATTGACCAAGCCCGGGTTCGAAGTCGACCGGGCTCCCGTTGCTGCAGCCGCTTCACTCCAGGCGATCACCGCGGTTCGAACCTTGCGCACTCTGGTGTTGGACGTAGACCACGTGGACGTCCACAATACGACAAAGGTCACTGATGGCAATCCGACACTCGAAAACTTGCGCACACTCGACCTCATGGGCGGCCCAGGCGAGAAGCTGGCTTCTTTGGTACACTCACTTTGCCTCCCCGCTCTGGAAAATCTCGGTTTGCACACGCATGAATCTCAGCGGCTCATGACCCTCGCTCCCCTTAGCAGCCAGCTTGCGAAGCTCTGCGCAAACCTCCCGCCTACTTTGCAAAAGTTCGACTGGGAATATCCCGCAGATCGCCCCCTGTCCCCCGCAGATGCACCTTCTGGCCTTCACTCCATTCTCAGACCCCTCCTCAGGTTCACACTCTTGCGCCACGTCCGGTTCGGGATACCTCGGGAGGCGGAGTCATCGATCTGCATCACGGACGAGGCTCTATCCCACTTAGCTGCGGCTTGGCCGAACATTCAAACACTGCAGATAATCTCCCCTGAGTGGCAATCCTGGCCCCGTAATGTGGCCTATCCGACATTTGCAGCGCTAGTCACCTTCGCGCAGCGCTGCCCCGCGTTATCTAGTCTCGCACTACCCGGCCTTGATTTCTCCTCCGTGGGCCCAGACCCAGCGGTTTCCGAGTCTATACCTCTCATGCGTTACCACCCGTTACAGCAACTCCAAGTGAAGGCGGCCGTCTGTGGCAGCATCTCGGCGTCGGGGGTGGCCATATTACTCGATCGCCTTTTCCCCCAATTGGACTCGAACAGGGTGCATATCAATCCCAACCACCGCTCAGTGGGCTATCTTTTCTCGTCGGAGATTACCCGCATTCTGGAGGCAACGCGGGGTGTGCGTGAGCACGACACGATGCGCATCAAGCTACCTGTCGGTGCGGGAGAGGCCCCCGATCGCTCTGCTGCTCGAACGACCATCACGCGTGCATAGGACGAGAAGTAGTGAGTAGACCGTCACGCCAGCTCATGTTATCCCGATGCTGACCAGGTGTTGCAGGGCGAAGGAGCTCGCGCGAGGAAGGAGCGGCGGCACATTCACGAGAAGAGGGTGGAGATACCAATTATCATATCACAGAGTCAGGTATGTATTTCCAAGGAAACTCGTCTATGCTCTAACACGCCCACAGCGTAGATAGCCTTGACTTAAAAAGAGAGGGCTGCCGGAGCAACTTCCCGCGCTCGCGCCCCGCTTGGGCTGCTTCGATGTACGAGCGCACCTTGTACCAGATGCTGACCCTCCGCCGCGGCGGGGCCAGATGATGCAATATGATATCTGTCTCATCCCGGCGAAAATCCGGCGTCGGGTCGTCGCGCATCCTGAGGTCGAGATGGGGGAAGAGCAGGTCGACGGCCATCGCGACCTCGACGTGGTCGTTGAACTGGCGGAGTTGCTGGTGCGGCCGGCGGCCCTCAAGTTCCTGCGCGATGTCGAACGAGAGCGTTTTGAGGCTATGGTTCGAGACTGGGACGCGGAGCGGGAGACGCGCGAACTCGACCTCAGGGAGCACGAGCTCGCGCAGGTGGGGGCAGCGGGTGGCGACGTACATGAGCGCGAGCTGTGTGGGTCGCGTCCTGGGGGCGTCCGCACAAAGCCGCTCATCGGGAGCCGGAAAGAGGTCAGGAGCGGCCACGCGCACATTATGCCCGCGATACCCTCGTCGCTGACCGTAGGGACATCACGAAACTCGAGGTTGATGGTTTCTATGGTCGGGAGCTCGAACAGGGCTTCGATGAGCTCGATCAGAGACAGCTGCTCCTGTTCGACCCATTCCTCACAGGTCTTCAATGAGAAGGCAGAGAGAGTGGCGGGTAAATTGCGAGCGTTGGACGCGACAATATTCCGGACCTCCTCAAATGACGCGCGACCACAGATCTCCAAAGAGAACGCCTCAAGACGAGGGGGGCGATATCGGAATAGGAGGTCTTGTTCGCCGGGGAATCCGCGGAGGGTGAGCTGCCTCAGAGCTAGGAAGGCGTCTGAGATGATAGGCGCAGCGTAAGTCTCCTCTCCGGACTTTTCATCGTCCATATCCTCGTCATTCTCGTGTTCCTCGTCTCCGACGTCTTCTTCGTCTCCATCTAATCCCTCATCATGATCCTCTCCTTCAGCATCTCCGTCAGAATCGTCACGGTCTGGCCGTTGTTCGGATGGTGGAAGCATGACCATCACGGACAGTGACTCCAGGTGTGGTAGGGCTGCGAGTACGTCGAGCTCGGGACGCCGGATGTACGTATTGGTCAGCGAGAGCGATCGCAGATCCCGCAAGTGCCAGAAGATGTCCACCAAAATCGGGGACCCAGCGTCCATCTTGCTCTTGACGTGGAACGTCTTAAGCCCAGGGACCGTTAGGGCAATCTTCCGGATGAGTATTGCCCCGACGTGCGCGTCCTCGGGCTCCGCACCGTCGACGAGCGTAACCCAGAGGTGGCGCAGCGATGGAGAGAGAAAGAGTGTCGTACATGGACTGTGCGCGCAGATCGGCAGCACGCGAAACGTCTCCACGTTCGGCAGGAGCGGTTCTCCGCGGCACCATGGTGTGAGGAGCACCCAAGTGTACGGGTGGATCCACTCCCAGTAAAGCTGGTTCACGACCTTCACCAGGAGTGTGTACCGTCGGAAACGCGCCCAGATGTCTGGTGTGATGTCTCCGCTAATAATCTGCCATGCTTGTTCAATCGGTCAGCGAGCATTGGACACGTCAAGACACACGCACGAGTGCTTCGTCGTAGCCTTTCCCGCCAATGTCCTCCCACCCCGGGAGTATGCGGAGCAGGTCGCTGATGTTGTTCACTCGACGCCACAGAACAGCAAGGGCGGGGTCGGATAGCGTTTTGCAGGCGCGAGCGGCGGCGTTCAGCGCATGTATACAGTTGTAGTACTCCCGAGTTCTCCAGTCGTTTGGAAGGCCCTCTTCGTGGTCGAAGTCAGGGGGTGTCAGGTGGTCGAAAATGAGGGATAAGAGCTCCCGTGAAGCCAAGACGTCATGACAGAACATTTTGGCATCAAATAGTATCTTCGCTGTCCTAGTACGAGCATGACCAAAAGATTGTGGTTTTTGCTGTGAGCGTAGTTCAAATGCCATACATCCTCCCTAGTCAACTCACAGGGAGTACTGGTGCTTTTGGATACGAGTAACTCTGTTCCGAGGCGAGGTTATGTTGACGGTGTCGAGCACAGATGTGGCCGTTCAGGCTGCACAAGCCTGCGCAGTGGCCTGTAAGCGCCCATTTCTTAAGCGCTTGATTGTAAACGAGTCGATCCTCCTCCTCCGCCCTCAGCGTACCCGCAGACAAAGTTTCCAAATCAGTAGCTGTGAAAACCTATATATCAGAAGGCTAGTACTTGCTCACTTTCTATATAAAATTGACGCGTATTGACGCGCGTATCGACTCTCAATTGATCACAGGTTTCCTATTAACCAGTTCCTGCCAGTGCCAGTGGTGGCAGGCTGCAACGGCTGTAGCGCCGCACTGTTGCTGAACGCCGAGCCTCCGACGTAATCAGCCAACGGCGAGACCCCAATTCTTATGCGTGGCAGCAGCTACGCGACGATGGCGGCCGCACACGCGGTGTGGTCCTGCCGGGAGCTCGTCGACGAGATCCTCAACCACCTAGCACCATTGACGAAGGAAGACATCAAGCAGACCGCGAAAGGTTTCCAATCTCGTCTGAGATTGTCTCGGTCTCAATGCATGAAAACGCTCGCCCGCCTCTGCCGGACTTGCAAGACCTTGTCGGAGCCGGCCACAGCGGTGCTCTGGAGACGGCTCAACAAACTCGATCCGTTCATGCGCCTCTTCTCACAGGTGCAAAAGCAAATGGACGCTGGGAGAAGGTCCGAAAAGTTTGTACGTGATTGTAGACGTGCCTCTCGCGCTTCACGGCCCGTCCACGATTTCCGACGCTCTTCTCGCCCACTACAGGTCCTGCACGAAGCGATTCCGGACGCCGAGTGGGCACGGTTTCAACACTATGCGCAGCACTTGCGGGAGCTATACGATGGCGGAGACCCGCGTCGTCATATCTACCCTCGGGCCACCTGGACTCAGCTGGGTGCCAGAGCCGACGGGCGGCCTCTTTTCCCGCGACTGCGATGCCTGTGGTCTCTTCAAGTGGACTCGGCAGGAATTCTCGAGCTTCCGCTGCTCTCTCCATCCGTCCGCAACCTTTCCGTCGTCATCCAGGACCACACCGTGCACCACGAGCCTGAGCTCATACAACGTGCACTGCAAACGGTCCGCCAGACGGTCCTGCACCTCGAGCATCTCAGCCTGAAGTGCGACGAGGGGAACGCCTTCAGAGGGCTCTCCACCGCCGCAAGCTCTTTCCTCACGTTCAAGGATGTACGGAGCCTCGTCCTGGACGGGAACCTCACCGTCGACCGCGCCATCTTCGCGGGATTCTGCCAGTTCACAGCCCTGGAGCACCTCTCTGTCACTCTGTACATCACCGATGGGGAACGTGGCCCGCTCGACTTCGGTAGCTTTCCTTCGCTCCGGAAAGCCTGCATACGCGGTCCCCCCGACGATCTTGCGCGGTTTTTCGCCGGGGTGTCGCTTCCCGCACTCCGGAAGCTCTCGCTCGACTTCTCGACGGACCCGGCTGAGGCCGTCCTCCTCGCGTCCGTGGCGTCCATATTTGACGCAGTCCCGAGCGGCATCACACATCTCGAGATCAAGCGGCTGCGCCGCGCACGCTGGTTTGTGCCGCGCTCGGACGAAGAGCGGAGGCCTCGTCCCCACACACTCATGCCCATCATCAAGCCGGCCATGCGGCTGCGCGCGCTGGCGCGCGTCTCGATCGACTTCACGTTCGTCCCGTCCGTCACCGACGCGGACATCGCGCGCATGCTCGAGGCCTGGCCGGCGCTCACGGAGCTCGCCATCCACTATGGCGGCCGCGGCGACGACGACTTTGAGCTGGGGCGCCCGACCGCCGCCACCCTGCTCGCCGTGGCCACGCGCAGTCCCAAGCTCGTGTCGCTCACGCTCCCAGACACGGACCTGCGCAACGCGGGCAGCGTGTTGCCCGCGCTGCCGTTCCCCGAGCACGGCCTCGAGACGCTCTTTTTGGGCTCGGGCATCAGAATCAAGCGGGACGAGCAGTTCCTCCGTGCGGCGCTGCTCATCGACCGCCTGTTTCCGTACCTGCGGCTCCCGGAGGACCCGATGGTGTACTCGGAGCACTACGGAGAGCTGGAAAGGTACCTGAAGGCGATGCAGGCGGGGCGCGTGCATGCTGCGTTCGCTGACGAGCTGGAGCCCGGCTCGTGCGTGGAGATGTACCACCTCACACCAAAACACACGTACACTATCCATGTGAGTGTCTTTTGTTTGTTTCGGTGGCGAGAGGAGAGAGAGCGCTGATCTGCACTAGGAACGAGTGGGCGACGGAGTTATTAGAGAGACGGAGCCTTACTCTCGGAACAGCACGCCCGATGAGAGCATATGGGGTACGTCACTTCTGTGCATACCACGGACTTGAATCAGGCTCACGCTACCGTTGTGTGTCGTTTCAGACTGGTGAGATGCCGTGCCGGCACCAAATGATAGAGTTGCAACGGCCACATCCCCCCGGACGTGGGCTGCCTGCAGTGCATTCGTCTAGTACGACCCAGGATATCGCATTCGAAACCTTTCCTGTTAGCTGTCCTACGGCGCTCAGAAAAAAGTTTCTCTATCACTGCCGATGGAATGTCCGTGCAGAACATTATTGGCGTCGCAACTCACCTGGTTACCCGCCATTGGTGCTCGGACACGAGACTCGTAGGGCACGGGCCGCTGATGATATGATCAAAAGGGTTCAGAAGGGTCGTATACATATGTTATTAGTCATGCCTCGCCCCCGTCGTCCACGTCGCCCTCTCAAGATATCTCCGTAGCGCGCCAGAGCTTCATTCTGCAAACAGCCCGAGGGCGCATGCAGTGATGCACCCGCCAAGGCCTGCACTCTAAGATGCATATGACGATCCCCCCGGTTCACTTCCATCTTCGACCGTGGGTCCAGGCCCCAAGCCCAGCAGGGAGGTACTCCGTTCCCTGAGCATTCTGTCGTGCTTGCGGCCGCTTCGTATAGCCTTCAAGAACTGCTGCACCAACCGACTGGAAGTGGGCCCAGGGTGTCGCTGATACGTATTCTGCACGTTGTCGGAGATGTAAACGTCGACGAGGCGAGGGAACATCTGGTCGAGCGTGATTGCGAAACGCACGGCCTGCTCGTCGTTCCCGGCGTCGAAGGCCAGCAGCTTCAAGCAAATGTGCTCTAACGGATGGTTCAAGACCGGGACGGACGCATCGGGCGGCAGCGACCGGGCATCGAGGCCGCACAGGCTCAAACTGTACAGCTCCGGGCACCGTTGCGCAAACGCGACCAGCGCGCACACCGTGGGTCTGGCCGTGCGAGCCGCGGCAGTGTGTGGCAGGTCTATTCGCATGGACTGGAGCTTTGGCCAGGCCTCGGCGAGCAGAGACAGCCCAAGGTCCGTCGTCTGCAGCATGGGATCTTCGTGTGTGAGCCCGAAGTGCAGTAGGTTCCTGAAGGACAGGAGGGGGTTTATATAGTCGTGGAGCTCGAACCCGGAATCGGCTGTAGGCGATGTGACGGAGATGCTTGCGAGCGTGACGCTGACCAGCGACTGTGGGAGATGTTGACAGAGTTCGGAGAGGAGCGCGCCGGGGGTTGCGATCGTGATAGGGACTGTGCCGAGGTTGAGCGCAAGCTCCTCGAGTGATGCTGGGCGCATACAAGACATCATCCTGACTATGTCTCGCGCTCGACCACCCAAGTTGAGGGTGCGTAGTTTTTGGAAGGCCGCCAAGGGGTCGAGACCATCGGGGAGTGTGGCGTATTCCGCATCCGAAAAATGTATGGAGAGCGATAGATGTGATAGCGACTTGATGGTGGACAGTCCGAGAACGAGAGAGAGACCGACGACGAAATCGCCGCCTGTAAAGGACGTCAACCTCTCGAAGCGGTTTATGTCAAGCATGTACCCCGAGTGGCGCATGGCCAGGGACGCCGGGGCACTCCAATGGAGTGTAGTGAGACGGGGCGCAATGTCAGAGAGGGCTTTGAACAGAAGCCCTGATGCATTGCCGACCACTGGGAGAGGGGTAGAGAAAGTAGTGTGTGCCAGGGGTGCCTCAAAGGATATGGATGCTGCACAAAGACCAGGAGAGAGGAATTGGACCATGGCGCTGACGTGCTCGGTGGTAAGTTCCATAGTTGAGATGACCCTGAGGTTCGGGAGGATGGGTCGGCTATGGTAGTGTCGGGCGAGCAGCGTCCAGATTAAAGGATCGACGCGCGGTAGCTCAAACCGCAACCCACGGACCCGGAGAGCATACGTCTGAAAGCGTGCCCATTCCGCGGTGGTGATCTCCCGGGCTAATGCCTACCATATCAAGCGTATCAATTATGATATCTGGTGTCTTGAAAGTACAGAAGACGCACCCATGTGTAGCCTTCTATGAGGTAGAACGGCGGCAAGACCCTGAGCAATGGGAGAGTTGTGTCGAGGGTCCTCCACAAGACGTCGAGCGCGTGCTCAGAGAAACGGCGAGAGACTCGCGCGCACGATGCTAGGTCTACCCTTTTCGCGTTCCGCACAAGGGCGTCTCTCTCGCGTTCCTCGTCTGAGACCCATCCAATCTGGAACACCTCGTGTATCGCTCTGAGCAACTCCGGTGTTCCAAGGACGCGCTCGGCAGCAGAATGAAGGCCCGTCTCCGAGTCTGAGGGAGCACCTAGGGCGCTGTCTGGATGACCTCTGTTCACACCAGGACTGGCCATCGTTGGCTGTGTGGAGATGGTAGGAGGAGAAGGGCGGCGCAAGCGACGTCAGACCCCCATGAGTTAAGAGCAACAGAACGTAGTCGCCCACGGGTGCCTTGAACGCTGAACCGAACTACAAATGCATCCGCGCGCCCAGGTGGGAAAGTTCGTGTGAGCGACTAGGCTATATAATCGTTTGAAGAAGCGGAAGTACCATAGTAAGAACTTCGAATCCTATCCCCAATGTTTCGTATTGCAAACTATGGCTATTGTCATACAGAAGCTGGCACAGTCCCGTCTCTTATAAGTGAAGTCAGTTCTGATGCGCCTGAATCCAAAGCTTAATCATACACACCATGACTCCGGTGGGCGACGTTGGCGTTAAGATGTCGCGAGCTGCTCGGCGAGCAGATGGGCATCTTCGGGACCCTTGTGTTCACGCCGCGCCTGTATCGTACCCACGAGTTTGCGCGTTGGACGCGAGAGGAGGTACGCGACTGTCACATTGCACGTGATCACGCATCACATCGCGCATATAGTCGCGCACGACTCCGAGTGCTCCGACTTTCTGTCTGTCCGCCTTCTCGCTCGCTCGTGTCGCTCCTCCGGACACGCTTCCACTACCTCTGCAGCTGGAAATCGGAAAACTATGGCGCATACACGAGCTTCCGACCGTATGCTATCGATACCACATCTATGGGAGGAGGTCTTCATCCACCTCGCACCGCAAACCTGCTGCAATCCCGGCGCAAACCAAATATCCGGTCGCGAGAAACCTCCGAGCAACAGCAGCTATGCGGCCAAGGAAGGACAGCGTGCTTTGGCACGATCAGCGCGCGTGTGCAAGGCGTTCGCGGAGCCTGCGCTGGATGTCTTGTGGCGAGAGTTGGACGACTTGCTTGTCTTGTTGCGTATTCTACCCCCGTTCCAGCCGTATACGTCCCGTTACTTTGTAAGCGCCGATTTATCACGATCTTGCCTTGTTATCTCGCTGATTCGGCTGTACCTGTCCAGAGCATTCTGGAGGAGGTTACGCCCGCTCAGTGGCTTCGGTTTCAATCTTACGCCAGACGTGTGCGCGTCCTTTCTGGCAAGGCCTTCAAGAGCGCCATGTACCAAGTGGACAAAATGGTCTGGACGGCTCTCGAGCGACTTTGTAAAGACCAGCCCCTACTGCCCAACCTCCAGATCCTCTCCTCGCCGGATCTCAAAAACGAGTACCTCACTCTGTTAACGCTTCTAGCGCCATCTCTGCACAGTCTTGTGCTCTCGTTTCCAGAATCAGAGATCGATCACGACGCCGTCTATGCTCGTACACGACCATCCACTCGAGGCGTCTTCCTACAGCTCTTGATCCCTCGCTGCCAGCGCCTGACGGAGCTCTCCATAGACTCTGGGCTGAAAAACTTACCAGCGAAGTTTATAACCTCGTTCACTCGCTTGGACAAACTTGTGCAACTCAACTTGGTCTACTCCGGAGCTGTGGCCGACTACCCCACGCTCCAGAGCATCTCTCAGATGACCGCGCTCCGCGACCTTACGCTGGAGATATCTCTCGACCGCAGCGTCAAATCGGCAAAGCTCCCTCCGCTTGGTGGAGCGTTCCTCGATCTGGAGAAGCTACAGCTCTCTGGCAACATCGCCGACCTGCACAGGGTGTTCGAGGCGTGCGAGTGCCCGCAGCTCTCCGAGCTCGCTCTCTCCATATCTGGGAAAACGACGGTCGATACCCTCCAGGATGGTCTCGACATGGTCTGCAGCAGGGTCTCGACGTCGGTGACCGAACTCAGCTTGTTCGTGTCCGCGAAGATCTCTTCTCCGAAAAAGCGAACCGACGAAACCAGCCTCTTCGATCGCTCGCCGATCACCTGGCAACCGGCGCCGCTAGTCGACATACTCCGGCCGTTCCTGGCATTCCACGAACTCGACAGCGTAAGCGTTGAGTTTGATCACTACGCCCCGCGCATGAACGATGAGGACGCACGCGCCTTCTCGCACGCCTGGCCGGCCCTCACGTTATTCCACCTGCGCTTCGACCGCTCCTCGCTCAATGTTCTGCCAGGGAATTCCAACATCATCACGATCGGTGGGCTAGGAGAGTTCGCGCAGGGATGTCCTCAACTAGAGGTCCTCAATCTCCCAGTGCTGGACATCCGGCCCACTCCTTTGCTAGGCACAGCACCGGGGCAGAAGGCTCTGTACTCTTTGAGTATCCACGAATTCCTGGGCGGCCGGGAAGCGAACCTGCTCGACGTCGCTGTGGCGCTTGACCTCCTGTTTCCCTCTCTGGGGAAACGTCCGGATGTGACCATGGACGGCAGCATCGTGCCGGACGTCATCAATGCAGACAGCCGCTGCCAGCCTGCACGCGTTGTGATGCTGCTGGTTGGCGCGATGTGGGCGCGTCGGGAGCATGAGCAGAGGAATCTTGCTATAGCAGATGGCGATGATTTTAGCTGGTGTGAGGTGCGCTTGAACAATTGGATTATGAAGTACGTGCAGGTACTGATGCCGCTCACAGGAGATTAGCGAAGACGACGCGGATGACGCGAGTGAATAATGACTAGGTGTAGTGAGATTGTTTCCCCATAATGACTGCGTATACGCAGTACGGTCGATACTGGCATTAAATCAAGAAAACGTCTTCCGCGACTCCTCTGATTCGGTTGCTGCATATTGGCAACATTCGCCGTCGGCGGCCGTCCGACTCGGAAGGCTGGCAACGGTCACGCACGGGACACGGGTAGAGGCGATGTGACGACGGAGTATGTTCGAACTCCAGGAATTCATGCTCGCGCCACTCGCAGCCATTATCTTGCATTCCAGCTTTCGGCAAGATAACTCAACAAATAATTGTCAGGTACGTACACAAGAACCCACTTTGTGTGGCAGTGGGATTTTTCGTTGACTCCGCTTTCTACATACCGCCTCTTCCCCTATCTCCGGCTCTCTGAAGACCCGACGAGCAACTCAAAGCCCTATAGGGAATTGGAGAAGTATCTGATGGCGATGCAGGCCAGACGTGTGCACGACGTTTTGCGACCAGCTTGAGCCCGGTGCGAGCGTGCAGACGTATCACCTCGGGGCGTATTCTGTTGAATACACTGTCTATGTGAGTACTCATACCACTTCCTGTGAGCATGAGATAGCTGATTCGGACCAGGAATGCCCGGACGACGGGGGTGTTAGAATGGAAGACCCCGAGTCTCGGGAGAGCACGCCTGATGGTAGTACATGGGGTGCGTTGTTTCGACGTATCTTGTATATCTATGGCTTGAGCTAAGCTCACCCTGTCGTTATGCAGAATTATAGATTGATGAGGCTAAGATCGCCAGGCCAGGTTTGCTCATCTTCCGACAGTCGACTACACCATCTTATAATTCATCGTCTGCTCTGAACGCGAGTCGATAATATATGCGTACTTTCACTTCTTAGAATTGTAGCTCTATGTCGTTTAGACAGAAGGCCCTACGGATCCGGGATCGCCTATAACATGCCCAAGCAGATATAGGAGATTCGCACATCATCGCTGTGAGTTATGCATCGCCCCCGTCATCCATGTCGCTCGTGATGAGGCCCTTCGAAATCGGAACAAGTTAGCACACGGGCTGGTCGAAGCGAAGCCATTGGAACATACCTCACTCGCATTGACATCTCCGTAATCCACCAGGACCTCGTTCCTCTCATGCTCCCGGCGCGCCCACATTGCACCCACCAGCAGCATCACCGCATGCGTAGCCCTGGCGGACTGTCTATCCGGGTTATGCATGATGCCCCGGAAACTCTCCATCATGTTCACCTCGTGACAGCGCCCCATCGAAGGGAACAGCACGTCAAATATAATCGCGACCTCCAGCAAATTCGCCCCCTCACCACCCAAGAAGTCGGCAATGGACAAGGAGCGCAATGCAGCCTGTCCGCCTGCGGGTATCGTCCGGCGCGAGGGAAGACTCCGGATGTCGAGCATAGGCAGACTGAGGACGGCCAGGCGGGAGCATCCGAGCGCGAATGTGACCAGGCCGGCGATCGTGACGACGCGGGTCGAGTCCAGGATATAGCCCACTTTGAAGCGGAGGTGAAGGTGCATGAGGCCGGGCCAGGCGTGGGCGAAGGCGCGCGCATCCTCGTCGTCCATCCTCGCGTCGTCCAGTTCGACCCTGAGGGTGCGCAGCTGGTGGAACTCGAGGAACGGGCGCAGAAGCTCCGAGAGAGCGATTACGACGGGCGGTTTGTACATTAATGCGCGCGATTGGCGGGCGGCCCAGTCCTCGTCGGGCGGCGTCGTCGACTCCCTGTGGATCTTCGCAGAGACGATCAGGGTAGTTCCGGTCAAGGATGAGGGGACCCGGTTGCAGATCACCGCGAGTCCATCATGGAGTGCTTCGGCCGTGCTTCGTCCAGATATAGAGAGCTCAAGCTCGGAGAGCTGCGGGCATTCATGCAACTCGAAGACCCTAGACAGATCGGCGATGTTTCCTGACAGATGCAACCTGTGCAAATCAAGGAACGCGCTGCCAAGCGGGGGTGAGAGTGAGGTGGAGGGGGGCCAATTGTCGAAGTTGATTCGAAGTGCGAGCTTTCGGAGGGTGGACATCTGGCAGAGGTTGTGTAATGTATCATAGTCAACAACAGCGCCCGAATGCACCAAGTCAAGATTATGTAGGCTATCCAGACGAGTGAGAGAGGCGAGAAAGTTTAGGGGCATGGATTTCAGGCCGGAGCTAATGGAGAGCCCTGTAAGGTGCTGACACCGAGCGACCAAGAGCTGTAAGAAGACTCCTCGAGTTGACGGCCGTGTACGGGTGAAGATAGGGTCACGGTCGGGGTCAACATCGGACTCGGATTCGGCAGGAAACGAGAGCGAGAGGGTATTCAGCGAAGGCGATAACAAGGTCAAAGGAGTCAGGTGGTCGCGACTGATGTTGTGTGCGGAGAGGTCTCGGAGGTGCGGCAGGAGGGGTTGCCCGTCGCAAAGTCTCTCGAGGACCGTCCACGCCATTTTGTCAACTGCGCCCGCTACGCTCTCGAAATCGGGCTTATGGATGGCACGGACCCGCCGTGCGTAAGACTGGAACCGAATCCACTGGGTGGGAGAAATGTCCTCGAGAATACTCTGATAGCCAGAGGGGTGTCAGTAAGGAAGAGAAGATCGTATGTTCACTAATAAGCAATGACTCACGAAGTAGTGGGCCGTGTACGGCTGAAAGGGAGGAAGGATGCGCAGCAGGACGAGCAAGTCGTCTAGTTCCCGCCATAGAACGTCCAGAGCAGGATCCGCGAACACCTTGCACACGCGCGCTGACCGGGCCAGGGCACAATGTCCATCCTTCTCCGTGCGCCTACTGTTGCTTAAGCTCACGCGGCTTCCAAATACGTGACCGACACCGGAATCACGACGGGTTTCCGGTGCGAGGTGATTGAAGACCTCCTCCAATAGGTGTGGGATCTGAAGCATGCGGTGTGTAGCAGGGGTAGTATGGGCCATCATTTCTGGGAGTTACAAGCTTGAGAGGGGATATGTGAGAGAATTGTAGCAAATTCGAAGGGGAGCGACGCCTGGTTTTGGATGAGAGGGGTGGAGGGAGGAGGCATAGCAAGGCTCACTCGCATTACGCGTCGACACGTACAACTTGCTCACGCGTTCAAGCACGGAAGTTGAGCAGCTTAATCCGGCCAGAGCCTGATAAGGTCGAGGGTCACCCAAGGGTCACCTTCAAACCATCGCGCCAGAGCACACTCATGATCGCTAGCCGCCCCCTGAACAAAATCAAAGACATTATTCTTGAAAAGAGCACCGTGATCATAAGACGTTATACAGCGACACTCTGCGGAGAGTCATCAAATTTTTCATACAATTTAGACAATATGCAAATAGATTAGCAGCGCACCCGAACTCACCAAGGATTCCCATGCTCCCTCCCAATGCTAACCACGGGCCTAGGCACCGCGCCTGTCGTTGCAGTGCTACGTTCCCTCCTCATCTGGTCGTGGTTGCGGGAAGTTTGTATCGCCCCCAATATTTGCTTCACGGGCATGCTGAATGGGGTTTGTTGAGGCTGATAGGGGCCATCCGGCACGTCGTCGGAGAGGTCAGCCTCGGCGAGACGAGGAAACAGCCGGTCGAGTATAGTGGCGAATCGCAAGGCCTGGTCGTCGCCGGTATCGCGGGCTATGAACCCCGCGTATATGTACTCCAGCGGATGGTCCGACACCAGTGGCACAGACGCATCTGGAGGCAGCGAGCGCGCATCGAGGCCGGATAGGCTCACGCTTGACAGGTGCGGGCAGCGCTGCGCGAGCGCAACGAGCGCACGCACAGTTGGCCGGACGCTGGTAACGACAGGCTCGGGCAGGTCGATCCGCAGGGACTGCAGTTTCGGCCACGCGTCGGCGAGGAGCGAGAGCCCGTGGTCCGTGACCCTCAGCATAGGGTCGTCGTGTATGAACTCGACGTGCATGAGGTTCTTGAAGGACAGGAGAGGCCATAAGTGATCGGGGAGCTCCGGTCCGGCAGATGCGGGCGAGATAATGGAGACAATGGAGAGAGTGAAGGTGTGCAGCGTTTGCTGTAGGTGCTGGCAGACCTCCGAGAGGAAGGCGGGTAGGGTGGAGATCAGGATGGGCACGGCAGTGATATCGAGTGTAAGTTCTTCGAGCGCTACTGGACGCATGCATGACACCGACCGGGCTACGTCCCGTGCCGATCCATTCAAACTGAGTGTGCGTAGTCCTTGGAACACCGCCAAGGGATCGAGACCAAGGGCGAGCCCTCCGTAGTCTGTGTCTGAGAATTTCACGGTGATAGATAGGTGGGTGAGCGACCATATTGTAGATAGTGCGAGAATGAGAGGTCGGTCGGCAACGACGTCACCGGCGGTTAGGGATTTCAGGTTTTGAAGGCGACCGATGCTACGCATATACACCATGGGGCTTTCGGCGAAGGGACCGCTCCAAGAAAGCGTGGTGATGCCGGGGGATATATCGCAGAGGTTATTGAAGAGCAACCCCGCAGCGTTCAAAGCCAATCCTGCGACATCTCGGACGGGAAACCAACTATCCAGTTGGTAAAAAGAGATGTATGCCGCACGAATGCGAGGAGAGATGAATAGGATTATGGCGTTGACTCGTTCGGCTGGGATCCCCGCGGGAGACTCGATGACTTGAAGATTGGGCAGAACGGGTCGGTCTTGATTTTTTCGTGCCAGAAGCGTCCAAACAAAGGGGTCCACGAACGATGCTTCAAACCGCAGTTCGCGAACACGGTGTGTGTAGCGCTTGTGGAAACGCGCCCATTCCGTAGCAGTGATGTCCCTAGTAAATGCCTACTCCAGCAACCGTGTTAAGACTAACACCTGCCGCCTAAAGCACACGAAAGACGCACCCATGTCTTCCCTATGAGACGAAATGACGGAAAAGTCCGTAGCAACGGAAGTGTGCTCTCGAGGGTTCTCCACAGGACGTCGAGCGCATGCTCAGAGAAACGGCGGGACACCCGCGCGCATGAGGCTAGGTCTGCCCTTTTCGCCTTCCGACCAAGTGCATCCCCTTCGCTTTCCTCCTCGGAGACGCTTCCAGCGTCGAATAGATCGAGCACCGTTCTCAGCAGCTCCGGTGTTCCAAGGACGCGCTCAGAAGCGGACTCGGAATAGAGGTTCATCTCCGAGTTGGAGGGATTATTTATGGCGTCTGGATGGTGTCTATTCGTACCGGGACTGGTCATCGTGGTCTGTGCGAGGATGGTTGGAGGAGGAGGATGAGGGGCGACGGGCAAGCCGTGCCCAACTCAACGATTTAAGAGCAAGAGACCCTCGACGCCCTTGGGAGCCTTGAACGCGGAGCCGAACTACGAACGCTCCCACGCGCCCAAGTGAGAAAGTGCATGTGAGCGAGTAAGCTATAGCATTACTTGGGGGAGCGGAACTGCCCTATCAAGACATTCGAATCCTATCCTGAGTGTCGTCGTACCGCCAAGTATGGATATCGCCATGCGCAAGTCCGTGCGGTCCCGTGTCCTGTCAAACCCGAGCCCTGCGTGCTGTCAGTTCTAATGCACGTGAGTTCAAAGCTTGATCATACACACCATGAGCGACGGTGGCGTTAAGATGTCGCGAGTCGCTCGGCGAGCAGATGGGCATCTTCGGGACCCTTGTGTTCACGCCGCGCCTGTATGGTACCCACGAGTTTGCGCGTCAGCTCCCACGCGTCCCTGTTCTTCTGCATCCCAAACACATCGTAGGTGTGGTATGTGGGCGCCTGCTGCGTCGGAAGCTGCACTTCGCGCGTGACCTGGAGAGACGGAAAGAGCAGGTCGAGAATGACAGCGAGGCAGAGCAGGTTAGCCCTGTCCCCTCCGCACAGTTCGTCGACAAACAGGTGCCGCAGCGTGGTGTGGCCGATCGCGGGGATCGAGTTTGGCGAGGGCAATGTGTAGACATTGACAGCCGGGAGGGTGAGGACCTCGAGGCGTGGGCAGTGTCGAGCGAATGCGAGCAGCCCGAGAACAGTGGGGTGGTATACTGGGACCATGTCAGGGGGGCCGACTTGTACGACCTTGGACATGTTGTGAGTTAGCGAGAAGGCCTCGAGTAGCGGCCAGGCGGTGGCGAACGCGCATAGGTCTTCGTCGGAGACGCTGGGGATGTACTTGGGGAGCCCAGCCTTGAAGGAGTTTAGTTGAGAGAAAGAGAGGAGGGGTTGAAAGAAGTGAAGGACGGATACGGTGGGCCGGGGGATAGCATCGTCGAGATGCAAGACGACGGAGCGGAGGGTTGGAGGAAGCTTCGAGCATATTGCGGCGATGCCGTCCCGCATTTCGTCTGCACTCGATGTGCCGGTCATCCCGACAAGAGACAGCTTGGTGAGGCTCTCCCACGACGTCGCCTTGAATACCTGCACCAGGTCTTCGAGATCTCCTTTGAAGCCTGCCTCGCGAACTCCGCGGAACGCATCGCCGAATACAAGCGGGGTGTCTTCATCCGCATCCGTCAGACAAAGCGCGAAATCGACGACGCGGAGGGCAGGCAGGCGGGAAATGAGTTGGAGAGTCGAGTTTTCCACCACAGCTCCCGAATGCTGAAGGTGAAGGATCCGGAGCTGAGAGAAACGCGCCACAGAGTCGAGATGGGAAGGTTCCAGGTCAAGCAGGCCGTCCGAGATTGTCAGAGATGAGAGCTTAGGCAATCTTGAAGAGATGAGTCCGAGGAGCATGCCCGCTGCACACTGGCCTTCCACCGTAACAGAGGGGTCCGGGTCGTATAGCCTATGGAACGACAGTTGGACCGTCTCGAGCGACGGCGACAAAAGGAACATGGCACCGTGCGGTGCTTGGCAGTCGATACTGATCGCGATCCGGCGAAGACGTGGGAACAAAGGCGAGCCTTTGCACAAGTCCTCCAGGACTAGCCACACCGAGGGGTGAGTTCTGCGAATATAGGCGGTGCTTCGGAGTTCACGAACGCGCTTAGCGCAACTGTAAATGCGCTCCCACTCTGTAGGTGTTATTGCTCGTTCGATCATCTAGAGGACGATTGAGTCTGAGCAACGGTGAGGTAAGACATGTGAACGTGGTGACTTACCGAGAGGTATTTGGAGTCGCGCACGTATGTCTCAAAGGAAGGCACCAGCTCTAGAAGAGTGGAGACGTCGTCGAGGGTGTGCCAAAGGACATCGAGAGCGGGGTCCAAGAAGGCCTTGCATACACGGGCGGAGGCTGCAAGGGTATCACGATGCAAATTTTGACGTTGACCGGGCCGAAGAAAGCCGGTTCTGGGGGGTAGCAATTCTGGGGAGAGGTGCCCGAAAATCTCCACCAGGAGATCTCTGCATTGGAGAACGCGTGTGGAAGGTGGCAATTTTGCCGACATATAGCTACGAGACAGGTAGCATTTAGTATACAGCTCGCAAATGCGGCACTGCGCAGCCACATATCTCGGACGAAGAAGAACTCACTGCCAGGTAGGATGTCTGTCGAGGGATGCTGAGGTGGTTGCCGTCGTAAGCTGCAGTGGCGTCCGGCTGGTGGCGGAGGGTGGCGCTTAGAGGTAGCACTGCCGCAGTGTAAATGCCGTAAATGGTAATATACGAACTTACAAGCATCATGCGACGAATATTCATCTAGTGCACCTCTTGTCTCCAAAATACCTCTGTATATCAAGGTAATCTTTGGGTGTATTATTCACTTACTTGAAGGAATATCTAGGCACTAGAAACACGCCCGATGCGCAGCAGCCGACTTGTCACTGTCGCGTCTGTCACGTCCCCGGTAACGCGCGCTGAGACGCGTGCGTGACCGCTCTGCATCTTGCGTCTCCCCCGCATATCCTTTCGAGTCGCAACAGGAAGAGTGGACTTCGACATGTCTGACTTGCGACTAGCGACGCCAAAGGACTTTCCAGCGTTTCCGTTCAAGCCCTACGATATCCAGCTTGAGCTGATGAGCCACGTCTACTCGTGCATCGAGAACGGGAAGGTCGCCATCACAGAAAGTCCCACGGGGACAGTGGGTCTTTCTCTCGCATTATGTACCCTTTCATGGCTGATTGAATCTCTTGGGGGTGATAGGGAAAGACGCTCAGTCTTCTATGTGCGTCCCTCACGTGGCTAAGAGACGAGCAAGAGAGAGCCCGCAAGGGAAAGCTTGCTATGAACACGGACAACGATGACGGTACGTGAAGACACCAATGAACGGTACGTAGAGCATAGAGCGACTTACCGTCACTGTCAGCTTTGGACTGGGTGGTGGCACAGACTATCGAACGCCGTCGGCGAGAACTCGAGGCGGAAGACCTCGAATACGCATCTCGTCTCGCTGCGGCGCGTAAACGAGAGGCGCAACTCCGCAAACTGACGCGCGGCCACGTTCGGAAGAAACCAGTAAGTGGGGGGACTGTATCAACTTCGCGTCGCTCATGCCGTAGTATCGCAGAGACTGGCAGCAGATGCGGTCAGCGACGATGCAGCCCATGGGCAGCTTGATGATGATGATACCTTCCTGCCCGACGAATCCGAAGAAGGGGGCGACGCATGTAATCTATCTCCTGCCGTTCTTGCTCTCATGAGAAAGTAACGCGCTCCTCCTATGCTCCGTTCATGCCGCTTATCTACCAACACCCATTGCAGGCTGCAAGGAGGGCCCGGGACGAAACAAGAGGACGATAAGGAGCCGACATGCACGAAGATTTACTACGCCTCGCGGACGCACTCTCAACTCGCCCAGGCGTTGCACGAGTTGGAAAAGCTGAAACTGAAGCTCAACGTCGCGGTGTCGAGCATACAGCAAGTTCACCAAAAGCTCGCCACCGCGAAGCGCTCAGCATCTGCTGTCGAAGAACATGACGCTTCAACTGAAGATGAAGAGGGGTCTGGCGCGCGAGCGGTGTCCTTAGGATCTCGGAAGCAGCTGTGTATACATGAACGTCTGCGGGAGAAGGCGAGCGACCTTGACGAGGCATGCCGACAAATGCTCGGTGGTAAGCACTTCAATTTGCTTTCGTTCGGTGTATGTTGATCGTACTTGCAGAGAAGGGCAAGAAACGGTGTCCGCATCTACCAACAGTAGAGGAGGAAACAAAGATGCTCGACCTGCGAGATCAAATCTTGGTGCGTCTTCCAGCACCATGGACAATGTAGTGAGGTGTTGACGTGGTAGCAGGCTGTCCCAAAGGACATCGAGGACCTATTTCTCACTGGACAGGCCGCAGATACATGTCCATATTTCGGCGCGCGAAAGGCCATCCCTCAGGCGCAGGTGAGCGCGTTGCAAGCGATACAGCTACTGCTCTAGACTCACCCTACTCAGCTCGTGCTACTACCGTACAATCTTCTTCTGCAACGCACAGCGCGGGAAGCTCTCGGCATTGATCTTACTGGACAGGTCGTGATCATCGACGAGGCTCACAGTACGAATGCACTGCCCCTTACTCTGCCTTTGCAACCTGCTCATTTGTCTCTGTACAGACCTCACGTCTACCCTACTCTCCCTGTCCACTACGCGTCTTCCACTCCGCACCCTCGTTAACGCCCGCCACCAGCTGTCGATCTACCTCTCGCGCTTCCGCAACCGACTCTCCACCACGCACGCGCTGCACCTCAAGCGCCTGATGAACCTCCTGGACGCCCTCGTCCAATACGCGGAAGAGTGGCGCGACGCGCAGCTCAAGGTGGACAAAGGCAACGGCGCGGCAGGAAAGGCGCGCGCCTCTGAGGTCGAGGTTATGACGAGTGCGGAGCTTTTGCAGCGGCTGGGGCGCAAGGCGGAGGGCGTTAATCTTCTGGAAGTCGAGAAGTACCTCCGGGAGAGCAAGGTGCGTGTATGGGTTCCTTGCGTATTACCTTTGGCTCACTGTGTCCGCGCGATACCATGTGGTCAGATTGCGAGGAAGATATCAGGGTACTCGGTCAAGACGCTTGAGAAGGCGGCGGGTCAAGGTAAGCGATGTCGCCCCTAGCGCGCGCTGCTAAATCACTGACACAGTGGCAGACATAGCCAAACTCGCTAAACTCGCTCGCTTGGCGAGCACAACTCCGCCGTTACATGCGGTCGAGAGTTTCATCACCGCGCTCTCTGCGTCTAGTGACGGTGCGTCGCCTATGCTTTTGAATATGTCGTGCGCGCTGACATAGTATCATGCTGTCCCATTGTATGCGGAACGTGCAGATGGACGCGTCACCCTGTCGATGGTAGACGGGCAGGTCGAGATCAAGTACCAGCACCTTAACCCAGCGACGTACTTCCAGGAAGTAATCGACTCTGCCCGAGCGGTGATCCTTGCCGGCGGGACCATGTCTCCAGTGCGTAACTACGGTTATGTATCGTACCCGCTGTGTTGACAGTCAGCTCTACCAAGATTGACGATGTCGTGCACCAACTCTTCTCCGCACTACCCGCAGATCGGCTGTCAACGTTCTCGTGCGGCCACATCATTCCGCCGGAGAACCTGCAGACGCTGGTACTCAAGAAGGGACCACGCGGGGGCGAGCTGCAGTTCAAGTACCAGCAGCGAGGCGACGAGGGTCTCGTACGTCGAGCATATCTCGTTGTGCGGCAGATCATTGATTCTCGCATTCGCGCAGATCGCAGAGCTCGGCCAAATTCTCCTCAACTTCACGAACGTCGTTCCGGGCGGGATGGTGGTTTTCGTGCCCTCGTATGCATTTCTCAACACTGTCACAAAGCAATGGCAGGCGGGTGGCCTCCTGGAAAAGCTGAATGCCAAGAAAAAGGTAAGCCAGATCTCCTGTCTTTTTTGCAGCTTCACTGATGTGCCGACTTTGCCTGGTAGGTATTCTCTGAGCCCCAACAGAGCAACGAGGTCGAAGCAGTCCTGCGGGACTACTCCGCCCAAATACAAAGCGGCGACGACTCAGCGGGGGGCAAGAAGCGCGGCGCCCTTCTTTTCGCCGTTGTTGGGGCGAAGCTGTCTGAGGGCCTTAACTTCGCGGACGACCTTGCACGTGCGGTGGTCATCATCGGGCTCCCGTTCGCGAACCTCGGCTCACCCGAGCTGCGCGAGCGCATGAACTACGTAAACCGCCTAGAGCAGCGCCGACGCGCCGCTGCAGCTCCTTCAAGTCGCCCCGGCGGTGCCAAAGACGCGGGGACAGAGTTATACGAGAACATGTGCATGAACGCAGTTAACCAGAGTATTGGTGCGTCTGTTTCTTCCTGGGGGTTGGGATGCGCGACGTGAGGCTTACTGGGGTATTTGCTGCTGCAGGACGTGCGATTCGACATCGAGGAGACTGGGCCGCGTTGATCCTGGTAGACGGTCGGTATGCGTCGCCGCGCATCAGGAGCAAGTTGCCGAAGTGGATTGAGGCGGGGACGAAGGTCGCGGACGGGTTCGGGCAGGCGATGAAAGAGCTCGGGCGATTTTACCGCGAGAAGAAGGCGCAGCTCGTGTAGTAATCCTTGTTCCTAGGCTCATTCTACATGGGGTGTGGCAATTGCATTGGTTGAATGCGAAAGCAACTTCGCGGCTTCAGCGGTTGAGTGGCTGAGTAAATAAGCGCCGCACTCATGATGGTTCAATTCTGGGCGTCTCTGACTTGTAGCGTCTCGTACCTCTCGCTCGTACCACCAGCACCTCTACGACGGAGCTCCTCCGAAACCATTCACTACTGCATGATGATGCATGAGCCTGCTTTCGACCGTATGCTCCGAATCCCCCACATCATTGAGGAGATCTTCCTGCAATTTCTACCGGACTGGTCAGATGATGGCCCGCTTGTCTATGGAGTAGACCACGCCCAACGTACAAAGGCGCAACGCCAAATGTTGGCGCAACTGGCGCGCGTCTGCAAAAACTTCTCGCAACCCGCTTTGGACATCCTGTGGAAGAACCTTGACGAGTTTGGTTGCCTATTGCACGTCTTACCGTGGTATCGAATTGATGAATGGGGTCACCAGACACAGGTGAGTGTTTCTAATTCTCTATCTGAGCACATGTGTTCGTCTTACACCATCGCTCTTGCAGAATATCATCGACGAGATCACACCTTCCCAGTGGCAACGTTTCCAGCACTACGCGTATCGTGTTCGTGGCCTTAGGTGGACGGAGTCACCATCATTGTCCTCAGCTCATTGGATGGTTTGGGCACTACTCGCGCAGCAATCTGGTGGTCAGGCCCTGTTGCCCCATCTTCAAACTCTAGCAATCATAGGCCTTAAAACCAGCCATGCGCAAGCTCTCATGCTGCTGATCCCACCGTCTCTTCGTACGCTTAAGCTCTCGTTCGTGGGCTCCGAGTCGACGGTCATCACGTCATTGGAGGGTCCCAGCCGTCACAGTCCGTCTCCAGCGGGAATCCTCCTACGACTCATTACTCCACGACTCTCCTCTCTGTCTAACCTCTGTATACAGAGTGGACTTACGAGGGACTTTCCATCACGCTATCTCTCCTGCCTAACCCAGTTTAGCCGGTTGAAGGACCTTGACCTTCTATACTCTGGGATCATTATCGACGCCGAAACTCTCCAGCACATCTCGAATATGACCTCTCTCCGCGCTTTAAGCCTACAAATCTCGCTCGAAGAGTTGGGTGCCTCCGGCCCTCTCTCGCTTGGTGCGGCGCTCCTCGAACTCAAGGACCTGCATCTCTCTGGCAGCATCGACGACATACTCCGCGTTTTCGAAGCTGCGCAGTTCCCTAATGTGACTCACTTCTCTCTGTCCGTAAAACAGGTTGGGAGTATGGGTGCCCTCAAGGGCGCCCTCTGCGCCATATGCGGCAGGGTCTCGCGATGCGTCTCCGAGGCCTCGTTGTTCATCTACGCCCAGATCGTGTCTCCCACGGTCTCTCTCACGGACATCCTCCTGCCATATCTCTCCTTCCGCCACATGAGCACCTTCAGCATCGAATTCGATCACTATATTGTTCGCATGGACGACCAGGACGCGCTGACTCTCGCGAGCGCGTGGCCCTCTCTGACCTATTTCCGCCTCGGGTATCCGGTCTGGGCCCTTGCTCCTCCCCTGCCGCCAACCTTACCCAGTCAGCCGACTGTTGCTGGGCTCCTCGCGTTCGCGCAGCGGTGTCCGGAACTGTATATCCTCAGCCTGCCTCTCCTGGACATCCGAACTTTGCCCTCACCGCTCAGTATACCGGCGGCGGGACAGAAGGCCATGCGCCACCTGCAGATCAGCGAATATCTCGGGGGCGATATCGCGAACCTACTCGACCTGGCGGCCATCCTACACCGCCTGTTTCCGCAGTACCTCGCCGACGTGCGGTCGGTGACTATGCAAAACGATGTAGTGTCGTCTGTAATCGAGTGCGATGCGCGCTATCGTCCGGTGAGGATCACGGGGCTGCTGGTGGAGGCGATGCAGGCGCAGAGAAGACTGCTTGGTGGCAATGGTTCCAATGCGGGGGCCGTGAGCGAGTAGGTTTGCTGTGGGCGGTATTTCGAGAGAAGCGGCGACTAGGTATGTGCAGCTTATCACGTTGATGCCTGGTTTTGCTGATGCACCTTGTTTACTTTCTGAAGGAGGAGTTTGCCTCACAGAGGAGATTGTCGGCCCGGCTATGCACACACATGTATCGCTCCAAGTGGCCGCAATCCATGGTCATTTAAGCGTCTTCCGACTTCACTATGCTCTTCTTAGTCACCGTTCTCGGTGAACCCCACGCCACCCAGCTCGCAGTTTCCATCGTCCAAATTCGGCACACAATAGCCGATCGAACACTTATGGTATGCCGCGTGGCACGCAGATGGCTAAAGCTCGCCTATATATCAAGCTTCGAGTTCACAGGTGATTTGCCTACAAGCTCCCCGACTTCGTGCTTTACTACCTCCACTTCGCTATGCCTGACGCCACTGCTCTGCCTAGGAATACTCCAGTCGTAGTCAATGACGACCACGGCAGGCTTTCCAACGACCAGGAACTGTCGAAGGAGGCTGACGCGACGCGACATCCTGAGAGACTTCAGCTTGATTGCACGACTGTAAGATACTCTGCTGCTCCGAGTTATCCTACGAGTTCTCTCATGCTAATGATAACCTAGGGAACCTGGGAATTTATGTCCATCCCCGCGCTCTGGACGCCCACGAAAAGGCTCATTGTCGAGGACGAGCTCGAGTCCTTCTTCAACGTTCTCCTCTACCTCGCCGTTCGCTTCCTCCCCCACGACTGCGAGAGGGTGCCCGAGCTCGTGCGGATGTATTTTGAAGACTGCAGCTCCTTTAGCTCCCACCACCCTGGTCCCGGAACGTTCAAGATCCTCAGCATGACTGCCGGACGCATTCCTTTGGGGCTGCGGTCGTTAACTTTCACCGGAGCAGGCAGACATTCCCATCCCCTCAACTTCATCCTTTCGACCATTTTGGGATGGTTCCAAGCGTTCTACGACTCCATACCCGTCGAGAAGGAGCCGGTAGTATTCTCGACCTCGGAGCCGTTGCCAAATGCCTCGACGGCAGTCTACGAATTCGACGACGATGACGACGAGTTGCTTTTCCCAGGAAGATCCTCCAGAAGCCCATCGAAGCCATCCCCGGAATATCTGGAGTCTCTGCGCTCAGCGCGAGAGGCGATCGTGCAGAACATCCGCACCCATCAGAGCATGGTCACACTGTTCAAAATCGCCCTCAGTCACGAGGACCTCTGGCCGCTTTCCGACAAAATGCACGACCAGCTCTGTCGGAAGCCCGATCCAATGATGCCCACGCCCGTCAACGTTCCCAATGACTCCACGCGTGGCGATGGCCCGAGCAAATACTCGGACAGTGGTAAGTCGCGGAAGCACAAGCCTGCCAAGAAGGTTGACTCGGAGCGACCCGCCACTCAGGGAAAGCAAAAGCGTGCGAAGGAGGCGCCGAGAAATCCTACTCGGGGAAAGCAGATCAAGCGTGCGAAGAAGGCGCAGAGCAATCCCACTCGAAGGATGCTTCACAGGAGCTCCAAGCGGTAGCCAAACGGGCTTTCAAAGTGACTTGTCTCCAGCCTTGCGCTCACGCAAAGTGCTACTTGGAATCATATCATCCGAACCTCTCGCAAACTTTCTGCAGTGACCGGACCGAGGCGTGGAAGGCAGCCACCGACGAGTTGGGCCGACAAAGTGGGACAGGCAATGAAAGAGCTACGTGTTCGCTTTTACCCCCAGAACGCGCAGCCAGAGTAGTGCCATTTGTTGTAGGATATAAATACTTATGGCAAGCGACATCTTTCCATCGTTTTCATGAAAGCATCGTTTCACGAGATGGACTGCCGGTGGACAACTCAGTGTTGCATAAGACGCATACAAGCATCAAAAACGTCGCAGCTCGAATCAACCCCTTCCCTCTACTACACTTAACAACCCTGGCAACGAAACATGCCGCTTAACACCTTTGCACGCAGGGAACACCGATTGCGGAAACCTCTTCTCTTGCCGGAGAAATAAGCGCCATCCGCATCGCGTCTCTCTTCAACACCACCACCACCACCCAGTGCCTCCTTTTCTGTATTGCCATGGGTGGAGAATCGGCGCTGTCTGAGCCTTCCTTCAGCCGCATACTTCGAATTCCTCATATCATGGAGGAGATTTGTCTCCAACATCAACCATTTTGGTCACACGAAGGGGCAATCCATGAAATAGGCCAGGAGAAGAAGATAAAAACGCGACGCCAAGATCTAGCCAACATGGCTCGCGTTTGCAAGGCCTTCTCCTCGTCCGCTATTGACGTTCTCTGGAGAAATTTGGACGACTTCGAAGACCTGTTGCATGTTTTCCCGTTCTATCAAGACTGGGACGACCGCGTGAGTAGTCAGTTTTCCACCTACTTGACAGCTGAACTTACGCGTCGCATCATTCCAAAAGACTGTCTCCGAGATTCCACCTCATATGTGGGAGCGATTCCAGATGTATGCACGCCGTGTTCGTGGCCTCAGATGGACGTTCTTGCCATCTCTTTCGGTGACCCACAGGATGGTGTGGACGTTGCTCGAGTACCGATCTGGTGGCCAGCCGCTACTGCCCCGCCTTCAAACTCTCACGCTGTTGAATATCGACCCTCATTTTGTCCAGCCTCTGGTGCTACTCCTCACGCCATCTCTGCGCACGCTTGTCCTATCGTTTGGAGACTCCGAGGCCTCTGGGTGGGATGAAGTCGCGCCAATGGCAACACGTTCAAGCCGTAGCATACCTACTATCGCGGATCTTCTCCTGCGAATCACCGGCGACACACGACTCTCTCTTCTAACCAATCTCCGCATAGACCATGGTGGTCTTCCGGAAGATTTCCCACCGTCACACTTCGCCTCTCTTGCGCAGCTGAGCGGGCTGAAGACCCTTGACTTGCTCTACTCCGGGGTAGCTATCGACACGGCAACTCTCCAGCTACTCTCGAATATCCCTTCTATCCGTTCTCTGGACCTGGAGATCTCTCTCGACGAAATTACTTTCCGGGGCCCTCTCCAGCCTGGCGGGGCCGAACTCAATAAATTGCATCTGTGTGGCAGCATCGGCGATCTCAGACGTTTCTTCGATGCAGCCACTCTCCCCAACGTGGTCGACCTCGCACTCTCCGTGACCTCACTACCAAACATAGGCGCCCTCAAGGACGCGTTTGACCTCATATGCAGCAAAATCTCGCGCTCGGTCCACGAGCTTACTGTGTTTGTCAACCCTGTGATCCCTTCTCCTGCAGTCTCCCTCCTAGATATCCTCCGCCCATCCCTCTCCTTCCGCGACATGAACACCTTGAATGTCGAGTTCGACGAATATTTCCTCCTCATAGACGACCAGGACGCTCTCGCCTTCGCAAGCGCATGGCCCCTGCTTACCAGCTTCAGCTACCACTCGTACGCCGACATTCCGAAGAACCTTCCAACTCAGACTACCGTTGCCGGCCTGCTCACGTTCGCACAACGGTGTCCGGAGCTATGTGGCCTCGACCTGCCTCTCCTGGACGTCCGGGCCCCCTTGCCGCCCCCGCTCAGCATACCCGCGGTGGGGCAAAAGTTCATGCGCCACCTGCAGATCCCGGAGTTTATCGGAGGCGACACCGCGGACCTAGTCGACCTGGCGCTCATCCTAGACCGCCTGTTTTCCCACTACGAATGCGGGAGGCCGCTCGCCATGCAGGCCAAGGTGGTACCCTTTGTTCTCGATTGCGAGGCACGCCATCGCCCTGTGAGGATGACGGACCTACTGGTGGAGGCGATGCAGGCGCAACGAAGACTGCTTGAGGACGATGGTTCGCGCCCGGCCGCGATCAGCGAATAGACTTAGTTTGGCAATTTTTAAGAGACGCGGGGGACGAGGTATGTACACTACGCTACGTCGACGCCCAATACCGCTCATGTGTTGTGTTATTCTCTCATAAAGGACGCTGTCCTGAGTACGCATGCCGATGAGATGCGGCAGCGAAGACGAAACGAGGTGTACCATCGCAAAGTCAACGCCGGGGAGTGGCCTGTGGGTTTAGACAGTCGCTTTAGCCAGGGTACCGCAGCGTAGACGTCGGGGATATCGAGGCCAGCACGAATTGTCGTACCCAGCTTACTATCATGCTTTTAGCTTGAAGACGCAGACCTCGCTACTTGACGCACTCGTAGTCGCACGAATCACCTGCCACCTTCTTCAACGCTTCAACTACAAACAAACTAAACGATAGACCGTTTAGGCCGACGCCCACCACGGTCGTGAAACCGCGGCGCGCGCCAGCCCTGCTATGCTAATACGACCCCGCCCCTCCTCCGCATCATCGGTGGGGCCCGTGTCGCACTGCGAGCACGGGCGACGCGAGGGGGGCGGGGCGGGCGGGGGGTGTCCTGGGTATTTGATTTTTCGGCTGGGCCTGTTTAGGCCCTGATCCACCGCGACGACGTTCGCCGCGCCGCCGCCGTGGATCCTCTCGTAATCCCGCGTTACGGCGAATAACGCGGAATTCTAGCGTGGGGGCACAAACGCGCTCAGCAGCGGGCTCAGCGAGCGGCGGTACAGCACTTACACGGTCTCAATACTAGGTTATTCCGGCGTTCACGAATCAGCGCTGGCGAGACCTTGGGTCTCGTCGCCGACGAGCCGCGGGCCGGTACCTGCAGGGGAGGGCGGTGAGCTTGTAAAGCGGTGGTTTGTGGGGAAGAGACGTACCAAGAGAACTGGGTTGCCATCCTGCTCTTGCAAGATGTCCATTGAGGAGAGCCGCTATGAGCGAGACGGTTATATACCTGTCCAACTCCCGAACGGCGCTCAAGCACGTCCTGTCAGGAGCCTACGCGTGCGAGGACATGAAGAGACGACGCTGCAGCAGAGACGGCTCACTGTGGTAGCGAAGGTCTGCTGCGGTAGGCATAGACTCAATCGTAGGACACATGGAAGCTCGAAGAGCTACCACAGTACACGTTAGAAGCACATGTATGGGGACATTATCCGAAAAGTAGCTGGGGTCGGGTGACGCTGAATATTAAGAACTTCTTGGAGTGACATAGTGATGCCGCAGTTAGTACGAGGGACACCGCTGCGGTACTAGGACGACGTCTGCTTCGAACTCAGATAGAACTTGACTGCGGCACAGCTCAGGGAAATTAGCTACGGGATGCATCATCTCGCAAACGACATGCCGTACCGCAGCCGCATACAACCGCAAGAAAAGGGCGTTCAAGTGCTTAAAGGGCTGGAGGACTGCCGCAGTTCGCGTTGGAAGCATGTACGTATCGCGACATTCTTTGCGAACGTGCTGTTGTTGTGGAATATGTTGTCATTGTAAGTATGCTGCGGCAACGAAGGCGCACCACGGGACAAGGAGACGGAACTATAAACACGGATTTTGACAAGTTCCTCCAGCCGCGTTCAGCGTTCTCCGCTAGAATCACGCAAAGGCAGCCGCCAAGAAGTTGGAGTACCGCAGTAAACCCGCTATACACTGCGGCAGCATCTAGAATTCGAACCGACACCGTAGTCTACTGGGCTTTCGCGTAGAGTCTGACTGCAGCACGTTCGATGCTGCACGTGGATGTTGAGTAAACACACTGGGCGCCTTGCAGATGAAAGTTGACGCACCGCTGCTTCACGAGCATGGTCACTCCCTGGTTCACGAAGCCCTTGATGAGCTGCGCGGGAAGGCCCTGATAAAGACCCGCCCAGCCTCCCGTCTTGAGCGCCTGCTCCCATATATTCGTCATTGACATCGCCCCGGTACGTCCAGGTTGCTTGCGTGAGGCTTGGACGCGGACCTTGGCCAGAAGCAGGGGATAGAGGATGGCGGTGGCGAGTGCGTTGGCGGTTGCACCGCTTAGGAACGCGCCGAAAGCCGACGGGCGCGCTGGGGAGGAAGAAATGTTGCGGGTGATGTGTAGGCGACTCAGAAGTTGGAACAGCAGAAGAGTAATAGCGGGCGTGAGACAGAGCGGTAAGGTCGGCTGGAAACCTGGGAGATAATTTCCGGTGAATATGCAAGTCACGGGAAAGAACGACGCCACGAACCTGTCCAGAAACCGGCGAGGCCGTCCTCTGAGTAGATTCTCCGTGCAACCTCAGAAAAATGCGGCGACCTGTTCTGGGACGCTGGAGTTTCGTCATCGTTGTCGTCGTCATCGGTTTCCGTTTGCATGCGAACAGTAACGACGCTGAGTGGGGTTGACACTGCACGGCTGGCGACGCCCGCAATGAAGCCGACCGCTAGTTCTGCGGGGACACTTAAGAGGGTAGGGCGGGTTCGGGAGGTGAGAGACTCTTTGACCGCCTGGACGAAGGGGGTGCTTGCGGTGGCTTTACGCCGTGCGACAAGAGCGTGAAACAGGGTATAGAAGTAAAAATACAAGAAACTTCGGCTTCGTTAAGCGGCGATTTCGAGGAGATTGTACGGACCGCACGTACTTCGACACCAGGGTCGAGGCGGTATCCGCGCTCAGACCGTCATAGAGTCCTGCTAATCCCTCCGTACGCAGAACGTGTTTGAGCAGTCGTAAGACGCCTGACAATCCCTGTAGCTTGCGTGATCTCGTCGTTTGTAACTTGGTAGCGACAAGGTCGAGAGGGTACGAGATTGAGTTGGCCGCTGCGCTGCCTAGGGCGCCTGACCACGCTTGCGCGAGCGGAGGGAGGGAGGAAGTCATCGCGAGAGGTTGACCTTGCTCGCTCGCTACCTGCGTGCCTTTTCAACTTGGAAGCAGGGGAGCCCGTGGGCCGTCAGTGACGTCGTTGCATCTCATACGCACACGTGATTCCTCTAGATGTCCCAAACGCCAAGCAGCACGCCGCTAGATGATGGGACACAGCGCACCAGACGGGGCGGGACACTGGCGGGACGGTACAAAGCGTTGTAAAGAGTATGCATTATACGGTGTTCCGACGTGGTGGCGAAGGTGGTGGAAGAGGAACAAGATGCGAATTGCCAGACGCGTCGCGACGCGTCGTCGGGATCTGGTCGATTGAAGCGGAGCTCAATGCGGAATGGCAATATAGTATCCAATCACATGCCTTCTCGGCTACCCCGCATTCCCTTCCCGAATGCGGGGCATCGAGCTCGTCGACGCCCACAACTTCACCCACAACCCCCACAAACTACACGCAAGAAACGGACCATGAGTATCGCACACGGAGTCAGGAAACTCGGTGTTATTGGGGCAGGCCAAATGGGTGAGTTTGAGACGCGTTGAGAGACTCGGACTACCGCCTCACATTTTCGGAACAGGCCTGGGGACTGCCTTCGTGTCGGCAGTTCACGCGAAGGTCCCCGTACTGCTACATGACCGGTCTGCTGCGCAGGTCAAATCAGGTCTTTCTCTCATGGACAAACTGCTCGCAAAGGACGTCGCGAAGGGCAAACTGTCGCAGGAGGCAGCCAAGGAAGCTCGCGACCGCCTGACGGTTGTAGATGAGCTGAAGAGTTTTAGGGACGCGGACATGGTGGTTGAGGTGCGTCAATCTTCTTTTTGGTCTCTTGGGAGTATACACCAGATCTCTGAGAGTGACTCTCACTGAAACCAACGACTTCCACTGAGAGGACTATACTTCAGATCAGTAAGAGTAATATTCGGAAGGGACTCCCCGAACTTACTATTTTGACGTGTGGGGTAAAATGGAGAGAGCGAGGCTTACTATTTCGCCCCCATGTGAGGCTTTAGCGTTCGCCCACCCCACGCTGCCAGTCTCCCGCGCGTGTCGCGACGCATTTGGACGCGTTCACGCCAACGCGCACGCAGCCAAGACGCGTTCTCGCGCGTCTCGACCGCGCGGGAGTGACTGGTTGTAGTCGCGCGATCAGTGCGACCTCGCGCGACGCGTTACGCGTGTCCCTTACGAGCACCCCACGCCTGTGGCTGGGGAGGAAGCGCCGCCTACGGCATTTGGGGGCAGAATGATTGTTGGTCGCCTCCCGCGCAGGACACGCACTAAACGATGAGCCTCACGAACGCGTACACTCGGGATATACCGGGAGCATTGTTCTGGGTGGGGGTCGTTTGTCTCAGTGAGAATGCCTCTCACTGATTTGGTCGTCATTCGTCTCTTGGATTTTTACTTACATTAAATGCGACCGCCAAGGCTGTCTCAGAAAACCTCGCGCTCAAGCAAGGCATCTTCCGCTCATTATCGGCGGAATTGTCTCCCAAGACCATCCTCGCGTCCAATACATCGTCAATCAGTATTACGAAGATTGCGGCATCGACAATCCCGGAAGGGAAGACCGCATCCGACCCCGAAGGCCAGGAAAGCACGTCGAGAGTCGTCGGCTTACATTTCTTTAACCCTGTGCCCGTCATGGTATGTTTCTGCCGTCCATGACTGTGCCGTGTTACTCACGCGTACTTTTTACGCTACCCCATCTTCCAATAGAAACTCGTGGAGCTGATTGCTGCGGTTCAAACCTCGCCAGAGACACTTGACCGTGCCCGCGCTTTCGCGACTGCCTGCGGAAAGGGTACGTCCCCGTCCTATGAATCAGTGTTTCGTCACACCACCTTTGTCCGAAAACACCGGCCTCGTTATCTCGCCTCATCTGCGCACTCTGCGATCCATCGTACCGCTAACAAATATTGTTTTCCGTGACAGAGGTCACTTCTTCACAGGACGTACCAGGATTCGTGGCAAACGCACTGCTCATGCCATTCATTAATGAAGTGCGCTATTTCTGCCCCATTAATCACGCCCTGGACAAGCTAATGCTCGCCTGACCTTTTCGCGCTTAGGCAATCATGTGTCTTGAGAAGGTAACGCGTAGCCGCCCATGAAACAGGAATGCTCTCTCACTCCTCGTTCAGGGAATTGCCACCCGGGACGACATCGACAAGACATTGAAGCTGGGCATGAATCACCCAATGGGCCCGCTGCAGCTAGGTGCGTCGATTTGTAAACCATGACACGCTGATCTCATTTGCGAGATTTTACTCTTCACAGCTGACTTGTAAGTGCTCGCGTATGCATGCGAACCTCGGTACTGACCTCAGCACCAATCATCTTGCGCACATTCCTCCATGCTTCCGACCTCGCCCTCGTCGACGCCTCTGTCCCTGGCCCCTGCTGCTCCTTCTGACATGCGCATACATTCCACTGGCGACCACTCATCCGGCCTCCCCGTCCCGGAAAATCTTCCATGACTCATCTGATCCTGTGTGCGTGTATTCCCATCCCGTTCCTGCACCCCGACTTTCACCTACAAATTCTGGCCCCCTTCCCTACGCGGCCGGCGTGCGACCTCCTGCATGGGCTCGTGACCGCAGCATTGGGCTGGACACGTGCCTCGCAATCCAACAGACGCTCTACGCGGGAACGAGCGACTCGAAGTACCGCCCAAGCGTGCTGCTTGAGCGCATGGTGGACGCGCAGTGGCTGGGGAAGAAGAGCGGCAAGGGTTTCTACGACTATTCGAGCCAGTGAGGAGCCTCTGCTCTTCGCCGTAATGATGAGCGTCGTTCTTCCTCGGAGACAGTGCGGGCGAGAGTCGGCTCTCTGAACCGGCGGCGGCCATGGCAATGGAAGTGTGGAACGCCTCCGGAGGTGGGGGCCCACCATCCGAACGCTATGGTCGCCTGGGGTGGGCGATCGGTACGTCTATGGCGTGAAGTTGGCTCAGGATCCGTGGGTGGCGACGTCCACGTCGTCGCGGCGACTTGGTTGAGCCCTCAAGGATCGCGGGCCGTTCGCTCTAGGCTCTTGAGCGGACAGTTCTGAAGTGCGGGAGGAGATGCTCGCTCCGGCCATTGAGTCGTCGGTGATACCGCTGTCAAGCACCCCAGAGTCCGTCGCGACGAACTTTGGAATGTGGTCGCGTGACGGTGGATGGGAGGCCGCTCGTGCCACTTGCTGCGGACGGGTGTCCTGTTCAAATCGAAGCCAGGGCACCCGTCCGCTCGCCTAATTAATAGTCGCCGACCTCCCAGCACGCACGCTCTGCCAGGGCAATTTTCTTCATCCCGCTCGCATCCGCATTATCCAGTCATTTTTACGACACGCGCAAAGCTTGTGCGACCGTGTATTATGCCACACTTGGCTGCCAAAGGAAGCAGCAGGTGCCAAGCGGATCCCTTGCTTTGAGCGGGGATACCGCATGCTAGTTTGCCTCAGCTTCGATCCGACCCAAGGTTCCCACCGCGCGGGTGACTACTAAGTCAAACGTAAGGCCTGCGCTTCTCGTTCTCAGCGGCGCACAACTGCATTGGCTCGGGGACAGCGGAGCGACCACCCACAGCGTTTCCGCCGTCCCCGGGCGCTGACGCGGGGCTGCTGTCGCTGCTCATTTCGTCATCGTCATCAACCCGCGCGCGAGGGACAAGGCTCAAATGGGCAGATGAGGGCGGAAAGCAGGTTATGCGCCTGGGCGGTTCGACGCGGGATGCAAACGGGCTTCGACGCAAGAGTCTCGCCCCTCGGGGCTTCGTCGAGCGGCGTCTCGTGGAGTATTGGCCCTTGAGCCGTTCAGTCCTGTTTCATCGGGGACGCTCGGGGCAAGTTCGCTGCGACGAGGCCTGTGGTCATCGATGATGCAGCTGGAAGAAAGCAGGGTGCTGCTGGCGTCACTGGCATTTGATACCCTTGTCGCCCGTGTTCTAGGGTCTTCCTCCGGCGTGTCTCCCACCAACGTCGCACGCCCGCGCACCTCACAGGATGCCGAACCACACAGTGCCATCTTCTGCACATCTTGCCCGATCACATTAACCTGTCGAGGATGCTCACGGCGCTCCATCTCCCTCGCAATCTCACCGGCCACAACGGCGGCCACGCGACGGCTCTTCGCTGAGATCCCAGGGCGGAACGAGCCATTGCAACACACCGGCTTCCAGCGGGCCACCGAGCTTCCCCTCCGGTGGCACGGAGCGGATGCCTGTGTACACGTCCTCGTCACTTCGGACCGGACTGCGAGCGCGGCCGCAACGAGGCTGCGCCTTCCCATGCCCGCGACGGGCCCCTCCCCCCACCCATGTCATCCATCCCTACCCTTCTCGCGCAACCGGGGACTCTGAATACCATCTCTGGCGCGGCGACCCTCGATCGCCCGTGTGCGGGGCCAATGCCACGACAGCTCGCCCGCCTCCGAGGCCTCGCCAGCCACAGAAAATGCCGCCACGCAGTCCCGCGGGCACGATCAGAAGCACCGCGCGTCGTCTGATTGGGTGCACATCGACGGCCGTGCTGATCACACGACGTCGGCTCGTGCCCCTGGCCCGGCGCACACACACGCACGATCGTCCGAGCCGAGGGCTGCTCCGCTGGGACGGGCGAGTGGCGACGGCGTCTGCGCGGACGCGGGCTCGGATGCGGGCAGGGGGGCCGGAACGGGCGTGCGCTTCCCTCTCTTTGTTTTGGCTTGCAGCGATCGGATTCGGATGCGGATGCGGCGTGGCGGACGTGCTCGGACGTCTTACCGCTGGAAATTCGTCCGCGGGGGAGTACTTAAGCACCTGGCTGGCCTCGGGTCAGGCCAACATACCTTGAGCAGCGAGTTCTCCCCTCTTACTTCTGCCACTTACCTCCTCTTCGACAGCCGTTAGCCCTTTGCTTTAAGCCTCTTGAGTCATCTCAGAGACTGTCGTCGTCCTATCCTCTCTACCACTACTACCCACCCACAGTATACTATCAGAATGTGCGAGATTGAGTGGTGAGCACACATCCCTCGGCGAATCCTCGAGGCTACCGTAGTAACCCACGCTTCCCCTGCGCCGCGCTAGCTTCGGAAACTACCACCGCAAGTGCGAGGTAAGCTGCGCCGAAGTTAGTGCGACCGCTGCGGCACGCTGACACGCCTCGGCAGCACTACGTGAAGATGTATGAAAGCGGCAACAAAACAGACTGCGGCTCCCCGAGCTGTGCGCTGAGCAAGGCGCACAAACACCGGCCGGGCCAGCGGACGTGCACCTGCGCAAGGGTACGCTCGATATAGCCGCTGCTTCTCCAGCTTCGGTGACTAATGTAAACCGCGCCCGGCCGCAGATCCCTCGCGAGTGCCGGCGAGTGCTGAACCTGATCCACGACCGGTGCGACGAGTGCACCCGAGCGGCGTGGGCGACGCTCGAGCGCGAGTCGAGCCGGGTCTGGTGACCTGCAGCCGTCGCACGGATGGCAGCGACACGCGAGGGGCACGCTGTCGCGGCGCGTTCCGCGCTGCTGAGTTCCCCGCGGTAGCCTCGTGTGTTGGACTTAGCTCTTTTGGGTTATCAGGGGGTTGTTGGGGTTTTATCGCGGACACACTTTGTATTTGTATCGACACAGCGCACACGATCACGTATCAACGCAATCTGAAATATATGTACACAACAATTTTGGAGGCTGGGCACGTCGGTGTTCAAACGTTCACGTTTGTTTGTTTGTTTGTTTGTACCCTCGTTTATTGCCCTCGAGGGCCTGGCCCTATGGTAGGCAATACAAAACTGGTGTCTACGAGAGCGTGAGCGAGCGATCGTCTGACATACGTAAGGGGGAGGGAAGGTGCAGCAGCCGAAGCCGGCGCCGCGGGCACAATAGTATGGATGGAGAGAGGCAGAGAGAACACGGAACCGAGTCAAGAGAGGTGACAATAAGCTACTAAAAAGGGCCACACGCTGCACTCACCGCGCCGGCCATGTGATGGCGGGGCCCCGGGTTCTAAACCTGCCCGCGCTATGCAACAGCGAGTGCGCTGCCGGGCACGAAGCCTCTTGCCACGGGAGGGGTACGGCGACTGGGCGGACACCACAGTGCCATCAGAACTCCCCCGGTCCCAGCGCGGATATTAGGGTAGCAGCGTGCCCGTTACGTACTGATAAAACGAAACAAAGTAAACGCGACAGCGGAAGAAGCAGAGAAAAGGTCCGGGGTGAGGGCGGGCGTGTCATGGGTCCTCGTCGTCCTCGTCGCTGTCGGGGTAAACGTTCACGTTCAACGTTAACGTTCTGGTCTTGCCCGGCAACAACCTCCAAAAGCCAGATCAATCTCTTCCTCCTGTTTCAGACCAGAAAAATAGCCCGATCTTTGAACCGGCAGCTGCTTGTGTTCAACACATCGCCTCACGCCTGGTCAGGCCCGCAAGAGCACCATTAAGTGGAAGTATTTCTGTGGCGGTGCTATGAAAGGGCACACTGGGACAAACGTGGGTGATTATTCGATCTTATCCAAACATGCCTCATCAGCTGCCGTCGATAATTGACGAGACCTTTTGTTATGTTCCCTCTCGTCCTGAGCATAATTGATCTTCGAGAACGACGGGAGGGGCCGCCTCCGAGTACATAGTCCTGCGCGACTGTACACATATTTTCCCACGGCTCTATCTCATCATCCACCACCATCTCGGGCATCGACCGATTCGTTTTCACTACATATTTCGATGATGGCTAGCCACACTGGGTGCGTCGCTGTGTGTGATACCACTGTATAGCACAGACAAAGGGCGAAATCCACCTGCCGCTCTAGCGATGCGATAGCTTCACTTTTGACCAGAGGTTTGGCCTGCATGCCGGCCGCGTGGCTCCCGCGCCTTGCGTGCCGTCCATCCAGTCCAGAACGTATGTTATTGGCGCTACTGATAATGTTCGGGTGATGCCAACTTGAATGTGCGTCGGTAGTCCGCAGTACAGCTGCAACAAGGTTCGAGAGAACGTGGAGATGTACTGCGGGCCAACCTCATGGTGTGCTTCGCATCAGACATATGTACTGCGGCGAAGTGAGAGGTCAGTACGCACAGCGAAACATCAATGCGGAGGTCTGAATGCATGTAAAGTCTGGATCCAATGCGAACTCTCACGGCAGCCATCCAATGATCCATGTGCTGGCATTTCCCCGTGCAGTTTATGATCAATATGATGGCGGTGGCTGATTCGCCGCAGCCCGAGAGAGAACGGAGTCGAGTTTCGATGACAGGCTGCGCAGACTGCGCCGCGTTTGGGTGCATAAAACACACACAAGGAAACTACGCAGTCAAACAGCAACATAAGACACACCAGTCTCCTACGCCGCCTACCGCTGTGCAGGCCGCCCAAGTCGCCCCTTGTGAGTATTCTCCGTATTCCTTCTCATTGTCATTTGGAAGATTCTAAACCTCAAGAAACCGCAGGACTTCAGAATGATCGTCACGAAAGATAGCAAATCCGAGGTGGAATTCACCTCGCTCACCGGGTACGAGTCCTCCTCGCCCGGCGCGTCCGCGTCCACGTCCTCGCCACCGCCCGCGGTCATGTCTCCGCTGTCCGAACAGCCTCTACCCACGCCGGCTGCACATATGGCTCCGCCCGCATACTCCGTCCACTCTACCGCCGGTCCCTCACAACCGTCGTCCTCAACGCGTGGCATCTCAGACGGGCCTAGCGCACCAGTTGTCGACCGCTACCGCGACCGCGACCGCGGCCATGTCGCGCCCGCATCCTCGCGGTCGACGAAGGAGCACAGTTCCGGACATGCGATCTCGCGCGGGCTATTCATGATGGCTCTGTTGCCCGTCGTAGCGTTCCTCGCTCTGCTATGGGCCGTGGGGAAGGTTATCGAGGGCACGGGGAAGTGGCTAGTGATGGGCCCCGAGGCGGCGTACCGGTCGTACCAGGCGCGCGAGGAGCGCAAGGAGACTAGGCGAGCGAAGGGGAGGAGCGTTGTATGAGACTGCTTGGGTACTTATGGGTACTTGTGGGACTTATGATATGTCATTACGACTTTCAGTCACTGCCTCCTTGACCGCCGTTTACTTATCAGGTCAGACAATTCTAACAATCGGAAAGAACTTGCAGCTGCTGACAGATACAGATGCGTCATAATGAGAGCATACTAAGGCTGTCTAATGTGAACTCCTAGCACGCGGCGGCTCGACAGGGCTCGACTCCGATTTGCTGGGAGGGTAGCGAATATCTAGGGCATACAGACCCCTCAGCCAAGTCGATAACATCTGTACTGCCCCGCTTCGCAATCCGTTGAAGGTGATCATATAAAAGCAGCGCACAAGAGCGTGCGTGCAACCGTCTGTACTGTTCTTACCGCAGCTACCCATGACGATAAGACTCGCGTGGCAAGAGAAGCCACGGAACACGTGTTGGCGCAGAATCCAATATAAACCCCCCAGGAGCGCTTCATGCATCTCTCCAATGGACATCACCCTGCGACGATTCGTCTACGGGGTGTGGTAACCCAGCCAGCGGCTCGTAAGTCACTTGGTGGTCTATTGCCTTGTCCTATAGGCTCACATAGCTCCTCAACTCCTCCCTTCTGCAGACTTTGAGGTCGCGATCTCGATATTTTCGATCTCGAGATGGCGGCGTGATTGTGGGCTATCCCAGTGAGTTCATCTCGTCGTTTGCTCTGGATCGTCTCCTGTATGCTCACATCCGTTGCGCAAGTCGTTGATGGGAGGCAGTTCATGAACTCGCCGAGCGGAGAATCTCCTCTCGGTGTCGTTGCGATGCCGTCAGGATCCATTGGATCCATAGTATACAAAACAAATAACCCAGGACATCTCGGTCGCCGATTTCGCGAAGAAGCGCCGCAATGGCTGCATGCTGGCGAAAGGGTGGGTGGCTGAGGGAGCGCGGGCGCCGTCTTTCACGAGCGATGGTGCCCTTGCTGTTGGAGGAAGAAAGGCGTGTTGTAGAGCATTTCATAGTAACGCAGTCCAGTTCTGAAAGTACCGTCTTGTCTGCAAAATGATATGATTGCACTGATGTGTGAGAGTGTTTGATAGTCTCGAGGTGAGATGTCGATTCAGGTCGGCATGCATCGTACGCTTAAAGGTGAGTATTCCTAGCGTACTATAATAACCAAAATAGCATCCCTACACGCCGTCGTTGCAATGATGTGGGCAATTGATCATTCATGAGCCCTTTCTACAGCAACAAGAGAGGCTTCTTGACTTTGGCGGGGCTATCATGGGTCTGGGGGGCGGTACGCCCGAGGCCGTGCTATGGTACTCAGCATACTACCGCAGTGCATGAGGTCATGGCCGTGCCACGTTGTCTACCGCAGCAGTGAGGAAGAGCGGACACGAGGCATCATGCTGCGGCAGCTTCGTGGTGTGAAGATTCGACCGAGCTGCAACGGAATACGAAGCGCGATTGCTGCAGCTATGCTAGGGAATACGGAAGCCTGAATCGCAGCTATCGCAGTGCGGTGTGACCTACCACAGCATGGATGGAGCGTCCCGGTCGCAGGAATGTCGCAGGGACGGCGGGTTTCGCTGCGGAAAGGCCAACTATATAAACCGCCCCTCAGCAGCCCAGTGGATGGCGCTCAGAAGACACCTCCCTCATCGTCTAACCGTGCATGACGATTAACGCATACAAGGTTGATCTGAGGGGGTGATGATATAGTACTCACAGTTGCAGTAATCCACCCACGTACGTCGTCTCGCCCTCCTGCTCATATCCCATTTTCCCGTACTGATGCTTGCTGCAGTAGCCCGACGCGATGACCACAAGCCACCCAAGCCACGCCGCGCGGGTTTCGCGAGCGTGGCTCCGTCGCTCTGTATCCTTCCGCTCATATTCGAGTCGGAGGGACTCGCGCGGGCAAGCCGGATTACACTAAGACAACTGCTGGTACGATTGCAAGCCTGCGGCAACGCAGGGTGAGTTCAGGTTTACGCGCGTCCTGCTGTTCTTCGACGCCTGTCTTGATACAAGGCCTCAGCTTGCAAAATGAAAACAAATATCCCAGGACATAGGCACCGATGGCAGCAAGCCCCACCATACATGAATCGCCTCAGGTCAAGGAGGGCGGGACGATGGGGGACTTACATCACGGGCGCCGGATGCGTGAACGGGGACGGTAGCGAGTGTTGAATGGTATGTCAGGTTGCATGTAAGACGCGAGAGGCGAATGAAGAGGTTTCTGTGATATGAGCGCACGACGTGACAGGTGGCCGCGCTATGGCTGAATTCAAGAGCGTGAAATATGTGCTTATTGAGAAGTTGGAGGCCGCTCAACATGCAGAGTGTCCATGATCTTCTCCAGCCGCGCGTTACCCCCCAGTCGCGTGATCTCCTCTCTGATCTGCACTTCGAGATCATCCATGACGCTGATGGTGTAGGTGAACGACTTCGTGTGGTCGCGCAGATAGCCGATCGCGTGAGTCTTCAGCGTCGGGGTGGTGGGTCGCTTCTGGAGTACGTCTTGATTGCATTTCCGATTAGCTACAATTCGCAAATTACTGGGTAAGGGACGCACTCAAGAGCTGTCTGTTTGACGTGTCTGCGCGGACACCGTGGACGATGGGGAAGCTGAACTTCCCCTCCGTCAGGTCCTCTGCGAAGCCCTTGTTCTCAGCGTACTATAGCATAATCGGGACTTCAGCAAAGGGTCAGAGGATGTACAGAGAAGTTTAAGACTCGCCTGCGTGCTCTGAAGGTTCATGTAATCATCTCGGATCTGGAAGTACACGCCAAACAGATTCACAAGCGGTACATAGTCACTGTCTTAGCGTTAGCGCCCAGCACATCGGAGGGAGCCAGTGAACCAGCCGCGCACACCGTGATATTTGTGGTCGAGCAGGCCATCATGAGCTTGACCGCGACTCGAAAGAGGCCGCCAGTCTCTAGATGGCTTTCAATGAGGTCGTCTGCTATTATAGCGAGAGGCGCGTAAACTGACTGTTGTTCACCATCGACACATATTCCTCCTCGGTAGGACACTGCAGCGAGTCACGCCAGAGAAGCTCAAGACCCTGACCGCGGTGGAGAGAGAGAAGTTCGGCTGCGTTCACAGAGATCAGCATCGTAATCCCTAGTTTCTTCGGATTGCCTCACCTGTGACGACGCGATCCAACTCATTGAAAGGTACTAGACGTTCTCGAGCGTCATCGTCGGCACCGACTCCAGAGCGCAGAGCAAACAGCTCCTGGTACGCCAGAAAGTACACATAATTTGCGGAGTTGATCGTTTGCGGTATGCCGTATATCTTGTGGGCAACTGTGGCTCTTGTTATACTCGCGCAGTCACACCGACGGAGCAGCGTGCCTACCAGGCACTCCTCTTCGGAGCTGCGCGTCGTCCTCGATGTCGTCTACTCTGTGCTTGAGTCATGACAGGTTGGATATACAGAGGGGGTTCTGGACTCACAGCAAGCTCGCGGTGTGCAGCATACTGACTACCTTGGAGATGATCGCTAATTTGTCCGTTGGAACATTTAGCCACGCATTGAACGCAGCGATCATCTGCCCTCGGATTTCTTTCCCCGGAATGGAGAATATATGTGTGAATGGCTCTAGAAGGGCCTGTATTGTGGTAAGTGAAGACCTCGCAACGCGAGAGAGAGTGTTTACTAACAGACTCATTTGCCTCCGACCAGGAGGCAGACTCGGAAAGAATTTGCCGTACGTTGAGGGGAGGATTGTTCTGGCCGGCACTCATGGTAGTATATTACTAGGCCCCGGTACTTTGCCGCTCGTTTGCAAGGGTGGTAGTCAGACCGGTCAGGAGGATCCGGGAGAGGGGGAGGAGTCAGTCTTAGTAGACGGGTGAAGTCAAGATATGGGACCGATGCGGTACCGAGCATTACTCTCCTTACTGACCATTACTGATAAAAGTCAATAACGGTCTTTAAAGTTGCTAATGAAGATAGACGCCCCGCATCAATGAATTTTGATAGTCAGAACGCGAATCATCGAGTACCGCACTCGCACTTCTCTGCTTTCCTCCATCCACTCTGTCTGCAGTATGGGGGTGTCTGAAATAGAGTCGTGGATAGCTGCCACGAACACTACCGAAGAGGACGATGACGAAGAGACGACCTCTGGCCCTGTCTGGCGGAGAGAAAACATCATGAAGGACTGGCCGGGTGCAATGCTCGCGGCACAGACAAGGCTATTCACGAGCAGCACAAAATCACGGAGGCAGTTTCTGCGGGAGGAGCTACTGGTTCTGGCAAATCATGGCGGTATGTGAACCTCTGGTCGGGTGAGAAACCCCACTAACGTGTGCTGTAGATCTCAGTCTATCGCAGATCATGGATGTATTCAAGCTTCTTACCTCTACCTACTCCCGATACGTCGATTCAGAATCAAGAGCAGCTGTGGAAGAAGTGGGTACCGCACTCGTTCGCCGGGACGAGCTTCGAGGGACACCCCAGGGCGAAGCGGACGAGAGCAAGTTCGGCGTAACAGAACAGGTGCTGGGATGGATGTCGCAGGAGGTTGGACGAATAGCTAAGCGACCCAGGTACGTCCCTCTAGACCCGCTTGTTCCGATCGCGTCGCCTTACCATCCTTATGTAGCTCTCATGCTGCCGCAGACACGTTTGTACTGCTCAACTGGTGCTGTGGACTTTACGTCGCGTGCCTCGATAGCAACCCAGAGTTCGCGGCGTCCCGCGCATGGCAAGCACTCCTTGGCATCACGGCTTTACTTGTGGATATGCTTCTCAGTCCAGTGACACCAACAAAGAAATCGTTACAGAAGAGCGCTCTGGTCCGCACGCGACGTGCACTGCGCCATGTACGTACCGCTATCACTAGCAGACAGACGGGAACCTTACATTCACAAAGAGGCCGGAGACTCTACCCGCCGTGATGAAAACGTTGCTTAGCCTGGCTAAGACTGTTCCCTCACCCTTGACCTTGGTACCACTTCTGGGGATCTCTATCGACGTCACGCTACGGCTGAAGAACGTCAAAGATGACAAGCTGAAGTCCGTGGACCCTGCATTGAAGGTACAGGACAGCGTTCATTTACTTTTTCTGACGTCTCACTAGCCTCTAGGACGAGATCCTACAATTGTACACGGGGTCCGTTCTTATGTCAAGGACGCCGGTCTTGTCGCATATTGCAGTACGTGAGGTTTTTCTCGCCTGTCGCGCTTACACCCAACTTCCCCCCAGAGCGCACTGCAAGGCTTCTTTTCTTCCTCGGTCACCCCCGACGACTTTACGGGCACCATCCTACCGACGATGGAAAAGGCACTCTTGCGCTCCCCCGAAATCTCCCTTAGCAGTAGGTGTTGCTATGCTGAAATTAAACAGTTCATAGCTCACTCATACACGTAGTCATCGCCGGATTTCTACCAGCGTACTCGCACCCTGTGGAAGGTGACTCGTTCCGTAGACTGCTAACGCCCACGCTGAACAGCGCCAAGTCCACTAACGCCGTCGTGCGTGCCAACGCCAGCGCACTCTTCAAGATCCTCATGCAGCTGAACCACAGCGCCGCAGACCAGGAGCATGCGACAACCGAGCTCTTGAGTCTACCGAAGTCCAGCAAAACCTCAGGGCCTGACCACAGGGTCGTCTTGTACACTATGCTCGGCGTGGTTCCTCCCTCGCAATCAGCCTCTTCGACGATCTTGCAAACTGCCTTGCCTTTGCTGGCGAAGGAGACGCATGACGCTGCAGTACTCGCCTTAGCCGCGTCCATCACCCCTCATCTAGCGTCTTGTCTTCGATCGGACTCTGTTCTACCTGGGGACTCTGCTAGTGTCATGGCGAAGGAGATGACGAACACGAAGCCTGTGATTCGGCGCGCTTTCTGCTCATTGGTCGGCAATGCATTGTGGGATCTTGGACAGCTCGACTCTACGACCTCTATTGCTTTCGCAAAAGCTGTACTCCCTTCCTTCGAGGCGAATCTGAAAGCTGTGGCCGCAAACCCTACTGGGGCCCCCGCCGGACCCCTAGAGGCGTATATCGCTACTGCGGTTCTGCTGGGACCTTTGTCGCGATCACAACAATTCGGTAGCTTTCTTTGCTTCCTTACGTGTACTCCTGATCAATTTCGTTAATATACGTCCGCAGACGACGTCATCTCGCACAATGCCACCCTTCAATCCGTCGCTGCTGCGAGCCCGAAGCCGTCATTCCTTCTCTGGGACAAGGTGTATCAGAAGCTCAACAGCGAGGAAGAGGAAAGGTGGTTGCTCCGTGCAGTGGAAGTGGTGCTACCCTTCTTCAAGGCGGAGATCCTCCGTGATGAGAATGCGCGGTTCGTCGTCGGCGCACTGGTGTTCCCGAACTTACCTGACTTAAAATTCCTCAGCACTCTTGCAGGTTCAGTCTTCTTGCATCTAGCCATTGAGAGCTCGTTACCGCAGATCCGACGATCGTCCATTACCGCCATCGAATCGCTCTCTGCATCACAACCTGAGCTCGTCGGCCTCTCGATGCTCTCAGCTATCTCGTCATACCTCTCAAAGACACAAATTGCACCTGCAAAGTCGACTGCCGCCAACGGCGAGGAAACAGAGACCCGCGCCAACAAGGAAAACCGTCTGCCTGCCCTCATCTTGGCATGTGGGGCATTTGGTGAGGAGTGCTCTCTGGACGTAAAGGAGCGCCTGTTGCAGGAGTTTGTCCTCGTCGCGCATCACCCAGGATTCTGTACGTGACATGCACATGAGATTTGATGGGTATCACTGACTGCGGTGTAGCTGGCAGCCTGCGCCCGGTCTGGATCGAACTGTGTCAGAAAGCCCGTCTCGACCCTAATGAACTTGTGTCTGCCCACGCCGATGCGTTGCTTACGAGGGTCCTCCAAGCGATCGATGTAGACAGCAAGGTCTGTCTGATTCAAAGCTCTTACCATCTTGATCTGAACAGTGCTTTGTAGCCTCTTCCGGGCTTCGTCCAAGCAGGTTACCGGGCTATCACAACGCTGGCGTTCGTTGCGCCTGGCGCCGTCCTCCCTAAGGTCATCGATCAAGTCCGCTGCGATCTCAAGGCCGAGAACACACATGCATTGACGGACGACGATCTCGGCATTTGGGCCACTCCCGAGGGACAGACTTACGTTGACGGTAAATACATCGCTGCGTTACGTACAGACGCGTTTCACACTGATTGAACGAATGATAGTCCTGGCATCCAAGAAGGACGACGCCGTAGTCAAGAAGGGCAAGGGCTACAAGGATGCGCAATGGGAGGCTGAAGTCCGCAAGTCTCTTGCGAACAAGAAGGCGACTGCGACTGGTATATTGTCGAAGCAGGACCAGGCGCTCGTGCAGGCGCAGCTGGAGAAGGAGGCAGTCATCCGCCAGCAAGTGAACACTACCAAGGCACGGATTGAGCAAGGTCTGCAGCTGGTCCGAAGCCTCGTCGAGGCCCGCGTCGAGGAACTGCATGGCTTTGTTTCAACAATCGCCGCGTTGTTGCGCGAAGGCGCGTTCGGGAAGGCGGTGACACTCGTCGGACACGCGTCGTTTGAGACTTACCTGGTGCGTTGTGCCGAAATTGTTCATCCAGTTGAATGCTGACCCAATCACAGGTCCTTTCGGAATGCTGCTCTGATAGGCTAGAAGCGTATCGCAAGTGGGTCGGAGTGGCTACTCTCCGCAGCTTTGAGATGCCTGGTATCCCAGAGGACTTTACACTCGAGCCATTGAACTGTACGTCAAGGCATTGCGCAATTTCTGATAAGCTGACACTTTCTCATAGCTTTGATCATCCGTGTGCTGTACCGTCTGCGAACCCTTTCGGAGCAGACGCCCTTCGACGCCGCGACATACTGCTACGCCGCTCCTCTTCTCAGCCAGATTCTTCTGAAGGGAGGCATCGCCCTTGCGGAGGAAGACGACCCTCTTGAGCAAATTGCGATCTCATTGGACGTCATCAAGTTCCACTCTGGGGAATGTAAGTCTACCACTCCTGCGATGCATGCTGATACAGCCTGCTCATACTCTCCCAGTCTCCGACCCTGCGTTCCCTCGGACCAAGACCGTCGAGGATCTCATTCATGCAATCAGGCATCAACCGAAACTGGCGAAGGACGCGTCATCAATACTTATCGACGTCGGCCAGTCTATGCAAGGAAATGCAACGAGAGTCGAGATCTCATCGCTCTTGCGGGGAACTCTGTATCAAGAAGTTTATGTTCGGACTTCGTGTCTCCAAGCTCTGCAGGTATGTCATCACCGTGTGGCTCGCGATGCATCCGCCTTATGAGGGACGTTATAGCCATTCGACTTGACCGAGTTGGATTGGTCTGCCGAGCTGTGGATCGCGTGTCACGACGAAGACGACCAGAACGCCCGTTTGTCTGTTCATGTTTGGGAAGACAATGGACTGGACGTTCCGGAGAACTTTCTGAAAGACCTCCTACCTTTCCTCGGTGGGTGTCATGTGGTACACATACTTGGGGATGCACGCTCATCATCTCATGTTACGCTTTTAACAGCGCACGACAACGCTTACGTTCGCTTTTGTACCGCGTCTGCATTGGCGGAAGCCGTGATCGAATATTGGCCTGCCTCGATCAGTTCAGTGCTATCGACGCTGCAAGACTTCTATCGCGAGAAGGTAGGCATGCCTTTGTTTGCTTTGGCACGATGCTCACGAGCTTGTTTAGGCCAAGGTCCTCGCCCCCGAATTTGACCAGTATGTGAGTACTTGTGTTGCATATCCCGCCTTCGAACGTGATGCTCACGACCCAACAGGGTATGCTCATCGCACAAAGCGTCGACCGGACAGATCCTTGGCCAGCCAGAGTCGCCGTCGCGCGCGCTTTCCAGCTTCTCGCGCCAGCGTTCACCCCGCAGGACGTGGAGCCGTTCTTCAAGTTCCTTATCCACGATCAAGCACTGGGTGACCGTCATCCGGATGTTCGCCGTGGCATGCTGAACTGCGGCACCGCCATCATTGACCAGCATGGTTCATCTCGCCTTGCCGAGCTCATCTCCATGTTCGAGGAAGAGCTCGCGAGCGCAGGCGCTGGTACCGAGACTTCAGACCAGATCAAAGAAGCCGTCGTCATTCTCTTCGGGCGGGTGGCGAGGCATCTCGACCCGTCTGACCCCCGTCTCCCTAGCATCGTCGAGAGGCTGGTCGGCGCTTTGAAGACTCCCGCTGAGCAGGTGCAGATGGCTGTGTCGGACTGCTTGTCACCTCTGGTCAAAATCACGAAGTCACCGCCTGGGCAGTTGATCGACCGCCTGATGAACGAGTTGTGCGACTCCCCTTCCTACGCCGCACGGCGTGGAGCCGCATACGGTCTTGCTGGTGTAGTGAAGGGTCTCGGAATCTCTGCCATCAAGGAACACGACCTCATCGACCGCCTGAAGGCCGCCGCGGAGGACAAGAAGCGGTTCGAGCCTCGCCAGGGCGCGTTATTCGCCTTCGAGACCTTCTCCAGCATCCTGGGACGGTTGTTCGAGCCCTACATCATCCACATCCTCCCCTTGCTTCTCACCGCATTCGGCGACGGCACTCCAGATGTGCGGGAGGCCGCTCAAGACACAGCCAGGGTTATCATGGCCAACATGTCCGGATATGGTTTGAAGACTATCCTTCCCTCCCTGCTCGAGGGTCTCGACGAGAAGCAATGGCGGACGAAGAAGGGCTCGATCGAGCTTCTCGGCATGATGGCGTACTGCGCGCCGAAACAACTCTCCCAGTCCTTGCCAATCGTCATCCCGCGACTCACTGGTGTCTTAACCGACTCGCACGCGCAGGTTCGCGCTGCCGCGAACAAGTCCTTGAAACAGTTCGGCGAGGTCATCAGCAACCCAGAGATCCAGTCCTTGGTGCCCATCTTCTTGAAGGCAATGGTGGACCCTGCGAAGACGCCGAATGCGCTTACGGCTCTCCTCAAGACGTCTTTCATGCATTACATCGACCACTCCTCTCTTGCTCTGGTGAGTCGTTTTCACACTGTCGTCCTATATATTCTCACATCCGTCCCAGGTTATCCCCATTATCGAGCGCGGCCTACGGGAACGAGGGGCCGAGACGAAGAAGAAGGCTGCGCAAATCGTAGGCAACCTTGCGTCGCTCACAGACTCGAAAGACTTCGTCCCCTACCTTTCGCGTATCCTCCCGATGGTCCACGTCGTCTTGGCGGATCCCGTCCCCGAGGCACGAGCTACAGCGGCAAAGGCGTTGGGTACACTCGTCGAGCGACTAGGCGAAGTGCACTTCCCCGACTTGGTGCCGGGCTTGCTTCGCACTCTCAAGACAGACACCTCTGGCGTCGACCGCCAAGGCGCTGCTCAGGGTCTCAGTGAGGTGCTGGCCGGTCTTGGAATGGAGCGCATGGAGGGCCTTCTGCCGGACATCATCACGAACGCCCAGTCCCCTCGCAGCACCGTCAGAGAAGGCTTCATGTCCCTGCTGGTCTTCCTCCCTGCGACGTTCGGTACCCGTTTCCAGCCGCATCTTCCCAAGATCATACCGCCGATCTTGAACGGTCTCTCGGACTCTGAAGACTACGTTCGCGATGCTGCGATGCGCGCAGGTCGTATGATGGTGACCAACTACTCGAACAAGGCGATCGATCTGTTACTACCGGAGCTGGAGCGTGGCATGTTCGACTCCGGGTGGCGCATCAGGGTAAGCTTCCGCCGACTGTACTCGCGGTTTATACTGACCCTTTTTTCAGCAATCATCTATCACTTTGGTCGGAGAGCTGCTGTTCAAGGTATCAGGCATCAGCGGGAAGGCAGAGATCGAAGACGAAGACGAGGTTGTGGTCGAAACTACCATGGCTGAGTCGTCGCGAAAGGCTCTCGTCGACGTTCTCGGTCTCGAGAGACGGGACCGCATTCTTGGAGCCCTCTATCTCGCCCGCCAAGATGCTGTCAACGTCGTTCGCCAATCATCCATCCACATCTGGAAAGCGTTGGTACACAACACGCCCCGCACAGGTAAACACCGGCATCTTCGCACGTGGAAGCAACGGACAATTGACGAATATACACAGTGCGCGAGATCCTCCCCGAGCTCACCAACCAAATCATCTTCCTGCTCACCAGCGACGAGTTGGATCAGCAGGAGGTAAGGACATCCTCTTATGCTAACCATCGCATGCTCACATTTCCACCATAGACCGCGGCTCGCACTGTCACTGACCTCTGTCGCAAGTCTGGCGAGAAGATGTTGTCTGAACTCATCGTCATTCTGCGCACAACGTCAAACTCTTCGGATTCCCGCAAGCGTGAAGGCGTCTGCTTGATGCTATGCGAGCTGATGTAGGTTGTCGTGAATCTGCGATTGCCTACACTATCCTGACCGTTATGTTTAGGGAGAGTACTACCGATGCTCAAAGGGATGGTCAGGAGGATGACATCATCGTCATGGTCCGCACGTCGCTTGTCGATGATGACGCCAACGTACGTGCGGCGGCAGCGAAAGCGTTCGACATTTTGCAAGAGCACATCGGTGCCCGGGCCATCGACGAGACCATACCTACGCTCTTGGAGGCCCTTCGCCAGCCTGGTCAGAGCTCTGGCACCGCACTGCAAGCCCTGAGGGAAGTCATGTCTGTGAGTACTGTTTTGGCGCCGATGTTGATGTTTGCTAACTATGGTACTAGGTTCGGGCGTCGACCGTGTTCCCTATCCTTCTACCCACACTCACCGCCATTCCGATGTCAGCGTTCAACGCGCGGGCTATCGCATCTCTCGTTACTGTAGCTGGAAACGCTCTGAGCCGACGCCTTACCGTGGTCCTGAACGCCCTCGTGAGGGCATATGAAAGTAAGGAGATCGAAGAGGATGAAGAGCTGAAGTCTGCGGTCGACGAAGCAATTCATGCCTCGATGGCATCCATCTGCGATCCTGAAGGTCTCAACACGTTGATGTTATTGCTCATGGGATGGTACGTCGATGTCTATCTCCCCGTGGATGTGTCGCTGACATGCAATATAGGGCCAAGAACGATTCCGTAAGACGTCGTGTCAGCGCCTGCCAGCTCTTCACGTTCTTCTGCGAGGATTCCGAGCTCGACCCTTCGCTCTATCGGATAGACTGGATCCGCCAACTTGTCACGCTCCTCGACGACCGGGAAGTGTCTGTGCACACTGCCGCGTGGGCCTCTCTGGACGCGTTTGTGAAGTCTACTCCGAAGGACGAGTTGGAATCCTTGGTCGTACCGCTTCGTCGCACGATTGAGAGTACTGGCGCCCCGGGAACCTACGTCCCTGGCTTCAGCCTACCGAAGGGCATTGCGCCCATGGTGCCCATCGTCATTGCGGGCCTTACGACAGGCAGCAACGAACAACGCGAGCAAGCCGCGTACGCTATCAGCGATCTGGTGGAGAGGACGGAGGAGACCGCGATGAAGCCCTTCGTTGTACCCTTCACTGGCCCTCTCATCCGTGTCGCGACGCAGGCGACGACATATCCCCCAGGTGTCAAGACTGCCCTTCTCACTGCACTCACGACGATGCTCGAGCGTATCCCCACCTTCGTCAAGCCCTTCTTCCCTCAACTGCAACGCACTTTCGTCAAGAGCGCGAGTGACGCCTCCAGCTTGGCGGTGCGGACGAACGCGGCGCACGCGCTCGGTGTCTTGATGAAGAACCAGCCTCGTGTAGACCCCGTCATCACGGAGCTGCTCACTGGTGTACGGAGTAACGAGGACTCCATCGCCGCAAGCTTGGTCCTTGCGCTAGCTCGCGTCGTCCGGAGTGCGGGATCTAACGTCGGAGAGAAGGCCCGGGAAGCTTGTGCTGAGCTCATCACCGAGTCGTTCAAGGATCAACACGAAGGTCAGTTTCGGAATGTCTTCACCTACGCTGTCCGATATTGACTTGTTTTCGACTAGAACCGTACTACCGATCTACGGGCGCACTGTTCGCATCTCTTTCTTTCTTCCCCGACGTTGTCAAGCCGATCGTCACGTACGCATCATTCTATCTTTCTCCAGCCTGCATTCGCTGATACTCTAGAATTAGCGCGTATCTGCTGGCAGGCACTCCGCAGTCCGTGCTCTCGTCGCACTGCATACTTGCAGTAGTCTCCCCCGACGATGACGACGACGAACAGGAGGGTCCCAACGCCTTCCAGAAGCTTGGTATTCTCCGCTCCGTCGCGCAGAAGGCGCAAGAGAGCGCAGTGAACGAGAAACCCTCTATCGCCCGCCCTGCCCGCGAAGCGAGGGACGCGCTAAAAGCGTCCGGAGATGACGCACTGCACGGACTGTTCTGAACGATCCACGGACTTGTCTCACCACACGTCGCATGTAGCATTCGCTTTGTCACTGTAACACGCCAAGCATCTATCATCTATATTCTACTGGTCATACAACATGCGGTCCGGTCTACAGGCCGGATAAGGGGTCGTGAAATGGTGCGTCTAATGTAAATGAGTATCATACGTTTTGGGTGGGAGCACTGGGGAGGGAGGGAGACTCCGCTTTCGCCTCCATGATGCTGTTTTTCTCCGAAGCCTGCAGAGCTTCGTCTATCGCCTTTTTGCGCAAGTCATCTTCGTCACCCCGCGTAAGCTCGGTGTGTCGGATGAGCAGGATTGCCGCGAGCGTGGCCACCGCGTTGAGGCTGGCGTTGAGGATGAAGACCGTCCGGAAGCCTCGGACGTATGCGCCCAGGATACGCTCTGCAACGGCGGGGCTGACGCCCAGGCTTGCGAAGCTCGCATCCGATGCAGATGTGCGAGCGCCGAGGATAGTGGGATCGTCGAGAATCGTCGAGATTGTGTACGAGGGTAGTCCGAGCGATGTCATAGAGTGGCGGAGGGAGTTGTTACTGTAGCAGGCATGCGTTCAGTAGGGGTACGCTTTGTACGAGAACAAGAAGAGTGAACGTACATGATGGTCGCGCCAATAGCGAGCGATAGTGTTCCTCCGAGCAGTCGAATAAACTATCCAGCTTCAGTAAATGCCACACGTCTTGATCAAGAGAACGGACACTCACGTTTCTTACTGCAGTGACTACCGACATGTCGCGCCTCGATACGCTGGCTTGTGCGGCGACCGTAGTCGTTTGGAGAGTCTGCGACCAACAGGCCTTCAGCAAAGTGTTGATTCGTTAAGTGTCATAATCACTTACGCCACCTGCTCCTGTACCTGCCAGAAGCATGAAGAACACGAGTAGACCTTTGGCCGTATCAGGGGTCACCGTGGATAGGCATCCACACGCGATGGTCCAGATGCCGAAGCCAACGTAGATGGTAGCCTGCCAATTCCATCCCATGAGTTATGATGCTACAATTGGATTTCGAGTGTCGTACGTACCCGGTAACGTCCCGTCCACGTAATGATTTGGCCCTGTCAAGAGGGCTTAGCCTGTTGACGTCAGGAGATGACTAGACGAGGCGTACCGAGATGAAACTCGCAAGCGTTTGGCTAACTAGCACCGGGAGAAGGAAGATGCCTGAGCGAATGGCGGAGTACCCAAGTCCAACTTGGAAGTACTGGGGCAGGTAGAATAGCGAGGAGTAGAATACGAAGCCGCTGCAGGTACACAATGATTAGGGCGACGACGTATCCGAAAAGATGAGACGCACTTGATGAGCATGGTGATATACACGCCGGTAACGGTGACCTGCTTGAAGATGTACACTATATTGCGGTATGGTATCGATGTGGTGGCATAAAGATGTGGATAATACGAGGACGTACTCGGAACGATAGGAAGACGGGCTCCTTTCCATTCCCAGAGGCAGAAGAACGCGACCGTAACCGCCCCAGCGAACAAGGGCGCCAGAACGATCGGTGACGACCATGGAAATGTCACTCCACCCTGTACACAGAAATGGAGGTTGTTAGTGTACCTTTCTGTACTCGATACATTCGCTACTACTCACCCAGATAAGCGGGAGGATGACGAGTGTACAGCTGACCAACGTCAGGGCTGTTCCGACGTAGTCCACCACGGCGAGCTTCTTTCCGATATTACCCTCGACCGGCTTCAAGGGCACAACGAGGATGACGACAGCGACCGCGCACGCCGAGACGGGGAGCGTCACCCAGAAGCACCAGCGCCAGCCGGCCTTCTCCGCGAGCACGCCGCCGAGCAGCGGACCCACGGCGAATCCAAAGGCGACGACCACCCCTATAATGCCCTGGTACTTCCCGCTGAAACGTGTGTCAGACGTGCCCAACACGTTGTGTACACAAGAATCGACGCTCACCGGTCCCGCAGAGACACCACATCGGAGATCACGATCTGGGCCATGCTCACGATGCCTCCGCCTCCTGCGCCCGCGAGGCCCCGGAGGACAATAAGTTGCGTGATGCTACGCGAAAACCCGGCGGCGAGGCTGCCCAGCATGAAGATACCCATGGCCATACAGAGTGCCGCCTTGCGGCCGAAGATGTCGCTGAAGCGTCCATCTGTGTACGGGACACACACCATCAGCGCTCGCGCGCGCGATCACCGGCGGAGGCTCGGAGCCGGGACTCACAGAGGGGCTGGAAGGCGGTCGAGGTGAGAAAGTAGGCGGACGGGACCCAGGAGACGACGGAGCCGGCGTTGAAGGCGGCGGAGATGGTGGGGAGCGCAGTCGCGACGATCGTTGCGTCCAGGCAGGAGACGAGGATGCACAACGAGAGCCCGAAGAAGACGGCGATGACCTTCCTGCGCGGGAGGAGGTTGGTCTGGTCGGTCAGGGAGACAGTCTCAGAACGAGCCTCTACGACTGTCTGATCGTCCCGACCCGCACCATCCTCAAGAGTCGCCATTATCGCGGGGAGTGAAGTGGACAGAGCCGCAACGGCGGGTCTCACGCTCGCAGGATTGCGTGGGGGATAGAGCAGAGGGCTTGGACCGGCTCTGGGCAATCAATGTCATACTTAAGGATTCATGCCGAACGCAAAGGCAAAATTTTCAGCGCGAAACGTGGAATGCTGCACTCACGGAGAAGCCTGGCATCCTTGTACGTCACCCAGGATAGGACGTCTGTGCGGGGAGTCATACAAAGGTGGGCAGGCCTCGGCCACATGATGTTTCTCCGCTATCGGCACGCATGCCGGATAACCCTTTCCATCAAGAACTTGGGGAAGCGCGACATGCTGCAGTGCTGGAGAGTCAACGTTTGGTCGCGTGAGCGCACCAAGGTTCGGAATTAGCGGCCGAAGGACTAGAATAGCCCACATCCACTAGAGGAATAGGTATAAGTCAGTGTCATTGGGGCTCGCGGTCATATGGGGTTACGAGAGTACCTATTCATGGGCAGGTTCGTGTGCTGAATACCGCTGGTAGAGTGGTAATGGAACCACGGTCTCTGAATGCTGAGCGGCGTGTTCCCCGAACGCGCTGTGGATACGGGCGTTTCGGAGGGACGAAAAACTCACGTTATCTCGGACATGATCGAACACCAACGCCTCTCCGTGTCCACCTAATCTGAGAACGCTCGTACTGAACGAGAGCGAAGAATGTGACTCTCACGGGGACCCGCCCGGGTGGAAGGTCGGGCGGTGAAACATCGTCGACACTGGCTCTGTATTATTCGGACCGTGCAGGCCGGGCTGGCGAACAACACCGCGCCAAACCAGAGAATGATGGTCGCTATCGGGGACGCGGGACCGGTGGTATACACATCTCCTGCCAGTGCTAGTTGGCGCCATAATACAGCTGAGCGCTGCTACCGCTCGCTGAAGGGGGTGAGATCGATGGCTGGAGGATATGGCCGCTGTCCGTACTCACCTTCAGCCCATTCTTCTTCGCCTCCTCCTCCGGCGTCCACATACGGGTCCCATGGTACTGCCTTATATAGCTCTGGTCGTATCCATTCATTCTGGGGGACCACGGGCGGGGGAAGAAACTGCCACTGATCCGGTATGGGCGGCTCGTGATACAGCACCTGGTACGTCTCCTGTGGCTGCGGAGGGGGAGACAGCGAGGGGAGAGGGAGCGCAGGGAGGTTCTCCTGTCCTTCTGCTTGGAGGTCGAACTGTCCGGTGTCGCACGCAGCCTCGTAGTCCTGCGCAGTACCAACATTGGAATAGAAGGTCTCCACTGGAGGAGGCCATAAAGAGGAGGACGCATGAAGATCGGAGGGCGGGGCGGCTTGCGTCGCGGAAGCGCGACCGGTTCCGCTGTAATCATAGGTATCTTGGACGGGGAGGTTCGGGATCATGGGGTACCACGCGTAACTATATGTGTCGTAGACGGGATCTGCAGTAGGCTGAGTGGCGCGGAGAGGACGGGATAGGCGCGGGGGGTTCTGCAGGCTTTGTGGTGATGTCGGGAGCGGAGAGGGTCGCCTGAAGGTCGTCCTGCGCGCAATGGCTGGAGATGAAGTAGCACTGTCAGTCGTCCGAGTGGGCTGTGGAAGATGGTTCCGGACTGGCGGAGGCGCATTCTGCTCGTCACCACGCACTTCCGCCACGACGCGGGAAATTCGGCTCCCAGAGGGTCGTGAGCGACTCGTCGTTGACACAGTCGTAGTCAATTCGCTGAGGGACCTCGTAAACATATTCGTGGCACGGAGTTGTATGATACGTACCGTTCCCTTGTATCGTTCTGCGCGATGGGTGGCACAGACGGGTCCACATTCTGCGCCGAGTTCTCACCCCTTAGAGGCGCGTTCTTCTTCTGCTTCCCCTTGGTGGAAGGTGAGAACTTATAGTCGGGATACTTTTCCATATGCGCCTGCTTTGCTTTCTTCGCTTCATTCACCCAAAAGCTCTTCTGCGCCGCAGGCAGGGATGCCCATATAAGACCGGCTTCCTTGGAAACGATCGACTGCGGGATGAGTTTACCAGTTGCATGGTTCTTCTGCTCCTTGCAGAAGGCTGCTCTCCACAATATAAAGTGGTTTGGGGGACGTGGTATATGCCCAGGTTTTGGGCGGCTCCGCGAATATTTGTGGGCCTTCTTCGGGACCGGTGAGGGGACTGTGGGAGACTTCATTCGAAGCCGCTGTATGCTACTGAAAGAGAGAGAGGGAGGAAGATTGTCAGGGAAGTCGCGACAAGTAGCACATGAAGAAACGCACCGAATTCGATGAGGTATTGATGGGACGGGGATGATTGAAGGGAGAGGAATTATATGGAAAAGGGAGTATAATGAAACTCGCGCTCATCCACATGGCGATGCCGTCTTCCCGTGATCACCCGGAGGTCAAAGCCGTCAGCATAATAGTGATCACAGATAAGGGGTTGTCACTCAGTCTTATAGTCTGTAAGGATCTTATTGATGTATCCGCACGGGAACGTTGCGACGTTCCGAGTGTGGTTTGGTGTATCTTCTATAGTACGACGAGACTGCCGTGCTGTCCTGAGCTGTCCAAGACAACAAATGATCTCTATCGCGAAGCAAAATAGGGTGAGTATGTGCAATCATTTGGGAGGCAATGAACGGAGATTTCCTCACCAGGATGCGTCAATCACCTTCGAGTCGCCCGCAAATGACCCACTGCTGGCGCTCCGGCGAAGCCGAGTGACGACTTCAATGGCACGATATTCACCTGAAATTATCATGTGATACTCATATTTCATGGCGCACCATGATCGTGTACACTCGAACGCACTCTACTCACAAGCAGGGGCTGACATGGAGGTAGGAAGAAAGACGGATCAAGACAAGCGGCGTTTTAGACGCCCACGCTCGCTCGGAAGAACGCACTCGTCACACTTGTGCAAACCGCCAGTCACGGGCGCTTGTTGTAACTCTCCGACGAACGACCATCTTTGCTCAACCTGCGCAACAAAATCTCGGCATCATCATTTTTCTGAATCTGAACGTATCGACGCACACTGTGTACTGTAATAAGTTGAGCAGAACCCTCAGCAATCGTACCTCACAGCTGCAAATCGGGTTGGCATTTCTTCACATCGGTGCTACGTGGCACCCAATTCGCTCTCTCAAGCGCTCATTGTGAGCTATCAAGTGCTCCTGCTCCTGCAGGAACATACTATGGGTTAATTTCTTAACAAGAGCGGCCTGGTAGTGGTAAAGAGTTCATCGGCACCGCTGTACAGCCTTCTGGTGCTGTCCCCGTGCACTGGCATGAACTCTTTCCAGTCGGTGCTGTCTGCATAGTCGCTGAGCGGCGTCAACTTGGCGGTATTTATCCCACGTGAGTGTCTCAATCACTTTCCTCCAAGATCATTGTCACCTACACGGTTTGATCATAGGTACTTTGGGCGGATCAGCACATCACTGCTACTGGCTTCCGAGTCGGAGCGCCGAGTTGAGTTCAGCTACTCAAAATGGCACATAAGAACTTGTGCGCAACGTGTACCGAGCCGCCGGGCCTAGGCTCTCGAGATGCGCACCCTGTGGGCAGATCAACGGCGAGCAGCCAAGTGCGCCGTGGATGTACGATGTATCGCCGACATGGTGGTGACGTGCTCCCCCGTGCGCACGAGCAGCCAGCTCTCCGGCTTGGCCCGATTCGCTCTCGCAGTGACTCTGGCGCAGCGAGGGCGAGCATGAACCAAGGAGGGACCCTTGCGCGCGCAAGCGTGAGCCGTAGCCTGATCAGCAAGCATGTGCGGTTCGAGGCCGCCCCTGCAAATCCGGTAAAGTAGCGGAGCGCCGCTGACTAAATCTTGGTGCGGGACAGCAGGAAGACAAACGAGTGCAGCACACGTATCCAAACCCCTGCGCGCGACGTGCGGACGCTTAGCCACCCTCGCCGATGGACCCGCCATATACCCTCGCGACAAGCTCCCTCCGGAGGCTACCTGGTCAACACTATGTCTCAAGGTTCGCAAACCACCCCGGGAAAGATAACCGCACTTGGCGGGATGGTCGCGGCTCACGATTGGTCTACGGCTTGGACCCAGGACCATGTGGAGCCGCACTGTGTCTGAAGTGGGTCATCCGTGTACCCGAGCCAACCCGCGCCTATTTTAACCACCACCGTTCTCTTATAAGCCCCCCCCCGCGTCGTGCCAGTTCTCTTCTCACTACCGCCACCACCACCACCACTTCCACCGCCACGCACCATCACGCACCCCCACCCCCACCATCTCCACTAAGTCACAACAATGCAACAACCCACGACCACTAACTACACCGCAAGCTCGACCGCCTTCGCGATGCCCGAGATGGACGACAGTAGCTCCCCTTGGATGGCCCAACCTACACAAGTGATTGATCCATTGGCGTTTAATGGCGCGTCGATGGATTTTCACACCCTCGACGCCGATCTATACGGCAACAAGTCCGCTGGGTTTGCCCAGGTAGGTGTCGGTCGAGACTTCGCGCAGCCGTTCTCGACTCATTACTATGTCGCACTGAAGCAGAACTTCACCGAGGCCGCCGCAGTTCTCCGTGCAACCCCACTCTACCCTCGATGTGTGCACTGCATGCAGTGCTTCGATCCGGCGGCCAACGGGCCTTTTGCGTGCGCCGTCCCGCATTCCGCCCCAATCCACACCCTTATAGCCGGGGATAAGGCTCTATACCCAGCAATATACCTGCCCTGCTGCGACAAGGGCAGGCTAAACATGCCCGGGCTGCATCCCCCGCTGAATCCAGTATGTCGCCTCGACTACCACAGGCCTATCATACCGCTGCCGTTTGGCGGCCAAATCCATCCCCCGCAAGCGGGCTGGACGCCCCCAAGCCCTGCCGCTGCCAACTCTCCCGCGTTGAATGGCCCTGGACTTGTCGTCGGGTGGCAGGCCTAGGCGGTCACCCATCGCCGACGGCAACCACCACGAGGACTCGACGTCGCACCGAGCCTCGTGACTATCAGCCTTCCACGGCCACGAGCTGTAACTCGCTGCACTACACCAAATAACGCCCCCAAGCCGCTCGACTGGTAGAATCGCCACATTTTGGAGGACACTCGCTGGTATGGACTGCCCCTGATAGGTGTCCTGGCTGGCGGAGAAGGACCGGGAGTTTATAACCATCTCTACGGACGAATGTGGTCATACTCGTGGCTATAGCTGCGGCCACCACGCGTGAGCCGCAGATCTTCGGCAATTCGCTCTTCCCAACCTGGCCATCTCGACTGCTCAACGAGCGTACGAACGGACGACTCCACCCTCTTCCGGATGTGTCTCATCGCCAGGACGCCGGCCCATATCCTCCACACGCTCCGCCGAATTACCGAAACTCGCCATCCACTCCAGGAAGGCTACGTACTGCTGTGTGCGGTGCTCAAGCCCGCACGCCCTCGAGTACGTCAAGGCAAGCAGTCGGTTCTGGATCTACTCGGCCGTGTAGCGGGGTCTCTATGCGTCTCTCTCTCTCTCTCTTATGCCTTCCTCCATCCTCTCCCCTCCTATCTCTCAGTCCTCGCTCCGTTCCCTTCTCCGTGCACTTACTGTACGAAGCGCACGGGTCCGCGAGCCGTACGAGCCACGTTCGCACATCCTGTTCGACTCGCACCCGTACTTCCTCTCCTGTTCACTACTCTTCCTACCTATCTTTGCCATACATCACATCATGGTACACTCAATGTAGCTCACCTGTAGTAGAGTAGTGCCTTCGGCCTGCTCGGCCTTACTGTGACTGTAAACTGAAATTATCCATCAGCCTGACTACCTCGACATGACATGAACGCGGGAAGCACGGAGATGGAGCACAACGTTTTCCGGTGAATATTTGTTAGACACCGAACACTATGTACCATGGCACAGCCTACACGACTACTTGTATATGTGCGCGTATATGACACGGGGGTATCGTGGAGAGACAGGGATGGGTATGGGGGCTGAAGAACCGTACAACGAGGTGCTATCGTATCCCAGATGTACTCGGGCCATTCCATGGACGCGGCTTGCCTACCGGTCGGTCGCGGTGACCAGCTCCTTTCCTGGATGTCCTTCAGGTGGTCGACGATTTGCCGGTAGAGGATGGGGAGGTCCTTAATCCCTTCGCTGTCCTTGAGTATGTGTTGTACGGCGGTGTCCATGGATTCGTGGATGCAGTAGATGCCGTGTATCCGCTGTCGTAGAGCTCCACGTCTTCAAGGATAATGGGGAGTCAGCTCCGCATGTTTCCTTCACTCGTCTTTCCCTTCCGCGACGCACTCCAGTATTGCCTCCACTCGGACCAAGTCTTCGTCCTCCACGGAGTCGAACTCCAGGGCATGAGCCTCCTCAACCTTCACCTCGCTCAGCGCTGGAGTTTCCCGCACTGGGGCGACGTACACCCCCACGTCCTCTTCATCTTGATAGTCCATATACCCTAAGCTTTCCACTCCCTCAGGACGAGGCCTCAGGGGGCGCGAAAACCCTAGCGCACGCCAATACCTCTCCCAGTAATCGGGCCCCGCACACTATAATGCATGCGCCGTCAGAATCGTGCCCGGAACAGCCCACGAGCGGGTCGCGAAGGGACGTACCCAGGCCACCATTACTATCAGCCGGTTCCTGACCTCGTACCGCTCCTTCTCTATCTCAGGAGTGTGCTCCAGTTCGTCCAGAACGTCCAGGCGTTCGAATAGCGGAGTTGTTGGGTCGTCGTCGTGATTCAGGTCCTTCGGGTCACGCCCTCGACAATCGAATGCTTGTCAAGTTGGTTGTCATAGGACTCCTTATAAACTCCTTGGGAGGACTTGATCCGGAGGTTGAATGGCAGCGGGATGGAGAGCTCTCGCAGAGAGGCCGGGCACGGGCCGCGGGTTAGCGGTGTGGTAGGGACCGCTGACGTTGGCCCCTTCATCCTTGAAGCTGGCCGCCGTGAAGTTCGGGGCTATCCCCGACGCATTGACGGCTTCAGCCTATGTGTCCCCGAGCCAGAAACGAGCACGAAAGGGGATGGAAGCGCAGCGATACTCACGAAAGCGCGGTGCATTGAAGCTTCTGGGTCCTCCCAGAATACCTCCTCCATTTCTTGGTCGAATGGGATGAACGCGAGTCGTGTGCCTTGAGACGACAGGTAGTATTCAACGGTGCGGTGGGATAAATGCCTTGCGGAGGTCGTGGAGACAAATAGGATTGTAGGGGGGATGTAGCCCTGGAATGTTGAGTCTGCCTGTGCCGCAGCACGGGAGGTAGATGGCTGGGTAGAGGGCCTTGTCCCCTGCAATTAATGTGTGGATAGGGGCCGCGTGCGGGACGGCGCACGCCAGAGGCCCATTGTCCGCCGGATCGAAGCACTCCATGCAGCGCACGCATTGGCGGTAGTTGTTCGGAGGCTTCGGGAGGGAAACCTCGGCTCCAGAGATGAAGTCCTGCTTCAGTATCACGATGTGGTGAGTACAGAACACTTGCGCGAGGTCTTGATCGACGCTTACCTCAGGGGCGAACCCTACCGGTTTATCGTCATGCGGACCCGCGCCGTTCCAGATATCGTGTATAATGGCGCCGTCGAGCGCATGCATGTCGATGGACTGTGGGACCGTTCCTAGGACGTCCAGCCGGTCACTTCGCGTTTACGAAGTCGGACGGAGCCGCGGGGCAGGCCGGGGTGGATTTCCCATTGATGCGGCAGGAGTCTAAGGCAGTCCCCGTCGTCGGTGGAGTGCGCCAGACATCGCATGCACTGTTTGTTTGGAGCTCCTCAAGCAGCAGTGAACCGGGAGTCGTGAGCCCCGAACGAAGGGTCTGTGATTTCAGTGCGATGGTAAGCACTAGAAAACACAGGGAACTGATGGTCGAAACTTTACCGGGACGCGCTCGACAGGATTGTACACAAACTTCAAGTCTGAGTCGGGATGCATGGGCGATTCGAGTCAGGAGGGCGTTTCGGCGGATCCGGCGGCAGCCGTCGGCGTGAAGGCCAAGAAGGTTGCATCGGCCACATCTTGCGCCGGGGGAACCATCCAGTGCAGGTGACCGTGCCAATATGCGGCGACAGGTGCGTAGAGCGCGCAGCCGAGTCGCCGGTCCCCGAGAGATGGATAGCAGCTCAGGCAAGCCGCGGTATCACACGGCACCTTCCACTTTGCATTGTACAACGACAGCGTATGGCACCCATTCCGCGGCAGACAGCTGCGTGTGAGAGGCCAGCACGCCCGTCCGAGCATCCGAGTCGCCGGGCTTCCTCAGTTCGACAGAAGTGCGCAGAAAGTCCAGGAGGTGTCGAACTACTTAATCCGAGGATGCCGAGCCGACCTGGAGGATGCAGTGCCAAAGCTTATATTGTCTGCGTCAGTCGAGCGGTGGGAAGCGGTTGCTCGTGCACGGCTAGGCGTGTTCTCCCTTCCTCTCGGACACGAGTCTTTCCAGGGCGTTCTCAGGTATTGAGACGCCCCAGCTGGCCTTCGGAGGTACACGCCCAGGTGTGCGGTGCGGACTGCGGGGATAGTGGCCCGAGAGACATGTTGAAGGTTAGCGTCTGCATGTCGGCGCGTGTACAACATAAAGTTGTTTGGGCCTCGTGGAGAATGCTATATCTGTTGCGGTCGGTACGTTTGCTGAGAGGGGATTGGCACATAGGTCTTCAGTGGAGGGGCTTTGCGATGGTGGCGCGTGCCGTGAGGGGCGAGGGGGGTGCATGTGCGTGAGGTCGTGTGGAGTTGAGGCGATGAGGGGATGTGTACTGGATTTTCGAGAAGCGAGAGGTATTTATGCGACGGACATACCAGCGGAATCGAGGAGAGTGCGCGTGAGGAGTACAACGTCGTTGTGGTGCAACGCAAACGGCGCATCCAAGACCTTTCCCTGCGTCAGGCGAGCTAAGTGACATGCCTTCGCGAAAGACCTTTCCATTCCTCCCCTCAAACGTGTTGCTGAAGACGTTTTGTTAGGTCAAAACGAAGGCTTTACACTCATCCTCAGTTCTTTTACAGAGCGCGTGTGCACTCAGTGCACTCGATCGCGCGCGAAGGAGGAGGTGCCTCCAAACGCGATCACGTGGGCGCGCCGCCACCCTTACCCGTCCAAAGGCCTATCATCAGTACAACCACAGTACGCGTACAACACATAGGCACAAATACAACAAATACACCAAGACCGTCCCATACAAAGCGATAAAACACCACCTTCCCCAGTCACAAGTCCGCGTTCCGCCAAACGGGATCGACCCACTCGAGCCCGAGCAGCTCGAACACCTCCTTCTCCGTCCGCGGGTGGAACTCTTTCGAGTCGTACCGGCGTGTTCTGTGAGGGAAGAGTCGTGTTAGTCAAAGCCAAAAGCGCGTCAAATGGGTAAAAGGGAGAAAGAGGGAAAGGGGACGCACATTCCGGAACTATCAAACTTCATCCCGCACCGATCCTTCGCCCACTGCCTCAGGTCCCGCTGGAACATGATCGACCCACTCCTACTCGCGCATGCATCAGATTTGGCCCCAAATAACAAAGTCCATACGCGCCGCAGAGTTCACATTCGCCACTCGCGTAGAGAGGAGAGGAGAAAGGAGAGGGACGCACCATCCAACGACAGCAGTCCAATACACCTCCGGCGGCGCAAATATAAGGTCCAGCCGGCGGCGCACCGCGCCCGCGCGCGGGAGGACGAACACGGTGAGCGACTTCTCGAGTGTGTCCCAGTGCGTTGTTCGGAGTGGGTCGTGTGCGTGGAAGCTCGACAGGTCTGCTTTCGTGTTAGCGCGCGCTTGTGAGGGATAGAGGAGGGGAGGGGGAGGGGGCGTACGCATGACGTGGGTGACCATTCCTATGGAAGGTATCAGCGCGCGGACGGGGATAGGGAGAATGGAGGGGCGTACCGCGTTCGTGCAAGTGCTTGACGAAGCGCTTACAGAGGCCCTTCACCTTGCCCGCGTCCGGGTGCGTGAACACGATGTCGACGTCGTTGCTCTCCGTTTTTCCCCTTCTGTACCTTTCCACACACCCCATATCAGCCTTCAGCCCAAATGTGACTATATGCGCATTCATGGCGGGAGAACGTACCCGCCGACGATCGTGGAGACGCAGCCCGGCTCGAGCGCGTCGAGCTCGCGCATCACGACGCGCCCGATCTCCTCGACCTCGTCCCGCGGGATCCTACCACTCCTCTCATCAGTATCCATGTAGTTCCGAGTCGACGCGCACACATCCACGCACATCTTACTCAGATCCTCCCGCAGCCCGAGCGCGACCCGGATCCAGCTCTCCCCCAGCCCCTCGTCCTGCCCACCTTTATCCTTATCCTTCCCCGGGCCCTTCCACCCCGCCTGGCGCGATTTCTCCGGCTCTACCTCGACTATTTGTGATGGTTGGGTTGGGGAAGAGGAGGGTTCGACCCCATAGTAGATCTCGAGGTCGGCGAGCGAGCGGAGGCCGAGGGCGAAGAGGCGGCGCGCGGCGTGCGGGCCGATTCCGTAGATGGAGGTGAAGAGCGAGAGGGTGCGGAAGCGCTCGGAGGATTTGATCGTTTCTGTGGAGGGTGAGGTGAGGTGAGTGGGGTGGGCAGGGCAGGGGGAGGGCAAGGGAGGGGAGGGACGTACGCGCCTCGGAGATGTGGCCGTTGTCGAGGAACTCGTCGACCTGTGAGGCGCCGGCGTGAGCGGGGGTGCGCGGATGGAAGAAGGAAGAGAGGCCTACCAGACCTGAGATCTTCACGCCTATGTAAGGCAGCTTCTGCACCTGCTTGAGCGACCGGATTCTCTCGGGGTACGCTGAGCGCATACCGATCAGTTCCAACTTTTCAGCAATATCAGCCTCACGCACCTTTGATCACGGAGATGGCGCGCTGGTAGCTCAACGCACTGCGATCCTCACCCTCCAGTGCCCGGCTTTGTCGAATGATATCGAGTTCGCGCGCGAGGTCCTGGTTCGGGCATACGAGAGGCGACGCCCTCTGACACGCGTATAGAGACATATAGTTGAGCTTCTCGAGGTCGGTCACGTTGGGCGGGTCTGGCGGGAGTAGATGCGCCGGTATTGGCGCGGCTTGACCAGAGGCATCATGCCGCGATGTGCAAGGAGACGTCGGAGGGGAAGGGAGATGTCCTGGGCCATGAGCAGCAGAGCGTCTTGGGGAGGACGACGGAGATAACGCGCTCGCGGAGGAGTCCGCGCACGCGCAGGGCTTGCAGTTGCAGTCTGGGCAGTTCTTCACCGTCGTCTCGTGGAGGTCTTCGATGGCGACGTAGTCTCCGCATGGTAGCGCGGACCCGTGCTCGATAGAGTCTCGTAGCCATTGGGGCGTCACTACTGCTTTTGACGTCTGTGTATGATTGTCAGAGCGATTCAACTAATGGAAGTATGCATTTTTTGAATTATTGGGTAGAGTGGGAAACCTTACCGCGATGTCCCAGGGAACATGCCTCTCGAACCGCCGCCGCATGCTTATAGCCGTGAGGATAATGTCCGCGTCCGCCGCGTTCTCGCAAACGCCCTTCGTATGCCGCTCTCCCAGAGTGAGCAGTTCAGCGATGGCGGCCGCGTCGAGTTTCGCTTGCACAAGGTATACCTTTATCTCCGGCAGAGACTTGGTCATGGAGGCCTTGGAGCGTTTCGCGGGAGGTGGTGAGCCTGAAGACGAGGAAGACCCGGACGCGGAGGCTGACTGCGTCGGATTGGGGGCTGGGCGTTTGAAGGGCATGCTGGAAGTCCGGCGTATAAGCGTTAGTAGAACAGGAGAGCGCGACTGTCGCGTCACTTGGAAGACGGTCGAGCGAAGCAACCGCCGAGTCGCTGAGCGCGTCTGCATCGTCGACGTCGTCGAACCTTAAGGAAGAGTGATGACGTCACCCGCGAGAATGTGACGCCGTGTGACGCTGCGCGTTGGGATGCGCGGTGGCGGTGGGGACTTGGACTGGGGGACTCGGCGGCACGTGAGGAGGGAGTATGCGAGGACGACGGCCGCGGGGAGATTCACGGACTCTGCAACTGGAGGGGGAGTAGGAGGAGGGGGGTAGGAGGGGAGTGGCCAGGAGTGGTCCAGTTGAGTGGAGACGGGA